GGTGCATTGGAGCTACTTCCAGCTGTCAAGTTGCCACTGTCAGCGTTTCTTTTTCTTTTCCCAGTTGCATTCACAGAGCTGGTTCTTCTCATTGCAGGTTTGGAGATGGAAGAGGTAGATTTGGGTGTAGTCATGTTGATTACAATATAAAAAAAGAAGCGTATGTGTGTTCTGTACAGCCTATCTGGTGAAACTCGATCCCAGCTGGCAAAATTTGGTTCTATCCAGCAATATTGGGTCTATCTGGCGAAAATTGGCCAGCTGGCCAGGAGTTTGAAACCCCCTAGTATGATTTTCTTCCTCTAATTCGTCGATCAAGTCCTTTAAAGTATAGTAATCGTCATCCACACGAGCCTATATAATCGATACAATAAGTATATGTATGTGGTGGCCCTTTCCGGATACAACCTGTTGGGAGGAAACTTCACAGCTTGGTTGCTCACTGATATCGGGTGGTGAGGCTGTGGCCTCAGCGCTTGTTGTGCCGCGTTGTTCTGAAGAAAGGTAGAGCGAAGGAACGTATTGCATCAAGCTCGTCTGACCGCGAGCGCGAGCCGAGGAGGATTTCTGCTTTTTATTTTTGCTACCTAGAGGTCTACTGCAACGACGTTTTCCATCTGACCGAGAAGTAGGATCACCCATTTTTTGTCAAATACGTTATGGAGGAGGTGATAGAGTGGGAAAAAAATACAAGACGAAAGACCAGTGTAAAAGTGCAATGGTTGACAGGAACAATCAAAACGCCAACTGATATACCCACACACAAGCGCTACACAGGGGCAACACAAGATATCGGCACATGTAACAACCCCCGTTAACTTGTTATCTCATTGGCTACCCTCACACTTTGCACCCAGAGAGCAGTTGCTTAACTTTTAATATCATTGGATGAGAGTCTACCCCAGTAGCTTTAACCCCGCCAAAAAAATTACGGTCATGGCTCTTTCCGATTCTCACCAGAAACAGCCCGACCGCTCCGCGGGCATCACTCATCCACCACCTATCTACCCCTCCTCCCCCACAGTCATAACATGGGCCAAGGTCGCTCAACCCGAGAGGGTTTCCTTGGTTCACGCTCATCGGGTCTCACCCTCCTCGGACCAGCTAGCGACCACTTACTACTCTTGTATTTGGTGTATTGGTTGCAGTAAAGGCAGTGTTCTCTTCCATGTTAGTCCTGTTCCTGGCACCACTGCCGATGTGGTTGCCACTCTCATGACCGAATTCCCTGATAACTATGGTATCCTTATCCACCGTAAAGGCAAACGGGTCATCTTCGAATTCAACCTGAAACATGACTCAGAACGTCAACGTGTAATTGAAGAAGGTGTTTCTTTCACCAACGACATCACTATCCGCGCCACTCCTGCCTTGGACAAGACCTCGTAGGTGAAAAAGCTGCGCTTATCGCACCTACCAGGTTCGTCATCCATTTGCTCTCTTTCATCCAAGGCCTCACGCACTCATGTATAAATTGCTCCTCTCTTATCCTTTCCCTATCATATCCTTTTGACTATTTTAATCCACTATCTTGTCTACATCCCTCCACTCTGACATGTGGGCGGACTGTGTGTCCTTTACAAAAAAGACTATTGAATGACTACCCAACTCGCTTTTAAACAAAATTCCATTTTTATCTAGAGGTACCACTTACGACTCAATTGTTGTTGTAGCAACGATTGGTAAGTATTCATACCTTTTTCTCATTTGCCTAGTTGACATTACAAACTGCAGCGATGCCATATTATTCGTATACCCAGCTTTGTAGATCTTATCTCATCCGGTAGTCACCGTTGTGAATACATTTGGGGGTGTTTTTGTTTTATTATTCGATCAGAACGAGTACTGCTTTGTTAATATTCGACTGACTTTCTATCCCATACTCTACATTAGTGGATGATGCTTTGAGTCCTTACGTGCTCTTCTCTACGACGCCGTGCCTTTCTCAAAGCATTATTATTTTGCTTCCGTTCTCTTTAGTTGACCACTAGAATAGATATAGTCATTGTGTAGTTTTTTATACTGCGGTTGCTGCGCGCCAACCATGTTCCCAAGGCCTTGAAAAAAGAGGGGTCTACTGTACAACTTGCAACTTGCGTTCATCCACAGCGGTACCTTTATATTGCAAAGATTGTGAACGATTATAATAGCTATAGTGCCTTTTATTAAACATTTATATATCCATCCAATGTAAAATTTAATCAAATATAAAGAGTATTATGGCTCTTCTATACTTTGATGAGGATTTTGATAGTTATAAGTACCTCTGAGTTTAATAGCAACGACAACATAAAGGAAGATACTAATGATAATACCATAGTGTAGATATTACTTTTTCATGGCTTTTGCCTTTTACACACCAAAATAAAATTGAGAATACAGATTTTTTTAGTTCGATCATAATCTACTGAGCGACACCGTAGCCTACTGAGGTACAAAATCCGGGGATTAACGGTAACAACAGACCAAATGATAATGACAATTCCATAATTAATCTTTTTTTCGTAGCAAGTTGCTATGTTGTATGTTTTCAAAAAAAAATTGTTGGTTTTTACAATGGTCTGATATGCATGGATTTTTTTTTGAAGTTAGGATGATGAGGGCATAGGAGTGGACTATTTATGAGTTAAAAGATATGATTTACAATAGGAATGATGATAGCAGTAATGTTGCACGATGAGATGATTGAGGAGTATTGGTAATGGCTGTAATAGCGGTAATTTTGGTTGATTTCAAGTAGTGCTCGACGATTCTTTTTCGTGATTTTTAGGGGTGCCAAAGGACGTAACAGTGGGGATTAAACTTGAACTATTAAATATAATACATTTAATTGTTTAATATTTATCAATGACTTAATAATAATTTTTTAAAAATATATATAATTTTCAGATTTTGAAATTTTTTTAGGATGAATATCAATTTAATATGTAAAACCTATTTACATTTGTTACCATGGAGGAACAATTCTATTTATTATTGTGAATATAAATCAAAGCAGTTGATAGTTTATAAGGTGTAAGTTGTAAAAAAACTTATACCACGACTCTTTGTGGTTCTTTCTCTTAGAGAAAGGTTCTTGAATTTCAATAAAAAAATAACATTTTTTGTCTTTGAAAAATTCAAAATAACTTTATACTTATTTTAATTATATATAATTATCAGTACTATAATGACCTAATTTTTATGTTATAAGAAAATTTACATACTTTTTTTCTATAAAATTGAATTTTATTATATTATATGAATTAGATATCAAAATATAAGATAAATAATAATTATATAGATATTTAATTTTGGTTTTTGCCTAAGGTTATAAGTTTTTCCTGATTGCTTTGTAAATAAGTTAAAAGAACGGTTTTTATTATAAATTTTCAAAATGGTATTTGATGAATATAATAGCTCACTAAATAAAGGAGAAGTTTTAAAATATAAAACATTATTACAGGAAGAGATAGATATATTAATTATAAATGAATGGGGATTTATAAATGAGAATTGGAAGAAAAAACAAAATAATTATAAGCATCGAACAGAATTGAAATATATTAAAGAAATAGATGAAATTAAAAAAGAATTATTACAAAAGTTAGGATATACTTCTGTATTTTTCTTTTTAACTAAATTATATACATATAAGGATTATCCTTCACCATATTTTGAAATTGAAAAAGGGTTATATTTAATATATCATCTTGTATCAGGTATTACATCTAAAGATATGAAACGAAATATACCATATACATCATTCTATAAATTTTATAAAGAATTTTGGATAACAAATTATGATAGTTTGAATAAATATGTAGATATATGTCTAAAAAATATGTTTTCTAATATTAAAATAAGAATTTATTCTGCATTAATAAAAAACCCTAAAAATTTTAAAAATATAACATTACTATTAGATGGTCATGATAGTACTATTGAATATGATAAGCCTAACATTTCTGCACAAAAACGATGGTCATATAAATTAAAAACATCAGGTTTAAGAACATAAGTATTAACAGATATTAATAATTTTATAATTGCAGTTTCTGATAGTCAACTATGTGGAGTTAGTAGTGATGGTGGTATGTTTTTAAACATGAAATTATATACGAAAATGGATAAAAGAGATGTTTTAGCTATTGATGGTGGTTACACATTATTTATTAAACAGTTTGAAGACTTATGTAAAAAGAAAAATATTTTATTAAGTGATAATAATTTTTTTATCCTATTAGAAAAGATCCTAATAAAGAATTGAATATACAAGAAAAACATTTTAATGATGTATTTGGAAGTTTTCAGTCAGCTATAGAAAACCAATTTTGTGAATTAGGAAATAAATTTAAATGATTTTCTAATAATAACTCTACATTAAAAACAGATGATTATAAATATATTAACTTACAAATAAAAGTAGCATTTTTACTTAAAAATATACAATTATTTATAGATACATTCAATATAATTACACAAGAACACCATAAACTATGGGCTGAAAAAACTTTGAATTTTCTACTGATGAAAAACTAATAGATATAGTTTTAAATAATGAGATAAAGCAAATGGGAAAAATTAAAATAATGAGTGTATTATAAAAAGATTTATCAGATTTATCATTAGGAAGTGATAATATGATTATTAATGATAATAATATTAATGAAGAATCTAATAATCATATAATTGATAATAATGAAGATATAGATTTCCCTGAATATAAAAATATTAATAGCAAAAAAAGAAAGAAAAATAAAAGTAAAAGAAAAATTAATTTAAATTTAATTAGAGAAATTAACAAAAATAATAATTTTTATGAAATTGAAACAGTTATAGAACATAAATTAAGTAAAAATAATGAATATGAATTTCTTGTTAAGTGGAAAGATTATGATGAAACAGATAATTCCTAGGTAAATGAGAAAGATTTCAATGAAAAACAAATATTTTAAAACCAAAAACATTAAGTATTAAATTAATTATTTTTATATATGTAGATTGTTATTATAATGTTTCTAATAATTATATTTAAACTATTAAATGTAGTAGGTTTCATAATTTTGTTATTAAACATAAGGATAAGGATTAATTCTCAGTGTAGTTCTTTCGAGTAACTTTGCGTGGCTTTTGGCGGTAAAATGCAAAACATCTTCTCGTATTTGATACCATCCATTGCTAGTAGGAGTAGGGGAGTAATTTCAGTAAGAAAGATAAAACTGGATCATATATATGTTCTGCTTCAACTTACTCTTACTGCTACCATTGCTTCGTATGCTTCAGGAAGCACATTAAAGTTGTGCCATGACTGTGGCAAGTAGAAAATGCAACGGGGCATTAGATGGTATGTCGCTTGGTATTTGGGATCCATCACAAAAACTGTACATTTAAAGCCTAGTTTATCTCAAGTCAGAAAACTATTTCGATCTCACATACATTTAAGACTTAATGCTACATCACATACCTTCCACTAAAATTCCAGTAGCAAAAATTTCATCATCATCGAATCCTTCTTCAATGAAATTATCGATGCTATCTTTCATTTCATTTGCCATTTTTATGAAATCAGGTCTGCTACCGTCAGCAACCTTGGAAGGCGCCTTGATTTCCACAATTACCAATGTTTGTTCGGGCATACCCGCGAATTCGAATACCATCGACAAATCCACAAAGCGTCCTACTTTTCCTCTTCTTACTTTCGATCCGGTAACTTGGCCATCAGTGCTTTATATGCCATAAATTTGTTAGTTTACAGCGAAAATTGAAACATTTTGCAATATAACTTCATATATAGACAAATACTTTACCCTTTTCGCGTAATCAAATCAGTTTCTTTAAAAAACGGCAGAAGAACGGGATCGATAGCATCGAGTGTGAACGAGCTTTCCATTTTTATAGCTTTTTCAGACGCATCGGGTGAGTGGGTATCAATACTATATGATAAAGTCGGTTAATGAATCAGTCAAAGAAAACAACAATACACTAGTACGTTTGATATCGATATAATAATACTTACAGACTTCGTAATGAACACTCAATTCTTTCATTATATCCGAACAAATTGTCGGGAAGCTGCTTAATAATTGGCTTGCATTTTGTAAAGTCTTTTCTTGCAGCCTATAAAAGTAATGTTTGTTTGTTTGTAACTACTCACTGACAGGCTTTGTATAATATAACAAAAAAAAAGAATTGCTACCTTTGTGAATTGGTGAATGCAAGTGATGGTGTCCATCAGTAAATCTTTAATATGATACTGTTCATCACATTCTTCAACCATCTCGTTCCACACATCTTCATCAAATCCATAGAGTAAACGTGCATTCGATGCACAGTTGATGCTGTCGATTAAAAAAATACAATTCAATGATCTATTAAGCATTTCAATATATATGATTCCAAAATTAATTACCTTATCTATTCCCGAATTTGACCACGAAGGTATACATATTTGTTTTATCAATTCTACTTACTACCATTTACAATTCTTCATGAATTAATGCTAATATGCTGTTACTTGCTTTGTCAATGGGTTCTTGTCTGTATCTAATAAGATGTTCGGTGATTGGTACTCCCTTGATGACCCACTATATATGATTGTTAAAATAAATTAACAACAGCATGAGTGCCTGAAACGTTCATTCGGCCTGTTACCTTTGCGGTGTCACTGCAAAGAGTGACAGTAGGTGATTCGTTGTTGGTAAGGTAATCAATGATCTTTTTTCTCTTTTAAATAGAATAAGATATCTTTCTCAGAGCATATAATGGCTGAGTTGTTTTCTTGACTTTGGTTTTCAATGATTATGAGTCGATTGCAGAATGTGAGCTACTTACATTTGCAGTTGCAGTCTAAAAAAAAGGAAATATCAGTAACAACCAAATAAATAGAACATAATCTCTAATTTTGTGTCTTTATACATTTCCTTTTCCTAATTTTTTTAATCTATAGTAGTTTAGTTTAGGTAGATGACAAATTAACAGTATAGCTATGAAGGCTTTTTATTATACCCTGTCATACAATCACGATCCAACAGCTTATCCTTGTCTAGTTGAGCTTTGCTAAATTTCTATGTGTATAGTTTAGTTAAATATCACTAATGATTTCTTTCAAGTATGTAAACAAAGGCTATTATACCTATATGTTATATGTAACATATTTGTTGAAAACCATTAGCCAACTTGATTTTATATCTCCCATGTCATTAGTGAGATGCACAGCACTGTCAAAATCATATCATAATGAGAAAATGCATTTAAAGAGATAGCTTCTTCTTCTTAACCCACATACTGTGAAAAGCTTAAAGGAAAAAGGGTATTACTTAGGCTATACGGCAAATAATTGTCATATCGATCTTACATTTTATGTGTTATTAGTATTAGCCATAATGTCTCAGGGAAGTGAACTATTGCTATAAAACCCAGCTCTAGGCTTTTTTAGATATAATTTTAAAAACAATAAATAGATGGTAATGTAGCTTTTTAATTCAGTGGCTGGAGCTTTTCTCATCTATATGGCTAGCTAGTTCATTAGTAGCTCCATGTTTAGTAACAAAAAATTCACGATCAGTTTCAATAACTTTACGATTATTAAGTATAATAATTTCATGATAGGGCTCAATAATCTCAATGCTAATTTTAACTAGTTTGCCCAAGCATCTGCTGCCATGGTAGAAAATATATATGCAGGAACAGTACAGGAGTTTTCATCTCCTAGCAGACATTCGAACTTTTGTTTACGCAGAAGGGATTTTATTTTTATTGCTGTTATTTGGATAGATATCACTACAGTATTAATGATAACAACACCATCATTGACGAGAGAATTGTATTTTTTCAAAGAGTATATAAAGTGGGGAGGGTGCTGCAGACATTGATTACAAGAAAAAGATAGAAGAAAAAGCAAAAAAAAGAAAAACAGTCTGTAGAGTACACCAGCAGTAGTATTGTGTCTTTGTGTCATCCTCATATAGTCTATATAATACAAAAATGGGATTAAAGTCATAAAGATGTTCAAATTATTATTACAGGAAAATGAAGGCATGTCAATTAGAGTATTTTTTGTAAGTAAAGTTTTAGCTTGTTTAACTGCCAAACGTCGAGTCCATCAATGGAACAAAGGTGAAGAATATCAAACAACTACCAATATTGAAGCCCAATTGCTTTGGTTTACATCTTAATACACAACTGTCATAGAATCGCAACTGTGCACATCTATTACCTGTCCTGGTTGCAATTATGACAGATCAGTTTACTAATTTAAAACTCGGTAAAACTACTACATCTGTTATGGTTTCTAAGCAGGTTAGGCTATCTGTCATGGTTTCCATTCAAGTATAACGACACGAGATCGCTTCAGCATCTATTGGAGATAGGTACATTCATCTGTCATACTAGTTGCAACCTGACAGACTGATGGGCTGGGTTGCAACTGATTAAGCAAAGTCTTCTGCCACGCTTTCAATTGGACTGATATACAGTATCTATCTTGATATGGCCTCAACCCCAAGTGTAGAGAAGATGACTGTTGTAGTAGTAGCGATTCTATCTAGATGATAGGATTAAAAAAGATTGTATTCAGTGCATTATTGTTTCAAAAGATTCATATGCATGGTTGTAACTAGGTCTGTTGGTTGGTTGCAACTATGCCAAACGTATCTCACCCTCAGCAATTTAAGAGCATCTGTTTATCGTGGACCTCACTCGCATGATTGCAATCAAAGTCTATATACTACAGTTAGCATAGCTTGATTTGTATCTTGCTGGACAGTATCAATAGCGTGTATTGAATACGTATATGATATAAAATAGAAGTAAACCATATCGATTACTCTGCTGATGTACTTAAGTAATATCAAGCAGTACACTGTACTTTAATCCACTAATTAAAACATACCACATTTAATATTTATTGTACAGTACTGTATCACAGAAAGAAACAAAAAAAGAAAGAGAAAGAAATGTAGCATACATAGTGCTTACAATTAACGGCACAGAGCTACATTACTTTAACTGATGCTGTGCTCTAGTACCTGTACCTCCTCTAAGACCTTTTTCCGTAAAGAAATTTGGTGCTTGCTTCACAAATGATATCATAAATCCGGATGACCAAAGAATCGATACTTCCGGTTTCATTTCCAAGCTAGTGTACCTTCTGTTAATGTTGTTGACCTTGCTAAACTAACCGAGAGAATCGATCCATTTTTCTTACCTTTATTACATTCCCAATAAAAACAATATTTCTTAGTTACGTGTCGTACTTAACTTAAGCAAATTGCTGCCGGGAACGATCTGATCCGTTACATAGTGAGAGATCAAGTTAGTTACTACCGCGCAACAAAAAAATTTTAGCAGCTGCTGGTTTATAAAAGAAACATACCATCGTAAAAGCATACAGTGTTCTTCGGAACCCTTACGAAAGTCGAGTAAGTAGAAGTGCTCGACCGAACCTGGGAAAATAGGTGCCGTTAAATCGATGACAGTCTGCTGCAGCTGTTAATTCAATGACAAGGCCGGCAGATATGCAAAATTGCTTAGATCATTACTGTCTTCACAAATACAGGGATCATCAACGCTACAAATATGAGTCATAATTTAGTAGAAACAGATAACCATAGGCGGTACATACATGCATACTGTAACAGTAGTATCATTTGAATTAGAACTTACTATTGGATCTCGATACAAATGAGACGGCTTCATCATGAGCTGGTAGTTTCCATTCTTTGTACGTACCTAAAAATGGCATACAAAAAGTGGAAGCAAGCTTTTCAAAGAGATACCATATGTGTGTACTAGTGTAAATGGTAGAATTATGCTGTACTACCATCTTCCGAAAATTGACTGGTTCAATCCTTGGGGACATGGACCCCAACACATTGTCTTACATAATATGTTATTACTACAAGTTGACTGATGAGGGGGACTCTACTATGTATTGTCGAAGAAAAATTCATCATGTACTAAATAATGTGTAGCTTTTGCCTACTAATGCGTATGCATACATCCTTACGAAAACTACTACGTACAGCGTCCATAAAGGATATAGCAAAACGTCTAATAAGTAGATCATGGTCAAGTACTTACAGAAAAAGTGTGAGAATGTTTAAGATTAAACGTCAAAGATGCATACTTAAAAGATGTATCAGTTGCTCTTAGAATCATTGCTTGGTGGCTGTATGTAGCTACATTGCAAACGTACCAAAGACATATTCATAACTACACTAGCCATCAGCCCCAAACAAAGTGCTTTCAGCAACGCAAAATTATACTAGTTAAAGTAGACTATCATCCTGTCAGTCAAGCAAATTTTTCAATAGAAAAAGAAAAAAGGCTTTTTCATCTTGTTGCTGTGACGCCTTTACAAATTTGATTTCACCCGAAACCAATCGTCTCTCTATTTCGGCTCGTTCATGCTGGAGTAAAGGGCTGGGATGATTACGTTCGGTTCCCTCAGGCCAGCCTAGCATGACAATATCGGCATACATTTGTTTGTCTTGCCATGGCATTCTTGCTCCTTCAGCAATTACTTTTTGGTAATTTGCCAAAACCGCTTGTCCTAACGCGAATATCATTAGAAATAGTACCTATACGTCGAAAAATCCATAGCCATCAACACTTCTTGTTTTTCCAAACTACATACTATACTTGTTTGAAATCAATTTCCTCAGGTTCTGTTCTTCACATGCTGAAGTGTTGCTGGGGACATCGCAGTATGCGTTTCATAGGCGGCGAAGGAACGCGTGTGGTGACAGATGAAAAGAGGAGGTGGTTGTCAGTAGATGAATTGTGAGACGCAGCTGCAGTGATATCAGTAATCAACTAATCATATATTTACAACACAATAAAAACAGTGAGACAAAATTTGAGCTTACTAAATTGTTTGTTGTTTTGGAGCATCTCATTTTTGTAATGAATGCCAAACGTTCGTCCATTTACATCAACTGCACCTGCTTGCAACAACTTACAAAAGTGTAGTCCACCATCTATGTTTTGCTCGTCAAAAGCAGTTTAAAACATAGCAACGTAGTTTTAGAACATGAATTTAAAACATTACCGTAGCCATATCCATCTCGATCTGGATGAACGGAGCGGTTAATGTCACATGGTGCGACAAAACATATCCCTTCCCCAGCGTTCTCTTCTCTAAGCATGGTCAAGTTACCGTTGAGGTATTTTGAAAGCTTGATAAATCTACTTTCCTTCTTTTGTTGTTACATAGCTCGGCCTAAGTCTTATCCTTCCAGGAGAGTGTCATCCACATTAAGGCCCTATCTTTCATAAAATTACCCATTACCGTTTACGATCTAGGAATAGTTGATAGGTGTCTATAGCCACAAATAAATAAATGAACGAGGAATTTTATTAAAACAGTAGCAACATTGTTCGCAGTACAATTCTTTTAAAAAACATGGAATCCGGCAACCTTTCCGGTATTCTTGCGAAGATTCGTTAGCTTCAGTGGAGCCAAGGACTTCGGTTCATACCCGTATTTTTCGAGCTATTCCAGCACGACGGGTCTTCCATTGCTCGACCAGCTCGCTGTCCACTGCTACCAGTTCAACTTTCATTGCCGCATTCAATTTGACAAAATTGTCTCCCTCATCAACTTTAGGAGCACGAATGGAGCTGTTGCTCAGTTCGGATTCCATGTCAGAGCGAAGGAACCTCAAGCGAGCGATTTCGTTACTGAGCGCCCCGGCACGCTCCATATCATCTACCGCGCTATTCTCAAGTAATCCCAGCACATGTTCGTCTGATTTCAGAGAACGTTTTTTTCGTATTTGTCCCTCTGTACACTGCCTTAAAGATAATCGAAAGTGCGTAGGGTTAGAAAGGAATTAGAGTGCTGTCGTTGAATGAAAGCAACGAGATGAAGGTTGTAAAATATGCGGTTTGCGGTTTTGCGGTTCGACCAAAAAACACTCAACCGCGGAGGGTAATTTTACCTGTTCTTTAATCCGCGGAATCATGCCAACCCTCTCTCTTGCCGCAGTAAAACCCAGGACTTAGTGGCATTTCCTATGAACTCCGAAGGATGGGTCCCGCCGCATTCCGTCATCCCAGAAGGTGAGAAAAGCTTATTAATACAGCAGGACCCTTCATTTTCTTCTCCTCTTTCGCTTCTTATTTTCACATTTGTTTGTATATTTCCTTATCAAATCATGCCTGGTCAAAAAGTAAACGTTGGTGTTGTCGGTTTTGGTAAGTTTTTTTGAGAGTGTATCACGGCTCCGCAAGAGTTTGTATGCGGACAGACAAACTGATGGTTCATATTCTTCGGTGCACTACAAGGCTTTGCGTCGCGTACGTTCCACTGCCCATTGATTGTATCTTCACCCCATCTCAAGCTCACTGCTGTTGTTGAGCGCCACAGCGACAACAGCAAAAAGGTGTATCCCGGCGTCACTGTCGCCAAGAGCACAGACGAGCTCTTTGCCATGGATAACATTGATCTAATCGTCATCACAACCCCCAACGACTCGCATTATCCTCTCGCCAAGCAGGCTATGGAGAAGGGAAAGCACGGTAGGTTATCATGCTCCATTTTTTAGTATTCTAGAAGGTTGCATACACGGCTGCTGAAGGAAGCGGGAATAGCCATGTTCTTTGTTTGGAGCGACAGTAAACTTATGCTGTTCGAAATATACAGTCGTCGTCGAAAAGCCCTTCACTATCACATCACAAGAAGCCGGCGAGCTCGCCCAGATAGCCGAAAAAACTGGAAAGATCTGCAGTGTATATCAAAATCGTAGATGGGACGGTGACTTTTTGACTGTAAAGAAGTTGGTTGATAACGGACACTTGGGTCGTCTCGTCGAATTCGAATCCCACTTTGACCGTTTCCGCAACTTTGTCAAGGCTGGATGGCGTGAGAAGGATGACCAGCCCGGTTCTGGTATGCTCTACGATTTGGGTGCCCATCTCATCGACCAGGCCCTGTCCTTGTTCGGCCTTCCTACTGGTCTCTTTGCTACCATCGGTAACCAGCGTCAGCTCAAGGAATCCAGCGTCGTCGACGATTTCACCATCATCCTCAAGTATCCCAACGATTTCAACGTGATCTTGCGATCAAGCATGCTTGCTCGCCAAACGCCTGTCTTACGCTACTCGCTTCGTGGTATGGACGGATCTTATGTCAAGCATTATCTGGATGTGCAGGAGGATCAACTTAAAGCCGGTTTGCTGCCTAGCAGTGCTGGATATGGTGTTGAGTCTTCTGAACGTTGGGGTACCATCAACTCGGATATCAACGGCGTGCACGTCGTCGGTCAAGTGGAAACGCAAAACGGCGATTATTTGTCATTCTACAACAATGTTGGCGAATCAATTCTTAAGAACGACCCTAGCCATTTGGCTGTCAAGCCTCAACATGGCGTCAACTGCATTCGAGTTATTGAATTAGCAAAGCAGAGCTCTGATGAAGGCCGTGTGATTAACTTGTAAAAATAGTAAAATAAAAGGCATAATGTATTACAAACAGCGTAGGAAGTTGAGTTTTAACAAATTTGCTGTTGGAAGAAGCCAGCTAATAGTTTGTTAATGCTAAAAACGTTTCAACTGTACCAGCGGCAGAAGTAGCAACAATTTTTAAAGCAGCTTTAGTAGCAAAAGTAGCTTCAATGTCCACACCCGTTCCCATTACAGCTCATCAACAACAACGTTTCACTTTCAATCGTAATCAAGGAGGTCGTTCAGATATATATCACTACCAGTAGTAATGGAACTATTTACCTCAACTATCAGCCTTATCCTGATTTTCACAGACAAGCACTTTTGGTCGGACCAAATTTAGCCTAAACGGTTGCTATGGGAACGAATTAGAGATTTGAAAATGATCTTGCCTATTTTATTTTTTTTAAGGAGGGTGGTGGCCTCATAAATAAAATTTTATTTGCAGCTCCGCGTGCCAAAGGCAGAGACGGACTGTGTGAGTATCAGGTGTGTCGTCGAAAGTGCAGAAATGACAGAGATTGGTACAATACGTGGTGATCAGTGTAAACGTCTAATGAACTGGGGGATTATGTTTTTGTTTTTTGTTTTTTTTGTTGTGGATATATGTAATACAAAGTTAAGAGAGGGGTGAAGGTTGGAAGCGTGCTATTAGGGAAAGAGCCCGTGACACAACCGAGGTAGAATTGAAAGGTTCGTCGTGAAATATGATTCGATAATAAGCAGCCCAAATGGACTGAAAAATACAGGCTGCAATCGTTGGTATGCTGAGTTGCTGAGTACTTACGTGATTAGAAGAGGTGTCTGGAGGAAAATCAAGTTGTCGTATTAGTGTGATGATGGCCTGTTGATCTGGATCGGCATGGCGTAGGCGACCCCAAACGAGTTGCCAGATTTCGTATTTGCGTGCGCAGCCAATGATAAAGTGTTCGAGGGTATCAACGTCCGTGAAACAAAGGTTGCAAGTTGCTGTTGGTGCTGTGGATAAATTCAAACGATGTCGTCGATAAGCTGTGGGAAGGGTGTTGTGGATCGCACGAAACCAGATGTTCCTTGCTGTATGTTCCATGCGCCATGTCCAAAAGGTAGTCCATTGTTGGGAAGAAATGGCAGGGTTGCAGTGTGACGGAGGACAGCATATGCATCGATATGTCTTGGTGTTCCATTGTGAGAGAGTTTGCTGTAGGCGACGACTGATAGGTTGTGCATCAAGTGATCCAGGAGTGCCAGAGTGGCCGCTGTTGGGAAAGCTGCTGGGTAGACATAAGCGAGCAAATCCATCAACAAAATATAAACGTCCCTGTGCTAGATCGTTGAAAAAGCGGCGGGTCAGAATAGGTCGATGAAGTCCTTCGAGGGGTGTGCGTGCGCGAATGAAACCTTGATTGGTGTCGAAAGTGAAGAGATCGGATACTTGTAAATGTTTGAAGCCTGGTCGTCTGAGCTGTTCGTTGCTCATTGATGGAGCCCAGATGGTGTTCAGTGGAAGGTGAAGGACAGAAGTTGCGGACAGGTTTGCGGACATCCAATCGATAGGTAGTTGGTCTATGGCGCGATATAGAAGATAGTTGACCGAGGAAGTATCTTTGGCGTCCGAACCACGTAGCTGAGGGAAAACGAGCGTAAAACGGGGGTCGAGTGGTGAATTGGATGTCCCAAGAACGTGGTGCCAAAGACATGTCGTGATGTATGAAGATGTTGGTGAGGGTAAGGCAAACAGTGGTTCAAGCCATCGTAGTTGTAGAGCAGACTGTTGGAGTAACGGGGCCAAAAGTCCTACTCCTCCGTGAGATCGTGGGAGGCACAGTGTATCGAAGCCAATCCGAGGAAACATCCTTGTCATCATAAACTGGCCGCATATAGAGCGTAGTTTGCGAAAGAAGGAGGATGGTGCAGCGCCAACTAAACGTAATACATGCCACAGTTTGGACAATATTAGGGAGTTGAGAATCGTTGCGCGGCCCCGTATTGATAGTTGTCGTTGGGCGTGAATGTTGCATGTTGTTTTAATCTTGAGTAGCAGTTGGTCAAGGAAGACTTGCAATTGATGCTGTGAAGAGGTGAGTGGATACCCTAAATAGATTACTGGATTTGCTGAAGCACGAGTATGACAAGGAGGATAACCTGCATCGTCCAAGAGCTGGGACCATTCCGAAAGGGGTCTACCACTGAGGGAAATAGCCTGGGTCTTGTGTGGGTTCATTTTGGCGTTTGAAGCGGCTTGATAATGATCCAGGTGCACTTGAAATCGGTAGAAGTCTTGTCGGCCATTAAGGAGAACGGACGTGTCGTCGGCATAAGCTAGTATCTTTAGAGGACCAGGGCGTGGCAGAGTCGAGTTAGTTAGGCTGCAATTAGGTTGAAAGCCACGAATGGCTGAATCTTGAAGTATACAACGTAGCAGTGGTTCTAGGGCGAGATTGAACAGAATGGGTGATAACGGATCTCCTTGACGTAGGCCACGTTGTTGTGTGAATGGTTCCGTCAAATGGCCGTTGATGTTGAGGTGAATACGTGTTGAGAAAAATAGGTTGCTGATTGATGAGATGATGGTGTCGGGAAAGCGAAAACGTTGCATCACTTTCTGTAGATAGACGGGGGATACCCGATCGTAAGCTTTTTCGGCGTCCAATTGGAGAATGATGTGGTTGCTGGTTGGGTCTTGGCGAGCTTGTTCCATGGCCAGTTTGATGAGTAATCCATTGTTGGCGACGAATCTGCCGGGCATAAAGCCCGTTTGGAATTGATTGATGAGTGGATCGGCCGCCTGAATAAGTCTTGAGTTCAAAAGTCGAGTGAAAATTTTGGCGTCCGTGTTGATCAATGAGATGGGTCGCCAGTTGCGCAAAGAAGTCAAGTCACCCTTCTTGGGTATTAATGTAACGGCAGTGGAATACCACGATGGTGGATATACCGCTTCCTTGAGTGCTGCATTATAGACGGAACACGCGAGTTCTTGATAGGCGGGGTGTTTGAGAACAAGATACCACAGCTCGTAGGGTAATCCGTCCATGCCGGGGCTACTCTTATGCGGGGCCCTTTTCGCGCCTGCAATCAAATCCTCTATAGTAAATCGGTAGTGAGATTTTCGCATGCATCACGGTCTAAAACGCATGTTGAAGGAATAGCGTTGAGTAGATGGGTGATGGAGGTGCTGTTGACTGGATCTGGTGTGTATAGGTCGGTATAAAACGATCGAGCTGCTGATTGAATATCGGCTGTGGTGGTGGCGATGTTGTCGTTGTTGTAGGGGTGCTGAAGCGATAAGATGAGACGTTGAGTTTGTCGTTGCGCTGCTGTGCGTTTTAAATATCCTGCGGATGTTTCCCCTAGTTCCCGCCATCGTGTGTTTGCGCGAAGTGCTGCGGTATCAACAATCTCTTTTTGAATAGAGGCAATTTGTTGTTCGACACGGGGTAAAACCATGGCAAGGATCCCTGGAGGAGGTTGGGAGCGGAGCAAACGATTCCGTTTGGATTGCAGTAATCGGCTGTTCTTTGCGCCAATCAGCTCGTTGACGGCCAAAACGTTTCATAAAGCGTTGCAATTCCTCTTGAGTGCTTCCCATTGATCTTGGATTGTGTGGTGGCATTGTAGTTGTGGTTGAATGGTGGATAAAATTTGTGTCAATTCTTGTCGGAATTCTTTGAGCTGGGTGAAGGAGGGGTTTCCACGCCAGTATCCTTTGCCGCGAGGACTGTCACCAAGTTCAATAAAAGTAGTAAGTAGACTGTGATCCGACCATGTTTTACTAATGTTTTGAACAGAGGCTTTAGTAATATGGGGGCGCAAGGATCGTGATGCAAATATGAAATCGAGAGTGGAATAGTAGGTGTTGCCATGACGATAGGTTGGAAGTGGTGTAATTCGTTGTGATCGGTGATACCGTCCACAAAAGTAGTGTTTAAATGGCACGCCATTCGCTAGGAACACAGTTATGATGCTCCGAGCTGTAGCAATAGTAATTAAAATCGCCTGCAATGATTAAGCGATCAGTGTAGGTACCGCTGTCGTCGGTGAAGATTGAAGATGAGAGCAGCTGGTTGAAAAACGTGTGTCGTTCCCGTAAAGAGGAAGATGCTGGCGCATAGATAACCAAAAAATAGAATGGTTGAAGGTGCTGGATCTCGATTGAATGTGGCTGAAGATAATTCACTCGGTGTTCTGTGTTAGGTCGGTATCAATTTTGGTGATGGTGATGTCGGGAGAAAAGGCAAGTAAACCGCATCGATGTGTCCATAAGCTTGCTGAAGGTTGAAATTGAAAATCGAAGGATTGTGTGATGTCGTCTGTTGTAGCGTTGGTTTCTTGTAGTGATAAAAGTTGTGGTTGTTGTTGGCGTAGGTATCTAATGAGAGAAGACCTAGCGTCAGAATTGTGTGTTTTCCGTAAACTATTACAGTTTAAGGAACATATTTTAAGAAGGTTGTGTGATATCATTTTGATTTTTTTTTTTTTGGTTTGTTGTTCTTTTAGGTTTTGTTTGTTTTTCTTGTGTTTTTTAGATATTTGATTATAATGACAGATCGACGCTTATTTGCGAGTTGCAGGTGTCCCCGTTTTGTTTTCTGTAACTTTCGTGGTCGGTTTAATGAGTCGACCACTCTTTGTTCGTTGTTGGTCCGTTCGTGTAACTGTTGTTTCAACTTGTGGAAAGTGGAGTCGGAGCATCATCGCTGCCACTTTCTGTTCAGCCTCCGGGAGTCCCGACAAGTGCGCTCGGTCATCGTTGGACAGTGGGTAGTTGGTATGCCATATCGGCGTAAGTTGTTGGTCGGCTGCGAGTTGCAGGATGTTGTTAAAAGATGACGGGTTGGATGATTTCTCAGCAAAGGTGGTGCTGAGTGTTGTAGCTACATTGTCGATGGTTGCGTCGGGGCGTTTTTCGGTAACATCATTTTCCAGCTCCTTGACTATGTTCATCAAATCTTCATCGTCACTGTCGTCCGAGTCACTTTCAAGAGGCACTGTCTCCTCGTTCTGAGTTACCGTGTCTGGTTGTGGAACCTCGATAGAAGGTGATGCCACGTCAGATTCAGGTGGCACAAGCGTTGTTGGAGCCGTAATTGGGTCGGTGAGGCCTGTAGTAATGTTACGAACTCGTCTTCGTTTTAAGCCATTGTTGCCTTTAGCGCCTTGAGTATGGTCGCAGTCCGCGGTGCAGTTAACTGAGATGTGACCAACTTTACCACAAGTCCAGCAGGTGTGGAAGTTACGCGGGTTAGACGGTCAAATGCGGACATGATGATCGGGCTTATGACAGCGTGCACAGTGTAACGGCATTGCGGCCCAGGTAGCATAGAAGTAGTCGTCGGATGTGAGCCACGAAATACTGTGTGACATTTCGCTATATGGTTGAGCGTCCGCAATAGGTTGTCGGTCCAGTACAGCAAAACCGTTCCCCATGAATATACCGGAAGTAGCATCGCGATAAAGTCCACAATCAAGGACGCGACCGAATACATTCAAACTAGTAGTAATTCCCGCAAGCAAGTGTGCAGGGGGCATGAACGGGAGCTTAGACAAGCGCACTTTGGTAATGTTGGCATTGGAGGTTAAAGCCAAGCAAGGTTTGATGAGGACGTCGTTTTTGAACTTGAGACCGGTGGTTAAGGCGGATCGAATCTCGTCAGCAGTTTCAAAGTATACTTCTATAAGTACTCGAGGGCCTTCGTGGGCAGGTTGTGCTCCACAATTATTGGGAAAGGTACGGCCGATAAAAGTCATCAGTTTTCCAAGGGGTTCGGTGCGGCTGCTTAGGTCGAAGAAGACACTAGGGACCGAAGCGGGAGATCCTCCAACACGGAAAACATTGGAATAAATGATCTTGGTTGTTTTTTGAGCATCAGTGTCGTCAGGTGTGGTGATGGTCTCGTGTTCTTTTTGCATTAAAGATTGACGGTGCTTTTGCGCCACTTTTGCATAAGTGAGGCGAGGCACTGTAAGTGATGGGGATGTAGGGGGTTGGGTGCCAGAGCCATTGTCTGGCGAGTTTTGAGAATTAGCGGAAGAAGCCATGAAGATAACAGATTACCATGGTAACATATTTTTTCAGCCGCACAGCCAGTAAATTAAAAGGCAGCATTTAGAGCACTCGCAACGGACCCTGTAAAATTTCCTGTAAACCCGATTTACAAGTCATTTTACATTTTTGTCTTCGCACCGGTCCCTGTAAAATTATCTGTAAAAATGAGAATCTGTAAATTTTTCTCCAAAACCTGTAAAGTAACAGGTCCTGTCTGAGCTCCTGTAAAACCCCCTTCTCTTTTGAAACAAACCTTTTTAACATGAACACCAACAACAGCATTCCCACTTCTACGACTACGGTCACTTCTGCCCCCGAAACCACCCTCCCCTCAAGCCGAAACGCTACCGCTGCCTCCTCTGTCGCAACTGCCGACCAAAAGAAGACGAAAGGTGCTTGGTGGCGCAATGACGAGGATCAGCTCTTGGTCCAAGCCTACCTTCTAATCAACAAAGATGAAAAGGTTGGCATCAACCAAGATTCGAAAACGTTTTGGCAACGCGTTTTTGAAGAGTTTGAAAAAGGTGGTAACGACAAGAACCGCACTCCCGAAAGTTGTCAAGGTCGTTGGGAGATTATCAGCGCGCAAATCGCGAGATATGCAGCGGCTGTGGCCTTTATCGAGAGAGGGCCACCAAAAAGTGGCGAGGCCGATGATGACAAGGTAGTCTTTTGCACATTAAAATGCATATAACAGATTCGAGAAGTTCCTTTCTTTCTGATAAAGTTCATATAATAGAAGCAGCGCATCGTCGAAAGGTATAACAGCAAAGCCGAAGCACGGTTACCAAGCATTTGTTGTGGGTTTCGTAGCAACCATTCACTTCAATTGCGACATTATGGCCAACAAAAATGAGCGCGAAAAATGTAAAGTCAACATAACAATTAGTTGCTAAGTAACCTAAACAGTACCCTTTTTTCTTTAGGCTTCTCAAAATATGCCAGTCAAGAAGAAGGAGCGATCTCTCTGAAAGCGTTTTTTCAATACGATTTTGACAGTGCTGCGCACCTTAGCAAAGACATCGAAGATATCAAATCAAGTTGGCTCATGATTTTTAATAAATACGTTACGAGCAACAACATACAGGTAAGAGCCTTTTCTTATATACTTGAGAGATATTATTAGTGATTTTTAACCAAACTATACACATAGAATTTCAGCAAAGCTCAACCAGACTGGTATGAGTTGTTGAGAACGGTAAATCATGATATTGCATGAGAGGGTGTAAAAAGCCTAGCTAGTTTATACTAACGAAAGGTATAAACACTCAAAACTGGAGGTTATGTTCTATTTATTTGGTTGTTATTGATGTTTCCTTTTTCTTAGACTGTCATTGCCGTGAAACGAAGTAGAGAAAGTGCAACCGCAAGCGCAAGCAGCTCGCGCTCTGAAATCGAGGGGAAACGCTCAGGCCCTGTTCCCACAGCAGCACCGCCGCCACCACCACTACTACTAAAAGGGTTAGTATATCAAATTAAAAAAACAAGTCAGCAATCTTGTGTTCTAAAAAATGCGTCTTTAACCATTTTTATTCTTTTCAATAGAGAAAAAAGATCGTTGATTACCTTACCAACAACAAATCACCTACTGTCACTCTTTGCAGCGACACCGAAAAGGTAACAGGCTGAACGTTGATCCACTGGAACGTTTTAGGCACTCATGCTGTCGTTAATTTATATTAACAATCATATATAGTGGGTCATCAAAGGAGTACCGATCACCGAACATCTTATTGGATACAGACAAGAATCCATTGACAAAGCGAGTAACGACGGCAAATTAGCATCAATTCATGAAGAATTGTAAGTGGTAGTAACTAGAATCGATGAAACAATTATATATACCTTCGTGGTCAAATTCGGAAAAGATAAGTTAATTAATTTTGGAATCACATATATTTAAATGCTTAATAGATCTTTGAATTGTATTTTTTTAATCGACAGCATCAACTGTGCATCGAATGCACGTTTGATTTATGGATTTGACGAAGATGTGTGGAACGAGATGGTTGAAGAATGTGATGAACAGTATCATATCAAAGATTTACCGATGGGCACCATCACTTGCATTCACCAATTCGCAAAGGTAGCAATTCTTTTTTTTTTGTTATGTTATACAAAGCCTGTCAGTGAGTAGTTACAAACAAACAAACATTACTTTTATAGGCTGCAAGAAAAGACTTTACAAAATGCAAGCCAATTATTAAGCAGCTTCCCGACGATTTGTTCGGATATAATGAAAGAATTGAGTGTTCATTACGAAGTCTGTAAGTATTATTATATCGATATCAAACGTACTAGTGTATTGTTGTTTTCTTTGACTGATTCATTAACCGACTTTATCATATAGTATTGATACCCACTCACCCGATGCGTCCGAAAAAGCTATAAAAATGGAAAGCTCGTTCACACTCGATGCTATCGATCCCGTTCTTCTGCCGTTTTTTAAAGAAACTGATTTGATTACGCGAAAAGGGTAAAGTATTTGTCTATATATGAAGTTATATTGCAAAATGTTTCAAATTTCGCTGTAAACTAACAAATTTACGGCATGTAAAGCACTGATGGCCAAGTTACCGGATCGAAAGCAAGAAGAGGAAAAGTAGGACGCTTTGCGGATTTGTCGATGGTATTCGAATTCGCGGGTATGCCCGAACAAATATTGGTAATTGTGGAAATCAAGGCGCCTTCCAAGGTTGCTGACGGTAGCAGACCTGATTTCATAAAAATGGCAAATGAAATGAAAGGTAGCATCGATAATTTCATTGAAGAAGGATTCGATGACGATGAAATTTTTGCTACTGGAATTTTAGTGGAAGGTATGTGATGTAGCATTAAGTCTTAAATGTATTAGAGATCGAAATAGTTTTCTGACTCGAGATAAACTAGGCTTTAAATGTACAGTTTTTGTGATGGATCTCAAATACCAAGCGACATACCGTCTAATGCCCCGTTGCATTTTCTACTTGCCACAGTCACGGCACAACTTTAATGTGCTTCCTGAAGCATACGAAGCAATGGTAGCAGTAAGAGTAAGTTGAAGCAGAACATATATATGATCCAATTTTATCTTTCTTACTGAAATTACTCCCCTACTCCCGCTAGCAATGGATGGTATCAAATGCGAGAAGATGTTTTGCATTTTACCGCCAAAAGCCACGCAAAGTTACTCGAAAGAACTACACTGTTACGTCCTTTGGCACCCCTAAAAATCACGAAAAAGAATCGTCGAGCACTGCTTGAAATCAACCGAAATTACCGCTATTACAGCCATTACCAATACTCCTCAATCATCTCATCGTGCAACATTACTGCTATCATCATTCCTATTGTAAATCATATCTTTTAACTCATAAATAGTCCACTCCTATGCCCTCATCATCCTAACTTCAAAAAAAAATCCATGCATATCAGACCATTGTAAAAACCAACAAATTTTTTTTCAAAACATACAACACAGCAACTTGCTACGAAAAAAAGATTAATTATGGAATTGTCATTATCATTTGGTCTGTTGTTACCGTTAATCCCCGGGTTTTGTACCTCAGTAGGCTACGGTGTCGCTCAGTAGATTATGATAGAACTAAAAAAATCTGTATTCTCAATTTTATTTTGGTGTGTAAAAGGCAAAAGCCATGAAAAAGTAATATCTACACTATGGTATTATCATTAGTATTTTCCTTTATATTGTCGTTGCTATTAAACTCAGAGGTATTTATAACTATCAAAATCCTCATCAAAGCATAGAAGAGCCATAATACTCTTTATATTTGATTAAATTCTACATTGGATGGATATGTAAATGTTTAATAAAAGGCGCCATAGCTATTATAATCGTTCACAATCTTTGCAATATAAAGGTACCGCTGTGGATGAACGCAAGTTGCAAGTTGTACAGTGGACCCCTCTTTTTTCAAGGCCTTGGGAACATGGTTGGCGCGCAGCAACCGCAGTATAAAAAACTACGTAATGACTATATCTATTCTAGTGGTCAATTAAAGAGAACGGAAGCAAAATAATAATGCTTTGCGAAAGGCACGGCGTCGTAGAGAAGAGCACGTAAGGACTCAAAGCATCATCTACTAATGTAGAGTATGGGATAGAAAGTCAGTCGAATATTAACAAAGCAGTACTCGTTCTGATCGAATAACAAAACAAAAACACCCCCAAATGTATTCACAACGGTGACTCCCGGATGAGATAAGATCTACAAAGCTGGGTATACGAATAATATGGCATCGCTGCAGTTTGTAATGTCAACTAGGCAAATGAGAAAAAGGTACGAATACTTACCAATCGTTGCTACAACAACAATTGAGTCGTAAGTGGTGCCTCTAGATAAGAATGGAATTTTGTTTAAAAGCGAGTTGGGTAGTCATTCAATAGTTTTTTTTTGTAAAGGACACACAGTCCGCCCACATGTCGGAGTGGAGGGATGTAGACAAGATAGCGGATTAAAATAGTCAAAAGGATATGATAGGGAAAGGATAAGAGAGGAGCAATTTATACATGAGTGCGTGAGGCCTTGGATGAAAGAGAGCAAATGGATGACGAGCCTGGTAGGTGCGATAAGCGCAGCTTTTTCACCTACGAGGTCTTGTCCAAGGCAGGAGTGGCGCGGATAGTGATGTCGTTGGTGAAAGAAACACCTTCTTCAATTACACGTTGACGTTCCGAGTCATGTTTCGGGTTGAATTCGAAGATGACCCGTTTGCCTTCACAGTGGATAAGGATACCATAGTTATCAGGGAATTCGGTCATGAGAGTGGCAACCACATCGGCAGTGGTGCCAGGAACAGGACTAACATCGAAGAGAACGCTGCCTTTACTGCGACTGATACGCCAAATACGAGAGTAGTAAGTGGTCGCTGGCTGGTCCGAGGAGGGTGAGACCCGATGAGCGTGAACCAAGGAAACCCTCTCAGGTTGAGCGACCTTGGCCCATGTTATGACTGTGGGGGAGGAGGGGTAGATAGGTGGTGGATGAGTGATGCCCGCGGAGCGGTCGGGCTGTTTCTGGTCTCCATGAAAAACTATCAGCTGTAGTTGACTTGTTGATGTGTTGATATAAAGGCAACGTTTTTAATGCTGCCGAGAAGGATAATTTCTTATTGAGAGTAATATAAGATGCTTTTCTTTCCCAAAGCATTTGCTGACAATGGCGACGAAACTGTTTACAACGGCCTATAAATGGATTCCTTAATCACACGATCTTTAAATTTGATGATCTACCTTTCTCGACCTGGATAGCACCAACAATCGTGAATGGGTTTGGTAAAAGAGGCGTTTTAAACTTGGATAACGGGTTTATATAGGGCCAGGAAAAAATAATACTGCGTATCATAAAGTATAAACACCGGCGTAGCTTTTCTATATAAATAGCTTTTATTTCAAAAAAAAAATATAAACTTTATTTCTTTCTGGTTTACATGATTTTTCAAGTGTTACGCAGTGTAGGTTAAAACCGACTTGACATACTTTATTGTTGTATTTGCTTATACTCGAAGCACCTATTAGAACAGAACAAAGGATTAGCTGTACGTGACGAGTTCAAATTTGATTTTGATTGTTCGTATCGCCACACTCTACTGCGTATATATTTGGTCTGGCCATTGGCACTATGTCTTTCAATAAGAGACCTCTCGGTTTCATAGCGTCAGCGCCCAGATAACGTTTCATAGCTTCATGCCGAGGAACAAAACCAAATTTCATCCTTATATATGACTAAATCTGTTTAATTAATTTTTTTCTTTGTTTTGATGCCACTGTTCACTCTGTATTTCTTTCTTTTTCTCTAAGCTTCTCAATTGATCTTAACCTCAACATCCAGATTTCACTCTGGTTTAATAAATTTCTATTAAACAATAAAAAGGCATATGAGGATTATCCTGATTTACACAGACAAGCAGTTATTAAAATGGATTCTAATTCAGCAATCGTTGCCTAGCAAACAAGGAATCAGACAAAAAGACGTCGTATCCTCGACTGAAACCACATCGACGAATTCGCTAATCACACTTGGTAAAGAACAGCACCAGGAAACACTTATACCTTTGTAAGATATGATTTGCTTAAAGCTGTTCTCCTGTGAGCCTCGCATGTAATAACCAAATTGAACAATGGTTTTCGAGAACGCCCGAACATAGTCTCAAAGATCCTTTTTATCGTCAAAAAAAAAATAATATTGATAGACGTTATCTTTATCGAGTTTACACCCATTTTCAGGTAGCTTAAAATTTTGCCATGTTCGTTTTCTCCTCCAGTCCCTTAAAAACAGCGCCACAGCAAACTCAGCGACCTTTCTTTTCCTTCAATAACAAAAAAAATGTCAAGCGCAACAATCATCAAGACACTCATCGCTCAAAATGGTCCCATGACCACCAAGGCACTCGCTTCTTATATTCCCCAATTCGAAACGCAACTCATTTCCACCTCACACATCAAGAACCGTGTCCTCCCACAGTTACGAAACTCAGGCATTCTGACGAAAACAGTACATCGCGAGCCAAGTGCTCTAAGCAAGGGTGTTGCTAACAGCGAAAAGAGCAAGTCAGAGGTTTTCGTCTGGAAGTTTGTTGATCCAAGTCTCGAGACAAAGTACAAGAGCGTTCAATTGTAAATAATCAATAAAAAATTCATGCATAAACTATCATCACTGCTGTTACAACAACAATTACACATGTCATATATCATGTCAATTACTCTTTTTGTTATTGCTGTCCGCGCTATCCAAGCGACTGATAAGATCACCACCAAGCACATAAGCGATAATACTCGGGAAAACGATCCATGCGCCATTGGGAATCTAGCGATATCGTGTAATCAGCATTTTCTGGCTGCTGCGAAAAGATGAGAGCAAAGAGGGATAACTTACAATCCACAAAAAAATGTAATCAAAAGCAGCGTTATGTCCAGTGTGTCGCATTCCAGAAAAGAACTCGACAAGCCAGTAGAGTATAGTCTTGGCAATGGTCAATATAACAGCAGAGAATCCCACCAAAGAAGTGCGGCCAGGTTTTTGACTGTTGGATGATGCCATCCACAGATACAAAAGGTTCAATGCCGTTTCCACCAAATTCATCGTTGCTTTTTTAAACCAGTATGGCATTTTCTATTTAGCCACGAAATTATAGCTGAGCGCAATTTCTGACCAGTTCGTTACCTTGGGCGCCAGTAAAACCATCATTCTCCTGGATAGCTTCAATACCATAGAATGTATCGACCTACTGAGTAACTAACTTCAATGACCAGCCAAAGCAATAAAAATAAAATTATGCACGAATATTCGGTACCTTTCCATACAGGTTATAGGGACGCCACAATATATTCCACTTGCCACCTTCCATGCTATGAGGTCTTTTCACAAAAACGAGATTGGGCGAATGGTCAAACAAATCATTTCGTTCAAAAATTCAAAGATTTTCTTCAACGTTCTTTATAATCACCTCAACAAACAATAGCCGGCATCCTGATTTCCAGCAATGGGAGGAAAATAGCATTAGAACGTTGAAAGAATGAATAAAGTTACGTATTACTACTATACTTTCTTCGTACCCAAAGAACTAGAAGTGAGCTGATCAGGAACCAGGCCTTTATCCAAGTGGGTGATTGATTCTTCGTCATTGTTAATATGCAACTTGTCGCTCGCTCGTGTGAAGACACCCGAGAAAAAGTAGCTTTTCTCGTAGCACAACGTAAATTTAGGTGGGACGGGAAAAAGGCAACACCTGCTGCAGCACCGTATCTCACATTCACACACCTTCTTTTTGGGATATGTTCACATATACGCTCTTGTGATGTATCGTCATAAGAGCGTAGCGATACCATTATATTTATAGATGACTTATAATAGACCTTCTGTTTGATAAACAGACATAAAGCTTGTGCTGTATTATCGTGACGGCTTCACCCATATGTAATACCTTACATAAACAATACGACTCCAACAACATGCGTAGCACACAAACTACAGCATACCACACCAAATTTATGTATCACTGCGTACTGCGCAATATCCTGACATCCTATTAGACAAAACGCGCACGATATAGGCAACAAAATGTATTAAGTCTTTTATGATCGATTTATCATTTTCTCTCACCCGATTTTCCATTTCTTCTTCACCAATAGCCATGGCTGTTAGAAAAAACCGAAGTAAATCCCAGCATGAGCTTGTAAAGCTTGTACTTACATAGGGCTGACATGAGAAACAATCGGCTATGAAGATTTAATCGGTAAAGAAAAACGAAATGTCTCGGTCATACACGGTTAAATTTCTAGTATCAAGTAGGTGCTTATTGGCTGATGACCAATACAGCTCGTCGAATGCATTTTGTCAGCTTAAGCGCATGTTTGACTTCTTCGAAGCTAAATACAATCAAAGTCAACGTCCTACAGTAATTGATATTTTCCTTCACCAATAGTGCATAAGCGACTCGAGTTTGTTAATAATTCATATTAAGACCCTTTGCTGTCATTAGCATGGCAATTCTTCCGGTCATATGATGGTTGTAAGAATTCCGTATGTCCGGTTTTGATGCGATAAGCTGGTAGCAAAATGTATTTTTTTTTTCATGTCAGGATCCCTTACCAATTTGTTGAGCTGGATCGAGTTAAAAAAAGAAGATCTCAAGAAGATCTATTCGAGCGCGTTTATATTGTGCGTTTGAATACTTTTCTTCAAATGATCTTATTATTTCAAATGGAAATAGATGGGGGTTTATTAGGCTTTAATTTTTAGACAGCAGTCTTCTACATACATACAGTAGTAACCATGACAGATTTTCAAGCTACATATCTATCAGCTATATGTTGCTTGTTCCTTTGCGATCGATTTCTTGATCTCCCGCAACTCTTCAGTCCAATCCAGCATCCATAAGTGTGCAAAAAGAATTACGGCAACCACCAACTCAGATACTGTCAGGCCGACCCAAAGACCAAAGATGGACCATCCCAACGAAAAGGCAAAGTAATAACATAGAGGCAAACCAATGACGAAATAAGAAACGGATGACACAGCTACCTCTATTCGCTGACGACCTAGGCCGTCACAAATGCCCATGGCAAGATTGCTCCAAGGTATAACAATCAATTGCAATGCAACCACAGGTAGCACTTCAGTGACTGCTTTGGCAACGCTTTCGTCGTTGGTATAGAGAAATGGATAACTTGATTGAAAGATCACCAAGCAGATGGAAAGTGTCATTCCCAAAACAAACGCAATCAAAGTGAGGATGGTTATTGCCCGTTTTATATCGGTCAAAGATCCTTTGCCAATGAGATTACCGACCCGTGTTGTCGTTGCTTGCTTTAATCCACGGCCTATCGACGAGACGACTGTCTGAGATGTGCGCAGTAGAATAAAATGTGCAGCTAGATACGTTGCTGACCCGAAGCGAGATGCGGCAAGGGTACACAGTTGTGGGACACCCAGTTGAAACAAGGAAAGACAGATGGCTGGGATACAGAGTCGAATAATAGAGCCCCATCCGCGTAAGCACTGAATTGTCCATCCACCCCAGCCTTGGCTTCCAGCAATGAAGCACGTATAGATGATGATGATCACCAGTGCTGAAATGCCTGGTGCAGCATCAGCCAATGCAGCTCCAGCGACGCCCAGATGGAAAGGATTACCAGCTACCAAGATATTTTTGACAGCTACAGTGACGGGTAATGACATTGCTATGCAGAATGCGCCTACACGCATGATGCCCTGCGCTTGGAGGTACGAAGCAACCATATCATAAACTGTCCACGAAAGATCACCGGGTATAAAAAATATCAAATACATGCCTGTTTTCAATTATTACACCAAGAAATGCAAAGTTTATTCTAGCATTAGTACTTGTCATTTGTAGATGGCATTTTCCCATGCGAGCGCTACATGTTGCAGTTGCATTTAATATATACCTGCATAGTAGATGACATCCTCTTCCGTATCTCCGTTCCGCAACAACTGTAAGGCTACCACCCAGAAAATGCCAATGGGAATTAAGACGACAGCATATATTGCGAGTCCGCGTTGAAGATGTAGTCCGATCAGGGTCTTGTCTTTGGCCCCTGTCCATGATTGTCCACAGAGTGTATCCAAGGCAGACATCATACCGTAGGCAAAACTTAAGGAGGAGCAAGTGTCAAGCATCTGAGCAAGAGACATGCCAGCAAGTTCGTGTGCACCCTTTTGTTTAATGTGACACATTAGTGGTGATCGTCTTTTCTGAGCTGAGTGATTCATGCCCATCATCATACATATATTATCCAAAGAAAATAACTATGGCAGGAAAAAAAAGAGCTCAACTGATATGTACCAAATGTCCCACAACAGAAACCACTACCAAACGCGAGAGTAAACCGATGAATTTACAACCGACTAATGCTATCAAACTCGATAGCAGCCAGTAAAAATGAGCCGAGTACGATTCAGGTTTTGGCTGAAGCTGGTCTTTGTGGATATCACCCAACAATGCAACTGCTTCGTCGTCATCGTCATTATTACTGCACCATGAATAGATTCTTGTTGATGAAAATTTCGACGCTTCTGACTCGGTCATTACTATTATTTTATGGATATATATATATATATATATATTTTATCGAATATGAAAAGAGAAGGAACAAAGAAAAGAAAATGAAAATGAAAAGGGGAAGAATGGCACTTTAAGCATACATTAGAGCACCGGTCCCTGGATTGATCTGCTGAATATAAAATTCGAAGGGTGTGGATCAATAGGTCAGGCGGACATCCAGTGACGGCAGGCGACGGCGACGACGGTAACGGAGAGATGGCCAGATAATCCGAAATTGTTGTGTACCTATAGCTTGCAACTGGTACGGTTCGCTCACGTAGGGCTGTTTACGGGGGGCATCTTGCGTCATTGGACAGAAGGCTCCTATTTAACACTACCACATATAATGACTATTAGAATTAGAGACAGACTGACACTGTTTATGTGTAATCAATTCGAATGTTTTCTTTATCTTGACAGTTAATATTATTCGCATCCACACAACAAATATGCACATTTGTCTAATGCTTATGTTTACTTGTTTGCATTGCGCAGCATCCATCATTTTAAGCATGTGAGTTCGCTGCCAGGAGCTGGGAAGGGGGGTTTGGTTTGATCTACTGCAGCACAAATAGTTAGCCCCTGCACCGAAACTTTCATAGCTATATCATACGGCCGCAAAACTGTATTAGCGCAACTCTGTTGTTCCCGTTTGCTCACTCGAGGGACGGAGTCAATAGACCACAAACACCCTTATAAAAAAATTGCATCGACACAGCCTCAGAAAGAAAGCTGAGAAAATTGAACCTTTCTATCAAATGGTAATCCTCTGAAACTACAGAGGCTTCATACAACCAAGTACCAGCCGATTCAAAAGTAGCTCTGATTGCAAAAAATGTAAGTGCTGTCCTTGCCACTGATGATGTGCAAATAGTAGTCCACCTGTTTAAAAAAAATAGTGCTGGTCATTGCTGCTGCTGACTAGACGATGAAAGTGAAGGCGGAGCTACCAGCTTGGAACATGGATTGTTCAAATGCATGTAGACACATCAAACGGAAGTTGACGCCAGATATATGGCAAACGCATCGAGTAGCTCATTCCTTTGAGATTATAGTATATTCGGAAACATGATTCCAAACGCAAAACCTGGTAAGACTGTGTATTGCTTTGTTTTTATAAAGAAAGTTTGGGTTATTTTTTCAAAAGGCTTAATACACGTATTTAGGACATAGCATCGGTTACAAGTACCGTAATGCTGGAAGAATTTGTTGACGCAGTAAAATGGAAAGAAAGATGGGCTAGTGTGATCCAGATTTGTGATTATCAAGTAGGTAGTGATAAATCTGATTTTTTATTTAAAGTGCTGCGGAAGGTGCCGATCTTTTGTCTCATTATAATCAACCTTCGTAGATTACAGCGCTAGTGACAGCTATTACCCATGTTGTACACACACATCCACAATTAATCGCTCGTCTAGCGGTGCATATCATACGGATCGATGTCCGGCTACTAAATGAGTACCATCGGTGCAATATTCGACATGGTGGTTATGTCAATTTCACTAATAGTTAACAGCCCGTTTTCTGCTATTAAACTTTCCTACATAGTAAGCGGTGTGGCACTCCATAGTCTCCGTAGTACTGTTTTTCGAAATACGACAGTTGCCGTAGAGGAATCCGAAGATGTGGTGGTAATAGCTCTTCTAGCCGCGCTTTATTCTCAGCAATTATATATAAAAAGTTTTTTCCTCTATTCTGATACAATCTAGTTCTTTCTAAGCTAAGTTAAACAATTTTTTCGTGTTTGTAATTAAGGGAAGGGCCAAGCAAGACGTTGGTACCATGGGCGGGCACCCACCACATCTTCGGATTCCTCTACGGCAACTGTCGTATTGGTCTTCGTCCCTAACCCAATCCTTGTTGCCTCCGCTTCATCCTCTGATGTGGTGGTATTGTTGTCCGTACGCGAAAAAATGCTTGTTGTAATCTGTCTACCGCGATCATGTTGATTTCGAGGACGATAATAGTAAGATTCGAAAGTTGAACTGCGTGTGCTCCAATGCCCATGTTCCTTGACGAGTTCCACTGGAATTCCTCGTTCGACCGCTTTTGTGCTAGCTGCCGATCTGGTTGAATGGGCCTTGAAGATAGACGTATCCACGCCGGACTCGCGCATTATCTCCTTCACCCAATTGGCTACTGTTATTGGACTAATCGATCGTGGTGTTTTTTGAATATTCGCTAAGAACAATGTGTGATCTACGGGCAGCTTGTCGCGGAGTGTTATCGATTTTTGGAGCCACATTTCTAACGTCTTCACTGGGCACATCTCTTGATCGTCAATTGTTCCCAACCGAGACACCTTGCTTTGCGATTCCTTCGGTTCCCAGACTATTAATGTAACGCCCGTGCATCGAACACCCTCGTAGTGTAACGTAACGTCTTTCTTCTTGAGTCTTCCTATGTCCGATCTTGTACGCCAAAGAGTCGCCAAACAAAGTAACATTATCGATTTCCTTTGTAGTTTATCCAGTGGTAATACTGCAGATGGTCCCCATGACCGCAATTTGTCCAGTACCAACTGAATATCCCAAATCTCTTGACTAACATTTGGTTGCTTATACGTGGCTCGTTTCTTACTGGCAAAAAACTGCTTGATAAGCTGATGTTCTGCAATGGGTGGTTTCCATGGGTGTGTCGCCTTGTAGACCGACGCAACTGCTGACCTTATGCCATTAAGGTAGTCATAAGACAGACTTTCATGTTCTACTAGAAATTCGGACAATGCTTTCGGATTATAACCTTCTGGATCTATGGGCGGTTCTTGGCAGGTACACCATCTTGCATATCGTAGCCAATAACGATTGTAAGCACGCCTTGTTGAACTACGAGTCGCCCTCGCCAAATACTCAGCTGTCTTCAAATTCACGCCTTGTGCCTTCCACGCACGCGCCATAATCTCCATGCGGTCAGCGTTATATTCTTGTTGATCTGGAAGAGTATCGGCGGTTCTCGTGTGTGTTGTAGGATCATCGGCCACCAATACTGTGTCTGCCACATCGGTGTCACTAGTACTGCTTGATATACCCGATCCTTCTTGAACTTGTGTATAACCTTGGGGATCAGTCGCCAAGGTGGATGTAAATATAGACCCTTGCTGGGCCATCGTTGTTGGAAGGCATCTATCGCCATTGCCTTCCCGTCTGGATGGAGTGTCCAATAATTCGCTAGTCTGTGGTTGTGCCACGCCGCGAAGGCATCTATCTTGAGAGGTCCCCACTGCCGCTGAATCTGGTTGAACTTCATCCGTGATAATGTCCATTCGTATATTGGCTTGGACCTTCTGCTTAAACGATCCGCTGTCGCGTTCTTGACTCCGGGTACATGAAAATACTTGACTGTCAGGTTGTGACGGATACATAAGTCTTGGATTTGTAATGCTAGCTGTTGTAGTTTTTCTGACGCTGTGCCTCCCTGTTTGCTTGCATATTTTAAAGCTGTGATGTTGTCTGTGTGTATATGCAATGTCTTGTCCATGCAAGTCTTGGCATGTATTTCTAGTGCAATCTTGATGACCGACAATTCTCTTACGTTTATTGATTCCGCTTGGTCTGCTGTCCGCCAATACCCCGCATATTCTCCTAGTTCGGATGCCACGCCCCAGCCAGATAGTGATGCGTCGACATGTATTGTTGCGTCTGGAGGTCGCTCGGGTGCTCTCCGAATTGGTAATCCATTCCGGCTTTCTGCTATGTTTTGCCACCAGGTTAGATCCTCCTTGGCTAACCGTGACAACGGACATGCTGCTTCCCAGTTCTGCCTGCTCTTGTGTAGAATCTTTGTCAAATCTCGCTGAATATGGCGGATATGTAATAGTGCGTCGCCTATCGCTGGAAGCATCGCTGTCATCTTTCCTAGCATGCCTGCCACCCAGCGGCAGGAGAATGTCTGATCTTGAACTTGTTTGATGCGTTTCATCAGTTTTTTCATCTTGTCTTGTGGTACCTTGATGATGCCTGTAGTGGTGTTGAACTGGAAACCCAAGAATTCTTGGACCGTCTTGGGTTTGATGTCGCTCTTCTTCCAATTGATAATAAAACCCAGCTTCGTCAAATGCTCCGTTAATCTGTCGGTGTGTTCTTGCATCTCCTTGACTGACTTGGCTAATATAGCACAATCGTCTAAGTAATAGACACATCGCATCCCTTCTCGTCTCAATGGTTCGATGGCGTAACGAAACATTTTCGAGAATACTCTGGGTGAGATTGCGGCACCAAATGGCAAAGATGCGTATTGATAGATCAAGTTGTTGTGCTCGAAAGACAAGTACTTCCGGGACTCTGAATGGATCGGCACCACTGTATATGCGTCTTTCAAATCGATCTTGCATATCAAATCGTTGTCCTCTATCAAATCGCGTAACGCTGGTATTCCTTCCATTTTGAAATGTTGTACTTGTAAAAACTGATTGATCTTCTGACAATTCAATATTGGGCGGACCTTTGACGGTTCTTGGATCGTGAAAAACGTTGATAAAAACCCCCGCTCTTGTGACGGTGAGACCTCGATCACCTTTGCTTGTAGAAACCGACGTACTGCTTGATCCACTAACATGTGATCCTGGCTCGTCCTGCAGCTCTGCCTCGTGTACCATGGCGTTGGTAATTTGTTGAATTGTAGTCTGTAACCCTCCTGAACTACAGATATTGGCCATGTATGGTGTGTCGTTTGTCGCCAATAGTTCACAAAATGACCTAACCGGCCCCCAAGTGCTATGCCATCCTCCGGATTGGTGTAGTGTGGCTGGTCTGCTATCGGTTTGCAAATTTGTTTTAATTTTGTTCGGCGCTGGATGTCGAGTTGGTCGGAACCATTGTTTGGCCCCGGCCCCTGCCAAAAAAAGTTTTTTGTCTGAAAGTGGAGCCGTTGTTGAAACCGCCTCTGAAGGAACTACCTCGACCTCGGAATCCTCCATTATGATATCCTCCTCGTCTTGGATTAAGGGCTGCTTGTATAACTCTTTGCTCATATCTTGCTTTCTCAATTCTTTGGACCATTGTCGAATCGAATGCCAAATCTTTGGTGGTGTCTTCTTCTTCTTCGATATATCTAACATTGGCTGGTAGCCTGAGTGCTTTCGATATTGTTGTTCTTGCTTCTTGTTCTTGCTGCTTGCTAGTGGCAAATCCATAAATGGCGAGTCTTCTTGCTTTTTCCATAATGGTTTGGAGATCTCGTTCATCATCCGTGCTGCCGCCTCGTTCGATGATGTGCTGGATGCCTTGAAAAAGTTCTGTTGATGCCCTCGCTGTGTTTCTGGTCCGTTCTGCATCTTTATATTTGCCTTGAACGGCCGTATAGGCTTCCACTGTCTTCCTCTTGAGCTCGCCGATAAACTGTTTGTTGACTGCGCCTGGTCTTGTCCACGAGTCCCCGTGATACTTGACGAGATCGCGTCTAAATATCTTGAAGCTTTCTTCGAGTTCAGCGAGGGAAGATGCTTCCAAATCTTGCCAGATTTCTGGTGGCAATTCCGGGTGATCGAACTTGTCTTGTTCCTTTCTATCTCTTTCATCCAGTCTTGTTTGTAGTCTGGTGGCCAATTCCTCCAATTGTTGGATCCTTTGTGTGTATTCATTTTCCTCTTGGTTGTTACTCATTTACCACGACTGCGCGGCTTAGAAAGAACTAGATTGTATCAGAATAGAGGAAAAAACTTTTTATATATAATTGCTGAGAATAAAGCGCGGCTAGAAGAGCTATTACCACCACATCAGAGGATGAAGCGGAGGCAACAAGGATTGGGTTAGGGACGAAGACCAATCTAATGTTTTTCCTCTCGGATACGTATTTTACCGACAAAAGTCTACGGGATTTTTCAGCGGCTCCAATAGCACATTTGATCGGGGTATAATCTGTGTAACAATTAGAGAAACGCATGTGAAGAATAGGTACCACGAACACGTAACCATGGAAACCTGTCAACTGACTGAGCTGGTTTGTGTGGCTTCAAATATGTAGAATCCGCTTTGCGCATCCCTGTATGCAGCCTTGCATATCGACAAGAGCGAGAATAGCAAAAAACCACTGGTGTGCTGGAGTATGCGTGTGTTACGAGATGTTTATACAAACGAAAACAGGCATTTTATTTTCTAGTCAGACAAACGTGTGGAGTTTTACAAATAAAGCAAATAGTATAACAGAGCGTGTAATAAAGTTGTTATTGTTGTTGCGGGAATGGTGTTGGTAATGTAGTGATGAGTGGAATGGAGAAGAACTGAAAGTGACGTAGGAGAAAAATTTACAACTTGGCAGTAGGGTTGACCGACTTGAAGACATTGTCCAACTTCATAGCAAGCATAATCTGGCCCTTAATCTTGAGTTTGCCGCTCATGTAGGCCTTTTGACCTGTATGACCCATATCGAATACAGCAGAGTTCAGTATATAGGCGTTCGCTCGTATTGTCTCGAACCACAACCTTCTTTTTCTCTTTGTGAGGTCCCCTACTCTTTGTATACACTACGTACCGTTGAGCTTGCCAGTGGCCAAGGCAACAAAGTCATCGTCCTTCAAGGACAAGATAGCATCAGCCTTCTGGGGACCCTTGCCGCGCATGACCTTGCCCTCCTTCTTGACATCGACAGTGAAGATTTCCTCCTTACCGTCCTTGCCCTTGATGACGAACTGGAAAACACCGTTGACCTAGAATGGTGGTTGTCAGTGTAACCCAAGTCTGGCTGTCATGAACCTTATATGAAACAATTCATTACCTGCTTGATCAACTTGGCGCGCTCCTCAGGAGAGAACTGCTCGAAAGCCTTGCTCAATTCGGCAATGAGTTCAGAGGACTTGAGACCGGGGACGATGATATCACTCATTTTACGTGTGTGTGTTTGTATGAAAAGAAAAGAAAGAATATTTAATTTCCAACTGAGCTCGGCAAACCTTTAAATAAGAAACCGGAGATTTGGGCTAATTCCCAAAAGGTTCGATTTCTGGATGACATGCAAGCCGTATTACCTGCGAAAACGCTTATTCCAAAAAGGGCACAAATGCTATTACGCTCTGCTTTCTCGACCCCACTCACTTGCACGTATTAATAAGAAATACACACCGACTGTTTTATTGTTACTAATGGCTTTTCTTTCTTTCAGGAATACCGTGTCTTGCCTTAGTTTTTCAGAAGATTTGATATAATGCAACCTCGATGTCTTTCGCTTTGTTCGAACCCCATTATCTTCAAAGTTATGTTGATATGACAGAAACACCGCCAATATTTCGGAACTATTGGGGATCGGCTCATACACATCATATTAACTCTTTACAGCATAAGAAATTCTTGTTTGAATCGTTGTTGTTGCTGATTTATGAATACAAGCATTTCTTAAACGAACGAAAAAATAATGTTTGAGCCTGACATCATAACACAGCAGCTCTGTCTTAAGAGCGATACATACCACCATGGCAAATGCACGCTATGGTAACACATGCGATTTTCAAACTTATTTGGGGAAACCAATGAAGTAAGTCGGTATAGTATATGTTCTGCTTCAACTTACTCTTACTGCTACCATTGCTTCGTATGCGTCCGGAAGCACATTGAAATTGTGTCGTGACTGTGGTAGGTAAAAAATGCAACGGGGAATGAGACGATATGTCGCTTGCTATACGAGATCCATGACAAAAACTGTACACTTGAAGCCTAGTTTATCTCGAGTCAGAAAATTGTTTCGATCTCACATACATTTATGATTTAATGCTACATCACATAGCTTCCACTAAGATGCCAGTAGCAAAAATTTCGTCGTCATCGAATCCTTCTTCAATAAAATTGTCAATGCTATCTTTCATTTCATTTGCCATTTTAATGAAGTCAGGTCTGCTACCGTCAGCAACCTTGGACGGCGCCTTGATTTCAACAATCACCAATGTTTGCTCGGGCATACCCGCAAATTCGAAGACCATCGACAAATCCGCAAAGCGTCCTACTTTACCCCTTCTTGCTTTCGAGCCGGTAACTTGGCCATCAGTGCTTTACATGCAGCAAATTTGTTAGTTTACAGCGAAATTTGCAATATAACTTCATATATAGACAAATACTTTACCCTTTTCGCGTAATCAAATCAGTTTCTTTAAAAAACGGCAGAAGAACGGGATCGATAGCATCGAGTGTGAACGAGCTTTCCATTTTTATAGCTTTTTCGGACGCATCGGGTGAGTGGGTATCAATACTATATGATAAAGTCGGTTAATGAATCAGTCAAGAAAACAACAATACACTAGTACGTTTGATATCGATATAATAATACTTACAGACTTCGTAATGAACACTCAATTCTTTCATTATATCCGAACAAATCGTCGGGAAGCTGCTTAATAATTGGCTTGCATTTTGTAAAGTCTTTTCTTGCAGCCTATAAAAGTAATGTTTGTTTGTTTGTAACTACTCACTGACAGGCTTTGTATAACATAACAAAAAAAAAAGAATTGCTACCTTTGCGAATTGGTGAATGCAAGTGATGGTGCCCATCGGTAAATCTTTGATATGATACTGTTCATCACATTCTTCAACCATCTCGTTCCACACATCTTCGTCAAATCCATAAATCAAACGTGCATTCGATGCACAGTTGATGCTGTCGATTAAAAAAATACAATTCAAAGATCTATTAAGCATTTAAATATATGTGATTCCAAAATTAATTAACTTATCTTTTCCGAATTTGACCACGAAGGTATATATAATTGTTTCATCGATTCTAGTTACTACCACTTACAATTCTTCATGAATTGATGCTAATTTGCCGTCGTTACTCGCTTTGTCAATGGATTCTTGTCTGTATCCAATAAGATGTTCGGTGATCGGTACTCCTTTGATGACCCACTATATATGATTGTTAATATAAATTAACGACAGCATGAGTGCCTAAAACGTTCCAGTGGATCAACGTTCAGCCTGTTACCTTTTCGGTGTCGCTGCAAAGAGTGACAGTAGGTGATTTGTTGTTGGTAAGGTAATCAACGATCTTTTTTCTCTATTGAAAAGAATAAAAATGGTTAAAGACGCATTTTTTAGAACACAAGATTGCTGACTTGTTTTTTTAATTTGATATACTAACCCTTTTAGTAGTAGTGGTGGTGGCGGCGGTGCTGCTGTGGGAACAGGGCCTGAGCGTTTCCCCTCGATTTCAGAGCGCGAGCTGCTTGCGCTTGCGGTTGCACTTTCTCTACTTCGTTTCACGGCAATGACAGTCTAAGAAAAAGGAAACATCAATAACAACCAAATAAATAGAACATAACCTCCAGTTTTGAGTGTTTATACCTTTCCTTTTTCTTTTTCTTTGATCTAGTTTAGTTTAGGTGGATGACAAAACGTTAGTATAAACTAGCTAGGCTTTTTACACCCTCTCATGCAATATCATGATTTACCGTTCTCAACAACTCATACCAGTCTGGTTGAGCTTTGCTGAAATTCTATGTGTATAGTTTGGTTAAAAATCACTAATAATATCTCTCAAGTATATAAGAAAAGGCTCTTACCTGTATGTTGTTGCTCGTAACGTATTTATTAAAAATCATGAGCCAACTTGATTTGATATCTTCGATGTCTTTGCTAAGGTGCGCAGCACTGTCAAAATCGTATTGAAAAAACGCTTTCAGAGAGATCGCTCCTTCTTCTTGACTGGCATATTTTGAGAAGCCTAAAGAAAAAAGGGTACTGTTTAGGTTACTTAGCAACTAATTGTTATGTTGACTTTACATTTTTCGCGCTCATTTTTGTTGGCCATAATGTCGCAATTGAAGTGAATGGTTGCTACGAAACCCACAACAAATGCTTGGTAACCGTGCTTCGGCTTTGCTGTTATACCTTTCGACGATGCGCTGCTTCTATTATATGAACTTTATCAGAAAGAAAGGAACTTCTCGAATCTGTTATATGCATTTTAATGTGCAAAAGACTACCTTGTCATCATCGGCCTCGCCACTTTTTGGTGGCCCTCTCTCGATAAAGGCCACAGCCGCTGCATATCTCGCGATTTGCGCGCTGATAATCTCCCAACGACCTTGACAACTTTCGGGAGTGCGGTTCTTGTCGTTACCACCTTTTTCAAACTCTTCAAAAACGCGTTGCCAAAACGTTTTCGAATCTTGGTTGATGCCAACCTTTTCATCTTTGTTGATTAGAAGGTAGGCTTGGACCAAGAGCTGATCCTCGTCATTGCGCCACCAAGCACCTTTCGTCTTCTTTTGGTCGGCAGTTGCGACAGAGGAGGCAGCGGTAGCGTTTCGGCTTGAGGGGAGGGTGGTTTCGGGGGCAGAAGTGACCGTAGTCGTAGAAGTGGGAATGCTGTTGTTGGTGTTCATGTTAAAAAGTTTGTTTCAAAAGAGAAGGGGGTTTTTACAGGAGCTCAGACAGGACCTGTTACTTTACAGGTTTTGGAGAATAATTTACAGATTCTCATTTTTACAGATAATTTTACAGGGACCGGTGCGAAGACAAAAATGTAAAATGACTTGTAAATCGGGTTTACAGGAAACCCAACTCCAGGCTTTTGAGACGTTCTATTCGGAGTATAAAATTGACTTCAAGCGTCCCACTAAAAATCGTGTACTCCCCTATCGTGTACCTGTGATACACGATTATACCAAAAACAGCATTTTGTGTGATGGTGTAGCAGCAGTTACTACAAGATTTCCACAGACCATCATTTTGTAAAGACCAACAATTCGCTAGATTACAATAAGAAGGATTATTACACAGGGGAAAAGCATAAAGTACATGTAAGGAATAAAACTACAGGTGGCTCTTGGCGATGTTGCTATTCCACCACGATTGACGACTAGGATGCTCGACAAGAAATTCGGGAGGGAACCAATCATCCAGATCTTGGCCGGTCAAAAGCTGTGCTATTGCCCGACCACACAAGAAAGTACGGGGCATACCTATTTTCAATACAAACCACGTTATTAGCTCTTATTGAATCACTATGTATTTTTTAAGAGAGTAATCGATATATTTTTACCATGGCCTGTGAAACCAGCCGCCACGTATTGGCCCTTATTCTTGGACGATCCAGTAATATGTTCTACGCTCCCAAGGAGAGGCATGCGGTCCTTTGTGAAACCCATCACTTCAAGGTATGTCGGCCATATTAGCAAGCTGCTGTTCAGACAAATTATGAGAAAAAAAAAGTGGATACTTTACCACCAGCCCATTCGCGTTCGACAGAAGGCACATTGACAACATCGGCCATGAATTTCCGCAAGGCTTGTGATACTGCCGTGTTCAAAGTCGAGTCGTCGTCTTCATACTCTTGTTTGCCAGGGACGACATTGCGCATCCCGCCGAAGATGATATCACCGTTGGGACGACACGACAAGTACTGATATCCTCGATCCGCACTTAACACATACTCAAGTCGTGGTGCACCAGCAGGAGAGCGGACACTCACCACTTGGTTGCGCACAGGGACAAGAACATTCCGCACAGGCTCGAGCAAGCGAGCTGTCCAGGCATTCGTACAATAGGCCACCCGAGGTGCTTCGATGATGCCTTTGTCCGTATAAATTGCGTTGACGCTACGCTTCTCATCCCAGACAACATTGTCGACCTTTGTATGCGTTGCAAAGCGAACGCCTTGTTTCGCGACATAACGTGCAAGACAAAAGACAATCTTTGCAGCCCAGGCAATGGCCGTCGTCTTGATATGCAAGCCACCGTACTGGAACGATTCGAAACCTGGAATCTGCTTGAGTTCTTCTGGGCTAATGATCCGCATATCTTTGACTCGCTTGCACAAGCTTTCTGCAGCAGGTCGTCCTTCTTCGGCTTCTTGGATCGTCGACCACGCTATAATGGTTCCCTTTGTGAAAGTCAGTTCGGGATCAAAAAATCCCTTATCCTGATCTGCATTCTCTTTCAGGAACTGGGTAAGCATATCCACGTTGCGATAGTCAAAATCGATCAATTGCTGCGCAGCTTCAGCGCCATAGACAGCTACGGTTTCATCAAAATCGTCGTTCAATCCTGGAGACATGATACCACCTATCATACGAATTTTTATGTATCAGATAATATGTCATCGTCGCTACTCCCCCTAATTTGCAACAAAATAAGCGCTCAGTGATGGTGTTACCATTGCGTCCAGTTGCGCCGCTTGCCACTCCACGTGCATCAGCCACAACTACCTTGAGATTTGGCTGCATCTGCATAAGCCAGTATGCAGTCGACATGCCGGTTAGACCCGCTTTTTGTCAACCATGTAAATAAGCGTACATAAATTGATGTCAGCCCTATATCACTACTGCGTTGTTGTAAAACATGTCTTTTCTCTTTCTACCTCCGATAATGACAATGTCGGCCTCGGATGGCAATGGATCTTTAGATGGCGTTTGAAATGGCGCATTGTTCAACCAGTACGATTGAGTGCTTATGGGATTCAAGTGCATGGTTTATTTTTAACCGTAAACTGTGAGAAGAAACAAGCAAAAAACTCTTTCTAGGCACTGATATTTCATTCGGAGATCCCGTCCTTTCGGCTGCTGTTTCTTCAAGGGTAAATATATATTTCATTGTGGTGTACGATGAAGCCCGAGGAGCTAGGGCACATGGTAAACTTTATTGATTGTTTTTGTTGTCTATATGTTACAAAATAGATACATGTGCAAATTATGCTGCATTGGGTTTGTACTGAACATCAACTTCATCGGGTTTTGAGCCAGCGCCAGCGCCAGCAACAACCGGAGCCATTGCTGCCGCCGCTACGGGTGGTGCAGATGCTGCAGCCGCTGCCATATAGCCAGGATCCTGTGCCTGGACATAGGGATAGTACTCTTGTTGTTGTGGGTGATCGGAATAGGTATAAGGAGTGTCGTTGTATGTGACGACAGAAGTCAAGTCGGTATAACCACCACCAACACCATCAGTGCCCGCAGAAGAGGTGGGTGGAATGAAAGGTCGAGCTTGCTGTTGGTTTAAATGCGAGGCAGCGATAGGCGCAGGTGCTGCATAGGAGGCATCAGACATGTCCATAAAGTCATCCGGCTGATGGTGTTGTTGGAACCCGTCTCGTCGGCTACGACCTGTGCGTTTTGTGCATCCACCGCGTCGACTGATCCACATGATAATTCCGCCAATCAAAGCGATACCAACTATGTGATTATGTCATAACGTTACGCATAAGTGATTGCCCTAATTTAAACACGGAAAGAAAAATGTTACTAAATATAAAAAGACTTACCAACACCACCGACGACTGAGCCAGCAACCGTGGCAGTATCGACACCACCGCCGTCGTTGTTGCTGTTATCGCTGCTGCCACCATGCGTGTCCGAAGATGATCCAGAATCGTTGGAGGAAGTGCCACCGGATGAAGAGCCATCGCTGTTATTGTTATTACCATTGTTATTGCTGTCACCGCTACCGCTGTTGCTGTTACTATTGTTTCCACTGCTCGAGGAACCGTTCTGATTGTTGTTGTCATTGCTATTGTTGCTGTCCGAAGATGATGTGGGTGTTGCTTGGTTATTGTTGCTGTTGTTGTTGTTGTTGTTATCATTGTTGTTATTGTTATTATTGTTATTATCGGAGGAAGAGGATGACTCGGTTGGCGCTGCTGCGTCGCTATTGTTATTGTTATCGCCACCAGAGCTGGATTCTGCTGGGGCTGCAGCACTTTCGCTAGGTTGCGACGAATTTTCAGTATTTGATGGCTGCTGTTCTTCTTGCGTAGCTGATGCGCCGCCACTGTCGCCACCAGCACTGCTTTCGCTGCTGTCGCCTCCTAGAAGACCACCGTCGCCACCCAGTAGCTGGCCTGTGACTATGGCGGATATCTGTAAAAGGACAAGTGCAAATAACAAGCATGCTGACGTTGAAAACTTCATCGTTTGTGAATGTATGCAAAAAAAGATAAAAGAGGGGAAAGGGGGATGATACAAGTTAAATATGAGAAAAAAAGACAGAAAAAGAGCAAGTAATTGAAAGGAAGTTCCAGAGGGGTCCTCTCGCTCTCTTTCTTTTCTGCACTTTTTGTTATAGAATCTTTTTTAGACAATCCCAATTTTCGAGCCATAATTATAGTCATCATCATTGAATCGGCGATGTTGCACAGGGGCGCCTCTTGTTCTTTTCTTGGCTCATCTCCCACTCTGCCTCCCTTAGTGGCTGCCATTTTCCATAGAAAGCGATCTGGCCCTATAAAACATCAAACATGGTAGCCAGAGAAACAGCAGAACCGGAGATCCCACGTTTGATTTAGGTTTCTTTTATTTCCATACTTTATAACTGGTCGATCTTTTGAAAATAAGACTTTTTCTAACCCGATTGGGGGCGAGTCGGAGAGTCCAGACCCACACATCAAATTGAATACCCGATCTAGTTTCTGGAGTAGTAATAGTGAAACAACGGTGCTACAGCGGCACAACGTAATTGACATCCACACAGAACCGTTCCTATTCAGAGATCACCGAGTATTATTTTAGAAGCGCACAGACAGTTTGGTCAAGAACTTCAGGGAAGCGATAGTCACTCTTAAAAGAAGTGTGTTTTTGTTGAAGAAAGCGGCTTCGTACAGAATATCGCTCATCCGGTAGGTTGATCGAAAGTAGGAATTGCCATTAAACATGAGGCTCCCGCTGATCGTGGTATCAATCCACGCAGCATTCAGTGCTGTGTTCCAAAGGCACACTAGAACTTTTTTCTCAGCAATTCATGCACACGACGTCACGTAAATAGTCCAGCAATATGTTGTCCAGCAAGCTCTCAATTCCCTTTACTAGATAAGCAGTTAGAAAAGCACAAATCATACTTAACATTCAAGAAGCACGATCATATTAGTATCAGCAACAATGGACTAAAGCATGTCATTTAGTCTCAATCTTTGTTATACACCACGTTGTCGACGTCTCTCTTCAATTTCATGTAATCATTATCACAATCATGAGTAATATGATCCCTTTGGATTTTGCGATCGAAAAAACTCTGTTTTAATTCTCGTTCTCGGGTCGATTCGGTTCTGGCAGAGAACCAAAACCTAACCGACCCATGAGAATCCCTACCTTAATATCGACATTGATGTTTTTGGCTGTTTCTCGGTCATGGACGTCTCACAACAACTAATCAAGCCATTTAATGTAAAATTCTTAGCCTGTCAGTGCTAATAACAACCGTGGTCTTCCTCGTAGTACAAAAACGATCCCAACTTCTGTTGTTTGTAAATTATGGAGCGAATAACATGTGTTCGCGATTAACAATGCATTTTTCCACAAAATAAAAGACTAGTCCTTGATGTTATCGGGAACAATGGTCGTATACTCTTAGTTTTTACCTCCGTATCCTTTCCATGAACTTATAAGAAGTTTTGGGTTAGAGTTAAGGCACATTTCGAAAAAAAAAACTACGATAACCTGGCGACGGGCATTCGAAGCTGTAGCCAAGAGTGTCGAGGATGGAATCGACACTTTGAGTCGATTGGGTAAATGCATAGGTATACCTAAAGAGAGTCTTGTACAAAGCCTCCTTTCATCATCGCTAACTTAGTACAAAGTGGGTAATATACAGTAGCGAGTCCGCTACAGATGCTGCTGGAAGCTGGATTTGAACACATTTACTGAAGAACCAGCACAGGCTACAAATGCATATACAACTCAATCACAACCCACCAAATGATAGTTTTTTGTAATTCGAACATTTCAGGCTTTTGTAAACACTTCATGGAACCAATACCGTCAAGGTTTGCAGAAGAATCTATTAATATGGAAGGACGCTTTTCATACTACCATATGTTGTCTATACGTTTGGTACACCCATAATAACCATTTCTCGTGAATGATTTCACTTTACTTCAAGAGGATTATGAATTCTATATTTGCATCCCACACATTGTGACTGTAATTGTGCATCATACTATCATATATTTTTTAGCTTATCGTTGTTTAGCTTCAACTTCACCAATGTCATTCCACACAGTCAAAAAGTGACGCTTGCAGCGAATAACAAACCGAAACTTTAAAATGCGTGTTTTGACTCCATCTTCCATCTATATAAGACAAAAACATATCCGCTTCATTGCCCCTACCGAGAATTTTTCTGTTTATTAATGAAGAGTGATGATAGCAAGACTTACTGATCGTATATATTTAATTGTGAAACCTGCTTATGTGCTCTTTTGATTTGACTACAATGTATATCCACGTTCTATGCCGCTACAGTTCTCCTTATCAGCAGTAGACCATCATTACTGTAGCAACAGGTACAACAGTAAAGCAGCAGTAGTGTCGGCCTCAGATTTATATTCTTCCGCATTTGGGGTTCGGCAAATCAAATGTTGGCGCAAGGATCATCGCCTGCCTGGTCAGCGCAATTATCAAAACCCAAAACTCCAGTGTCTGTGCTTTTGTTTATATGCGCTGCCAAATCCCTGGCGAGATAAACAATGCCGCATCACATGTCGCAAGCTTTCTCCAAAGCTGCTTAATAGACATGCGACGGAAGAAGTTGAACTTTGTAAATAAGGGGTCATCTGTAACCATGGTAGCTGTTATTGCTAGGCAATCAGTGTGGTTCCAAGCAGCACTTCCCGATATGCTACACAAGTCAGAAGGTGAAATTATTCAAAGGGCTGAAAAAAGTAGCGAGAGTAACCTCTTACTCATCATTGTCTAGCGCGTTCTCTTCTTGAGGGCTCTAATATACATCATGGTCATTAATCACTGAGTGCACGCTCTCCTTAAAAAGTTCAGATCAGTTACTTGCATATTAAAAGAAGAGCTTTTTTCATATAAATGAGCAGCAAGAGTCGGACTCTCTCCACACAACACCACAGCGTGCGTTTTTCACGAGCAATTGTACAACCATGATTTGAGCCAGTGCAACAAAAGGTATCGACGCTAATAATAAGAAATCATCCCTTACTTCTTCTTCTCTTCCTATATCTTCTTGCTTTATTCCCTTCCTTTTCATAGCCCATAGCCCGTCCTCTTTCTACAAAAATAATGACGCGCTTATGGAGCAAACCACTATTTCTCGCCATTACGCTCCTTCTTCCATCCACTCTGTTTGCACAGCAAGAATGCAACTCCGGTCCTAACGGCCGAACAGGTTTCACACCTGTTTTATTAAACGATCATATATACCTTGCTGGTGGCAGCGAAGTATGTTTTCCCTTTTTCAACAACAACAACAACAGCAAACAACGAACAGCAAACCTTGACTATCATGCACATTGACTCTGAAGCATAAAATAATAGGCCGACGTCGACGTTTATCGACTCGACTTGTCACAAGGATTACGAACCGATTGTCCACATTGGAGTAGACCTGCCAATGTCGCAACAAACGAACAGTACAAGGCATTCATGAATGGTGCTGCATTTCCAGGCACGGATGGCAATACCATCTTTATGCAATCCGGTGATTATGGATCGGATTTAACGGACAGAATGGTCGAGTATAACGTTTCTGGTGCTTGGCGTACCTGTAAGTTTTCTACAAACATATTTTTTTTTCGCACCACTTGACCCTGCATATCCAATAAATTAAGCTGATCAGTAACGTTGGATGATATAATATAGCAATGATCTCAGGACAAACGCCAACTCCTCGAGCAGCAATGTCAGCCTCTATCAACAGCACCGGTAGCGCATTTTATTACGGTGGTCGATCGCCTATTACTACTTCGGCGAACACTACGAAATATGTATGATCTTTATTTCTGGATTACATCGTCTAATTCCCTATAAATGAATATCGACCTAACAGCATGTACATGTGCCTTGTAGTTCAATGATTTTTACGTCTTTGATACAAACTTTGCCTCATGGTCATGGCCAACCATAACATATGGCTGGGGCAAAGCGCCACCGCGCTACAGTCATTCAGCCGTATTAATGCAAGTACTATATAGCGTGGGAATGAGTTTTCAAGGATGCAATGAGTGTTGTGTGGGACGACAGAGACACCAGGAGTCTAATATGTTTGTTACTGTGTATAGTCAAGACAAAGTATTCGTTTTCGGTGGCATAGTCTACCTTGATTCGTCAACCAGAGAATATGCTGATTTCCAAAGTGTCCTTGGTATATAATCATCACTCTTAATGCTATCTGCACACTTTTCCTGCGACAGAATGCTAATAATTGGGTGATTTGTATGTGTAGTTTTCGATACCATTGAAAATAAGGCTTTAAGTATGGCTACTATCGGTGATATTCCACCGGCACGAATACAGTAAGTGGTTTTTATATACATACTAGGCTTCATTATGGTATAAAGCCTAATAGAATCGTGTAGATTTTCTGCAACGCCAGCGCCGGATGGCAAATCAATCGTGGTCTATGGTGGATTGAACACCTCTTCGACGGATCGTTTTGACAGTTCTTCAGATGTTTATGTACTGGATACATGCAAGCTGGAATGGTCCAAACCAGATGTCAGCGGAGATGTTCCGTCCCCTCGTGCTAATCATGGCGCCGTTACTTACGGAAACTACATGGTGTTACTCTATGGTAACATTAATACGCTGCCAAGAACCAGATTTTTCTCGGTTTATATGACCCTTCCCATAACAACCGTCAGTATTTCTATGTGCTTATGTAAACATGTAATATCTTCGATAATTATTAGGCTACACGGACATGCAGCTGATGTACGGCAACACCAAAGTACCGTCATTTACCCACGAGATTAGTATTCTGGATATGCACTCGTGGAAATGGGTGAACAGCATCTCACACCAAGACGATCCTACAAGCAAAAGCGATCCTGGTTGCAGCTTCAGCTTCCCAAGTTTTCCAGATGATCCGAGCAGCATCACAGAAGGCGACAATCCCTTGCCGTACGATCCCACCGTGATTAAGAACCCCAACAAGCCAAGCAACAAAGGCAGTCGAAACAAAGGCCTTGCCATCGGCTTTGCATTGTTTGGATTATTGTTGATTTGCGGTGGTCTTTTCTGGTACTTCCGCCGTCAGCGCAGAAAGGCACGTGCCTTAAACCCCCGTTGGCTTCCTGGTGCTATCACGTCCCACAAAGGTGGCGCCAACAATGATTATCCTTTGTTTGTATATAATAACCTCGATGATAAGAGTAACAACAACGACTTCCACGAGGAAAACGAAAAGAAGCAGTCGCTAGCACCACAGCTTTCTCTCAATGACGATCATCATGGTGTGGGCGGTGACGGAATGCGCACGTACACTGCAAACGATCATGGCCAGTGGGAGCGTGCCCTGGATCAGGATCCTGAGCGTCCTGAAGACGGAAGGGCCATGTCCCGGCACATGGATGTGTGGGAAAGAATGCGCTCGTTGCATGACCAGCGTAATCCTTAAGTCTTTTCTAATTTTTGTTATCACTACTTTTAATACCTCCTAGCCCTTTTATTCTGCTGTACAGAAATACTTCATAATATTACTTTATTTCATTTGTCCATATCTCTTTGTATGAGAATGTGTGTATGATAGTTGTGAAGTTTGATTCTCGACTAAGCTAACGGATACTCGAAAAGTGTTACGGCATTAATTGCGTTATATCCTGTTATATAATAACCGACTTAACGACGAACCGAGAAGAGCACATGGTTAGCGTTGGCGATATGATGAAAAATCCGCCATTGACATCTTGCTCCCTTCAATGTGAGCTTCTGTTATATCAAATACTCCGGTCTTTTCGCACACAAAGACATAACATTTGTAGGACCAACTTATTGTATTTCGACCACTAGAACCAACCATCCTACAAATCCCACCATGCTTTACTGCGTTTCCTTCAAACTAAAGATCAAACCGAACAGCTCACTCGGCGGCAACTCTGGCAGCTTAAGATCCACATGCACAATCTGGAGAGACTATGGAACCACTCGGTATATGTATATATCTCATAAATCGCATACACGATAATTTCGCATCACATATTGCATAGTCAACATACAGTGCTTCAACGTGGTTTGGATCACACTCAATGGAAGAAGCCATGGTTTTGACTCGGCGGCCTAGTGGAAAAGAACTGGTGGAGATGTTATCGCGCACCCCATTTAAAAACGATCTGTACTTTTCTCCTAGTTGTAAACAAAGTAAATCTAAGTGTTTTTTATTGCTTCAAAGGTGTGTACAATTTTTACTTGCTGGTGGAGGATGAGGGTGAGGTTACTGGTAGCGGCTGTCTTGCTACTGCCAATCGCCCTGCCAGGGCACCACCGGCTGCTGCTCCATATACCACCGCACCACAACGTAGTAGTATTTCACCAGCCATTTTAAATGTCACCCAGCGTATATCAGCGCCTGGTGGTGCTCGTGCAAAAAATAATCGATGTCGCGTGCTTTTGCCAAACATGGTCTTGCCTAGAATACCAAACGAGCCTATGGTACCGACGGTACCAGCAAAACCCGAACGAGGTGGGTAGCTTTCGCGCAACAACTCGGACGTACCTAATTTACGTGTCGTGGTCAATAGATTTCCTAAGAACGATTGCTTTTTTTTTCCTTTATTATTTCTGCCCTCCCTTTTTTCCAATATGGTGTAATTTAGTGCCATGTGGCTTACTCTTTTCTTCCATTGATTTCACTTGTCCATGGCAAATTTTAGCAGCTTGGTAATCGGCTTCATTGAAAACTTTGGACCAGGTAAAATACCCAATGGGAGCTCCAACAAGCACAACGGGCAAAAAGATGGCCATAGCAGAAAAATTGAGGGTCACACAGTCCTGCCCATCGAGTAAAGCGGGTTTTACTTTGTTTTCTGCTTGGTTACATCGTTACACGTGAGTTTACAGGGCGAATTTGACAAATCCTGCAGCTGCTTGGAGGATATGTTTTTCAACATAAGAAGAAAAGAGCTTTGTATACGAATGTGATATAGATACGAAAAGAAGAAACCGGATTGCGTCATGCTTTAACAGAAACAATAGTGAGATTCCCAAAAAAAAATGCAGGTTCGCAAGAAATGGGCATAAATTGTCTTTTAAGGATCCGAAGGTGAAGTGTTATTTACAGCTGATGGCATACACGTGAGCTATATGCCTTATTATTTGATTTATACAAATCTACTTGCACTAGAGCTGCGTGGCTGTCGCCGGCGCTGTCGAGACTATATGGATCCTAATAACAACTACAACAATGAGTCGCTAAGAGTTCCAGATTCTTAACCCGCTTCCACCTCCCCTTATGAGTCTGCGAGTAATCAATCAGCAACCCTTCCCGAACAGATATCTGAGCATGTATTATTGGTATCGATGAAACCTTCAAGAGTACTGGACCTGATCGAGAGCGCCACAAACATTCTAAAAACCGGGCCCAGAAACATCCTGCCCAAAACCCTCAGCCGAAGGACCTTTCTTTGACGCCACACGAAGGCTTCCCCTTATCCAGCCCCAAATGATTTTGAGTACTCTTCAAGTTCTGCATGAACATTGTCGACGACGATTAGACAAGTTATCGTCGACGACAGAGATCCTAGTTCGGCAGACGGGTTTCTCGCGAATTTATGTTAGCAGTGATCGCCTTTTTTCCATATATAAGAGCTTACTACCATATCTGGCCTTTCTTTTCTTTAGATAATCGTCCATCGAAGAGAAGATTGATCTTCAGAGTACAATTGCTTTTTCTTCCAAGTTAATATGCTTCTTTATACAAGTCTTCATGATGTATTTAACGATTACTAAATAAATGTCCAATCAATACGTAATGCGCATCTCATAAAAGCTATATCCATACTATCAGTAACACATCACATATCATATGAAGTATGTTTCTCAAAAAGTTAAAATATTTTGTGTGTCGCTCTAGCAGCATTTAGTTGTTTACGGTATTTCAAGTTCATTTATGTATATAAACCTGGACGCATGTATCTTGTTGACGTTTTGGATTTACGCAGAATCACAGAGTAAGATTATACCGTAACACGATTTTCGTATATACTGTACTGCATAGTGTTAGATGAACATGTGCTTTATTTTATAGGCACAATTTTTTTTTCCAAAAGTGTATATTTATATGATCACGCCACCATTGTCGAAACTGCAAGATTCTCACCAGGTGCCTTGCTACTTCCTCCCTTTTGTGGTCGTTCAATCCTATCATAATATGTGTGACAGCAACACTCTGTATTGTGTAGCAGCATGCGACACTGCTTCTGTACCGTTTATGAAGAAACTTTTCATAAATCCGAGGCCTTCTTTGGACGATCATGTTATCATAGTAAAAACAAAATAGGAATTGGGTCACCATTATGTAAGAAGGCACGACGAGGTCCATTCCGAGATCTCTCCCACCCAACAAGCAAACTTCTCACATAAGCTTTTGATCCAGTAGAATTTGCTACCACTATTTGTGATAGCAAAAAAAAAAACGATATCTTTTGACCTACCTAGTACAACATTGGAAAAAACCATCTTTCTCACTTGTGTGAAGAAAATAGCCGGGCTATCTAGTTATATTCCGAGGTGTAAGCACTGTTGCTAAAGAAATGTTTTGTACTACAAGGTTCTATGCAGTTCTCATATAAATCATATCCAGGTGGTGATATTAGAGGAAGAACATGTGATTTTCGACTAATTCGTAAGAAGGGTCGTTTTATTGCACGACTACTTGGTGATTTTAATTGTCATCAATTATATTAAAGAAAGAGACTCGAAAAGGTAGAATAGCGAGGTAAAATGGCTGTTGTTGTAGTAGCCTAAAGCTGACAATAAGTCTCTACTTTGCAAAAATAATGGGATATTATATCTAGTACAAAAAACTGCATAAACTGTCGGGAAGAGATAGTATCAAGGAAGAAAGAGAGTTAAGGTGTGTGTGTGTGTGTGAGGAAAAGAGAAAGGAAGGTGTTTTTAGACAATGTCTTCTGTCTTTTCGTTGGAAGCGGTTTCGTGCCGATGCTCGTAACCAGCACGGCGAGCCAATTCGGCTTCGACAAAAGCACGGTCCACTTTCTTGCGTGGGTTCTGTTCAAAAACGATATCCATTTCTTCAAGCTATCGCAGAAGAAAAATCAGGCATGTATTAGGATGACAAGTCAGGTTCCATTCAGTAGCAAAACGAAGGTAAAAACGAGCTGAACTTACAGTGAAGCCCTTGGTTTCAGGATAAGCAAGGAAGACGTGGACAGCCATCAAGAAGTTGAAACCAGCGAAAAGCATATACAAACCAAAGCGAATGCGCTGCATCAGCAAAGGAACAACAAAGTTGAGGACCCAGTTGAAGAGCCAGTTAGCAGAGGTGGATAACGACACAGCGATGGCACGAATACGGAGAGGGAAGATTTCAGCAGGGTAGATCCAGCCCAAGGGACCCCAGGTGCATGCAAAGGAAGCGACAAAGAGGTAGACACAGGCGACCATACCGTTGGCCTTGGCGTGGTTATCCATACGCATCTGCCACTTGCCAGTATCTTCTGCAATGTACCATTCGCCTTGGCTCATGAGACCACCCACAATCCATAAGAACAGACTCATCATAAGGGCACCAAAGATCATAGTGTTACGACGACCCCACTTGTCGACCCAGAGAATGGCAGGAACGGTCATGACAACGTTGACGACATAGTTGACACCAGCAGAAACCAAGGTAGCTTCCTGACTGTCACCAACACCGGCCTGCTCAAAGAGCAAGACGACGTAGAACATGATAATATTCATACCAGTCAGCTGCTGCCAGATCTGCAAGAAGACGCCAAGAGATGCACGGTAAGCATACTGTGGCTTGAGAATATCGGCGTAGCGATGCGAGGCCTGCTCGCGGTCAAACTTGATGACGACTTCAATTTCTTGGATTTCAAGCTGCACACGTTCGTGGTTGACATCGCCGTCACCATGAATGTCAGCAAGGACTTGGATGGCTTCGTCCATACGGCCCTTGTCGGCCAACCATCTTGGACTGTGAGGGAAAGCCCACATACCGGAGAGCAAGACAAGGGCAGGAACGGCTTGGATAGCCCATGGGATACGGAAAGCAGCAGTGTAGCTTTCACCTGTAAGAAATTGAGAACCATATTGAATCCAGAAACTAATATCAAAACAACAGGACATTCGTTATTAGTCGACTAGCTTTGTATTGAACACGACCTTTTCTCATAGCTACAAGGGTACTAAAATATGTATACATACGAGATCATGATACCCCAGGTAATACTCCATTGCTGCACAGCAACAATACGACCACGAATTTCTTTGGGAGCAATTTCTGACTGATAAAGCGGTACGACCATAGAAGTGACACCAACAGACAAACCTATATTTGTTTCAGATTAACCGTAAATGGATTGTTTGTGTGTGCATGTGCGCGCGCAGGAATACGACCCACATACCGTTAAGTACACGGCCAACACAGAGAAGAGGAACACCGTTAGCAGCGGCCTGGAAAACAGAGCCGATGACGAACAGAACTGAGGCACCGATCAGAGTAAATTTACGAGAGTATTTATCAGCAGGGAAACCGGCAAACAGTGCACCGACAAAGCAACCAGCACTCAAAGCACCGTTGATACCGCCCTGAAGCAGATCGTCTGGATTGTTGAAGTATGTACGATATCTATTTTGGCAAGCGAAAACAAGGTGGTTTGGTCAGTAAGTCACAGTTCGGTCCATCCGTCAGCGAATAGCTGATACGTCCGAGATCAAGGATACTACTAGTCGTACGTACTGGTGAGTTCCAATAACACCGGAGTTGCTACCAATATCGAAGCCAAACATGATACCGGCAATGGCGGCGAAGGCGCCAATGATCTATTACATTGAAAAGGGTGTATGTTAATGAGCGGTTTGTATGACGAGGCAATTGTGCATTTCCAGTGTGTAAAAGGCAAAATAGCAGATCGAAAACGCAGTATTTTTTCCATACATAGACATTATTAGTTATTCGCGTCGTCAAGGTCCTCGCCATGGTTCAGGAGAAGTATGTTTGCCAAAGAACAACAGGAAGGGTAGGAATTCCGGCAGCAGAAAGCAGACAAAAAGACCAAAAGAAGGCGGTAAAAGAAGACGAAGAAGGTCCAGAAAAGGTTTTATATACCCAGGAAAACAGAGAAAACATCGAATAATAAGGGAAATTGCTTATATAAGTGGTGGTGCGTGTGTGCCGTACTACTGTCACCCACTCCCAACTGTGTGTTTCCCCACGCAAGCCCTCCCCCTCTCGCGATTTCATTCGGTGGGAAACTGTGTCAGGCCCAGGATAGGCAGGTCAGGCCTCACCCGCGGAACCCCCCCACCACCACCGGCCAGATCAGGAAATCCGGCGTCGCACACACTCCTTGTCTCTTTGTTGCGCGAGTCGCTCTTTGATTCTTTTGTACTTCTTTGCTGTGCCACGCACACGATAATCATCACACATACCACACTCACACACAGCAGATACTACGAATAAGAAGTTCTTATTTATTTCCATTATTTCACTATAAGCACCGGACAATGGACGTGCGTTTGGATGTATTCACTGAAACTTCCCATAAAGAGCCTAGCTCAAAAGAAAAGTGCAGATATTAGCAATTCTTGATCTCTCTCAAAATGCCCAGTCCGTCTGTTGGTCCGCATGACATAAAAGAGGCAAGCAACCGTTTGTGATGCAGCTTACGTTATGCGACCTCGTGTTCGTCAACTGAAAAGGCTTACCGTTTCCAGCCCGACAGATTCCGACTGCCCATGATCAGACAATCGGTCTGAATCGTGTCGAGATGCTCAATCAGACGTTGGCATGGACCTGAACTCTCCGAATTCAACAGCTGAATCGTGACATTGGAAATGCCTGCGGCTTCAAAGTCGGTACGGAGCTTTTCCAATCCAACGGAAAACTTGGCTTTGAGCTACAGCATCATATACATGTGTGCGTGAGCACGTTACCACGTTACACCTCTTTTCTTTTTTGTGCGTTTAGGTGACGAGAGAAGAAGATTCTCTTAGGTCCTCATTACTGTTATTACCTTTTCCTCCATCTGCAGGATATCCTTTTCGTCCACAGCCAAGGAATAATCTGTTGAAACATTATCGAGCAGGGCATGAGAAATTATGGCATAGTAGCGATCTCTCTTCGAGGGTTGGAATAGCAAGCAATAGACCACTGACCATGGTCAACAAATTCAACGTCCAAGTACAGCATCGTTACCAAATTGACGTGATCCGATGCACGGAGAAAATTATTCAAGGACCACGCGACCACTTTTTCAGCTTCCTCGGATTCAGGGTCGATTGCCAAGATGATTTCACGAGTCATTTTGCTTCTTGCTTTTTGCGTTAACGTTTGCACAAAGTAAAGGGAGAGAGAATGGAGAGAGTGTGTGATTGGGAGCGTGGCGAACAGTAATGCTTAAACAACCTGTTTGCTCGCGGACAGTGAAAATGAAAAATTATCATGCAAGCAACCTTCGTGTGGTGAGGAGATCATGCGATTATATACTCTCAAATCACTTTCTTCAATGCTTGAGGCTTTCAGCATTGAATGCATAAGAATATCTTTCATCCATGATGAGTCAAATATGCCGTATGATCCTTTCGCCACCGTCATTGCAATGTCAAAAATAAGTGTAAACTTTGTTCCCTTGCTCTTTATTATGCAACAATGCTGATATCACTGAATCTCCGGCCGACAATTACGTTCGCCCTTTTTGATTGGGTTGCCACTCCACCAAAGAAGAACGTTCTTCACATGTCGCATGGTTACCGACTCACTGCTGCTGGCGAGATATGCTGCTGCTGATTACATACTATATACAACACAGCTTTTGTATCCAGTACTCAGGGACACTGCTAAGCTATGCATATCTTGCAGGTGGCAAGTATATCTTTTCGAAAGAATAGAAAGTTTTTGTAATCTGCTGTCCTAATTTGACCTATAGCATTTCGTGAGTAGGACTGGATTTGAGTGAGCATAGCATTCGTAGTCTGGGTGATCACTCCACTTCATATGCCGTCTATACGGATAATACAGTTGCTTTTTTGAAGCAGCTCAAGGGCTATAGCTGGTACCATTGAGACCCATCTTTCACTGTTGTATGCCACTCTCCATATGAATGCATTTAGCCAACGACCTTATACTGTACAGACGCCGTTTCAATAATAATAACAAAAGAGGCGTATGACAGCACCAATCAATAAATGCGTAGATGCGTTGATACGCTGATGGTTACTTTGAGAAATGCGGGGATCCACGGTATTGCACTTGCTCCAAATTCCGATTGGGGCCCTGGGGACCATGCTACAGGGTAACATGTTGGCGGCAGCTCTCACAACACTGTTTGAAGATTTGTTCGTAGTATAGAACCGGTCCTCCTCTCAGATATCCTCTGTTTTACGATTATTACATAAACTGATTTACCCATGCACAAGATCTCCCGTTTGCTTCTACTTTGTGTCACCCGAGGGATCTCTCTTTCTCTCTTGAGCTAGCAGGCTGGGTGATGGATGTCAGTAAACAAAAAAGCCAATACCAGGAGGATATGATATTCTTGGATTGACCAAATTCTTAGATCTCCATTTTGAAACATGGCGATGATCTGTTGTCAGTTTATTCATTCTGAATTACATAATTGACTGGGACATGTACTTTTTCGTTGTCATCGAACACCTTTCGTGAATATTCTCTCTTATCATTGACATATCGAAACATGCTTTTGCATAAAGCAATATGCTGGTCGTCGGCGTCGAGGTTATGAGGGATCATAATTTGTCTATATGCGTATATTTATTTTGAAAAGAAGAAACCCCCCAGCAGCAAACAGCCCACATTTATGGATGTTATTTCTTCTTATTTTTACCGAGTATAGAGAATTATAATCATACAACCTTAATACTTACAGCGTATGTTGTAGTTGGTAGCATCCCTATACTATGTCACCGAGCATTTCTCGAAAAAAAAAACGTGGTAATACATTATCTTCAAAACTTAATGTCCCAATCTATTTTGCTATTTTTACCATATTCGTCTAGCCACATAAGAGCAGAAGTGCAAAGATCACCCACGGTGATTACTATGCACTATTTTCAGGAAACTCATCAACAAGTAGTTTTGAAGTTATTTGCAGTTGGAAATCTCCCGTAGTGATAACTGAATAGAACACTTTTTCTATGTGTGTGTGTGTAGTCTTTATCATCGAAAGATCGTGCCTCCTTCCTCTTCCTCCTCCGCTACCCGTAATTTTACTACATATAGATTTTCTTTGAAAGGCTATATCTTCCCGGATTTTGCCAAGCAAGAAGAGACGTAACATCCCGCACCATTCCAGCAAACAATGTTGCTTACATAACTGCTTTCTAAAGGAAGTTTCTATCAAAATGCTGCAATCTTTACCTTACGCCTCATCATCTGTTGTCGTCATTCATTGATAGTTTTGATGGAATATTATCATGTACTATGATACTGTACCTCTGTCAGGTTGTGGCAGCACCAGGCTAACTGATCGTATACATACAATGAAAAATCTTAGACTAATGAAGGGACAGTGACGCTACTTAAATGTTCATAGACAGTAGAGCACTGTAAAGCCAAATGCAAATCGTCTCCTACCAAATGATATAAAACAATATCTCGCTCCTATCATGATGCGGTGCCCTCACCTAGAGCATTTTTTTTTAAAATAAAAAAGCTCCTCCAATCGTTTTGTCGGAACCTACAACCTTTGAAAATGCGCACAAGTCACCAGTGTTGCCCGTGTTCGTTGCTGCACTGAGCAACATGTCCTTCATGATTTTTTGGATTGTGTAGCTTTGTCTCGACATGTTCTTTTCTGTAAAGTTCTTTCTTTTCTTTTTGCTATGAACCATGCAATCATTCACTTCTTCATAAGTAACAAAGACATGAACAAAGGGCGATCTGTCAATATCGGCAAGAAAAAGTTTGGAGTTATTGGTTCTGCCAGCACGTCTTGGTTGCTGGCTATTATTGAATGATGATATCCGTCTTTGAACAGAAAATTGGGTGCAGAATACACTTCATATTACTGTTTACCAGTGTCGTTCCTGTTGCTGCTTGTCGCTCACATAGACGGCATCCAAATGAGCGTTAGCAAGTACCTACATTTCAAATTATCAATATGTCTTCAGTAAATTGATTGCATTTGTTCATTGCACATGTGATATTTGAAAGCGTTGTGTATATCTAAAATACATGAGTTTAAAACGTGCTAGTAGTGAAGGTCGAAGCATACGGGTCTTTCATGAAATGTAAGACATCGTTCCCATTATCACCACCGACATCACGATTGCATGTTGCAGTCTTCTCCGTGCCTTTAGACTACAATCTTTGACTTCATTATATTCGTATAATCTCCCCTTCACTACTTTACTGATATCACCGCCCATCACATTCAGTGTGTACTTTTTTTTCCTGTACTTTTTTATATATGACGCAGCTGCAAGCCATCCCTATATTCGTGAGCAACATCCATCAATTCCAATTAAAAAGCGTAAATTGGCCATGAGCATCATCATATCACTAATCTGTAAACCATATCCTTCAAATTCTGGTAGTGCCCCTTTAGTTTCATTTTCCATGAGCCGAATCCCTTTCCGGATCGACAGCATCTTTCCTTCTGTTTTCTCCCCTCTAAAGTTTGTTTAAGCTATTTACTTCCACATCGACGCGGCTGTCATCGATGACCAGGTAGTACCGGGGAAGGCGGGGGATATAGGGAAAGAATACCCAGGAATTTTGTACAACACATTGGTTCCATGTGCTGTTGTTGTACTTGTTCAAAGTGGTTCTAACGAGGTGCAGGCTGTGGTTGCCGTGGTAATAACTGAGGGGACACTAATTTCTATGGTACGCTGGATTATAGATATTGTTGTCAGATTGGTTGTATGATTGAATGCGCTTGTGTGTGAATCTGTTGTAACTACGCATCTACGTGTTTCTGAAGAACGAGAAGAATAGCTCAGCGTGTTGTTTCAGGTAAAATTAGTATTGCTATCAGCGGCAGGATCAGGCAACATTATGACCGTGAGCCGCAAAACAACCGATGAGAACGAAGTGCAGAATCACTAGTGGGCATAATGACCCTACTGATGCAGTATAGTGGTAAACAGTAAAAAGTGAAAGGGAATGAGGGTGTATTTAGTACATTTAATGTAATTGCTGCTGTTTTAGCTGCTGCTGCTGAGCTTGTGACTCTTGAATCCTGGCGGTGCTTCTCTTCTTGCACAGAACTCTATCACCTCTTTTTTCTTTGGGGAAAAAAATATTAACACATAAATGACAGACAAGCTACCGCCGAATCTGTTGAAGCTTTTTGCGCCACGGCCACCTTTACCATATGCTCCACCTTTGGACAAGGATCCAGGTGAACGCGTAGGCGCTCGCATTACCGGCATTGCAGAGCTTGTACCCCAGTTGAAAACCTACGACCAAGATTACGTCCCTTGGAAATCCATTGAACAAAAACGCAAAGAACGGGTAGATTATCGCATGCAAATATTTTAACATCTTCTACCAGAAAGAAAAACAAAGGAAAATAGTTTTTTATGCTAATTCGTTCTCGCTCTTTTTGATATTTTGTATATATTATAGATGGAAGCAAAGAAAAAAGTTGCGGATGAAGCATTGGAAAAAGGAATCGCCGAATGTACGCATCCGTCTTTTAGATTTTTAACGTTATAAAAGAAATAACAACGATCGCGACACTTTTGGTATCGATTACGTACGTGAACAGAAAGAAACTAACGGAATTGTTGTTTAATTTATAGACGATCCAGAAAAAGACGAAAAGATTCAGGGCAATCCGTTCAACACGCTTTTTGTGGCGCGACTAAGTTACGAGCTGCAAGAGAGTGATTTGATGCGCGAGTTCGAACAATACGGTCCCATCAAAAACGTAGGAACATGTCTTTTTCTTTTTTAAGTAAAAACCGTCATGTATACATTGCATGACATATCAACTAATACATTTCATGTCATTAGCTACGCTTGGTAAGAACACTAGAAGGAAAGCCTCGTGGTTACGCGTTTATTGAATACGAACGAGAAAAAGACATGCGAGGTAAATTTTCATGCATCTATCTACAGTGGTAATTGAAAGAACAAGCAAAGAAAAGAATTACTCACAGGTCGATTGTTAAAAAGCGGCATATAAGGATTCAGATGGCTTAAAGTTGATGGGTCGTCGGTTAGCAGTAGACGTAGAACGAGGCCGAACTGTCAAGGGATGGAAGCCGCGTCGCCTTGGTGGCGGATTAGGTAATGCGCGCAATGGACCACCGCAGCAAGCAGCACCAGCCGCAGCACCAGCCGGATCATCATCAGGCGGCTACGATCGATTTGGAGGTTTCAACGATAGCGGTCGCCGGGACAGCAGCCGAGGCTATGGAGGACGACATGATCGTGGCCATGGCGGCGGCGGCGGAGGCTATGGCGGAAACAACCGTGGCTATGGAGGTGGCGGTGGCGGTGGAAGAAGAGACTTTGAAGATCGACGGAGGCCACGCATGCGATCCCGGAGCCGAAGCCCTCGAGGCTACAGAGATCGATATGGTGGTCGTGGTAGAGACAGATCGAGAGACAGAATGGGGGGCCGTCGAGACCGCTACTAAGGAACTAGGACTTGGAGGTTATTTAGCAGAAAGCAAACGAAGAATTGATATTCAAAAATATAGTCCAAAAGAACTATTGCATTGTAACGTTTCACAAAATCCACGCGCTTTTCCTATGGTGGGGTGCACCTTATTATAACACATCTCTTTCTCTCTCGCTCTCACTCACATTCACTCACACTGTCCCGTTTATATATATAAAGGTGTCTCCATTCTTTTTCTCTTATTTGCCCCAAGTATTACAACTCCCAACTTCTTTCTCAAATGGACGTGAAGAAGTCGTCTCTTGAACAGCAGCATGAGGAGGAGAAGGAGGAGTTTCGTGATTGTCTTGATGGTGATCAAGTTGTTGGGCAGTTGCAGGAACAGCTCAATGCCGCCTCTTTTGTTGAACAAGAAAACAAGACCCACCCTTCGCTTCAGCTTGCCTCAACAGCACTTTCTAAAGGAATCACTTTGGATGCATTCAACAATGTCGTGCCACCAACACCGACTTCGAGCGGACCCAGCACGCCTGAGAGGAGAGTCAGCAGCAGTAGCAGTATAGATCCCGAGAAAGCAGGTGCCAACCTCATTCAAATTAACCCTGTTGATCTGAAGACCATTGGTGAGAATACGTTGACGCCTGCTGAGCAAGAGAAAGAAGGTAAACAGAAATACGAATCAATATGAAAGTTACCGCCGTTTTTCATACGACAAGTTATTTTTAGACGAGGCTGTTTTGCGGGGACTCAGACACTTGTTTAATAATCGATTCATGAGCGCAAAAACGTTGTTCGAACAACGCGCAGATAGGTAAACGAAAGGGAGTCGGAAAACATGAGAGGTCTCTTGCGAAGAGTTGAAATTACTGATATGAGCTAAAACGATGTTTGCTTAGAGATCCACTTTATGCACTTGCATTGAGTAGCATGGCGTTCCTGAAAGGTATGATAAATCAGTTAATTGTAAATTTTTGAAGCAAAAAAGTGAGGAATGTGCGTATCGCTAAGATGGAAAAATATATTGCTTATAGCTGTGATGGTATAACAACTATTAATAATGATAATCATGGATCAAAAAGAAAGGCTCGGAAAAGGAAGAGAGACATACTCACCATCACGATGCTGCTGAATATGTTGTAGACGTCAGGAGAGCACGACCACACCATGGCCCTGAACGTTCTCAACACCACATACAGCCTCGCGAAAGCCCAGTTGGATGCAACGAAAAAGACATCACGGATCTCGGGCTACTTTTCCGGCTACTACAACTACTTTAAACGCGACTCTGGATCGTCTCCCACATCAACAGCATCCCCTTCTTCTGACATATCCACGCCAAACGGTATATTGAGAGCACATGTTGTCAAGGCCGAGTGCTGTTTACTGATCGCCGTGCTGCAGCTGCTTCAAGAAAGTGTCATGAGTTATGTCAAATGTGGCCTAAATCTCCGTCGAGGTATACATATATGAAATGCATACGCATCACACACACACTCCACGTGGTGGTGATTATTCCGCTACTGACGTTCTTACAAAAAACCACAGCGTATGCCAGCTACAACTTCGTGTGGCAGAAATACAAGGCAATGGGAGACGATGCTTGTAAATACATGGACCGTGATACGATATCTGGAGTACAATTTGGGTAAGGCTGATGGGAAAAAAGTGACATATGATAATCCTTTGGATCTGATGAACCAACAACGACAACAACGGTTATTACAGGATTGGATCGGTGCACTTTGTGCTTTCTGCATTACCAGCTAAAATATGGAAGGCAATTTCGGTACTCGGCTGGAAACCCGACAAAGAGCTCGGCTTTAAGCTTCTGAAAGAATGCGCTGATAACAAGCGCATAAGGTCTTCCATGGCAACTGTCATGTGAGCATGATTTTCTCTATCTCAAACTCTAAACTATTGTGTGTGAGTGTGTCATTGACTGTTATATAGGCTTCTTGCGTATTATGCCACAGCCGCATCCTTTACACCGCAAATTCTTTCCGAGCAATACACAAAGATCGCCATGGAAACGCTACTGGAAGCGCAACGGTATTATCCAAACTCTGCACTCTACTTGTTCTTTGCAGGCCGGATATCCCGGCTGGCACTTGACCTATCACTCTCGACGCAATCTTATCTCTATGCTGCCGAAATGACCAAAAACGATTGGGCGGAAACAGCCGTGGCCAATGCCTGCCGCTACGAAATCGCAGTGAACCATATGATTACCGGCAACTGGAACGAAGCTGCATCCAGTTTTGAACAACTCCACAAAGAGAAATATTGGTCGCCTGCATTCTGTAAATATATGCAGGGCTCATGTTTGGAAATGGCTGGTAACCGTTCCGCCGCCATTTTGGCTTATGCTGAAGTGCCTCGTCTCGTGGTCAAGAAGCTGGGCGGACGCATGTCAGACATTGATGCATATGCTCTGCGCAAAGTGCAGCTGTTTCAGAGCAGCGGATATCAAGAGCTGGATTTACATGTTCCGATATTGGAGTTTATGTGTATTTGGAACTTGTTCCACTTTATGGATAAGCCTCGCTTGGACTATTGCCTGAGGTCTGTCAATAAGGCGCTGGAGACGATCCAGATCCAGGAGCAGGAAGAATATGACAAGCGCAGCCAAGAACTGGCACCCGAAACTTCACCGCCAGACCATTTCGATAAGCGAGCGACGCTGCTGTTAGTCAAGGCTGCTCTCCAGAATGTCAAAGGGAACGATCCCGCGGAAAACACGATTATTTTGAACTGGATTATTGATCACAAGGATAATTTGGCAACCGAGTCTTGGGTAGTTCCCTATGCTTTGTGGTATGTATGACAAGAGAGATACGCCCCCCCCCCCGAAGATTGGTTTGCAATGACAGCGTTTCTTATTGACACGAGAGCGAACGCTATGTACATTACATAGGGAGGCTGGCGTTGCATGCTGGAACGTCAACAATCGGAACCGTAGTAGACATGTGTGGGAAATGGCGTTAGAATTTTCAAGCTATGATTTCGAATACCGTCTTGCAGTGGTGAGTATAAATATTATTGGGTGGGAGGCATCAACAACAACTAAAAAGGAGAGAGAACTTACACTGCTATTGTGCATGTAGCGTCTCAACCTGGCCATGACACACGCTGAGGAACTGGGCTACACTAAGCCTATTCCACAACCAACTGACGACAAGAAGCGCTTCTCTGTTTCCTTACCAGCCATGGCTGCTGCAGCTACTGCCGCTTCTACTAACAACAACAACAGGAGCAACAGCAATAATACTTTCACTATTAGCAGTAGTGTTGCTTCGACATAAACTCCTCCTTTACATTACTACTACTTAATATCCTACTTGTACTTTATATTCTTGAAATAATCTGCTGTCTTTTTCTGCACAACGCATGGTGTGCCATTCGTTAAGTGATATATGAGTGGATAGAGGGAAGCGACCACATGACAATGAACAGACATGCAAGCATTGTATGTGTGTATGTGGAAGGTGGGCGCGCGCAACCTACAACATCTTCTTTCAAAATTTCCCACCTGTTCAATTTCCTCTTTTTTTTTCTTATTTCTTCGCTTTCAACGTTCTTTTTTCCCTTTCCATATCCCTTTCCACATAAAATCTTATTGCCAACAACAGCACGCATTTCAAAAATGACCCGAAGCAAGAAGGATCCCCAAGTTACTGCACGACATGACAAGCACATAGCACGGTAAGCTATATACAAAGTTCTCACCCCGTGCATGGAAGAAACAAAAAATAAGGTTTCTTTCGTTTGACGACTCAAGTCACTTCTTCTTTTTTTCAGAAACGGTTTGACTGACATCCGTAGCCCACTCAAAAAGTCCGGCGCAGGTTTCGCTAACTGGGGCTGCTTGGGTGAAGAGCTTGTCGACGTAAAAGAGTAAGTACTAGTGCTAGGTGTGAACAGTTTAAAAATCAATCACGCCATGTCTTAGGATCTCCTCTCTACCATACTTTTTGTGATTAACCACACAACCTTCTTATTGTAAGCAGTGATTTCCGTGAACAGGCTGTAGCCGATGTCCGCAGGGATACCAAGCTCCAGGTAGCTAATAACACCTTTTTCTTTCTTTCTTTCTGCTATCATGTCATCACGAGATTATAGAGAAAATGAGAGAGAGAGAGAGAGCTCTAACGTTGGGCATATTTACATGCATCTTAGCTTGTAGACTCTGAGGTTTTTGAACACATGCACCGCCGTGGGGAGCAACAAGTGACAGACAACCAAACCAATGGTCTTCAAAATGGCCACTAACAAAGCAGATTGTACATACTGACATCCATCTTATCTCCTTTATACCTGCTCACTCCTTTTTACTCGCCCCATCCGGGATATCTATCCAGGAATCCAAAAATGACCACTATTGTGATAAGCTGTAAATACTTTTCTCCACGTTTATAGTCTCAAACCCAAACTACTCGCTCTAGTATCCAATCTTCATATTACCCCAGCTTCCAGTTTAGTTAATCTGTATGTATACTTCATGTATGATGACCCTTTGAATAAAAGAACAGAATTTCGCACGCAGAATAATAAAAAGGTCGATTGTTTCGGCATTACAAAAGACAGCCAACCATGGTAATGATAATGGTCCAACTCATAAACGCGTGGACAGGTGACGTTAGGAGTCACTGTGTGATTGGCTCTTGCGAAAGTCTAACTTTATGGAAATGGGTCCATAATTCCCATTTCCAGGATGGATTTTCGCTCTTTTCGTAAAGAGCGAAAATCCAGCCTTGCGATTTCAGTTGCATAGTAGATGTCATCCCGCAGCAAGTTCGGTTATGTAATTCTTCATAATAAAGGCTTATTAGAACAAGTTACTTATTGGGTATTTGTCTTCTGTCTGTGGTATCAAATTGTATACCATCACCGTTAACTTGGAAGGCAAGTACTGTCGCGCTAACCGTATTATATATTGTGTTTTTTTAAATATAAATACCAAACGGCAAAGATCCCATGAAGGGCGTGTACGTAGGATACTTATTACCTCTAGAGCTTCATCTGTCCATAACCAAAGCTTCGTTCCTGCCATGCTTATGATTTGAACAGCTCGACCCACATCTGGACCCTCGTCTCCAGGATTTTCAAAACTGCAACGTGTCCCACCTAGAACACTCAAACGACCAAAATTAAGATTAGACATACTAGCAATAGTAATCAAAGGGCTACTGTGTCTACCTTCTACTGTAGATCGTATCTTCTGTTCGGGTCGCTCAAAAGAGCACTCAAGATCGGATCTGCTTGGGCCCTCCACAGTTCTGTTCCACTTGTCCAACGAACCCAATAGTTCGTTGAATGGGAGCCTAGCTTGTGACAGCTTTGACAACAGCAGAATTCATCTGCCTGTCTTAAGCGTCAGATTGCACAGTACTGCTGTTGTCCCCTTTAATCTCGACCTCTGTTCTTGGTATGTAACACGGTGTAAAAAGCGTATTCGTGTGCGCATTTTCGAAAATGACGCAGCATTGAAAACTATAATTAACATCAATGATTGCCGTAAGGACCGTGAGCTCCTCATTATTGAATACCGGATAATCATCTACATATTTATCCAGCACACTTATTAGCATTTCCGCTCCTAAAATGCGCAACATTATTGCTGGTTGGGGTGTTGTATTTGGGTTTTAGCATAAGAATGTGTTAAATTGCATTATACCTTAGGTTTAAACAATTCGTATGCCTTATGGAACCGATCAATTCAATAAAATCGACATTTAAACTATGTATGTGCAACATTTCATGGACTACCTGAACCATCACAGTAGTCAGAGTAACGTCTTTGTATAAACTTACTTGTATGCAAATATTAGCATGTCCAAATGTTTATATACAGTAACTACCCTCATATTCAAAATGTGTCAGTAATTTGCTCATAAGTAGATGAGCAGAGAAATGGAAGTCTCTTACGCATTAAATATCATGTTGATTGTATCTACTAACTCTCAGCTTTTACGATATCGAAGAATCTTGTGCAGCAGCGTGAAGCCACCTTTATTGAAAAGAGAATTGATACTTCTTTGCTTTGTAATACAATGTCGTGTGAATATCTTATGAATTGATATGAACCTTGACAGAATATAACTTGTCTAACAAGGTTGCTATAAATAGGTAAATATCCCTTCAAGCCTTCTATTTAAAGCGCTTGCCTCACATACAACAACAGCGTTACTGCTTTCACATTTCATGACACAGTCAAGTATTCTTCATGAATGATATCGCAGCGTTTCATAGAAAAAGGAACGCAATCTAATGCTAATTCTATAGCAACCGTACATATCACAAGTGTTTCTGCACTTACAACACATTCGTGCTTTGATCGGCAGCATTCGACAAGTTTGCCTTGTCCTTTCTCCCCGTCGCACTCATCTTCTCAGTCAACCCCCTGTGAGCAGCCGTCGCTCTTCCCCTGAGATCCCCACTTTGAATCGTAGTGCGTATAACAAACCAAAAGAACTCCCTTCATCATGTACCCAAAGATTTGCCACAAGAAACACAAAATGAAATCTTTTTTTTTGTTAGGAGTCTCTCTCAATCATCATCATCGTCATCATCACTCTTTATTATTGACTCTTGCTGTTCCATCAACTGCGCCTTTTCTTGTTCCAGTTTGCGAAACCGTTCCTCCAACGCAGTCAGTTCACGGATTGAATTCGCTTGGTCTATAATCTGCAGTGTTGCTATATACATGATGTGCATTTATAGATATATTAAGATTAAGCTTTCTTCTGAAAGAAAACCATCATCATTGACGGGTTTTTTTCCAACCAACCCCTCCCACCACCAAGCTGCTGCACCTCCTCCCACATCCCTTATTTTTTATATTACCTGACTTGAAATGTTCTTGCGAAACTCTCAATGAAGGTGACACGAGCAACCCAAACCAATGCAAAGGATCTCGTCGCCCTGTTGTCTTTATGAGTTTCCGCAACCCAGGCCGCTTTTCGTTCATTTCATATTCGTTCTTGTCTGCCGCATCGTTCAGATTTTCATCCTGTACCCATTCCGCCGTATGTTGGGTTGATTTACGTCGACGTTGTCTTAGAGATGGTTTCCTTTTCGCTGTTGCCGTTGTAGTCGTCGTAGTCGTAGTGGGAGTGACAGTAGTAGTGTTTGTATTGGTAGAATTGCCATCAGCCGACGTTGTCGTTGTTGAATCTAAAGGCACGACTTTGCTATGTGTATCTACCGTTCTGTTGTTGTTTTCATTTATCACAAGGTTTGTTATTTGATTTGTCTCACAAGGAAACACAACATATCACACACGCACACATACGCACGAAAACAATGAAGCAGTATAGCTTATCCCCCTTCCTCCTCTTTGTTGTGTACTGGAGAGAACTTACACTCGTGCTTGTGCCTTCATTCGTTCATCGTAGGAACATTGTGAGATTCTCCCGGAGCCCATGGTATATTTGGCATGCGCCAAGTGCAGGAATCCCTAAACCGTTATTGTCGTCGTTGGTTTTTTGACATTCGGAAACGAAGCATACAAATCGGACCCCATTACATATGCATTCATACATATATGCACATACACATAGACAAAAAGAAATGTGTATACCTGCTGTAACTGATTCGTCGTTATCTGCCAGGTTTGGGTATATTCTTCCAACTTGTCAAGGTACGTAAGCGCTAAAGCGTCGAGCTCTGTGCAGACAGTCTCTATCGTTCGAATTTCACCATTGCTGTGATTCTTCATTTGAAAGGAGGAAGATAAAAAAAGACAGAATGTATAAGCGGGTATGGGGAAGGATATGTTGCAAGAAGAACAAGTCTGGACAAAGAAGGAAAAACGAATATTAAAGAAGTGAGAGAAAAGAAGAAAAATCGAAAGGAAGAAGCACTTTTTGCTTCTGCTCGCTGCTCCGCATATAATACATACGGCAAGGACAACCCCTAACTGAATCCTTTTTGGAACCTTGTTGCATGAAAGAGAGGGGTCATCCCGCAGTCCATATCACATCACGATATACTGTTACGTTTTCTCATCCTTTTGATCCACCAACAGAAGACCGAACAAACTCTCTCCCCCTCTCTCTCTCTCTCTCTCTCAATTGATATCGTTCATGCGTAAATTGTTACCATCGGCACTTAACGCTAATAACAGGGAATTTTTTCTATTTTCGAGCAACCGCGCATCATTGTTCTAGCAAACAACCCAACCACACCGGCCCGCACGAATTTTTCCTCTCTCTCGTTTTGTAATTGAATGTACTATAAATGCCATTACCGCCACGACGACATTCTTCCTCGGACCGTAATAATAGCAGTAAAAGTCGATTCGTGTTATCCAGCTCACCTACGTCCATCAATTCTGCTGCATCGCCACCGCCAAACCATGCACTGGCTCGATCGCTCGACCATGGCAATATTTCTCCGTCATTCACGAGTGGCGAGATTGAAGTCATTCTCGATGACGGGTCTTTGCAGCGCCGCAAAGTATCCCTCACGAGTCTTGCCGACGCAGCAACGACAGAAGAACAGGAGGAAGAAGGGCAGCGAATGTAAGTGCGCGAGAAGGAAAGAATGGATTTTATTTATGCATGAATTATCGACTGCATATAAATTTATAATGCAGGACGACGACGACGACGACGATACAAAAGAGGACGGTCAATGAGCGAAGCCCTTTACTGTCAGACGATGGTAACACTAACTACACAGACCACACCGCCATGTACATGGAGCATCACTCATCTACTTCTGGTGGCTCTGCCACAAGCTCAAGTGGCGAGGACGAGGACAGTTCTTCGAGTGACGAGGACAGCGACAACGAAAGTACAAATGGCAATCGTTATGTTCGACCGAAATATGCGCTTGTCTGGCCCAAGTTCGACATACGACAGAAGCGAGTACTTAAATGCAGCTTTGCATACTTTTTTGCTTCGTTGTTCACCTTTGTACCGTTGTTGAACAACCTGATCGGCCATAATCGAACATCCAGTCATTTGGTCGCTACAGCTACAGTGTTTTTTAATCCGGCAAAAACGCTCGGCGGTATGGTCGAAGCGGCTGCGTTTGGCTGGGGGTATACCTTGTTTGCATTGACTGTCTGCTTGGGCTCCATGATTACTACGGACTTTTTCATTGACCAGGATATGTACGATGCTGCTCATGCGATTTCGCTGCTGTTCTGGTTGACGGGGGCAACGTTTACTGTGTCCTTTTTGAAAGCATACTGGAATAAGCCGCCAGTGGCGACAGGTAAACCTTGCAAGTATAGATATATTTGATGGGCTTTATTGCTTGATAATGACGTGCGCAAAACTTAAATTTGGATATGTTTCAACATTAGCATCTAGCTTATGCTTTATCATCATATTCATCATTGTCGTCCGTGAAGGGTCGGCAAATCGAGGCGACTTTGACATTACACGAATTCGTGAAATCACAACCGCCGTAGCAACTGGCACGGTAATCACCGTACTGTGTTGCATTTTCATCTGGCCCGAGTCGGCAGTGGCCAAACTAAAGTAAAATGACAACTATGACCTCATTTCCTTCTTCAAATCACTGATGTGATTTCTTCTAGAAAAGACATCGAAGCAACACTCGATTCGTATCGCGTACTTTTGAAACTATTGACCAAAACATTCACTTTGGACGAAGACCTGCCTCAATTTGAAGCCAATAGCGAGTTGCAAAAAGCCATCGAGTCTCATCGATCCAGCTTTACATCACTCGAGAAATCGCTTCACGAAGCAAAATTGGAAATGGGATACTCAAAAAACTCTATTGAGCGTGCCAAAGAATACGACACAGTCATTGCCTGTATGCACCGCCTGGCGCAGTATGTGGGTGGCTTACGAAGCAGCTGTGGTATCCAGTTTGAGCGGTTCGGTGGTAGTGCTACATCTTCTCATCCACAACAACAACAACAGCAACAGCAGCAGCAGCAGCAGCAGCAAGGACAGCAGCATCAAGCTACCATGTCTGCTGGTCTACACGCAAAACGGAAAAGCAAAGTGCGTCATAATACGGATGATGGTGTGTGGAATGTTCGTGCAGGATACCATCGACGCAAGTTCCAGGATGAGATACGCAGACAAAAGACAAAACTGTTGAATGACGACGAGCATCATCGACTTCAGCGGACCATGTCCACACCTCAACAGCAAGCATCGCACCATAGTCTCTTTGGAATGACGCCATCACAGCATCATCCAACAACAACAATAACATACGAAAACAACAATACTACTTCGCTGATTGAGTTTATCCAAACGATTCGACAACCACTCAAATCACTCGCTTATACTTGCAAACAGACGCTGTTTCATTTACAGACGGATGACAAGGGCAAAAAGAACACCAAAAAGCTCAAACGCAACATGAACAAGGCTTTGATACTTTTTGAGGTATCGCAACGCCATGCTGTGCGCAATCTGTATCGACAGCATCAATCCAGTCTTGCTGCCGGCGATGTCTATGTGCCTGGCGAGGATTCGTTTCTCGTCTACTTTTTTGTGTTCAATATGATTGAGTTTGCACGCGAGTTGACACACCTCGTGGATGCTGTTGACAAGCTGGCCCAGGAACCTACAGACAAAAGTGGGCGTTGGTGGTTGTTGTGGACACACAAGGAGGAGCGTAAACAGTCGTCGTCGTCGGCGATGAGAATGTATTATCATGATCGTAACACGATGGCAACACTCCATACTCCTTTGCCAACAACACCTTGGCGCAAATTGATGCGACACATCTGGTCGTTCAGTCAGCTGATCAAGCAGCAAAAGATCCGGTATGCGATCAAGGCAACGGTAGCGACTATCTTTTTGGCATTGCCTGCATTTCTAGACTCGACGGGTCAATGGTTTAGGGAATGGCGCATGGAGTGGGCTTTGATTACGGTAATAATATAATGTTCTCGGTAACTATTTCAAGTGTGGCGTTAAAGAAGAACTAACAAGTCAGCTGTATAGCTTATGGTTGTCATGAATCCCACAGTAGGTTTAACAAATGTTGTAGCGATCTATCGTATCTTTTCAACCATGCTCGGCGTCTCCGCTGCTGCCTTGTTTTACACATTGTTTCCTGCCAACATGTATATCCTGCCCATCCTGACCTGGCTCTTTTCCATTCCAAACTTCTGGGTCATTCTTAATCACAAACACGGAAAGTTTGGCCAGTTTACATTGTTGGCATATAACTTGGTTATGCTCAACAAGTATAATACTCGTGATGAAACGAATACGATTGATGTGGGATGGCTTGCATTGCAGCGGTTCTTGGCTATCATCATGGGCGTTGTATTTGGCTTGTTCGTGACATCCTATATATGGCCGTACGAAGGTAATGAATAGCACAATAAAGAAAAAGTGGATGACTTATATTCTTACCATCTACAATAGCACGCACTGAACTACGCAAGTCTTTATCCGATCTTTTAATCCAGCTGGGCTGGGTTTATCGTAAACTCTTGTCCGTCTACGTCGAACCTCCTGACACTCTTCAAGATGACGATGAGCATCATCAAAGACTCACAGTGCGCCAAGAGCGAGCCATCGCCACAAGAAACTTCATGTCACTCGAACTAGAAATCCAGCGCGCACTCACCGAGCTCAGCGGTCTATTATCACATGCACCGAACGAGTTTCGTTTAAAAGGGCCATTCCCAGTCGAATCCTACCGACTCATGATACGATCATGTCGCAATATCGCAGACAAGTTTTTAGCTATGCGCACAGTTATTTTCAAAGACGCATGGATCGAACAGGTGCATCAGGATTTCATACTGCCTGTCAACAAGGAACGACGTGAAATGGCCGGTGACATTCTCCTGTACTTTTACTTGCTTGCATCCGCATTGAGCCTCAAGACTCCTTTACCTCCCCACTTACCGCCTGCTAAGCCTGCCTGGGAACGATTGCTGGCGCGGTTACGTGAACTACCCGTAGTCAGAACGGAGCAGGTGGTTGAAATGGATAATGTCTATATGTTTTATTATGCTTATGTGACCATGATGGAGGATGTGATTCGCGAATTGGATAAGGTATTCTTGTAAAGGTTACGCCTGTTTCAATGTATAGATACTAAAAAAGACATAAATTTTTTAAAATGTACGATAGATCGGCAGTGTGATGAAGGAGTTATTTGGCGCATTAGTTTCCGAGGAAGAATGGTCCAGGTTGTTCCCAAATGCGTAAGCAACAAGGAGTTGGAAGATTTATGCATACAGAATTCTTGTTTTTTTCGTACGTGATTTTGTTGATGTAAATGTAACATTTGGTTCTTTTTAATGTTTTGTAAATATAAAAAAAGTGCAAAAGGGCTTATATAAATGGATCGGTGATCGCATCAAAATAAGGGCTTTTCTTTAACTCTCAAACTCATTCCTAGCTAATGGCTCATAGAACGGCAGCTAAGAAACATAGAACCATATTGGAATGGTTGTCAATCTTCTTGATTCCTAAAAAACGTGTTTTTCTTCTTTCTGTACCTCCAAGTTTACTCTCTGTCTTTTAGGAAGCTCAATCGCGCGTGTAGTGTTTACATTTGTTTCCGAAAAAGTGTCTGCACTGGGTCGCTATAGGCTGGGCGAGTACTGTATGGGAACTCATAGCAAAACCCATATATCGATAAGACAAACGTTTGTTGGATGAGTTTTAGTGGATAGTACTGTAAGATGCGGGGTAAAGTGTGGGCTATGTAATAATCTAGGTTGGATGAGGAAGGTAACAAGTAAAAGTTGCAAGAGTGATGGATCTCTACATTGAAACGCTGATACGAGTGACAGTGTTGATTTGTTTGCGAGTAAACAGAAAACAGATGCCATGAATAACAAACGAAGGACTATCTGAATCGCACAATTTAGAAGCTACTACCCGAAATTACAGTACTGCGTTGAGTATGTTTAATACACAGGGTGTTTTCCTTTCGGATACATTACACATACTCATGGAAGGGAAGATTACACTGGTTTATGTACATATATCTCAAACAACAGATCAATATATGTAGCGATGACTTGATAGTCACTGTTCGCTGATGCAAAGATGCTCGGTTTCCTCGCTGCTCTAGGAAAGCTTGTAGTATTATGTGCTGGCTGCATTAGTCTACCTTGCAACCTTGAGTTCCGTGCATAGCCCAGTGCTATTGGGCGATGCATTGTGTAATCTTTAAAAGCATAAACGGAACCAAGCCAGTGTATCATCCCTATAGCGAACCCGTTTTTGCGCGGCAAAAAGCTGGGGTAATGACAGCGACTAGCAGTCAGCTTTTTTCCTTTTTGAAACACTCCATCGCTTAAAACGACAAGCTTTCGAGGATGGCTACATGACTGATTTGCACCGGAATGGACTTTCCGGGCTTGCTGAGCAAGAAAAGAAAAACAGTGAATCTCCGCCGTTCCGAAAACCTTTTTTTATACGCCCGTTCCTCCGCATTGATTGTAGTACATTTAGCCCTATTTTACCCTTCCTCCCTCCCCCCCTTCTTCTTCTAATTTTATTTTACCTTGGAAAGAAAAAAGACGTTTATGGACTCTTCAGAAGAAAGAAGGCCCTCTGTACATAAAAGTCAGTCAAGTAGTAGTAGTCGACGACGACCCTCTACGAGCTCGTCGTCTCGTAAAAGCCAGTATGGTTCTACAGAAGCAGCAGCAGCAGCAGCAGGCGGCAGTATGGCGCGTCGCAGAAAGTCCACGCTGAAAAGACGACCCACAGTAAACCGCAATCGCAGTAGTAGTCGTCGTCATCGCCATCAGCACAATTCAGACGACAGCAGTGCAAGTGGCAGCAGCAGCAGTAGTAGTAGTGAAAATGATAATAGCAGCAACGACGACGACGAAGAACAAGGTGACAACCACCATCACCACCACCACCACAGAAAGGTAGACGCCAACGGCCAAGACGAGTTGGCCAGTCTTGGATCGGGCACACATCATATCAGCGGCAAAAGATCACGTCGACCGTCCCATCGCGACGGCGTATCGTTTAGCGCTCTGGATCATGAGATGACTTTGAAAGATAAACAAGAGGTACGTAATTCTGCATTCTCGCACGAGAGAGAAAAGGAGTGAGACGATATACTCAACTCGTGTGATTGCGCTAGGCCATGAATCGCGAGCATCCTTTTGGTATGCCTATCTGGAAGCCAGCCTTATACCGCAAGTCGCGCTCTGTTGTGCGTAGAGCCAACCATGCCTTGCACTTATACCCTTCGTCATCGAAACACTTGTTCCTGAACCCGGGCAATCTTCTATGGACACTGGTGTTTGGCTGGTGGCTAGCGCTCGTCATGATTGTGATTGCTGTTGTGTTACGCCTTGTACCACCTCACGGGCGGAAGTATTGGATGGTGATGAGTGGCCTGTCATTTTACTTGCTGTGGCCCTTTGGCCGCTATGTTGAACGCGTGGTGGTCGAGGACGTGCATGAACATGACGAGGAGGCCGAGACGCTTCTGCCAAAACATACCAAGCGACAGCAGACATGGAAGGAGTGGATCGTGCATGTTGCCACAAGTGGCCCAACCGGATGGATCTACTACTTTTTCTACTTGACTGTTGTTGGTAAAGTTTAGCGATATGCCTGTGGTATGATAGTGGGTTGAGAAGTAACAAAAAACCTTAGGCCCGCTTTTGTTTATTGCATCGACCGTCTGCTGGATGTGCGTGATCACAATCCCCATGGCAAAACTCAACTACAAGCTTGTACGGCACCTGATGCAGCACCCACTCACACTGCGCTTCCATTCGAGTCCGACAGGCATGCATCCAAGCGGCAAGCCGACTGTCATCTTACTCTGCACATACCAAGCCATCGGTTTCCAGTACTACAAGTACACCTATGAGGGCGTCAACATCATCTTCATCAACCTGATCTCGCTCGTCCTGTTTGTCATCTTCGACGAGTATGTGATCCGCCATCATTTCCCTGATTCGTTTATTGCCTCGCCCATGGTCGTGTTCATGCTGTCGCTCGGTTCGGTCATTCCACTGTCCTATTTCATTGGCATGGGTATCAGCTCTGTGTCTGCACAGACCTCGATGGCCGTCGGCTCGGTGATCAATGCAACGTTCGGTAGCATTATTGAAATCATCTTGTATGCGATCGCATTGATGGGCGGCAAGAGCGCGTTGGTGGAAGGCAGTTTGATCGGCAGTATCCTTGTAGGCGTGCTCTTGTTACCGGGTTGTTCTATGGTCAGCGGCGGTATCAAGAAGAAGGAGCAAAGGTTCAATGCAAAGAGTGCTGGCGTCACTTCAACCATGCTGATCATGGCCCTGATCGGTGCCTTGTCACCCACGTTGTTCTATCAGATGTTTGGATCGGTAAGGCAAATCTGTACAGTAGTAGATTGATCAACATGCCCCCCCCTTTGGCTCCAAATAAATACTAAGCTTGTTTATTGTAGTTTGAACTAAAGTGTGCTGGGTGTCCTGAAGGCGACTCTGGATTCGAATGCTCCCAGTGCCACTATGATCAACTGGAGCCTGCCAACGACCCAGTGTATCAAAACAGTGTCAAGCCATTCATGTGGATTTGTGCCATTGTTTTACCTTCGGTAACGTATCATTCTCCTTGACCATTTGATCTTTCCCTGTGACCTGGTCCTCTCGCTGCCAACTATTCCCTCTTCTTCGCGACACTTACGATACACATGACTCAATAATACTTTCTGATGGGAACATTGACAGGCATACATTATTGGCTTGGTGTTCAGTCTGCACACGCACAACGACGTGGTTTGGAAGAGCCCTACACAGGATACAGCTGCAGCACAGCAACAACAACAACAGCAATCTTACCTCGCATATTACCAAAGACTCATCCAGTCCTATCTCACATCACAATCAACTGCTCAGCAACAGCAAACAGCCTTTGGATCCGACGATGAGGATGCGGGTTCTCAATATAAACGAAGAGCACAAAGCGGTAAAGAAGCCCTTACTGGAAAGAAAGAGAGAGAGGGAGGGTTAGAGACTCACAGATCATTACCTATAGATCCAAGCATGATGTCTGTGCACAATGCAGATGGCGCTATGACTTCTACGACAGCAACACATGACAACAACGGCACTGGCAATGGGAGTAGCAACGCAGCACAACTCCCACCCCCGTTCCCTGAATTCGTGCAAGCAAACGACGACGATGATGAAGAAGTTGGCGGCCACGATGCTCCAGAGTGGGGCACCGCCAAGAGTTTCACAGTTTTGTTTGCATGCACGCTCTTGTATTCCATCATTGCAGAGATCTTGGTCGATACTGTGGATCTGATCATGGCTGACATGGCGCTCGACGAAAAGTTCCTGGGGCTGACGCTCTTTGCCCTGGTGCCTAACATTACCGAATTCACCAATGCCATTGGATTTTCGATCCACGGCAATATTGTTCTGAGGTAAATAATTCGTGGGACCTTTTCTTCCCACCTTCCCAACAAAACAAACAAACAAACAGGAATAGCAACAACAAGACACATTGAACTGAACCGTCTACAACGGGCCCTTTCTTTTGTAGTATGGAGATTGGCTCAGCATATGCATTACAAGTGTGTCTACTGCAGATCCCGGCCATGGTTGCGTTCTCACTCTGGTACAATTGGGGCAAGGAAGAACTGGCACGCTACACGTTCAGTCTCATCTTTCCCAACTGGGACGTGATTGCCGTGATCCTGTCTGTGTTCTTGCTCACATACACATACCAAGAAGGCAAATCCAATTACTTTAAGGGCGCGATTTTGATCCTCAGCTACCTTGTCTTGGTTGCTGGCTTCTTTTTCGTACCGACCGTCACCGAGCAACAGAAAAACAGTTTCACTGTGGGACTTGACCCTGCGCTTTTAGCCAAAATTGTAAAGAACAGTAAATAACAACAACGGGGTTGAGTGAGCGAAAATAAACAGAGAGAACTGTCCCCTCTCCTTGTTTGCTTCATGGCATGTGATGATGTTATACATGGTATACGATACGAGTGCTATGTATCATATGCAATATAATGAGCCCACACGCACACACACACACACATGCGCGTATATTTTAGATGTTTGGCTTGTGCAAGTTCCGAAAACGCACTAGCTTCGGCTCTCTCTCTTTTTTTTTTCCCGGAAGAAAACTAATAAGAAACACCCTGATGTGAGTGTGGATTACATACATACATTATATACAAGTCCTTTTTTAAGGTTCACCAGTTACTAACGAGCCAGAAAATCTATACATTGTGAATGATCTGCAAGGTGCATTTGTATGTTGCAAAAGAACAAAACCGTCGATCCATCTCTCCTTGAACTACAATGGGTTTCTGTTGTTGTTGTTGTTGTTGTTCAAGAGTGGTTTTATGTATGTGCGATATACGATAGATAAAAAAAAAGTAAGGAGAAGATATGTACAAGGAAAGGTAAATACAACACAAAAAGATAGCTGAGAAAGAGAAAAACGGCCTGCTGCAGTAATGGGGCCATGATGAGTGATCATGGTCAATGACCCTTCTGAGGGCACTGCTGCTGCTGCTGCTGCTGCCGTTGTTGTTACTGCGCGGATGCCAATGATTCTTTGCCGGTGTTGGGGTATATATGCTACGTACTATGTATATATGGATATATGTATCACATCACTATGTATAAAATTGGGTAGATGTTGCTGTTGTTGGTGTGTCCCTCGTATATATATAGCATCGTCATCATCGTTCATGTCGCACTGTTGTCAAAATATATAATCAGGCGGACGGAAGCAACGGTGAGCGCTCATGTGGATGCTGCTTCTGTTGGTCAATGACGATAATCGAATGAAGAAAAGTGGTCGATTCGTTCTTTTTCGATGGTGCATGATGCTTTGTTGTTTTTGACGACAGTAGTGATGATGCGTCGTCGTGATGGTGTTTGCCCTTGATGATGGTATCGATGACACAGAACTGAAATGCGTTCATAAACAACGGGAATCTGTTATATATACGCACCATCACAGTGCAAAAAGAAAACAATTCAGCACACAAACACACAAGCAAAGCAAAAAAAAAACAAAAGGGAGAGACAGAGAGAGGCTTACACAAACATGACAAACACAACTTGATAGTGGCCATCCTCAGTACCAATCAGCTGAAGCACCCAATCGCCAATCTCAAAAATGGCAGGAAAGGCTTGAAACATGCCATAGATACAGATCTTCATCAAAAACTCGGCCAGCACAAACACAGCCGTTTGCTTTGCCCACTGGCGAAACAGCATCGTCGACGAGGTGTGGGCCGGGTCGCCATAGTGCTGCAGGTTGCGGATGTTCCAAAAGGTGGCCAGCGTCCATTCGAGGATACGCAGCCAGAACCATAGGATGGCAATGCCGATGGTTGTGTCGACCATCAGACTCAAAAAGTACCACACACAGAGGTTCGTCGCAGGTCGTCCGTTGGTCGGTCGGCCTGCAAGATAGCTGATTCCTAGATTCAGAAAGTGGATCGTGCCTGCTCCGATGAATTGTTTGCTCACATCGAGTGCCCTGGTTTGTTTTAACCCAAAGAAAAAGAGAAAAAGGATGCTTGTTAGCCCCGTTTGAGAACGGAGATGGTCTGTCTGTTTGTTGTTGTTGTTGCTTAAAGGAGTGTGTGTGTGTGTAGAGAGGTGTGTGTAGAATATGTACCAAATCTGTACCGGTCGTCGGGGTCGTTCTTGCCACCGTTTAATGCCAAGCGCAGCCAGTGCCGTCAATACGAGCGTCAACTGAACCAGAAGCGCAAAGCCATCTAATAATTCGCATGTTTGTCCCTGACTGCACGTTTGCGATTGCCGTGACATGAGAGTATCGTCGTCCAATAAGTTGTCTTGAGGAAAGAATAAATAAACTCGCTTAATACTTGAAAAAGGTGTGAGCGAGTGAGTGAGCGATAAGGGGAAAGAAAGAAGAATTGTGGCAAGAAAGAAAGAGAAACGCAAAAAAAGTAAGGAGACCCTTCTTTTTGAGTAAAGATAGGCCCCCAATAATATGACAGCTATTTTTTGCTGTTGTTACAACACTCCAAGAGTCATCCTAATAGTAGCACACACGCATGTGGTAGCCGTGCCGCTTTTCCTTTGGTTCATCGGCCGCGTTTGACCTCCAAAAGACGCAAACAAAAGCTTTACTCGTTTTAAAAAAAACATTTTGCGTGTCACAGCGCTAATATGTAGAGAAAGAGCACACACACAGCCAAATAAACAGCAACGGGGCACACACACAACACACCTGGGATATAAACAAGAAACAAATATGTCTGTCTCTCCCTTGGCAACACACTCAACCCCACACCTTTTATAAACCCTTTCCCCATTTATGAATGGACTGTGGTACATCTTACCTATAAAAACGGACAATTTATCATATCGAGCGGATCATAAAGAGCATCAGAGAAAAAAAAACACACGCGAATTCTTGATAAGGCTACTTCATGCAGCATGTCGTCAACTATTTAAACAGCTTTTTGGCTGGTCTGTGAGCATCATTCTATCGTCAAGGTTACAGAAAACCCAGCAACACACTTAATTTTCCTAAAAGCCATTGCATGAATAGAGAGGATACGCACAGGCCAATTTTTAATACTGTCGTCCTGCTCGGGTTATATTCACAGTTCACCGCAGTCTGATAACCTGCTGTTGCCGTTATTCCTTCCGCAGCTCTTATTATTCATAATATGTAGTTTATACATCATCTACACTGACCCGCTAACACACTGGTCCCAGTGCTTATCAGCTTGAGGATACTCTCTATCATTTGTATCCTGCCTTCTCTAAATTGGCTCATAAAATATAAAAAAGAAGATGTATCGTTTTTTGTCCCACCTTCTATGTAGTTTCTTGTGTCATGCAGGTAAATCGTGGTGCTATCATCTTTAAATCCTCCCTAATAAATGCTCAGCTAACATGGATTACCAAATAAATCTAATGATGGTCTGGTATCATTTACTTCCGTCGTCGTCATTATTGCTGTTGCACGGATAAATGGCATCTGTATTTTATCTCAAGGATCCTTGCGCTGAAAACGTTTGTTCACATGCGAGAAACGACATACAACAGTCCATCTTTTTATAACAACTGGTAGCATGTCTTATCTTTTCGTGATGGTTCAACGGAGAATGTATTGCAAAGGAATCTTCTAGTTACCTTTTGTATTTGTATCTGTATGAGGAGAGAAAGACAAAAAAGGACAATAGTAAAATTCTGATTGTATCCAGTTTATAAGCTTATTTTTTCAATGCATGATATGGTGTTCTAGTTTCCCTTATACAACAGCGCATCATGTAAATTCTTAAGAGTCAAGTAGGTAAAGCCAATCCTAAATACAGCCAATTATATTAACACATGTAGTATGTAACAGCATACAGCAGTAATAGTTGATGACACCCTCGGTGCAATGGAATGATAATTTAGCTGTAATCATTTTTGTTTTTAAGAAGAATCGTGCATTTGAAAATCAAGGAAGGGAGTGGATGCAAAGATATCGATGGGATGCTGCTGCATATTTGTTTATACTATCTACATATTTCGCTTGTTATTGGACATGGAGTGTTTCTATTTTTATACTATTAATAGTGGATGTGGAATGATAGTCCTCCTTGATCTATCTTTAAGCTTAATGACAGGTTGATGTTATTCTTTTTGCTCAAGAGTATTGCAACGTGCATTAGCAGAATCGAGATTTTGCTAGAACATTTAAAGGAAAAAAATAGAAGGGAGGGGGGAGGAATAAGTGGGTGATACTTATACAGAGAAGAAAGTAATACATATCATATCATCATTTTGCATTATCGCACCAAAAATGTTTAAATGCCGTAGCTTTACGCCAGCCGTACCTTATCTATAATGCTTGCGAGGAGACTAGATTGTAGTAGCTGCTAGATCGAAGAGGGGTGGGGGGAGGGGAATATATGCTGCTGCTGCTGCTGCTGCTATCTTCTTCTTTTTCTTCGATCTTTGTTCTCTTTTCCTGCCCCCCTTCCTGGCGTCATCCTTTTCGAGGTGCAGTATGTACATTATTATTGATAAAAGAGATAGCATAGTGGATTGAGGAAAAAAGGGTGCTTGATTCATAATATGGATGATCGAAAAAGACGCCTTTCTCTTAAGCTCCTGTATAGGAAAAAAGGGTCACTAGCTCACAGCAGCACACGATCATCGTAGTAGTAGCTCACAGCATGCTGTCTTGCTACAGCAGCATGTCATATGTGTTTGTACTTTTGGCGATCATTGTTGACTTGTTCCCAGCCTACTATATACTTGTCAAGTTATATAAGATAGCAACAAGAGATTGTAAGATTCGGCAGAAGGAAAATAATCGGATGGTTATCATATTGAACCGAGAAAGAGATCGAAAGGAAAAGACGCGCATTTTGGTTACTTTCCCCCCCCCACACCAAACTTCCACATACATACTTATCACGACAACATATACACATTAGAGTTGCACATACTGAGTTTTTTGTTGGCTGAGCAATATCTGCACTGCACTGTTGGGGAGTAGGGAGAGGGGGGGTCGCTACAGCGTATGATTACTAGAGCGCTGTTCCATTTCTGGAGCAAGCGATAGAGACCTCAAACGCTCAAAACCGAATAGTTGGAACGCCGAAAAGGGCCAGCAAAAAAAAAGAAGAGGCAAGTGCCCAGCTAAAGAAGCATGTCTAGCAATCCTTGTAAACATACATGTCTGCTATATGTGTGTGCTGCTGTTGAAGAAATAAAACCAAGGCAGATGGCTAAGTAGTGGCGAGAAAAAATGCCTATTATATACTCACTCAATGACTGCTAAAAATCTCTGTCCTCTTTACACAATGCATCCGGTTGGGAGTTTCTGAAGCGCCGCTCTTTTTTCTCCCCTTCGTTCCTGTTCTTTTGCTTTTTTTTCTTTACATTTTCAATTCGTATATTATTATCTGATACTTTGTATTTGCATGGATATATCCCAACTCTGCAGTGACCTTGGTGAAGAAGTAGAAGGTTTCCCGTCTCCTCAGTCTACACACAATGCTTACAACAACAACAACAACAGCAACAACAGTTTTCGAAAAGTGTAAATGGAGTGATTTCTATTTTTGTTATCACTGTAGTTTTCCCCACTTTTTATGAGCTTAGACATGCTTGCTGTTTTAAAAAGTTGACTGATTATCTATTGTAAATACATTGTAGAACCTCCATTGCGTCCATCACTGAATCCATTTCTGCTGTTCCGCCATCCATACCCGATCAATACGACAGTTTGCCATCAGATGTACAATTACCGAAACTTAGATACCCACAAAGCAACAACAGCAACAGTAACAACAATAGTACGTCTTGCAATAGTAGTAACAATATCTACGAACCACACACCACTCTTGTAAATAGCTTATCGATCCATGACAATACAAAACGACCTTCAAATTCCATACCATCTGTCTCCGATAGCCACAGCAGTAGCAACATCCACAGTGCGCTTAGCAGTAATAGCAGCAGCAACAGTAATCTTTCAAACAATAATCATATAAATAGCAACCACAACAACAGCCATCATCACAACACTATCCAGAACAGCAGCAGTAATAGTTGCAGTAGCATAAGTACGATCCATAATGATACGGATGACAACACTATCAAAATGACGACGCCACAACAACTCCAGCAACAGCGACACCGACGATCCTCAGCACACCATCACCGTTCTCCTCTTTCTCCATCTTCTTCAAATGTCAATGTCGCAGATGTACGTCATAGACTTTCAGGGAACCGAATAACGGGGTTGGTTTTTTTTTTTTGACTAACTTGTGTGTGTATGTGCGAATGATTTATGTTCTATGATAGATCATACATCAATGCTCAGCACTTTGCGATCATCTGGAACGTTGCAAAGAGCAATCTCAAAGAGAAATGGTTCGACAGGATCTGCTGTACAGGGCAGCACAGACAGCAAAGGACATGCTAGCATCCCTAGGGATGCTGCAGGAACAACAACAACAAGTACTAAAGAAGAACCAACATCGTCTGCTACAGGAGAATTACGATAATAATGGAAGCGCGCTGATAACTACTGCTACCGAGGTAAGAAGCTTTTTCTTCTTTTCGGTAAATCGATCGATCTGAGTTCTTTTTTTATATATTCGTAAACCCAAAACCAGTTAATCTCCTATAACCTTAAATCATGTGTATACTGATTATTAACCATTCCCATCTACGTATGACGGCAACAACCCACGTTTAGTCTGACTTGTCGGAGAGCAGCATTACATTTCGCCGATCGCGACCCGATTCAGACGTGCGTCCGAGAATCAAAAGACGTGCAGTAAGTTTCTCTGTGTCTCTCTACAGTGGGGACAGCGCGTAATCATGGATGTCAAAATCTAGATAGTCTGACCGTGATGCCATGGAATTATAGAAGCGGAGTACTGCTGGACAGCGCTGTCATTCATGTAATACTACCGAAACGCCCGAATGGCGAAGGGGTCCTGATGGAGCTCGGACGTTATGTAATGCCTGCGGTCTACGTAAGCTTAGAATATTGCTAGAAGAAGGTGTGTTGTACTAGTTTCTCATGCCAATATATACCTTTCTTTTTAATTGCATAGATTACTCTAAATTATTACGCAAAGGATCGCTCACGGTTCAATCGCGAGGATTCTTGATCGAGAACGACGGCGATCGAAGCATAAACACCAATGTAATAATGGGCAGCAGCAATAGAAACAACAATCACCAACAACAACAACAACAACAACGACAGGCACGTATCATACAGTATCCGATCATTCAAGTACAAGCTAAACCAGATAACGACCCCATGTCTTCTTCCAATCGGGTCAAATTTGTCAACAGCGAGATCAGCTATCCACGCGATGACACTTGGCGAATAAATGCAGCCAAGACGGCTGAAGCGGCGCCCTATGTAACGGGTCGAATAGTTGAAATGGAGGACGAATAACAAATTCGTTTTTTAACAGCCCCTCATTTGTTTTTTTTTAATCGAGTGATGACGAAAGGTCGGATATGCTGCGTTAAAGGATCCAGGGTGTGTGTGTGGTGGGGTAAGAAACGGGGGATTATGGCTATTGGAGATTACGATTCAGGGGTAAAAGAGAAAAGAAGGGGAGGCAGAAAGCATGACCTGATAAGAAAGGCGGGGAGTTACTTCAACGTCGTACATTATCGCGATTTGAGATTCCGAGTACTTTTAATGGAAGATTCTCGATTACCCAACTGGGTCGTTCCTCACCCCCCCCTTCCCGAATAACCCTTTTTATATAGAAGCCAGACTATTAAAACAAGGTGATCACAGCAACACATCCGATCAACCCTAACGACGCCAGCATTCTCCATATCGAATAGCGCCGTTTTTTGATGCCCGTCAAGCCAAAATGGTCCATGATGCATGCCGAGATCACCTTTTTTATATTATTTAATATCAGTTACGTATAGCTTTTTTATGATAACTATGGTTTTGTTCACCTGTGAGCAGACAAAGATACTGAGCACGGTTCCAGCTCCATGAACGGGCACAAGAAAGATATTTACAAGGATGTAGTAAGTTCCTAACACACCGCCTAGACCATCACTGGTATTATTAGTTAGGGTTGTTTTTATCTTTCCACGTTTGGGTCCCGTCGTCGTCGTCTTTTTGAAACGTACCCATCCATGCGTACCATGGCGCGTCTATATAGCAACAAGTTGTTTGAAGGAGTACACAAAAGTGAGAGATTGTCCTCAACTTTTCACAACACCCATTGAGATTCTGGCTAACCTTTGATAGTACTAGAGCGTGGAGGACGTGTACGAAGGATTAAAAGGTCTAGTGCAAAGAGTAGCAAACATGCAAGCGATCCCGTTGTAAAGTTGGTCACTGATGAAAAGGCGCGTCCAGCAGTAGCTCTCATTGCAGCATTCATTCCTAATTTGATAACGTGTGAATCAAAAAAATAAAGACCGGATTATACTTTTCCCATATCATTACACACAAATCAAAAGGTACGCTCAATGGGTGGTAGTGAATGGTGATCTTGGATTCCACCCAAAAGAAAGTTATATATAACTCACCTGATTGAAATGAAACTGCTGAACCCGCAGCCACTAATAACAGTATTGGAAAAAGTGGATGGGCGAATATCCGATCTACCGTGCTGTTATTATTAGCGGCAGTCTTTGGTTTGGTGTCGTTGTCGTCGTCGGTGGTAATGATGCTGTTGTTGCTTTTTGTTTCTACTTTTGTCGCTTCTCGAATTGATAATGCTTCGACGTCGATATCTTCAATGTGCTGGTCTGGGTAGATCGCCTGCGTGCTTGGCTGCCGATGTGTGTTTGCTATCGATGCTGCTACTGTTGTTGTGTCGTTGTGGTTATTATGGATGGTTTGTTCATCAACAGCACTGTTGTTGTTACATTCATTGCTCCTCATCTCTTGTTGTTCTTCTGCAACATTCATATTGCTGCTATTACTGCACCGGACTGTCGATGTAATTGACGATGAGCTTGAAGTCATTTTCAAGTGCATATACTGCCTTTTTAAATGTATTTACAAGGATAATAAATTGGAGAAAAAGGAAGAAAAGGATAAAACGCACACTCAAGAGTACCCAAAAAAAACTTTCTACTAGGCTACATCTTGTGTGACGACGGACTATTTCTCCACACTTGGATCAACCAAAACTTACCGAAAAAGGCTCTCTTACCAAATATTACAACTTTATTAATAAATATAGCATAATAAACTGGCTAATACACTGTTTGACAAAGTAGCTTTTTATAAGTAGTTCAACGCGTTACAAACTTGTCGAAAGTAAAAGTACAGTATATCTTTGGTAATTGAAAGAGGAGCATCTGTGAAATAATCAGTTATTCCTTGATGTATTCCTACACGATCAAAAACATGAGTAAGCACCGTTTATTTACAAGATATGAAGCAACTGTTCTATTGTAGTTCTGCATATTTGTTCAGTAAAGGATCCGCCTTCAACGCAGCGCCGCCCTCCACCTCCACTGTTATTAACACATTGAAAATTCCTGATGCCTTATCGTGTGTCATTAACGAATATCCAGGTGGAAAAACAGCGCCAGCGCCAGGTGTCGCCTTGAAAGGCTTTCCCCATCCCATATCAAACGAAGCGCCTTGCAGATCAAATCGGCACCAATTGGACAAAATGACGTCTGCAGTCCAAGTGATACGTTTGCGAGGGTTCGTGTTCTCAAATAACGCGACCCTGTTAGCAATGGCATCGGGTGAAAGTTGCACCTTGAGCTCGTTTCGAATGGCAAGAGCAACACGGGATCCAGCCTTGGGTGTCGCGGTAAGCAGATCGGCGCGAGCGAGGGTTGCACTCCACAGATGGTTAAAGTTTCCGAAATAGTGTCCACCCGCCATGTTTCCGTGTGGTGCACGGTCACGACCATCGGCTGCCATGGCAACGCTCTCGGATTGCGTCTCTTCACTGCTTCGTCCTTCCAACCTCTGCACATCTGCACGTGCGCGCGCACGTGTGATGGCACCCGAGATAAGCGAGGCGAGCGCGTCACCTGAAGAAATCCATGCGTCCTTGCAGGCAGGAGAGAAATCCTTCTTTAGCTGTTCCATTTCACTTTGGCTGATCTTCCACCTTGTCGCTTCCGAAGGTTGCGTCAGGTACGCGTATGCTCTGGTTGCCGGTGTAGGGAGGACGGTAAAGGGTGGAGGAGCGACTGGTTCGTGATCCAGACGTGTAAAGAATCGACCGGGTGTGTGGGTCCAGTCATCTGGAATCCTTGTAAAGTCCACAGGTTCGCCTCGAGCAAGCTGTGCCCATACTTCAAGAAAATTGAGAAAGCCGCGTAAATCAGCAACAAGATGGTGCAACGACGAAGCAATAACAACGGTGCCACATGAAAACTTGTTATAATGATTTAATCGTTGTGAAGCGTGAGTTTTTGCGTTTTTTCTTTGACACACCTAATGGCACACACACACCAAGTATCCAAGTTTGTCATTTTAATGTACCTGTGTCACTTTTACCGCCAAGGTTGTAGACCCTGGAGGCAACACCAAACCAGCTCGAGGAGAAAGATCCTCGGAATCGGTGGTGAAGGGTGCGTCTTTAGTCTCGACAGTAAACGGCGTACCTGGACGATGGGCATCGTCCATGGCGATATATACGTTTTTCTCTCTGTCCTTTTTCAAGGTTCCATTCACGGGTGGGTATAGCTCGAGTGCTTCGGCAAGACTTGACTTTAGGTTTCCAACAACGTCGGCAAAGGAGTTCGTTGTTGGTGGTTGAAAGAAGCGATGATTCAGAATTTGAATGGGGGCGCCAAAAAGATCCAATCCATGCAAAGGGATGGCTGTTGTTGGAAAGGGGCGATTGTGCTTGTTTGTAGGGTGTATAATAGTAGTTTCAGAAGGCATTGTTTTTAAGTTGTATGGGTGGTGGTAGTTTGAGATAGAGACAACACTATCTTCGTTTTGATTCTTGTGTCCCATGAGAATTATATAAGGCATTGGACAAAACCCTCGGAACCGGGCAATGCAAACACCCGTTCCTCCGCCTTCCGACTTTTCTGCACAGTATGTCCGCACCGTGGCGCAGTACAGACAAAGAGGTGCTGCCTGCGACAGATGCCAGCGATCATCGCACGGACAATTCTTTTGTAGTGAGAAGCGTGGTAATGAAACCTGTATCAGTCACGAGGCATTATCTAAATGAAGCGTGCAATACCTATCATCTAAAATATATAGACGTTCCTTATATGGATATCGTTGAGAAATGGTAAAAGAGTGACATTGACATGAACAGGTACAAGGAATATGACACAAGGTTATCATGACCGGTCCATAATACAATCGATCGGCACGGCTAGATCACCAACATCATGCCGGACTGTAGCTTTTCTTATGATATTAGTGTTTTATATTCCGGGAATAGCAAGAAACATAATAGTAATATAATTATCAGAATTCTAATAACAAAAGTTGGGAAAGACGTGTGGTAGGGTAATACCGCATCAACTATCCCATATCACTTCTTTGGCAATCTTTGCCTTCTCAACAATGTATTTGCTCTCTTTGTACTTTTGGCTTTCTTCCAATGCATGCAAATACTTCCAGCCGATCCTTGTTCCGCAGACGCTGCATGATATGTCAGCAACGGTATGCATTCCAGTCAATAACATTCGCTCCTCCTTTACGCCTATCGCTACATTAACAACGTGGCCAACAAGATATGCAGATCCGTGCTAATAAGACAATCACATCAAGAGGGAGGGGATATCAGCTTCTCCAAACGAAATTGTTGTTTCTTTCATTTATTTACCCTGCCTTGAAAAGCTCTCGAGACCACAGAACTGTGTGAGAGTAAATGAGAATGACAAGTGCTGCAACTGTATATACGATTGTCGGGAAGATAGATCTGGTGTCTTTTGCCCATTGCGAGAAAAGCAGCAAATCAACGATTTAAAGAATTGATACCGTTTGATGAGGGCGAAGTGTTACGTTGGGATGTTTGCCCATTTATACAAAAGAGAGAAGCGGCAGTGATAAGATGCATTGATGAATCTTTTTATATCTGACATCCGGACCAAGAAAAGGACAAAAACGGTCTTGTTCGAGCTTATAGTCACGGGGAAGGGGAGGATAAATTGCAGCAACATGCTTCGTTTATCGCAACGCATATGTACCATTACAACAATTGACAAATAAGAAAAAAATCGCTCCCATTAGACATATTTAAAAAACGAAAGGAGAGCGGTTGTTATCGTAATACAACTCTTTTCTAAACAGTCATCGTATTTTGATTCTATATGTACGCCAAAAGGATAAAATAGCTTATCTCTCAGACAAATACACACATACACAGGTGCCATTGGCTAGATAAGGTGGCATATGAATAGCAGGAACGTACATATTGGATAGAGTTGAACTTGCTCTTTATATATAACCTCTGCATCAAAATAGTTACTTTTTGGGTCTGTTATTGATAAAAAGTATATACTAAACGCCGTTCCAATTCACACATAAACCATGCAACTCGTATGCCATGCGAACGTAGAAAACGCAGCGCTTAGTCTATAACATGTAAAGTTTATAATTCATTCCTAGAACGAATTGTGACTACAAACTAGCAAATATTTAGTGGCGGCCAAGCGTTTAAATTGAGCGCGCGGTGGTTGAGGATTACGAAAGGCAAAACAAAACATTCTCGAACTTCATGTAAATAGTATGCGTTAATATAACAGGGAATGGAAAAAAAAGGGAACTTGAATAGGAATAAAGGACGGGGACATCTATTTCATATACTGTACTCTTTTGTTGTTGTTTTTATTTTCTTTATACAAAAGGTATTATGGGGAGAATGTTAAAGGGGGTTATGAGGGAGGATGTGTAAAGATCTTCCTGACAGATAGTGATGAGTGATCTGTGTGTAGAAGAGATAACAGTAATAGAGTTGAAATGAATGGAGAGAAACAATGCCCTCGTCATATCCCAAACAAGAATCCCTGTGATACGCTGGATATAGGTGACAGGAGAGATCGGTGATGCAAATGTCATGAAGAAAAGTGTCCAATAGGAACGCAAAGCATGATGAATCATGTCAAAAGAGAAGCGAGTGTACCATTCTCAAGGTCTGTCTACCAGACCGTCTATTTCACCCGACCAAACGATAAGCTCGAGGGTGTTGCAACGGTCCAAGAATACATCGTTGATAGAGGATGGTTTAGAGAATTGGGTATGGGAGGGAGAATGGCTTGGATGTAGGAAAAAGCCATTGTGTGCTGCGCCAGGATCCAAAAAGCGCGAAAAGAGGTGCAACCCCGCGCCACATAAATTGGAAGTTCATGAACAGCAGGGCCGCACAAAGCTTAAACTTCCAGTCATTGAGTAACGCATGTACTACTTCTTTCAGCTTCAGTACAATAAAGCTGCTGAGCACTTTTTTTCTTGTCTTCTTTCGTTTGCTACTTTCGTTTGCTTCTTATTCGACTCTTATGGACAAGAAAACAAAGGGTCCCAGCCCTGGGACAATCAAGAACGATATCAATTACTGTGGAGAAATCAAAGACACTCCTTCATCCAACAGCGAGAGTTCATCAGGGGACGGTTTTAGCGGTTCTGCTGAAAATAGAATTCCCAAGGATACTCGCCCACGTACGTTTGGCACCCAATTGCAAATGCAGCCGCTCTACTTGATTATTAATTACCATTGAGCACGGTTTACAGGCATACACTTCAGTTTCTGTGAGAAGCTTTCCCTTATTATAGTACTATGCTTTGCATTGTATAATTGTGTAAGGCAACAGCAATTCAAGTAATGGCCCGCCCTTACTCTTTACATATAGCTGACATGACAAAACTTAAACAATTAAGATCCCAAAATCCTTTCCTGATTACTACCCCGACATTTGTGGCAAATGGCCCTCCCATCTGACTTACCCAAGAGGCTTTCCAGAAGTAGAGTCGTTGAATCAACTGGATTACTCAATCAGACTTTTAGCCACAAATTACGGAGAAGGTATGGTGTAAATCGATCCGATGTCTTTCACTGTTATGCAGGCTTAGGATTAACACGTAGTACGTTACAATTGGTTTTGCAGAACTACTCGGTCCGTGTTATGCTCCTGTTTCATTTACAGATAACTGTGGCAACAGTATCCCCGACCATGACGTATTTTTCGGCATGTCATCGGTTACTGCTACACAAACAGCTGCGGCTACTACTACTACTACTCCATCAGGCAACAAACTGCAGCCAAGAATTACTTATGATACTACGGCGGATTTCTTGACAGCGAGTGCTTCCTTTTCTGCGCACTATTTTCGCAGGCTATCGATAACCGCTGATGATGATATTGACCTTACCGTCGACTTTCTGGACCACAAGCAAAATGCAGATCAAAAAGAACCAGTGACGGCACCACAACAATCAGGGGCGGTGGGTCTTTACCTGCGGGAGCAACAGCAAGAAATCAAGTATAATAATGGCGACGATGACTACCCAGTTGATATCTTCCAAATGAACTGCTTACATGGACGGCTCAATGTTCACATCAAGCATGGTCCTGTTTGGCTAGATGTTGAAAAGAACTATTACAACGTCAACAGTGCATCCAAGGCGTACCATCTGCAAGTTCTGCTACCAGAGGACTCCCATCTCATATTGGAACATATCTCAATATTTTTGAAAGAAGGTCGTGTTCATGCTAATTCACTTGGCTTTAACAAGCTTTTTGCCTTGATCGGACGTGGAAGCGTGAAGCTCTCGGTAAGTGTGAAGATTCGTAATAATAAACCAGTACAGTACAATTTCGCGTATGATAGTCGTTCTTGAAACCTCTTTTTTAATCTATAACATGTTTTTTTTAAAAAGGGTATCAAAGTCAACGAATTGAATGCTGCTGTTCTCGATGGGCAAATATATATGCCTGGTGTAAAATTCACAAAGAACCTTGCTGCTGGTGTCTTACGAGGAAGTTCCACAGTTGTCGGGGATATAGATCGGAATAACAGCCAGCAGCCTTATAATCTCATCAACATAGTAGTAGACGGTGATGCGCAAACTCAAGTGATGGTACGTAAATACATTTTTAATGGTCCCCTGATACAGATGTATTTAGTACGCCATCACCTTGATACTATTGCTTAACTCTTCGATCCTTCACCTCTTCTCCATCTTGGTTTGATATAATATATTAACCCGCATCATTCGCAACATATTGACAGACACCTGTAAGCAAGTACGAAGGTTTAGCCGCAAATTTCTATCTCAATAAAGGTCCCGGGTGCGAAAGAACCATCAATGTGCCTGGTTATGTTTACGTCCGCCACGAGAACGACCATCTTATTACGCACGTAGACCGAGGCAGCAGGAATTATCTTACAAAAGGATATTTCATTTCCAAAAATAGCGGCTCACATGTTCTAGCGTATAGCGGTAGAGATCTTCGCTGGAAATGTCAAACTAGATTACAATATAGATTCTACGACAATACTACTGATTAAAATATGACGAGCAAACCTGTTTATTTTGTACGTGAGAACTTACTGATGATTTGATTTGTCTTTTTTCTACTATGTCAATTGTAAGGTTAGAGAAGTCGTGGTATTGATTTTACGATAGTTTATGGCGTAGCCTTGGTGGGAATAAATAATTACCCTAGTGGACACGCATGTTGCATAGCAGTTGGAAGATTTTACACAGTCATTGTATTTCATGTCTCAATCCGCTTCTGTGCTTGAGAAAAAAAGTTAATACCTCTCGCCTAAAAGGAACGAGAGTCAGTGCCTTCCAAAAAAGGTCGCCCGAAAGTCACAAAGAAATGTAAGAACCACAGTTGTTCTTGCTAAAGTTGAGTTAAGCCATCTGCCTCTTTCTGTTTTATTTCCATTTTATACCGGCAATGAATGATACAAAACATTTCCACATTGAAGAAGCAAGTGGCCTTGAACGCAGTAATAGCAAATTTATGGCAACTCTGCCTACTGAGATCATTACCGAAATTTTTGCGCTGCTCTCCATAAAGGATCGGCTAACCTGCCTTGTCATTTGCAAGCACTGGTATGATTATATAGTCGAAGCACATCTTCTGTGGGAGAAGCTTGCGTTAACCAGCTATACAACGATGAATGCGTTTTGTCGGAGCAAAATGGCCGTCAAACTTGCTGCAGACTTTACTCGAACGCTTCACGTAGATTTTTTTGAAAGATATGGTGCTGCACCTCCTGCTACCACCTGCAATTTTATTGAATATCAGCATCATCAAGAGCAGCAGCAGTCAATGCCAAAAGATTTTACTTTGAATTTCTTTGGTGGTATAAGGTGGCGATGGCTCGAATCACTAGGTATGAAAAGATGATTACAGGTGGGAATATCTTTCATTGTTCACGAATTAATTTACTTTAAGCTCTGCACTGGCCATGCACAATAACACATGACTTGTTGTGCAACCTGATACAATCCTGCAGAGACACTATTCGCACCTTATGTCTCGATATGGACGATTGTGGAGGACTATCCATTGACGCACTGTCATATATATTGAGCGAATGTACCCAGCTTTCGCGACTTCAACTGAAGGATACCACCGCCGTAACAAGGTCGAATGGGTCATCATCGAGATCAGCAATAACAGTGTTGTCGCGTTTACGCCTCAAGAATAACAAACCATTGAAACTTGTTGAACTCGGCCTTGTCACCAATCGCATCACAGCGATTGATTTGATGCGCCTTCTCGAACATTGCCCTAATCTCAGGTCGTTATCGTTGGATCAGAGCCATATGATGTATGACGACGCGGAAAGCAGAGTCTCTCTTCTGGATCACCTACTGCGTCTGAGCAGCAGCAATGACGTGCAATTGAATACAATCGACATGTCAGCAATATATAAAAGAGAATTTTTTACTGCAAAAGCACCAAACCCAATCACGTCAGGATTATCAGCAGCAACATTTTTACAGCACCTTTCTTACCATATACCCTATATTACTCCCACTGCGCCCTCACAACAGCAACAGCAACAACAACAAGTCTTATGTCTCAATGAAATCGATCGAGTTGCTACGCTTTTTCGGATGGGATGCAAAACACTGGTGTCGCTCGATATACCTTATGAAGCAGTTGTCACATCATTCAACGCCTGCCCACATCGATTCCCGTTTAACGGCTTGCCATCTTTGAAAACTCTAAAGTTGACCTTTGTAACAACAATGGTCCAGGGGTCACTGACAACCATCGGTTCTTCTACTGATACCACCATCAAGTCGGGCGAGTTTATGTGTATTATCGTACGGTCCTGTCCATTACTGGAATCCGTGTCGTTACCCGCAACGCCACATACTATGGATGATACTGTATTCACTGAGCTAGGAAATCGCCGATATCTACGTTCGCTTTGTATCCAAGACGACGGCTGTCTGGTAACGCCCCGTGGGTTTTCCGAGCTGTTTAAAAGCACTACATCTCTTGAGCATTTCGCCATCATCACGACGAAGAATGCTTTAACACCTGGAATGATTACGGACGATCATTTAACGGCTATATCAACCTATCAGAAACTTAAGCGGCTGAATATTACCAATGCCAAGCAGCTTACTAGAAAAGGATTGAACATGCTAGTCACTGGAATGCGAAACTCCAACTTGGAGCACTTGCGATTACATAACATCCGTTGCATAACAAGTACATGGATAGAAGATTTAGCAAGTATACGGAAGCTTGCCGTGCTTGACCTAAACATACCGCCTGGGTCGCCCCATCTAGACCGCACATCAGCCGTCCATTCGCTCTTTGACAAGCGGGTTGATAGAGCACACACGCTTTGCGTGAAAATTGCTATGGCAGCAGGTGGAATTTGGCCAGTCTCGGATTCAGTTATGTTTTTCAGCGACAGTTATAAATCATCCATGGCTGTAAGGGTTTTTTAATTCTATAAAGCATCAAGGTGGCGGTAGCACATCATATACTAAAAGCAAATTCACACAATCAACTTAGAACCAAATGCTTGCACTGATGAATTCTTTCCAACATCGCTACAACATGGCGCCCTAAAATTGGTTTCTTTTTATAGTGGCCGCTCGCTATAGTGTCACAAGCAATGAGACCTAAGTCCCATCACTATATCGAATTATCATTATATATCGAATTGTAGTTCTGTGAATGGGTTCTGGCAAATACTGATAAGAACTCTAAAAAAAATATACTATCCTTCTCTTTATTTTTCCTATGTCACCCCGCCTTATAACAGCTGATTAAATTGCATTCGGCTACAAGCGCATCATTGATGGAGCCCGTTCCTAATGATTATTACTCAAAAACGACGACATTCGACACCCATAAAGTAGCAAAAACTAGCAATTGTATATAACCATAAGCAATCTGGCAACCAATGGTTTATCAGGTACGTTTATAGGGGCTGATGTTATTGTGTATATAAAATTGAAGGCTTTTGTTTCTGGTACGGATAGGTGAATGCCAATGAATAAGAAGAGAATCAGAGAAGGCAGGATGGATCAAGGACGCACAGAGAAGCTACCACACAATAAAAGCAGGGAGAGAAGCAGCTATTTTATGAGCGAATTTAAAAACCACAATGGTGTTGGCATCCCATCATTCGTACGCTAACTTTTTATCGTATAAGATCCTTCCAACAGCAACAACACATCATCGAGCGGCGGAGAACCCATTTCCTTTACTGGAAAACACTCAAGGATCGTTGCCAACAACACCATCTAGAGGGAGCTCTCTCAACAAAGGATCGTATCATTAGAGAAATTGTGTGACAGTGTTGTATATGATGAAACTACTTACCCTGTCCCATCAAATTTAAAACGAACAAAGTATTCGACATTCGTTTTGACAAGTTCTCCTGTATGACAACACACTAACTTCTCCCCTCGAAAAAACACGCCTTATCGTCACCTTTGCACCCAGCCAGCTAAAACAGTTAGAATAAGGTGTCGGAGTAGCTAATGTCTGCATAATTTTGGAATGAGATTTCTGAGCTTTCGTCTTTGTGGTTTTGGAAGCTGCTTCCGTATCAGCAAAGCTCGATTCTCGCTTCTGCCATGCTTCTTGTTTTTTTGTGAGATTCGTTGAAAAAAGTGTCGTTTGGAGGAGTGAGTCAGCTGTATATGATGAGCTAGGCGATCCATGCCGTGCGCGTACGATTCTGTAAAGAAAGAGCGAGACCCATCGGCGTAACATACCAGCTCGTAATACGTATTTTTTTCTGTTTTGTGTAACCTAAAAGCCCTAATTAGGCGCCTCATATAAAACAAGTCCCATTTAAGATAGCGCTCCACCGCCAGTATGGGCAGTCGGGCGGTACCCGTAGTGACCTAGCCAGTTAAATTTACAGAATAAAGTGCGGTATAGAAAAACTGACCAATTGCTTGTAAAAAATAAAGTGCGGCATTGTTATTTACGCCAATAACAAAGGTGGAATAAAGTCTGTCCAATCAGGAATAAAGAATAACAGCCAGCGTTACACAAAAGCTTGAGTGCGTTCCGCAGTATATATATAGCTGCTGGGAACCCTAGTGCAGGGTGAATACTCGGGTTACTGCTGCTACAACCACTTTGACACGACACTGTCAAAAAGTACTTTTTTACGTTTGACATATCTACACACAGTGAAGTATGTTTCCACTGCTCGACTCTCACTTATTGAGGGACATTCTCTCAATTTTGCTCATTTATTTTTCATCAGTTTAACGATTTAATGACACCGATGGTGGGACGCGATGAGGAAACCTTGGCAACGCCTAAAGTATTTGAGCCGTACCTGACAAGTGTCCGCAACAAAATTGACAGAGAAAGAAGAAGCAAAGGAATGCCAGCTTGCTACGAAAACAAGACCTTTTGGGTTTTGCCACCAGCGCCCTTTTTCGCTATGTACAAGAAGAAATACTTTGAACCAACCGACTTATATTTGCCACGTGTGTTCGTTTGGCTTGTCCACCTTTTGGTAGAAGAGCTCAAGTGTCCCAAGTGCAAGCAAAAACTCACAGAGCTTGGATTTCCATCAAACCCACTTGCCAGACGCATCGCAGACGACGACGACTTTTTTTACATCCTATCCTATCGATATCAATGCAAAAACGACGGATGCGACGTCAACACAATTATGGGCACAGACGAGAACTTGATAGAAAAATCGCTACCCATACAACTTGCGCTCGAATACCCGGCCACACTTTCACATAAAAGTGGTGTATCCAAGGAGTTGATGACAAATATGCGGCTGTGCTTTGGTAACGGAATGGGGCCCGGTCCATTTGCAAAAGCATTGAGCACTAGACACCACCTGCGACACGACAAAATTGAATGGCAGTATGCGGAAGGAAGACCACAGCAGCAAGAACATTCTAACGAACAGCAAAATCCATCACCCACTAGACAGTCGGCAATCAATTCGTTTTATAAACCAGTGCACTCGGCATCAAGGCAGTTCAAGAATTTCCCATCATTCGATGATCGAGATGGATATGGTGGTTCGACACCTGGTCCTAAGTATCTCACAAAAATGTACAATGAATTTGTTGAAATGCATATAAACGACCACTACAACCACATGAGTTCTCTACCAGCCACCATAATCAACATTGACCACAGCCATAAGGTGAGTTTAATTTATTTGCTTTTGTGTATATATTCTGACAAGTGCTTTGTTTGTTTTTGATAATAGGTGACAAAGCATCTTTGCAAAATGGATTCGTGCAAAATTTTTGAAGGGTTGGTATCAATGACAAACGAATACGGAGAGATTCGGTATCAAGCTTTTGTGCCTACTACATCCATGGATCACATAGAACAAGGAATACAAGGTATACTATACTTTCTTTCTTACAATTTCCTCTGATTGCATTACAGTAACCGAAACTAATTTTTGCGATTAGCCATGCTACAAAGTCTTACTGCCCATGGTCATCGTCACCCAGAAATCCTTTTTACTGACAAAGTCGAGGCCGATAAACAGTTTTTTGAAACACAAATCGAATCTCTTCGTACTGAAGTTCATCCACGTATAGTCGCTGATCCATATTATCATCTGCCGCAGCTACAGCTACCACCAACAATTTCAGTAACAATTCACAGCTCACCTTTGCAAATCGAAGCTGCTTTGACACCACTACTCGAACAAAATGGCACTGAACAGCAACCGATCGTCGTTGGTCTTGACGCAGAGTGGACATTTCATGAAAATGATCCAACGTGGCATCCAGTATCAATAATACAAGTTGCATATGACGACCGAGTATCAATATTAAAGCTGGAGAAGTTATCATCATTGCCACATGCTATCTGGACGCTGCTTAATCGCAAAGATATCATCAAGGTTGGGCGTAACATCGCAAATGATATCACTCGGCTTTCACAATCTTTTCCTCAACAATTCAATAACCTTCAAGCATCCAATGTCGTGGACCTGTTGACAATATGCAACGAGTACAAATGCAAACCAATTACTGGAACAAGTCTGGCAGATATGTGCGCAACAATTCTACAACATCGTCTATCCAAGGATTTACAACAAGGCAATTGGGAAGGTCGACTTACTGACGAGCAAGTACACTATGCAGCTTTGGATGCCTGGAGTAGTCGGCAAATTTATCTCCAAGTGACATCGCCTAGAAACGACATCATAAATCGACGAGCTGGTGTACATGTAACAGTACTAAGCGACGATGGTACTGTGGAGGTGGCGCGCGGGAAAATCAGCGATGCTAGACAAAGTGGGTATGTACATATTCTCTCCCTTACTTACTCCTTGCTTGCACCAATTCATAGTAGGAATAACACAATAAGTCAAATCATATTACTAATATTAAGCTAACCCTGACTTTTTTCCAGAATCTTTAATAAGCGGACGATAACGGAAAATCGTGCACTGGTTGAAGTTACTACTGTCTTGGTCCCTGCGGCAAAGTTGCAATTATGTGATAGGCAGCCACTTTCGTCATTTGGTGCTGCTCCGTTTTGTATATTAGTGCGTTTGTTGTCACTCCGTCCTTGTTATCAACTTATTAAGCCTGTCGCCACCGTGCACAACGAGGAAACACTAAACATATCGCAGAGCGTGGATCATCCGGAATCGCAAGCTGGTCAAACTGATCATAGCAGCGACAATGACGTGCAAGCATGGGATATTAATGAAACCGACTCGGAAGACGACAGTGACGATGATATGCCGGTACCAACGCCAAACACTTTAGCTATCGACGAGAGCTCCAAGATTTATGGCAGTCACCTCCTCGATCCTATTTTACAAAAGTATCGACCACAACGCTTGGAACAAGATAACGCCATCCACACCAGAATCGTCCAAGATGCTTGGCATGCGCTCAAGAGAATCTCAATACCAAAGAAACATGGGTTACGCATAGAATTCCAACGTAAATTAACCGACGCAATTTTGTGGATGGATTCTGGAGATGTTGCAGCTGTCACCCGGGTTCTGCATGAAAAAGGAGAGAGATTTGAATTGGGTATATATCTATATGATTCTCTTTCATTGTGGGCGACAACAAGCTTAATTTGAAATATCAAAACCATGTTATTTTAGTTCGTTGGCGTCGCAAATCTTGGATTAACGAGCGAATACGCCGCGTTGTCCCACCACCATCAAAAATTGTACAAGATGTGTACGATTTATTCATGACGTTTGGACCTCTGAAATGCGCCTCAAGTGGTCGACCCTTATTTGACAAACAGGCCTGGAAAGACGCACGAAATTTGCTACAGCTTATTGGCAAAGGATATTTGAGCGATCCACCTGGGACATCATTGTACTTGTTTCGACGACGGGATGAAAATGGTTTGGCAGTATATCAATGTCTAAGGGGAACAAACTCTCTTGAGGGCGGTGTGCACCAGAATTTAAAGAGGCATTTTGGAGCTTTCAATGCGAGTCCGAGATTTGCGGTTAATTTGCTTGTCGAATATCGAACACAACATAATTTACATGTAAGTGTATCTCATAGCCTGAAAAAAGTGACCAATTTACTGAACAACTCGAACATTTTCTTATGTGGCAGGTTGGTACGCTGAATCGCACAGGCAAACAATACAAGGGACATTACGATATATGGATGAATAACAAAATCCAGCTTGCATACTTGCGACGCGAATTGCAGCTACCAAAACATTGGCTTGATTGGCAGAACACGGATCTGTTGGCCTCGACTGAAGAAAAGTTTGACATTTGCAAGACGAGCGACGAAAGCTTGGATACATATGGCATGCAGCGTTACAGACCATCAATTGAACAGGCCAACAAACGAGATAATGCAGCTGTGAGAGCAGCATATTTAGCATCTCGTCAAGGCACCCGGTATCCAATACTACCTGTACATACAAAAGAAGAGGTAGCTTTGTTCAACCGACAGATATCTCAATTCTACAACAGTCAGCAACCGAACTCAACGAGGTGGACCGTTTTTGCCAAGTCATGGAACTCGACACATACTGACGGGCGCAATATTTTTTATAAGTACCCACAGTATCTGCGCACACATTTCAACAAATGGAGTCAGAACGCGGTGATAAGGAATAGCTTGGAAGGTACAGCTCGCCCACGATCCCAAATACGTGATAACTCTGACCGTACTGCTGAAGTCTTGGAGCCTCGATCGAATCCGCCAGCACCGACACTGCCATCCTCAATACAACGTAGTACATCCAGACGACTGCAATCTAGATCTTCTGTCTACCAACCGCTTGCTCCACGGCCAATGCAACAGCAACAACAAGTTTACAGCCAATCTGATTTGTATTCCTTTGCACGTCCACCCATGTCAGCATTACCGCCACCGCCTACTACATTTACACTACAACCGCAACTGCCTCCGCCGCAATTATATCCATCATTCCAAGTGCAGCAGCATATGCACTATAGTCCTACACCTCAGCAACAAGCAATCCAGCCGCAACACCAACAGCATTATATACGGCAAATGCAACCTAGAGCTCCATCATCATCACCATCAAGCATAAGCCGTGCTGATTTCCTCAAAAGCCTACCACCAAAGAAACAGCAAAAATATTCCCGGACTTGTCAAAATGAAGGCTGCACTGATCCACAAAATTGCCCTGGCAGTCAAAACAGATCTCACCCATCATGTAGTGCAAATAATGATAATACACGAAAAAGAAAGAAATTGAACTAGTTACTCAACCACAACTTTATTTTTCCCCATATATTTGTAATAGTTTTCAATACTTTTCTCGCGTAAACAAACATATCATAAATATACACTTTGCACTTGCTTCTACCTATTTTTTCCTTTCTTTACAATATTTGTTGTGACCGGTAGACGAAAATTCCTCACTACGGATATGGCCACCGAGCCCCAGTATGGTACGCGGTGCCAGACCAGGATCTCTTCACCCAACCCACATAATCCACATGGCAAGGTAAATTCAATTCGTAACGCGGAATGCCAGTAACCCTCCCCCTCTTCATCCTCCCGCTTTTTCATCTTTTAAAGCTTAATACCCGCTCTCAATCTATTTTCTTTCCTTAGAGGGCTCTAATGTATGGCAAGATCAACGTGCAAAGTCACGTTTTCTACAGTGTAAGTATTGTACTTTACGGACCTCTCTTTAAAAAACGTTGAATCTCTCTGTAGGGTGCAATCATTCTTAACTTTTTGTCTGGATGACGCTGTTTTTTGATATAGACTATGCTGCGACGGTACGGCTTTACAATGGTATAGCCCGTATTGGTGCTCCATTTGTGGTCAACGTCAACCGTGCGGTTTGTTGACTGCTTTTGGATGAACCATGAGAGAGACATTCCTACCGGCATCGCTGCAATGCAATTGTAGTGAGAAGTAGGGAGATCTCTGCTACGGGCTTCCTGGTAACAATATCTTAGCCCATAAAGAGGTGGCCCCAAACAATGATTCAGGGAACCTTGAGAGAGACGGACCTGCCGGCATAAGACTAAGGCAGTCTTGGGTAGGAATGCTCTGCTATGGGCTAGGCGTGCATCATTATGGAACATCGTCCGATGCTGTCTTGGTGCACGGCCGAAACCGACCGTCGCTAAACATGGCTGCTGGACACGCCTTCCTGTAAATATAAATTATCTTGATTCACCCAATAGATCTGTTATCTCACTTTCTACTCATCTTATAGAGTCGATCCTTCTTGTCTCCACCTCCAACTTAGGCTTCCCATCCTTCGACGTGTACCCTTCGACGTGTTTTGTCTTTTGTGGCAACGAGGACTGCTGAAATAGTATCTTACTCTCAACCGTGCACACTCACACACTCACACATAGGCCTTTTTGTTTGTTCTAACTATTTAGTGTTCGCCAAGGAAGCACACGCCGTCAACGTGCTTGGTACGCCAGCCATGGCTATTCAAACGACTGTTCCTGAACAAGATGTTGCCGCATCGCCTTGCCGATATATATCTGATGTATGTACACTGCTGGATTGAATCTTGGGCTGCCATGCTGGCAAATACGGGCTAACCAAAGCCATATTAAGAAGGCACCAGCTTATACTAACCACACATCTATTCATCACTCTTCTTCTTGTAGAGACGACAGCCGCTTCCATTCCACACCATCAACTTATTTTTCTCTACTTTCCTCTCCTTCTCTTCATCCTTTCAATGTACTTTTATTTGTGTCTGTTTTTTCAATGTCATTTGCATATTCCTTGTATCGATCTTCACAATCTTTTCTTTGCACAATAGCATTTCCTCCGATAAATCATTGTTAAAGTTTATCTCCACGTTTTCGCATAGCTTCTTAGCCTATTATCTAGCAGATCTCAAACAACGATTCGTTCTTGTTTTTACGTATCTCTAACTTATAATACACATAGTAAGCAAATCATTCAACGTGTTGGGAATGTAACACGAAAATCTGCTCGAAATAAGGAATTAGCTGCCCCCCTTATTTCCCTTCTCTTTTTCTTTTTTAATAATGGCCAATGCTACATCTCAGTCTAAAAACCATGTGGATCGCCATAGTGGCGAACGCTTGGTAACCTTACCCACGGAGGTCTTTTTGCAAATCTTCTCCCTGCTTTCATTTAACGATCGGCTTGTATGCGCTACTGTTTGCAAGCACTGGCACAAGTACCTGAACGAATCAAGAATTTTGTGGGATGAAATCGAGCTTGCTGGGCCCAAAGAGCTACGACGATTTCTTGAAAATATAACCATGACCGAAAACGCAGCGCTCTATACACGACGATTTTGCGTTTCCGCTGTCGCGCGTAAAAGAACGCCAACTACTCCTTTCATATCAAGAAAAAAGATGCCGGGAAGCGCTTATAAATCTGTGAAATCAGATATTGAGCTGTTGATGGCACAGACCTGGAGAAATATTGAGTCTTTGAGTATGTATGGTATATTACTACTTACATCATGATGATAAGCTTATATTGACGCGCTACCAAGTTTTACCGTGCCCTCCGGGTATGGAAAACGAATATCTTATCCGAATGATTAATCCCAGCAAAACGAGTCTGCGAACGCTCTGTCTAGATTACACAACAGCGACAATGTCAAACGAAATATTAGCCTACATTTTAAACGAGTGCCCGAACCTTTTAACTTTGCGGCTTTACGACGACCCAGGCTTGTTTGGATCAGTAACAGAGGTGTTAGACGAATCGTTGCTGCCACTCCTTCAGCAAAATAAACCGTTCCAGTTACGGATCCTCGACGTTGTAATTAGGCGGAAAGTATCATATCAAACAGTACTGAAGCTGGTGGAACGTTGCCCCAATCTCAGCTCCTTCTCCTTGGACATGTCTCAATTAAACGACGCGGCAAGGGTATCAATTTTGGACTGGTTATTAACACGGGAAAGCCAAGGGAAAAGAAGTAACTTGCAGCGAATGAATACTTTTGTCTTCTCTGCCAACGAAGACAGATCGTTACCTACATCATTTCAGACGGAAGCATCAAATAAAAAACCTACAGCAACAGCAGCAATAGCAACAGGCAATCCTACCCTTCTACACTTAAGCTATCAAAGCAGAATGGGAGTCCTACCGAGGTCTGACGGAGAAATCAACAGACTTGCTAAACTTGTACACCTGCGCCACCGCGTGCTGACATCTCTGGATTTCCCCATAGAAGCGGTTTACGCATACTACAGCACGTACCTGCCCGGAATATGCGATATGCCGTGTTTGACACACGTAGTTTTAAGGGCATCGGGCCCGTTTTTCCCAATAGCTGAAGAACCGCGGCAGTATTTTAGCACCCTAGCTAGACCCGGGGGACGTATTCTTGCCCAATTCATACGTGGATCGCCCAATATCGAATCATTTAACATTGTTTCGGGACTGCATGACCTTGACGACAACGTCCTTGGCGAGATAGGAAATCTAAAGTCCTTACGGGAGCTCCATATTGATTACTGTTCAAGGATTTCGCCGACCGGAATGTGTGATTTGTTGCGCAAGGCACAGGGATTGAAAGAGCTTTCTATAGCAGAGAACTCTTGTGATAATGATACTATCTGGTGCGAACAAATCCTTGAAGCAATCGCAGAACTCCCAAAACTCAAAAAGCTTAATATCCGCGACGGTCATACCATGATGACTTCAAATACCCTTAAAAAGTTTATCCATGCGTTGTCTCTACAGAAGAGGAGCAGTCTGAAGGAGCTTGGCCTAGCCAATATACAATGCATAACGTACGACACGATAATCGGCTGTGCGCGCTTGCGGAACTTGACTAATCTGGTGATCGACTTGCCAACGAGCTGCACCATCCCTGCATCGGGACTTACGCAAGCAGTCCACACTCTATTTGACAAGCGGAAGGATATCACGCATCCACTTTCAGTGACTATCAACATGGATACATCACCCGTTTTATCAGATGGCAAGACCCTGCACTTTTCGAGTAACGATTATAAACCCTCGCCGACGGCCAGAAGGATGGGGAATGGACACTTGCGTTTTCTGGTTCGTAGCAAATGCTCCTATGTTACATTTAATGATTTTGGACCTTAATATTTGTGTTGATAACCATTGAGTACCTGTTTCATAGTTCAACGTCCAAGGCTCGCAACAGCTTTACTTTCCATATTGAAAGTTACCAGCACAAGAAAAATGAATATGCTCAATTATACCCCTCGACGATAGATTCAAAAGGCTTATACAGCTTGTTTTTTTTTGTTATACACTTTACGCAGCAAGCATTTTTAAACACGATATTCAGGACAGATATACAGAGAAAGAGAATAATTTACAACTACAGTGATATCAGGGTATTGACAAACTTTTCAATCTTGTCTGCATCCTGTCTAGCCATTTCTATGATCATGAGAAGCTTCTTAACACCAATAGCAACCTTGTTCTCCATTCCGGCTTGCTCCAAAAGCGACATGGTGCGCTGACGCTCGTTATCAGTAAAGAGGCCAAGTTGCTAGATTGATAGAAAGCAATAAATATTTACAAATTTTAAAAAAAATCCCTTTAATTCTTATGCAAAATAAAAGTAGTATTGGAAAAGGAACAAACCTGTAACACGATATCGATGCCTTCCAAAGTAGTGATAGTAGGAACGTAGATTTGCGAGTTGAAAGCTTCTGTCATGTCCATCTGGTCAAGAACATTGCGCTCGGTAGTAGTTCCAATAATAAGCAAGCGACGATCCTAGCCGAGAAAATTTAATTGCTTAAGTTAGAAAAAAATCTCACAGTCTGGCTTGATACACAAAGTAATCGTTCACATCCATTTATACCTTCGGAGGCTTCTTTTTGATCAAGACGAGTAATGCTTGCAAAATTGCGTTAGAGAATCGAGGACCGATAGGCACCCAATCTAAGGAACACAATACCCACACGGTTAATATCCAACATACATTCCATACGTGATTTTGTAAGCAAATACTCACCCACTAAACGCTCAACATTGTCAATAACAATAACACTGAGTGGTGATTTGTATGAATCATTGAAGACCTATTAGACAAGTTAATTAATAAAACACGCCAAGGAGGAGTGGAAGGTCACACACTCTGATAAATCTTTCTTACTCTATTGATTTCCGCAATTTTGGCGGCTTCGGTCATACCGACCATGGTTTCAGGTGATATAAGTTTGATGAAGGGGAATTCACTTTCCAAAGCAATGGTAGCAGCAATAGCAGTTTTACCGCTACCAGCTGGACCATGGGCCAAAAGACTGACCACAGGAGTGCGTGATGATTGGCGTACTTGGTCTACATACAATTTGCCATCGGCCAAGATTTGCTACGAAATTTGGATGGTTCAGTATATGGTGACATATATGCAATGCTTACACAGACACGCCTTCTTTTCATGGAATTACCTCGATATGTGGACTGAAGGGAATAATGTGGTTCTGGACGCATTGCTGCAACTCTGCTTCAGAGACACCAAAGGCAGGCGGAACTTCATTTAATGCAGCCAAAAAATCAGCCATGTTGACCTTCATCTCCTCCACATCAGGTGCTACTCCAGCAACTGTGCCAACCTAAACAAGGCAATTACTTGCTAGGTTAGTAAAGTATCAAGGGCCTCAAGGATCCCTATTTATTTCAAAGCAGCTCTTTTCTATACCTTTGTGTGTCGCGAGAAGGCATAAGATGATGCAGCTTTCACTACACCAGAAATTTCAGCACCACTGTAGTTCTTTGTGAGATCAGCAAGTTCCTCTAAAGAAACATCAGGATCGAGAATATCATTCTCTCGCATCTAATCCATAATTGTCAGATACCACTTAAATCATCAATTTTTTCTTTTATCCATAGACACTTACACGGCCAGTGTGAATCTTGAGGATTTGAAGACGACCAGATTCGTCGGGCAAACCAATCTCCATGTGTACCTCGAGACGACCTAGAATATGCATTTGGTAAGCCCATCCTCACCTGAACCTCTTATGGTATCCACAGCCATATTTTCTCTCTTGTATTAATTACCTGGACGCAGTAAGGCCTCGTCGATCATGTCCTTTCTGTTGGTCATACCGATAATTAAAATGTTGTTGAGCTGATCTACACCATCCATCTAAATATACATAAAACAAGTTATTAACGCCAAAGGTCATAGACATCTTTTTTTTATCAAACCGTTTCCCCACTTTTCTCTGTACTTACCTTGGCCAAAAGCTGATTAACGACCGAATCACCAACACCGGTACTATCACCACGGCTACCACGCTGTTTACAAATAGCATCCAGTTCATCAAAAATGATAATGTGCAGGCTCGACTCTTCTCCCTTAGACTTGTACTCTGCTTCGGCATCCGCAAACAGTTTTCGGACATTCTCTTCACTCTGACCAACAAACTTGCTCAACACTTCAGGACCACTGACGACCTTGGGTTCTTGAGCGTTCAACATCTTGCCAATCTGTCGAGCAATTAAAGTTTTACCAGTACCGGGAGGACCATAGAGCAAAAGACCCTTGACGTGCTGCACACCCAACTTTTCAACGATGGAGGGAGGGAAAATGCGCGATGCAAAGGCACGTCGGAAAATGGCGCTAAATTCGGTGTCCAGACCACCAATACCCAAATCCTCAAACTTGAAATCGGCTCGGATCAAAGGCTTCGATTGTTGACTATTGATAACATACATCCCAGATCTTATCAGCTCCATATTTCCCTTTTCTTGCTCGTTTATAATGACGTATTGACAGCATGTATACTACATTCCCAAAACCAACTTACGATCGCTTGGCGCCCTTAAGACGGATAGTGGATTCGCTGGTTTTCGTAAACTGAATAGTGCTTTGACGCATCAAAACACCTCGATTGGCATGTGATGCCCCCGTTCCTTCGTGGGAAGCACCACCTTCTTCGGTCATACGTTTCAAGGCGTCTAACTCGACCACCTCCATGTCGGCGATTCTGCATGAAAGGTTGACACCTCGGAACTCGAATACCAACAGTTGACCCACAGTAAAGATTTGGTTATGGAAATTCTATATGTGATACGTATGATGTTAGTATATTCATGTATGAGAAAGCCAACCAAAAAGAAGTGTAGAATTAGCAAGCGTTAAGTTTTCTTACCGATGAGAATGCCTTCTCCATTGCCTCGGTATCAAAATCTTCTGTCATTTGTGTACTCTTTCTCAGGAAACCAACTTCAACTTTGAGACTCGCCAAGTAAATGTCGACACCATCTTCAAAAGGGTTGTATGCTTCGACAGTGACCTCCTGCTTCAGCGAGAATTGAGCCCAGCGGCGCTGCATGGCGCTAGTTCCGAGAACGCCACGGTTCAACGAGTTGTCTGGTCTGTGGTCCATTCACAACCGCATGAGATGGTGTAAAATAATGCTTGCTATAGATTCCAGCCCTCATCCATACCCTCTTGCTTTTGTTTACCTTGCTGTAAATACATATTCATTGTTGACAAGAAGGTAGTGCTTTGAGGGATCGACTTGTCCAGGTGCGATGGAAACGTAGTTTGACAGGGCGAAAGTATCGGAGGGGCATTTCTCGACTTTCATAGTCAATACTTCATTGTCAGCATTGCGGTCGGCGGGCGAGTGCCCACCATAGGGCGTGCGTCCGTAATCCATTATGTGCGGGATAAGATGAGTCTCTTGATATTAGAAAAAAGAAAAAGGAAACGAAGTAACTGAAACCTCCAAACTCCACGCGAATGCTTTATACGATTGAGGCATTATCCGCCTTTTTTTTTAAGTTCCGTTTCTCTTTCGCGTTACAATTTCACTCTTCCTACTGGATCCACGTTGGATCACCTCTATTTCGTGCTAAACAAATATAGCTTGCTCCACTTTATGAACCGCACAGTACGCAAGCATCGTCATCATAAGGGCGCAGCACATAAGGACGATTCGCAAAGTGGACGTTCTTCACTGCATATGCACAACAGTAGCACCACGCAGCCTCTTGTACCACCAGAGCCGATGCCACAGCATCCGAATAAACGGCATCGAACAGTTGGAAGCTCACATCCTCTTGCCACAGCACCTTTACCTTTTCCAAGTGACGCATCAGCAACTGAAAGCTCCTCGGAAGCTACAAACACTCATGATCAACAGGTAAGTTGCTTTATACATTTGGTTAAAGTTGTCGCCTTCACGAAACAGTCGGGCTTTATCATATTTTGCTTGGCAAGCATCAACTGATTCTCCTCTTAGATTACAAGTGAACCAGCGACAGCGGTGGTAACGACGATTATGGCGCTCAACTGGGCAAAAGGACGCGCTGGCTGTGCTTACTATACTCACGAGTTTCATGAACTTTACATGATGGATGACGTTGTGGAATCATCTACGTTGGAAATTATCAGGTCTTGTACGTGCATATCAAGCTTCTGTTTTGCTGCGCCAATAGAATTATTTAGAGCACAAAATCTGTACGTTTTCTTACAAGGGCGAACTCTTCTCTTCATTTTAAAGTGATTGACCAAATTGCGCCACAGACTATCATTGTTCCTCAGGATAGCGACGAGTTAACTAGCTTAATTGATGGGCTTCGTGGTAATTGCTTTTTTTTCATACGTTGTGTTACAGTGGGAGTGCTTGCAAAGCGATATATAATATGCATTAATGTTGAAAAACGATCCTGCAGGTGGACACAATGACATACAGACGCAGCTGCTGCCGGCCAAAACATTTGCATGTGCACACGGACGCTATAGTTTGGTTTCATGGTTTATTCAACAACGCGAAAGCCATCAACAGCAACAGAAGCAGCAAGCAAAATCACGGTACCAAGAATCAGCGACAGTAGGTTCTATGGAGGCAAGCTCGTCGGCAGAAGGGGCATCATTGCCAATGGCGACAGACGTATACTGTGACGATCCACATGACGGACAAAGAAGACAAGCTTATCTGCAACTTTCATGCTACGTTGATCTCGACAGCCAAGTATCGGTAAAATGAATTTTATTCTCAAGGAAGCAAGATGGCAGAACGTGCTGGTAGTATAGGTGCCTGTAATATATTGGCTAATCAAAAACCTAGGTTGGATGTGCTGGAGCATTACTCAACTATCTTGAACAGCTAGAAGATACGTCGAATCGACCTATTGGATCCAGATTTGATAATGGAACTTCATTCCAGGCGCTGCTGCTACGTAGCTTCTCGAGGTAAAATCTGTCAGCATTGGTGCGCGATGTATCAAATGATAGGTAGCGACGTCTGTAAAAGATGATGACTCTCGTCTTACTATTATAACTTAGTGAGCAATGTATGCAAATATCGAAGGAGTCGCAAAAGTATGTCTCATTCTGCTTTTTTATTGCAAATGTATATGTATCCCTTATAGCTTTTTCTTGCTTACTTTTCTTAATAAGATCACTTTGCATATTTGAGAAGGACCTTCATCCCAACGCCCATCAGAAAAGAGGAAAAGAAAGTTTGTCTCTGTTTGGTATGTGGCTGCTGCTAGTTGAATTATACGATGATACGGCTATGGTCACATAATACATCAATATCCTGACATTTCTTTAGGCTTATTGAATCATACTGTAACGCCTATTGGACATCATCTCCTAAAGTCATGGGTGCTACGACCTAGCTTGGATATCAACGTGATCCGAGCCCGTCAAGATGCGGTTGGCTATTTCTCAGCACCGGACACCGTCCAATTTTCAAAAGAGCTCGGTACACAGCTGAAGCATATCAAGAACATTGCGCGAATAATCTCTATGATTAAAGAGCATCGAGCATCGCCTACAGAATGGCACCAGCTTCTAGAGGTGAGCATATTGTATACTATGACTGTTTCTTGTTCAAAACTAGCGATTAATCTAACGGCTGGTAATTTTTCCCTATCTTTGTGTTCTTTAACATCAGTTTGTGTACTATTCCATCCGAATCTACTCTTCATTCGCAGGTGGAAGAGACCAGACGGACATAGCCATCATTATGAAGGTACATGTACATTCCAGCATATATATATATGTACTACACTCGTTATTTAAACAACTCTTCTTTCACCGTCACATGTAACAAAATTGCCCCTTATCGTACTTGTTAGATTCTGAATACCATTGATACTGGGATACTACGGAACGTTGGAACAGCAATAGACGAAGTGGTATAACAGTGTATTGCTACTGATGACACGTTTTACACCACATCATCCACTTTTGTGTGCTAACGAATCATTTCTCTGTTGTTGATTAGTTGGATTTCCATCAAAGCAAGATCGAAGGACGGCTTGTGGTCAAAGATAATTATGATGCAGTAAGCGGATCTTTTCCTATTATTTTGTTTAATAGTGGTGTAACTGATACTAGTGGCTGCAAGCTGACGACAATCTAATGTTGCGTAAAATCGAATAGGATCTAGATCACCTAAGGGAAACATACTCCGGTTTGGATGCCATTTTGGTAGGCTTTAGGCGCTGTGATGATCCTGATAATGGTCAATGCAACTTGTCAGCATATTTTTGAGGAATTCACTAATGAATTTAACTTATACATTAGCTGTCAGTATCACAAGAAATCAGCTACAATATGTCACCAAATATTGCCCCACTATGCAATGTTGTGTACTTTCCTCAGCTTGGATATCTTATCACACTACCAATTCACCTTGAATACTCTATTGACCCTCGCTGGGGTTTCGAGCTACAGGTAATATAGATAGAACTTTTAGAGCACATCAGTTATATATTCATTTTTTGCTCTCTCACAAAATAGTTCAAAACAGCTGAGAACCTGTACTTCAAGGATGTAAAAACGAAAGGTTGGTCCATATATTTTCATTTAGCAAAATACTCACATGCTGCTGTAGCAAAAAGTATATTATGCGATTACATGATTGACTAAATCGAGCAATAACAGAGTTGGATGAAGTGCTTGGTGACATCCATGCCATGATTATCGGTATGTTGCGGTTTTTATGACTCCTATTTAGAGCTCAATCCTTCTTGCTTCAACTCATTTACTTCTTTAGACAAGGAAATTGAGCTAGTGCATTACCTTTCAGATCAATTGTTGGCTTACTCTCAGAATCTGTTGGTTATGGCGGATGTCTGTGCAGAGTTGGACAGGTATACTGTGGTTTTTTTATAAAAGAAAAAAAGGGACAAATGACAGTATTATTACATAATCAGGTGCCTTACCTAATTTTGATAGCTTACTGGCGCTAGCAAAGGCAGCAGCACTACATAACTATATTAAGCCAGAAATGACATTGGATAATCAGCTTGTAATTATCCAAGGAAGGTAAAGTACACTGATGCTTTGCAGGAGCTAGTAGTATGACTGTTGCTTCTTCTTCATTTCTCACCAGGAAAAAAAAACCGTAAATAATATTTGATAGACATCCTCTTCAAGAATTGGCCGTCGACGTCTTTATTGCAAACGATACATACCTCGTTGGAGGAAGAGCAGCGACACCGTCACGGGTTTCTTCTGCTTCAGACAGTATCACTAATGCAAACAGTGTTGCGCTCCTGACAGGCGCCAATTTTTCAGGGAAAAGCGTTTATCTTCGACAGGTACGTAAGGATACTGTATATTGCTTTCTGATAGGGGTCCTTTGTTCTTGTGGTAACGTAAAAATTTGGATGCTTCTTTATGATTCTTCATTTATGATAAAGATCGGATTGATAACTTACATGGCGCATATTGGAAGGTATGTATAATCATTTCGTAGCAGAATTGTAGTTAAATCAGTACTACAACGGTTGAGAAGAATTCTTAACAATGGTTTTAACTAGCTTTGTCCCAGCCGCTCAAGCAATCATTGGTATAACGGATAAGATTTTCACATGCATCCAGACTGTCGAAACTGTATCCAAGGTAGGATATCATATTTCACTGGACTTTATGGTGTAGCGCGATGCTTCAAGTGATTCCATTAAAGTTCAACTTACAAAAAGTAATACTGTCACTTGTTTACATAATTATATGAAAGCTTCAAAGTGCTTTTGCCCTGGATATCCAGCAGCTATCACAAGCGGTTCACTATGCTACCGATCGAAGCCTCGTTCTAATGGACGAGTTTGGCAATGTACGTAGCCACTTCTAAACAACTTTGTCATCGCTTATGGCCTTGGTTGCTCATGTATTTTTTTACAGGGAACAGAAAGTACAGACGGCGCCGCTCTACTTTGCGCAACACTGGGTTATTTTCTGTACAAAGGGAACTTGTGCCCAAAAATATTGGCTATCACACATTTTCACGGTACACACAGCAATAAAGTCGTTGGAGGAAAGAAAAGTATACCATAAGCTTACGTTACCTTTTTGCTTATCATTGCAGAGCTCATCTCGCGCCAAATAATTACGCCAGAAGACAACAGAATCACTTTTCTCACGATGGAGATATTGAATGCTCAAGTGACGGGTGAAAACTCGGAAACAATGGATGAGGTCGTGTTCTTGTATAAAGTCGTGCCCGGTTCGCAAGCGCGTAATTCGTATGGAGCTTGGTGCGCAAGTATTGCTGGTGTGCCAACACAGATTGTCCGTCGAGGTAGTGTATCCTGCTCACGTCCAACATTAACTTTTACTTACTACGTAGCGTAAACTTTACTAAATATACACTCTTAGCTCTGGACCTCTCTAGCATAATATATTCGGCACAGATGATAACGCCAGAATATAGCGAGGAAGAAGAGAGAGAGTTCGAAGCTATAGAAGCTGTGGCACGAAAGCTCATGCTGGTGGATAAAGAAGAGGAAACGGAGAAAGCCCTTGTAGATGAATTGGTTCAGTTGATGTTGGAATAAGTAAACATTACCGTTGCTATTTTTTAATGTCAATTATAAGAAGCTGTATGTATTAAACTACAAAGTGTCTACTTTAATGGTCAAGGTGCTATATGCGATATTATTACATTGCAAAATTAATTTTATGTGAAGAAGGGAAATGAGTGAATACATTGTTGAATGTGCTGTTGATACTTTTTTTCTATGCTAAACCACTAGCCTTGGCCTTGTTGACTAAGAAACTACCGAAGGGTGTCGTCTCAAATTCAGTATTCCGTAAGAAAGCATTTACTTCGTCTAGCTTGTTAGCACTGTATTCTACAGGTGCACGCTTCTGTTCAATATAGTTTTTGTGCGTTTCAAGCTAAATACACAATTCCGACATTAATATATCATCTGTTTATAAAATACATGCAAATAAACGTCCATTAAATACCTTATCAATAAGCGTGCGTAAAGACTTAGCAAAACGTGTTCCCTTGAGGGTCTTGTGATCTTCCTTCAGCTATATATACAAAAAAAGTTAAGTATCTAGCAGACTATAGTCATGCACACAAGAAGGTACACACAAACCTTGCTAAGTACTGGAATTGCAAGTTCTGGGAAAGCAATGTTCAGACCGAAGCATGCATAAAAGTCGACCAAGTTGTCATAAAATACTTGGTATTTGGCATCCTGTAGTTGAAAGAATGGCGCGTCATGTAAGTGGACAGTATCAATGGATCACTTTCAAACATCCCCGCTCAGTTGGTAACAAACCTGATAGATTTTTGTTTGTGCGTATTCTTTTGGTGCTCGCAAATATAACTCCCATTCAAAAGGTGGCAGATCGGTCTGATCCATCATTGACTTTACATCGCCATTGAAAATCTCAAAGATGAATGGTCCCAGAGGAATATAGTAGCCTGTACCATCGATCAATCCGATCAACGAACGGATGATATGAACGCGAAGAGGAAGGAATTGGCCAACAGGGTTCAGTCTATCATTTTTTTAAATAAAAATGTTAGGCCATTGATACATTCTATTTATCCTTCTCAGCCATAAGATTTCTAATCCCAAATTCTTTACCTTAATGTTTGTAGCGAAATATCAACCAAGGGCTGAAGATGTGTAAGCATGGGCGACGCAACACCGGTTTCTGGGTTACACGTGTTTGCAATGACATTGGCCCAGAAATCCAAACAGCTAACAAATTGCCAAGTATAGATTGTTTTAAAACTCTCTGCTGTATGCTGCTTCTTTGCCGATTTCAAATGACTCGCCAACTGGTGAATGTACACTTCTGCATGTTGGGTGCTGACTTTTGAGTCGAGGGTATATAAGTCAGGTCCTTCCTCTAGCATTTGTTGGATCATTGGCAATGTTGACTCGGTCATCTTTGTTGCGTGCTTTGCGAAAATAAGGTATACACCCTTCATGCAGTGACCAACATAGTTGTTTTTTTCGACGTCGACAGCTGCTGTAGCAAAGTGTTTGATGGATTGATAGCACCGAGCTCTAGATTCGGATGAAAGTGCGTTATCGGACCATCGATCCAAAAGAACCTAATATACAAAGCATTTTGACGTCGCTTATTAATTTCCCTACTTTCACCATAGTACCATCCCTTTCTTGATCAAATGAAGGAAGTCCTTACCCGTAAGTATTCTCTAGCAGCCTTAGGGAAGCATCCAAAGTAAAGGGTACAAGGCTCCAAGTGCGTAAGAATATACTGCAGCATTTCATCCTGATCCATGTCTCGTAGAAATCGCACACAATTGTTAAGGAAGAGTCGTACAACTTTCTGTAACCGACGCCAGTTCTTGGTCTTTGCTGGGTGCTTTGCTTTTTTGGTGAAAAAGAGATGCTCGCTGAAAATTGGATAGGCTGATTTAACGGTGAGTCGGACGAGCTTCTTGTAAACTACGGATGAACACAAGTTAGGACAACGAACGTGACCATCACACATGTAACTACAGTGCTTCACATTCTATCTTTTAATTCTCCAAGTCCAGGATGAGCTTTCGTACCTTTGTGGTTGTTAATCCGGTATTTGAAATCCGCATCCGTTTCTTCATCTGACCGAGCAATGGCTCGGAAAGCAAGTAGCAGCTGCTTGAAAGCCTCAGGCGACTTCTTTTTGGCAGATTCGGACCAGTTTGATAAAAGTTCCATTGTAACTTCTTGGGAAGTGTCATCGACTTCACCGCCCTCGTCGTTGTCATCATCATCATCATCATCATTTCCTTCTTCGTAATATTCTTCATCTTCACTCATAAATTCAACGTCTTCTTCATCGTCTTCTTCATCGTCATCGTCTTCTTCATCGTCATCGTCATCTTCGTCTACGTCGTCGTTTTCCACAACGTCTTCACTCTTTTCGTCCAGTGGTTCGTCCTCAGCCTCGACTGCTTCCAATTCATCCAGTCCGTTCACGTCATCTTCTTCATCGTCGCTCAAATCAAGTGATTCTTCGCTGCCGATTAAAAAGTTGCAAAAGTAGTCTTCGGTATTGATAGTGCTTTGTTCAGCATTGCTATAACAACGCGATCCAACTTTAATCAGTAAACGTATATTCTAGGAAATACACAATCGAAGTCGTCATTACCTTGAACTAGTCTCCGTTTCTGTGGCTCCTTCTTTGGGTTGTTCTTTAAATGATCGAGTTTGGTTAATAAAACTCAAGCGTAGAAAACTTGTATGGAAGCGGAACGATCGCCTATATTATACGTTTGATCTGTACCTTTTCCGTTCACTTGATTCCGAGATCTACGTTCTTTGCGTCGATTCACTTGTTGCTTGAACTTGGTGTGTTTTTTTCTTCGGTCAATTGTGCTCTTGAGTTTATTTTTTTGAAATTTGACAGTGGCTTTCTTTGCCTTGGCCATTGTGATATAACAGGGTTGAGTTGGAAGCGGTGCGTTTTTTGGCAGCAAAAAAAGAGAGAGCTTACCTAAAAGGTTTCAAGCCACCGAAATCAAATTAAATTCATGCAGCTTAGGACACCCGATTTTTTGTCATGTGTGTTCAGACATATGAAATAAGTTTGTTACGAACACCACACAATTCTGTATTTAACTACAAATCTCATCATAAATGGGGCTTCGTAACAATTATCTTCGCTTGAGATTTGGTAATTCGAGCAATCAGCAATGTACAGTTAAACTTGTATGCCACGAATGCACTCAGCAGTAGCATTTTAAACGTTTTTTTTAAAACTCGTAAATATTACGGCTATAGTCAACCGGTCATCTCGTGCAAACTTATGACAATATAAAATTCAATACTTCATTATGTATGGGTTCTGTGGCATGCCGAAGAATACCAAGCAATTCCTTGATGGTCACCATTATGTACCGATAAGGTTTGCTTGTGCAAAATCAAAGCGATGTATATGTCATCATCTAAGTCCATCGATTACATCCTACAAAGCACATCTTTCGTATAATACAAACGCAGTAAACCACCTTCACTTACAATTTCAAAGATACCGTTGATTTCAACGATGTTTGGCACCTTCTATGGCTGTAGATAAAAGGGATCTACTATGCATGTCTTTCCATACAATTGCGTAAATATGTGACTTACTGCTACATCATAATGTGGGATTTATTATAGTTCCAAGGACAGCATGTCTATTTCCTAGAATTACATAAGTCTCAATTGCTTACGCAAAAAAGAAAAAGAATCCCATCAATCATAGTTGGTAAACAGTGTATTATTAAATAAAAAAGCTTAAACACGGAAAGACGAACAAAAACTAAATCAACGTGGTGCATGGCTTGATTGGCTAAACCTTATTAAGCTTTGTCACACCTTTCATTTCCCTTTCACCAGAGCTATTGGTAGCCAACGTGAGACAGCTGAATTTGTTGTCACTCTTTTTCCATTACTTCTTTTTTCGTTGATTTCACTACATCTACACGTAGGCGCTCTTACTCAACAACATATACATGGTTTTCTGGATGGGGTTATCAAGAAGCGGTTTGCTTTCTCGTCTTCTTGTGGCAACAGCCATAATCGCCTTGCAGCAGCATTTCGCCGTCCAAGCAGTTACACCGGCTGCACATTATGGAGGAGGTAGCTTTCTCTTTATTCCTTTTCAGTTTTAGGACAAAGACTGAGCAGAAAGGAACAATAGGCTGCGTATTTCTTCACCCAAAAATCTATTGCTATGGAGGCGGGTTAATAGTAACAGGGCAAGACTATCCGTCAACTCTCGATGATCTACAAACACTCGATCTATCAAACGATCTTGTTGTCAGCAAAGCCGGTGGCAACTGGATACCTGTCGAGGCAAAAGGGCCGTTGCAGGCAGCACCCAACTTTCTGTTTGTTATGACTGCAGTCCCTCAGAACAAAAGCTTTGTGATGAACGGTGGATTAGGATTTAACAATCAGTCAGCACTTGTCCATCAAACAATTGCATTCGACACCTCAACGGAAACATGGAAAGCAATTGATAGTGGAAATATGCTACAAACGTAAGTATGATGATTTTGTATGTATACCCAGGATAAGCAATCATGATCACGATTGCTATTTTCTGATTATATTTGAGGGTACACATAATAGTACTTATAGTAATGGTAATACACCGAGACCTTGCAGACATGTAATCAATTAACTGGCTCATTATTCTTTTTTGGCTATACAGACGTCAATCAACAATGATACTCGGTAGCAATAATATAATTTACATATGGGGTGGCAACAGGTAAATCATACTATTATGTCAACGCATATACATGGGCATTCTGTTTTTTTTCTGCGACAGAGATATAACCGGATAAATGGATTTGTTACACAGTGACATCTTTACGGGGTACGCTGGAGAAAATTACGCGACCGATATGAAAATTTTAAACTACATGGTATGATAACAATTCATTGCTTGCTCAGAATTGGTGCTTTCATACTATATATGAGTATGATTACTGAAAGGATATGAGTAGACATCATCATGGAATACAGCTCCATTAACAGCAGGCATACCTCCTCGCATTGAGCATAGTGGAACACTTTCGACCGATGGAAAAACAATCATTTATCTTGGTGGTTTGTCAGCATCACAAATAATCGCTGCTGATCAGACTGTGCAATACCAAGTAGTTGGCGCACCAATGTCAAGTATTGTTATATACGACACAGAGCAAGCGCAGTGGACAACGAAGCAATCATCAGGTCCTACACCAACAAACAGACGACTTCATGCTGCAGCATTGAGTACGTATTATACTAATTTGTACTATTATATAAGGATGCCATGTTATGAGCTAATATTAGCTAGAATAGCTTATGCAAGATGATCTGTTCTAAATTACTATTCTCTTTTATCGGCTTATTACCACAGTACCTAACACAACAACAATCGTACTATATGGTGGAGCAGAAGCAAGTATGTTCTCTGACCCAAAGATCATTTATTTCGAAAGTATAATCTGACTATGTAGCGATTTCTCGCTAACAAATTTGTGCTATGCGACGTTCTTTACGTACATTATTAGCTGGTGATAGGCCTGCATCTGATTACTGCTATTTGCTGGATACAAACACGCTGGGCTGGCAACAGGTTACATTTAATGACGACAGTGGAGCTGGTCCACGCTACGGGCACTCACGTAATGCACAGAACGACATAATCATCGCAAAAGAAAAACTACTAATTAAAGTAGCTTTCTTTCTTATTAGTTGTATTGATTGGAGCCGATAGTCTTTTTGTTCTGTTTGGGATCGACAATAATGGCGCCACGCGCAACGACTTTAATGTGCTTAATGTTACGAGTTGGACTTGGATGGACGATTTTCAAGGTATAGCACCCACCCCATCAGGTAGCCCATCCGATCCATCTTCAAGCATCGTGCCATCATCAACCGCAAACGATAATGACGATGGCTCTGGATTATCTGGAGGTGCTATTGCGGGTGCAGTAATTGGCGTAATTCTGGGAGTATGTCTTTTTCCATCGCTAAAATACATAGTCCGATATATTGATAAGTTTATGCTACAACGTTCGTTTTAGATTGCGCTTATTGCCGGCATTGTGTATCTGCTGATCCGCCGAAAACGACAACAGCAACAATCTGTTGCCAACGATAACGACGATCAGTTAGTTATGTTTAAAAATGAGCACGGTGATAACAGTGGCCAGATGGTCTACAACGACACCACCACACCACCCCCACCCGTTATTACAAAAGACAATGACAACACACAAGCCGCATTCTTTATGGCGTCCTCTTTAAATTCTTCTCCAGCAGCACACAAATATCAAGTCGAGGGCCCGCCACCACCACCAGTCATTTATACCCCTCAGCATATGCCGTATTCGGATAACAGTTCGAATTTTGCTACAGCATCTTTGACGAGTAGTAATAATATCAGTTACTTCCAACCATCTTCTATTTCAGGAGGAGGAGGAGGAGACCGCTCAGGACGATCAACTCCAGTCAGTCCTGAAAAACCTGATGGTGGCGTACCTCGTATGAAACTTACGGCTGTGAAGCCTGACGGAGCATAAGAATATATGTATTTTGTTGTGTAATATAATTATTTTAATGTATTAGTAATAAAAAAACCTTGTAAATGTTTTCTTTGAATATACACTTTGCTGGTGAGGGATGAAAGCTTCTAGACACGACATTATGAGATCGCTTGACTACAACGAGCTGGAACGTATATTACGTTGGTGTCCCGCCATACTAAAGAGCTCAGTCGAAAAGACTGCGAATGGCAGAGCTTTTCCCAATGTATCTGACGTAAAGGCTGGTCCACAGCGTTTTATCGCTCAGTTCTCCGATATGGCGTCACTATATTATCTGCACCTGGCCTAGATGCCAACAGCTACTGAGGATATACTCGTCGGCCTTGGTAAGACTGACCATACCAAACTGCTCAAACTTGACAATATAAGGAATGCCGGCATTTTACCTGCATAGTATCTGCAGCAACAATCACGAAGCATATGAAAATTATTTGGTGCGAAAGCTATATAATCATCATAAGAAAGAGTCAATAAACTACTTTAGAGGTAAGGTGTCTAAGGTGACCTACTTGACAAACATTCCTTCCTCGAAGCGACCACGTATTTCAAATTGATTTTGGAAAAGTATCAAAAGAATTTTTAGTAGAGTGCTTATAGGAGCAATATTTGAATTCAGTAGGATTAAATGAAAGGTTCTATAACATATAAATAGTAAATATATTAAATAGCGGCTCCTTGATAGTCAGGAACTTTTTCTTTCAGTAGTTTTTCGGTGTACTCCCATAGATCAGCAGCATTCTTTTCAGATCTTGAGTAAGGGTTTGCCCAACCAGATGCAGCGTAGGGAACCTAAAATACATAAGATTTTGTTTTTGAGTTCCAAGTCAACCAGGCTCTTCATAATGATATCTTTTGTGGCAAAATATCAAGCTAGTTCATGACCCTTGACCGATGATCCAATCCATTTGCACTGCATCCCTATGCATACTACTTACGTAATACTGGCCCTTGATCTGTTTACTTTCCACCTCAGGGCTCGTGGCAAGATACAGTTGTGTAAGCGAACCATTCTCCGTAGTAATAGCAAGATAGTTGTTGTACACACTATCCAAGAATGACTTTGGGGAAGCAATATGTCTTGAAAGCTCACTGCTCACAACGCCAGGATGATTACAGTTGACGTATACCTATAGCACCGGACAAAGAAGATATTTAGTATATTTAGCTACAAACACTCCTTGTTAATTACTGCTGCTGTAAAAGCATCTTATCCCACACATTACATTGTCAATCCCCTGGGCTTCCAAACGTTTGGCAAGTTCACGGGTGAACATGATATTGCATGCCTAAAGGAAGAACAAAAACCTTTGTAAGAAAAAAAACCCCCTTTAATAAATACTTTGAGAAAGTCCTTTTACCTTGGTAAAACCATATTGCAAAGTGGCATTATAGCCCTTCTTCTCACTGATTTTGTCAGTAAAATTGGGAGCATAAACTGAAGTGGAATGATGGCCCATGGAGCTCACATTGACAATACGACTGGGACCGGATTTGATTAAAAGAGGAAGCAGTTGCATGGTCAAGTAGTAGTGAGCCACATGGTTTGTGGCAAACTGTATCTCAATGCCTAGTAATGATCTTTTGAGTTTGACAGGTTCTTTCTTTCTTTTTTTAACGTCGTATATATACAGTACCATCCTTGCTAAGACCATAGGGACACATCATGACACCAGCATTGTTCAGCAAGATATGCAACTTGTCGAATTTAGCAGTAAACTCCTCGGCAAACGCTTTAACTGCTTCGAGCGAGAGCAAGTCAAGCTTCATAAACTCAACCTTGTCATTACCGGTAGCAGACTTAATCTCGGTAACAGCAGCTTGTCCCTTCTCTTCACTACGGCTGGCCACAATACTTTATAAAGTATAATATTTCGTGCTTGAGTTACTTTTATATCATCTTAGAATCGCGTTCACTCCCCCTTTTACTAATTAAACGTTACATTTGACAATTCTGTCGTGCCATCTCCAAAGCACAAACCTTGCCGATGCCAGTGTTGCTACCAGTGATAATGGCGATCTTGCCAGTGAGATCAGGTATTTTCGAGAAATCGAAATTCTTTGAAAAAAACATAATACTTTGTGGTATATGATCAAGGCCCCCTTAATTAAATAATTGAGTAGGAAACACGATAGACAAGTGTCGGGTTTTTTAAGGAAAACGCTTCACCATCACATGCAAAGCCGAACTTTCCCTGTCTTCCCCTAAAAAAGCCACTTACATTCCCTGCTCTTTTCAACCTAAAAAGCGAGCTAATTGTTTGACGTCGCTATGATATGAGCATCATGAGATGTAGCGAATGGTCAGTAAGGAAAGAAAAGAGGATAACACTCACTAGGCACTGGCATGTTGGGATATTTGAACTACAACATTAGCAACAGCACTATGCATAACAGTAAATTTGTTGTCTTATCAATACCCAGGTGAGTGACAGACAAACTGTATACGATGTAGTTTCTGCATAATTTACGATATCAATTGTGGTGACAATAAAGCGCCACTTATCGCTCATGTCAAACACTGGAGTATAACCATGATGTGGGTGATACAAGTCGTTACCCGATATGGAACCAATATTATTAGCGCCACCACCAAATCAATTAAAGGCAAGTACGCGTCATAATGGTTTCACAAAGAGGAGGTCATTGAATTAACCCGCATGAAGGATGTAAGCTGTCAGTGATACCATTCCTTCTGTTTGCTTTGGCAAAACCGTTCTGTCGAGGCTATTCCACCGACAATGTGTTTTTTCTCGTGACTTTGTACACATATAATACGTTCGCTGACACTATGCCGCTTGAAACTTACCGTAGTGAATGATCGTTCCAAATAAGGGACAGCAGGAAGTATACACGAGGGTACTGCTTCTCTCACATCTATTATATAATCAACCTCCGTCAGCTCACAGACACATAAGAGAGCCTTAAGAGATGAAGATGAAAATAGAAGCGTATAGTATTAAGGGAAGATAACTGTGCATCTTACCTATGGTGATCTTGAAAGAGTTTCTGGCTGACATTTTTTAACATCACCGTTCAGTTCAATCTAAATATTATCATACCCTGCCCCAGCTAGGATGCTGCGAGTTCGCCGTTGGCAAAATTTGTCACAGAACCCATTATATATGTATGTACCACGTAGCAATTGATACTGATGCGACAAGGACCATGTATGGATGCATAGACGTCAATGTCCAAGTATAAGTAGTTGGAGAGAAACATAACCATTACCAACAACGGTTCTCAAATTTAAACTAGAAGCTCTTTAAACAGAAATGGAATATTTCAGTGCTCTCATCTTGCAACATGAAGACCCACACGATACGTTCATCAATTCATATCACAGAAGTGCGGCTAATAATCAAAGTGGGTGTTAGCATTACCGCATCACACACGAAAATACATTATTGTTTTCTTCTGAAGCGCACATGTCCGATGATCATGACGACGCTGTGTCTAAACGGGGGCAATAGACAAAGCAAAAGCTCTGTAACCATGTAAAATGGCGCGTCCTAGGATAACTGCCTAATCTGGGCGCATGTGTACGCAAGTGATTTTTCCCACATTTAGAAATGGGCATATTCTCCTATACGACAACAGCATCAATCCGATTCCTGGGTATAATGATCCAGATACTATGTCTGGTTTTTACTGCACCCTTCTCATTTACCGAATACTTGCACTGACACTCCTTGAGTTTAACAATTTTTTATGGAAACTACGCGTGTCTGTCTCAATATGTTTTTACTACTTGCGTAAGAGCTGCCTAGTTATAGCAAATGAACGATTTGCTCCCTTTTTGCGCTATAACAGACGTAATCATCAACGCAATATGCATTTGGTTGAAAGGATAGTACCTGCATATAAGAGGATATGTTTCTATGAAATGTAAATTTTGATAATCATCATCACTCTATTACATACTATACTACTTGCACTCGACCAACAAGCATGTTCTCCTCAAAGCATTTCGAACTCTCCGATATTCCTGATCTCTCGGGCAAGGTCGCAATTGTCACAGGCAGTAACACTGGCATCGGCAAGGTCTGCGCAATCCAATTGGCCAAGAAGAATTGTCAAGTGTATGTATTTTCAGTCGAGGAAAAAAAAAGGCCGGGCGGCACAATACAATAATAGATTAATTGGCATTTCTATTGATATAATAAACAGGATTGTACCAAGTCGCAGTGAAGATAAAGGTCTTGCTGCCGTTGCCGATATTAAGGCCATTACCGGAAACGAAAAAGTCGAATTTATCAAGTTAGACCTCCTTTCGCTCCAATCTGTCAAGGCATTTGCTGAGGAATTCAAATCCAAACACGATAAGCTGCATATCTTGATCAACAACGCCGGTATTATGTTGGCTCCTTACAGTCTTAGCGAAGACGGTACGTGATAGTAGTAACAGTATCGTAGTACATATGGAAATGGGTGTGGATAACTGTTTAATTATATATCTTTCCAATCTTAATATAAAATCCCAAACTCTATTTTGATACAGGCCTCGAAAGTCATTTCGCAACGAATCACGTGGCGCACTACTACTTGACAATGCAATTACTTCCTACTCTCATCAGCTCAGGACCAAGTCGTATTGTAAACGTCAGCTCTTTTGGCCATAATTTCACACTCGTTTCGTCTCGCAGTCTAGACAATATAAATGACGAGAAAGGCTATTCTCGCATGATACAATATGGTTTTACCAAAGTATGTATTGATATACTTGAACGAAAGATTTTCTTGGAGGATTGTGGAGATGTTTAACCAATTATTAACAGAAGAACTACCTTGTTGTTTGGTTTTCTTTTTCTTCTTATAGGCTTACAACATTTTATTTACCCGTGAACTGACTAGGCGATTGGAAGCGAATAAAATCAATAATGTAAGGATGAAGATGCTGAAAGTGTTAGTGGCTTACTGTATATAAATATACTTGTGTGCTACATTTATACTAATACGAAGAATACCTTTTCTCTAATAATAATAGATTTATGTCAACTGTAATCATCCTGGTGTGGTTAGCAGCGAGCTTTCCAGACACGCTTTCGACCAGCAATCCTGGTTTAGTAAATTTTACAATAACCACGTAGCTATACCTACGGAGAAGGGTGCACTTACACAACTCTACCTGGCCACAAGTCCTGAAGTGGAAAGCAAAAACATCAAGGGAGAATACTATGTACGTAATAAACTTTTTTTCTGTGATTTAATGATTGTTTTGTTGAAATACGATATCTTATATATGTATATAGGTTCCTTATGCAGAGCCAGGTTGTGCAAATGCTTTTTCAAAATCGGACAAGAATGCCCTTGATTTGTGGAACTATACTGAGCAACTATTGAAGGAGAAGGTGCCTGACTATAAGGGTGCCATTTTCTAGAAATCCAGAATTAACATCGGTAAAACTCAATCCTACATCTAACTTTCTCCATCATGAGGGTGTTCCTAAATGGCCAGTTTTAATTTTTTTCATGCTGTACACATATACTATACTCCTCTTATTTAGCATTTAATGAACATAAATGATAAATAACAACAATTTCAAAAGTAGCATGCCGTTTTGATATGTCTATCATAGAATATCAATTTATTTTATATAGTGAATTACTTTTGATTTTGAGGTTCTTTCATACAAAAAAGGTATGCCGCTGGAAAAACTATAACACGCATCACTAATGTTATAAATTGAGAGACTGCTATATTATCTGATATAGACTGCATCATACATACATATTTACAGAAATATACTGATACAGCATAAAGTTGACTTCTCCATTCGGTTTGTCGGTGACAGTTAGGAATAGACATCTTTAACAACGAGGACATACCACCACAGACGATGGAAAAGGCTGCCGAAGATATTGTATGAAGAATTGACGTCTTCACGTAATGCCAATGAAGGTACTAAAAAAGAAGGTCAGAATCTCGGCATTATCATGGAGCTTACGCCGCTTACTGCATTATGACATGGGAATCTGATATGTACAGTGCATGGCACAAGAAAACACATGTTTTCTATCTGAACCTGCAAATTCGAGATTCCTCCTTTCATCAAACGACTACACCTGTCTTACAGCACTACTGCTCCTCACAGTTTATCACTAAAGTTAAGCATTCAGCTCTTTTCGTGACATGGATGACGACGCATCTCGCTTCTCGATATATTTCAACGAGCAAGAGGGATTTCATCGACCTATGTAGATCACAGAGAGGGAAGACAGTTGAAGCCTCATTGAAAAAAGACACATCGTACAATATGGTAAATACGCAATGAAGCGCTTATACTCATTTTGACAAGGACGGATGACATATGGAAATATCGAACTATGTTAAAAATTTGAAAATTCAATGATCCCACCTTATATGCCAGCGTATGTATAAGCTTTGCGAGAGCAACGAAAACATTCTCGCCGCCGCCGTTAGCTTTAAAAGTGACTCAAGTGACTGGACGGCATGATAATCCCATGAAAATTGTCAGCCTAAGAATAGACCAGCGCTCGTTTGATCACCTTGAGCGCATCATACCATTATTGCTGAAGCTTGCCGATCCTTGTTCAGTGGATGCCAGATGCAAACCCAATACTTTTCTTCTACATACCAAGTAGTTTACTAAAGTTTCTCATTTAATGCATTACTATACTTTCGAGCAACATCAATATCAAGGTAAATTGTATTAAAAAATTAAACTGATATGTGATACGTTCAATATCCAATATTTTAAAAACATTTTCGGTCATGTTAAACGGTGATCTATGTAATGTCAGCTGATCAACAGAGTTTTGAATAGGAACCTCTCCTATTAAAGAGTTTGTGCTATAAAAATACATATACAATTGGCTTATTTTACTTAGGGAGATGTCTGTGTAGATAAAAAGTCTGGTAAAGTTTAAAATAAAATGCTTTAAGATATATTATTTACATGATGTAAAGAGAGCTAATTGTATGCATATATGTGATCAATCAAAAAGAAGCGTGTGAGGGTATATAGAGTGATGACAGGGTAATGATGGTAAAAGTGGTTTGGATGTTTGCACGATGTTCGAAAATGTAACATTGGTATACGTAAAACGAAGGAGAGGATCACTTATTAAAACAAGTTGAAAAAGCTGCTGTATCCCGACGTTGCTGTAAGAGATTCCAAGTTCTGTCAATCACAAATAAAGTGATTAGTCAAAAGGGATCGTTCTATAGTTATAACAACCAAGGTTCTAATACAATGAATACCAACTAACCTTTTCCATCATCGAATTCTGTGCCTGCAAGCGCGTGACCTCTGAAATCGATCTTTGCAACAGATCTGGTAAAGACAATTTGGCTGGGTCGCCAAGACTTGTTGCTGTTGCTTTCACACCATCATTACTTTCATCATGCGGCTTTGAAATGGCTGCTACTAATGTGACGGCCAGTGTATGTGCTCGGCGGTGCATACGTTGTAACTAAAATAATTAATCCCCAACAACTCGTTAATTACTATTTCGACTTTTTCTGAATGTAAATGATTATACGGTTCACAATGAGTGTTGTTGCATAATCACCTTAAGGCATTCTTGTGTTGCAATGGCCTTGGTCTTTTTATGCAGCTGGACATCCTGTGTGGCCTTGGTTAGTTGCTGGGTAACGTCCTGTCGTCGTTCGATCTCTCGACCGAGACGTTCCTTGAGCACTTCAAGCTCGCCTAAGAGACGATTGAATTCTGCATCACGGGCTGACGACGTTTCTGCCAACCGAGTCTCCCAATGGTTTTGTATTTCGCGAGCGTCGTCCGACATGGAAGTTTGTGCGTCCATGAGTTTACGCTCCCAGGCCCGCTCACATTCATGGAGAGCGTCTTCTTTGACCCGTTCCAAATGCGACTCGAGTTCGTCCATGGACGCCTGGTGTTCAATCAAAAGCACATCCATCGCATGGTCATGGTGCTCCTGTAATTCGGCTAATGAATGAGCATGTTCAGAAATCATGTTTTGCATTTTGGCTTCGTGGTGCATGGCCGTCTGCTGCGATTCGTGCATAAAGCGTTCTTTGACTTGGGCCAGATCGCCCCGGTAGCTGGCCATGGTTTGCTTGTTCTTTTCGGCATATGTTCGTTCAATGGCCGCGAGTCGTTCTTGGTAGACGCGCTGGGCGCCCTTTCGGTATTCTTTTTGCAGCTGCGTCAGCTGTTGGAGTGGGTCTTTTGTTAATAGGAGCGATTCCAGGTCTTGAATTTTTGATTGGAGTAGCGATCGTTCTTGGTCAAAGGCAAGCTTTTGTTTCTCAAGCTCAGCTTGATGGCGTTCCTGCATCTGATCTTGATGGGCCTGGAGTTTGAATAGTTTTTCCTGCAGGAGCCGGACGGGTGTGTCAGCCTCCCGTAATCCATAATGTTGGGTCACTGCAGTTGCTTCTTGTTCGTCAGTGGCTACCGAGTCGCAGTCGCTGTGGATGGGTGTGTCTGGGGTCCGTGGCGATGTAGGGGCACTCTGGGTCAGCCGGATAGTATCCCTTTGGAGCTTTGCGTATTCAGAATCCTTGGCGCTCAGCCGTTGCTGAAACCCGCAAAGTCTTCGCTCGTGCTTCTTTTGCTCGCTCTGCAGCATTGCCTCGTAGTGTTTGCGGATGTCTTGCGCTTCATTGTCTCGCTCTTGCTTTTCTTGATCGAGTAGTATTTGCAAGTCTTGGATCTAATATGTTTGATGTAGGAGTTAGTCTTTTTTTTTTCAGATCCAAGATTTTCGTTTTTAAGGGACTTATGGGGATTCTAAAGAAGGGTCTCCCCCGGACGGGGAGAGAGGGATGAAGGAGTGAGAGACATACCTGGTCCAGGTAGCGTTGCTCAATGTCTTGGATACGTTTTTCGGAGAGCACTTCTTTCAGCTTGATTTCATGAAGCAGCTAATGGTTTTATATTTGCGAGGTGATTGGTACAAAGTGTTGGTGTCTTATTGGAGGCTGATTAACTCTACACTTACACTCATGCGATGCTTATCGTACATCTTCTTATCTTCGTCGGTCTTTTGCTCGAGATAATGAACACGTTCGCGATGTTGTTGGAGCTGACTCAAAACCTTGGAGTAGTAATGCAGTTGCTCATTATGAGTACACAGATACATGTGGGGATGGCAATAGAAAAAAATAGGAAATTATGTACCAATGCTCGCTCCAACTCCCATTCTTGTATAGCCACCATAGGGCCTAAAGTATTATTAGATTGATCAATGGTAAGATGATGTCGTCGTGAAACTTCCATAGAAATGTGCTTTTTTCAAATAATAAAGGGAAAGAGAAAGCAAGTGGAAAGGAAACGAGGGCAAAGAAGGAAAGGGTATATATAGCCAAAGGAAAAGCAAGCTAAAAAGGCAAGAAAAAGAGTTTTTTTTCTGGTACAGGTAAGCTGCAGGGCTACCAAAGTGTAAAGCCAAGCAATCAGCAGCAGCAGCAGCAGCAGGTCAAGAGAGAGAGAGAGAGAGAGAGATGCAATACGCACATGAAATAAGACGTACCATTCAGTCATCTTTGCAGCAGATGCGGGGCGATTCTGTCAAAATAAGGCAGTTACAATAACAGGTCCAAAAACAGCCAAGTTGGCCCGTTTCATCTGACCATCTTTTCGTACTACTACTACGTTTGATAATGGTTCTTATTCTTCCGCGACTTGGCGAATGTTTGACCTTTCTTTCGCTATAATAGAGTCGACATCACTCTTACTACTACGGGGCATGGTAACTTTATCTTGCGGCCTCTGTTACAGTTATGATCTTGCATTGCAACCGCCCGCTGAGATCCAAAAAGGTGCAGAGGGACGATGGATGCTGTTCCTATCCGGAGCACACCCCCCTCCTCTATCTCACCACCACCCCCCCCCCACCCATCCCGAGCCAGCTTTTCTTCTTCTTCTTCCACCCTTCGTAGCACAACAGCGCTCCGGCTAATACAATAAGGATCATCACTTCAAAAAAGAATTATTGTTTAATGATACGCTGTATGTATATTCCACAAACAATGACACACTTCTGGAGGAGAACAGCATCTTGAGCTGTACTACTATGAGCACGGCGATGCCCGGAAGCATCTACCCGAGAGAAGTTGTGATTCATGATCCTGTTGTTGCATCTGTGCTTCTTTGTTGATGATACGCATCGTCCATCACGCGAAAGTTAAGACCATGGGTGATAGTAGTAAGTCCATTTATCCTCTTTTAATATGTGCGTATGTACTAGCTGTACCTAGAAAAAAATGGAATGCATTAGCACGGACGATGATTGGTGCCTTTAACTTTATCTGGCTCCCCGCAACGCCTCCTTCCTTCCGTCTGATGTAATGTACATGTTTTTATTTTCCACTCCTTCACTTTTTCATATCGCAGCTAAAATGTTTTCAAGGGGGTGGGGTGTGGGACAAAGGGGTTGAGCGGGGGAGGGAAGAAGAAGAAGTAGAAGAGGATCGTGGCAGAAATGCTGCTGAGCATGGTGACAATGGTATTAAGAGTAAAATGTTATGATGTGGATGTCGATGATGAAACATTACACTTCAGGCACACGGATGCTATCATAGCTTGCTTCCAAAGAAATGGCTGATACATATAAAAGGCCAAGTGCTCGTGTGTTACATTTCCCCTTCTCTTCACCATTTTCCATTGGGTTGTCGCGTGGTTCTCGCCTGGCGCTGGGAGTTGGTCACAAGGCCTTTTTTGAACGTAGAAGGTCCACACTGCTTTACCTTGTCTGATTATTATTGCTCAGTTACGGATTCTTCCTTTTTCCTTTCTTTCGCTATTATCTATCTTTAGAGTGTCGCCGACATTACTACTGGAACAGGACTATAATGGCTATCTTTACAACAACTTTTTAAAAAATTTGCCCTTCTAGGTACAAAAATTTCATTCAATACCAGACAGGGCCAGTTGCTTTTAAACCAAATAATTTTGTCATAGCCGAAGGGGGCTCTTATTCCCTTCCTAAACTGAGGATTGTAATGTTTTGTTGTCAATTCAAGTAGAAAAGAATGCGTTTCCGCTCAACAAGGGTCAAGTCGACAAATAAAACTACAAGCGTACATAATTACAAGGTGTATTAGATAATAGTAGATGCTTTCGTTTAAAGGACTCAAGGTGCTGTTGCTACTCTACACATCTGTATCTAAAACAAGCAGCAGCAGCAGCAGCAACAACAACAGTACGTACCTTAATGTTTATTATAAATAGTAGAAGAGCCTTCATTTATATTATGCTCGATCTGCTTTGGGGTTAGTCGTGTGATCAACTGCATCCGCCACGTCATTGAGAATCTGTATTGTGCCAAAATCTTCGATATGATACGTGCATGCAGGTTGCTATGCAGCATCACCCACCAGCCATATAGGCGACGCCAAAGTGATTGTAGTCAGGCAGTGTAGTAATCGCAGTATTAGCTGGTTGTCTAGCAACCAAATGGTAACTGACCGGATGTTCAACTTTTTGCGCCATGTGTTGCATTCATGCTATTGTGCCTGCGGTATAGCAAGGTAGCTGCCAGCACTAATGCTTGTACACCAAGCATTAGTAATTAAAGCCAGGGGTCGTGATGCGTGGGTGTGTATGAACATATGCCTATTTGTACCGCAATCGAAGTGCAGATGGGTTGGTTTAAAGAGAAGAGTTCGGTCTAACATAGCAGAGCACAAAATCACAACACTCGTTCTTTTTATAATGATTCCCAGACGGAAAAAAGTTATTTAGGCGGCCTGTGCTCTCCTCCTTCTATCATAATAGGCTAGAAGGTCTCGTTGTTATTAGTTCAACACGGGCTCGATAAAGAATGACTCCGAGGTAGTCGTGGTACAAAAGGCGATGATTTTCATTTGTGCAACAATTATGCTGATATCATCATTTAGCACTTTTCTCTTTTTATAAAGTGACATCCATGCAGTTTCTTTCACAGTGTTTTCCACACATATTCTATACGCAGACAACATGTATAATGTTCAACCAGGTGTAGAAACATTAATAAATCACACTGGTATATGTGATTGAAGCGATTTCATGCGAGCTTGTGATAAATTATTGCTTTTGCAGAAAATCTGTCATCGCAGTGTAGCAGCAGTAGTAGCATGACTCTAATGATCGATCGCACGAGCGACGTATATTTTGACGCACTTCATATCGTAGGGACTAGTATATTGTACTACTACACTAGAAAAACAGTTAGCTATGACTAAAAGTTGAACAGAGAGTAAGTGTGTGTGTTTTAAGTGGATGATATCATCATCATCATCATCGGACAAGATCGGCCTGCTTGGGATGGTCCGTGTAAACCAGGTGGGGAGCCAACTTGTTACCCTACCCTACAGAGTTACTCTTGGAATTTGAACATGAGATTTCTCGGACTGATTTTCAGTGGCAATAATGACTCTTCCTCTCTTGAGCATTTACTACTACTGATAAAAGTAGCACACCCATGAGGGTCAAGAAAAGGAGAGATGAAAGCCGAGTTCTCAATCCTGTCTCCATGGGTCCGCGGTACTCATTTCGCCGAGTGTTCTTGCATACTAAAAAAAAAAAAGGGAAAACTTTTATATTGCATCGTCCCAAGTCGTTGTTGTCGTCGTCGTCCCTCGCAGGCCACATGATCGATCTTTTGTGCTACCAGAAACGCTAGCCTTGGGTCAGCCGCCCGCACTTTGTTGGGCTTTTTTTTTTCTGTGTGTGCTTTGCAGCTCTCTCTCTCTCTCTCTCTTTCTCTCTCTCTCGCTCTATCCCTCTCTTTCGTCTCTTTCTTTCCTTCTGCCTTTCTCACTGCAACTTACTCACACTTTTGAAAGGGAAAAAAAAAGAACAATGTCAATGTACTCTCCAACACAGCAGGATTTTAACGAGCAATTCTCACAGACCGGACTCGCGTCCATGGGAGGAACACCGCACACCACTGTCGGAGCCGTGCCTGTCCGCAATCAGCAACAACGACACAGTGGGGTGTTTAATCCTTCGGCAAGTAACAGCTACCAATTGCACCACCACCATCAGCACCAGCGACAAAACAGCTTTGGCGCAGCAGCCTCTATTGCCGTTAGTCCACCCAATAACGTTGCCGCTGCCGCTGCCGCAGCCGCAGCTGCTGCAGGAGGACGACCCATATCATTTGCCGACCCGAACGCTCAAAACTGGTTCGGAACAAGTTTAGACTCGAATGGATCGTCGTTTGGGCAGTCGCCGATATTTGGTGGACGGGATTTAATCGTATCGCCGTCCACTTCAACAGGCCATTTGGATGGAAGTACAACAGGTGGTGGATATCCTGGAGGTGCTGGTGGTGGTGAGGATGATGAACTCCAGCAAAGAAAGTAAGTTTGTTGTTAATGTATATCTTAGGGAGCCCCCCGTCCCGCCTACCCACCCGCACACACACACACACACACAAAAACGTAACTCTTTCTTCTCCAATAACAAACTAAACCATTCTTTCTCCTATCAAAAGCTTGCAAGAAATGTTTGAGAAACGGCGGCGGCGGCGCGAATCGCATAATGCAGTGGAGAGAAGACGAAGGGATAATATCAATGAGCGGATCCACGGTAGGTTTTTCTCTTGTATGTGTGCGCGGGGTGGGGAGGGGGCGCTCCTACTACTACTACTTGGTCGAGAGACGGGTGCAACTACAAAAGCAGCATCTATACTGTAACACTTACGCTTGCATACACAATCCTCTTATAGAACTATCAACGCTATTGCCCGAACATCTGCTGGAAAGCGCACCGACCACCTCAAATGTAATGTCCGTTTCTTCCGGCCAAGGCGGAGGCGGAGCAAGCAACATGAAAGCAATCAACAAGGGCACGATTTTAAAGCTTTCTGTGGATCACATCAAAGAGCTCAAGGACACGCTGACACAGTACAAGGACCGTGTGGCAGAGTTGGAGCGATCGATCGAGTCGGCCAAACAGAACGACAGTGCAAAGGTCAAGGCGGAGGACGGCAGCCATTCAACGACGGCATCGCGTGCAAGACACGAGCGGATTGGATCGTTGCAGTTCCAGCAACAGTTTGGCAAGTTACATATCGAGGACTCAAAGCAGGTGTAAACGAATCCAGACAATCATACTTCCTCTCTTATCACTCCTACATACACACTCTTCCACTCCCTTGTGTACCACCATTACATCGCCGTTCTCCTGCGAGTCCTTCCACTCCAAAGGTGCCATTATATAGTCATACCAAGCTTAGTTTTACCCCCCACCCCTCTTTTTCTTTTTCTGTTTTTCTCTTGTTATTGCTTTTTTCATAGTGTTTTCTTTCTTGGTACATACCTTGCAATCTAACGTATGTATATACTTCTTCTTCTACTCTCTCTTTCTGCCCATATCCATTGTTCAAATATACATCGTGGGAAAGACGACGACGACATATCTCATGCGAAAGTTTATACGCTATAATGATAACCCACAACATTCATATATACTCGTCTCATGTGAACTCTAAGCCTCAAGGCAACACTGTTCCTTGTTCGGTCATACCACTTTTGATGTGTGTTCAGCAACTATGTACAAAGACAATCAGGCTTGTCTTACTAACACTATCTCTTAAACTGTATGTTGCCTGAGAAGAAAAGTGTCATTTCCCACCTGGTCCAAGTGTGTCTACTATGACTCTCTTAGTAGCTACTATAGGTAACGAGTGGCTCTTGAATCATCAATGATGATACCGTTTATTTTCGCACGACACTAGTAGCGTACATATCAAAAGACACGATGCAGTTTCTTTCAATGTATATCGTAGTGCCGACTAGATAGCTAGACAAGATATTAGCAATGCATCAAACGGAACCAGCACCGTGTATACTGTGATCGAGCCAATGAGATCGCCGGCTTCAATTTTTATTGCAGGAATATACACTTATTGTTTTTCGGCTTACGCTTTTTTTTTGTGACAACGGTTCTTATGTTCATACGATCCATCCACAATGCAGTCCACCACGCGCCAGTCTTGACATTTGCCCGCCCTTCTTTACCCTTCACTATACGCATTTCCAAACATACTTTACATATCAACGCAGTGTGCCTTCGATCGTCGTGGGAACCCTGGGAAGATACTTTCATTCGCGACTATATTGCACAAAACGGCTGCAAGTACAGAGATTTAGTTGAACATTGTCTTCCGCATCGCACAGTGACTGGTGTCGAGCAGCGTTGGAATGAACATTTAGATCCAAGCCGGGTACGCGGAGGCTTTTCCAAACAAGAGCTCGCCACGGTCCGTCGTGCAGTCAACGAGCTTGGTGAAGGCCACTGGACCGAGATATCCAAAAATTATCTACCACAACGAACACCTCGCTCTATCCGATACAACTACTATTATCACTGCGTGCCATCCGAACATGTTAAAGCGAAACGCAAGCCATGGACAGCTGAGGAGGACGCATTGTTGCTGCGAGGTTATAAAGAGTACAACCGCCAATGGACGCAAATTAGTCGAAAGTATTTGCCCCACCGCAGTCATGTCGGTATACGCGACCGCTATGACGAAACGCTCGATCCAACAATCAAGACAGATCCATGGACGGAGTCAGAGTACGACTTGTTGTTAAGACGCCACATCATGTATGGTGACGACTGGAACAAGGTTGCTGAAGGGTTGGCTGGACGCACGCCTCGCGCATGCCAACGCAAATGGATCCAAAAGGTCGAGCCGTCGATAGGTGGCGGGAAGAAGGAATGGTCAACCAAAGAAACCCGACTGTTTTGGCACTTGGCGTGTGCGCATGATTTCCACTGGCCACAAGTTGCCAAACTACTCGGCCGGGATCGTGTCGCTTGCAGTAACAAATTTTATGATGATATTCGGGCCATGCAACCTTTATTGGACAACGAGCTGGACCAGCTATCCAATGAAACCATGGCACAGTGGAAGCGACGGATAGGCTTACGCATGCGCCATTGGACAGACAGCGGTTATACCGTAGATACGAGCGCAACGGGCGCATTGATGGTGACGGGAGGCGATTGGACAGACGAAGAAATCGAGACGCTTAAAGATACCATACACAGCATGCAACGTATTGATTGGCAAAAAGTTGCGGCCAAGGTCGGTAAGTCGCCGGTGCGGTGTCGAAGAAAACACAAGGAATTGCTAGGTCCCCAAGTACGGCGAGAACCATGGGCACCAGAAGAGGACGAACAGCTATTACAACTAGTCCATAATTACGACACTCAATGGGAACGTATTGCACAAGAGATGAGCCATCGCAGTGCGCAACAGTGCATGTCTCGCTGGTATCGCCACCTAAAGTACCGTGATGAAGACAAGCTATCCAACATGAAGCAAGGCAATTTCAGCGAGCAAGAAAAGGCATTGGTGCAGGAAGGTGTGCATATGTTTGGCAATAACTGGGTTGCGATTGCAAAGACATATCTACCACAGCGGACGGCTGCGCAATGCATGCGATGGTGGAAGCAGCATGGACAAAATTCGGGCCGTTGGACGGCGGAAGAGGACGACAAGCTGCGATTCGCAGTATGCGAGTTTGGAGAAAATTCGTGGAAGGATGTGGGTGCCTTGGTGTTGACACGAACGCCTCATCAATGCCGCATCCGATGGATTCAAACATTGGATCCAAACATCAAACGTGGGCGATGGTCACAGGAGGAGCAGATACGACTTGCTGAACTCGCCCATGTGCACAAAGACGAGTCGTCTAGGGTGGATTGGAAAGCTGTTGCCAAAAAGCTGGGCACTGGCCGGACATCATGGACTTGTAAATACAAGTATCAGCACATGGTGCAAACGGGCAATCAGTTTGGCTTGCGGCATCGAAACAATAAAAAGAGATTATGATCCTCTAACCTGTGATGGATTCCCTGACATAATTTCCCATTGGTACCTGAAACCTGTATTTTTATTGACAGTCACTTTTTTTTTTGAAGCTGCCAAACTTTTTTTTTTGACGCGACGTGTTCTACCGCGTTCACTTTCACCTCCGCGTTCCCAAACGTATTCGCCCCACCCCCCTTATCCTTTTTTTCTCGATCAAACATGGATCTTGGCAGCGATCATTTTTCCAGCAATCTTTTGGCTTCTTCTCAAGTTGCTCCACTTGAGGGCGTGCCACCCTCGACACCTGCCAACATGGAGGTCGATGCTGGTGAACAGACACAAGCTGAAGCTCCTAATCAGGCACGTCGCATCAACCCTTTTAACACTGGCACCGTTACCAAGGTCGTCGATGAACTGGCTGAGAGTGTCAAGGAAGCCTTTGTTAAATTCTTGGAAAAGTAAAATTTTGACTTTTGACATATAGGGGTGGGGAGAGAGCGAGAAAATATAAGATAAACAGCTCGAATTTACAACGAAACTTCTGTTATTATTATTAGTTTCCGCGACAACAGTGCATCGTACATTAGCAGCAGCGCTCAAAGTGCTTATCAAGGCCGCACTTACATGATGCAAATCGAACAGCTCCAGTACAACGAAATGCAAACTGTGTTTGTCGATTATGCTCACGTACAAAGTGCCGACGAAGGTTTAGCAACTGCTCTGAAACAACAATACTACCGCCTTTCTCCTTATCTTCGCCGCGCCGTTCAGGACGTCGTCCAACGCCACTTCCCACAGTACGCACACGCCAACACAACATCGACCGAACCTGTGGCAGGTGCCATTTTACGTGAGTTCGCAGTATCGTTCTATGGCGTTTCTGATTTCGCACGTGTGCGTAAGCTCAAGACTGAAAAGATTGGCCAGTTGATCACCATTAGCGGTACAGTGACGCGCACAACCGAAGTGCGTCCCGAGCTGGTGTATGGTTCGTTTACGTGTAATGAGTGTGGCAAGGTCATGAACGATATTGAACAACAGTTCCGATACACTGAGGTAACACTTTGATGGTTTGGGGGGTAGAAAAGAAACAATAGTGTTTGTCAGATTGGGTCACTGACAGAATAAGAAAACGATTCTTAGCCCACCATGTGCCAAGGTCTTCAGTGTTTCAACCGTCAGCACTGGACTCTGAACGTCGAACAATCCAAATTCGTCGATTGGCAAAAGGTCCGTATCCAAGAAAATTCGAGCGAAATTCCCACTGGCAGTATGCCCCGCAGGTAGATAGAGCGAATGACAGATTCATTTTGACGATGATCTAGGAAGGGAACGAACTACTAACACGATGTTTAATTAGTATGGATGTGATTGTTCGAGGAGAAATGGTCGAGCGTGCAAAGGCTGGTGACAAGTGCAACTTTGTGGGTACTTTGATTGTGGTTCCTGACGTTGCTGCATTCCGAACGCCCGGCACCTCGGTCGAATCACAGCGTGATACCAGCACACGTACGCGCGAAGGTCTTGGAAATGAAGGTGTCACTGGTTTGAAGTCGCTCGGTGTTCGTGATCTGACTTACCGCATGTCGTTCCTTGCATGCATGGTCCAGCCTGCTACCCAACACAAGTCGTCAACTGCCCATATGCACGGTGATGATGTCGACAATGAAAGCCGTGAACAAGTTTTGAACGACTATACACACGATGAGATTGAGCAGCTTAAGAGCATGATTGATTTGAACAGTGATGTTTATCCTAAGCTGGTCAACAGTATCGCACCCAACGTATTCGGTATGTATTTGTTTTTTATCTTTGTTTATGATCTTTTTGCGAAAAGTATGAAGCTTACATTTTTTATTGCGGGATGTCAGGTCATGACACAATCAAGAAGGGTATTTTGCTGCAACTCATGGGTGGTGTTCACAAAGAAACACCCGAGGGTATGAGTCTTCGTGGTGATATCAACGTCTGCGTTGTCGGTGACCCAAGTACAAGTAAAAGTCAGTTCCTCAAGTAAGTCATCGTTAGAATAAGCCGTGTTTCCATATCAAATTACGACAACAAAACTAACCGCGCGATGTGCATAGATACGTGTGCGGTTTTATGCCTCGATCTGTATACACATCCGGCAAGGCTTCTAGTGCGGCTGGTTTGACAGCTGCTGTAATCAAGGATGAAGAAACGGGAGAATTCTCTATTGAAGCTGGTGCACTCATGCTTGCTGATAACGTAAGTACGAAAGAGGGAAGTTAGAGAAAAGGTGTACAGAAATACTAACCATCTCTTCTTTTGCCTTGTTAGGGTATCTGTGCTATTGATGAATTCGACAAGATGGATATCAAAGATCAGGTTGCTATTCACGAAGCTATGGAACAACAGACTATTTCTATTGCAAAGGCCGGTATCCAAGCCAGCTTGAATGCTCGTACCAGTATTTTGGCAGCAGCCAATCCTCAGCATGGTCGATACGATCGTAAGAAAACACTCAAGGTAAAAAAGAGAAAACGTGGAAGGGATATCCATCCTCTCAATCACAACAAGTGCTTGGTACCATAGTATACTCATTGTTGTTTTCTTAATGATAATAGGCCAATATCAACATGTCAGCACCCATTATGTCACGTTTCGATTTGTTCTTTGTTGTGTTAGATGAATGCAACGACGTGACAGATTATAACATTGCTCGCCATATCGTCAATGTTCATCGCTTGAAGGACGACTACATACAACCTGAATTTAGCACTGAACAACTCCAAAGATACATTCGCTTTGCCCGTACATTCAAACCTAAGGTGGGTTCTATTTCCTCCCCTTTGAAATCTTATATGTACAGACATATTTTTTTGTCATTATTTCATTGATGGCGTGTCCTATATCTTTTGCATATGGCTACTAGATGACCCCTGAAGCAGCAGAAAAGCTTGCACACTGTTATCGCGATCTTCGACAAGGTGATGCACAGGGAATCGGCAAAAACTCGTACCGTATCACTGTCAGACAGCTTGAGAGTATGATTCGTCTCTCCGAAGCTATTGCAAGAGCACATTGTCAAGAAGAGGCAAATCCTAGAAATTTCTGTTCGCTTGTAAAAAAAAAAGGCAACACGTGGAAAAACTAACATGAAAACCTACACCAAATAATGATAGATCACAGTAAGCTTTGTAGTTGAAGCATACCACCTCCTTCAGAAATCCATCATTCGTGTGGAACAAGACGATGTTGATATTGAAGATCCTTTTGGCGGATCCAACAATGTGGTTTCGAGCGCAGAAGCTTTGGAAGGAATGCAGCGACTCAATATCCACGAGGCTGCTGAAGCAAGAGAAGGGTCAGCAGCAGCAGAAGGAGAAGACAACATGCAAGTGGAAGAACCATCTGGAGAAACGCGTCAAAGAATCCGTATCGATTATGACAAGTTTGTACAGATTAAACTTATGCTTGCACACAAGCTGCGAACTATTCAATCCACAGAAGGTGAGAAAAGAAAAAGGGATCACTAAATCAAAGAAGATGACTAACTTGTCTCGATATCTTAAACGCACAAAATTCAAAATCTAGATTCTGTCGGTATTCGTAGAAGTGAACTTGTACTGTGGTATCTTGAAGAGCGTGAAGACCAATTGCAATCGATGGAGGATTATGAACAAGAAAAGACCATCATCGAAAAGGTTATCATGAAGCTTTCGAAACCTGTAAGTTTGATAGAGATTATTTAGGGTCACTCCTCTTCCAATGTTATCCTTGAATGTATAATCTTAATTCTTTTGGGTATTTTAGGAACACGAAACGCTGCTTGAAGTTTATCAGAGTGATGAGTTTGGTGTAGGATCTACCGCTGAAGATGGTGAAGAAGACGCACCAGCAGGATCAGCAGACGATCCTCTCATCATGCTGCATCCTAACTGTGTGTTGCTTGAGTAATTCTACTTTATTATCATTTTTTAAAACAAAAAACGAGGCATCATCTCTCTCTCTCTCTCTCTCTTTGCATACTTTGGTCTCTCCTAATAATTCTGTATATATTCAACTCTCTTTCTTGTAATGCCCGCAAACACCCCATTTCAAAAAAAGAAGACAAAATAAAGCTAAACTTACCATTTAAATTATAACAACCGCTACAATCATAAGTATATGAAACACATCTTTGGGTGCGTCCATTCTAACTTTTATGGCCTTGTGTGCGCCTATCATACTACTGCACTTGAGCGTCGAGAGAACCAATGCGCTTATAGCATTCGACGGTCCTGTTTCTGGTCAGCCTTACTTGGTGATTCCAGCTAGCGACGAGAACTACGACCATGTTTGACGGGGTGTACGACTTATCGGATGCAGAGCTAGATGTTATCCCGGCTGCAGCAAAGTCTATCTGATTGATAACTCGCCTGACAATCCAGAATTGTTGGATGATGCACTAGGTATCATGCAGGAAGACACACCAAAGTTTGTAGCGCCAGACATGTCTGGACATGCCAGATAATAGCAATGATTTGAGCGATGCTTAAGGCAGCGACACTGGCCTGATTAGCATTGGCGATGTTACTGTGAAGAGTTTACGCACCGAGATGATGGGTTTGTTTCCATGTAGATATCGTCAAGGACGTCGGTTTTGATGGTACCAATCCTTTGAATGGCTGGTGTGTTCTGTACATATATGATCATCTAACTAAAGAAATATCACGCATACCCATAGATACATCCACTATTGCCGCCCGCATCCACCTCGCTAAGAATGCATCACGAATAGGAAGATTTACACATAGAAATCTTTTGTTTAATCTTTGTTTATACAAAATAAGAGGAAGAAAACCCAAAATACAAATATATTTGTTAATCATTCAAATCGAACAAACTATTTTTTCTGTTATTGTTATCTACAAGACAAAATGAAGAAGGAAGAAAGAACATTTATTGTTCTTCCTTGAAAATCTTCAAAATGTTTTCAAACGAGTCACGGATCTGCTTGGTCGAATCACGGTAACGGAGGGTGACGGTATTATCCTGGACAGTCTGGAAATCCACAGTGATAGCATAAGGAATACCCAATTCATCGTTACGAGAGTAACGACGACCAATGGATGCCTTGCTATCATCAGTACGCGTAGACACGCCGTTCTGGCGCAAGGCACGCGAGTATTTCTTGACGAATGGTTCGAATTCAGCGTTGCCGGAAAGAGGCAGAATGCAGCACTTGAAGGGTGCGACAAGAGGAGGGAAAGACAAGACGTTACGGGCTTCGTCATCTTCACGGACCCACCAGCTGTGTTCGAGCAAAGAGTACAAGATACGACCGATACCGAACGAGGGTTCGATGACGTTGGGGGTGTATTCACGAACTAAACAAGCACAAATAAAGTAAACTTTAATATCTCTCTTCCCTCTTTTATAATGGTGCTTATCAAACGATCGAAGAATGGTATATTTACCGTGCTCAGTAATGGTGCCCAACTTGACGCTGACATCTTCCTTGGCAACTTCAAACTTCTGACCATCAGCCTCAACGATAGCGGTGCCCTTAGACTCGAGATCCTTTTCAAGCTGAGCGAAGCATTCGTCAGTGTAGCTCAAGATGGCCTCTTCGACAGCCTTGGCGTTCTTCTTGTACTTTGGACCAAAGGTCTTCTTGTTGATTTCGACCTGCCACTTTTGGACAGTGCGGGGTTCGGCCAATTGCTCACGGACCACCAGCTTTTCCTTGGTGCGCACCGAGTGGACGGTCAAGTCATAGGCAGATCGATCGGCACAGCCAACACATTCAATCCAACCATAGCTCGTCTTGATTTCGGCATCCCAGCAGTCGCAAGCGTAATGGGCCATTTCGTTGTCCATATGCTGGCGGAAACGGAGCTTTTCACGCTTGATACCAATCTTAAGTAAGAATTCATTGATACGAGCCATAAAGTAACCCAAGGTCTGGTTATCAATGATTTTCTATAAAAAATAAATAAAAAAAAGGTAAGTCCAGTATTGGCTTTGCCTAAACAGAGGTGATGGATAATGATGATAGACAATTACCTTTTCGACAGCGTCGCCAATGGACATTTCAACAGTCTCGGTCTTGCCTTGCAACTGAACGTCCTTGGGCAACAAGGTGATGACAATATCCTTAGCGTCTTGGTAGCCAGGGTGATTCTTGTTTTCAGGATCGACATAGTGCTCGATCTCGGCCATGGTAAATTCACGGACACGGAGCAAGCCAGAGCGAGGGCTGATTTCGTTACGGAAAGCACGGCCGACCTGAGCAGAAGCAAAAGGCATCTTGTCGTTGTTGAATTCTAAAAGCTTCTTGAAGTTCAAGAATTGACCTTGGGCAGTCTCGGGACGCAAGAAACTAACAGATTCCCCACTTCAGAGTCAGCACAAAAGCAATAATCCCTCTACTACATCTTTTCAGAACAATAAAAAATCCTATTTCTCGTCTTCGTACCCCTTGAGCTGGCCAGTAGGACCAATTTGACTCTCGAACATCAAGTTGAATTCTTGAGGCATTGACAATTCGTTACCAGACTCGGGCGAACGGATGTTGTATTTAGTAATGATCTGGGCCAATTCTGGGCCACCATAGTTGTCGATCTAGAATGATAATACGTGTCAGCCAATCCTACTATCACACACACTCACACTCAAATCACACAAAATACATTCCCAGAGACACCAACAAAAACAACAAAAAGATTAACAATTTTTTCTTTTACCTGAGCAAGAATCTCTTCGTATGTCTTGCGCTCTTCCTCGCTCAGTTCAACGGCAACGACGGTACCCTTCTTCTTTTTCTTCTTATCCTTCTTAGCAGCCTCGCCAGCCTGCTTGGCAGCATCGACAGCAGCAGCACCTTCCTTGGCGGCGCGAGCCTCACGATCGCCCTGAAGACGAGCTTCCAACACAGCCTCGACCAAGTGATCGGCACGGAAGATTTCACCGTTCTTCAAGTCCTTGCACATCCAGTCGGCGAACTTGTCAACGTGGCCAGAGGTCTTGAGGACATCGTACGTGTTCATGATGGTCGTGTCCAGCTCAAGCATTTCTTCCTCCAGCACGAAATGGTTGCGCCAGACGGAAATAATGTTGTTCATTAAAGCACAACCGGTCGGTCCATAATCGTAGAAACCGGCAACACCTATTGTTTTGAAAAGAAGAGAGAGCAAAAGAGAGAATGGGGTACATTTTAAAAATGTCAAAAGCGTGTCCTTTCGTTTCTCACACATTTTGCATTTGTGGAAATGCAAATTGAAGGTTTACCGCCATAAATTGCAAATGCTGGTGCAAAGAAGAAGCGTTTGGTGCAAAGCTGTTCAAGAGCGGCTCTGTCAAATGGTTTTGCGGTTGTAGCCATGATGCGCGTTTATGGTTTAACCCCTCTTGCTCCCAACTCTTGCCGCCTTTCTTTTTTAAAGCGAATCGGGGTAGCAAAGCCACTTTTGACGGGAATATTGAGTCAGATCGAGTCGTTCGAGTTATGCACTTTCCCAAGTTCTCACCGGGATAATAACCCCCTTCGATGGGAAAATTAACTTGTGCACGTAATATAGCTACAGTTGCGCACGAAACAGGATCTATCCGCGCATGGCTAAAAATTCAACTAATGCTCTGATGGAAAATTGGTCTTTTCCCGTAACTAACCGTACTACGCTACTCAAGTCTCATATACATATATCGTCGACAATAGTAATGCTACTCATTTATTTGCAAGTTAATATTTCTCCCCTTAATATGTATTTTTTAGGCTCACGCCTACTATAACATAGCTGGGACATGGATACAATTATGGTTTAATCAACTTATCATGGAAGTAATAGCACGTTGCAAGATACATTCTTTCTTATATCCACCCACGATGTATACAAGTGAAAAGTTGTTGTAGAGAGCTCCTGTAGCAAACACTCGGATGTCTACATTCAAAGGCTACTTATAACTAGCGATTACTTTTATGTAGCTACCATGAGGATAGTTTAGCTTCCTCTGCTTTCATTCTCTATGGCGTATATACCAGCACCAGCTTTAACTAATAGTGGCAAACTGTACAGTAAAAAGCACCCATAATCTTCTTTAACGCCTTTACAGACTGTGGCACTTACAACACCAAAAATTGTATCGTCCGGTCGTCGTTACTTAATATTCTATACACATCCCGCATGGGTCACCTTTGTAAATCCTATTGCCTTTCTCATGCAAATTGTGCAGTAGCTTTCTCGTAAATCGGCAGTACGGTCAAGAGCTCAAAGCAAAAGCAAATTGATATATAAAACTAAGCGGACAAGGGCGTGAATATTCTTCCTCATTTAATCGCTCTTTTGTTCAAGAAGCTTTCGCTGTTCTACTTGATAGATAAAAATTTAACCCACATCGTCGTAAGTGCTACTTATTGATCCGCACCAGCTTTTGCATTAAAACTCAAAACCTTTTTTCAATTCCAGCGATCTTATTTTTTCAACTTTAATAGCCATGAGCGATTCCGATTCAGAACGATCGATCCCTACCATGGAGCGTGATCTTCCCAACATTCTCGTCACCGGAACTCCGGGTACAGGAAAAGTATTTGTCATTTTACGTTATTGAGCGTAGCAACTGTTTTCCCCTTGCTCTACAGTCAGTGTGCTCCGTTATTGTTGCTGTTGTTGTGTTGATCTAACGATCCACGTTTATAATGGACTGCTAACTTGGGTTGACATTTATAGACTACTACAAGCGAAATGATTGCCAGTGTCACTGGACTGCAGCATATCAATGTTGGTGAACTTGTAAAGCAAAAGCAGCTGCATGAAGGCTATTTGGCCGAATATGATACCCATGTTTTGGATGAGGATAAGGTACTATTAATCATACTTTGCATATAAGTTTTGAGATAGTTTAAAAGGGAATCCTAACTGGACCTGTAATATCTAGCTTCTCGATGAAATGGAAGATATGATGCAGGAAGGCGGTAAGGTGGTCGATTTCCACACTTGCGAAATTTTTCCCGAGCGTTGGTTTGATCTTGTACTTGTCCTGCGCGCAGATACCCAACCGCTCTATGATCGGATGGAGAAGCGGTAAATGTTCCTGACTGTTTGGAAAAATGGGTTACATATAATATAGGGTAGGTCTAAATGAGTGCAAGAGATTAATGATATTTTGATATGATAGTGGATATAATCAACGAAAACTTCAAGAAAACGTCGAGTGTGAAATTATGCAAGTGGTCCTGGAGACCGCGCGTGAATCATATGCTCAAGAGATTGTGGTTGAATTACCAAGCAACACTGTAGACGACATGGAAAGCAATGTGGATCGTGTCAATCGGTGGCTCGAGGCCTATAAAGCCAAACATGCTAAATAAATTATTAGAAAATCTGAAGTTGTGGGACCCAAATTCAGCCTTGAATATAGTTTCGCTAACCCATTATAACTTATACGAACCCAGTATAACTCTTGGTGGATCATTTCAAGCTCTACTTGGTTGGATATAAGTTATGGTCACTGAGCATAATCTCTGTACGAACAACATAGGGCCTAGGGCTAACTTGGACGATATGTAGGGTGCTCCTTGTCGATCCGTAGCTATATTTCATCCATTGTAAAGCATATGGTCTGATCAGTTTACTTCCGGTCGTAAAGCTCTATTAAGTAGCGCGTTACTTTATACATCTCTGGAAATGTGTCTTGAGCATCCCTGTTATTTGGTCAACTCGAAACTTGAAGATTTTTCCAAAGGTGTCTCTTGCAGAAATGCTCATAACAAGTATGGATGGGCTCTGTGTGAGATGAGCTATATACCCAACTGCTAATTGAAACCGCACAATTAACTGATATTTCAATCTTAAAAGGTAGCATTGCAATATCTACGTACAGAGTGCAAAAAAGCCAGTGTTACAAATGTCCTTACCCATTTCCCTGGTGATACCGCCAAGTCGCGATAATTTCGTTTATATGTGTGCAAGACTCGTGCATCTGCGTCCTCCAATGCGTCTTCTGAACAATGGTCACAATGTTATTCACGGTCTATATAATCATCCTGATCTTTTACGTTGGGACAGAAACACGTTATCTAGAACCGTCTGTATTTTTCACGCCAAGAAACAATCGGGCTAAAAGAAGACGCTTACCAACAGAGGGCGAGGAATATGTATTCGATGACGACGATATTAAGGTCACGGTATATATTACCTACATCCACACATTTTCATAACACGATGATTATATTTCGTGTACATCTCAACGATCTGTGCACTGTTAGTACAAAGCTTATATATGAATATAACGAAGATGATGAGGTGGCGAAGTTGACGAAGATCTAACATCTTTCTTCATGTTTGTCCCTTGATATGAGCATCACTTGTCTATGATGTCATTTTAAATACATGGCCATGCTTATCTCTACCAAATTCTGCTTAAAGTTATTTATATACAATGTTTCATTTCTTGGCTAGATACCGTGCTTGATATATCATAACGAAAGCAAACGCCCATTATATTTCCATACCCAGTGACTCCAGGTGTTGTACTGCATATATCGCAAATATACTCATCGACCACGACTTATAGTTTAGTCAGCCAAAGGTTGAATAGCTGACTGAAAGTCATATTGGGCTTTCAGCTTCTGTAGATTAAAATTTTCAAATGTAAACACTGTCGCAAATAGAGTTAGACCCAATTCGTTGATTTGTTTTAACCGGAACTCAAACCGAGAGGCGAGAGTGAACCAATATTACTAGCACAAAATATAAACTGTATGAATAGACGCCTTAGCACGTCGCGAGCGACGATCGCGACGGGCATTCATAACACTATTAATGATCCCTTGACGAACACAAGTGCAGCAACGATACTGACACCACCAACTTCTGTACACGACAATGACGAGAAAAAGCCGAAACATCCTTTTCCCTCAACTCGACGCCACTTCTTCAACAGCCGCAATCGACCTTCAACTTCTTCTCGACAACAACAACCGAGCATTCTGCAGCAGGCGCATATAAGATTGTCAAGGCATCCAAAACGTTTGGCATTCATTGCATTACTCTTAACTATTATACTATTCTGGATTGCCCTGACGCACTCTTCTTCGGCAAGAGAAATAGTATACGTTCCGCTACGCGATCAACCGCCTTATGACGACTTACTTACAAAACGACAATGTACAGCAACCTTATGTAATTCCGAAAACCAGTGCGCGACCTGGCGACCACACCACGAACAACAACACCACCATGACGCAGAACAGTTGAAGCAAGAAGGCATGTATTGTAACGTGGCCAGAATACAAGTTGATCTTGGATGCGAGTTGCTCCTTAAAAAGGCAGACGGTACCTGGATGACGATAACACAAGGGCAGCAAATAGATTGTGTGGAACAAGGTTGCCATGATGTGGTAGAAGCGGATCTGCAAGGCGATCTTTATATTCTTGCTTCTCAACTTAAACAATTAATAGCAGGTGAGAATGAATCAACGGATCTTTGTTAGACAAAAGAGCATAGTGCGCACAGCAGGGATTCATAATCATACCGGAAACTTACAAAAAACAATCTTAGATCCCGCATACATGGATCGAGAAATCATAGTTGCGCATACTGGAACACAACCATCATCATCTTCGGATCCATCTTCTTCGTATGACGTGACGCTTGTGTCTCAGTTTTCAGTCAACCGGCTCGACGTATTCACTCAAGTGCTTGATGCGTGGCCGGGACCCGTATCAGTTGCAATGTAAAGAAGAATATGACGGAAAAAACATTTTAAAAGATTTCATGCCGCTTGTTTTCGAAAATTGCTGATATAACCATTCCTCGTATTTTGTTTTTTAAAGATATCTTACGGAACCCAACGACGTCAACCAATTCAAATCATTTTTCGCAATTCCAGCCAATGTGATTCAATACTCTCGCGTCCATATTGTTGTGGTCAAGCCGGATTATACCAATCCCGACCGTTTGAAATACCCCATCAACCACCTTCGCAACCTGGCCATTACTGCCGCGACCACCTCGCATGTGTTTGTCATGGATGCCGACTTTACACCCTCCGCTAACTTTTACGCACACGCCCATGCCGAATTGTTATCGGCTCTTGGCGAGCGTGGCACCTATTCGCGCACTGCCATGGTCATTCCGTGCTATGCTATTCTCGAGTCGCACAAGGACGATCCACTTCCGCAAAACACAGCCGAATTGTCTACACTCGTGTCAGATGGTATCGCTTATATTACGGATCCAGGCACCGGACATGGCCCGACATTGGCAACATCGATGCAGCTATTGAACGGCGGCGGCCCGGACTCGCTGTATTACGAGGTCTGTTACGAATCGCAATGGGAGCCCTATTATATTGTGCCACGAGAAACAACACCACTCTATGATGCTCGGTTCCGAAACCAAGGGGGTGACAAACAGTCGCATGCACTCCAATTGAATGCACTTGGGTTCCAGTTTTTGGTCAGTAACCATGCGTTTATCTTGCACAAAGATCATTCAAAAATGCAATGGCCTGGTGGAGGCTTTTTCAAGTCGCAAAAGGAGAAAACACCTTGGAGCTACTTTGGCGAATTCATGCGGGAAATGGAGGAGCTGTATGGAAGTAATGTGCGATGGCCAAGGGGATGCAGTGCAAATGCCATTGGGTGGCAAACTCAATTAAGAAATCCACTAGGTATGGCGATAGGTGCATAACGCATGATTGCCATCGACATCCTTTTGTTCTTCCATTTTATTAACCTTTCTTACCACCCTGTCCATTATTGTGATTTCCCCACTATTACTCTATTGGAGCACACATGCTTATTGATCCCGTTGATTGTACACGAACTTGTAATCCAGCCCTGCTTCATTTTTATCGTTTAATACTATATGACTACTACATCGTCTAAATCACAGATTTCAAGACAGAGAAGTGTGTATCATAGTACATTGCAGGCAAACATACATAAGGGAGTCCAATTTGTGTGGCTGTTCTACATATCTTGAGAGCATGAAAGTCATGCTTAAAAATCAAAGGGTTCAGCGTCCTCGTCTTCCTCGCCGAGATCTCCGAGATCCCACTAGAAAGAATATGTATGAAAGCGAGTGAGTATATTGGTTACACTTTAAATGCATGTGCGAACATGTAGGGTGTCATTATAGTACTTACGTTGTCTTCAATAGTACGAAGCAAGGAGTAGTGATCATATTCCTTCTTGTCCTTGCTAGACGTGGGAGCGCCCTTCCAATCAGGGCCAAAGATAGCCGTGTAGACATGGTTCTCTTCGGTATTGCTATCATCCTCATCGAAGGTCACGACAAACATGGTGTTTTCGCTGAATGCAGACTTCTTGATACGGGGCTCGAGGAACTTCTTTAGCCACTTGGCGCCATAATCGACGTCTGTGTCATGGGCATCATTGTTGATCTATAGGAAAATAAAGCATTCCGTTGTGTGTCAATATTTGCAGTTTTCTAGGATCGTCAATGTGTGGAATTTGTTTGCCAGAAAGGAAACGAACTTACGTCGGGAGTGTAAAAGACATATTGAGGCACACTGTTGTTTTCAATGTCCTTGTCCAATTGCTTACTGTTGACAATACGAGCACAACGCTTCTTATCTTTTTGGATGTTTTTGAATGAAATGAATGGATTGTGCTTGCGAGCATAACCGTCGATATCCATTTCCTTGTTACAACCGCCAGGGTAGTCTTCTTGATATGACTTCCATGAAATGTTCTTTTTCTCGAGCAAGTCGACAATTGTCTTGCGGTCGATATTGGACTCGTCGTCTTCGTCCGTACCATCCGTTGAGCCGCTGATCATAGCAATCTAAAAATTTTGTGCATGTTGGTCGCTTGTCAATATTTTCTTAGGATGGAAGGATGAGAACTCATGTTTAGTAGGCATCCTTACATAATTGGGCTGCGAAGGATGTGATGTGCCTCGATAGTTGGTCAATAGAACACCGTTGTGGCGGCTTGGTAAGGACTTGAAATAGTCGTTCTCCATGGCCGTTTCGTAGTCCTTATTTTCAAAAATGATGATCACAACGCGATCAAAGTGTTTCCCTGACACCAGGCCAGATTCACTTGATGACGATGTGCTATGGTGAGACTTGCTGCTACTGCTGCTGTCGCTACCGTGGTGATCTGCGCGCTTATCCAGAGCGACGATGTTGCTGCTGTTGACGTCATGGACAGGAAGAGCTTGGGCCAGCCAGAGAAGAGAGGATGCTGCCAGAGCGAAAAGTGAAAGCTTCATGATGATGATACAAATAAATAAAACAAACAAAGAAAAGAATGGAAAGGGATGAAGTGCTTAGATGAGCAATGAGTTGTTGGTTTCTTTCTTCCAAAGCACAAAGCGGCCCGTCTTTTATATTTGAGAGGGTCGTAAAGGAGGATTCTCGAGCTGTTTCAGCGGTTTCAGCAATTAAGCGTAATCAACATGCATGGGGTATATTTTTCCTTATGGAGCACAGCATATGTATGTACATAGAGTCTCCACCCATTAAATGGCGAAAATGGAAAAAAAGGAGGCGGTATTAGTGATTGATTGATTGACTGTCCGTTGGTACGATTGCTTCTTTTGCGTGTTTTGCTCCGCTTTTCACTCATATACAAGATGCAGCATGATGATATGGGGCAACCGCAAAGCACAAAAGCAGAAATGACCTTTTGCGGAAAACCGGGTCATCACTGTATAAACTGGGGACTAAAGGAAACTAGTAGGCGCGGAGAAACAGAGGAAGAACTGCACGCTATTTGAGGAACACGCACCACCAACCATCAACAAGACAAGACAGGTTTGTGATATCCAATTATTAAACGAGATTGGGCACCACGCGACCTCACAAGACAAATCATATTGTTTACCCGCCTGCCTAAAGGCAACATATATCATATAATAGCTATCCTATTTTACTTCACTTTAAGTTGCTCCGGTTCAGTAGCACCAGCATCCGCTCACATACAGCGCGGATTGCTAATCAATTAAGAAACATACTCTAAACATGTAGATATTATGATGAACTGGAACAGAAAGAAATTCCGCGCTATATATGGGAATGACAGAGCCGATCACACTGTTTTTGTTACTGCAATTGAACGGGAGGAGTAATTAAAAGGACAAGTACCACGTTCAATGCGATTGAAAACCAAATGAATGACGTTTACCCAATGTGGACGAGAATGTTCTATTATTAAGAAATTCTACAGTGGGACACTGCGTCCTAAAAAACACATACTTGCTCGCATCAGATCTAGGAAGTTTTTTGAATCTCTAACAATTCAGGCTGGGCAGTAGGGAAAAGAATGTGTGAAAAAAACTCGATTAATGTGAGGGGAAGGACAGGTAGAGTATATCTCTCGAGGCGATTTTCCATCAATAATTGCTGAAATATATATCTGAGGGAGAGGAGATGCTTGTGCTGATGGCTTCCTCGGGGTGGCAAATTGGTAATTTTCTAAGGAGTCGGTACACCTGTGGCCATATACGTGGCCAGTATTGTCGTATCCTAGGGCTGGTGGGGCGGTTTTTTGGGGAGCTTATGTATTGAGGACGCAAGAGATCGGATCCAAAGTGAGTGCGATTGGATAAGACACTAGTAGTCTCTCATGCATATATAAGCATCGTTGCAAGCGGTGGCGGTGTCCTCCTGGCATGAATATGTACGCGGTCTCCCTGGGAGGGAGCCAATACGCTTAACGGATGCAATCAGCTGCGCTCATAAATATACCAATGTGGAGGCAGCTTGTCGGTATCATTATGTTAATGCACAACATTACTAGCACATTTTACCTCATCCGACGACGATGTTTCGCTTCCTTTGTGGGAAGGAGGGACAAAACAAGAACAAAAGATATTGCAAAGAGCATATATACTCTACTAGACAATACATTGCTGAGGAATTAGGCCAGTGTTCTTTTATCTCATATGGTCATTTGCAGCGAACGTAGTCTCTAATATTATTTAATAGGTCATACATTTATGAACCACCCGCGAGTACAAAATACTTTGAATATGTACAAAGTTCTTCTACAGCACTTATGGATGGTGTTTCCTTGGGTAACGGCTGTCATATTGATAATGTATATAGTAATAAAGAAGAAAGCCAAGCTCAGTCAAGCGGTGTATTGTAGTTCTCGAATATCCTTTTCAGATTAATGTCTTTTTTTGATGAATTGAGCTACTTAATATCTTATATTGTTTGACGAACAACAACTACAGCTGCAGTAGCACAGTTTTATTCTCTGTGTATTGTCGTGATGAGAATTTTTTTGAGTCTATACTTCAAACCATGCTATTTACTGGCTACTAATAAGGGAGGGCGTTTATGATCTTGAATGTCACTGGGCTCTCAGCTTGTAGTGGCAGGCCAACTTTCTGTACAGCACACGCATTCATTGCAACCGATCCATTTCGCGCAACACGTCCTTGCGTCAGAAATGGCTGCACCGCGTCTTATCCAGCAAGGCCTTGAGATGTCTTATGCTAGAGGAACACAATACTACATGACAGTAGAGTTTCTGGGTTGATATTTTTTCTACAGATGAAAGTGATATCATAGTGGCGGCGATGAATAATATTTTTGAAAACTTCTTTCACATTTCTTGTTCAATGAAGGGCAACTTTAGAACCGAACTATGAGATATATTTTTCTTAGCACAAACTTTTTACAATGCTGTTAAATTCTACCTACGTTACGTATCGGATGTAAATTGTATGTTCCCACTGGTTTTATTTTCCTTAGAAGATAACTTTGACAAGAGACTACTACTGCCCAGCAAAAGGCTATATTATGCTGCAAGGGACTACATGCGCTGTAAAGGATGCGTGACGACGAAGATGAAAAATGGGTTCGCTTCTAAAAAGACGAATATTTTGCAGCGCGTGTAGCAATTCCCTTTTTTCTGCAGGGTTATAAATTAGGCGCTACTAACCATCACTGTGATGGAAGAGGGACAGGGAGGTTAAGTCGTGCAATTACCACTATTGTTAAGAATTATTAGTATGCAGTCAATGTAGCGCTGTGCCTATGAGTGAGAAGAGACTTCCTCGGCTTGCCGCAAGGATGGCGTCATCATGTTGTCACCGAGAAAAATTGAGAGCGAAGACTTGATTGATATCGACGTATCATAAAATACTGTCACAAATAACAATCATCACTAAACCGGACAGTAGAGCAATATAGAGTAAGCTATCCTTGTAGAGTGCTTTTTAAGGAGCAAAGGGAAAAGAAGTGAATAACATCGAGAGCAAGAAGGCATCTCCAGAGGAAGCACAAACAGTCGATCTAGCAACCACTGTTGATGACTCACAAGTGGATTAGAGAACAGTGGTGCTATCAACTACCATTTATACACGCAATGTTTGAATGTTTTCGCATACAAAGTTATATATTTACTTTATAATCGTATTATAAAAAAAAACTAAAGATCATGGATGAATTGAGCAATGTTTTGCACGTGTGCAGGGTGAAGTGTTGAGTTCTGTGTACAATAGCAAGTTAGGCAGAGAGATAAAAGGAACGGCAAGGGAAGGAACGAAAAAACTAATTATTATGGCGGTGACAATGAGCTACAAAACGAGAGGCAAAGAGATTATCATATGTAAGAGAAGTTTTACTGCAACAAGCTGTAGAGAGTAGAGCCCGACATGCCCAGGAGGGCAAGGAGAGCAAGGTAGCTAAAGACGCCACGCATGCGCTTCGAAGGGTTGCCAGTAAGATAGCCCGAGGAAAAGAAGAAGCGGCCGGCAAGGAAAACGACACCAGCAGTCGAAGCGTAGACGGGGTAGCCGATACCACCAATCAATAGGAAGGTCGCGTAGACAGGGTAGATCTCCAAGGTGTTCTATTAATTTGTGGTCAGTCTTTTCCTTCCTCTTGCGCTCTCAAATTGTAAGGGAGCTTGTCTGTTTACCTGGTGGACACGCTGGGCGCAGTTGAACAAGTTCTTCTTTGGGTCCTTTTCAGCCTCGGCCTTATCGGCATATGCTAATGAATGTCAAAAAAGGAAACACCAAAAAAAGTTTGTGCCACGTTTCTCTGTGAGTACACATTGACAAGAGGGTAGTACTAGCAGTAGCACTCTAGTGCCCTAACTTACGGTAAGGATAAGGGACATCAGCAGCACGACGGTACTTGCCGGTCTGAGCACCCAGACCGAAGACGAAAAGGGCACTGGCAGCAAGGGTGGAAAGGACCTATACAGCGATTATTGTTTGTTTTTTTAGTTCCGAATCGCACCCGTGATTGTTGGCTAGGATGTCGCGGGGGGGATTGTGTTCAGAACTTACGTAGCCGTACTCTTGAGGAATAACAATGGCACCCATGGTTTAACGGTAGCTGAAGTGAAGGAGGTAAAGAAAGATGGAGAGACCGACGGTTTTCATATTCTGTTCGTTTCTTATATAATGATTGTTGTTTGCGGTGTATCAGAGAGGGACATGGATGATATGACTGGGGTTAGAACGGCAATTACGCAACCCGTCGTATGGCAGCTCTAAATTAGGCAGGTGGTCCCTTGCTGATTCGTCAGCAGTTGTCATCGCATGTACTCAGACAAGGAGTCCATGCTTTATTTTTATTGGATCACCCCATTTCAGTCCATAGCACTACTTACTAGTCGTCTTCCCCCACATAACGCATCTCCCTCCCACTACTTTTCTTGTCAAGCATGCCCTCGTACGGCTGTCTTTATTGCTAACCAGCTTTCCGTTCGATGATCGTTGCACATACACCTATTAAAACGCGCAAGCGTCCGCGTAATGATGTTTCACTTTTTCAAATTAAGATATCCAATCGGCTATCCTCCCGATAATTTCCTGTATATCCGCTAGTTGTGGTCGACACCACCTTATTAATGCATTTAAAAATGCTCTGTCCCTACGTACTCACCTTCAGCACTGATCAACAAGCTCTTTGTTGATTACAAAAGTTGCTCGTCGCAAGAGCTTTCTTACTGCTCTTGTCTTTTGTATCTCGTTGCCATTACACTCGAACACAACATAGCAGTGACCATGTGATAAATCCGTCGATGCATTTATTGAAAGTTGTTCTTTTTGTCGCCTTAAGCAAAAGACGAATAAGAGCGGGCACTCTTGTCAAAAGATTGAGGTAGAGCTGGTTGAGCGGTCGTCACAAATACCTCACTATCAGAAATACCATCCTTTTTTTTAGGTCAACCGTTGTAGCAAATTAGAAAAGACAAAGGAGGTACTGTGACGAGTAACGAAGGAACATGGAAGAAGGACGCGATAGGTTGGCGACGATGATGATGATGAAGGTTACGGCGTCATAAGGCGTGAAACGAGATACATGGTTGTTGTGGGAGCAGTAGCAAGGGGTGGATGGCATCAAATTGATGATCATGAGACTTGGCGGCATAATCATAGGCGGCCTAGGATTGGTGGCATAGTGGCGACACACTCTTGCAGCGGAAATCCTTCAACTCAGTCTTCGTCCTTTTCTTCCATTTTGGATTCTTCCTCTTCCTAACCATGCCTCTGTTCTGTAATCAGATCGGATAAATCTTTCGCCTTTTTTCCTCTTCCTTCTCTTGTTCCTTCGTCTCTTCCTCCTCCTTCTTTGCCTCTTTCAGTCTTTGTTCTTCCTCTCTGTATATTACTACTTCTTCTCATCAACAGCTTCAGTAGTTTTGGCAACAACTTCAGGCACAGGAAGCGGCAGGACACTCACAGAAAGGAAGACAGTAGACACACACCAGGAAGGCGACACCGGCAGCGATATAGGTTAGGTGATTTCGTCAAGTACTGTACCAAAAGAGTAGTATCGGTGGGACGCCATCAGTGCAGTTAGTGTAGGCAGAGTAATCGAGGTAATTAGGGTCGAACATGCTTTTTCAAGGAACAGTAAGATACGGTAAAGAAAAATATGCAGACAGCATTATTCGTATAAGAACGAAGAGAGTTTTCGCTGGGCGTGTGGCATAACAATTCTTAGTTGTCGTTATTCTACTCCTTTTAAGCAAAAAGAAGCTAAAAAAAGCAAAGAGGTGAAGAGGTAACGGTCGTTGCCGTCGTTATGGCACTGCTGTGGCGCGTGGGTTCGCTACATGATGCGTGCAATATCTTACATATGTGTCTCCGCTTTATTTCAGGCTCACTCTATCAATCCTTTTGATCGCTTCTAATGGTCAGTGCGTCTATTGCAAGAAGACTCTGGAGTTGCAACGGTAACATTGAATTGACGAAGCTACATTTGCTTTTGCTATCCACTTGGCAAGAACTTCCCTAAATCCTGAGGAAAGCGACCGCTACGCTGTGAATTTTCCGATGCCCTTAGATATGCATACCCATTTTTTCTAAACTTTGGAAGAGCATTCATCAATGATAACAAAGGACATGACAAAACTTCACCGGAGTTATCGTCCGGGGAGAAGCGAAATAGAAGAAGTATGTGGAAAGCAGTGGAGATCAAAATCACAAGAAATCCAATGGGTAAAGCAGGAAAGCCAATCCAAGGCCAAAAAGACAGGTCAATCCAAGACCATGACACGGGAAGCCTAATCCAAGGTCGAATGGAAAACGAAGGAGAGTATCGTAGGAACGATTATCAAAAGAAACAAATCCGAGAAACAGAAGTACACTGGCTTCACCCAGAATAACCAGCGGGTGGGGATAAGTGCGTCTTACACCATTCAACATGCCCGCGAAATTTTGCTCCGGTAAGACGGGAAAGAGCGAGATGCACTCGCAAAAGCTACTCCACTTTCTCGTATTGTGCAATTTAAGGTGCAAGTCAGCTCATTAACAAACGTGATCACCGCAAACAATAGTGGAAACGATATCTTTTGAGGAGAACGTTTGAAGTTTCCTTACTTGGTCATTATAAGCTGGGTAATTTAGCAATTTAGCAATTTAGCATTTTAGCATTTTAGCACTTTAGCATTTTACTTCCACACCATCACTCTATACCTTACTTGATCTAGCTTGCATAGCACCAATTAAGCAAAACCAGACCGAAAAAACGCTCCAGAATTGGCAAATCTGACTACGATAAGGGCAAACTCGCCAAACAAATACAAGACACGCAAGCGGCAGAGCAGGAGTTGACACGAGATTTTGAAGAAGACGCGACTGTCATCGATGTCGAGGATAGTGAAGAAATCACGGACGACGACGAGAATGAAGAAAAGGACTTGAAAATCCCTGAGGTCGACCTTGTCAGCGTGAAAAGCCTGAACGACGCGTTAATGTGGGTTCCTGGCGCTGATAAGAAAGGACGCAACACGTATTACGCCAAAGACTCAAAGCGCACAGTTAAAAAGGCTGAAGAAAAGTAAGAGAGAATGCAGCGAGGCTGACTAAACGTGAATGAGATGTTTTGCCAAAAGAGGGTTGAGATGAAAATTAAGAAAGAAGAGGAAAAGCGGGCCGATGACGACAGAGTCGCATCAGCAATCGCAGTGCTTAGGCTTTCGAAAAACGCCTGATGTTGATCGTTTGCAGAGAGCGCGTTTTGCCACGTTGTATCACTACTTTGTGATGATATCACAAAGAGGAGAAGACAGGCGCATCTGAGAAGTTGAGCACGCTTCATTGGAATCGTGAGGAACGGTTTGCAAAAAGGATCTTAGGTTGGGCGAACGAGTATTTATAAACTGGGAGATTGACGCCTTTGGTCAAAGGAGCCCACGTCCAAGACCGCGTCTATGCTTGCTGATGAGCATGTCAAGGACAGAAAAAAGAACGGTTATTGCATTGCGAGAGTATATTCTACATGATCTCGTACTAGATGAGGCCAACCCTGAACAGCGCATTGGGATTGCCACCGTACGATGATACCTAAAGAAACAGGGGTTTAAAATCGAAGACAAAGCCCAAGCCCCATACATCCACGGCCATGAAAGAGAAGACGTCGTAATTTATCGCAAGGAGTAGGCTTGAGCACAGACAGCTCATGACGCGGTATGATGAGGATGATGAATCAGAACGAGCGGTTACCAAAGTTTGGGAGCATGAAGCAGTATTGGTCACACACGACGAGACCTACTTCTACGCCAACGACTGCAAGCGAGGAGTGTACTTGGCTTCCAACGAGAGCCTGATCAGAAAGAAAGGTCAAGGCCGTGCAATCATGCTCAGTGCTTTTGCTTGTTCCTGCCACGGTCTTTTTTCATGCAAGACGATCATTCCTGGCACTCAAAGTGACAGCTATTAGAAAAGACCGACATGTCAACTAACTTGAATCAGCAAAATAGAAGAGTTTCAAGATATGCAACCTAACTCGATTGGCGTTTTCTGCTTTGACCACAGCTCAAATCATTCTGCGATGCCCGATGATGCGCTTTAATGCCTACAGAGTAAAATATGAGCCCGGGCGGAAAACAGATTGTATCAAGAAACGGTGGTTACCATGGCAGCACGGAGAAGGGATTGTGCAGCCGATGGTGGATGCTAATGGTGTGCCTCGGGGACTTCAGGCCATACTTAAGGAGAGGAACCTTTGGCCCGCACAAGGATTAATCCGTCATTGTAAGCAAGAGGGTACTGTCAATTGCTGCGCAGTACATATCCTATCCCCCAGATTTCCAGCAGAAGTCGCTCTTGCAGGAAGTTTGTGAGAAGCATCAGTTATTCGAGTTATATCCCAAATTCCATTGTGAGGATAAATGGATCCAAAGAGTGGGGTCGAAATGAAAAGCATCACTTGGTGCGAATGTGACTATTCTTTCTCATCATTACAACAATGCATAAAGGACCTTCCAAAACGCATTAGCATCAAGCACATGATTCATTATGAGAATCGTGCCTAGAGGTTTATTAAGATGTACAGCGGAGGTCTTGACATGCGGCATGCTGAATGGGCATAAGAGCCATCGTCGCCTCCCCCGAATTTAAATTTCTTCGATTTCCAATAAAGGAAATTCCAAACTTTATTTTAAGATAAATTTTTGCATCTGAGGGTGCGGAAGTTGGACGTATGCGCGCCCTGTGAGTATTCGAATTGGTCACATGGCCTATGCCAAACCATTGATCTCCAGTGTATAGGAGTTTACATGTTTGGCATGATATTACTTTTCGGGTTAAGAGTTTAGGCAATCTCTTTTTTGGACAACAATAGAATACGCGAATATAAGCGTATAAATTGGAATTAAAATAGGGGTTGTTTTTCTACAATAGATCGACGCAGACAATGAAGACCATATTTTGATTATGTGAAGCGCGTTCAAATATATTAAGCATGGTTTGATACAGTATGAAAGAGTCGCGTAGTACTTGGGATAGAGTTGTTTATTGTCGCACATTTGGCTGCGCTATCCCAATGCAGTTACTGGGGTAAAAATTTCCTGTGACACGACCAACTTTTTTTGAATCCTCCGTAGTATGAAAAGGAGTAGCAACAGTCTAATATAAAGATACCATCAAAGTTGCAGGAAAAACAATTTAAATCATATATGCACTTGTTAATTGAGTGGTGTTAATAATAACAACAAAGAATTTGAATCAACCTGAATTATTGCCTAGTAAAGGAACAGCAGCAGATATCATCGTTCCACGTGCGAAACCAAGATATCCATTTTATCCCTATCATCTGAGACGTTCATCCTAACTTCATAGTTCTGTTGCCACTGTTATTCTGTTTCTGTTGGTGCATGGTCTCCGCATCAACCTTTTTACCGAACTCTTTTATATTCGGCACTGCACATAACCGAGAAAGAGCAGATCTGTGATCTGTTACATTTTTTGTGAAAAAATATTTAAACAGCAGTTTTTAATAAATAAAACCGGCAACAGTTCTTCTTTGGCCCTCTCATTATTGATCTTCTTATCGACGCGAAAGGACACAACTCAGCTGTATATACCACTCTCCATTATTAGAGTATTCCCACACACATATTTACAACACTAGTTTTCTCTTATTGTACAATATAGCAACAATATAGAACATGTCAACCCGCGAAATAGAGATCAGTAATAACAATAATAATAGCAATAATGATGCTGCTACAATTGTCTCCGAGCTACAAGAAGCGAGTGATGAAAAATCCAGCATACACCAACAAGAGCAGCCAGCAACAACAACGACACCATCAAAACGGTCGCGAATGGAACGAACAAGGATCGTCGGTGTATTTATTGGCATCATCATGTCCATGTTCGTCATGTCGCTCAACAGTACTGTCGTTGCCCCAGCAATGTCTATCATTGCCACAGAACTAGAAGCTTTGGAGAAACAAACTTGGATTGCAACTTCGTTTATGGTTGCTATGGTTAGTAACTTGTTTGCATAGTTTTCTTCTTCAAAAAGTTTGTGTTACTTGAACATTAAACACGGTGTTCACTAATGTCCCTTCCTTTTTTTCAACACTCATAGATTTCATTTCAACCATTAGCAGGAAAGGTATGTAGCTGTCGTAATCGATCTAGAATAAGAGAAATCGGGATGCATATTTTTGATATTGATAGGATATAAACCTCCATATAGTTTTCCGACATCTTTGGTCGAAAACCTGTTCTCCTATTTGGATTATGCTCCTTTTGGATCGGATCACTCATCACGGCACTTAGTCCTAGTATTGACGGTGTCATTGCCGGTCGAACTATTCAAGGTTTCGGAGCCGGTGGCATTTTCTCCATGATGTTTGTCGTTGTTTCCGAGCTTGCGACGCCTGAATGGAAACCTCGTCTGCAATCCATGTTGACAGTCATCTACGGCTTGTCCAGTGTGGTCGGCCCATTAATCGGCGGTGCTTTTGTCGACTATCTTACCTGGCGCTGGGATTTCTGGCTCAACCTCATTGTTGCTGGTATACCCATTCTGATAATGACCTTTTTGTTTAAGGAATCTACGCCTGTCCGTCAAGAATCATTTATTGAAAAGCTCAAGCGCATCGATGGCCTGGGTATTCTCTTTTCCATCAGCTGTGTTACCTGCCTTCTTTTAGCTTTCTCATGGGGACCTTTGGTAAATAGCAGTAACCAGTTGCACTTTGAATTCCGAGTGATATAGAGTACCGAGAGATAAAAACAAACAAACTAAACCTTTTTTTATTTACTTAGTACGGCTGGGGTAATGGTCATAGTATTGGCCCATTTGTTGCTGCTGGCGTTGCGTTTATACTATTGATCATCTCTCAAAGATGGATAGCAAAAGAGCCTGTAAGCAATAGCACACCTGTAGACTCTCAAAGTTTTGATTATAGTATTAAGAATGCAACTCTAAAAACAATGCTGAAAATAGATCATGCCAGCCGCAGTAGTGCTTAAGCCATCATTATTCACCGTATACATCTACATGGTGTGCCTCGGTGTTGGTTTCGCGGGCACTCTGTACTTTGGCCCAATTCTCTTTCAGTCTGTATTTGGTGCCAATAGTACGCAATCGGGTATTCGCCTAATCCCATTCATGGGATCTTTGATTGCTGGGTCGCTTGGCAGCAGTATCTTGATCAACTATTTCCCGTATTTTAAGGCATATGTTCTTCTTGGAGCTTGTTGTAACGTTCTCGGATACGGATTGATTTTTACCGTAAATGAAAACTCGACTTGGTAAGCTTTCTTTTCGTCCATCAAATCAATGTTTAAAAAAGAAAATAAACAAATTGTTGAGGACGCTAATAACTTCATTAGGGGACAACAAGCTGGCTACCTTGTCTTTTGCGGTAAGATCATATTTTTTTTTCGCAAATTAGCATTTGCTTCAAGCGAAAACAGCTAATGAGCACTGGGTAATGATTGTCAAATAACATATCTACAATTTGTTTTAGGTCTTGCATTCGGTTTGTCGCAGCAAAATTGTGTATTGGCTGTACAAACAGCTGCAGATAAAAAGTATATGGCTATCGCAACAAGTTTGGTAAGAGTTACACCAACAAAAGCAACTACGCTAGATATCCTTTTGGGGAGCTTGTTACTAACTGATGATCGTCATAATTTACTTATTTTAGAATAATTTCTTTCTGATGCTTGGATCATCCATTGGTATCGCCATCTATCAAATACTTTTCTCGACGTTTTTATCAGCCGAAGTCGGCGGTTTGGATCCGGAGATCAAGGCGATAGGCGCTCAATATGGTGCACTCGAGAATTACCTCTATATTCGAAATATGCCTGCTGATACCCAAGGACCGGTGATGAAAGCCTACATGAATGCCCTTCATTATGTATTTATCATTCCATTGGTTGCATCGAGCATTTCTGTCATTGCCGCTGTATTCCTTCGCAATGTTCGTTATGGTACCCCTGCTCCTCCTCCTCCTCCTCAGCAATCCGAACAACAACATGCGAAGCAGCAAGATGAAGAGCAGCCGCCCGCCATTGATGAAAAAGATGGATCACTGTATGAATCCAGTATTGATTCCACTTCAGTGGCAGATGGTTCGTCGCTACAGCAGCAGCGTTAACGTTCCCAATGCCTGGTCGTTAGCAGTTGTTGTCACTAAAATTAATGTATTTTTTCCTACCTCCATGTTATACCCAAATTCTTCACATACCCTTCTCACAGAAAATCATTTGTCACCACACTTCTAGTATATGCATAATTCTTTTTTAAAGTTTTTCCTCCACGTCCTGTTTTGTACACAATATCACTAAAGAGAGCAGCTCTTACTATCACCGTAAATAGTCAAAAATTATAAAATGCACTTTCAACTCGAACTTTTACCCTTCTCAGGGATTACATTGTCATTTTGGTTTTATTTGATAATATACTGCGCCAACAATAACAATAGTACAAATTTCAAACCGGCATAAACTGCTGTTACATACATTCGGCTTCTGTTTTCTCCGGAAAGCAACTCATGACTCCAGCCGGCGGTACTGTAATTCCGCGCTAAACGAGAATGTGCATGCATTGTCCAAAGCGATCAGCTAGAACAAACATCTCAATCGAGCGTAGTCACAGGACCAAGTTAGAAAAAACGACGATGGAACATTAATACATCCGGAAAAAATTACCTGAGTTTTAGAAGAGAAAAACTGTTTAAGCGGTGGTGCAAAAGGCTTAACCGGTATAGAATAATTTGAGCATCAGATGATGCAGCCACCGCGCCACATCAAGGCAATACCGACATAGTTCAAGTTCCAGCCAAAATCCTGAGCAGCTTGGCGCATCAGCATGAAACCTTGAGCACACGAGACAATCTTGGACGCATAGAGCGCACTGCCGAGCTGCTTGACAAAGTTTTGCTTGTCACCCTAAAACTTGACGTTGGTAGGACCCTTGAGGATCTTGGAAGCACGGGTGCGTTCTTCCTTGAGCGACGACAGGCATCGAGAGTAGACAGCTTCGCCGATCAATGTGACAGGAATACCACGGTCAAGCGAGTCGATGGCGGTCCATTTGCCAGTGCCTTTTTGGCCAGCCCTGTCCATGATCTTTTCCACCAAGGGGGAGCCATCGGTGTCCTTGAATCGCAGCACATCACGGGTGATTTCAATCAAAAACGAGTCGAGTTCTTCCTTGTTCCAGCCATCAAAGATATCGGCCATCTCGTCATCATTGATTCCAAGACCCTCCTTCAGAATGTGGTAGACTTCGGAAATCATTTGCATATCACAGTATTCTGTTTACAATGGATTGAGATAATGTATTGTGAGCTTTTGCTGTCCCCTCGTGAGACATTAAAAACCAACAACGGGAAAATTATGTAAATTTCATACCAATGCCGTTGTGAACCATCTTGACGTATTGGCCGGCGCCATCTTCACCGACCCAGTCGCAGCAGGGTTGACCATCGGGAGCCTTGGCAGCAATAGTCTGGAAAATAGACTTGATTTCGGGCCATGCTTTGGGATGACCACCAGGCATCAAGGAAGGGCCATGACGAGCACCTTCCTTACCAGCTGAAGCACCCGAACCAACAAACAAACAAACTTACTTGTTCGTCTTGGAACTCGCGGCACTCGATGTCGTCATGGGTGTTGCATTAGCCATGCGACAACGACGTTTACTGTCTTTGGCAGCTTCTTTGAACGAGGAGGAACCACATCAAGGAAGACAAAACAGATCGTTATCCAAAGAGCACTATATCAAGAAAAACTTTGAACTATATGTGCTTGAAAGAGGACTCTTAGAATGGTAAGCGCTCAATGAACACGTTGGGTCAGCTATCTATTTATGGACTGTACATCGTATATCAAAAGAAAACCATGTGTTACGGGTACAGCTTGTATTCTATCCAAACACTGTTTAGGCGAAGTTCATGTACATATGATAGCGGATTATTAGACAAGAAACAGTACGCGAAGAGGTTGATAATTAGATGCCATCCGGGATAATACGTAGCCATGTAAACATAATAACAGATCGCCTATGCAATCTTTGAACAGCTTTTTCCTTTATGAATGATATATAAATTTTGCAGGCTGTAGATTCCCAATAAAATAGTTTAGATCTATATCATAAGTGGAAAGAAACAAAGGATAATGAATACGAAGATGTTGCAGGTGGCTGTTAGCTTACGGTTATGCTTCCAAGGCGCGCCAGTGCCAATCTTCGGACAACTGTATCCGTGTCCAGTTAGAACTTCCTTTTTTGGGATTTGCTTTAGTCTTGGCTCCTACTAGCAGTCGCACAAGGGGATGAAGGGAACCGCCAAGCGATCTTGGTTTTCTTCGCTCCCGTTATATATTTCTGCTGCATTCTAATAAGAACTTTACTCTTCTTCTTCCTTTTTCCCTTTCGTGGCATAAATTGTCTTACGTCGCCAAATTATTTGATCACCAACCCCATCCAACCTCCTCTATACTAATATAACGCAAGAGCTCTGTTACAATCACAGCACCATGGATGCCAAAACACCACTACTACCAACATCAGCTTCCGCGCCAGCTGAAGTAATATGCTGTCGTCACAGACGCCTTTCGCGTTGGGCGCTTGTTATCAGCATGTTTGCTTTGGCTCATGCTGTCTTCCAAACACTCCGCTGCTCGTTCAGTCATCATGCCCGACAAGTGACTGCACCTTCATCTCCCTACTATGCATTGGATGAAGGCTCGTTCTCTGAAGCAAAGTTTTGTTACTATGACCCATCTAATCCGTGGGAAACAATCACCTCAGAATACACAGTTCCAGCATCGGCTTTTCATGGCTTGGATATTGATATGAAAGACTCGCGTTACATTAACTATCAGGTATCCTGTTCGTTGTAATTTACCGCGTACACACGATACTATCCTTAAATAGTAATACCACTTCAAAAAAAAGAGCGGTCAAGTAGATGTCGTCGTTGACGATTCCATCAAGGAAACAACAGTCCGTTTCGATCTAGCGTTCAGTAACCCAGAGGAAGAAGATCTAGTTGAGATTTCCAAGGAAGAAAAAACGGATGGCGTGCTTCGCTTGGTCGTTCAAGTATGCATAATACTTTTCTTTATGTGATAGACAGGATTATACTATCACGATTTGCTCACCATCCAAAAACATTTTCTGATAAACTAGGCGAAGCATCCAGTACGAGAACGCATTTGCATGAAAGCGGACGTTGCAGTAACGCTTTCCTTCGCAGCCGTTTTAGACACTCTCAATGTCGGAGCACTAAATGATGCCATTGTCATCCAAGACGGAGGCCTCACGTTTTCAAAGCTGCTTGCACTTTCAACAGCCAATGGTCATATAACCACAAAGCCCGGTGCCACTGGTGGCAAGGTCGTGCTTAGCACAGCTAATGGTGGTATCACAACACAGGAACTTATTGGTCACGACGTCGCGTTATCGTCTTCCAACGGTCATATTGACTCTAACATCAAATCATTGACCGGTAATCTGGACGTCTCCACCGCGAATGGCAAGATTGACGTCAGCGTCGCGTCTATCTTGGGTACTTCCAAGGTTGAGCTCTCCACATCAAATGGAGCCATCGCAGCAAATCTGGTAAATGAATTAAATAAACTTAAAAGATGGGAGATTGGATATAATCGAGTATTAGATAGTGTGTATATAGCTCATTTTCCCGCCCTTTCACATAGCCCGATTCCTTTGAATCATCATTTGATATCTCCACAGTCATGGGCAGAATCCATGTCAAGAGCGACCATCCAGGAAAAGTCCATTACAAAGGCTCACGTAGCAGCCGCCATGTGCAAGGTTACTATGGTGATGAGGATAAGAGGACCGGCAACATTGTGAAACTCAATACAGTTATGGGTGGCTCTACACTTACTTTTGTTTAACACATAACAATCATGTGTGTGTCCCATTATGTCAATAAACTCGAATGGCCGTTTGCACGCACCATCAATTGTTCAACGTGTTACTGCGTAGCATTTCGTGTAACCCTTTCCGTTTCTCTGGATATAAAGAGTTGATTCGATTTTCCTGACGTTCCTTTAAACCTTGCAATTCTTGGATATGCCTGAAGATAATCATGACGATAAAAACGACACTGACGAGCGAAAGCCATTGCTCACCTCATCCGATCAACAAGTAGTAGCATCATCGTCACCACATAACTCGGCCGACAACGCTGAGCACCGCCAGAAGCAGAATTGGTTCGCCACTTCTCCCATCAAAAAGATATCTTTTGCGCTTCTACTCTGTGTCTGTCCTTTGTTGTTATGCTGGTGTGGCTGGCAAACTGAGCAGCAGCTGAAGGTATGTGAAGAACGGGTTTTGTCAAGTTCGTAAAAAAATTGTTTCACCAAAGTTTTTGATTGTCGCTCGTGCAATTTAGCATGTCGACACCTGTATCGCAGCACCAACACTTTCTTGGTCGTCGGTACACACCATTGACACCGATCGGTACAACAGTTTACGTGTTGGGCACGAAATTACCGATCGTCTCCACATCACTGTAAGTTGTACTTGATTGCAATACTTTGTATGAGGAGAGTAAAATTCACACGATAGGTTCATACAATTACGAGAAACAGGGTGGTTTGGTGCAAGTGCAAGTGAATGATCAAGCCAGCGAACCAACTGTTCGCTTCAATCTCAAATTGACCGACGCGAGTCAATCGGATCTAATCCAAATAAAGCAAATCACGCAGAGCGATAACATTGCTATTCTTATTGACGCAAGTACTTGTACACTCGACCGTCTTACGGTAAATACTAATAAGCATACCCTCTTTCTCTACAGGCTGATGCGGCTGCAGAAAATCTTTCGTGCATTGTCTTGGATATCCTTGTTGAACTCCCAAACCCTACGGCACTGGATGAACTTGTTATTGAAACTTCTGACAGCGCCATAGAGATCGATGGTGGCATGTATTTTTCACGAGGCCTCAAGCTTGCCACAATCAATGGAAACATTACCATGGGGGTTAGTTCTTTGTTTTTACTCTTAAATATTTTATTAATCTATGGTCTATATCAGCGGTCCTCATTTCTCCTCTTTACGACAACGCGCATACACAGGACAGCCCAGGGAATGTCGTGGAGCTCAATACACATGCGGGACATATCGAATGCTCGATCCATGAAAGCCCAGCAGTTACCCAGATTACTGCTCGCTCTACTACAGGCAAATTAAACATTATATATACTGGTGTTCCATCTTCGTCGAACACACTGGTGGACCAACAAAGAAGTGTATTGATTAATTTGACCACCGTCTCAGGCGACATTCATGCGCAAATGGTAAAAGGAAATTTTTTTTCTTAAGCTCTATAACATTGAAATACATAGAAAAGGTCTTTACTAAAACATACAACGACATTATTCATAACCTTCTTTTTGTTTTACTCAAGAGCAAAGTGGACAACTTAGTATACGATGTGTACAGACAATTTAATAGCGGTGCTGGACAGGGATCATCCCATGAAGAATTTGAAAAATTCCTCGATATGCTCAATCACACCATTAGAGAAGGTCCATCGCTTTTTGACTGGACTGTATACCAACGCTCCGTATGGGGCTCTGCCGATATCTCCACCGTTCATTTAGTAGCTAGATCGTCAGCAATGCATACTAGCACCAACATTTCATTCTGCCGCTGCGAAAATCATTCCAGAAGCAACAAAAGGCAACCTACTTTAACACAAAATCGAAGCATCATGAATTGAAGAAATATATCGTTTTTAACTTTATTGAAAAATAAATTTGCAAGAGTGTGTTTTATCATTCTCATTTTTTAAGCTTGGTAAGTGGAGGCGGAAACATTGCCGCCAGTGCCAGTCCAATTGGTGTGGACATACTTTCCAGGCTCATGAAGAAGCTCATAGGTATGAGCACCAAAGTAATCACGCTGGGCCTGGATCATGTTGGCAGGAAGACGCTCATGTCGCAAGCCATCGTAGAAGCTCAAAGCAGTAGAATGAGCTGGTGTTGGAATACCCAGAGTGGCGGCAGTGCCAACAACTGCACGCCAAGCGTCTTGCGCCTTTGCAGACGCTTCCTGGAAGAACGGATCAAACGACAGGGTTTCGAGCGTTCGTGAATGCATCCTTGATCTGACCCAGAAAGACTGAAAATCCGTTACACCTTCTATAATACGCTGAGCAAGAGAATACATTGTTTGAGTCTAGCATTTCCACTGATGGTAGTTCTTGACAAAATTTAATAGTCTTTAATAATAATAAAGGCGGTCATATAGCTAACCATGTACCACTGGTGACTGAATCCAATTTTAAGCCTTGTCTAGCAACTCATATATCACAACAACATAAAAAAAGCGTAAGATTGTTCATGGTATAGCATAAAACGGCTGACTTATAAATTTAGTAAGCTGGGCTTTGTACTACTGCATCCAGCATCTGGTTACTGCATTCCTCAGCTGGATAGAGAAATATTCTAGTTCTCTCTCACCTCGTTCTTTTTTTTTCTCCAATGTCACTGACAACAGTTGAGCGGCCTTTTGGTTTGCTAGAAAAATATCAAGTTTCTAAGTATCTGACCCGTTGCTATGGTACCCTAGCTGCAACCGCCGTAATACGCCATTCGCCACGACCTGATAAGCAGCACGACGTTAAGCAATTCTACTTGTCTCAATTGCATGCACCTCTTGAACGTTTAATTGAAAAACATCCGCAACTTTCACTTGCTGTTGCCGAACACGACAAACCTAGCGCTCATTTCGTTCGCTTAACGCAATTCGACCTGTCAGCAGTGGTCCATGTCATTCACGAGCAGGTACCCTTCTGGGATCGATCCGAGCTTGCCAAGTTAATTGCAACTGAGTGCGACCACGAATTCGACTTGAACAACCAAACAAATCCACTCTGGCAATTGCGTATTGGTGTCCATGACGACCGACTTGACGAATGTAGCATCGTCTTCACAGCCCAACACGTAATTGCCGATGGCAAGAGTTTGGCGATATTTTGGCAAGACTTGCTTGCAGAAATTAATGGCACTACCAGTAGTAGCAGCAGCACTGCTACCGCTAGGCAGGAGGAAGGAGAAGAGGACGAGACGTACAACAATGAAGGCTATGTGATCAAACCCAAAACTCTAGCTCCAATAATGCCTCCATACGAAGATCGACAAAGTCCTATGCCCACAGCAGGGAATATCTTGGGCGTTGTTTCGCGTATGCTGGCCAAGAAGACTCTGCCCGGCTTTTTGATTCGACGATGGTTCCCTCAAGGTTGGGCTGGCGATTACCCAGCTATTACGAACAAGTCGAAAGCTCAACACGACACTGTTGTACGTGCGATCGAATTAGGCGGTACGACCTGGAGCGTTGTCTGTGCTACAAGTCGCGAGCACAAGGTCACTCCGCACGCGGCTATCATGGCAGCAGTTGTCCTGGCCCTGGCAGAAGTTTATCCAGAGACGACTACAGTTTCGACAGGCACTCCTGTCAATTGCCGCTCATTTTGTAAACCTCCTGTACCTGAAAACGAGATGGGCAATTTTGTGGGTTCGTATTCCCACACATGGGATCTACCATCTTTGTCGTCTTGGGGCTTTTGGGATATGGCCAAGACATATCATGCTCAGTTGAAAGCCAACAAGCATGAAGCAGCCAAGGATGCCGGTTTATTGAAATACCTTTCCAAATACCCGGAAGACTACACTAAATTTTGGTATGACCATTGGAAATCGAATCCAATCATGCATCGTGCCGGTGGTGTTGAGTTATCGGATCTCGGCAAGTTTGTTCTTCCGCCCCTTACTACCGAAACCGCTGTTGACGATCTGTGGCAGATCGAGTCAATTTGGTTTTGTCAAAGCGCCCAGATATTTACTTCAGCTCTGAGTGTAAACTCCATCAGTACTATGGACTCTATGTATGCGACAGTTGGATGGCAGAAAGGGTCGCTGGATGTTTGTAAAGCTGACACATTTGTGCTTCTAGTGATCCGTCATCTTAAGAATTGCTGCCCCCCGCAATAATATGTACTTTATATATGTCTATCTACCACCATTACCGATGTATCCTCATTGTTACACTGTAATCTATCACTCTTCTACTACTTCTACTACTACTTGATATGTAATAATAATAATGTCCTTAAGTTTTAATACAATCTTTTAATATGCTATCTGTAGTAAGGCTTGTATAATACTAATGAGGAAGCAGAATCAATAGGAGCCACTATTGATCATTTTGAGAACGTATTTATGATGCATATCACCTTAAACCGGCAAAATTTTTGAATTTTTTTTGAAATCTTACTACTTCCTTGGACACAAAGTCTTCTAATTTTAACTTCACGAACCATATGGAGTAGCATCTTTAGAATATAATTCGTGGAAGAGATTCACGTCAATCGTTCTTGTGAACACGCAGAAGAGTTCCAAAGAAGAGGATGTTAAGCGGAGTCAGCCCCAAATTGCAACACTTTTCTATGGCACTGGTTACCTTATACAGTTAGCCTTTCCCTTCAATGAATAACCAACAAAGAGCAGCGGTTCCAACAATCATATAAATTTTGTTACTATCTCGCTATCTCTTATAGCTTATATTGTGTTGAAGTTTGCTCACCCGTTGCTCCATCGGTATACTATCAGAGATACTAAAAGGATAGTCAAGTTTAGAGTAAAGTCACTTCAAGCCCTTTCAAGAGCAGTAAGTAGTAAAGGTTAGAGCATCTGCGGTCTTGTTTGTATGTAGCCTACATTGCGGATATGATAATGATTCGCTGCCAGGATATTTTCCCACAACGGCCACAGTGACAGCAGCGAGCCAACGACCCCATGTGTGATAAAGCAACTCTAAAATGAATCAGATTAAATAGGGCTACTAGTGGCTAGAAGTCCGTGTAGCTCATATTATAAGCTTGTTATATGTGTATTCTGAGGACGAACGCGAGACTACATAGTCAAGAAAAATGATGAGAGGTGGGCCTATTTGTTTACACAGCGTTTAAGTAAAACATTATCCAAGTGTACGATGCGTCAGTGCTATGTACGATACCAGGTCTAAGCCATTTTTAATTTCGGGACGTGAAATATGAATTTTGTCGGTTTAAGGTGATGTGCATCATATGCCATATCTAGTTTCTTCGGATGGAACCATCCCTCTTTATGTATGCTGTTCACTGACCATTTCGAAGTGACAGAATGGAATCACGGGGACTTGCTGTAATATAGAGCGGTCAACATTTTCAAAGACCACCTTATGCACTAAACTCTCAGAAACAATGAAATGTGGTAAGTCTAGGACACTTTCTATCTTGCTCATTCTTTAATTAATTAGTTGCGTCCGCCTAAATAACGTTCTAAGGGCACTTGTCTTTCGTCAAAGCACTATGTCATTTCATGCCGAACACGATCTTCTAAAGGAGCATGAGTTGGAGCAAGAATATGAACAAGGAACGAATAAAATGCGTAGAACGTTCTTCTTTGCCCTCCCTCAAGCAACTTTTTCTGGCTTGATGTGTTGAATTCCAATATTACAATGAATTTACCCGCTGCATTGAAATATAAAGGTACATATTGTTTGGATTGCTTGTATTAGTAGTAAGGCTAATTTGCCAATAACCTTTTTCTGCTGATTGTGCGCCTTTCGTTCTACGGATTCCTTGACAATACCTCATAGTAGTACCGCCATGGTGACCGCGAAACTTTTGGCGATGATGCAGTCATTACCGTGCAGGTGTCATCCAGAACGAAGTATATGTTTCTTGATTGATTCTGCCAAATTTGATGGTGATGAACTTGGTACCACAGCAGTACTTTTATTAATAATCAGGAAGAAGAAGCAAGTATCATTATTTCACAAAACAAGACAAAGAACAAAAGAAGCAATTAACAACATCAATAGCAGTTATGACCTCGGGCAACAGCAGCAACACGCCAGCAATATAGATGCCTCAAGCGCGCAGTCTCAGCTGCAACCGAAACAATGTCAACATACGAGAAGCTCAGGATGTTTGGTATAATATCATAACTAGAATGAAGTTTTCGCCAGATAGGGCACATTCACTTTACATATACAACCTTTTTTGATGATAATAACACTGTATGATGTTAATTGTGATTTGTAATATCATCAAGTATAATTATTATATGCATTAGAGCGTTCGAGTAGTGATAGTCCAACAAGACCACCCTCAGAACGACATACAATGCATCTTCCTATTGGTGGTCACTGGTGCTGTTTAATACACCGTTGCATTGTTTCTGCACTGACTTTTTAATCTAGAAGACATATGATCTATACAGTCACCGGATATATTTCATAGAACAATACAGTAGTACAATCTGGCTGTCTTTTGCGAGTTCGCTGTTAAAAGGCCGCATCCGCACTTTTGCGTAAGAGCATAGAACATCCGCATATCATTAACATGCATAGTGATATCTAGAGCCGCTTAATAGTGCCACTTTTATGACATCTTGCTCATAGTATGTACAAGTAGCGAGCATGTTAAATAGGTATACTTTTTCCATGAATCCCCAAGCAAGCTGCTGTCAAATCATATCTGTAAAGGAGGATTCTCTCAGTCATCTGCGCCTTGTGCGTTACTAGTCGTGGACGGATAGGTGAGAAGCTCCTCTGTAAGTTTCTTCATTCACATTTTTTCAATCATTCGTGGTTAGCGCGATTAATCCCAAAGAATAAACATTTTAAACAAAATGTATCCAGGGGCTTTTCAGGTATTGTATATAAGATTGATAGCAAAGAATGTCATCTAATCAGAGTAAAGGTTTTAATAACTTTTATCTGTCTTGCATCAAAAACAAATATGATATAGACAATGATAGCCGTATAGCTCATGACGAGATGCTTCGTATTGTGGAAGCCTGTACAAGATGGTTGGTAGCATGGTAAAATTGCCTGAGGACGAGGATACTCCCGAGAAACGAGTTCAAAAGATCTTTGACTTGATGGATTTGGCAAGTATTTGGGTTCATTGTTTATTTTTTGCTTTTTTTTTTCTCCTCGAGAAACTGCATCGGTACCAACAACACCATCTAGAGGGAGCTCTCAACCAAGGATCGTATCACTAGAGAAATTGTGTGACAGTGTTGTATATGATGAAACTACTTGCCCTGTCCCATCAAATATAAGCGAACAAAGTGTTCGACATTCGTTTTGACAAGTTCTCCTGTGTGACAACACACTAAATTCTCCCCTCGAAAAAACACGCCTTATCGTCACCTTTGCACCCAGCCAGCTAAAACAGTTAGAATAAGGTGTCGGAGTAGCTAATGTCTGCATAATTTTGGAATGAGATTTCTGAGCATCCGCAAAAGCTTTCGTCTTTGTGGTTTTGGAAGCTGCTTCCGTATCAGCAAAGCTCGATTCTCGCTTCTGCCATGCTTCTTTTTTTTTGTGAGATTCGTTGAGAAAAGTGTCGTTTGGAGGAGTGAGTCAGCTGTATATGATGAGCTAGGCGATCCATGCCGTGCGCGTACGATTCTGTAAAGAAAGAGCGAGACCCATCGGCGTAACATACCAGCTCGTAATACGTATTTTTTTCTGTTTTGTGTAACCTAAAAGCCCTAATTAGGCGCCTCATATAAAACAAGTCCCATTTAAGATAGCGCTCCACCGCCAGTATGGTACGCGGTGCCAGACCAGGATCTCTTCACCCAACCCACATAATCCACATGGCAAGGTAAATTCAATTCGTAACGCGGAATGCCAGTTACCCTCCCCCTCTTCATCGTCCCGCTTTTATTCTTTTAAAGCTTAATACCCGCTCTCAATCTATTTTCTTCTCTTAGAGGGCTCTAATGTATGGCAAGATCAACGTGCAAAGTCACGTTTTCTACAGTGTAAGTATTGTACTTTACGGACCTCTCTTTAAGAAACGTTGAATCTCTCTGTAGGGTGCAATCATTCTTAACTTTTTGTCTGGATGACGCTGTTTTTTGATATAGACTATGCTGCGACGGTACGGCTTTACAATGGTATAGCCCGTATTGGTGCTCCATTTGTGGTCAACGTCAACCGTGCGGTTTGTTGACTGCTTTTGGATGAACCATGAGAGAGACATTCCTACCGGCATCGCTGCAATGCAATTGTAGTGAGAAGTAGGGAGATCTCTGCTACGGGCTTCCTGGTAACAATATCTTAGCCCATAAAGAGGTGGCCCCACAGGGAACCTTGAGAGAGACGGACCTGCCGGCATAAGACTAAGGCAGTCTTGGGTAGGAATGCTCTGCTATGGGCTAGGCGTGCATCATTATGGAACTTCGTTCGAAGCTGTCTTGATGCACGGCCGAAACCGACCGTCGCTAAACATGGCTGCTGGACACGCCTTCCTGTAAGTATAAATTATCTTGATTCACCCAATAGATCTGTTATCTCACTTTCTACTCATCTTATAGAGTCGATCCTTCTTGTCTCCACCTCCAACTTTGGCTTCCCACCCTGCGACGGTACGGCTTTACAATGGTGTGGCCCGTATTGGTGCTCCATTTGTGGTCGACGTCAACCGTGCGGTTGTTGACTGCTTTTGGATGAACCATGGAGGGAGACATTCCTACCGGCATCGCTGCAATGTGATTGTAGTGAGAAGTAGGAAGATCTCTGCTACGGGCTGGCCTCGGTATCAGTATCTTAGCCCGTAAAGAGGTCGCCCCGAACAATGACTTCATTGCTACAGGGAACCTTGAGAGAGACGGACCTGCCGGCATAAGACTAAGGCAGTCTTGGGTAGGAATGCTCTGCTATGGGCTAGGCGTGCATCATTATGGAACTTCGTTCGAAGCTGTCTCGATGCACGGCCGGGAGCGACCGTCGCTAAACATGGCTGCTGGACACGCCTTCCTGTAAGTATAAATTATCTTCTTTTACCCAACGGATTTGTTATCTCACTTTCTACTCATCTTATAGAGTCGATCCTTCTTGTCTCGACCTCCAACTTAGGCTTCCCATCCTTCGACGTGTACCCTTCGACGTGTTTTGTCTTTTGTGGCAACGAGGACTGCTGAAATAGTATCTTACTCTCAACCATGCACACTCACACACTCACACATAGGCCTTTTTGTTTGTTCTAACTATTTAGTGTTCGCCAAGGAAGCACACGCCGTCAACGTGCTTGGTACGCCAGCCATGGCTATTCAAACGACTGTTCCTGAACAAGATGTTGCCGCATCGCCTTGCCGATATATATCTGATGTATGTACACTGCTGGATTGAATCTTGGGCTGCCATGCTGGCAAATACGGGCTAACCAAAGCCATATTAAGAAGGCACCAGCTTATACTAACCACACATCTATTCATCACTCTTCTTTTTGTAGAGACGACAGCCGCTTCCATTCCACACCATAATCTTACCTTTCTCTACTTTCTTCTCGCTCTTCATTTTTTTGAATGAACTTTTATATGTATCTTTTTAATGTCATTTGAAGATCGCTTCTATTTATCTTCACAATCTTTTATTTGTCGCAAAATCAATCCCTCCAATGTATCGTTACTAAAGTTTATCTCCACGTTTTCGCATGGCTTCTTAGCCTATTATTTAGCAGCTTTCAAGATTTGGTTCGGTCAATCTTCTACTTTTAAAAAGTAATAAAATTTGATGGGTCTGGTTTAAATGAATGAACGATTCAGCGCCGCTCTGGTGTTTATAACTGATTTTCACCTGGATGTAATACTATCATTGCATTTGGATTTCAAAAGTTGCGGCTGAAAGACAACATGTCTATAATAACTTGCCCATAGAAAATAACAGCAGGACACAAGTAGATCCACGGCTTGCTTCCTTGCTATGTAATACGCACAGACGCAGTTAGCACCATATGCTGGCAACTAGTGCGAATGGATTCACATGTCGACTTAGGGTCGTGCTAATATATAGGTCGATCACCGTCTAGGTCACCTCGTTAGCGTTAACTCTCGATAGCATCAACTTTTCACAAGAGCATCTTCTAAACAGAATTATGCGAGATCTTCGCAATTGGTCAACCCTCAATAGTGTTGATCGCTTCAGATACGCCCTATGGGTCAACATCAGCGAGGTTCAGTGTAGCATCATGTAGTCAGGCAACATAACTACAGCACTATCACATAGAGTGACTGGTGTAGTAGTCATGTTGTACATAATGTGTTCGGCCATATCATATAAAATCTCCTTCAAATCTGGTGAGAATGGATTCGTAACTATTATCATACTCGCAGTTGTGTTGTCTATGTTTGTCGTTCCGCTCAACAGCACCATTGTTGCGCCAGCCATGTCCCTGATTGCAACCGAATTGGGCGCCTTGAAAAACAGACGTGGATTGCTACTTTATATTTGGTAGCGATGATATCATTGCTTCCTTAATAGCTTTTTCATTTATCGGATGGCAACTGACGTGTTATTAAAACTCAATCACTGCTACTTTTAGCGACATATTTGGACGCAAGCCTTTGCTGCTTGTTATTGTTGCAGAAGTTGCGACGCTCAAATGGAGCTCGAGAATGCAATAGATGCTTGCAGCTGCATACGGGACCAGTAGTGTGGCCGGTCTATTGATTGGTGGTGGACTATTTGACGTGGCGTAAGAATCGTTCAGAGACACAATCAAGCGTATCGATCTGCCAGGGATTTTTCTCCTCTGTAGCCTGTGTCACTTGTCTTCTTTTGGCGCTAAACTGGGGACCAGCCAAAAGTTGTTGCTGCACTAGAATCAACTGTTCCTAACAGTAAAGGGCAAACTTCACTCTGTATAAAAAAAGCTTGGTAGTATGGATGGAGTGATGCTCACAGTATGGGTCAGTTTGTTGCAGCCGGCGTGTAATTGATTCTTTTGGTAATCACCGAGGGCTGCTGGATTGTCGGTATATAAACCCCATGAGCGATTAATCTGTGCATCGCATTACATATGATGCAGTTATATGACTCTGATTTTGTAAGGGGCTTTAAAACACTGTGCATACACAGTGCGTAGATCCTGCCCGCGAAAGTAATATTCAAACCATCGGCGTTTACAGTGTACTTGTACATATGTTGCATCGGCCTAGGTTTTGTTAAAACCTTGTACTTTGGGCCTATCCTATTCCAGTCTGTTTTTGGAACGAGCAGCAGCGAACCAGGGATCGGATTAAACCCCTTCATGGTTTTCTTGTTCCTGGCGCTTTTGTCGAGTGATATGCTAGCGGTTCCCTTACTTTGAATTCTATGTAGTGGTTGCATGTAGCAATCTTTAAAGATATGCATTAGTTTATACCGTAAATGAGAACTCCAATTGGGGTACATATGCTCGCAGGCTAACTCTGGTGGAGGTCACATAGGTGTTTGACCTTTATCGAACTTAACACATCAATTCTTTAGGAAACCAAGCCGGTTTCTTGACTTTTTGTTGTAAGTGATAATGCAGTGATATTGATGAGCACTGTCCAACTCCCCTTCGTTTGCTTGACCCCTTGAGGACTCGCATTTGGATCATCACGACGAAGCTGTATATTAACTGTTCAAGTGCTGTTGACAAGAGCTCTATAGCCATAGCTTCAAGTTTGGTATGGAATAGAATGGAAGGAAGAAAAAACTACAAGAACGCTTGGTGCTGCAGAGAATGAGAAGAAAAGGAAACATTGAATGAGTATGATAGGGAAATCTATAAAAAAGCTTTTTCATGATCTTTGCTTCTTCCATTTGATCAGCTATTAATCAGACCTTGTTGCGACCTTTTTAGCTGCGCAGCTGCGTGGAGTTGATCCAAGAGTCGTTGCAATTGGCCAATAGTATGTTGTTTTCAGAGACCGATGCATAGCTTTGCCTAAAATATCTGCTCATTGGCGATCTGTTGCAGTAGTATGATATAATACGGTGCACGCGAGAATTCTCTAAATAACCGGAATATGTCTCAGGAAGTTCAAAAGCCTACCATTCACGCCTAAATGGAAGCGCTACGTGATGTGTTCATTATTCCGCTTGTAGCAAGCATCGGGTGTGATCGCCTCCCTTGGTCTTCGCAATGTCCGCTATGGCGGAGGACAGTTGGTAGCTGACAAGAAAGCGGGCCGAAAAGCTGCTGCTGAATCTCGATACGATAAAGACCAAATAAAAAAATGAGTAAAAACCCCGGGACCGTTTGTTTGATCTGATTCCCAGTTATTCTATTATTATACCCACCATTCTGGAAGGGTCCTCCCACCATTTTCATATGACATTGCTGAAGCGATAATAATATTAGGCACAGACCACCATGAGGAAAGTAAAACGCGTTATTATAACCCGATGTCTCTTTTATATATGTACATCCCCAACGAAAAGTATAAGGTTGGGCGTTAAGTAATTTCAGTTGCCACGTCCTATCTTCAAGAGAACAATTTCTCCTGAATAAGACGTTACACAGAATATTCTCGGGAAAACCTCATTCCCTGTTTATTTTTTTGGGCAAATAGTCCCGGGTTGATAATATAAATGGTTATGGATTGCAAATCGGCCATTGCTATGTAAAGAAGCACAACTTGCTTTGATAGACTTAACTTTTCCTGCTTCTACTTTATCACTGATCTTGCAGGATCGAACATAGTACTAAAGCGTGTAGCAATATGAAGCTGTGATTTATAAGCTATATCATATAAGCCCGAAGCACACTCGGACGCACTATTCAGCCGCTGCCATCAAAATATGTGAGACATACTCTTCGGCAAAACTATCCTCTAGGGATTGATTGGCTCTGGTAATCCGGCGGAACACGAGGTTACTCTTGGATCGCAAAACTTTTCTGATCCGCCCGTCTAAGTTGGGCGAGTCGTCGATGTGTATATATATATGTATATATATGTAGGTGCACGCCGGACATCTTCCTCACATCTTTCCTCCTCTTTCTTTGCGCTCTTCTTCTATCTCGCTCACTCACTTACACACAAACGTCTCTTTCATTATGCCTGCCTCGTCACTTCACAGTGCTGATGCAGCCACTGTGATATCAGTTGACGCAATGTCCGTCGTTAGCGGCAAAATTCCAGCAGAACAACCAACCCAGGAACAGAAAAAGAAACGACCGTTCTTACAAACGGTCAGAATCGTACTTTTGATTTTCGGCATTCTGTTGGCCATGTTTATGGTCTCACTCAACAGTACTGTTGTCGCACCCGCCATGTCTATTATCGCTACCGAACTCGACGCTTTGGAAGACCAAACTTGGATTGCAACTTCATACATGGTTGCCATGGTATGATTTAACCGCTATCTTACAATTGTGCGCCTTGGCAAATGCTACAGAAAAATTCTATGTCCGTGACTAATTTTTCTGTTGCCACCATTTTCTGCTTATAGAACGCATTCCAACCATTATCTGGCAAGGTAAAATATCTCTTAGGCACAAGAAGCTACGCGCAGAATTCATGGTTTAACTGTTTTACACATATATAGTTCTCTGATATTTTTGGCCGCAAACCGATCCTACTATTGGGAATGGCATTTTTCTTTGTCGGTTCCTTGGTCAACGCACTCACTCCGACAATCGACGGATTGATTGCAGGCCGTACGCTCCAGGGATTCGGTGCCGGTGGTAAGTAGTATAGATGAAGCTTATTCTTGATGTATGAATTATGATCAAAGCAAAACGTGTACTTAATCGTATAAATAGGTATCATGAGCATGCTTTTTGTTATCATCACCGATATCGCTCCCCTCGAATGGCGTCCAAGACTACAAAGTATGCTTACTGTCGTCTACGGTCTTGCTAGTGTCGTTGGTCCTCTTATTGGTGGTGCCTTTGTCGACTACTTAACATGGCGATGGGACTTTTGGCTCAACATCATCCTTGGTGGTGTTGCTATCATAATTGTCTTTTTCTTGTTCACCGAAACGGGTGGCGTTCGCAACGAATCCTTCTGGGATAAGTTCAAGCGTATTGATTTCTTGGGTACTATCTTCTCCATCAGTTTGATTGTCTGTCTTTTGTTGGCGCTTTCATGGGGTCCTCAAAAGGGCTGGGGAGATGCTCACAGCATTGGTCCCTTCGTTGCTGCCGGTGTTTCTTTGATTCTACTTATTATCTCTGAAGGCTGGATTGCCAAAGAACCCGTAAGTTTCTTGTTCATGCATAATTTATCAATCAAAAACTCTATTTTCAACTACATAGAAACTCACACGGACGCAATTGCAATTACATTTACTTCTGATGTAGATCATGCCACGTCAAGTTCTTCTCAACCCCAAAGTTTTCGTCATTTACTTGTACATGGTCACACTTGGTCTTGGCTTTATTGGCACTTTGTACTTTGGTCCCATTCTGTTCCAATCGGTCTTTGGCGCCAACAGCTCTGAATCTGGTATCCGCCTCATTCCATACATGGTCTGTCTTATCGCAGGATCTATTGGTAGTGGCATCCTGTTGCCACGGTTCCCTTACATCAAGATGTATATCATGATTGGTGCCGCATCCAATATCCTCGGCTACGGTCTCTTCTATACCGTTGACGAAACCGCCAGTTGGTAAGTTGGTTATTCCTGATAGATGATTAGCATAGTTTAATGCAAATTCACTTACCTGAACATCATTTTAGGGGTCGCCAAGCTGGTTTTCTGTGCTTTTGTGGTAACGTATTACTTCTTTTTTAATGTTGTTCCAACGTTTAAACAAACTTCTTCAATCCCCCCCAAAAAAATGATGGAATCTGCTTGTGGAAACTATGCTCATATTTTCTTCTGAAATTCCATAGGTTTCGCATTCGGTCTTTCTCAACAGAACTGCATTTTGGGAGTCCAGTCTGTGGCTGGAAAGGAGTTCATGGCTGTTGCTACAAGTTTGGTAAGTTTCCTTGTCTCCAATAGTTACCACTCTTCCTCTCGTCCTCATGCAGTAAATACTAAATTATATTTCTTTTCTGTAGAACAACTTCTTCATGTTATTAGCATCATCCATCGGTATCGCCATCTACCAAACCCTGTTTTCTACCTTTTTGAAGGCACAATTCGAAGGTGTTGCCCCCGAGGCTTTGGCTGCTGCCCAACAAGTTGGCGCGCTTACAAACTACTTGTACATTGGTGATGTTCCCGAAGAGTTCCGGCAATCAATTATCCATGCCTACATGGAAGCTTTGAACAATGTCTTTATCGTACCCGTCGTTGCAGGTGGATTTGGCGTTATCGCCGCTTGCTGTGTGCGTAATATCCGCTATGGCGCACCTGAAGCCCAAGCAGCACCTAAGGATGAGGAAGTTATGGCACCTCCCACTGCTGAAGAAAAGCTGGAATTGCAACAAGCTCCCAGCATCAACGAAAACAAGAACTAAAGACGGAGGGCTTATTGATCACGTCGTCTTTTCATTATACACTTGTGCTTCGTTTGCATTTACACACATACACATACTCACATACTCATGCATACATTTCCACTTCCCCGAATCAACTTTATGTATTCATACTATAAATTCTCTTCTTGCATCAACTTTCCCTTTGTATTACTAGCTACTGTGCTATCATTACCACCTACCACTAATATAATTCTTACTGCATCATACATCATCCCATTATTTTCTCTGCAAAATGCTGTCCGTGTATTATTATACAATTGCATGTCACGATATTATTTATAGAACTTTATTTTGTACTCACATTTTGATGGATCGCGTGATTGAAATCGTTAATAATAATCAGATGCGAGGGCGCGGCGCTCGGTACAATCGGACCGGAGAAGGAATCAGAACCACCCAACGAATCACAAGAAAAAATCGAACAATAAGAACGTTCATGCAAACCACGCTAAAAAAAAGCAGCGGAAAAACTTTAGGAAACTGCGCTTGACTTGCGAAAGAGAAGTCTCTGTCACACTCACGTGTCCTGTGTATAACAACCCGGTTTTCTGCTTTTTTTTCTTTTCAGATATCATCCTCATAGCTGCATAACCTACAATTGTTACATTTTACAGACTATAGCTCATACATCGATATTATATCCTTTTCACTTACGAATTGGGCTTGCAGAACCCAAGTTACCAGCAGTGATTGATAGCAAGCGATGAAACAAATTAAAGTGGTAGTGATAGGGTGTCGCTCCGCGATGCATACGCAAAGCAAAGATTCTATTGTTCCGAATATATCCCATGGCAATAAAAAAGTGCTAGTGCGATGTGGAATGCAATCCTTACATCAGGGATAATTTACACCGCTCAAATGCATGGGTTTTGGACGTAATGCAGGCAGCATTTTCCTGAACCCTCGTCACTACCAAAAAGTTACTATTACCACGTCTCTTTTCTTTCTTCTCACAACAACGAAAAAGTTATAATTATCATGTCAGAAGCAGTGTAAGTTGTAAATAGCATAAATTTTGATAGTTAGCATTGATAGTAATATTGTCGCTTTTACAGTGCAGATATCGGTCTAATTGGCTTGGCCGTCATGGTAAAGGAAAAAGAAAAGGAAAGCAAGTTGGGAGATGGAGTATAACCGATCTGCTGTATAGGGCCAAAACTTGATCTTGAATATGAACGACCATGGATTCAAGGTGTGTGCATTTAACCGCACTGTATCCAAGGTTGATCACTTTTTGGAAAACGAAGCTAAAGGTATAGAAAAAAGAGCTTAAAGCGTGCGTGTTCGACGATTGACGTATGATCATTGTTTGTTTGTTAATTGTTGTCATTCTTTCTCCCCACTTTGTGTAGGAACAAACGTTATTGGTGCACACAATGTTGAAGAGTTATGCTCCAAACTCAAGCGACCACGAAAAATCATGTTGCTTGTAAAGGCTGGCTCAGCTGTCGATGCTTTCATTGAGACACTGTTGCCACATTTGGAGCCAGGTGATATCATCATTGACGGTGGCAACTCGCATTTCCCCGACACCAACCGTCGCTGCAAAGAGCTCGAAAAGAAGGGAATTTTGTTTGTTGGTTCGGGTGTTTCAGGTGGCGAGGAAGGTGCTCGTCATGGCCCTTCCTTGATGCCTGGTGGTCATCCCAAAGCATGGCCCGAAATCAAGTCTATTTTCCAAGCTATTGCTGCCAAGGCTCCCGATGGTCAACCCTGCTGCGACTGGGTCGGTGAAGATGGCGCCGGCCATTACGTCAAGATGGTTCACAACGGCATTGGTATGAAACTTACATAATTTTCCCGTTGTTGGTTTTTAATGTCTCACGAGGGGACAGCAAAAGCTCACAATACATTATCTCAATCCATTGTAAACAGAATACGGTGATATGCAATTGATTTCCGAAGTCTACCACATTCTGAAGGAGGGTCTTGGAATCAATGATGACGAGATGGCCGATATCTTTGATGGCTGGAACAAGGAAGAACTCGACTCATTTTTGATTGAAATCACCCGTGATGTGCTGCGATTCAAGGACACCGATGGCTCCCCCTTGGTGGAAAAGATCATGGACAGGGCTGGCCAAAAAGGCACTGGCAAATGGACCGCCATCGACTCGCTTGACCGTGGTATTCCTGTCACATTGATCGGCGAAGCTGTCTACTCTCGATGTCTGTCGTCGCTCAAGGAAGAACGCACCCGTGCTTCCAAGATCCTCAAGGGTCCTACCAACGTCAAGTTCCAGGGTGACAAGCAAAACTTTGTCAAGCAGCTCGGCAGTGCGCTCTATGCGTCCAAGATCGTCTCGTACGCTCAAGGTTTCATGCTGATGCGCCAAGCTGCTCAAGAATTTGGCTGGAACTTGAACTATGCCGGTATTGCCTTGATGTGGCGCGGTGGCTGCATCATCCGATCCGTCTTTCTGGGCCAGATTAAGGATGCATACACGAACAATCCCAAGCTTGAAAATTTGCTGTTTGATCCGTTCTTCCAGGAAGCGTCTGCAAAGGCGCAAGACGCTTGGCGTGCAGTTGTTGGCACTGCCGCCACTTTGGGTATTCCAACACCAGCTCATTCTACTGCTTTGAGCTTCTACGATGGCTTGCGACATGAGCGTCTTCCTGCCAACATGATCCAGGCCCAGCGTGATTACTTTGGTGCTCATACCTATGAGCTTCTTCATGAGCCTGGAAAGTATGTCCACACCAACTGGACTGGCACTGGCGGCAATGTTTCCGCCTCCACTTACCAAGCTTAAAAAATGAGAATGATAAAACACACTCTTGCAAATTCATTTTTCAATAAAGTTAAAAACGATATATTTCTTCAATTCATGATGCTTCGATTTGTGTTAAAGTAGGTTGGCTTTTGTTGCTTCTGGAATGATTTTCGCAGCGGCAGAATGAAATGTGGGTGCTAGTATGCATTGCTGACGATCTAGCTACTAAATGAACGGTGGAGATATCGGCAGAGCCCCATACGGAGCGTTGGTATACAGTCCAGTCAAAAAGCGATGGACCTTCACTAATGGTGTGATTGAGCATATCGAGGAATTTTTCAACTTCATGGGATGATCCCTGTCCAGCACCGCTATGAAATTGTCTGTACACATCGTATACTAAGTTGTCCACTTTGCTCTTGAGTATAAAAAAAAGAAGGTTATGAATAATGTCGTTGTATGTTTTAGTAAAGACCTTTTCTATGTATTTTAATGTTATAGAGCTTAAGAAAAAAATTTCCTTTTACCATTTGCGCATGAATGTCGCCTGAGACGGTGGTCAAATTAATCAATACACTTCTTTGTTGGTCCACCAGTGTGTTCGACGAAGATGGAACACCAGTATATATAATGTTTAATTTGCCTGTAGTAGAGCGAGCAGTAATCTGGGTAACTGCTGGGCTTTCATGGATCGAGCATTCGATATGTCCCGCATGTGTATTGAGCTCCACGACATTCCCTGGGCTGTTCTGTGTATGCGCGTTGTCGTAAAGAGGAGAAATGAGGACCGCTGATATAGACCATAGACTGATAAAATATTAAAGAGTAAAACCAAAGAACTAACCCCCATAGTAATGTTCCCGTTGATTGTGGCAAGCTTGAGGCCTCGTGAAAAGTACATGCCATCATCGATCTCTATGGCGCTGTCAGAAGTTTCAATAACAAGTTCATCCAGTGCCGTAGGGTTGGGGAGTTCAACAAGGATATCCAAGACAATGCACGAAGGATTTTCTGCAGCCGCATCAGCCTGTAGAGAAAGAGGGTATGCTTATTAGTATTTACCGTAAGACGATCGAGTGTACAAGTACTTGCGTCAATAAGAATAGCAATGTTATCGCTCTGCGTGATTTGCTTTATTTGGATTAGATCCGATTGACTCGCGTCGGTCAATTTGAGATTGAAGCGAACAGTTGGTTCGCTGGCTTGATCATTCACTTGCACTTGCACCAAACCACCCTGTTTCTCGTAATTGTATGAACCTATCGTGTGAATTTTACTCTCCTCACACAAAGTATTGCAATCAAGTACAACTTACAGTGATGTGGAGACGATCGGTAATTTCGTGCCCAACACGTAAACTGTTGTACCGATCGGTGTCAATGGTGTGTACCGACGACCAAGAAAGTGTTGGTGCTGCGATACAGGTGTCGACATGCTAAATTGCACGAGCGACAATCAAAAACATTGGTGAAACAATTTTTTTACGAACTTGACAAAACCGTTCTTCACATACCTTCAGCTGCTGCTCAGTTTGCCAGCCACACCAGCATAACAACAGAGGACAGACACAGAGTAGAAGCGCAAAAGATATCTTTTTGATGGGAGAAGTGGCGAACCAATTCTGCTTCTGGCGGTGCTCAGCGTTGTCGGCCGAGTTATGTGGTGACGATGATGCTACTACTTGTTGATCGGATGAGGTGAGCAATGGCTTTCGCTCGTCAGTGTCGTTTTTATCGTCATGATTATCTTCAGGCATATCCAAGAATTGCAAGGTTTAAAGGAACGTCAGAAAAATCGAATCAACTCTTTATATCCAGAGAAACGGAAAGGGTTACACGAAATGCTACGCAGTAACACGTTGAACAATTGATGGTGCGTGCAAATGGCCATTCGAGTTTATTGACATAATGGGACACACACATGATTGTTATGTGTTAAACAAAAGTAAGTGTAGAGCCACCCATAACTGTATTGAGTTTCACAGTGTTGCCGGTCCTTTTATCCTCATCACCATAGTAACCTTGCACATGGCGGCTGCTACGTGAGCCTTTGTAATGGACTTTTCCTGGATGGTCGCTCTTGACATGGATTCTGCCCATGACTGTGGAGATATCAAATGATGATTCAAAGGAATCGGGCTATGTGAAAGGGCGGGAAAGTGAGCTATATACACACTATCTAATACTCGATTATATCCAATCTCCCATCTTTTAAGTTTATTTAATTCATTTACCAGATTTGCTGCGATGGCTCCATTTGATGTGGAGAGCTCAACCTTGGAAGTACCCAAGATAGACGCGACGCTGACGTCAATCTTGCCATTCGCGGTGGAGACGTCCAGATTACCGGTCAATGATTTGATGTTAGAGTCAATATGACCGTTGGAAGACGATAACGCGACGTCGTGACCAATAAGTTCCTGTGTTGTGATACCACCATTAGCTGTGCTAAGCACGACCTTGCCACCAGTGGCACCGGGCTTTGTGGTTATATGACCATTGGCTGTTGAAAGTGCAAGCAGCTTTGAAAACGTGAGGCCTCCGTCTTGGATGACAATGGCATCATTTAGTGCTCCGACATTGAGAGTGTCTAAAACGGCTGCGAAGGAAAGCGTTACTGCAACGTCCGCTTTCATGCAAATGCGTTCTCGTACTGGATGCTTCGCCTAGTTTATCAGAAAAAGTTTTTGGATGGTGAGCAAATCGTGATAGTATAATCCTGTCTATCACATAAAGAAAAGTATTATGCATACTTGAACGACCAAGCGAAGCACGCCATCCGTTTTTTCTTCCTTGGAAATCTCAACTAGATCTTCTTCCTCTGGGTTACTGAACGCTAGATCGAAACGAACTGTTGTTTCCTTGATGGAATTGTCAACGACGACATCTACTTGACCGCTCTTTTTTTTGAAGTGGTATTACTATTTAAGGATAGTATCGTGTGTACGCGGTAAATTACAACGAACAGGATACCTGATAGTTAATGTAACGCGAGTCTTTCATATCAATATCCAAGCCATGAAAAGCCGATGCTGGAACTGTGTATTCTGAGGTGATTGTTTCCCACGGATCAGATGGGTCATAGTAACAAAAGTTTGCTTCAGAGAACGAGCCTTCATCCAATGCATAGTAGGGAGATGAAGGTGCAGTCACTTGTCGGGCATGATGACTGAACGAGCAGCGGAGTGTTTGGAAGACAGCATGGGCCAAAGCAAACATGCTGATAACAAGTGCCCATCGCGAAAGGCGTCTGTGACGACAGCATATTTTTTCAGCTGGTGCGGAAGCTGATGTCGGTAGGAGTGGTGTTTTGGCATCCATGGTGCTGTGATTGTAACAGAGCTCTTGCGTTATATTAGTATAGAGGAGGTTGGATGGGGTTGGTGATCAATAATTTGGCGACGTAAGACAATTTATGCCACGAAAGGGAAAAAGGAAGAAGAAGAGTAAAGTTCCTATTAGAATGCAGCAGAAATATATAACGGGAGCGAAGAAAACCAAGATCGCTTGGCGGTTCCCTTCATCCCCTTGTGCGACTGCTACTGTAGTAGGAGCCAAGACTAAAGCAAATCCCAAAAAAGGAAGTTCTAACTGGACACGGATACAGTTGTCCGAAGATTGGCACTGGCGCGCCTTGGAAGCATAACCGTAAGCTAACAGCCACCTGCAACATCTTCGTATTCATTATCCTTTGTTTCTTTCCACTTAAGATATAGATCTAAACTATTTTATTGGGAATCTACAGCCTGCAAAATTTATATATCATTCATAACGGAAAAAGCTGTTCAAAGATTGCATAGGCGATCTGTTATTATGTTTACATAGCTACGTATTATCCCGGATGGCATCTAATTATCAACCTCTTCGCGTACTGTTTCTTGTCTAATAATCCGCTATGTACATGAGCTTCGCCTAAACAGTGTTTGAATAGACTGACCACAAATGTGAGCGACCTGTTAGTGTTAAGCTACGCTAAAAGGACATCTTCAGGCAACAAGATTGAACATGGGAATATCTTAAGCTTTCACTTTTTTTATATATCCGGTAAAAAGTCAATTTGTTTTAATTGTTTGTAATTCTGCCAATATAGAAAGTCAATGGCGCCTTATGTCGCTGCAATCATGAAGCTCGTCATTATAGTATTATATATAAATTGTACTAAAGATGATATTATGCATATGTCAAAAGCAACTAGCATTATGTCCTTGATTGATTGTGCGAGCGAATAGATTAGGGGAGCAATCCTGCTTCTAATTGCTGATGTAGCAAAATACGATATAATTTTTGTACAAGTAGGACATCCATCTTTGCACCAACTAATTATCCATTCGTATATTGGGGTTTTGTCCCAGTATTAGTACATATACACACTACAGAAATAGAGTATGCCCTTGATTGTTATAGCAGCAACGTGAACATTTGCTACTCTCTCCAACCCATATTCGATGCTTGAATCGGTCACCAACGGTATAAATCAAAGGGTTCAACGAACCTTTAGTTTTCCAAATGTAGTGCAAACGTTTCGACATACATAGACATGAATTTATAGCAACAACCTTTCTCGTCTTCTTCAAGACAATAACACAAAACCTGCATGTATCATACTGCTCAAATACATATCGTTGCGCATAACAGAAAAAAGTGCATTAGCCCGGTTTCCAAAGAGGAAGAACGCAAAGAAGGTCTTTTGTAATCAACAGCAGAAAGCCTGTTAATACGCTATTCAAGTGCATAACCGAAACCAAATCATTGTGTCGCAGTTTGTGTAATGGAGGACGAATACAGATACAACAACGATGGCACACTTTTCGGTAATACTGCATAAACAAAGGAAAAAAATAAAACGACGTATCATCACCGCAACTACGATCCTGCATGATAAAACTCAGCACAAGTTGACTACAAAACAAGACCAGGAGCAATAAGTATTGATGGTTCAAACTTGTAGGGGGATGGATGACCATCACCACTTACTGACGGGAGTGGAAAAACCAAGTATTATTACAATGCCGACGATGAATTCTGTCTGCAGTTCTCTTCCTCTCACACAATACACATATACATATACACGGGCCACTTTATTATCTAGCTCGCTCTCTGCCTTTTTACATACTCTTTACGCAGAAATAGACCGCTTAATGCAGGACCCCATTGTCATTCAACACAGCGACAGTCCGAGTACTTTGTCAGATCAAACCTCGGTGACCGGAGCAGCATCGTCCTCGTACGAATCGAGTTATTCAACCAATTCCAACATGAGCGATCCGGTAAAGAGCTATAATAAATTGAGACGTCAAGGATCGCGTAGCTCTGTGCTTGCTGCTGAAGCTGGTAAAAAACGATTCAATGGTAATATAGAAGAAGCGACTTTTATTTTTAATTCCACTTGTTCTCTCCTCCATACTATTACTATACAACTGACTCATCTTTCTTGTTTGATTAAATAATACTCTCATTTTTTAACTTTTGTAGGAGCGACAGCTGAATCGTTGGGCATGTCGTCTTGGGTTCAACATAAGAAACACTTTTTTATTCTTAGCAGTGCTGGAAAACCTGTATGGACGAGGTAATAATGCAATAGATAATGTGTGAAGGGAAAAACCATAAAAATGAGAGACGAGAAAGAGATCTTTATTCTTATAAAAAGTGCCGCTAAATGCCCAAGTGTGTCTATCCATTGGCTCTGACAGATATGGCGACGAGTCGCGGATATCATCTTTAATGGGAGTGATTCAAGCAATTATCTCCTTTTTTCAAGACGGAGATGATACGATAAAGTTAATACTCTTTCCATTTTTCTTTCCCCTCCCCCTCGAGTCATGCAACATAATACACCTGGACGGATGGATGGATCCGACCGCACCTGACACCTTTTTTCTCCCGTTCTGTGGTATGAAACGATGTAGATCAATCAATGCAGGTAATCACAAGTTTGTCTTTGTACACAAGGAGCCCTTATATTTCGTTGCTGTATCAAGGACAGGCGAATCGGATGTGCAGGTAATTAAGGACGTAAATTGAACATGAGCGGGAAGGATCGGTATCTACTATGTGTAACTGATTTTGTCATATATGCAAAAATCGGTTCTTCCACATAGTTACGAGATCAGCTGCTCTACCTGCACAATCAAATCATTAGCGTCTTGACAAGCGCTCAACTCACAAAAATATTTGAGCAGCGCGTGAATTTCGATCTTCGTCGTCTATTAGGTGGTAAGTTGTAGTAGCAAAGGGACTCGAAAGCGTGCGATTTCAAGGGTTAGCACCGGGAAACAAGGATGTATACGGGGGTAGTAGCAATTGCTTACTTGAGTGTTCTTCAAAATGATTTGCTAGGCACCGAGGTGTTTTTGGATAGCTTATCAACGCTTTTCAACAAGGATCACAGTTTCATGCTGAGCGCGCTTCAAGTTCTCAGGCTAAACAGGAATGTGCGCGAGCAAGCAGGGTCTATTATATCGAACGGGCATGTGAAGGTATGTGTATAAGGATATGTATTGGTACTGCCACTTGGGTTTAATAGAACGAAACCGGAAGCTGAGCTAGGACATACTCACATATGATTTGTTAGGACCTCCTATATGCCATGATTGTAGCAAAAGGGCGGTTAGTGACACTTTTACGGCCACGGCGGCACAGTTTGCATCCATCAGGTGCGTACAAGATCACAGGGTTCAAACTCAAACACACACACACACACGATGCAGGGAGGAAGGGCACGACTAGCAGAGTATGTGAAGGAATAGAAGCAAACTGACCTTTTAATGCACGTTAGATCTCCACTTATTGTTTAATATGCTGACGGGCTCGACAACTTTCCATGCGGCTGAATCATGGACACCACTCTGTTTACCCAAATTCAACTCTAAAGGTTTTCTCCATGCATACATATGCTATATTGCAAAAGATGTATCCATTGTGATGATAAGCACAGACAAGGATCGATTCTTTGAACTGAGCGAGTGGAAATCATCCATTACAGAGGTAATATCCATGGGTACTTCACATATAGGCAGCAACATGGCAAGAACCTGGGAAAGAGGAGATAGATCCAATACGAAAAGCTGACATCTTTTTTTTCAAAACCATCACACTTTTATATGTTAGACAATGAAAAAGCGCCAGGTTTTAGACAGTATTACAGAAGCATCAGATCAGTTATACACAGTTGGTAAGGGAAAACCCTCACAAACAGAACCTTTTATATGTTCTCCCGTGCGATATTCTATCTTTAATGCTATGTTCTAGACAACGTGGGGGCACCTGGATTATTGCATTTTTTGTACAAGAGCAAAGTCCATGTTCAATTCACGTGCCCTGACTTTAGTGCGCCTTATACCGAAGATGCAAACCAAAAGAGATTGTACAGACTCTATCAGCACGTGTATGATCGGATGCACTGTCGAGCACGGCCACTAAAGCTCTATTACCATGACAGTGATCAAGAAATTGTTCTAGGATGGGTAAACATGAGTTGTTACACAGTTGGAGCGGGGTAGGATAATGCTGATGCGCTCTTTTTGTTTGTAGATTACATCATCTTTCGAACTTTACGTCGTATTCAAACACGGAACGTCCAAACCCAACATCATCTCTAGTGCAAATCAATTACTGCGCTGGATTAAAAAGAACGAGGATAGTCTCTTTATTCTAGATTCACCAGTATTTTAGAACTTTTCATCGCCCTCTTCCTTTTCGCGCAAATTCATAATCTCCAACTGTCCCTTTCCCTTTGCATCACTTTGTAAGAGTTCATTGATCTGTCGGTAATTGCCAGGATCGACGAGTGCAATCTATATAACCAGCATTATAATTATTGTCATTACATCATATATGTGTAAACCATCCATCTCCTTATTCTTAAATATAGCCATGTCTCTTATTCACACACACACACACACTCTCTCTCTCTCTTGTCGCACTTACCACTTCATATTCATCCGCAGTCGAATCCTCGTCTTCGATCGATGTGAACAAAGGCTGTAACTTTTCTCGAAGTTTCTTTGCCTCCTTGGTTTGTTGCAGAGTGAGTCGCACACGCATCTGGGCTCGCTGGATCGGCAAGATCTGCTTTTGCTGCAACTGTTTAATGACATCCAATGCTTGCGACTTTGTGCTCCGTTTCGTATTAACGCTCAAATGTAAATCCTGCATCGCCTTTTCAATCATCGTGACAGTATACGGTCGTTTGGTCTGCGGGTTCACGCAGTTGTCCGTCACAATGGTGGCAATATCACGCCACATGGATTCAAGTTGGTTGGATCGTTCCTTTTCGGCTACTTGCAGTTCGCCCTTTTTGAGGATCTCTTGAATCACCTTGTCTGTATCCTCGGTTTTGAAGCATTTTTTCAGGTCTTCTTTGCTGGCTACTTGGCCTTTGGAAACGTTCATGAATACGCTGTGGATTTGTAAGACCTCGTCCAAGTCTGTCTCTCTTTTTAAAAAAAAAATACATCAGTCAATTAACTCTTTAAAGTGATTATTTCCTATTGCAAGAAAGGAGCGATCGCAATAGAACATCAAGAGCCACTTACACATTGGAGCGCCATTCCATAACTTTGTTTTTATAGCATGCTAGTTCGAACCGCTTTCCACCCTTTCGTAATCGGACGATGGACACGTTTGTTAACCTATGGAGACGACGGATCAGCGACGGGACAATGTACTGGATTGATTTGTTTGGTTGCTTATTTATTACTTGATTTGTGTGTTGGGTTGTTGGATGACCATGGTTATAATAAAATATGCAGTTGTATGAAAGAAAAAGAAAAGCCGAAAGGAAATAATATAGCCAGCTCCACTTTATTTATTTTTTCTGTTGCGCAGTTTCATCCTGACATGCATGCAGGATTTTTAAACAACTGCGGAACAACAACATGCGAACCTATTGGGGCTATCAAGTATCACTCAATAACAAATTCGCGCTCTTCGCAGCGATGGTCACCAAATGCTTGTTTCAAGACCTTCAATGGGTCTTCAGGTGCTTCTGTAGGCATGTACAGCTTGAAAAGAACAATGCCAATGGCTTTGTAAGCAGCATGACCAGCACGTTTCTTCAAGACCGGCAGAAAGTAAGAGTGACGGTATTCCATTTTCCAGCCATGGCTACTACCACCAGCATCACTTGTTTTCTCTTTGAAGAAAGGACGTTTACTGTCGAACAGGATGGGCAGGATCATAGCTTCTCCGTTACAGTGCTCAGTTAATGAAAGCTGCAAGGCAGGGGATGTGTCGTCGAGCATGCAGAAATGGGTGGCACCGCAGCCGGCTACTGCCATGAAACTTATTGGTTCTGCATCGACCGCCTTCTTATTCGTTGTCATCATTTCGGCGCTAAGGAAATGGCTGTAATTCTCCTCGACGGTTTCGATTGAGGTAGAGGCTCTTGCCGTGTCTTCTTCTTCTTCTTCTTCTTCTTCTTCTTCTTCTTCTTCAGGTCTCTCCATGTCAAAAACCGGTATCGACCGGAATATACACGCGTCACGATGATCGACATATTGAATCGGATAGATAGGAATGTGCTTGCACTTGATATGCATACGCATAGAGTCATCCACAAAGCGATTGCCCGCCAACAGGTGAGTGATGCTGACAGCGCCATGTGTGTGTAACCCGTTCACGCCAGTCCAAGAAGGCAAGTCATACAAAGCCATCTTGGACTTGAACCGCATACTGCCATTTTTATTCCGCACCGAACCAAAACACATTACGCTGAGGTCGTGTTCGCCGATGCGTCGATAAAAGTCGTACACTACCTCTTGTATTCCACCGCTATAATCAATGTCGATGGAAACGACCCCGTGAAAGATATTCGCCAAAGCAAAGACCTTGTCATGTTCTTTTGCACTTGTCCGAAACTGTGCGTATTTCAGCACCTGATTGGCACTCTTCAGCTTGCGGTTTTTAAAGTCGAGGATTTGGACCAACGGATCAGCATATGCTAACGAGCCGTTGTTGTCGTCGTCGTCGTCTTCGTCGCCTGTATTGGCTTGATGCCAAGCATGCGCGTTCCTACCCACGACCAGGATCCGTTTGGACATCATCAGTTCTTCGAATGTCCAGCTGCGTTTCGACCACTCCGACCTCCACATGATGTCGTGGGTCTTTTTCCTCGCCTTGGTTTTGGCGTACATGTCGGGTCGTTCAAAGAGTGCTGGATTTAAAATGTTGATCTCGGGAACAAGCGCGACCGTATAGCGTGCGTTGCTGTAAATAAGATGCATCTGCTTGATTTCACGAAGCTTTTCTTCCTTGCTGCCTTGGTTGATACATATCTTGTCGTACCAAAGGTAGGCGATCTGAAAATCTTGACAGATTTGCTTGAGAATTCCGTCATACGTCACGAGGTTGATGATCTTTTTCTTGTCATCACTATTTCTGTCAATCACCTCGACGATGTGGGTTGGATCTTGTTGAATACGGATGGCACTGTCGCCCAAGTCGGTCGTCGTCGTTGCTGCTGCTAGTATGAGTCGGTGTCCAGCACTGTTGTTGCAGTCGTATTCACTGCCGTCTGTCTTGATGATTTCGCCTGATTGTTCCCAGCAGTAGGACAGGGCGCAGTAACCGTCCGTCGCTTCGTTCCCAGGAACCTTTTTCCAGTCTGACGTCCGAATTAACCATGTGGGTCGGTAGGGTCCTCCTGTCACGTTAAGCCAACATTCTCCTAATTCTGGCTCGACGAATCGTTGATCGCTACTGCTGTATTCGATGTGCATTATATTGTTTCTGTTTTCCGGTGTTATTGACTGCAACATACAGAGAGTTAGTTATACTCGGCGATAAAAATAACTAATACAGAAGGCTCACCAAGGCGCGACGTAGTTTGACAGAAAATTACGCTGCAATGTTTTCCAGTATACTTGTTGGTTTCTATGATGCCAGTTACTGGCTATAGTCGGAGGGGAAAGCGGTGGTGTCGTAGGGTGGTGAAAAGTTGCAGAAGAAAGAAAGGGGTGAAAAGAGTCCAAAATAATTAAATGCAACATATGCACGCACCCACCATTGTACTACCATCTGCGGCAGTTGAAGAGTATAAACCCTATGTGAGCATTATGGCTTTTAGCAGTAAGAAGCTGGGTCGCTGTTGTATCATAATAACTAAAGTACCTACTACTACTACTACTACTACTACTACGGATACCTCGCATGAGTATGTACTTATATTCTACAAGTTCCACGTATAAACAAAAACAGCAACCTAAAATATGTCCTATTTTTATCCATGACAAAAATACATGCACTGGTTCGAAACAAGTAGTACAATGTATACTCGGCAATTTGTCCGGTTGCATGAAATACTCATTTGACCATCTACTCGTACTGCATAGGTCGTGAATCGTAAAGCAGTGGGCCCATCAATAGCAGCCACGCATCTGCGTATATGTCAGCAACGAGCATGGATGTATGTATGTGGTGTTGTTTCGAGGTTGCAGTATGCAGCAAGCTTCTTGAAGAACTTTCATCTCCTAGATGGCATTCAACGCTTACACAGCTCTTTACTTATAAAACAATCTTTGCTGGAATTCTGAAGGGGATGTCAAGACCATCAATGACACAGCTTTTGAAATTAGCTACACGTTAAAAGTTGTCAAGAGCTTTCGGAAGAGCATCATACTCGAAATCCCGCCCTGCAGTTGATTATTAAAGCGCGCTTCCCATAATCTAATAAACTCGCGACTCTTTCTTCTGCATAAGCCAGCGAGACATGGACCGCCACATCGAATACATCGAAAGTGAGTATCCTGATTTCAGCCCTGTTCGATTCTATGAGAATTTCGGGTACCTTGATGAAAAATACGCGGAAAAAGTGTTGCAACGCGCCATTCAGAAGATCGCTTCTTTGGATTCCACTTCCGGATTATGCGGCTGGGCACGACAAGTTGTCAACGATCATTACCAAGTAAGAAGCAAAAAGAATTCCCAATCATTGAAGCCAGTCATTGGACCTTGAAATCTTTCAAAGTTTCAGAGCATAAGGTACTGAGCACTTTACTCTTATGGCTTTAGGAATTCAACACTTTGGACGTAGTGGATCACTGGGCAACAACTGCGTTGAGAGTGGCCGTCTGCAAAAAAATAGTAGCGAATGCAAGTCATGAACAGGCACTGTTTGATGGCTTAGCGAGGAAATGCAAGAGGGTAACGTTGACGCTACAATGGTATTGTCAGAAGTACCTGCTGATGAATAACAATGGGATTTCTCTGATTATTTTATAAAAGAAGAAAATATCATCGTATCATAGCGAAAAGATAAAGCGGAAAGCATAGGATGACAGCAAAGAAAAAAGGTGATACTTGGCTACAAAAATATTCGCTATTTCGAGGTACACTGCATTGCCTACGTGTGCCCTCTTTTTCTGAAGTTGGAGTATGGCAAAAATGGCGACGACAATCTCATACAATAATAACTTGCATTCGCTCTCGACGATGACAGAGATTTCCACAACGAGCACTCGCAGTACTTATAATACCATGTATCAGTAATATTTCTCTTCCATCAGTGTTGTATAAAGCAATAAAATGAAGTCTATGCTCTAAACAAATACTGATATGGCTGCATTTCATTTCTGGGTTTGGAGTGTAGAAGGTAGAAGGTGTTTGCATTACCTAAGCTATAGTGGTGGACAAACATTCAGTAGAATACATGCAATGATCACATATACTTATAGTACAGTATGATAAGCACAAAGCGGGCTCACCTCATGCACATGACGTTTGTACGTGACCTGAAAGGCTTCAAACAATTACAACTTTCAAAAAAAGCAAGTGTACTTTGTGCTCCGTATTGTAGAGAGAAGAAGAGAGAGAGAGACCTGTCGCTGCTGGTATATACTGTATATTGCAAAAGAAGCTCATAGCAGTAGCGTGCTAAAAACAAAAGGGGCAGCTGTCACCATAATGTCGATCTTCCAAGTAGCAGTGGTGAGGTAGGGTGGCCCCAACATGGATTTACGCCTCATGTCAGAGAAAACCCTTACATCTCACGTCGTATTACGAACGCCGCTTTAAATAATAATGTAAAAACTGGGCTCATGCATGAAAAGTTCGAGAACGACGAAACGGAGCAGTGGCCCGTGTGGATGAGTGTTGAGAGAGAGAGAGAGAGAGAGAGAGGGAAGAAGGAGGTAGATAGCAAAGCTACGTGAGCGGTGGACCATGTGGGCTCCAAACCGGATTCCGAAGTGTTTACCACACTAAAAATGATATAAAAAGCAAGTAGCGCTTGAAACACTCTTGTCTTTCTTTCTTTCACTCGCTCTCTTTCTTTTTTCTGCACTACTCCTCCCACGACACAGAAAAGTATGCCCGAAAAGCCAAAGAACCAGTTCGTCGTCGTAAGTACATCTTACCTTGCTTCGTTCTTTTTTCAGCACCACGACATCGACTCACACGACGACTTTTTGCTATTAGGACTTTTTGATGGGTGGCGTCTCGGCTGCTGTGTCAAAGACCGCGGCTGCCCCGTACGTATGATTCGCACAAGCGCATACATGTGTGGATTTTTTATACTGACACGACAAACTACACGCAATCTTCAAGTATAGAGAGAGTCAAACTGCTCATTCAGAATCAAGATGAGATGATTAAGCAAGGACGATTGTCAAAGCCCTATGGAGGCATTGTCGAGTGCTTCACGCGCACTGCCAAGGACGAAGGCGCCATTTCTCTGTGGAGAGGCAACACGGCCAACGTCATCCGATACTTTCCTACGCAGGCACTGAACTTTGCCTTCAAGGACAAGTTCAAGCGCATGTTTAATAGAGACAAGAACAAGGACGGCTATTGGCAATGGTTCGCCGGTAACTTGGCTTCGGGTGGTGCTGCAGGTGCCTCGAGCTTGTTCTTTGTCTATTCGCTCGACTATGCCCGTACCCGTCTGGCCAACGATGCCAAATCGGCCGCCAAGGGCGGTGGTGAGCGTCAGTTTAACGGTATGCTCGACGTCTACAGCAAGACACTCAAGTCGGACGGTATCGCCGGTCTGTACCGCGGCTTCAACGTGTCCTGCATCGGTATCATCGTCTACCGTGGCCTCTACTTTGGCATGTACGACTCACTCAAGCCTGCCATGCCCGAAAAGCTCCAGCAGAGCTTTTTGGCTACTTTCTTGCTTGGTTGGGCCGTCACTACTGGCGCTGGTCTGGGTACGTCCAAGTAGATTGTTTCTTTTTCTCCACACACAAACAGAAGGAAGCTATTCTTACCATCGACTTGTTCTACTGTAGCCTCGTATCCTATCGACACTGTCCGTAGACGTATGATGATGACGTCGGGTGCAGCCGTCAAGTACTCGTCGTCCATGGCTGCATTCAAGGAGATCATTGCAAAGGAAGGCGCGCGCTCGTTGTTCAAGGGTGCCGGCGCCAACATTTTGCGTGCCATTGCCGGCGCTGGTGTGCTGTCTGGCTATGACAAGCTCCAGGTCATCTTGTTTGGCAAAAAGTTTTAAACACACATGATACAACACCTATCAAGGTTATAGCTACGTACTTTTCTTTCTCTCTCTCTCTGGGCTATACTATACTCTTGTTCCTCGAAAACTCGAAAAAGAATATCTTTCCTTTATTACACACAAAAGTATTTATTATTTATCTGGGGCCGTACAACACTATACTATATAAGTTCAAACAAAACGCGACAGGAGAAAGAAAAATGGAAGAATGAATACACTATCAATGCTGGGGAGTTTGGTAAAGCAAATACGTGAATGCACGTACAGGTGTATCGATTGGAACAAAGACATCCTCGTCCTCTTTGCGCAGATCCCAAAACTTCATCCGTTCATAGTGCTCTTCTTCTTGCTCCTGGATCAGCTGCTTCATTGGCCGCGAAAGTTCAAATTCACGCGTTGTGTTTGGTAAACGAACACGCAACGACGGAGCTTGACGATGGGCTTGATGCTGCTGCTGGGCATCACGATAGAGCGTCGGTCCATGGAATTCGCCTAGGTCTTCAATATCTGCCAGCGCGTTGTCTTGGTCGTCAAAGTCGTCGTCGTTCTCCACGTTGGGCGACTTTTCCCATCGCATCTCGACAGGATCAAACACCATCGAACCAACAATACCCTCGGCGTTTCTGCTTGCATGCGACTTTTTGTTCATCTTTGTAATTAATGCAGGTCGGCGCCGTTGCTGCTTAGAGGATAAGGACGAGGATGAGGAAGACCGCCAGCTGTTGTTTTCGTGGCTGCCACTGCCGCTGCCACTTGCAAAAGAAAAGACGTTCTTATCGTTTCCTTGCCATCGACACTTTTCGGCATCGTATTTCATTTCGTTGCACTCTATTCAATGTGGTAAGGGCAGATACAGTATTCAGTAAGCCTAGATTGATCATTTTCTATTTGATGATGAAAAAGCCTTTTACCCTTATTCAAAGCACGGTCACCCGGTCCGATCAATGTTGGCTTACGACGAGTCTAATACAGACATAATTTATCAATCATCAGTCAAACTTCCTCAAGTTGTATAAGGAGAGGCACTTTGTGGTGACGGGTTTTCAAGCTTACCATGTTGTGTCGCCACGGTCGCTGTGGGTCTATGCCACCAAGTCGCTTTTCTACAGATCACATGTCAAAATCGAACAGAATCGTGGTCAGCTGACAAGGATCGAATGAAAAATCCTACCTGTTAAATGCTTCCAGCACGATAAGCTACGACGACGCCAATCTGGCAAAATATCCAGACTATCTAGCTCTGATCCATTTCCATACGTGACATGTGTGTGGGGCTTGAATAGTAGCGTGGTGCCGTTGACCGAGTTTGTCTTGCCATTACTTTTATAGCTATGACTGCTACCACGCGATTGTTGTTGTTGTTGTTGTTGTTGATAGTATTGCTGTGATTTTTCTGGAGTGACACGCTTAGAAGAGGCCGCCATCGCCGAGCCACGCGGTGAATTACTTGCTGCCTGACGCTGCCGTGAAGCATGAGTTGCAGCACGGAAACGTGGATGTTGACGATCCAGTGAAGGCATAGGTAGTTTTGACTCTGGTATGCGACGAGGAATAGATGACAATCGAGGCTTTGTTTTCTTTTTGGACGAGAATACGTCGTCAGAGTCAATCTGGATATCTTTGCAAAAGTCTTCGTCGTCGTCTTCGCGGCCGTTGTTGCGTTCTAGAGTGGGCGACTGCTGCTGCTGCTGCTTCTGCTTCTGGTGCTGCTGCTGTTGTTGTTGTTGAGGTGGCGAGATGGTAGGAGAAGGGGGTCGCTTGATTGCAAGTCCAGCCATATCATCGGGAAACGCGATATCATCATAGCCTTCCTCTTCATCATCCTCTTCTACTTCCCCTTCATGATCGTGAACGTCTACTTGCGGCATAGGTGTGTATGTATTGATCTGATCCATATTGAGGAAACGAACTTTGCGAGTCAAAGGCTCTTGAGGAGGTTGTTGTTCCTGCTTATGCTGCACATGCTGCTGCTGTTGTTGTTGTTTTTGTTGTTGTTTTTGTTGTAGCGGTGATGGCGTTGGCGGTGGTGGTTCGTCATGCAGGTACAGTGACTCCAGTGCGGGCGGTCTTGCCAGTGGGCTGTCCGGCAAACCTTTGAGCGGCAGCTTAATATCCTCATCCCAATCACCGTCATCCAACACTTGCTTGTGGGTTCCAAGACGAGTGACTACACCGCTGCACGGGCTTCCCAGCATATAGTCGTCAAGGCCAGGAATAAGCAACGAGTCGCAGCGTTCTTTGACGAACAGCTTATCCGAGTGATGGCTGATGAAGGTCGATTCGGTCTCGTCGTCGTCGTCATCGTCATCGTATTCGTCTGGACCATGAAGTCGAGCAAAGGCGTCGGCCAGATCCTTGTCAGGATACCGGGCATGGATGTTGCTGCGCTTGTTGTTGGCCAACTTTTGTTCGAGAAGAGCTTGGCTGAACACTATGTCGCTGTCCCAGTTGTTATCGTCTTCGGGAAACGACATTTTTATAGGAAGAAAAGGAAAGGGAAGAAGAGGAAAAGGGAACCTGTTTACGTGTAATAGTAGTGTGCTGTTGTGGGAAAGGGTGGGGGTGACCAAAAGAGAAGCAAAACGGGAATCCCTGGTATAAGAGAGAAATTTAAATAATCCCTGAAGAACAATCAATCCAGTTGATCGTCAAACAATGAACCCACACTCACTCACTCTCTCTCTTTCTCTCATGTCACCCTTACATACGATCTCATTAACGATAAAAATAATCATAATAAACCACAATGTCGTCAAATTGTCCATTGCATTGACCACTCTTTCTCGATCTCTCCTTCTTGCTTTCCTTCCTCTCCCCCTTTTCCTTATTCCATTTCCTGCACCCATCATCCATTGATAAGATCCAACAATCAGTATACGCATATATATATATACAAATCAAACGTCTTCTTTTTTGTAATGCAAAACGTTCATATTTAAAAAAAACACACAATTTCAATGCAGTCGATCTAAGTGTTGCGAGCATATTATTTCTTTTCCTGAGCCTCCAGTTGTGCAATGAATTTATCGAAATCAAAGTCTGGGCTGTCGACGTCAACTATTACAGAATGTGTTGTTAGTAACAAACAAGCGTTGACATAAAAAGAGAAAAACCCCTGCCCATTTCGTATATCAATTGATTTTTTTTCCTTCCAATACAAGTCTCATTCATTCTCTGTTTCCCAAACGAATTCTCTCCCCAAATAACTTCAAGAAAGTTACCTGATTCAGTGGCGGCAACCGGTTTTGCGGTGGCGTTCTGCTTGGCAGCATAAGCGAGTCTTGCCTTTTCAATAAGTTTTTCTTGACGCTCGTATTCGAGTTGTTGCTTCTTTACATCCTCCTGCTTCTGCAATGACGCATTGTGCGAAAAGCCGTACACAAGACCGAAAGCAAGTGCTGACCAGCGGCCGACCTAATGATAATAAGAAAAAAAAATTACATTTCTTTTACGTGAATAAACCTTCTCAACTCAAATGAAATCAATAAAAAGAAAAACAAATCGTCCGAGATCCAAATTACGTTCACAAAAGCGCGGTTAACCATTGTCAATTGTGTGTATATAGGGAAAGGGGGTTGGACGGGTCGCTCTTCCAGGGCGCGCAATATGAAAAAAATATTGGAATCGACGTCATCAATTTATTGGCACTCAAACGATGTTTGGGGGAAGAAGGGGAGCGCGCAATAAACAGGTCCAGGAAAAACCATGGAAGCAACAAGCGCACCATTTCTAAAGATGATATGATGGATGATGCAAAAAGGCAGGTGAAAATGTAAAACTTGCTTGTGTTGGGCTGGTAGGATCGAAAGGGGGAAGAGGTGACTTGGTAGGGGAGAATAACTGGGTAACAGCAGCGATGATCATGGCCGTACTCGAGAGAGAATCATGACTAAAGGTAGTGTACCCGACACGCACCGCAGGGCAATCCGGGTTGACACATTGGAGAGCGCCAAGGACCTTCACTGTCTTGATTTTACCGTTTTTTGTAGCCTTGGTTGCCGTTGCCATCACCAGTGGACAAAAGCAGAAGAGACAGGTTTGACTAGTTCGATATTCATCCTGCAATACCACCGGACAACAAACTCTATGTTCATTGCGCATCTTGCGGCCGCCGCGCCGAGGTCGCCCACGTTGATGGGAGCCTACGCCTGTGCCGGCAAGGCCAACACACATGACAGGACGCAGGTTTCTAAATGGGATTCCTAGCTTTTTGGAAGTTATGCTTCTGATGTATTGGCGTTCCTTTGTCGCAAGTTGCGTATAAAAACGACTTGTAGCAATTTCGCGGTGACGGTGTTCATTGAGGGCAGCGTTGGAATAATAAAACTTGCGTAGAACGTCGACATGCTGTAGCCTGACTTTTTGCCTTTTGAAGATTTCCGCTGGATCGCAGATGCCAACGAAGCAGTTTTGTTGTAAGTCGTGGAGAGCATTCCGCACTTCTTCATTCTCAGGCTGTATATTAATGTAGTTCATAAACATTAAAGCAAGATAAGCTAAGTATGTAAACTGTCACGTATGCGTACAACAATTTTACATGAACATACCTTCTTCAGCCGGTTCTCCTGCCTCACCATGAACTTTTTTGTTTTCGTCGTTTCATGGATCTGTTCGTGTGTGATTGTGAATGGCTTGGGTAGTTTTAGGTCCTTGACTGTAAGCGTTTCAAGATCAATATATTGCTGCTGTTGTTGTAGCTGCTGGTCCTGACGCTGGTCCTGACGCTGATCCTGATGCTCTTGCTGCGGTGAAGCTTTCATCTCACGGTCCAACAGAATCCGCATCTGCTGAATATTCTGTCGTGACATCCGTATACGTCCTTTGTGGCTCATTGTGATGGATCCGTTTTCAACATGGTTCAAGACCCAGCTGCAATGTATTGCTTCCTTTTTGGATATATGCGGTGGCGGGCTTTGATGAGATGTTGTAGCATCACTATGCAAACACTGCCGCTTTGCTGGTGGTTGTTGCTCTTCAAATGTAGATCCTTCCCGCTTGGCGTCACTCTGTTCTTGTAGGTGCAATTCAGAACTTCCGACAGCATTTTTTAAATCAAAGGTCGTCTGGCGCTTCGCTGGAGGTGGTGGTTCTAAATCCATGCCTTCCCTCTTCATATTTGCTTCTGTGGCATCGTGTCGCGGGATTGCAGAGGGTGAAGACGTGTCGGACGCTTGGTTGATTGATACATTTGCTCCAAGCGAGCCTGCTTCGGCTAATCTTGGCTGCTGCCGATAAATTTGCTGCGCGTTGTAGAGAGAGACGTGGAAAAGAACATCTTGTTTGGTTAAGGCTGTTGTCTGGGACATTATAACATGACCGTAGTCTGTACCACCGTAGACTTGACCCAATGGGCAATAATTTGACAGATCAATATTAGCAGCTGTATCTTCGCACTAGGGCTTTTGCACAGTCGGTATTATTGCTGGGACAGTAGTTGCAGCGGCATTGTCTTTCTTGTTGTTTTTCGCCTGCTCGATAAACTACAATAATGGGAACGTATCAATTAACAACCAGTACATGTGCTCAAGAAGTTTAGAGAGGATAATATTACCTTCTGGGTCTTGTATCTACGACTCTTTTCATTCTTCAAATCACGATGATTAAGCAGCATAGCGAGCCTAGCTTGCCGATTTTCACGCACACGTATCGATAGTGCGGTACTTGCTTCGATTCTTTCATGTTTGGTTGCAAACTGAAAACGATTTTTGGCTATTTTGCGTTCCTTGGCGGTTTGTTGGTATTTTTTCCTTAGAACACCATGTCTTCTTTGTAGCTCTTTTATGCTCGATGTTGCCCGCTCTTCATCAGCTTGTAACTGTTCATGCGTCTTATCGGTCGTCCCAATGGTTGCTGACGCTCCTGACCGACCTCCCTTCTTTCGTCGCTTCCTTCATGATTCCAACGATAGATACGGTCTTGTCTGGTCGTACGATAATGCGATTATAGAATTCCATGCGATGTCGGTCCGCTAGTGATTCAACACGAGACTGATCGAAGAAGGACCATAGCATAGCATCGGGGTTATCTCGAGCTCGTTCACACGATCTAATGGGATTGTTCTGGTCATCTAGCACTTGATATTGACCTTGAGCCCGTCCACGATTATGAGGTGTCAAAATCTCGTACATGATTGCTGGTGTCAATGCCTGCACGTGGATATTGTGAGGTGCAGCATCAGGATGAACAGCGACAATATGGTCTTTGTAGCCAATAGCAGGTAGAATCGTATTTGATAAGACTACGAATGGAAGCTCTGTCATGAAGCATCGGGTTTCGTCGTCGGGCGTGGATGGTAAAAGTGCGTTGGCAATCTTTTGCACAGCTGCGACCTCCAATGCAGCAAAGCTTTTCATTCGTGTGAACTCCGTGATTTGAGCTTCTTCTACGTCTCGGTCTCGTGGTATACTCGGTGAACGTAATAACGCTTTCAGTAGACCTTGCAAATAAGATGTCTTCTGCTCGTTTGGTGTGCTATCCTGGGCTCTTTGTTGTTCAGACAGTTCATCAACTTGTGCTTCTTGTTGCGACAGTTCCATATCTTGAGTTTCATCCATGCGCAGCTTCACGGTCAGCCATAGTAACCAGATTGCCCAATTGGATGGTTCCGTTTTCGTCAACGACAGCTAGCGAACGCTAGTAGATAAACAGTATATATCAGATAAACGCTATAACAAGGGATAATAAAAGCTAATTTAGAGAGAAAATCCAACCTCTTCAAGTTCAATCTCGTCGTTACGAGAAGCAACACTGTCACCATCTTCATCTTCAATATAGTCAACAGTCTAATAACCACATGTTTAATCAGAATCTCTAACATATAAACTTGAAAAATCATGAAGAGGGTTTGAGCAGAGTGTGTAACAGGGAAAGCAAGCTTTACCTCATCACCAAAAGCAAGGCTGGTTTGGTCATCTTTTATTTTAGGTCCCTCCTCCTCCTCTGGTTCAATGCTTTCTCCAACAGGGGCTTTCTATAAAGCAACTCAACAATGGCGATATTAGGATACACCTGCTGGTAGAATTCACTCTACATACAGTCCATTTCGAAAGAAACATACCTTCTCCTTCAACTGGGTGACGATCTTGTCTAACCGATGCATACATGCTTTAATTCGTTGAGCAAATTTTTCTGTTTGTTCTGGATATTGACTTTCTAATTGTAGGTGCTTCGCTATCTGCCGGCACTCGTGGCGTTGCTTAGACCGCAGTTGTAGGATAGTATACTTGATTGGTGTATTTCTGTTTTTTTCCTCACGCTCCCGCGCATCCTTGACAAGTTTTTCGGCCTTTTCGACGTTCTCCTTCTCTTTTTTTGTCGCCAAGTTGATGCGCAACAGATCCAATGTCAGATGATGTAGGGCTGCTTTAAAAATCTTGTCGCTCGCCCACATGTTGTTGAGGTTGGTGCTGTACTCGTTTATCGACGCCTCGATCGTTCCTGACAAGCCTGATGGTGCTGCTGGCAAGCCGGGGTTCTTGGAACAAAGGGTATGCCATACAGGGTGAATAGTGTCGGTAGTCGTCTTGGTTTTGTCCCAAAGTGGTGCGAATTCAAATAGTACAGATGTCGTTTTGATAACAGCCCTTCGATATCACGTTGATGAGGCGATCTGGAACCATTTTCTTCCTCTTTAAGCCCTTTTAGATCTTGATTGACCATAGGTACACAAATTTCACGCTGTTGGTCTAGTGCAGTCTTGTTTTTGATCTTGTATTCGTTGGGTAGAAGCGTCTGCAAATCGAGTTTCGTCAAGGCAGGCGAGATTCGAACACTTCCGTCTTGATGGAGAACAATGTCATCTTTTGCCAGCTTACACATGGTTGCGTAGACAATGATGCTGAGATTTGAATGTTTGTCGTGATTGCTTTAGCTTTGCTGATGACTGTATCATGAAATAACTTTGCGTTGACGTCTGAGCGTAATATGTTTGGAAATCCCATCGGTGTTGTCGTACGATATAACAAGTCGGACTCGTCGGTGTTCTTTTGTAATTCATGCCCGCCCTCCTGTTCGACATCCTCGGGCTCTTCCTGTTCTGTGTCTTCTGAGTCGTTGTCAGTCAATTCCCTCGACAGGCGATCATGTAGATTTTGTAGCCAAAATGTTTGCCACTGCTTCTTGGGATCACAACCGCGTGTACGCAACAGATTGCCAGCTTGTTGTGCGCTGATGTTCAATCGGTACTGCTCGTTCGCAAATTGCGCTACACTCTGCATCGTCCCGTTCGGCAAGTTATGGTTACCTTCGATCTTGGTGCGTATTGCTTTTTCTGAACTATTGTGATGGTCTTCCAGAAAGCGATCAAGTTTCTTTAGGAGTACTTCATCTAGTAGCCCCAGGATGATGGCCGGATCATCGTCATTTGTTTGGCGTCGTGTCCTTGTTCTTGCTACAACCCCATCACCAAGCAGCAATGCTGCAGGTCGTTGGTTGCTGCTGGACATGGACTACAGCGGTAAAGTATGCTTACTAAAGTGTGTCAGTCTGTGTGCTATTGACCTTCTTTCAGACTCTTAAATATAGCGATGGAACACGTAACTCACCACTTTGAACAGCTAGAGGAAAAATTGGTGGTCTTAAACATCAAAGAGAAGTATAGAAAAGAAGAAAAAATAAAAAAGGTGAGAAAGAGGGATGCAGTGCCAAATGATCACTTTGACAGTATGTATACGTGTATAAGTGACGCGAAAAGGTCGGATGACATTACTGTATTGTGACGCGTCAAGATCGCTACATATTGATTGGTTCCTCAAGCGATTGCGCGAGCAGTGACAACTTCTGCTGGTTTATGTCCGTGCATCCTTAGAAGAGTACTACCGTCTTTTCCTGTTAGATCATATATGAAGGCTCTTTAGACAACTGAAAATCACGCAAGTTTGATCATGGAGGAGAATAAGTATTCTGCTATTGGTGGTGCCTTGGAAATATTTTCACCAATGTAATTAGCAGCATTACAATATATAGCTGAATCAGTATCTGGCAATAATAAAGCGCGTCGATGTCATTCCATAAAAACGAGTGCAAACTAATCCACGACCGTCTGTGATAAACGTGGGTTGTGGATAGGTAATAAGATTAAAAGAAAGAAATAACAGACAATTTGAAATACAGTGAGAGTCAAATATGAAATGATTTTTATTATATGAATTCACAACCCTTTATATACTGTTGTAGATGTTGTCTCGACTTCCGTTTGGATGAACTGATGAATGGATCGCGGACATGCCGGATTTCAGATGTTTCAAAGATGAAGAAGGATGGGAAGGTTGAGTTTGTCGGCCATGATAATGGACGTTGTCTTCCGATTGTAAAGAGTCATCTTTGCCGTGATCAGTGTGTTCCTTGTTTGGCGAAGTCTCACCTTTGTCAGTGCTGGAATTGATATCCACTCTCTGACAGGTACACTTCGCTCAACTCAGATAAGCTAGATTCAAAGGAAGTGCTGACTAACTCGAGAATAGGACAATGTGTATACAATGGTTGGTCCTGAGTTATTCTCGATTGTGATTCATGTTTGAGAGATTATTGATATGGCGCTAATTATGTAATATTGTGATTCATTCGTGTGTGTGGTGTTCTCTCTACTGCTTTCTAATGGTTACAAAGACGGCGGAGTGGGTTGAGTTGTCCGGATCAATCTCAAAGTAGTGTGGTTTACCACATTAACCCCCTCCAGGTTAGATTATAACCGTGAGTCTTGAGAACTAATGGAAGTTTAAAGCTTCATAAAGGCGAGCTTTCAAGCGTTTGCTTTGACGTGATGGACGTGTAGATGTTGCGGGCCGCGTTGCAGTACCACGTTTCGATGTGGATCGTGTCGATCGTGCAGATCGTTTGGATGGTTGTGCAGAAGCAGCTATTGCTTTGTTCTGCATTGTTGGTGTAACAGTACCAAGCCGCGTCCAGTACTCAGCTATGCGCTGTGGGCTACTGAACTTCTCAGGAGGGAGCCAGCTGTCATTTTTCTCATCATAGTCTTCCCATCGAATTCTGTATAGGTAATTTCCACCTGACAATTCTTTGTGGTCTACTACTGCTTGAACAGTGTACCAATTTTTTCCTTCTTGATGTATCTCATCAAGTGAAACAATTTCGTCTTCGAAAATTAACTTGAGTTGTGAAGGAGGAAAGTCTCTAGGCATTAAAAGTCCTTGTTCATCCATAAGAACATATGATTCGCCTTTTATTTCCCTGACTACGGTGTATGGTCCTTCATAAGCTGGAGCTAATTTACCACCGCGCTTCATATCCCTGATCATCACTTTGCTGTGTGTGGGAAATACGACATATGTCTCTCCATATTGGGTACTTTTATTCCTATCTCATGATGTTCTACATATGTAGAGTGATAGTATTTAAGTTTTCTCTAAGTTAATTATGCCGCGTTTCTCGTTTACAATGTCAGCCCTGATTTCTAATTATTCTATGTACTACTAGAAAGATGAAGCTCTCTTTTAGATAGAGAAAAGGAACACCCGTCCTTTAATCCGACTTATCAGAGGCAATACTTAATTAGGATAACAAACAAATAATAAAGGAGAGCACGTCCGGTAGAACAATGTAGGATCGGATGATTTTTGATGCATTGGTTTGTTGTACAGTATGATGTGCTGTATGTAATGAAAATATAAGGGTGATCGGCGGCAATGGTTGAGTAGTGCCAGACCAGAGGAAAAGTGTAAGAAAAGATGATGTTTTCCAAAACAAAGCGGCTGGCTGATATATAGTGCCATACAGAAAGCCTTCGTAATGGTAGCAGATCGGTAGTAAAATCATGAGCAAACAAGAAATCATACAAAAAAGTATAAGCAATTCATTTTCAATAATAAACAGGATTTTATACTTGAAGCATATATACTTAAGAGTGAAATACAGATATAACAGAAAGGATGTATATACATGGTAAAGTTTGTTGAAAGCAACTGTATCTGAGATGGTGATGTTTGCCGGAATGATACGGAGCGCCACCATTCCACTTTTTGACTATCGATAAAGACCTACGGTGGGACTAATGTTACGGTCTATTGCTGTTCCTGCATGAAGCGCTTCCAAGCAACTTCCAATTCTTCACGTTCAGCCTGTAAACGGGTAATTGCTGCTTCCCATGCCTCCGTCTCTTCCTCTTTTGCGTTACCGCCCATTTCAAGTAATCGGAGCTGTGGTACACCCTCCTGCAACAGCACGGTCACAATGGCTTCAAGGTCGTCGACTGTGATTCCATTGCATCCTACATCCAGTGATTCCACAGCGCTTGTCTTTAATTCTGGTAGTAGTTCTGGTAGTCCATTGATCTTGTTATTAAAGAGACCGAGATGTCTAATCGAAGCCGTATCAAGCAACGCACCAAATCCTTCGTAACCAATAGCATTGCCACCCAAATCCAAATGAACGCGACGATCGTGGGCACTTGCTTGGGCGAGCCATTTCGCACCTTGATCATCCACTCTGTTATTTCTTAACCGAAGTTCGGTCAAACCAGATGGTGCAAGCGTGGTGCTTAGGCTTTCCAAGGCTTGCGATTCGATTCCGTTTCTGTCGAGCCATACCCGGGACAACCTGCGGTTGATCTTGAGTGCTTCGGCCAAATTTTGCATCAGGGCATTGCCATGAATAGAATCGGCAGTATCCTCTTCTTCATTATCGCTGTTTAATGCAGTGACGCCCATAAGCTTGAGTGATTTGAGAGCCGTGTTGTTTGCCAAAGCTGCTGTTAGAGCGCCAGCGCCTTCCATGAGTGGATTGTTGGACACATCAAGCTCTTCCAGTTGAGCAAGACGCGTAGCAAGCGTACGCGCTCCAGCTGCGTCAATCTTGTTGCCGGCCAGGTTCAGGCACCGCAAGGTATCCAGTGGCTCGATAGCATTTTTAAGTTCGTTACGCGCCAAGTTAAGCGATCGTAAAGTCGTGTTTTTCGCCAGTGCCGGTGCGAGCGCTGTGAGAGAAGCATCACTAAGACCTTTATTTTCGAGATCGAGATGGTGCAAGCCTTCATTGACAGCAAGACCTTCACCGAAAATGCGCAATAAATCGTCATGTTGACCGAGTTCTGCGTTGCCAATGTTAAGGGTTTCCAATGTATCATTCAAGGTCAGTGCCTCACTAAGCTGATCCATGGCTTCTTGTTCAAGGGCATGGCCGGAGCAGTAGAGAACTTTGAGTGCGGTGTTATGAGCCAAGGCAGCGAAAATGGATTTTAAATCGTCTTGTGAGAGGCGTCGCATGCTAAGAATGTGGAGCGTAGTTAATTTGGGATCATTTTCGTTGAGTTGCTTGACCCATTTCTGTACTGCGTTGTCATTGCCTCCCCAAACCATGATTGACTCGATTGATTAAAGCACGTTTTTATATACAGAAGATATGGCAGCAGCCAGCCACCGACTAATGATTGGCGGGGCCAATTTATTGGGCAGATCTATTTGCACCACCCCCTCGTGCACCCCCCCAGTCACTGCCCGGCCCGGATTTTTAGTTTGCACCCCCCCTCCCACCGAAACACCTTTATCATGCAGAGAAGGAGTTGTGAGAAAATCATTGCTTTTTTTGACGAGTCTTTTTCATTCATAAAGCCCGTACTAGTAATCATTCCAAGCAACGACAGGAACATTCAAGGCACTCATCCAGCGATTCCTTTAAAAAAACAGCTCTAAGATAGGCCGTGTGTGGGCGGGTAGGTAATTTTTTATACAACGAGACTAATAGTCTTTGCAATTTTTATGATACGCTCCAATCAATTTCCATTGTCACTTCCTGAGTACTATGTAGTACCAAACATGATGCGAACGACACAATAATGTAGAGGTCATTGTATCTATAGACTATGTATATACAGACTATGTATGTAAATAAGTATCCTGCTATTTGAAGGATTTTGCATTAATGTGGATTATGTAGGACGTGTCAAATCAAAGTTTATTTTTGTTTGTTTCATGATCCTTGTGGCCTCCCTTTCTGTTCTACATCAATTTTCAGTTCCATCATTAGCATATTACTCGCATATCCTGTCCATGCTCCAGGAGACTCTTCTTTATACAAGCAAGTAGCAGTTGCCAGTGCTATATTGTGCGTGTGTGTGTGTCTCCTTTCTGGCAATCTATTTTTGAAAAGGCACATGTGTAAAAAAAGGCATACACTTAGTACATAGCTTCTCATTTTATCTTACTTAGTCCGATGCTAATGCTTCGCTCTTCAATCTTGAAATGACTTTACTTCAAATCGATCTGCGATTGACGAATGTGAATGAAGTGGTGTGCACGAAATGGTTCGGTGGGAGGGTGGGGGGTGCAAACTAAAAATCCGAGCCGGGCAGTGACTGGGGGGGGGTGCACGAGGTGGGGTGCAAGTAGACCTGCACAAGCGAATTTTTTTTTTCGTTGTTGCTTTGTATTTTATCACAATGGGCGATTCGGTTTTAAAGAGCAAGAAGGAGCGGAAGGAGAAGAAGGACAAAAAGGAGAAGAAGGAAAAGAAAGAAAAGAAGGACAAGGTTAGTTGTATTATATCTTTTGGTAATGAGGCATATACACTAAAACGAATCAACTCATTCGGTCTGTGTATATTTATATCACATAGTCGGAAAAGAAGAGAAAGCTTGAAGAAACTGAAAACGACGAGACCAAACGTCGCAAGGTCGAGGAAAAGGCACCTGAATCGGCTGTTGATCAAGTGGCTGATTATCACTACAAGGAACATGACGATCTGGTCGCTCTGCCGCAATCCGAGATCGATACTTATCTCAAGGATAACAGCGTCAAGATTGACAGCGATCTGAAGCTTCGTCCCATTACCAAGTTTGCCTACGCCCGTTTGCCTACGCTGCTCGGCGATCTCTTTAAAAAGTTCGAAAGTCCTACACCTGTACAAGCCGTGACCTGGCCGTTTGCTTTATCGAGCCGTGATGTTGTCGGTATTGCCGAGACTGGTTCTGGCAAGACCTATGGTTTCTTGATCCCTGGCCTGATCCACCTTGCACACCAAAAGATCAACAGCAAAGAACATGGCCGTAAGCCCAAGATGGTCGTTATCTCTCCCACGCGTGAATTGACTGTCCAGATCCAGGAACAGGCCCAAGAGGCTGCCAACAAAATGGGCTTGCACAGCATTGTCGTGTATGGTGGCGTGCCCAAACAACCCCAAGTCAACTTGTTGCGTCGTGGTACAGACATTGTGATCGCCACGCCAGGCCGTTTGATGGATTTGATGAACGATGGCGAGTGTGATCTTTCAGAGATCTCATTCTTGGTTTTGGACGAGGCCGATCGCATGCTTGACGAAGGTTTTGAGCGTGATATCCGACAAATCATTGGTAGCACACCTAAGGAACGCCAGACACTCATGTACTCTGCTACCTGGCCCCAACAGATCCGCAAGCTGGCTGAGGATTATCTCAACAACCCTACCCGTGTCACGATCGGTTCAGATGAACTGTCCGCCTCGCAGCGTGTCAAGCAGATCGTCCAGGTCGTTCCCAATTCCCGCGACAAGCAGGACAAGTTGATCAATCTGTTGAGAAAGATCCACAAGAATGGCAACCGTATTCTCGTCTTTGGCCTGTACAAAAAGGAATGTGATCGTGTTGAAGGTGTGTTGGGCCGCAGTGGGTTCAATGTCGCTGGTATTCATGGCAGCAAGACCCAGGTTGCTCGTAGTGAAGCATTGGAAGGATTCAAAAAGGGTAATACACCTATCTTGATCGCCACTGATGTCGCCGCTCGTGGTTTGGATATTCCCAATGTCGAGTTTGTCGTCAACTTGACCTTCCCCTTGACCATCGAACAATACATTCATCGCATCGGTCGTACCGGCCGTGGTGGCAAGTCTGGAACCGCCTATACATTCTTTTCGGATGAGGACAAGGCTCACTCGGGTGAACTCATCAATGTCCTGAAGCAGGCCAACATGGAGGTTCCTCAGGAGCTGTACAAATATGGTACGACTGTCAAGAAGAAAACACATAGCGCCTATGGTGCATTTTTCAAGGATACCGGCAGTGCCCCCAAGGCAACAAAAATTAAATTTGATTAAGTCGTTGTTTTTTTCTTTTTTCTCTCCATGCACATACACACGCACACTCTCTATCTCTACCAAATCATCCGCAACAACACGCACCATCCATAGACTCTATACATCTTGTTTGTCTTTTCTCTTTTCATCATGCATCAGTTTCTTTTAATTCCTTTTCTATCTCGACCTTTTGTATATTACAAAATATGCATGTTGTTCTTATTTACGTTCGGATCACGACATCGATATTTAATATTGCTAGATCAGTAATGGGAATTACTTGTAATATGCAGTTTATGTTAAGATGAAGATGGAGGTGATGAGGAGGCAGGTGCAGATGCTGCAGTGATAGTGGCAGCGGCGGCGGCGGCAACAGCCGCACTTGGAGCAGGAGACGGTGTCGCTAACCACCGTTCAAGGATCCGCTGAACCACTGCTCCACCAGCATCCAATTTCTCCAGAAATCGGATCTTCATGCTCTTGGCTTTGTCACCGGGTATTAATAAGTCCGTGTTGAAGTGGTGGATTGTAGGACCTTCCGTTGGTATCACGGTCATGACGAGCACTTCGCGCAACTGGCTCTCTTGTGTTACTTGAAACGTCGAGCTTTGCAGCTGCTTTTTGTCCATCAACAGAACGACGGGTGGAAAGCCTTCTTTTACGAGACGGATAGAAAAGAAGCCTTCGACTAATGCCACCGAGCATGCTGGATGAACAAAAAAGAACGAAGGGCCAAAGTCAATGGATAGCGTCGGGAGTGGGATGCCTGCCGGGTTAGAATATAACGACGATTGTGGTTTGGATTCTGCTTTAGCGGTGGTCGTTGGCTGTTGTTGTTGTTGTTGTTGTTGTAGTTGAGGTGGTTGAGGTGGTGGTGGTGGTGGTGGTGGCAATGAATGTTGAGACTCTTCTGCAGGAGCTTGCTGCTGTTCTTGCTGCTGCAGGAGTTGTGCAGCATACATGCCAATTTTGCTATTGGATGTCGATTTTTTAGAGCTTTGCTGTTGTTGTCGTTGCTGAAGTTCCATGAGTTCCTTTTGCCGTTGATTCTCCCTCTCGATCTCTTGCTCTTCTTGTCGCCTTGCTCGTTCTTCTTTTGCGCGCTTCTTTTCTTCCTCTTTGCTAATAACGGACGCATCCTTGAGAATCTTCCCCTGCAACCAAAGTAATCCACATCCATTACACAACGTTCCTGAACCCGCAGGACCCGGTCGCCACATGGCTGTGGTTTTTGCGCTGCAATATGCACATTTTCGTGTTCCATCGTCCTTGACATTTGCGCTTTTGCTTTTTGGTACTAAAAAGATCATGCATTGACCTTTTAGACCCCTTTCCAACTCAAAACAATCATTGTTTTAACTTACGTTCTTCGTCCGTCCGTGGTCTTTTCCCAAGTTGTATAGCATTCAATAGTTCGTTTCTTTTCTTTTCAGCCGTTACTGGCCCGTGCACAACATCGGGGAAGCTGGTTGCTTTGTGCAGTAGCTCCTGCAGATCACGATACGTGTACGTAAGAATATATACATTAAGTTATAAATCAATCGATCGACTTTGCTTTTCTTGCCCTCCATCCACCCTTCCCCAACGTCCTCTCCTTATCTTTGGAGTGTCAAAATGTCCAAATCCAGTAATATTTACCGCTAAAGTCTTATCCATTGCCGTGTAGTATTGCAAAAAGGTACGTGTCGGTAACGTTCTCAGCCTTGCCATCATTCTATCACGTACGACTTCCGCTGGTTTGACCGTGGTCCGGACGACATTGAGTAAAGGCTCTTCCACTTGGGATAATCGCATATTCACCGGTTGTTGGGTCGGCAATGCTTTTGACGCTGATGCACTTCCTCCTTCTTCCTCCTTCACAACAGCAACATCATCGTTGTCCTTTTTGGGCTTGTCCAATGTTGCAGAAAAGTCGCGGATCGTTTCTGAGCTTGACTGATGGCCCCATAATGCCACTTTTTCCTTTGGATCGCGAAAAAACCCATTTTCTTCTTCAGCAGCCAACGGTATTAAGAACGATACTGTAAGCTGAAATAGAGAACTGGTATCACACGACGACGTCACTTCAACAATCGCTTCTTTCGGAAAAGCGAATCGGTCGCTTGTGTTTTCCTTGAATTCCATGACGAGATCTGTAAAGACACAGTTGTTGCCTTGCTGTTGTTGTTGTTGTTGTTGCGCCAACTCCTGCTCCTGCATAATAGTATCACCGTCGCCGTCAATTACGTTGTCGCTCTTGTTATTGTTATCGTTGTCGACGTCGCTATTGTGAATGTCAGTAATTTCGTCCGAGAATCCAGCATCTTTGGCTAGCTGTGCCCAAGGCTCTGTTCGTACAGCTTCATAAAAAGCCGTTTCAGGAAAACTATGAACGCCCAAATGCACTGTACACGACCCAAGGTATCGCATATTTGGCCACTTTTTGCGCATATTGTTGGTGCGTCGTGGCTGTTGTATATTGTCATGCCGATATTTAGGAAATATTGAGTTGCACCAATTCAACCGTGATTGTAACAGCGAGATCAATAAGGCGCCACTGAGTGTAGGGTAATAGACATATGTAGATATATATTTAAAGTGTCAAAAAACGATCGCAATCGTTATTAAAGCCAGACTATCCCACCTCCACCTCCTCTTTCTCCTTCTCCTCCTCCAGTAAAAGGTTTACCTTTTACTATCTGATCCTGAGGAAGGCTGAGGATCGGTTGGTAGATTAGTGTTGCGTAAATTGGCTTCGGCGCGCTTTTTTGCAGTAAGCATTGCTGAATTTGACATTGCGTGCCAGTTCGGCGTTCTTGAGGAAAAGGGGAGCGTGTCGTACGACCTTGGTCGACTGGAATTTTTACCACTCAGCAAACAGCTTGTGTGGAAGGCTATCCTGCTTGTATTGAAGGAAGAAGCCCTCACATCTTGTTCAGCAAGGATCGGAGGATCTTTTCAATCCTTATATGTGATATAAAGCAGTTTTGCATTCCTGTAATCGAACTAGATGCAGAAGGTTTACATGTCTCACAACTTTTCCACTTGCTATTTGCTTCATCGTACGCCTGAGAAACAAGAAGCTCGGACAGAGTCATCCAACACTGTTTTTGTATGTCAATATTCTGCATTTGTGTGTTAGAGAACAAAGAATGGGCTCTATACAGCAGTTACCCGTGTCCGATTATAGTGTTATCTTTAAGCGAATTGCAATGGTTGATAGATACTGAATATACAGAATACTTGAAGGTCTGGGCTTATCGCTCAAGCAGAATGCCACAACAAACAAAACAGGTACATATCATTGATACGGAAACAAAAAGCTTCTGATCATCTCAAGGTGATGATTGTTTATCTTGAAGTTTAGTAATAAATCACGTGTGCTCGCGTTTTTAACAGTGCTTCTAAGCATCATTTTAATTGGAACCGGATGTAATATAGTAGGCAACCTCACAAATGTATACTAATCCCGGGCAGTTTACGTACCACTATTCCACTTGCTTCGACAGAACGTTTCTTTTCCAATAATCTGCGGAAATATTAATTAAATTTGCTTATTGCAATAAAGTGCTACGTATGTGCTGTTACTAGATCACGCACAACGTCATCTTACTGCCGCTATTGTTACCAAGAAGATAAACTGTGATTGTCCACCCCACACTAAGAGCAGCGGTGTGTGGCGTGGAGAACAAGAAAAGGTCTCATCAAATCAAACCTGAGGGAAGCAATGAAATTTTGATTTTGTGCATACATCAATTTTGAAACCCATGAATTGGCTGCAGCAGCTTTTGTTTTTTAAAAGTTGTATGTAATGCGGGCCGATAATTAACCCAAGAATACGACGACGGCGACGGCCAGTTCGTTTCAAGATGCGTACATAAATCACGCAGCAGCACCATTACATAATGGGTGAAGTGCACGGTCAATAAACAGCAACATTAACTATTTTGTTATTGTGTTTTCGTTATGGAAATATTAGAAAACAGAGAAGAAGACCACGCGCCATTCTAGTAAAGAAAGGAAGAAACATATATTGATATTTGTGGCAAAGAAGGTGTCGGGGGGGGGGGAGATGAGACAGACGAAGAGAACAATAACGCTATGCACGCAATCAAATACAAAGGTGCATGTATATGGATCGCTCTATTTCACTGGGCTTGTGATTCTCTATTTTAACGACTGTAATCAATGCCATTACGTCGATATAGTCATTGTTGTCTCTAGATGACATTTTTTGTCATTACCGCACACCATAGTGAAATGATGATGAAGGTGACAAGCTGCTGCACATGATAGGATGATATGATACTTCTTGACGAGGATCCTAAAGGCGGTATTGCGCCAAAAAGGTTTAATTGTAGATTTAAGTTCTTGTAGTTTGTCATGATAAATTAACAACCAGTGCGCGCCCTGACCAAGCCTCTCCCTATCATGCAGCAATTAGTTCATATTGTCGTTATACGTAATATGTTTACGACGAATAATAAGGACTAGCGCTAGATGACATACGTAATGGCAGTTCGCAAACGATCTTTTATAAACCCCTCCTCCTAACCCTTCCATTATCAGATCTATGCACCCGCTGTTAAGTAAGAAATCCCCTGTTAAATTTGGGCAGGGCCAATTGAGCGACGCATCCTTGTAAATAGTGACACTAATTGATGGTGTTATTAGTTTAGTGAGTGCAACCCGTATAGAAGAAAGATCCAATAATGTTTTCATGCAATGCAATCTGCATGACGTTGGCCATATAAAGAAGGACACATGTTGTGGTCTGGATATGGTGTGATCTTTCTTCCTGTTCTCTCTCAGTTAGAGTAGGATAGGAAAGGTGAGGAAATCGAGTGGCGTGAAAAAGGATGTCCCCTGTTACAAGAAATTATTATACTTAAACATAGCAGATCAAATAATTACTTGAGCGAACGTTCTTGTGAAACTGATTATGCTTGGCTGCTTCACTGTTACTGTTACTGTTACTGCTGCTGCTGCTGCTAGAGGAGGGAAGGGGGTGGATTTAGGCGGGAGAGTAAGAAAAAAGTTGAGGGGGTGCTTGCTGATGTGATAATGCTGCTGCTGCTGCTGCTGGGATAGCCCAGCACCCCTAGAAAAAGTAAAAACTTATTCTGCATGGGCGAATTTGGTAACACATGTGTCGATATAAAAAGTTAAGATGGCGTATTTTCTTATTACCCCTCCCTCCCTCTTGCGTTGCGCATGTCTTCTCTCTTTCTCTCTTTCTTTCTGTATTTTAATGAGCAAGCATTCTTCATCCACTTTTTCTCGACCGACCAGTTTTATATCAAATTCATCAAATAGCATATGGTCAAGGTTTTCTGGATTTTTTCACAGCCATCGACGTTGTCATCGATCAGCGAACAGCAGCCTTTCCAATCATCATCAGCATCATCCTCATAGCCCGACGCAGCTCTCGACCTCCTTCCGCAGTACCTCCTCCATCACGCATTGTACATCCACCAGCACTACGACGTCGGCATTGCATGATGATAGTATCTACGAATTGGTCTCTTGTCCTACCACGCCGCCGCCCTCAAGCGATAGCAGCACCGCACCAACAACACCATCAGCAAAAGCTGCGCCCACTTCTTACCATTGCAAGGACGCCTCCGAAGCCACAACAGCAACAGCGGTGGGGGCGGGGGCGGCCATGTTCGCCATTCCGCCTTACAGCCCCACGTACTGCAAAGCCAACGAATTCCCATACTCCAATTTCTATGTCAAACTGCCGGATGGCAGATATATGATTCGATACCGCTCGGGTAACCGTGAAATCCTCGGGACCGAGATCATTGAAGGCTATATGATATGAGCAAAGATCCAAAAGAAGCTATTACAGGACTGGAGGTTATATATGGCCTCGAGGAATGAAAATGAGCCATTATATATATTTGTATTATTTATATTTTATTTATTACACTAGACATATTTTATGCAACAAACACATTTAACCACATGTAAATAAAGCACTTTCACCGTGCCCGATAAAGCTGGTCATGGTTTACTCTGTGGAGATGGTTATTTATAGACAAAGCTGTGCTGATACCACAAGCAATGCTCGGAAGGTGAATAGGCAATACAAGATAGACAAAGTTTAAGCAGGAATGATACAGATTGATAATGATGACGAGACAAGCATGTACGAAAGATGGAAATGAGTTGTTTCATTCAAAAGAAGGGCTGAAAAGCTAGTGATAGTACTAGATAATCTTCGTTTCTCATGTTCAAGTGATGGAGATCGAGGTAGGATACAATCAGGAGTGCAAGAAAAATAACAACCGATAAGCATTGCCCGACGGGATACGTATCTATCAACTTCACTGTCAACAAGACCAAATTTCATGGTTTAGGAAGAGCCTCCGCTAAATCCAGCTACCGCGACGCCAAATCCTCTATAAGTATTTGGTAAGAATATCAACCTCTGTATTCTTTTCTTTGCGTACTTGGCTTTGCAGCAAGAAGAACATTTGCACACAACGCCTGAAAAAAAGTGAAATCTCGATATGATACATGTTATTGTGTACTAGGGTGATACAGTACTCTTCGGTGTCAAACCTGCTTCAGTTCTTGCTTGCTGATGTCATAGTTGTAGTAGTATAAGTCCAGAACTTCATCAATAGTTTTAGAAGCCCACTCTTTATGATATACAGTCTTCGACGGATGGAACGGATGGAAACGATGCTTCAACAAAATCATCAAAATGATGCCCAGAAAGACGATAGTTGGTATATAATATACAAGCACAGTTAATAAAAGATGATACTACGTGCTACTGCTAAGAAGCGCAGCCTGTAACGAAAAAGAATGCGGCAACTTTACTAGTCGGTAACACCCAATTCTTCGGGTATAGTGACACCCTTGTTTTGACTATATTGCTTCTACAGTGTTACTTATCATTTAAAAGTATATATGCCCTCTTTCTTTTTTTGCTTTGTGATTAAACAACTAAATTTCATTACTATTTCTTGTTCCACTCCCAATTTGAAAAAAAAAAAAAGATAATATTATTTCCCAAAAGTTATGTTTAAGGAGGGTTAGGTGAAGAGATAAAGCAGCCTCCCTCTGCTGAGCAAGCTCAGCAATCAAAAAAGCACTGCTGGATTGGAAGGGAAACAAAATTAGGGGAAAAGGAGTTTTTTTTTGTGAGAGAAAGCGAGAGCGAGAAAATGTGATATGTGAGTGAGAACAAGTAGTTATGGCCAAAGGAGGTTATTTTTTTTTTGGGGAGCTGGGGTGGAAGAAGGTAAGTTTTTTTTTTCTTTTTCGTGTTTGTGTGCATGTCCTTGTCGTTGTTGTGCTATGTGCGGTGGGTGAGCGTGAGAGTGTGAGAGGTAAGTAGGTGGAGTGTGTGTGTGATTATTGCGGGTTATTATGATGATGATGATGCTGCTGCTAATGATGTTGCTGTTGGTTTCCGGGCACTCAGGGCCCAGATCTTCATATGCCAATGGTAATGTGTACATTCGTGAAAGTATCTTTCCAGGACGGGGCTGTACTCGTCTGGATTCTTCAGCAGCCTGTGTGCGAGGAACGGCTTGAGTGACCGCATGGCGCTTTTCCACGACCACAGCAGCTCGCCTGCAATCGGATCGCCGTCTTTGCCTAAATATTTATGATTCCGCGCATTAGGTACGACCGCACATACTTCTTTTAAGGGTCAGCAACAAGCGTGGTGTTGTGCTTACCAAATTCAATCGATCTCGTTTCTTGTTGGACATCGTTGAACGTTGTGTCCGACAGAAGGTTTTGCAGCTTGGATGCTATCCATGGATCCTGACCCCGGTCCTGCATGGCTCGATGTACTAAAGATAAACCGATGGGGTTATTGCATTGCCCTTGTTTCAGTTTCCTTTTCACAAAAGACTTACACGTAGTTAGCACTGCATCGATCAATTGGCTCTGTCCCATTTCCTATAATTGTATATATGCACAGGAGAGGTACAAGAGAGACGCACACAGAAAAAACGTGTTAGCCGAAATAGCACACCTGATTACACGTGGGGGATAGCATAGAAAAGAAGCAAAACAGAGACAAGCATACGGACCGTGAAATCCGACTCGACCAACTGGACAAGTCCGCCTGGTTTAAGGACCCGAAAGATCTCTGCAAGCACGCTTGGCCACTCGGTTGCACGTAGGCCTACAACAAGTTGCCGCATATGCACAAAATCAAATGTGTTGTCGTCGTACGGTAACCCGTCGATGATGTTTGTGAGTTGGAACGAGACGTTTTCCGGCCGGATTGCTGTAGGGAACATGTCCGCCATGTCAATGCCTGTGACGTGTGCGTTGGGATGTTCGATGGCCATTTCCTTCAAAGAAGAATAATGTACGAGGTTAGGGTATGTATTACAAGAAAAACAATAAGCCAAGAAACTGTATTTTTGTTGGGGCCCCACTTTTTCGTCTTTCTACAATAAAAAATAACCAGATATATATATATTTACCATGACCCAAGAGCCAGATCCACAGCCAATGTCGAGAATGTTGGCATCGTCTGGGAGATTTTCTTGCACGTATGGTAAAATATTACTACATAATATAGGGTCAGTCTTTTTATTTTTTTTTTCTCTCTTCATCTCAGCACATTGATTGGATGCAAGGATCTGCGAATGGAGACACACCTTGAAAAGAGTGCCTTGATGGCAAAGTGTTCCTATAGTGAAGGTAAAATACATAACAACAAAGGTAGTTGCCATGGTGATATCGAATGATTAATGTTGGGGTTCGTCACTTTCTTTCATAGTGTAGATGATGTATTACTGATGGATGGTGCGAGTGAGTGAGTGAGTGATAAAACGTACTGAGTTTAGTCGATCTTGCTCTTCTTCATCGCGTGGTAAACAGTATGAACTCGATTCAATGTTATGGTATATCCGTCCGTCGATCACTATTGTAGGTGAGGATACTGATTGGTTGGATGACGGGCTGTTGCTCTCCACGCTGGGGTCACGCTGTGATTGTTTGGATGACCTTGCACCCATCTTTCTATTGGTATTGCTGTTGCTGCTTGCGTATTACGTTGTAAGCTGGTAAGCTGCTGTTGTTGGTGTTTGTTGGGTGGAAAAAGAGAAAAAGTGTGTATGTGCTGTGTGAGAAAGAAAAAAAGGAAAAGAGAAAAAAAAAAAAAGGGTCTTGTTCTCTTTCTCTCTCGCTCTCTCTCTGTGTGTGTGTGGTCCTTTTTCTCGTGACACGTTGCGCGACAGGACCCAGTTGACACCCAAGAGACTCCGTCACCTTTTTTTTGTTATTATTATTGTTATTATTACTCTGATCATTAAAGGAGTTGAAGATCCCTTTTTCCGGTGCCTTGTTTATATTTACTTGCTATTCTTATTGCATAGCCCAAGGTCCGTGAGCAGCGTAAGAAAGCAGGTCTAGCAGCAAGCAAATCTTGCCAAGAAGAGCACGGAAGAAGACAAAGTAAGTTGGGTGCACGTCCCAATCTCCAGGCAGTAGAGCCGAGCTATTTACTGCCATGTCCGATTTGAGTGTTTTTTTTATCGGCACATTTGACTTTCAATGGCATACGCGTTTTTCATTTCATGTGTAACAGCAGCCCTCGTTGTGCTTCTGTTCACACTCCACCATTGTGTGGCTGCTTCTAAGCTTGGTCAACCCATGTGTGTTCTTGGGGGGCTGCTTCCATTTTCACAAGTGGTAGGTTAGTGTGATAAATGCAATACCGCTTAAGTCGGGATCACACAGCATCTAGATTGTCTATGACGCGATAAAGGCATTGGGCGAGCGAGCGAGCGAAGAGAGAAGAGTTGTAATAGGTCCCCTCTCTCTGTGTGTGTGTGTGTCTCTCTCCTTTCTTGTAATTGCAGGGAAAACCCCACACAGCTGAAAGAGAGAAAACTTGAAGAAAAGGAGCAGCACCTTTCTGTAATGCTTTTGCGGGGAGTTTGGGCAGATTATCACGACCTAAACAACTTTCCCATGATCAACCCATACTTTGTGCTAATGCTGCTGCCGCTGGCGTCGATCAACAACGCTTGTTGCAAAGCAAATATGGCTTCTTTTTTCTCTCTGATTCACCCCACAGCATCAAGCAGAATAATTAGCCCAACCCCCAGGTCCATCGAGGCGAAAGGAAAAAAGAAAAGGGGGTGGGGTTTTGCAAAGGCTCTCTGTGGGTAGTTACCAAAACAAAAGGATAAAATTAATGGGAAATGACGATGAAATTTGTCAATAAGCAACTGCCGCTTTCTAAAAATAGTCATCTTTAAATGCAGCTGTATAGTGTTTACTGTCCTGCCCTGTAATATTAAAAAAAACCCCCCAAGCTTGTACGTACACTGCAGTGCTTGACAATAAGCCAAGCCTAATATTGAACAAAAACAATGGAGCATTGCAGCTAAAGCAATGACCAACAACTGCAATATGGCTTGTTATCTACTACCAATCTTAATAAATAGCAATGATGCTCATCCACCCCCTTATTTTCCTTATGTTTCATAACCCCGTCAAAAAGAAAACTATCATCTTTGATCTATCAGTGGTGCTGGTATCACACCGGTCTAATAGCTGACTTTAGCTTTTTTTTTTTTGACATACAGACACCGCCCAACGACAACGCTAACGCTTTATAAGTTTCTTTTGCTGTCAGATCTCCGCGAATGCACGGGCTCTCTCGCTGTCACTAAGATAACTAACAATGGGGCGAGACGGATGGGGCCCATCATGGAGCCCAGAATTCTCAGCTCCACTTGTATTGTTGAGAAGAAAAAGATCGATTATAGATAGGGAGAGAAACGCCAAAGCTCCAAGGATAACTACAACGAACATAGCAGCCAACACATTACGTTTCAGACGTGGGATTATTCTGCTAACCAGTGGTGTATATGTGACTAATACCACATAATCCGGGGCTTACTGTAGATAAGTTAATGTAGACATCATTGACCACGCTTTGTTACAAAATGTTGACCTAGTTGCATGTTGCTTGGGGTCACGTACTCGACGATCCACGCAAGTAACACCCAACAGCTGCTTCACGTTTCTTGAATACCAACAACTGCCGACACTATGTAGCAGTAGCACAAAGCATGGATCAGTCTCGCGCACTACGAAGCATATCATGGGAGAACGTGCCATGTACATTGTACATATTAAATGAATGGGACATTTTCTACATAGTATGTAGCCTAATCATGATTCAAAGCAATTGATCTGCAATCATGCTGAGAGCTCTACATTTTGGACATGTATTTGCAGAAAAAAAGTAAATATTAAGGAGAGCTATGATGTGCATAGTATGGATTGCTCATACTTGCTGCTTATATACTTGTTGCAGGTTCTTATCATTATTGATCGACGGAATGTCTGGCATTTGCAGTTGTCAAGTTGCTAAGAGCACAAGGAGGAAGAATGACATTGGGAAACTGACAGGTACTAATGCGTATCATTATTTATTACTAGCCAACATTTAGCAGTAACGACTATGGACAACAGCAACGACTAGAAAACGTTATAATGTATTTATTAGACGTAAGTCCGTTGCCCAAAAAGTTACAAACTCGCTGACAAATGAACGTAAATAGCAGCGTACGAGGAGGAGAGCAAATCTCAAATGTTTATGCAAGCGTCCTATTGTAGCAGCAGCAGTAAAAGCTGTGTATCACCGGGTCGATTAGCCAGGAATCCATCATGAAAAGAGAGAAAGATTGATGATGCAATAATACCATGGATGTGGATACATTTTAGCTGCAGCTATAATAGCTCCTCATCAGCAATATTCATCATTATAGAATAGTATTATAGCACATTATTACAACAGCAAACTAATAGGATAGTATAACAAACACAGTATAGGAGCAGGAGGAATATAGAGGAGGGGAAGGGGTTGAGGAGAGAATGAAACAAACTTTTTCTTCTGCTGGCTTTTCATTGTAGTACACATCACATTACTTCAATGCAAACTATAGTTTAATCTTTTTGCATGATAGTGTAGTAGCATCAAAGAAGGTCAGAAACGTATCATACAATACGGGGGTAATGACAAGAGCTTTCAGGAGGAATTTTTATTTATCCTCAGCCTTCAGCACATTATACACCCTTTCTCCTCTTTTGTCTTTACCCCGCACAGTCTGTCTTTACCCTCTCTCCATCCATCTATACCCCTTCTTCTTTGTAGTAAACCCCGAAACTGTATGTACGATATCACATTAGACGGAACCAGTTCATGTAAAAAATCCCTTGGCATGTACAGTATCATTGATTCACGAGGCGCTCACTAAGTAGAAAATAACATAAGTTTGTCTTTCGCTTGGCATGTGTCCAACAGTTTGAGGTTCGATCATGTTGGCTAATACGTTGTATATAGAGGAAAGGGGAAGAGAGGAAGGTTTCGGTCGTCTTGTTGATGGACTGTTGTTTGTATGCGATCTTCCCATAGCAATATCGAACTTTGAAACTGCGTATATCAAAAGCTGAAATGTGACATATATACACCCCTTTAGGCTTATACCTTTTACCTATTCACAATAATATCACTTGCATAAATTTCCAAAGAACATACATATGATAGAGTGAATATGTATATATACTCTAACTCTTTCCCGACTACCACATCCGAGACAGTTTGGCTGCTGGAACGCATTACTTCTACAAAGTTTATATGGTTTATTGTACTTTATTGTTGAGTCTTCATATCCAAGACATGAAACACAATTTGATTTCTGCATGAGAGTTTATAACAAGGAGGGGTGACTGTGCGTGGATTGGGAAAAGAAGAGATAAATTACAAGTTTTGGAGTGTACACAAGAATAATTGACGATAAAGAAAAGGGTGTGCGAAATAAGGAGAATGAGAGGGCAAGGAAAGGCCAACATAGAGGAAAAGAATAAATTAGTACACATCAGTTGGCAGGCTAATAGACAATGTATACCGGTGGAGAGTGTGGAAGAGACTTAAGATATAACTCACCATTAGTGTGAAAGTAATGGAACAAAGGATGACCAGACGTCGGGCAACATACATGATGATCCATGTCTAGTTAGTAATCGTATCTTCTATACTACTTCATGCATAGCAAGATCGATTATGATACCACGATCGGCTTGGAAATCAGTGTACTGTGTGACAATGCTCGAACATCTTTCATGAAACGCTGTCTTCGCGGCCTTGTCTAGATCAGATCGGAGCACTTGCTTGATAGTGGTGTTGATAATTGTATATTGTGGCTTTTGTTGCTGATCATCGTTGTCACTTTCACCTTCGTCATCTGAGATGTTTCTGAAGCAGTGTCGTCGTTGTTTACTTGCTCTTTGTAAGCGTTGATGTCGTCGTCATTCTTCGTTGAGTTGCTGCCGATGTTTTTGTTCTTCTTGCCAGTGTTACTGTCACTTTTTATACGCTCCTTCGTCTCGTTGAGATACGAGTCTGTGTACACCCTCTTCAATACGAGTAGGTACTGTTCTCTATTTTTTACATTTCTGTTGTTTAATAGGTTGGTACCGATTGGACACATGATGGTGAAGAAGAGGCCACAAAGCATAGTAAAAAGACGGGCTTACCACCTATCATGTAATATAAACAGAGTGAACACACATGTCAGTATCATACTTAAAAGATCCTTTCCCCCTTCTTTTCAAGAGACTCTCTTCCCTATAACCCTCGAAAACAAAAAGAAAATCATATTTTTACTTACAGTCGGCGCGAAACCCACGAGGTACTACGCCACGTTGGGGCGACGGCCACAGCTGGACTACATAGAGCACCACACAACAATTATTAGGAAAGAACAATAACTCTGTACAAACGGAGGTGAAAGTCTTACCATTCCATGTCCGCTGTGGCGAAACGAAACTCTAGCGCATAAGGCTAGGCTTATGGTTGGGGGCCAGACGCCTCTGTAGGATACAGTCAACCCCCGTTAACGTCAACCCCGATAACGTCAACCGATTCGCTGGTACCCTTTCAAATTTAGCAGTTAAAGATTTTGCCTATTCTCTACCCACGGTGGTCGTCAACCCTCGATACGGTCAACGCTTTTGCTGATACCCTGAGGGTTGACGTTAACCGGGGTCGACTGTATAGCAGCGGGAAGAAACGTTAATAACAACATCGCGTTAGATAGCGGCGGGTAATTGTGAGAGAAAGCATCATGTGTGTAGCATAGAAAAAATAATACATACGTCGTGTACAGAGAGTGAGAGCAAGAGAGACAGAGCTATCAAAAATAAAAAAGAGGCTCGATCGTGATCAATCAATACCACAGTCATCATCATCTTTGACACACACTATGTACACTTTTGCTTCTCTCCTTTTTTAAGCAGTAACCGGGCGAGGCCGAGGAGGAGACGGCTATAGAAATGAAAGTAAGCAAGAGATTTGATCGTGAGTCGTCGTGATACTTCTTGACAGACATGCACACCACCACACGCACGTTCATGCAATGGATCCTGTTTCCCAAGAGTAATACGTACAGTTGATGACGAGGAGGAAGGAGAAGGAGAAAGGAGCGGAAGAGAAGAGGCCAAAGAACTATGGATGGGTGGGAACGCGTACCTTTTATATAAGATTCTTTGTGAAGAAATGGAACAATCGATTAGATTCTCGGCAATTGCGTGATTTATTTGTTGTCCAATAGCCAAACGAGCACATAGGCGATGAGGTCAACACTAAGGAAGAGCACGATGCATGTTTCAGTCAATAGTGCAGCAGAAAAACGATCGTTTTTCATTGATCATTCTACATTAATAGCTATAGTGTCGTCGTTAATTATTTGAAATGTATCAATGTTGGTATCATTCTATAGCCAAGGCTCTGCTCTACATGAATTTTTCTTTGCTGAATGATGAACATAGTCAGTTTATTTGAAAAGGAAGGAAGAAGAGGACACTGTCGCAACTGACACGAACCAACTGCATACAGTATCTCAGATTCGATTGTTCGAGAAACAAGTTCTAGACACGGTGAAGGGGAACCTGCCATCGTTAACAAAGACTAGTCAATTTCCAAAGCAATATTCCGCCACGATTTATCGTCGTAATTGTGAATGCTATTAGTATCATGTTAAAGCTAAAGACCTGCCCTTTCTTTTGATAACCTATTGCTAGTGTGTCATGAATGGATAAAGAATGAAGGGGAAGGAGTAAAGAGCTTGACAGGATTCGTGGGAAGGCAACTTCCCGATGCATGAATTTTCTGCAATTGCTTCCGCTGCACACAAGTACACAAGAAAACGTTGACGAAGGATTGACGCGTTTGTTGTAGGAAAAATGATCGTGCTACTATGTAGAGTTAGATTAACATAAACGGGGGTGCTGTCACCGATACTCGAGAGAGCACTCTTGGAACTGCGGACGCGAAAATTCGATGCTGCATGTAAATCTTGGTTGAAAAACCCATGCAGTACAGTAGTGAAAATAACAGATTATTCGGAATTAATGCAGCGCAACACGACGAGTACCTAAGGTCACAGCCTTTCTCTTCCGGGTATACTATGTCACCTCTATCAGTATGCCATTCATCCGTGCAGAGTTAAGAGCAACAGCGATCGAAAAATCGCAACGAGCAAGCTACGATGCTACAAAATGTAAACACTATGTGTTGCGAGTTCTGGAGGAGCTACAGTACCCGCTCGTTATACCGATCACCTCTGTTTTTCGAGAAAGTGATCGGTTTAACAAATGATCGGTTTAAAGATTGAGGGTCCACTATATGACATACATACTGCTTACCAAGCTGGTATTTTGGGGAAGTGATTGGTTTAACGAAATATCGGTTTGAAGGTGATCGGTTTAACGAGCGGGTACTGTAGTAAAGACGAACATGTGCGAGCATCTTAAAAAGCACCAGCAACAACCACACGAAGATGTCAGAAACGCATTAAATGACAACGCACCAAAACGAATCAACAACATATATAATAAGACTGCAGAACTGTGACAGAAAGAAACCAACGACAAAGAAAACAGAAATGAAGCAAAAGAAGTATCAATAAACATCAGCACCGAAAAACAGCTTAAGGTCAAAGAGACAAGAAGGCGCAGACAGTACATATGAGGCAGCGCTAAAGAAAGTGGAGGAAGCAAAAGATGATCAACAACGAATTTCCTTGGTGCGAAAAGCGGACAAATCACAGAAACGATTACAACAGCTACGTCTCCACAATCCCGCATTCCAAGAGCCAACAACAACTGCTGGTGCAGATGACGCAGCACAAGACCTGGAAGAAACACGAGATGAAGTAGAGGAAGAAGTTGATCAGAACTTAGCACCCAACACTACCATCAATATCCTTATATTTGCCCCGAAAATAAGAAATGGGCCTTCCCCCCAAGTTCAAATTTCACTTCAAAGTCAGTTGCGAATGGCGTTGACTATGTAATTTCTTAAGCTAATTTTTGCTGATTTGCATCTTCGTCATGGCAAACCAACTACTGCGAATCGTATAAGCACAATGGCTGTGCTTTATGGTGACCCTGGCATCAGAAATGCTCTATAGTTTTTTTATTGCAAAGAGGTTCAGAGAAAAAAAGGTGCGGCTCGAAAAAAGGCAGCAAAAATTAAAAGGTGAGCTATAGCTGAGCACGTTTTCTTTTTAACCAATCTTGAGAAATAACATTAGTAGGATCGGTTTAAAAAAATGTATAGTCAACGCCACTCGCGCAATTGACCCAGTTCCTATTTTCGGGGCAATATAAGGATATTGCACTACCATGGGGTCAAAACGCCAGGATGAGCCGACACGCTATCGCTTCAATGCCATCAAGACGTTTTTGAAACAAATATTGCGAGAAAGCAAGATTGCCTGGGACAAGAAAAAGACACAAGAACGCTTTAAAAAACCACTTGACGAGAAGGAAATTGACGTGGTGTTGTTACTCGTCAAATTGCTGGGACCGTATGTTCCTGAGGTACTGAATGAAGGAGACGAGTACGACGCCAGCGCAGAATGTCGCGCTGGCTGGAATTCGTTATACTTGGCGAGCGCATTCTCAATTATGGAGGATATCATGAGTTTTGCATGGCGTATCTTCCACAAACATCTCTCGGTAAAGTGTTGCCACTGCCATTGAAAGGATTGTCCCTGTACGAAATATTCAGGGACATCTTCGTCTTCAAGGTGCAAACGAAAGATGGAGCAGGTAATGAATATATTCTTGAAATTGATATTCTTGCAATGTATAACGCTTATTTGAAAAGAGTATCTGAAGCTAATGTATTGGATCCTCCTTAGTTGAAATCAAGAGTAACAATGATGCAAGAATGAACGCCCCATATGTCATGGGTGCTCTTTTTGACATGGAAGAAATCGAAAAGCTTTGCAAAGCACGCAAGACGACGTTTGACTCGAGGCTGTCTTTGCTAGCATGTGGAGTGGTCAATATACAAGGGGAAAAAATTATACTGGTCACCGACTTATCAGCAAAACCCAAAAAGCAGCGGTATGTATGACAAGAGAAGTATCTACAGCAGAATACATTATTACTTAGTGATGAGCCGATACTTACCTTGCTTTCATATTTAGTTCCAAGTACGACTCGACCAAAACGACCTCTGTTTGTCAAGAAATTGAAGAAGCAACAGCCACATTACCAAAACTCAAAAAGGAACATGCAGAGGCGAAGAAAGAAGGGTCTCACTTGCGCAATGCTCTCGCATTTTTGCTTTCTCACTACAGTACTGTTTGTTGCGAATCGGCCCGGAAGGCTACCTTACCCGATATGCACGGTGTCGAATTGGAGCGTGAAGGCCCGTCCGAATGCCATTCCCTCATGATGATCATCAAGCAAGGAAAGACAAACAAGCACGGTTGTTTGGAACTTGTTGTCTGCATCCGGAACACTCGCGTCGAGATATGCCCCTTCATGGCTCTTTCCTTTTATTTTTTCTGGCGTTGGCATGTCGAAAACGAACCATTCCCCGTCTTCACTCACAACCAAGATTGGTATGATATCCGCTTGCTCAAGAGCACCTCTCCTTCCGCCACCAACACCACCGAAATCTCATATCAGCAGCAACTTCGAGTCAGGAATTATGCAAAAAGGTATTACCTCGTGCAGAATACTGGCTGGAAACAATTCGACCGGATCAAGTGGCTGCCGCCGGGTTTCTGCGTCTCTTGGGTGTTCTGCGCGTTACGTTTCTTCAAGATGCTGTGCTTATGCAAGAAAAGTATCCGCGCGATGCGATTTTCCTCAAGCCAGATATTTAAAGAGCCGCTATACATCCAGTTCAAAGCGTAAGTATTGATTTAAAAAAATAATGCACAAGATGATCATCGATATGGTATTTATTGCTGTTACTATTGTAACTACTACTATCATCATCCTCAGCAACATCAACACCAACACAGCAGCACCATCCAGAGCAGCAGCCAACAACAGCAACAGTTACATCTATCCCGAGTTCAGCACCTTCTGAGTCACTGGATCTTGATGCAACGAGTGAGCTCCCGTTTTACATGATCGGGGAACCAAGACTGTTGCTGACCTTTGGGAAGAGTGGTCCGTTGGGCTTGCTGGAGGCTAAGCAGTGAAAAAACTGGAAGAACGTTGGGGTGCAAAATGGAGAAACGACGATCGCAAGTTTTTTAGTCGCAGAAACAAGATCATTAGGGAGGTCGAGCGATTTGCCTCTGCCAACGAGATTTCGGAAACGACAGCGGCAGCAATGGGCGAAGAAAGGCGCAAGGCTCTTGGTCTTAGCCTAAATGAGCTTAACAAGCAAGCAACAACGATGTTCCAAAATATTCAGGTCTTTAGCTTTTTCTCCCTTTGCTACTTGTTCAGCATACCCATTTAATGAAATATAAGAAACATATCATGTTTGAAGAGGATAAGAAGCGTCGCTTATTGTAAAATATTTTTTGGTCATATGTTTGAGTTGTACTGTTGCAATGGCAAATCGCAAGTATGTTTTGAAATTGAGAATGAAACGCATGACATTGACAGGTAGTAGCGTAGCAACGGTGTCGGTTACTAAGGACGGAGTGACATTATTTCTGTGACCCGCACGGCAATAACCCTAGGTATTTCTCATGTGGATGAGTGTTATTTCTTGCGGGTCCCAAAGTTTGCTGGTGACCTGCTGTGACATGTCGAGACAATGAGGTTGTTGTAACTATCTGGACCAAAAATTTCATGCGGATTTGACAGCAGCAAAGTGTGAACTAAGCCGCTTTGTGACGGCATATTCTGAAATTACAGATTTGGAGAGGAAGCGGGTTGCCTGAATTTGTCCGACCTCTGCATATTTTTTTTTCAACTTTCTCTCTTATTTTATTACAATAATGGGTCGACGACAACGCAATAAACAAGGAGCACCCGCTCCAGTGGACGGATTTCCCAAAAACAAAAAAAACGGTGCCAAAAACAAAAAGAACGACAAACGTAAACGGGATCACGCCGACGATGACGCAGTAGTAGTAAAAAAGCAAAAAGTGGTAGTCGACAAGAAGAAAAAGAAGCCAGTAGTCGAGAGTGAAGAGGAAGAAGAAGATCTGGAATTCTTGGCCGAGGCCAATGGTGACGTTGCTGAGGGCGACGATCTTTGGGATAATGTTGAACCTGCCACAGACGACGACGATGAGGACGACGAATTACTTGACGATGAATTTGATCTCGAAGGAGAAGACGATGGCAAACCTATCTATGCCAAGTCAGATACCAATTTCCTCGGCTCCGACGATTCTGATGAAGAAGAACAGGATGAAGAGGACGAGGACGAGGATGAAGACAGTGAAGAGGATGAATTTGTTGCCGAGGTAAATCATAAAGAAATTGAGTGGGCAGGATATCTGGTATAAACAGGCAAAACTTAATTTCTGTGTTTGTTATTCTAGTTTGAAGGTTTGGATGAAAAGAAATCACGTAAAATCGAAGCACGCAAGGCACGAGAAGCAGCTGCTGCTCAGGCCGAATTGATGGATGCTGCTATGCAAACCAACATTGCCGAGGAGGGTGAAAGATTTGAGCTTCCCGAAGGCGAAGAAGAGGAACTTACTGCAGATGTGACCCTCGTTAATCAGCGCATCCAGGAGCTTGTCAACGTACTCAATAATTTTAAAACCTTGCGTGATCCCAGCAAGTAAGTCCTTTTTCTTATAAATCCATGGAGTAGTAGATGGAAGAAGACAAGCGGAAGTTTTGGAATTGTGTTAGATATTAACTGGGGAAACAACGCTTATAGATCACGACAAGACTACACTGATCGTTTAATCAAGGATATTGCACACTACTACGGCTACTCTCAATTCTTGGCTGAAAAGCTGTTCAATCTCTTCTCGGTATCCGAAGCCATTGAATTTTTTGAAGCAAACGAAGTTCCTCGACCTGTCACCATCCGTACAAACACGCTCCGGACCCGTCGTCGTGATCTTGCACAAGCCTTGATCAATCGTGGTGTCAACCTCGATCCTATCGGCAAATGGAGCAAGGTTGGTCTCCAAGTCTTTGATTCACAAGTACCTATCGGTGCTACGCCCGAATACTTGTCAGGCCACTACATCTTGCAAGCTGCCTCCTCCTTTTTACCCGTTATGGCATTGGCACCTCAAGAGAACGAACGGGTGCTTGATATGGCATCTTCTCCCGGTGGTAAAACGACGTACATTGCGGCATTACAAAAGAACACGGGTATTGTGTTTGCCAACGATTTCAACAAGGAGCGTTTGAAGAGTTTGACAGCCAATATTCATCGTTTGGGCGTCAAGAACGCCGTTGTATGTAACTATGATGGTCGTGAATTTCCCAAGGTCATTGGCGGTTTTGATCGTGTCTTGCTCGATGCGCCTTGTTCCGGTACTGGCGTTATTTCTAAGGATGCCAGCGTCAAGTTGAACAAGACCGAAAAGGATTTCATCGACATTCCTTTCTTGCAAAAGCAATTGATCCTTAGTGCCATTGACTCTGTGGATGCACGATCCAAGACCGGCGGCTATATCGTTTACTCTACTTGTTCCGTCACTGTCGAAGAAAACGAGGCTGTGGTCAATTATGCACTCAAAAAGCGACCCAACGTCAAGCTGGTTTCTACTGGTTTGGATTTCGGTCGGGAAGGTTTTTGCTCGTTCCGTGGCCAGTCTTTCCACCCGACTGTCAAGCTGACCCGTCGATTCTACCCACACGTACACAACATGGATGGTTTCTATGTCGCCAAGTTTAAGAAGGTTAGCAACAAGTTCGATGCTGGAAAGGATGATGAGCCCAGCAATAAGAAGAAGCAAGATAAGGATGCCAAGAAGGAGCAAGAAATCACATTCAACGATGAGGAAGATGCCAAGTATATTGAAGGTAACAGAGGAATGCCGCAAAGAAGAAGGTCGGTCAGAACATACCCGGTATCTAATATATCTCGTATTGTATTTCATATAGAATCCAAGGCAAAGCAACGCAAGAAGAAGGCCAGAAACTAAGTCGTCTTTTTTTTCGTGTTTCCTCTATTTCAATTTTTTTTTTCAATACGCATAATTCATCACATATTGCTCGCAAATAACTGTACTTGTCGAAACTCTAACGCATCAGGTTGTATGAACACTTCCTGATTAAACCCCATTATATTATTGTATACATTCAGTAGAACTGCATTCCATTAAAAAAGCAATTTAAAAACAAAGCAATTTAAAAACAAAGCAATTTTCAATGCTTATCCCGTTAGACATTTTCATGTCATCCTTCATTAGGTTATCAACTGATCAACTTTGCATCGTTGCTTTTATTATCATGTTACTAATGTTATTGGAATATTACAAATGTAACAGTGGAAGGAGTGTCTGCTACATACTGTTTCCTCCATAAGTTCCATCCTAAATGATAACTCGTATTTCACAAGAGGACATAAAAAAGCTAAAGTCCAAAGCTGTGGCAGTCTGGATCAATATGGCAGGCATATCGCTGCATATGTACAAAACCATGCAGTTCCGTTTCTTTCCTGCATCTGCACGTACTAGCTGATCAATTTGCTTTGCTTTTCATAGACATTTGATTAAACATTACTTAGCAACTGTGGATCGCAGTAACCAATCGAACGTCTTTGAAGAGTACCACCATTCGTATTCTTCTCATATATCAAGCCATCAGTATTCTTCCTCAATAAGAAAATCACCACAATGTGTATGCTTTGCTTCTGTATGATAGCGAGCAGAGTACAACCTTTTTAACGTCTTTTTAATATGCACACCATTACACGGCTTTGAAATTAGTTTTCTGCTCAACTTAGTCATACATCATCAACAACCAGCCGATAACCACACGTACAGTGGTTCCCCGTTTAATTCAATCTCAAAGGGGGGGGTCTAAAAAGTGTTGAAACTACTGATGGTTGACACAAAAAGAGCGTGATTCAAGCAGTGTTATATGCTTAAAGTGGGTGTAGAAAAAAAGTTGAAATAACTGAGGGTTTACCTTATTGAGAATGAAATTAAACGGGGAACCACTGTACTTTCCTCAATATATCATACTGCTACGTTTGTAAGAGCTTTATCATGCACACACATGAACCGTTCCTCTACTTTTCGATCTCAAGACCAGTGCTGCGTCTCGTCCAAAATCGACAATCACAGTAAACCGAGAAAAAACATCTTCTTCAAAGCGTATACATTGATTCCTAAAATAAGCGGTGATACGAACACGTTTGGTATATTGTAGAGGAAACACACTAATAGCTGTCAATATTTAAGACAACGTGCTTGCCCTCCTCTCTTTTTTTTTGTTTAAATCCACGCTTCTCTCTTTACCCTGATCTACGGTCCAATGACGCTCCTAGACTATTTTTCCAAGGAACTCTTCTTACTCTAACTTTTACAAAGCCAAGCGCAACCTGTCGGCACCTGTTCAGTCATCGCTTGCGTCAATGACTTTTAAGAGTACCATTTTCTTGTTGCTGCAGTACTAACAGGCCCAGAAAGAAAGGTGCTTGCTTTTACACGGTCTCCGTGGCACGGGTGAACTTGCTCTAGGTCTCCTTGATCGATCTGGCTTTTGCGAGGAACTGCGCAAAGCTAATACATTTTGCAAATCTATCAGCTGATTTGTGTCTGAATTTTGTTTGCCTTGGTAAAAACCAATATCAAGTGGAACCGAAATGAAATGATAACTTAGATACCATAACATACCATTCGAGCTTCAACTGGAAAATGCGAGTATCACGACAAGTTTGACATGACTTCTTACAAACTTGCATAAGGAATCGTATGAGAATCATAGCTTTCAATAAAATGCTGTTCACAGCTTGTCTTTTGCAGTAAGGACTAAAATCTAGATTGCGTAATAAAACGCAAAAAATTGCTTGGCATGGTTTTTTGGTTGAATTCTCGGTAAGTTAACATTTGTTATATTCAATTCATTATGACCCTGGCCTCGAAAGTTGGAAGCACTCAATCCAAATATATAATCGTTTTCCTTGCACTATCATCATTACCGGCTAGAGCACGCATAGCATACATTGCTTCAGATATTGGTATATATTTATCTTAAAAGTCAAACCTATGCTGACAACCTTATCTTTTTCATTTCACTCTTACCTGCTATCTGGCAAATAACCGTATGCACACATCTGTCTTGTGTTGTAAAAGCAGCAGCGCTTCATCAACTGCCTTCCATCTCTTTATTAAAGCGACTGCTGCCTTTTGATAAATTCGAGAGCCTTAGAGGTCTTCAAAGTTACAAGAACGCTGTAGACGGCAACGTCGAGCATATAACCCTTTTCACCACTTGATAGCAGTAACAAATGACAACATCGATTTTTTAAACATAGTATGTACATATACACATAGATAGCCTCAGCTTGCTACGTAATCGTGTCTATATATAGCAAGAGGCGCATCAGCGGCAGCATATTAATGTACGCTGTATCAATAACGTTAGCTAACGCTTTCCTATCAAAATAACAAGGCCGTGCATACATTACGTATAATGAAGAAAGAGCTACATTATCTTTGATAATACTCCTCGCAATCAGTATTTATTATACGTCCCAGTTTAGAAAACCAATAATATCAAAGGGTTATCGTCTTCATTTTTTGTGCCATGTAATATCAATGTCAAAATATTAATGGAAAGGATCGGTGCTTCTTTGTTTTTTCTTTAAAGCAACATACGTTGGTGAACGATGTTGCAGGTGCATACTACATAGAACTGTTATATGCCGCGGCATATATGATTCAGTCTGTGTTATTGCCACTTTAAGGGGGGTGGTGAATCGAGAGTTGGGGGCATGCTGCGTAGACCTTTCTGCTGAGAAACTACGTAACTGGGTCCAACTGCGAGTGATCAGAATGGAGGAAAAGCATAAGGGGTCATCACTTGCAGATACGTGCATTTCTCGGCAGTCAAACAGTTTCATGAGCTTGTGATATAAATAAATTATCATTGTATGGAATATAAAGGAGAAAGTGATTCCTTTTTGAATTTTAAATACAAAACGTAAAGAGCTACACAATACTGTACTGCAGTCCTATAGCAGCACAGCTACGCAACGTAAAAAATGACCACAGATAAACAATCAGAAAAGCAATCAACAATTAACGACGTATGAAATGTGTACTTTATAATTTTTACGAGCAAGTCCTCCCTGATATCTTAAAACGAAATTGATCTCTTTATTTATATTTTTTCTAATACACTGTATCTCTCTTTATATAAAATTGTTTAGCTGGGTCAAGAGGAACAGACGGGTAGCATTATTGTGGATAATGATGAGAAAAGGCTTCAAGAACTTGGATATAAACAAGAGTTCAAGCGAGAAGTTGGATTATTTGTTCAAGCAGGTTTTGCCTTTGCAACGATAGCTGTTCTGCCCAACAGGTGAGATAAAAAGAAGATAAAGAGCTTCTAAAAGTACCACAGCCATAGATGAGCATGGCATCGCTTCCCTTTGATCTGCATTTCACTGAGCTCAGAGAATCAATACATCATCATTATTCTATTACGATCTATTAGTCTCGTAGGTCTTTCACAGACCATGAAAGCCGGTGGACCAATGTCACAGTTCTGGGGCTATGTAAGTTTGAAACAGCATGAAAAGCATTGACTCGGACTTGAGCACAGGAAAGATTATTCACATGGTTTTGCATGATCCGCTCCTTCTCATAAACAACTAGGTCGTCTTAGCTCCTTTTGTGCTCTGCATTGCCCTTGGGATGGCAGAAGCTTTCTCGTGTAAGCATCTCATGTATAATGTGTCTGTTCTTCTCTAACATAAATACATTAATCAATCTTTTTAGCATATCCTGTAAACGGTGGAGTCTACTCTTGGTGCTATTTGTTAAGTAACAAGAAATGGGGACCATGTAAGCGGCTCGGAAGGCATTTAAAGAGGTGCCTTAGTCATCGTTCGGTTGGATGTCGTGCATTTAATTTATTGTACAGGTTTAATGTAGTCATGGCTTGGAACTGTGGTTATATCTTTCTTGCGGGTGCTTTAGCAACACTTATGACTGCTGCATACACAATGGCGCAATATATCATTTGTAAGTATACATGCCTTTCAAATTTCATTGACATCTGCCTTTTGAATCCCAGTTCCACTATTGATTCGTAGCCATAAATATATTAACTTCATTGGCAATTTCGTTAACAGCTATTGCCAATGTACTTATCAATGACCCGACACGAGAAATAACAGCACAAGGCGCCACCATTGGAGTTTACGTGGCAATCCTTCTCTTTGCTGTAGCGTATTGTTACCAAGGCATACGTTTCAGTGGATATCTTAATGTGTTCACAAGTAAGTATCGTATAGGTTTTCCTGGAAAGTAACAAACAAAAGTTGGTCTTTCTAAGTTTCACCTTAATTTTTTTATGGTCAGTATACTGGGTGCTGATTGGCACAGTCGTTGTTATAATCGTCCTCCTTGTAATGGCACCTTCACATCCACCGGCTGATTGGGTATTTACCTCGCTGCATGATCTTACAGGATACAATAGTCCTGGGCTTGCTTTTTTGTTAGGTCTCTTGCAGGCAGGATGGGTTTTGGTAATATATTCTTATTGCATTTTAACACCAAAGAGAACGTGTTCCCCGATGAGTACGTAGTAAATACTAAATCAATTGAATGTGCTGTATTAATAGATTGGATATGAAAACGGGTAAGATTAATGTGATTGTGTACAGGAACAATGATTTTTAACTGTTGCTAATTGAAAAATGATAAAGTGCTCAGATCGCTGAAGGAAGCAAGAACGCTGACCGGACTGGACCCCGTGGCATTATCATAGGCGTTATTGGGGCCATTGTACAGGCTCTTGTTGTAAGCGTAGTGGTGCTATTTTGCATCCAAGATATGGATGCATTGTTGGATTCTCCGTTTCCAGTTGCTACACTGTTTGTTCAAGCAACGAATGGACCTGTCGCTGCCTTTTTGATGATTATCCTCGCCGTCAGCCAGTTCGCTGCAGTTGCTAATAATATGGTTGCCGCATCACAGATGCTTTGGGCTATGGCAAGAGATCATGCTGTGGTATGTTCTTTGTAGTAGAAAAGCTCTCTTCATTAATTATGAAGAAGTTGTATATTAATTGTAGTGCTAACAATATCACATTAAGCCTCAACATGAATTCTGGTACAAGCTTCATGGAAAAAGCGAATCTCCGTTGCGCATTCTCCTTTTGGAGACTCTGGTTTGTATTATTGCAATCATGCCGGTAATGTGTTTCATTTTAATCTGTATCGTGTAAACATTATTATGCAGTAGCGAATTAAAGAGTGTGCATATGCTAACCTCTCGCTTTTCTAAAATAATCAGTCTTTTGGCAGCCCTGATTATTGGTCGGCCATTATGAGTACTGCCGTGATTTGCATAAATTTTGCATACGGTAAGTAGTAGACAAGAAGATGTATCAACGATAACAAGCCAGCGAAGACTCTCATATTAGGCTAAAAATATAACGCGCAAAAACATTGTTATGGTATACTAGGTTTTCCGTTCATGTGCCGCCTGATTTGGAAACGCCATCCACTTCCGCGCGGCCCTTTCAACCTGGGTAAATATAGCATACCTGTAAACTGCGTAGCCATTTCCTGGGTTTTGTTTTTTGGTGTGATTTTGTGTATTCCATCTACACACCCCGTCAGTGTAAAGTCTATGAACTGGGCAAGCGTAATGATTGGCGGAACATTAATCTTGTCAACAATATTCTGGATTATCACTGGACGCAAAAATTATAAGGGACCTATGCAGGGAGAAGAGATCAGTAGCATGACCGAGCAATAAGTCAAGCACGATCAACATTGTATATATATCATAGTATTTGACTACTACGAATGATCTCCTTATCATTTAATAAGACAAATTATAGATAGAAACCAAATCATCACGCTTTTAAATATACTGTATAATTGCCATTAGACTATTTGCTACAAGTAATTTATATACAGTATGGCTTATTCTTACATGCGTCAGACAGTCTATCTTTTATACGCATAGCACCGATTCTTACTGATGCTAGGCGCAAAATTAATCAGCCACCAACAACGAGAGGCGAAGCACATCTTTTTTTAAGTGTATACCGCTACGTGTATTAAAAAGCTTTATGTCACACACTAACGCGTTCGATCATGAGCATTGTCTTAATTGATTTACACAGAAACTGACAACAACGGAATCCTGTTGAAGTTCAAGTCAGAACTTAAGTGGACAACACTTTAGTACTTTACACAAATAACTTCTTGTCTGCAAGCATATTGAGGCTGTCCGCCGTTTAATTTTTGGAATTCAAATCTCTGATATTAGGACGATGAGCGGATACTTATTCTTGCAGGATACGGTATACGTCAGCGTTATTATGGGATACACAATTAGGGTTCTTTGAGGAATCGCAAGTGCCCAAAAGTGATACTTAAACAACATTACGTTTCTCCTAATACTCTGCTTATGAAAAAGCACGGAAATATATACATACAGTACCGTCGATTCCTCAATTATATTGTGAGCAATGTATAGCTAGCATAACAGGTTTTCGTAAATTCTATGTACATAGTAGATGTTCTTTCATAGATGGATATACAGTAAAATGTCATAAACGTCGGACAACCTCTTCGTTGTACAGTATGTATAATATCGATTGAAGCTCCAAGACGAAAAAAGCAATTATCAAAGCTACAAGAGTCTACGCGCTTTCACGCTTATCACAACGACATCTATTAATTTGTCTTGCAAGCATCCAAAAAAAAACGATCCTTTTGATTTGCTGCATTTAAAATGAGCCACTATGACGAAGCTACAGCATGAATCAAAACTGGAGCATGCACACGGCATTTTGGACAATAATGCGAGTGTGTACCTTGCGTGCTACAAAAAAATATTTGCGAAATGATGAATACTGCACTTGGATAAAGGTTTGAACATATCCAACAATATAAACAATTGAAGATTAAGAAAACTTTGATTAATTGATATACAGTAGTAGGCGTGAAAACAACTTATACAAAGTACGATTCGTTTCAAAGTGACCCTTTGTAACGACACAGTTTTCTTGCCGACACTTTATGAAAATATATTGTATGGTAATCTTTCACATCAGCCGGTTCCTTATATAACTAGAATAAGGTTAATCACATTGGAGCTTCTCAGATCCCTACTACAACGCTACGTCTGGCGTGGAAAGCAAATTCCACGCTTTAATTACTGGATTTAGTAATAAAGCTCGATACGGTCATCATGCTGAAAGAGTAAATACATACTCTAAAAGGACTATGTCGCGCTGAAAAGTGTTACTATGTTCCACGATAACGCGTTTAAAATCACACGCACACACACTTACACAAGTGTCGTAGTGCGTCGACGGTGCGTGTACATCTACGGAAAATAGTAAGAGGTGGGGACTGTGGGAAAGCGTATCACCTAACCTGAGAAGATTACAGCATTATTCTGCTCAAGCAGAAAAAAAAACAATGAAAGCTCTTTCTCGTTTTTCTTCTTTTCCTTTGAAACATATCTTTCTGACAGAAAACCGGAATTATAAAGATGACCAAGAAGCTGCCCTTGTATGATGAACTTCCAATCGATCCAAAGTATCCACCCAAGACAGCCTGGGGTGTTTGGGGCGAAGACGATGATCTTGGAACTTTAAATCTTTTGACCGAAGAGCGCGTCGCAAAGGTAAAGGAAATAGGCAAAGGGCTTCTCGTTAAAGAGAGATTAAAATCTGACAACGATGTAATCGACGTTAATGAAAGGAAATGCTGGATAGGCTGCACAGAAGTATGTGCGTCGTGGTGCTGTATTTTCATTGAACTGGAACTTGGAAAACCCTGTAAGTACTCTTCACGATTGGGGTACTTCTTCCCCTTCTGAACGCTGACATACATTATGTATCGCAGAATCCACCACTTTTCAATCGCACAAAGATCCAGCACAATATTCGCAGCCGTTTGCCTGAAGGCAAGCGATTTGATGACGTTTATGACAACTTTAATACCCAATCGTCGTCCCAATGGGACGGTCTTCGACATGTATGCCACGCCGACACAAATATCTTTTATAACAACGTTCCAATCTCTGACATTACTCCTGGACCTGATGCAACTGATCGTCTCGGAATCCACCATATGGCACGTCGTGGCATTGCTGGTCGTGCTGTGTTGTTGGACTATGCTCGATGGGCAGAAAAGCAAGGCAAAACCATCAACCCTTTAACACGGCATGAATACACAGTTGATGAATTGGACCAAGTGGCAAAGGACCAAGGCATAACTTTCGAGCCCGGCGATGTGCTTCTCGTGAGAACTGGTTGGATGGGCGTTTATGAGAAAGAAGGTGAAAAGCTCCCTGAATTGATGGATCTTGCAAAGCCGCAGTGCATCGGTGTAAAGGCATGCGAAGAGACCTATCGATGGATTTGGAACAATCGGTTCTCGGCAGTTGCTTCCGATGCCGTAGCATTCGAATCATTCCCGGTTTTGGACTGGAGTAACTCGTGCCGTAAGTAAGAAAATATGAACCACAGACGCATTCGGTGTCTGTGTACGAATAGTATTAATGATGTCTCTATAACAATTAGACTCTCAATTCCTTGGTGCATACGGAATGCCAATAGTACGTAAAGCTCTTGTTGATGATAGCTGACGTTTAGTAATGCAGATACTCACCTCGTATATCTCTATTAGGGTGAAATGTTCTATTTAGAGGCATTGGCTGAAGACTCTGCAAAGGATGGTCAATATGAATACTTGTTTACCAGTGCTCCGCTCAACAAGTACCAAGGTGTAGCAACCCCACCCAATGCTATCTGTTTGAAATAATTGTATACTGTTGTTGTATTATACATATATCCACGTATATCACTGATAAAACGGCGTGCTCTCCTTCTATTACTGCAAGATATCGTGTACGCAGACGAAGAAAAAGAAACCTCTATTTAGCAAAGAATACAACGCAAACAGATGCTATACACAATGTTTGGTAATTATGTTATCATCTATCTCATTTTGCGTATAATATGTATGCTTAAGTTTTGCAGGGGGGGAAAAATCTTGAAATTATAATCCTATCAAGCAGATTTACAAAATCATCATCAGTTATAGCCTTTCAAAGCATTGTGCTACACTTGAACGGATCATGACTGTTTATAAATGAGCTCAGAAAATTTGCTCGAGTAAAGCATGATACTTTATAAAGAATTTGACAGCAAGGAGTATGTGAACGAAATGCGGAGGACACCGGTTTGATAGACCCCGACAAACCGAACAACTGCTCGAATAAGCAAGCAACTCCGGTCTGTGTTTTCGAACTTTCAATGAATCCCTACATGATCAATGGCTCATCAACAGCACAACCGTCGCCTCAACAACAGATAATTGGTGCTGCTTCGCAACAACAACAAGCATCACAGCAGTTAGAGCAACAACCGACACAACCATACTCTGCTCCGTTAATTTTACCTGCAACGACCCATGTCACCGAAGCCGATCAAACAAGCGCTGACATTCCTCGAGCCAAACGTAGCCGAGCCAAACGTAGCTGCGATTTATGTCGAAAACGAAAAACTCGGTGTAATGCGGACGTCGTTCAACCATGTAATACGTGCCAAAGCGCCGGGGTCCAATGCGAGTTTCTCGTGGAACAAAAGAAACGAGGCCCCAACGCTCGCAACTATGTCGGTACATTGGAAAGCCGGTTAAAACGGCTTGAAGGGTTATTGCAAAAGGCACAAAGTTCGGAGCCCCATACGGAAACTGTACAGGGATTAGCTTCTACTACTAATGGCGCTACCGCAACTGATAAAGCATTACCACAAGAGCAGCCGCAACAACCACAGCAACAGCAACAGCCTACACAGCACGATAGTTCATCAGGCAGCAGAAGTTCGAGTAACTCACCACCACCAGTTGGCGAAGACTTTATGGCAGATTGCATCGATGAAAACCGTTTAAGCAACAGTCAAATTTCAACCACATCAGCAGGAACAGGAGCAGCGCCTTCACTCAACCATGTTTGCAAATCGCTAGATGCAGCAGAAGGGCCTACGATAAAGCACACATGCGGCGAGCTTTTGTCTGTAGATCCGTCTTTAGAGCTTGTGGAGCATTTAAACCAATTACAGCTGAGCGATTATGAACGGACACGATACATCGGTGGGAGCGCAGGATACCATATGATAGACCAACATCTGTTCAAAAAGAATTGGCGACATCGCATCCGATCACATCCAAACTGGGTTGTACAAAAAGTGAACGACGATGACACGGAACATGTAATTATTAAAGCCGAAGAAATGCGACACATGCCAACGATGATGGCTGGAAAACACGCTCTGTTACGATTCAGTTATTTACAGGATATACCATCGATCACCCCTGAATTGGTCGATTGCATGATCCATGCGTAAGGACTTTGCTATATTTGTTCAAAGTCGTCGTCGATTACTGATTTCAATCACAACGTCAATAGGTTTTTCAATCATATCCATCCACATTGTCCAATTCTCAACAAGGTGTCGTTTCTGGAACAGTACTATTTCCAAAATCCACACGAGCCCGATGAATATCTTCTTTACGCAATATGTGCTGTAGCCACGCAATTTCTATCCATGGAAGACGATCTCGTAACTGGAACGACGGTAAGCCGCGAAACTGTCGTATCAGTTCGAAATAATTTACGAGAAAGAGCAAACAAGATCCTTGAAGTGGTGTACAAACGATCCCAAATATCAACAGTGCAAACGCTTATTCTGCTTTCGATGTTTGTGTCGATGGCTCAAGATGACGACGATGATTCTGTTCACTGGTACGTAGTGAGTAAGGAAACACGTGAAAAGTAAAACAGCAAGCCTCATTAAAACCAATCTATTCTATGCCATAAAAATAGGTTTATTACTGGCACAGTAAGTTATATACAATCGCACGTACCATTGATAGAGAGACTGCGACATTTACTAACCAAAAATATTTTACTAGGCTATTCGTATGGTATGTGCTTATAGAATTCTCAACGAAAATGAAAATGCAAAATATGCTAATCTTATGAAAAGGCACAAGATCTTGGGTTACATCGTAGCTCCACACGGTGGCTATTACCAGAACACGAAATCGAATTACGACGTCGAATATGGTACGCAGTTTACGTCATGGACAAGTGGATTGCAGCAGAGCTTGGAAGGCCAGTTGCGATATTGGACGAAGAGTTCGATGTAGAACTCCCCTCGGTATACGAGATTACATCGATCTATCACTCCGAATTAAGAGATGCCCAGTTACGACACATGAAGCCCGCTCTTTTACTTGATGCCGAGACTGCTTTAAAGGAGAAACGACCCGTTTATGCAGCATTTTTGCACATGATATCGCTGGCACGAACACTTGGTCAAGTACTAGTATCACTGTATTCGCCAAAAATGCAGTATGCTGCACGACGTAACATTTACCTTGTTGACACGCTCAATATGGCACTCACGAGGTGGAAAATGTCCGTCCCACCCGATCTTCAGTGCGAGGATAACAAACCCGATAAGGCATTTCCCAATGGAGGTAAAGTTCTTCAGCGGGGTCATTATAATAGATGGCTGCGTTCGACAATGAGTGGTACCAACTCTTAAATGTTGAAAAATTCATAGGGATGATGCATATCTTCTACAACTGCGTTGTATTACTTCTCCATCGTCCATTTATTATGGATCAAGATTCGGCGAATATTAATCACGCACTACAGTCACTAAGTACATGCACCGCAGCAGCAATCAACATCATTGACACTGTAGAGGCATTGGAGAATATGGGTGTCATCTGTATGCCTTGGTGTATGGTTGGATAGTAAGTTTGCGTAGTATTTAATAATTTGGTAATAGCAATATTAGCAATGGAATCGAAATTAACGGGTAATTTTTCAGTGCGACTTTCCAAGCTGCCATCGTCTTCCTTTTCAATGCTAGGAGCGATAATGCATTTATTCGTCGGCAAGGTGCCAAAAACTTGATGCGTTGTGCATGGGCATACAAAAAGGACGAGTGTATGAGCAGGAGCCGAACTTCTAATGTACTCTGTCAGCTTGCTCGGCGATTCTGCGTACCTATCGTTGCAGAAGAAACAGAATTAACAGCGAATGAGTTGTGTAATGATTACAGCTCTGGCATTGATCGCTCAAGGAAACGTGATTATGAGGGAGACAGCGTTACATCTCGACGTTCAAGTTCTGATAAGCAACCAAGAACAGCACTGGGATTTGGAAACACGAGCGAAGAGGCTATATACTACACCTCGCTTCCACGGGAGATGGGATTTTCTACCAACAGCACCTCTGCATCATCAGAAAATCTCGAAAACAGCGATGCTTCAATACCAAAGAATAGCAGTAGCTCACGATTGCCACTACATGACCATTCTTGTTGCACTCCAGCAAACACGGCGAATACTATTATGGACATGTTTTACCCGACTGAGGAAGGCAGTGCAAAGAATGGTTCAGCGACGTCAGCACAATCGCAACAGCAACCGGGAACAGAGCCTTTGTCGTCGACGACAGCAACGACTGCTGCGCCTAACCACGACAGTTGTAGCTATACTGCTAACGAATCGTTCTCGCAGCAGCCAGAAGGAACACCCCCTCAACAGCCACAGCCCGTTGATAGTGAACAACGGCAACAGCAGTTATCTAATAATATGCCCTCAGCTGTGGGTAATATACAACAAGATATAGATTCTTTGCTTATGGGTCATTCACAGCAACAACCTCATCAGCACCAAAATGGCAGCACAGATACAAGTTTTCCATTTGAGGCACCATCAAGTTCGATATTAAATCAACCGATTGGCTCACAGTTTGACCTTGCTAGTCTAGCGTCAGATGTTCCAATGTGGAACTTGCCTAGTGGTGTCACTTGGAGCGAATGGGACTCACTGTTGAACGATGCGAATGCAGAACAAGTTCATCACCACCACGATCAACAGCAACAACAGCGATAAAATAATAATAGAAAGGACTAATATGTATTCTTTTGTTATACCCTTTTTAACTTGTACATTAAGAAAATAAATAAACAAGAGTGAACAAACAACAAGGCGCGGACAAGCTAAATAACAGTAGACAAAAAGATAAATGAAAGAGAAAGAAAGCAATTACAAAAAAACGGTACATATAGTAGAGATGAATATAAAGGGGTCCAGGAAGCGTCTATCCAGCGAATTCTGCCTCACTGGGTGGTTCAACAAGCTTTAACATCAAAAGATCGCCAACTTCACTAATTTGTTTCAGAGCAAAGTCTATAATAAAGGAAAACAATAACGACGTTAGTAGTAATTCAAATCTCCCTTTCTGTTTTGGAAAGCCCAGCTGCATTTATCATGCAAGGCGAAAAAAACAAGGGGAGAGTGCGTGCAAACTTACCTAGATCTTCGCGGGTATGTGCTGCGGAGACGCAGAATCTAGCTCGTGAGGATATGATGGGCGTAGCCGGGTAACCACCCAAACAGACTGCAATGCCCCGTTCAAGCAAACCTCGGGAGAATGCACTAAAAATGATACATAGCAACACGTCAATGAAATGGCGTTGATGATAGTGGCAATATTAATGGCATCAACTTACGGCATCTTGGCAGGGTTGAACAACAAAAGCGGAATGACTGGACTGCCATGATCGCCATAGACAATGAAGCCCATTTGTCGCAGGCGGGAAGAAAAGTACAACGCGTTTTCAGCGAGCTGCTTGATGCGCTTACGGCCGTCGTCAGAACCATCTTCACCACTAATGAGAGTCAGTTGTTAATCATACAGGTGCCATCAAAAGTGGTTTGGTTCAAGAAAAGTTGGACTTACCAGATGATACGCATTGTCGTCATGACCTGCTGTGCAACAGGTACCGACATGGGCTCCGCATAAACATAGGCATGGTTCTTGAGTCGCAAGTGGTCAATGACACTCTTATCAGCAGCAATGTAACCGCCAGCAGCGCCAAACGATTTAGTAAAGGTTCCCATCATGATATCGACGTTGGCAGGGTCGACGCCGAAAAAGTCGCAGATACCGCCACCGTTTTCGCCTAATGCACCAATGGAATGTGCTTCGTCAACATACAAGTAGAACTAAAACAAGTTGGGAAATGTGTAACACAAATAAGTCAGTGTTTTGTGCTTGATATATGTGGAAATATCATGCTCTCGTATCCCACAAAGGCCCTAAATAATTTACCCCAAACTCTTTTTTGAGTTCCACAAGACCGGGCAGGTTAACCATAGTGCCTTCCATAGAGTAGAGGCCTTCGACGATAACAAGGATCTTTTTCCAGGGGCGATGCGTGCGTGGCTGCCCTTGCGAGATAACCTCACGAAGGAGTTCACGGAGGTCATCCATGTTGTTATGCTTAAAGACGCGGACGGATGCACCTGATAGTCGTACTCCGAAAACAATCGAGGCGTGGTTTAATTCATCCGATATGACAAGGCATCCCTTGATGATGGAATGGGGTTGGCATTGTGGGTCAGTGAGTTTGATTTTTTTCACATAAAGTTACAGGATCAAGAGTAACGATTCATTAAAAGTGGGTACCTTATCAACGATAGCAGGAATTGTGGTCGAGTTGGTAGCAAAGCCCATGCTGACACACATGGCATCTTCTTTGCCAACAAATCGTGCAACCATGCGTTCAACTTCGCCAAGCAAATGAGTTGATCCTGCTTCAGCACGAACGCTCGTAGATGCCAAGCCATATTGATTAGCAGCCTTTTCGACAGCATCAGCGCAAGGGCCTTTGTTGTCTGAGAAACCCAGGTAGTTGTAACTTGCTAGATTAAGCTTGTTCGACTTTTCGCCAGTCAGGCTATAAAAGTTGTTGTTCTTTGTTTACTACTTTGTGTTCTCTGCCTCCAATTTTGTGTAGTTGGTCATACCTAAAAGTTCTATGAAAGTCTTTGCTCACGCGCTCGAGAATGTTGATGGTTCGGCCTGCCACACCGGTGACGGGTCGGTTCCAGCAATCACTACATGGATTTTTTTTATTCAGGTCGTGTTTTAGTCGTTTCAATTCAATTCGCTGGTCTATGAGAGCAGGACATGCGAACGAACAAAAGAATTAAAGGGCTCTTGTATTACCGAATACGCATGTAAAGACGTCGAGTGTAGAATGAATCGAAATCTGATACCAAAGGCGCGTAACCCTAGCAATACATATAACGTGTGTGTGTTATAAAATTGTGTCAAAATTGAAACACGGTCCCATGATATACATGAGGGGAGCCTTTTTCTGACTTGTCAAAAAGGAATATGTATATAATAATTACATTGCTTGTCTTAAGGTGGGCATAAGCTTGAGGTTTAGCCACTTTGCCAAGGATATCGCGCAAGTGGCCAAACAGAATAAGCACAAAGTAGTTCAAGTATGTCAGAACCAAGACATACAAGGGGGCAGCATCCATCTTGTGCTCAAGATCGTCGTACTTCATTTTAGGTTTTCGTGGCGGTGTCCATCTCTTTGGAGCTGTTTGCTGATGCTGCTGAACGAGAGTGGAAGTCGACGAATGCAAGAGCCGAGAAGACACATCAAGGTGATGACTCTTTTGAAGAAACGACGGTGGCGAAACGCTGAACGAATGATCAGACGACGATTTCGGGGTCGTCAGATTGATACTGGGAATACTGATCGTATGCGCCCTTTTTCCTTTGCCCATATTGGTTGTTGCTGTTGGTTGCTGCTGCTGCCCCTAGTAAATAAAGAGAAACTAGAAAGAAGAGGGAAAGATTCGACAGTTTGTCGTGCGTTCGAGTGTTATTTGTTTCCGCGCCCCGCCCGTCTGTTGGCCGATAGGGATGGTGGGTGTGTCTGTAAGTGTTTTATGTGTCACGAAGGCCGGCCGGAAAGATTATTTGCCTGGCTCTTCCTAAGCCCTGGGCTACAAGTACTCCTCTATGCATAGTGACAGTCGGATGCTGCATGCCTCTCCGGCACCTCCAAACTGTGATAATACTGCTCTCCACTGCTCTCCAGACCATCATTCAAACCAGATGAATCGCCTTTGTTCGCCTTCAACTCATGCTCCTTTACTGGTAAAAACTAACGCCAATCGTTTCGCTTTTTTTGTTGTCATGCCATCGGACTCGTTTTGAAGGTAGCACAAGCAATGTTCGAGATGCATGTTTACGGTCGGTTGCCAAGCGTATGACACAAATTACTATGGGAACGCCGAGTACCGTGTTTCTATTATGCCATTTTATCGGGTTTCTTTTTTACCTTCAAGGGTTTGTAATATGTAAAAGTTATCTTATTCGGGTTAAGGTTGAAACGAGACAATTTCATTGGCTGCTGAAATTTTGTATCGCAGACAGTAAAAAGCGTACGCCTGAGTTCCGCTCAGTGCAAGAGCCGGCATATATACAGCAGACACATAAAAACGCGAGTTTGGGAATGTCCAGTCCCAATATTATCAAATCGATACTTAAGTCCAACAATGGGCATCTCAAAAAGAGTAGCTTTGATGAAGAGTATGCATTTCCACGACATCATTTGCCGCAAGTCATGAAAGGTTTCCTTTTCTTTCTGTTTTCATATTTTTAAATCAAAGCGAAGAGAGGAATGATCGCTTGACGCACTTTTTTATTATTGTACCAATTATACTTGGTAGATGACAGCAAAACCCCACTCGTCCTTGTTGCGTGCGGCTCATATTCTCCCATTACTTATTTACATTTGCGCATGTTTGGTATGTCTTTTTATGTTTTATCTTAGATATAAAGCAAAACTAGGAAACCTCAAAGTTAGTTAACTTTCAGATACATATGCCTGAAAAACCAAAGAAATGGCCAAGGATCGTTTCAGAGAGAAACAGGACTTTGAGCTTATTGCTGGTTATTATTCACCGGTGTCGGATGCATATATGAAAGAAGGATTGGTCGAGGCAAAGCATCGTGTAAAAATATGCCAGCTTGCAGTGGAATCAACGTCCGATTGGCTTATGGTTGATTCTTGGGAATCGCGTCAGGAACAATATCAGCGAACTGCCCTTGTTTTGGATCATTTTGACCACGAATTGAATGATATTGGGGGAGGCATTAAAACATCTACTGGTAAGGAAAAGTACGCATAAGATTCAACGGGAAGTTTTAACGACAGATATTCAAATTGTTTTAGGCGAAAGGAAGAAGATTAAAATTATGTTACTGGCAGGCGGTGACCTGATCTCGTCGTTTGGTCATCCAGGCGTCTGGTCCCCTGAAGACGTAGGTGTTTTTTTCTCTCAAAGTGAAAAGTAAGATCTGTTACTAAAGTAGTATACCTTACATCAGTTGCATCACATCGTGGGTCTCTACGGATGTGTGATTATTGAAAGGTATGTTTTGGCAACTCGCTTAATACATATCATCTACAATATCTTACTATAAATAATATATAGAACGGGAACCGATGTGTACGGCTTCTTACTATCACATGACGTTTTGTACGAGCATCGAGTAAGGATTTTAAAAAAACATCGACCTTTTATATCAGATATAAGATAACCTGGTTTAAATTGAATGTAGATGAATATATCGGTTATTAAGCAGCTTATTCACAATGACATTAGCTCTACAAAAGTCCGGTACGTTGTTGTTAATTTATACTTTGGCGTTACTATTAACATTCCTGGGTTCCCTTGTTCCTGATTTCATTTTCGCTGTATATTTTGTATCTAGATTATTCGTGAAACGTGGCATGTCTATCAAATACTTGCTGCCAAACCCTGTGATTGACTACATTTACAAGCACGGGCTGTACAAAGCACAATCTGATACTTTATGAACCTAAATGTATACATAAACACGCACCCTTACCCCGCGTTCTCCCTTACACATTCAATATTTCTTACTTAGATCCATGTCGTACCATATATTTTGTTTGTTTATATAAAGCATGCCCTGATTATCAAGTCCATAGCAGCCACGGATAAGGTAGTATAAAAATGGAGTGGTATAGATTTACCCACCGGCTTTTATTCGGGTAAAGCAAGTAGAGCTACTAACATATCTCGCGAGCCGATCCAAACCAGCAGCAAAAGCAGTACACAGTAACTTTTGTAATATATGTATAAATGTTCCCATCCAGGCAGTAACACTCCTCCTTCCCTTCATTCTGCATCATCCATTATCGTCGTGTAAGAAGAAAAAAGACCAAACCCCACAGTAGAATGTTGTTGTTGTTGTTGCGTCTAGCCGAGATAATGGGCAATAGCCCACAATGCCAGTAACGTGATCGCCAAGCCAACGAAAAAGATCCACTTGTCCTGCGCTGTGCGCCGTTCAATATACCGAATGACATTCTTGGACAAGCCGAGAGTATTTGCTGTATCCAATAGCTTTCTCTGTGTCTTTTTCAAGATCCCGTGCTGGTCCGTCAGATTCTCTAATAAGTTTTGTGCCTGGCCAATATAACTATCCAGTTGCGCGTCCGTCGAATCAACAAATGATGCCTCCCGCATTGCAAAGGCTGACCTGGATTCGTCCATGGGTTGATATGGATTGTCTGTTGCTGTACTACGAGCACCGCCTCCACCTCTTCGGGCAAGTAAACTTTCGCGGTTTTGCTCGTGTTGTTGGTTTTCTTGTTGCCTTTTAATAGATTCAAATTGTGCTCTCATGTCTTGCAAATCTCGGCGAAATTTGGTAACGCGTGTTAACGCCGTCTCTTTTCTTACTGCAACATCTTCTCGTTTGGCGAGATTGACATAGTCATCTATCGATCGCTGTAACGTGCTAAACGACGCTGATATTTGTCCTTGCAATCCAGCCGAGGAATCTTGCCCAGAAGCGAATTTGTCTAGATCACGCTGAAGCGCTACTGATTGTTTGAGTGCGTGGTTATATAATGAGTTCATTGCGTAGAACGCATAAAATAGGAGTGGAGGAGCGTAAAAACAAGAGGAGGAGATGTTTAACCGAAGAAAAAAATAAGGCGAGAGTGCCCGACGGTGCGTGGCGACGATGAATGTCAGTTTAATCAAATGGCGGCAAACGGCAGAACCTAAAAACCGAGAGAGTTTGAGTACTTTGATAATACAGCAACTTGTTTTATTAATTTTTTTTCTTTGCTTTCCTCTTTCTTTTTTCCACATGAGCTCACATGCCGCTTCATTCCAAGATATCCAAGATAAAACGACGGTAGCACAGAGATTTACAGCACCAACGCAGGAGCAACTGCAACCTCGACTTCCTACGATTCTTCCTTTGCCATACGTCAATCCCAACAATACCACAGTCGATATTCCTCGACAGAAACGCAGTAAAGCGAAACGAAGCTGCGATCTCTGTCGAAAGCGCCGAATCCGGTGCAATGCAGATACAGTGCAACCCTGCCATGGCTGCAAAAGCGTCGGTGCCGACTGTTACTTTCGCACTGACGAACAAAAACAAACCCAGGCTCCTATTGAATCGTTCGAAGATCGAGTATCTCGTCTAGAAAACCTCATCCAAGGGGTTCAGAGGGTACGCAGGTCACAATCCCAGAGCTTGTTACAGCTGCATCAGCAACAACAGCAGGAACAGCGAAATAAAGATGATAAACATGAACACTGTCAAATCAGCAATACAGCTACCAAAGCTACTAGTGACAGCAGTAAATCAACGGTCGAAAAAGAACACTCCCATTCGCTTGTGGCTGCCCTTTGTGGAGTCAAAGATTTAATTCCACTTGATCCGACGGCAGAAATGATAGAGCACATGAGCTTACTACAATTAAGCAACTACGAGCAAACACGATACATTGGCAGCAGTTCCGGCATCCATATGCTTAACCAAAGCATCTTCAACGATAACGCGGCACACCGGATTGTATACGACAATTGTTCGGCTGCATCATGGATTACTCAAAAAGTGAACCATGAAAGTAACGAGCATGTCTTTATCAAGGCAGAGGAGTTGCGACAAAGCGCGCCACGGATACCAAAAAGATTGACTCTCCTCAAAGACATCCCGCATTTGACAGACGAGCTTGTTGAACTCATGGTGCACTCGTAAGATGCCTTTTACCAAAATTAGCAGAAAGCGCTACTTTATGGGAACTCAACTCGCATTTCTTCCTTGGTTCTTATTTGTATACATGCCATTAGCTACTTTGTGTACGTCCAACCAAACATACCCATTCTCAACAAACTCTCGTTCCTGGAGCAGTACTATTTTCAAAACCCACACCCGCCAGATCAGTATCTGCTTGGTGCTGTATGCGTAGTAGCAACCGACTTTTTGCATTTTCAAGATGATTATGTCGTCGGCACCAACTTTGATCGAAAAACAATCGCCATTATCAAGCAAGCCTTGCGGGACAAAGTCATGAAGATTATGGAGGTTGTGTATAGGCGTAGTCGAATTAGTACGCTTCAAACTTTGGTACTGCTGGCACATTTTGTTACCATGTGTGACGAAAATGAAGAAGAAGATGATTCTATCCATTGGTACGGCTTTTAAACAGTAGTTCTCTTCTCGAGTTATCGATATGTTGCTAACCCTATTTTTTAATATGAAAATAATAGGATTATTACTGGAACGGTAAGAGGAACTCTTCCTGCTTAATATAATTTTTTCCTTCGATACAAATAATACTAACAACGATATTGGGTAACGCGGTCGGCAATAAAAGGCAATTCGCATGGTATGTCTATCACATAACTTCACTTCCTTGCTCAAATGGCTCTTATCTTTCGGATGCATTGTTTAACATATACATATATACAGGCCCAAGATCTTGGCTTACACAGGAGTAGTAGTAACTGGAATTTGCCAGAAAGAGAGATCGAACATCGACGACGACTATGGTATTGCCTATACGTGCTCGATAAGTGGGTAGCTGCAGCACTCGGCCGACCCGTCGCCATCGCTGACGAAGAATTTGACGTTGAGCTTCCTTCTCCTTATGAAATCGACTCGGCTTACCATTCAGTGATTGCTAAAGAATGCGAACTGAAAGGCCCCGTTCTAATCGCTCAGGCTGAAGCATGCATACGAGAGAGACGAAACGAATATGCACCTTTTTTGAGCATGATCACGCTTTCTTGTATTCTACGGCGAGTGCTAGTGCAACTCTATTCCCCGAAAGCGCATAACGCATCTGATGAACGGAGTATGGAAGAGGTTGTCGACACCCTGGACATGCAGCTCCACGCATGGCGACTCAACCTTCCTTCGGAACTCCAGTTCAACCTTCGTGAGGCTCTTCAACCAAATGGTGCTGGCGGTAAGTATAGTGTAGTCGTTTGTTTGCACGACCTTCTTGCATGTAACAAGGGTGTTACTAACACATTGAATCAATGCGTGTTTTCTTCTCCTGTAGTTGTCCTTTATATTTTCTACAACTGCGTCATGATCCTCTTACATCGACCATTTATTGCAGGCCCAGACGTTAATGAAAATAGCATGCATTCACTGCGGTCACAAAGCTCATGTACGACTGCGGCTCTCAATATTATTGATGCTACAGAAACGTTGGTCAGTTGTGGGGCCCCATGCCTTCCCCGAAGTTTCTTGGGATAGTAAGTGAAACTAAAGAAGCTTTGGGATACGATTTATTGTTATATATATTGAATGCCTTTGACTTATGCCTTCTTAGCTCTGTTTTTCAAGCAGGCATCATTTTCATTTTGAATGCAGGCAGTGAAGACGAAAGTGTTCGCCGACATGGTTGTAGAAACCTAGCGCGATGTGCAGCTGTCTATTCATCCAATGGTATGCGTTTCCGAGTTGCACGCATCCTCAACCAACTTTCAAAACGGTACACGGATGATGCCACTGCGACCAAGACTGTTATGCATATAACTGCAAAGGGAGAGGATATCAAGAATGATCCAAGGACGATGACCACGACTGTTACTTCTTCAACTGCTGCAAAACAGAGTGATAAGAAACATAATCAAACGGTCACCGTTCCTATGCTGAGCAGTACGAGCGCTGAAGCATTTTTTGTCAGCTCCTTGCCCCGCGAAATTGCCATGTTCAACAAGTTACCGGATAATAATGGTTTACCAAGGCCGTTGTTTCAGGAATTGACTGTGAACGTCAGTCCGCCTGGACCATTAGCAGAAGTTGCTTATGTGAGCGCCAGCAGCAAGCCGACTCTTATGTGTTTTTCCAATGACACAAATCCTATGGGTGCACCACCACCACCACCACCACCACAACAACAACAACAACCGTCATTAAACGAAATGCCCTATATGGTAAAGTCGAGCAGCAATGATGTTGCGTATGGTCTTTCTGGGCATCATCATCTCAATCAACATCATCCATTGAACAGCAGCATGACAACACATATGGCGGACATGACCAGCACATCAAGCGGCATGGCTATAGACGACGTTTTTAGACAGCAACAGGCGGCCATGTCTTCAGCAATCGACCTGTTGCCTATTCAAAACCTTCCTGTCGGGACCTATTGGACCCAAGAAGAATGGGATGCTTTCCTTGAAGAAATTGGATACCAAAGGCCGCTTTGATCATCATCAAAGGCGTGTCTGGAAGTATTCTTGTACCATACACTGTATTATTGCTTTTACCAACCAAGTATTTTGTCTCAACGTTTGCATTTTTTTTTGTTTTTCCTGTACAGCTTCAACACTATTAAACTTTTTCGTTTTCGATATCGCTACATTACTCCTACATCAGTTCTGTAATAGAAGTTTGGCTTGTACCGCACATGAGCTTTACAGCATCGAAACTTCTTCAAGTATCATTCTACTTGACCAGGCATCCTTATTTGAATCTCTCTTAGATTGCTGTATCATTTACAGTACATACATGAAAGTCCAACAACTTCAGAGCTCATATGCAAAGACAGATCAAGTGGCCATGTACCATTATTTCTACTTTCACAATACTTCAAGCGATGTTTGTTCCTGGTTTATGCTAAATTTGGGAGCTCACAGGTTCAAAGAAGCAGGGCCAATCATGCCGCTTCGCTACCATATCCTAGGTTCTGAATAAAGAAAAGTACGTCACGGTTGCCCCGTTTTGAGTCGGAGCAGGTTGGACTTTCATCAGGCCTCCACTGGTCTTTCCCATTTTCCCTTTTCTCTTTAACTTTCACCATCTCTATACCCAGGCCCAAAACCCCGCATACACAATGAAAGAAGCTCTGGCAAACGCAAATTTCCCACAGGATGCTGACGGACGAGTATACCATATCAACGTTAAGCAGGGTGAAGTGGCGAACCGTATCCTAACTGTCGGTGATCACGTACGAGCTCGAGCTATAGCCAGATGGTTGGATAGCGACGAGGAGGCCGGCCATCCAACTTTCATCCACACCAGTCAACGTGGTTTCCTGACTATTACAGGACGATACAAAGGAGTTCCTATCACCATCCTTGCGATGTAAGCTTCTTTTTTTCCCTTGCTGTACAGGAGGGACACAAACGATTGACTGATTGACATGCTGCGTAGTGGCATGGGAAGTCCAATGATGGATTTCTTTATCCGTGAAACCCGTGCCGTTGTTTCAGGCACCATGGCCGTCATCCGCTTCGGCTCATGTGGCTCATGGACCGAACGTGCAAAACTCGGCTCTGTGATTGTCCCTCGCGCCGGCTTTTGCATTCGTCGCAACCTAGACTATTTCAGCGATCACCCCATCTATCCAGAGCTGGCAAAGTCAACGCCCTATCTTGTTTCGGGCACCTTTGATGCCGATGCCGAAATGACCGACCAGTTGGCAGGCAATTTGAAATCGGTGCTCGGCAAGCTACAGGAAGAAACAGACGGCGCAGTCGGTCCTGTCGTCACTGGGGGCCTCAATTGTGATGGCTGTTCGTTCTATTCTTCTCAGGGACGTCAGGACCCTGCATTCTGGGATGACAACAAGGACCTTATTGAACACGTCATGAAGGTGCATCCAGAGACGGATTGTTCGGAAATGGAAACGAGTATGTTGTTCCACCTCGCCAAGTGCTCGGTTCAACAAAAGATCAAGGCTGCTGGATGCATGCAAGTGTTTGCAGACCGTGTGGGTAATGGCTTTATCCGTCCAGAGGTGGTCACTGTGTTAGAACCGGCTGTCGGCAAAGCAGTGCTGGATACACTGGTTTCAACGAAAATTGAGGATGAAATGGATCCGGTTGGCACTGTGTGGGAATGTGTCAACAAGCCATCCGTTTAATCTTTCCACACTTCACCTCGCACACGCTCAAGACTATCCTCAAACCATTTAATAAATTATTCTATATACCTTGGCATTTAATTTGTCTATTTTTAACAAACATTGCTTGAACTGCTGTTGTGTTTTCTCGAACTTTGGTTGTCTCTGTTGCACAATGTACTTTGGAAATACTGTCTATTATCGCGGTAGACAATCGAACTAAAATAACTGCGTGGTAGAACCAACTGTTCATGTCAACTCGATTTTATCTCTGCGGAATAAATTGCCATATCGAGCATCAGCGGCAATCGTGTTACACGCATGTAAGAGTCCGGTGATAACAACTGACTTTATTATATTGAGTAAGAGATATTCATATATATGGGAATAGGGGGTAGTGACTTGTATCTGTTACACAGCTCCCCCTCTGCAAAAAAAAGATACTGCTATGATAAAACGAAATATTATAAGTATAAAGAAGAAAAGAAAAAGCTAAACTAAGTGAAATTCATGTTTGTTGGTATTGATAAAGCTGATCTTGATTTGCTTTGGTGGTTTTTGTTCTGCCTTTGATTTGACTTTTGATTGTAAAGCTGGTTCCGGCGTCATTGTTCACTTTCGTGATTGTCCAAGGCCCCGAAAACTTTGGATTGGGAAATTTCCAAGTTTCCTTTGCCTTTAGTCGCATTACTTGATCACCAGTGTTAAATTTCGGTCTTTCTTGTCTGCCGCGATCATAGTAACGTTTCTGCCGTTCTTGGGCTTTTTGGATATTGTTGTGTACTTTCTTGTGCAGGATTGGAAGATAATGATTGAGATATGCGATCCAAGTTTCGGTTGTGTGTGTTTTCATTGCTGGTAAGTGTAAATCAGCTGCGGATGGAAGTATTGCTGTACGGCCGAACATGATTTCAAAAGCGGATTTGCCGGTTGATGCTTGTTTGCTTGTGTTCACTCCAAATGTGACAAATGGTAAGTATTCGTCCCATGTTGCCGGGTTGTGTTCTGCATATATAGCCAAGGCTCCTTTTATAGTTCGATTTTGACGTTCGCATAGTCCGTCACCTTGTGGTCTTTCCACACTTGTTGTTGACCTGGATATTCCCAATCGTTTACAGACAGCTTGCATCGCATCCGAGATGAAATTACTGCCGTTATCCGTGATCCACTTTTTCATCATTCCGAATTTTAGTATTACTTGGAAGAGTAGTACTTGTGCTATTGTGTTGGAATCGAAGCTGGGAAGTGCCGCGGTGACGACCCACTTTGTCATGTATTCTACAAAGACAAGCAAGTATCGATTGTTGCTGTTTGTTGTCGGCAATACTGCAATATCTGCAGCCCAGACTTCACAAGGTTCACCGACCTGTATGCTCGTCATTTTTCCGTACTTGTGTGTTGGTGTCTTATGCTGTTGGCAGGCTGGACAAGCTTTGATGGCGTTGCTGATGTCGTTTTTCCTTGATTGCCACCATGCTAGTTGATATGCTTTGTCCAAGGTCTTGTCTCGCCCCATGTGAGCTGCTGTTTGGTGTGTATGAATTGAATTGAAAAAACGTTGTCGCAAGGTTTTCGGCATGACTGCGACTGGGCTCGCTTTGTTGATGCAATATAAGCCGTGGTGCCAGAAAAAACGTTCATCGTTGTTTTTTATATATTTGTGGATTTCGTCGTCGTCGCGTTGATGATGCAATAATTCGTCGTATGTTATTGCTGATGCATTTCCGTCGTTGTTGTTTTGTTGTTCGTTGCACGATCTGCTCAATGCGTCTGCGTCGACGTTGTCCACTCCTTTTCGATGAACAATTACAAAGGTATAGCTTTGAACAGCCATCACCCAGCGTGCAATCCTGCCTTTAGGATTCTTGCTGCCTAGGATTGCTTTCGCTGCGTATGCATCGCTGTAAATCGTTAAAGAGGAACAACCATGTACATAGCAATGGAAGTGTAGCAAGCTCCATACTATACACATCACCTCTTTTTCTACAGCACTATAGTGTTTCTCGGCTGCTGACAGTGTCTTGCTAGCGTATGCCACTGGTCGATATCCTTGAACGAGGACGGATCCCAAGGCAAAATCACTTGCATCTGTGTGCATCTCGTACGGCAGGCTTGGATCCGGGTAGGCAAGGGTGGGAAGTTCCATCAGTCGTTTCTTGAGCGTTGTGAATGCTTCTTCTTGCTCAGTACCCCATTGCCATTCCACGTTCTTGCGTAGTAATCGGTATAACGGTGCTGCGACATGTGCTAGATTTGCAAAAAAGCGATGGTAGAAGACACATGTTCCTAGTAGTCGCTCCAATTCCTTAGTATTCTTTGGCTGGCTCCAGTTCTTGATTGCTTCCACCTTGGCTGGATCTGACTTGATGCCTTCTGCCGATACAATGAACCCGAGGAATTTGACCGCTGATTTTGCCCACGAGCATTTCGTAAGACCAATCTTGAGTGATGCCTTTGTCATGATATCCAGAACCGTTAGTACATGTTCCCAATGTTGTTGCTCTGTCTCTGATGCAATGAGGACATCATCGATGTACAAATGGCAAAAGGATAAATGGCCAAGCAAATGAGACATAAAACGAGAAAAACTCGCTACACCATTGGTCACTCCAAAGGGTAAAACGAGGAACCTCCATAGCTTCTGCCCATCAGAGAAGCATGTCTTGTATGAGTCCTTTGGATCCATGGGTATCTGCCAGTATCCGGATTTCAAATCAATCAGGCTGAATAGCTTTTTTCCGGCGAGTTTGTCGAGGAGAGAGTCGATTGGTTCAAGAGGAAATTTGTCTTTCTCAGTGACAGCATTGAGTTTTTTGTAGTTCACGCAAAATCGTAGGCTGCCGTCCGGTTTTGGTACCAGTACTGGTTGTGAAACCCACAGGCTGGTACATTCGACAATAACACCACGCTCATGCATCTTCTGTACTTCTGCTGCTAGTGCTGCCTTTTCTGCTGGGGACCGTCGAAAATTTGGGGTGTATACAGGTGCTGCATCACCAGTATTGATGTGGTGATATATTGGCACTGATGTGATCGTTTGCTTTTCTGTATCATTGTATAGTGCTGGATGTTGTTGCAAAAATTCTCGCACTGGTTTTGGAACGGTTGCCGAGATTGTTGTTGCTGCATTGCTGTTACTAATGAAAGCCACGTCTTTCTTTGGAATGATTGTGCGGTTATTCGGATCCAGCAAAATGTTCAACCCCACCAGCCAATCCATACCCAATATCACCTTTGTATTTTGTTTTGGCACAATGCGTAATGCAATTGGGTATTGCTGTCCGTTCATTTCCAATGTTGAGATCGTTTGTTTGTCGGATAAAGATCGGGATTTGTTGCCATATTGAATATATAATAGTGATGCCGTTATTGTCGATAGTTGAGCTTGTTGTACTGTTGCTTCGTCAATTGTTGTCACTTCTGAACCGGTATCCACCAAGGCTTGAATTTCTGCGGCGCCAATATTGATGTTTACTGTGAAGCGTAAGGATGACCGATTCTCGTCGTCTGTTTGCACTGATTGTTTCACAGGAATACCATTGATTTTTTGTTGGGAGTTTTGTTGCAGGTAATCGAATAATGGTGTGCCAAAAGAATCGTCGTCCATGCTGTTGTTGCTGTCGCCTTTTTGCTGTACTAAGGTTGCTGACTCCTGGTTTGCTGTTTGCTGACTGTTGCTTTTTCTTGACCAACAGTCTCTCGCTTTGTGGCCATATTTGTTGCAGTTGTTGCAGGTACCATTGAATTTTTTCTTATTGAACTGTTTTTTCTTGTTGAATGGTTTCTTGTTGTTGTGATTATGGTACTGTCGTCGTTGACTGTTCGAATCGATTTCCATTGCTGTCGGGCCGTCGTTTGTTAAAGTTGAAGTTGTCGTTGGTTGCTGCAATGTTGGTGTTGTTAACAATGGTGCTCTGCTGTTGTTTTGTCGATGACCTTTTTGGGCTTTTACTGTTTCATCGGTGCGTTCCAAATATATCGCATATCTGATCGCTTTGTCGAGGGTTTCCGGTTTATAACGTGAGACTTCGCGTGCTACATCTTCTCTTGCATGAATAGAGAAAAAGTAGAGCTTCAAATTCTCGTCCATGCGAGGATCAATGCGTCCCAATGCCAACTTGAGTCTGGCTCCGAATGAAACCATACTTTCAGGTCCTTGTTTCATCTTGGGTAGATCTGACAATGCTACTACTGCTGCCTCTTGGCCACCGCCAAAATATTCTGTGAATGCTTTTTTGATCTGGTTGATATCGTTTCTGGCATCGTCGCTTAATCCATCCCACCAATCAACAGCGTTGTCTCTCATTGAGATCATGAATTCTTTGCAGCTTTCGTCGTCAGACCAGTCGTAATACTGAACTGCTTTTTCAAATGATGATATCCATGTGTGTGGATTTTCTGTTGGTAGCCCACGATACGGTTGTAAATCCAAATACCGTGTCTTTTTCCTTTTTACTGTCGTTTCGTTCTGTCTGACTACCCATGCAAGGTTTCCTTCAGGGGGCTCATCATCTCCTGAATCTCCTTGCTCACTTCCCGTTGCCCATTCTTCGTTTCTTTCACCAGATGAATCGGATCTAATGGTCTTGACTGTTCTTCTCGGTTGTTGTTGCTGCGATGCTACTGACACACTTTCCATTGATGAATGTTGGGTTGGTGTTGTGGCTCGTTGCCTTTGATGCTGTTGATGTTGCTGCATGGCCAAAGTCAAACTGTTCATTGCAGCGATTAGGGGTGCATCATCGCGTGCTGCACTTGATTCTCTTTGAGATGATGACTCCCATCTCCCTAACTGCTGCTGTTCCTGAAGTTGTTCTAAGAGCTCGTGGTGTGATCGTTCTCGACGGTGCTCACGATCTTCTTGACTTTGGAGGAATGCCGTGAACTGTTGAGATATTGTCGATGCCATGTCTGGTGTTTGTTGTGGGCGTAATTGCTCATACATTTGATGCATATTACGGGTTAGTTGTTGCAGTTCGTCTTGGTGCTGTCTATTGAGGCTGTTGATTTGCTCTTGCAGTTCCGCCTCTCGCTGCCGCTGCCATTCTAGCATTTCTTGCTGTTGTCTTGCTGATGTTTGCTGTTGTTCTTGTATGATAAGTGCTCGCATACGTTCGATTTCCGGATGGAGTGTTGTTGGCATCTGTTGTTGTTGAATCGAACGGAGTTGTTCGTCACCGAACTGCTGGTCACCTTGCTGTTCTATTGTTCTAGGTGCTGTCTGTTGCTGATGATACTGTGGGAATGCTGCCGGGATCTGCTGCTCTAGTGCCCACGGATTGCCGTGAGGTACGTTGTCAGGCTGTTGATTGTTTGGGTCTGAAGATTGAGGATTATTTTGATCCATTGTTAAAAGTTATGCTTCTCCACCAAATGTAAGAGTCCGGTGATAACAACTGACTTTATTATATTGAGTAAGAGATATTCATATATATGGGAATAGGGGGTAGTGACTTGTATCTGTTACAACGCACACACGCCGTTCCGTTACACGACCCGGCATAACAAGGTCAGAAGTGACATTTCAGAATGATAAGACGCTTGCAAGTCATGACCTAAGCTATTTTTTGATATCAGTTATGTCAAGATATATACATATATTTACTAAATAAAATACTATTGTAATAGCTACAACTACAAACCAGATATATCCATTTGTTCCCTTTATCCACCATTTACTCTAGATGTAAACAGTATGACACGCTGTGTATGCAGTCAGACCGCGCTTTTTACAAGCTTAGAGATTTGATGCTATTCTCATCAATGTGTACTATATCTATTACTAGATCATCAATTCATTTAGACGTTTGTTATATACTGCATACTTTTCTTTGATGTCGATTAGACAATTTCTGTATGCATTGTAGAGATACTGCTACGATGTAAATGTGACTGACAAGAAATAGCAGGTAGTAAACGAGAGATAGTTTATTACTTCCACTCTCTATCCTGCATCCATTTCGATCAGTCTTGCTTCTGTGTGCTAGGAGTTCCTGCTTTTTTGGTATAAAAATTGAAGAAAAAAGATCGAGTGAGGAGAAAAAAATCTTAAAGGACGACGGGCCGAACACTTTTTTAAGTGGGCTCCATGTGTAAGCACGCATTATAGTGCCCCACCACCGCCATGTATCCTCCATTCCCTGCATATCACCCATCAACTCCATGTATCTTATAATACCAGTATCAGACAAAATTTAGCACAAAAACATGCACATCATCATTGTCGCCAAGAAAGTTATGTAGTAAATCGTCTACGCAGACCTCGAAATATGATGATACTGTTTTTTCCGTAGGCTCTTTTATTCATGCCTGAATTTCTTTTTGCCTTAGCATAAAACATCGTAGCACATAGTCAGCTGTTTATCTTATTTTCCACGGTTGCAACATCACCAACTATATAAATCACTCCCCACCACTTTACTACTACTCTTTCTGACGTTGTTGTATACATTATGTCAAGACATCCGTAACACATTTTCATATAGTCATGCAATTGTCGCAATATGGGCAGCTTGTTTGCTTACTTTTTCCAGTACCGCTATTCATGAACAAAAAGATACTCCGAATTTTTTTTGGTTGTGACGTCGTCCCGCCAACAGATTTTGGAGGGATTGCTGCCCAGGCAAACAAAAGTTCTTTGGACAGACTATATTACTGCAAATTAACTCCCCCCTCTCTCTCTCTCTCTCCACCTATCTCCCTTCTCTTTTCTGAAATAGTCTGCCAACCATGCTTGCCACCGCTCTTTTGAGACGTAAGAAAACGAACCAGAAAAAAAGAACGATTAGACTACAACAACCGTTATGATTGTTACATACACAGCCCCCCCAAAAAAAAACTTGTTACTCATTGTATATATTATACACGCCGTTGTGTATATAACTAAACAACAGAGGCTGGTCGTCGTGAGGCCACCAAAGCCGCCTCCGTGGTCCAACTTGTAAGCACCTTTGATAAATATTACGTCGACGCGTTCTATTCGACACTATTAACACAATCTATTTAATTGAAACAAAAAAAACCACGTATACATTAGCGTTCGATTCACGATTTGACGTTCCGCAAGAAGACCGGCCAAACCATGCTCAAGTATGGTCGCGGTGGTCGGTAAGTAGGACACTGGCAAATTTGGTTATTTGCTCTAATCACATGAGAAGCGCGTTGGTTTTACTCATAATACCTGTACCGATTCTGTTTGAAATCACGAAATTAACGACGACGACAACAACAGTTCCAGCACCAACGGGCACATTGCTACTGTTTTCGGCTGTACCGGTTTCCTCGCCCGTTACGTTGTTCAGAAGCTCGGTAAAGTGTCCTGTTTTATTTTTATTCGGCCAACAGACGCGGATGTATAATATTGAAAAACCAACACGTACACATGAAAATATTATAGCAAGACAAGGTACTCAAGTCGTTGTTGCCTACCGTGATCCCGATGAGGCCCGTCACTTGAAGGTCACTGGTGATCTTGGTCAAATTATTCCTTTGGTAAGCTTATTACGACTGTGTAAAAAAAAGTGGTCATTGTTCTCCGGGTCTATGTATATTGAACCTTGTATGTGCATATTTCGACATTAGGAATTCGACTTGAGAAACCGTGAGCAAATCATGGAATGTGTTCGTCACTCTGATATTGTCTACAACCTTGTGGGACGTGATTATGAAACAAAGTAAATTATCAGCCTTTTTAAGATTTTTGGGAATGGATCAAGGAAAGAAAAAAGCGAGCGAGAGGAAACAAAGTAAAGGGGGACATTTGCAAAGAACTAAATGATTGGTAATTTAGGAACTTTACCTTCAATGACGTTCACGTGGAGGGCTCGCGTCTTATTGCTGAGGCATCTGCTGAAGCTGGTGTTGCCCGTTTCGTTCAGGTCTCCTCATTGAACGCTTCGGAAGACTCGACCTCGGCTTTCTTGCGCACCAAGGTTTGTTACATGTACACATAGCGTTCAAGTATATACACCTTTTTTTTTATTGACACGACCATGTACTTTCTTAGTACTTGGGTGAACAAGCTGTCCGTGAAGTGTTCCCTGATGCTACCATTGCACGACCCGGTACCATGTATGGTCACGAGGACCGATTCTTGAACAGAATTGGCGGTAAGTTCTCCAAAAGAGAGAGAGAGAGAGAGAGAGAGAGTATAGGAAACACGGGTCTTATCTACCCTCGATAAAAGAATAATGCTTATACAAATTATCCCCGGGTTTCCCCAAAATGCAGGTGGTGAAGGATGGCAATTCTACGTCAACGAGGGCAAGACCAAGATCTACCCCGTCTCGGTAATGTGCAGACCCGCATAGATAGAGAGAGAGATTGTGATGTATGTTATTAATTCCGAATACTCTATAGGCCATTGATGTTGCCCAAGCCTTGGAAGTCATGTTCCTTGCTGACTCGACTGCTGGCAAGACCTATGAACTCTACGGGTATATGATCCGATGACTTACTATATAATATAAAAAGAAGGGCGTGTGTACCATGTGTCTTTATGTACTGATAAGAAACAATGACATATTGTTTACTTTATTTTATTATTTTTTTTACTATAGTCCCAAGGCATGGACTTACGAGCAGATCTTTGAATTGGCTCGTGAGATTGCCATGAAGCCTCTCCCGATCCGTCCGTTACCCCTTCCTATTGCAAAGTAAAAGTCAAAAAAGGAAAAATTGAGTCTCCCTCTGTTGTGCATGATTAGCTAAATAGACTCATCATTTATTTTTCTATACAGGTTCGCTGCCACGCTTCTCGATAAGCTTCCTTACAACCAAATGATCAGCCCTGATCTCATTGAAAGAGTAAAGTGTCAACAAAAGGAAAAGAAGCTAAAATAGATGAATACTAAAATCTCTCAATCTTTATAATAACTAGATGACCTTGGATGACAAGCCCACACCCGGCGCTCATACCTTCAAGGATTTGTACATTGAGCCTGTTGATTTGCAGAACCTTGCTATCCAGTACCTCAGACGTTTCCGTAGCAACGCCGTCTTTGATCTTCCATACGAGAAAGGTGAAGGCGAGGTCAAGAAGGGCTTGTACCATGTTATCGATTAAAATAAGCTTTCTTTATCATAAAAACACTAAAATCAACTAGAAAATATATATACACCCCATTTTCGTTTTGAAACTCGCACAAAACACTCTATTTTTTTTCCCATACTCTGTGTGTTTATTCTCGGGATCATTCATATTACTCTTAGTTGTGTATGTCGAGTGTTTACAAGTGTGGATGGTGGTTTGATAAATAATTATTGGCGTGGAGAGAAGGAGTAGGGGTGTATAGTATGATAGATAGAATATGTTATGTACATGGAGAAGAGGGTGACTTTATATTGTTTACGTATATATATATTATTGATTGTTTTGTTTATGGTATTACGACAAGTGATTCATATTCCCTTGTGTCATTTTCCCCCTAGTGTAACACCAGCACCACCCATCCATCGTGTGGGCCACCTCCGCCGCCGCCGCCTGGCGTAATTACATGATAAGCATTATTTTCGTGGTATGTAATACGACGACGACCACCGCCGTTGAAAGTGCCTTTCATTATCATCATCATCACCCATGTGCGGCTGTGCCGAGAGTGATGATGATGATACGCCGGGTTGTTCTTCTTGTTCGAGAATGATATCCTGGAGCTCGTCATTATCGACCCGGTCATCGTCATCGTCCAGAGGAACAAAGAATGGTGGTATTTGATGATGATGTCGTCGCCGTTGCTGCGGATGATGGTGATGTCGTCGTGATGGCGGGTGATTCTTTACAATACCGGCTCGTCTGGCTGCTGCATGCAATAGCATGTCACCAAAATCATCTTCCATGACGATATCTTGTTCTTCATCATCATCATCATCATCTTGTTTGTCGCTTCTGTAGTAATAATCATAGTCATTGTCGCCATAGTAACTGCTGTTGTGTTGGTTGTTTCCATAGTAACCTTGTTGCTGCTGCTCTTCTTGCTCATATTGGTTCAAATCATCAAAGCAAGCATCAAGCCAGCTCTGTTCTCGTTGCTGTTCGTCGAGGTCTTGTGCTTGTAATGAGGATATTAACATATGGTCGTTGTCATGATGCTGATGTTGTTGTCTATTACTGCTGTTGGTGATGGTGGGATCATTGTCACGATCGTCGTCGTCGTCGTCGACAGGGTTGTTCCAGATAAGCGGAGACGACGGAGGTTGTGCAGTGAGAGCATTCCGTATCAGGACAAAGGGTAGCAGGGAGTGGTTGTTTTGTTCTTGAAGCTTGTGGAATGAGAGACAGATGATAAAGTCAAGGTCTTTTTGCTCAGTCGCTGTTGTTGATTTTGACATGATCGATTAATAATGAAGAGAGAAGAAGAAGAGGAAAAAGGGAAAGGGAAAGAGGAAGGAGAGAGAGGGCTATCAATTATTGAAATATATATATATATACAAATGCAATGCGGGGTTTATTGGCTAAAGTAAAGAAGATTATGCGGCAAACAACAACCCATTGCTCCACCCCATGACCCCATTATCGCTGTGTATTTCCCGATGATTGTCATGAAGAAACCTGTGCAGCAGGCAGCAGCACCCCAAGCCAGTCCAGGCCAGGCCAGCCCCCCACCACGCCCTATATCATCATCGTCATCATCGTCACCATCATCATCCGTTATCCCATGATTGTCTGTGTAACTCTCATCCTATCCTTCCTCTCTCTCTCTCTCTCTCTCTCTCTTGTCACAGTCATGCAGCTACCACACCACTGCCTTGGTAGTTTGTCGTTGTAAAAAGCCTTTAATGGGGGGGGGGGGTTAGGAAGTCCTTATATCAAGAGATTGTAAAAAAAAAAAAAGAAAAAAAAAAGTGAGTGAGTATCTGTGAGTGTGTGGTGACTGAGAGAGAGAGAGGGGGGGGGAAGCGTGTGTGGGAGGGTAAAGGTAAAAAAAAGTAGTGAGAGGGAGTAGATTCTCACAAACGGAAAAACAGCACCACGCTTTCTGTTTATGGGCCCTTTTTTTTGTTGTTTTCTGACTGGAAATCGGGTGATGGTAGCGAGACAAGTGTGTATAACAGAGAGAGAGAGAGAGAGAGATAAGGAGGCGTTGTGGTGTGATAGGTCTTCTTTATGGTGCCAGTGTGTGTGTGCTCTGGTGGGAGTTCTGTTTGGTAAATGATTCGACTTGTGGATAAGAGGATGGGGTTTTTGCTGCTGGTTTACATGCTATCCAGACGTTGGAACGATCTGCCTCCGCGCGGTCGTTCGTTCAGCTTGGGATTCTTCTTTGCAAGAATATCTAAAGAGTATTCAGTATTCTCTCTTTCTCTCTCTCTCTCTCTCTTTCTCCAACACGTGTGCATTCACCCTGCTCACCTTTGTCCATGGAAGCGTGATCAAAGTCGCAATCGTGCTTGTCAGGATAACGATGCGAATCGCAAAAGACGTAGTCGCATCGACACTTGTTGCTCAATTGTTTCGCTAATGGAATCTATCCATTGCCAACACACTTGGAGGTTAATCTCTTTTTTTTTTCGTATAGACATTCTAAAAAAAAGAGTAACCTACTTTGCTTCGACACATGAAGCATCTGCCAGTATTCTTTTGAACAGGTTTGCTCGGAGGTTGTTCTTCTTGTTCTTCATTGCTCGCTTCGGCTTTCGTTTCGGTAGTGGTAGTAGTGGTTGCTGGTTGTTCTTTTAACTTTTCTTGTTGCTGTTGCTTTTGCTGTTGCTGTTGCTGTTGTGATGATGGTGTTGTTGTTGTTGTTGTTGTTGTTAAAGGTGTCTTTAATTCTTGTTCATGCTTTTCTAGCGATGGTTTGGTGGTGGTGGTATTATTAGCAGCACTGGCAGCAGCAGCAACAGCAGCAGCGGCGGCAGCAGCAGGATTCTCACGAACTTCTTCTATTGGGGGGAAACCGTCGGTAAGTTGCTATTGCTGGGGATGTACACTGAGGATAACAAGAAGAACCAAAAAAAAAACCGACCTTCTTTTTTGTTCTGTTCCGAATGCTCTCGGAAGCATTTGGAGCACATGTTGTTGTAGATTTTATTGCCGTAGAAACCACATCCGGCACTGCAAGGCAGAGGGACTTCGGGTGCTTTGTTGTCTTCCATTGCGTGCGTTGAAAAGAAAAAAGTGAGAGGGGGGGGCAATAAGAAGATATGGAGGGAACAAGAAAAAAAGACAAGTGGTGTGGTTTGTTCACCAAAAAAAAAAAGAAAGAGAAAAGAGAGAAAAAAAAAAGGGAGGCCCAAAAGATTTTGGGAAAGATGAAATTGGAAAATGGCGTAAGTGTAAGCACCACCCACTCTGCCCAACACGTTTAACACACTCACACACTCCACACTTTGTACTTTTTTTTCTCTGAAACAGGGATGGTAGGTGGATGATTAATAACAGCCATGCGCTAGACTACGAAGCATGTCAAGATTTTACTGGGGCTGCACTGAACTGACGATGGAAAATCGGTGATGGTAATGACTGACTGGGCTGACTGACTGTGATTAACAGTGTGTGTGTGTGTGTGTGTGTGTGTGACGTATTCACAAGGAAATTGTTGCGCAGCTACTTTTTCGGGGGGGGGGGTGGATCCTATCGATCGGGGGGAGGGGGTGCCCCCCCCCCATTGAGTCAAGAAACGGGCTTTTGCACCAATCGCAGCGGAGCCGGCTCACAGTGATTCAGCGTCTGAGCTGGGGGCGGGTGGGATGCTGTGTTGTGGGTTAGGAGGAGCAAAGAAACAGTCGATAATGACTCATGAGGGCCAAAGATTTCCACTCGTCCTTTTCCGTCTTTCGAATCTTTCTGTGAAAAAAAAATCTTGTTTATTTTTCCACTTCTTTAAAGTTTCCACAAAACCCCCATCGAAACGAAAGGCTCCTCCAGTATATAAAAAGGAACAACGCTTAACTATTATCCCACCCACTCTTCTTTTATCTTTGCTTAAACCCTCTTTTTCTGATTGTCCACCATGTCTGTTATTCCCATCCTCTCCCGCTTTTAAACGCTCGCCCTCCTCTCTCGTCTTATCTCTCCTCCCACAAGGCTTCTTTCTTTACCCAAACTGAACTTGTTTTTTAAAAAGAAAGCAGCCCTTTTGTCTCCAAACTTCTTTTACTTTTTTATTTTTTTGACCTTTAAGAAAACTTATCCAAAACGAGGCGTAGCGCCGATAACATAACAAGCAACTACGACTACTACTACGCCAAGCAACCAATACAATGAACTCCCACCACAACGTTGCGCAGCCGCTTTCGGCAGTCACACCAGCTATTACACCTGCCGCCGCTGCTGCTGCTGCTAGTGCTGCTAGTGCTGCTGCTGCTGCTACACTTGCTGCGCATCCTATTGGTACAAGCTACCACCACAACGATCTCAATAAATACCCTGCCTCTTCTTCCACTTTACTTTCGCTTTTGCTGAACTCGACCATGCCTCACGCAACCAACACCACCACCACCACCCCGACCACTTTGACACCTCCTGCTCAGCCAAACAGCAATCCACACAAAGATCTTATCCAGCAACAGAAACAACAACACCAACAGCAGCTTCAGTACCAGGAAAAGCAACGGGCCTATGTAAATGCACTTGTTGGTACGTAGTTAAACCTTAATTTTTTACGTTTCCCTATTAACAAATGCGTATGCAAACAAACTCTCACACTGCCTTTACAGATGTCACTGTACAGGCCATTGCGTCCATCTGGCCTAATGCTACGAGCACACCTGCTGCGACAAGCAACAATCGACCCATTGCCAACCTAAACACTTTTCTACACCACATTTTGAAACATTCCCGCACGACCCATTCCACCTTGCAACTTGCGATATTTTATCTGTTCCGCATCCGTCCGAGAGTGCTGGAACGCCGCAACGACGACGTCTACATTTCGTGTGGCCGACGCATGTTCCTTGCAGCCCTGATCTGTGCGCACAAGTTCCTTCAGGACAAGACGTACAAGAACTCGGCCTGGAGCAAAGTCAGCGGCCTCAGTGTTCCCGAAATCAATCATGCCGAACGAGTCATGCTTCAGCTATTAGATTGGTCGCTCTATGTCAAGAAGGACACGTACGACCAATGGATCCTCATGCTGCAGAACCATCTCAAGTTCCGTGTACCTACTCCTGTCACCCATAGTAGTACTAGTAGTAGTAGTAGTACCCATGTCGCAGATGAGCAACACATGGAATGGCAAAAGCGCAAGATACCCCCACCAACAACAACAACAACAACAATAACCGCGAATGCTTCATCCTCTTCTTCATCATCATCTGCTACGACGCTATTCAAGCTCGGTATGCCTACGCCTGTGGAGGAAGTGGGTCACATCAAGCACGCACTGCCCTGCAGAGTCTCTTTGCTGTCGTCTCCCCCAGAACGTAAGCGCAAGGCTTCAGACGCTTGTCTTGTCTCGCAGTTGGCTACAAAAAGAAGACTTGCGTGATACAAAAGGTCCTTTTTCACACAACAATAGCACACACGTTGAGAATAGTTATAAACGCAGAATGTAATACATTTCTCTCGTTTTTATCATACATTCCTACTACTACTACTACTTCCACTACTACTACTACATACTACTCTCTTTCTACTGTACAAACAAACTACGTATCTTTTCTTTTTTTTATGTGAGGTCCATCTCTTTTTTTTTCTTCACTTCCACCCCTTTCATTGTCCATATTTTCTCTCTCTCTCTCTCTTATGAACCGGAAAGCTAAATGTATTTGTAGCAGCCTCTCTCTCTCTTTCATGGAATAAAGCATTTCCCCCCTCCTCCTTCTCATACAGCCTTTTTTTGTATCTCAAAAAAACTGAATCTGCCATTCTTGGGAGAAAAGAGGGTTGTTGTTGTTGTTGTGACTCATAACATTTCTTCTATTTGGACAAATTCCGAGGGGAGGAAAACGGATGGAAAAAAAAGCTCTTTTTTAAATAAACACGCTACTTTAATGAAATGACATTATTTCTTTTTCTTTTTTTTTGCATGATGGATTCATTGTGCCCCAGAAGAGGCCGGGTGGATTGCCCAAACATGGATTATGGGCCATTTTGCTTTCTTGCTTGATCTTGCCTCGATACCCGAAAACCCAATAGGTGGGCCGCCAAGCATTTGCAAGTCAGCTTATTTTTATTGGTTTCTGACCCGTTTGGGGGGTGGGCAGGAGGGGACGGGGGAAAGCTGCACTTTCTCGAAGTTGTGTCTCCCCATCATTATTTTTTACATTATTTCTATTATTATTATTACTATTATTGTGTCATACACCTGCAGCACTCATTCAACAACAACCCTTTTTACCAACACCAACCCAATCGGAGAGATAAAAACTAAAAGTCATGTCCAGCATCCGAGAACAAAAGGCTCATCAAACTCTTGATCAGAGTTCAATGCCCAACTTTAATTCTTCATGGGTCAACTACAAAGGTATTATTACATGTATTCGACTCTAGTTTGTTCATCTCATCCTAACTCTCGCCCTAACACTGTTGTTGCATAGGCGCATGGTTTACCACATTGTTTATCATTTTACTGTTAAAGACTCTGTTCTCGGTCATTCCGTTCATTAGTGCAGAAGCAAGTTGGACTTTGACGAATCTGACGTTTAACATTGTAAGTTCTTTTTTGTCTGATATAATGTATATGATTAGGATGTATGATTAGGATGGGGGAAGAGGCATGCTTGTTATATATAAGCAGATATGTCACATATCAACGTGTGTTGTTATTATTATTATTATTATCAAAACTAACGATAAAGTACAAAAAATAAAGGGCCAATATATCATGTTCCATTGGGTACAAGGTATTCCATTCGAAAACCATCAAGGAGCTTATGACGGGTTGACCTTGTGGGAACAAATTGATGGAGGTGTCCAGTTTACAGCAACCCGCAAGTTCTTTACGGCTGTGCCGATCGCCTTGTAAGTTTTTGCCACGTATTTTTTTTAATAATATGGCCCCAAATAGTTATTTTTAACTTGTAATACATATTTAGGTTTTTATTGAGCACGCATTATACGCATTATAACCTCGTCTTGTTGGTCATCAACTTTGCACCCTTAATGTTGGTGTTGGTCGCTAAATTGCCTGTCATGCACAGAGTACGGGTCTTTGGCATCAACAAGATCGATCACGTCGTTGATTAAGCAACATGGACTCACAGGGACAGACTGAGAAGGACAGGCAGGCGAGGAAAACCAGAGGAAAGAGGAAAACCAACAGAAAATAGAGGGTAAGAGAGAGAGAGAGAGAGAGAGAGAAAAAAAGAGGGGAGAAGAGTCTTTTTTGTTATCCAACCTTTTACTTTCTATATACTACCACTACCACTCACCCCCCATCTTCCCTGCACCTCGACAAGACGCACACGGACACTCTTTCTCTCTCATACCTCGTTCTCTTTTTCTCTTTACCCTTTTCCAACATCTACACACGAACTCTCTCTTCACCACTTCTATAGTACCAAAGGAAAAACACTCACACATACACACACGTTCAAAGACGCATCAACACACCTTTCTTTCTCTCTCTCTCTCTCTCTCTCTACAAGCATTTTGACACACGTGCAACACTCTATCTCTCAATGCACGGTTACTCTTTCCATTCATATACACCAGCGCAATTCACACTTGACACTCTTAAGCATTTGCTCTTATTTTTTCCAACCACCTTTTCTTTTTCTTTTCGTCCACACTTTCCCCCTCCCCCTACTCCCCTTTTTTTTCATTTTCAACGTTCTTTTTCTTTTTAACCAGCCCAATTTCGTTTTTTTATGTAAATACAACTTTTTGTAATATCGCGAATGGAATCTTTTGTTTTCTTTACAAAGTGTGATGGTTGCCATGGAAACGCCAAGTGATGGTTGCTACGGAAACATTAGTGGCTGCTATATGGAGATATATAGTAACGGTTGTCACGGAGACAAAGCTGGGTTGAGCATTCATTCAGCAGTAAACTTTTTTGTTGACAGCCGTCGTCGCACCAGCAGCACCAGCAGCAATAGCAAAGCAACCACCAAAAAGAAAAAATCTTTTTTTTATTATCTTTCCTTTCCTCTCTATTTTCTTCCAACATAAAAAATGCTGTACATTATTGGATTAGGATTGTCCGATGAGGCAGATATCACTGTCAAAGGCCTCAAGGCCGTTCAATCCAGTGAACGCGTCTACCTTGAAGCTTACACGTCCATTTTAACCGTTGGCAAGGAAAAACTTGTAATTTCATAAAGATCTATTTTCCATTTTTTCTTTTTTGATTGATTACTTTGATTGCGTCCAAGAATTAACGCAACACGACGCGCACGCGAAAAAAAAAACCAAATAAATAGGAAGAGTTTTATGGTAAACAAGTCATTATTGCCGATCGTGAAATGGTTGAATCAGAAAGCGACACGATTCTTGCGAATGCAGATCAAGTCGACGTCAGTTTTTTGGTTGTTGGTGATCCTTATGGGTAAATTATATATATTAAAAACGATGGGGTTCGATGATCCAACTATGACGTATATGTATATCTAAAATTCCCAAAAAACAACACCCCCCCCCCCTATGTGAATTGGGGAACATTATAGTGCTACCACACATACAGATCTCGTCATTCGTGCGCGTGAGTTGAATATTCCGGTCCAGGTGGTTCATAATGCATCCATCATGAACGCAGCCGGTGCTTGTGGACTGCAGCTGTACAACTTTGGTCAAACGATTTCCATTGTGTTCTTTACCGAAACCTGGCGTCCCGATAGCTTTTATGATCGGGTCAAGGAAAACAAACAGTTTGGTTTGCATACATTGTGTCTCCTCGGTAAACTACTCATCAAATATTCTGCATAACACGGCATCATTTGTTTTGCTGATTTGTTTTTTGTCTTTTTTGAAACAGACATTAAAGTCAAAGAACAAAGCATTGAAAATTTGGCAAGGTAAAAACCAAAAAACAAAACAGTTTAAGCATGGGGTTCATAGATTTCTAATCCTTGTTGTTGTTTTTGGTATAGAGGACGTAAGATCTATGAACCACCACGCTACATGACAATCAACCAAGCTGCTGAACAATTGTTGGAGATTGAAGAGAACCGAGGCGAAGGATTATGTACGCCCGAGACATTGGCTATTGGATGTGCACGGATAGGCACACAAACACAACAGATTGTGGCAGGATCACTGCAAGAGTTGGTGGACGTGGACTTTGGTGGACCGTTGCATTCGCTCGTTCTCGTAGGATCAAAGATGCATCACATGGAAGCCGACTTTATTCGCGAATATGCGGTCGACAAGACCAAGTTTGATGAACTCGTTGCCAAAACCTCTGCCTCTGCATAAGAAAGAATGATGCAACACTTCTAATTTATGTACAATAAGAACAATAATGATCATGATGCAATCATTTCATCAGATCCCCTCTCTCTCTCTCTCTCTCTCTCTCTCTACCTTGCTTACAACCCCCCCCCAGCACTCACCCACACCGATCACACCAAAACCCAACTACCAACCCCCAAACAACAACGCGTGGAATACAAATAAAAAAAAATTAATTATAAATATCAGCCGCTGCATGAAAGAAAAAAAAGCAACAGTGTTTCACTTTTTTCTTTTCCTTCTTCCACTTTTTTATTAATTTTCTGAACAAAATCATGGCTGCAAACTCAAAAGACGCTGAACGAAAGCTCAACCAGAACATTGACAAGGCATCTGGCGCTGCTCAAGATGAAGTCTCTCGCTTGCGCGCCGAACTTGATGACTTGCGTGCACGAGCTCGCCCAAAGGTCGAAGAAGCTGAATCGTTCTTAACTTCGCCCAGTGCTCTTGGTTTCTACAAAGGTAAATCCCTCTCTTTTGTTGTTCTTGTTGTTGTATTAACCCTGTCATATTAACTGACATATCCTGCACTAGGTTTCGTTGTAGGTGTCGTTGTTGTATTGGGCTATGCCAAGGCAAACGGTGGATTGCGTCTGTAGATAAAACACACAAACCCTTATAAACTCCTTCCCCCCACTCACACTACTACTAACCGTTGTACGTATTGGATAAATTAACAACACACACAAATACATATAAATTGCCATATATACAAAGAGAAGGTCTTTCTATTTTCTCCACTATGCAAATACTGTGTTTTTTAACTGTGCGCGGACACAAAAGAGTACTGAACAGACACTCGGGAGTGTCAATAAGCCCTGTCATCGTCGTCGTTACACTCTCCCCCCCCCCACCCACTCCGCCTTCCCGTCCCTCCTCCTTTTTACCCAACCCTCTCCATGTTGAGGCGTTTTGGTTTCGGACGATCATCATCTCTGGATGTAATCCTCGCAAAGCCTCAAGTCAAGCTCGAAGAGCTGTTTGAAGACAGCGATCAACTTTTACAAGAAGTGCATTTGCAGAATCCTCGGCTAATCAGTTTGTACGTTCACGGCTTGTCTTTATTTATTCCTCATCAAAACCCGTTTTATACAAGAAAATCTGATCCTGTCAAACCTTTAACTACTGACCTCTCCAGTTTACGACAACCGAGTGTTCTTTCGCAACTCGTCAATTACATTGTCAGCGAACGTATCATTCCCCCCAATCGTCTAGCCCTTCTTTGTTAAATAAAACAACCAAAACGACAACGACACCCACTACCAAGTCCGAGAATCTAAACGGCAACCATAGCAAGAAAAACGAAGGAAACAACAACAAGAAGAATAATCATGTATATATCGCATGTGAAATATTAGCAGCAGGAATACCGGCACTGATGGATGGATTGGTTTATGCACACCCGGAACTACTTACAGTCTTGTGGGCCATCCTGGATCAGCCATGTAAGCTGACACCACGTCAGATGGCCGGATTCTGCAAAGTGAATGCTATCCTACTTCAACGACGGACAGGTGATCTGGTCCGTTTTATCGAATCTCACAAGGATATCGTGGTCAAATGGTTGAATCATATATTCAATTATGAGGGTGCTGGCGTGCCGTACTTGTCGGATCTGTTGATCGCTTTTGTACAGTGCGAGAGATTACCTGAAGGCACAGGAATTGGTCAGGTAAAATTAGTTACTGGGCACGATGGAGGTTGGGGAAAATTGATACTTACTAACAGTCCCTTCTTGTGGTTCTATACAGTGGCTAGCGGATCATGGATTATTGACGCTGCTGGTGGATCGAATGCAGCCCCATTTGGATCCTTTGGTAAAATACCATAAAGTGGCGGACGGAAGAGTATTGAAGACAGTCAAGTGTAACTAACCTTATACGTTGTGTATGTATATGGTATGTTCTGGTATAGAACCATGAAATTGCACAACAGATGCTGTGTGATATCATTTTCAGCAGCGATACATCCAGTGCCATGATTACCGAACTGACAAGGTTGGTTTTTTCAAAACATGCATGTGTACGATGGGATGGTTGGGCTTTTTATCCTTATAGTTGTGAAGGTGGCTGCTGATCACATTGGGAATGTTTTTTTCCCTTCTATCTAAAATATAGCTTAGTGACTATGAAACGGTTGGCAGGATACATGTTGGATTCGACAGCTCCTCATGCATCCAATGCATTGATATGTGGTACAGGCGTTATTCGTGGGTTACGTCAATACAGTGAGAAAATGTAAGTGAGATGATTATCTGGGCGTGCTAAACCTAGGACTCACGTTTCCTTGATCATCAAGTATTAGCAACTCCATGGTGGATCCAACAATGCTATTTTGTCATGCCTTGGAAACATTTACGGAACGCATAGGCGATTTGATGGCTTTACTCGATTCTCCACGATCATGTGTAAGTCCCTGAATAACCTTACAAAGAAGAAAAAAGTAACAACGCGGAAAATAATTAGCAGCTTTGGGTAATATTCATAATTGTCAGAAAGAAGCAGAAAAAGACGAACGACTGGGGCTAGAACGGCTATCGATTTGTGAACTGTTGATGGAATTCTTATACTGTGCAAGCGTTGCGACTGGTGAAAAGGGAGCAAAGCTGGCAAATGCGTATAGACGGGCTGTGATTGAACACAAAGCGTTGATCCGTTGTTTGGTAAGTGTGTCCCCTCCCATGGAGAAGCAAACAAGGATAGTAATGATACGTAAAACTACTTTTTTTTATAGGATCTTTTTTTCGCATTTCCATCGAACAATATCTTGCATAACACAGTGTATGCGTTGATGCGTGACATTTTACTTCGAGAGCCGCCACGACCTGTCGTTTTGACAAAGGATCACTTGGTCATCGAGGTACTGGTTCGTGGTCGATTGATGGAGAGGATGTTGGATGCCTATGATGCAGTGTAAGTGTCTCTATTTTTTTTATATATACTAGAGGAAGGTTGGGCAAAGCTGGAAAGAAACTCCTTTGAACTTGAATACTAAATCAATTGTAAACAGACGGCAGCAAGGGAAAACTCGACCTGGGTATATGGGTCACTTGGCACTACTCTCAAATGATATACAACGTGCTCTGGAAGAGATATACCATCCCGAATTAGCAGAATATCTCGAGCACAATGACGCGTCCGCCCAAGGAGGAATGTTGTTGACTCGATGGTTTGCACATTATGAACAACTTGGTCAAGAAATCAAGCAGAAAATGTCTTTTAATAACGAAGCAGTCTTTTGGTCGGTAAGTCGATATCAGGAACTGATGGTAAGAAAACGTGTTATACTGGACGTCGTACACACACCTCAGCGAGAGTCAAGAAATAGAGACACTTACTTGCCTGAGCTCGTTATTGTCTATGTAGGATGAGACAACTGCAAGGATATACGATGCACCCGAGGTGACCACACGACAAAAAAAACAATGATGATTCCTCATCATATACCCCTTAATCTTCTACTATTATTATAGTTTGCTTTCCTTCATAACTGTGATTCCCCTCCTCCACAATTTTTGTTATTGTTGTTCATATTACATATTATTTGTCAATCATTATAGAAGCAAAAATCTCTACCATTCAAAAGAAAAGGGTTCATTTACTCTTTGATTAGTTTTTCCTTGTATTATCTTTTAACTATAACTATAGATTGCCACCGGCGATACAATCAATTATATATTTCGGCAATCTGGTCTGTGTGGTAACCCTTTATACAACATCTAGAACTACCTACGATGCAGTCGTCATCTTTAAAGAGCTATGATATGCCCTCATCCCCTCACCCAGAACAGAAAATAGCTTGCGCGCTTCCTCGAAATAAGAGCTCATCTATGGTTTCAGCTTACAAATCGATTAATCAATTAAAAAGCCTGGAATCGTGTATGCATGTGTGTGCACCTTGCTAGCAATAAGCTTCACTGATCTGTATATATGCGCAGCAGCCGGCAGAGCGCCGTGTGTATCCCGCAGTCCACTTTGAATGACTAAGCGCCTCCATATAAAAAAGTTATTTAGGAACTTTAATCTTTTATTCTAGCATGATGCAATTCCTTCAAAAATTGTGCGCAGCAAAAAAACTCTCATCGTTTCCCGCTATGACTCATTATCTATGCTGCGTTGACATGAAAACAACGTTTCCGAATCTCCCCCTTCCTCCCTATTTGGCTGGGTCCGTGAGTTACAGGTAAAGCGGATGTTGATCTATCTAATCACGTTCAAAATATTATTATTTTTTTCGGAATAACGTATAAGTTTAAAATTTACTAACATGAAGGGCAGCTTTTTCCTATTTTGTGAGTAAATCAAAATTGGAGTCGGCATGATATTTGATGAATAATGCGCCATTCCATTTCAAAATGGATGAAATGATATGAATAGATAGATTATGGGGGGTGGGGGATACCATGGTGACTCTATTTTCTTTTCTAAAAAGAAGTCTCCATCCGAGGGTCTGTAACTCTCTCCCATGGAAATAAAAGCCGAGAGAAGGTTCATGCTGAGCTGAGAATTATAAGGTTCGCTTCCGGTTTTTCGGAATACTGTTTTGTCGGTGCATTCCTCTTACACAAAGAGGTTTTAGGTAGCGTAGATGGCAATAAAAGATGTGATGGCGCGTATCAATTACACCAAATCTTTCCTTCCCTCTTTTGTAGCTCGATCTTCGATGCACTGACTTTACAACCGGCGCACTATTTTGATCTTTTCGTATTTGCTGACAAAGGGTTAGATGAAGAAAAATGGCGACTTGTCGTAACGGGTGCAGCACTTTAGTATTTTGCTCCATTATTATAATAAGCCTAATTATAAAGATGTACATAATATGCTGTGATTATGATAGCATTTAATGCCACCACAATGCACCCCCAATTATTCTCCCCTACTGTTTTGTAAGATTATCTTTGAATATTTTTTAACCACTGGCAAACCTACCACCTGCATGAGCGGTTTTTGTATTTTAAAATACAAGTGTTACAGTAGTATCTGACAGACAAAGGGTTTTAGAATAGTAATACTACCGCTTAAATACATCGCCAACGAGACTACCATACACCTACACACTCATACTAATACTAATGTTGCTATACTTTGAATAATAGTTAAAGTATTAAGATGTATAGAATATACATTGCTTCAAAATTCGATTAAACGACGAAGGTGCTTTGTACATTACTTATCTTTCTTAAACCAACAAATAGCAATCACACGGGAAGCTGCACTGTATGCATGACTTGCAAAGAGTTAAGCTTTACAATAGTTATTCGCAATGCTTCTAGAGAAACTTGTTAATGAGTTTGCTTGAAGAGTAGAAGAGGGAGTTGCGTTGTATATGAACAACAATGGTTTCCTTTATAGTGTACTTCTTGAACAGGTTAATAGAAAAGTTGCTAGCTAAGTGCAAGTCCAGCGGACTCGCTAAATCACCAATTTCGCTAGATTTAACAGAAAATAATAGCTAGTTGACACTCCAGCGGACTCGCCAGTAGAACTTGTAAAAATAAAGTCGGACACATTGTCTGTTCTTTCCGTCAATCTTTTTTTCTTGTGTAAAATGAGCAACAACAACAACAACCGCCACAACAGGAACAGCAAGAAGAACAGCAAGAAGAAAGCGATGTTATTTTATAGGAAAAGGTGTTCGGATGGAGGTTAAGAAAACAAAAAAACGAAAGGAAGAAAAGGAAAGAGGGAAAAGGAGAGAAAAGGGTGAGGATGGAAGTAGGGTTTATGTATCCCGTTCACCTTCCATTTGCCAAAGATGCTCCATGAGAACATGTCTCAAACGATCATGCGTGTTTACATCCCTTATTTCTGTGTGACGTCGGATGAAATCTTGCAAGATGGATGGATTTTCTCTCGCTTGATCGAAAACTTCTTGCGAGTATCTCCATTCATGCAATGTGCGCGGATAATGTGCGCGAGAAATCCGGATCGTTTTCGACTGTCATGTTATGAAGAATCACACATGTCTTCATGATCATGGTGAGTTCTTCCAGCTTCCACAATCGAGCTGGTTTTGTACCGAGCTTAAGGGTACCAAAAGCTCTTTCAATATCCTTTCGTGCGGCCTCTTGCATTGTTTGAAAAAGCTACACCGCGAATATTCAAATCATAAGAGAAAAAAGCATGGTCTCCACAATATTGTTCACTATTGGTTACTGCTCAGATATAAGTATATACCACTACCACGATAAATCAATTTCCTTGGATAAACATACCTGGGAGGAGGTGGAGACATAGTTATCACTTTGAGCAAGAAACGCGGTAGCAATATCAAGAAGGCTTTGAGCTCGTGGACCGTAAAAAAGACAGCTTATATAACAAAGTATGAATGAGCTCCGATTTCTTTCCATATTGATGCTAATGTATTCATTTTAAATAAACACAAATGATCGTAAATATGCTCCACAGAAACCAGCCTTCAACTAGCCATTGTCCTTCTATGAAACTATCATGAATCATGAGTAAAGAAACAAGAAAGTTTTTCATACCTGTTGTTTTCTTCCATGCGGGTTCGAAAGAGGCTTGACCAACGCCGCCCAGCGAGGGTAGATTCCATCGGCAAGATAGTACCCCATGTTGTACTCGTGGCCGTTGATGGAAACAATCACCGGTGGCGCACATCCAGCAGCAAGATCGGTGAAGAGGTGCGATTGCTCGAGCACACTGATGTCATTCAATGTGCCGGGGGCATCCAAAAAAGACGTGCCAGATCCACAAGTCATGAGTGGCAGCTGCTTCCAATACCACAGTGGGTGCCTTCTCCTTGCCAGAATACTGCCCATGCCATGCGGTAGGGCAGTTTTTCCATCTCCAATGCATGCAGTCCACTGACCCGAGCATGTCTGGAAAGCCACGCTTCTAATTGAATGCCAAGATCTTGCGGATATCATCCTCGTTCGGCGTGCGCAAGTACTCGTCACCAAAAGCAGCAATAACCGCAGCGCAGAATCGTTTGAGGCATTCGAGCGCCGTCGACTTGCCTGTGCGCACATACTCGTCGGTTGCATCTGCTGGGACACCATACGCGAGTTGTCTCATCGCTGAAGTAATTTTTTGATACGACGAGAGGCCGAGTTTGTGAGCGGCGTCGCGTTTCTGGACGAAATAATCGTCCTGCTGCTTCACACCCTCCATCACGCGCAACAGCAGGTCTCGATCCATTCGATACCGGTTTCTGAACATACGCGCCGGATACGCCGGGTCTTCGGCAAAATAATCTTTAAACAGACGTGCATCCAATTGCGATGCGATCTCAGTGAGCCGTTTGACGGCCAGGGACAGATCCACGATGCTTCTTCTTTGACGCATACTCCTGTTGGATCATATGGTCGATCTCTTCCATGCGACGTTTGAACACAGCGATGCGACGCTGCTCTTCTTCTTCTTCGTCAACAATAAGCTTCATAAGAAGTTTCAAGTTAGGCATATTTAATTTTAAGATGGGAGAGAGAAAGGAAACAAACAAATACACAGGAACGTGAAAAGACAATCACACAATTTTTAAGTCCGCTATTGCTGAGTCCGCTGAACTTGCTCTAAGAAAAATAATATGCGTAATCCACCATGAAGATGTTTGAAACCAGCAACGTCTTTATCATGGTAAACATGTACATAGTATCTGGACATAGGAAAAAGTGTAGCACAACGGTGCATAAACACTTGTTACATTCTCACTCGTAGCTTACAGTAGTAGCCGGCTACTGAGACAACATTACTTATGTCCGTACCATCATTAATCCTGGCGAACGTTTCCATAAAGACTGACTATTGCCACCGTGCTAGATTACGGCCAGATTAAAAATTGAGCCATTATTTTGGGAGTACAGTGAATGGTGGGTCATTCTGCTTAAAGCGTCATTTTCAGCGGGGTCTTGCAAAGTGGCGTATTGTTATACCATATCGGTAGTAAATGACATTTAAAGCTGCATGAAATTGCACACCTGGTTCTCAATGACGATAAACTTAAAGTATCCCGCATTCAAGGATCTAAAACAAGAAGAAAAAGATCATACATACGCGTGCCACAATCCACGTTGAGATAAATGTCATGTTAGTACATAGGCTCCGTTAAAAACAAATTTTTTACATCAGAGGAATGCTTCAGCATTGCATATTCCCGATACAACATGTTCGTTATTTCTCCTCTTCATTCTTGATCTTTTCTAATACATACTAACATTCTCCTCCCTTCATCTTTAATATGTGTAAGTGTCTTCTCCGCCACATTTAAGCATGAGCCATCTTGGTATAAATAACAATTGTACATGGAAATGCTTTGCTAAAGTTACTTTGTGGCAACAACCACATCAACCCCTACCATGAAGTTTATACAACTTGCTGGTTTGGCCATCGTGCCATTGGCTCTAGCCGCCCCATTCTCAGTTGAACAGGAAGAGGTAAACCATAATTTTAGTCAAGCGAAAAAGATTAGATGGAGAAGAAAAAGCAATCCTCTAATTGATTAATTTACTGCTGCTATGCAGAAAACAGTCAATAATGTAGATCCGTTGGACGTTGGTGCAGTTAACAGTGCCCTTTCATTCGAGAACAGCATCGCTGGACTTGTCCGTAACATTGCACAGACGATTGACGGTGTCCTTAGCGCAGATGCAGCACAGCGCCATATCGACACACCAGTGTCCATCAACTCGATCATTGAGCAAATGTTCATCAGCGGTGGTCCAGCTAGCGAATTGGGCAAGGAGGACTCGCACTCTATGAAGGCCGACAGCGTCAATAGCGTGATCAACAATCAGGCTAACTACGGTAGCCAGGCAGTCACCGACACGGTCCATGGTTTCCAAGGCACCGTCAACGGCAACATTGACGGCCCGGCCGAAATTGACGCCAGCTTGCTGACCTCCTTGAGACAGCGCGAGTCCGTTGGCCAGATCCAAAAAGCTATCGATTCTATGATCAACAGCGCAGAACACGATGATGTGATGCATTTTGCCAAGCGTATGCGTACCTTGTTTGAATCCTTGTTTAAGAACTTTGGTACTGGAAACAGCCCTGTCGAACGCATCATCCGTGAACTCGAAAGCCTTGTCATGGCTCGCACGGTTAACTTGCAACAAAAGGCCGATATGGTGGATGGTCAAGTATTGTCCAGGGATGAGATCGAAAACTTGCTCACCTCGTTCCGTGACCAGATCCGTCTCGCCGTTCGAGAGTATATTGAGCAACACCCACTCGAGTACTTTGGTGTCGTCGGTGCCTTTGAAGAGGTTGAAAGTAACGCCGTCTTGGAGGCTGAGGGGCTCACTTACTTCCTCATCCGTATCACTGAAAATGTCATTGGTGCCTTTGTGCCTGATGACCCTGTGAGCGACATTGTCGATGTCGTTCAACACAGCCTTCCCGTCGACGACCTTCCTATCGCTGACCCTCCTATCGAGAAACCTCCTGTCGACCTTCCTCCAGTGAGCAATCCAGATCTTCCTCCAGCAACCGCCGAACAAGCTGCTTCCGCTTTCTTTGAACAAATTAAACAGAATGCCCGGGCCACATACCTTATGGGCCATGTCCTTTCCCATGCTTCCGATATTCAATATGCTCTTGACAACCATGTTAACAACGTCCAAAAGATCGGCCTCCACGGTATCAACGATGGCCTGTACTTGCTCTTGAACGACCAAGCCGAAATGGAAAAAATTACCCATGCTCTAACTCGCAACGCCGGGCCACTTGGTGAAGCCCTCGCTCACGTTCTTCAAAAGTTCATTGAGACCAATGCTGACATCTTGGCTGCCTTTGGCCAACAGAATCGTGCTCTTCTAGGACCCGACCTTGTCAAGCTCGTTTTCAGTGCCCTGGACAAGATTGTTGCGAAATATCAAGAGGATCACCAGCTTCTTGGTCTTGTGTTGAAGAAAAGTCTTGTCTTTATTGAGACTATCTACAATGATGATCCCGATATTCTTACAAACGATTTCACTGCTATCAATCTTCTCAATGCCGTCAATGCCCTTGTGGACGCAATTAACCAAGCTCTTAAGGCCCGTATCCTACTTTTTTAAAGAGTCAGAAAGCGACAAAACCCTATCATGACTATAGATAATTTATCATGTACCTAGACCAGCTTACTGTACATTTAATTTTTTTTGACTTTCTTGATTCTAATAATAACAATGAAAGTTATAAGTATGATATGTGTCCCATGTAACTTCCTTTCAATTTTGCATATCGTATCAGGATAGTTATATGTAGCATTCACGGCCTTTAACGTTCGACGGTTCTGTTTGTAAGAATGTCCAAATGGTTTATTCTGCGCATTGTGTTACGGTATCAAAAACAGCATAAGTTGTACAGCACCTATGTAATAACTTGATAATGTGATATGTGAATTGCATTTTGCCTGACCAAACCGGTCTTTCAGCTGTTACTTTATAGGACTATCACTCAACTATTTGATAAATTGATAACATCGAGGCGATCACGTTATCGCTTGGGCACTGTAAAAGTGGAACCGAGTAGACGTTGATTCGAGTAATAAAGCACCTGTATTTTGCCAACATGGCATGGTTATTATCTCGTATGCATATCCATGTTTCGTTATACCTCCTCCTATTCTGTTGTCAGTTCTGTATCACATGTGGTAAGCCGTAGTTATTATACTAACTTTTCTGTAGTATAAGACGAAAGAATATTCTTTTTGTCAATGTTACGAAAAAAAACTTATTAATCACAAAAGTAAAAAGAAAAAGGGTGCTAATTATTATGCTACTATAGAAAAAAATGAAGGGCTGTTGCTCAGAAATGTTCAATATACACACGGTTGCTGTTGTTGATGTTGATTTGTACTTATTGTGGTTGTAATGGTTGTCGTTTTTCATATTGCTTGGTGGATTTTAAATGAGAATGGGGGCTTCTCTGCTTCTTTTTTCTTGGCGTTTATGATCGTTGATGTGCTAAAACGTAACGAAGATACAGTTCATCTACAAAATGTGCGTGCCTATATGAAGCATTTTTCGTTTAGATTACTTATCACTCCTTATACGCTCTTGCAAGCGCATAATTTTCCGCATGAATTAGTACCTAATCCCTGGTGGCCGAGCATCAGCGAAATATCGAAGGGCGTCAGGTACAGAAACACTTAACCGCTCGATCATATAGCAGCATATGAAAAAGCCCGTACGATTGAATCTAGAAGGTTGACTTGCATTAGGCGAAAATAGGTACAACACAACAGGGTATGTTTTTCTTTGTTTACCCATAATGACAATGAACTGCAATCTGAGCATCCGGTCGTTTTTCCCAACATTGGGCAGCGATCTCGATAAACCTGGCAACATCATCTTTTTCTGGCGGGATTTTGGATACTGTCCGTAATTTGATGTATTCAACTCTTGAACCTTCGAAATCACTGGACCGATAAGGCGGCGTGTCATTCGAGATGTCAATGATAAAGCCAATTTCAGGGTATTTCGCCAAGAATCCAGAGGGGCAATGATTCGTATCCGTCTGTCGCATCACTTTCATGGCTCGAAATAGTGAAGGTCCAATCGGTCCATCTGTGATAGGACTTGTGCGCATCCACTATCATTCAAGGATAATACATTATAACCATCGTTTGCTATACTATTGGCTTATCCACATAAAAGAAAATAGTGATACCAATGCAAGTGTTACCTTTTCATAGTTTTTCAGATCCCATTTGTTTTCTCCTTTGGTCCGATGCTGAGCTTGCCAGGCACCGCTAAGGGTATGGAGGCCACAGTTTTTGATCAAAAAGTCTGAGATGACTGGATTGACGAGTTCTGGATGAACGACCATAGGCATATGACCCACGTCGGGTATTATGTAGGGCTCAGGTACACGTATGCTATCCGCATGAGGGATGCTATCCCAATTTGTCTCTTGCGGGTCCAGCCCCAGAAGAAAATTGCGTATCACGTTCACATCGTTTGGCGGCGTCACTTTATCCTAAAGCAAGCATGAGCATGGAAAAGGAAAGGCCTGTCAATACATTAAAGCGTTTCCGTTTTACTGTACAGAAAATAAATCCAACTACCTCGCTACCACTAACTAATAATACTCCGGCTCTGATAGCATCATATTTTTGGCGTGAAGGGAAACTAGCACCGTAAACGAATCGTTTATAAGCTGAAGGACGATTTAATAGACTCCATCGGAGCTGACTAGAAGGGAAAAGCAAACAAAAACGTGAGTTCTTCAGTTTAACATCGTTTCATTAGCACGTAAATAATGGTTGTGAACTTACTCTCGCCGGAGTCGATCCTCTACATCGTACCCCAAAAACCGTTCAACACTTTTACTGTGAAGTCCCCCTTTTCGATCCGCCGTTCTTGCCCATTCAAACATCCAGTCTGGGATCCATCGAAGGGTTCGTTTGCTTTTAACTTGCTGTTCCTCAATACGTGCCTTGGGTGAGATCAGCACGAGACCGCGAAGGCTCGGTTGGACTGCCGGTGAAGCTGCCACATTGGTTGCAATCGAGCATCCATAAGCATGTGCAATGATGACTGTAGAGGAATATTGGTACCGTTCCGTCAGAAGACTTATCACGTCGTTGGATAGACTAACCGTTGTATAGGAATCCCAGCTGTTGTTGTCATGTATAATTAAACAAGTTCGGTGTTAGTAGCCAATCATGATATACTGCATTACAATTGTAACTAAGAAGTGACTTGGTGATACTTCACTCATAACTTAATTCGCTTTTGCCACACCCAAGCAAGTCGATGGCGAGCACGTGTGCGGTCTGTGAAAAGTATTCGATCTGGCTTTGCCATTGAGACACCTGCATGATAACGAAAACAATGAGAATCAACCAGCACAGAAAATTCCCCTAAGCAGCTCTCCCAGTCTCTTTTCTGTCTACTGTTGTAACAATCTCATTCGTAATATCAAGACTTTTTCTTTTTTTAGCTCTGATTCTTTATTTACCTGGCCGCCTAGTCCATGAATAAATACTAATAACGGTACTCGGCTTCCTAGTTCATGAATGATATGAACAATGCGAAGCTTGTGGCCGTTGATTTCTACATATTGTGTATGATTTGCAATTATATCCGGTTCCGCTGTTTTGGTTTATATCACAAGAAGTGTATGCAGATGCATATGAAAATTAAAATAGAAGAGAACAAGTTAGTATATGCAACCATATACGTACTAGATAAAACACAATACAACCAAAAGAGAGAGCAACAACAACAGCAGCAGAGTCTTAAGCATAGCGCAAAGAGCAGTAAATGAAAGAAAATGTACTACTACTTGCGTTCAGATATTAATTGTCGTTCTAATTTGGCTTCTGCTAGATCGCGTTTGCATACTAGAAACCAGAGTCGTGTTAAGAATCGTCGTCGGGAATGGCGTGGATCTTTATACAAGTAAAATGCGCCTGCTACCGTCGCGAGGGAAATGGCGAGTGCTGCACTTTTACAGGTGATTGACGCCTTTATAGGCGAGTTCATCGACAGCTTAATTATTTTGTTGCTTGAAAATTTAAAAAGAGCAAGAAAAGGAAAAATAAAAAGTAAAGAGGAAGTAAAAGAGAATAACAAGCGGTCGTGTCCGCGGAGTTAACTCTTTGTCTGTTCTTTTTCATATGGTCAAAAAGAAGGCGTCAAGCACTGAAGGTAGACTAGACAAGGCTGTAAATCCTCTGAAGTACAAATGGATTTACTTACACACGTATATGCTTCTGTAAAAAAAACAGAGGACAATGCCGTCCTAGACTATTTGCGAAAAGTCAATCGACCATACAGCGCAAGTATGAAACGATTCTGCTTCTCTCTGTGTGTAGTAGTACCTGTTGCAGTGCGCGTAAAAAATAAGAACACACAAGGATCTTATAACCATTACCTTTTTTTGTAGCTGACGTCTTTAACAATTTACATGGAAAATACCAAAAAAGTAACATTGTCAAGGCACTTGAACGATTGACTGATCAAGAGGTCGTTTCCCAAAAGACGTACGGCAAAACGAATATCTATTCGATAAAGCAGGTAAAAACGTAAAATTCATGCAATTCTCATATAATGCTGCGCATTTAATTTACCAGCATTTTGGTAATACACATGTAGAGCAAGGAAGATATTCCATCTCCAGAAGAAGCTGAGAACATCAATAAGCAAATCGAAGCATTGTCACGTGAGATGGAATCGGTCCAGGGCGATAATGTGAAGTTGCAAAAGAATTTGAAAGATCTCAAAGCAGCACCAACCACAGATAAGGCAAAGACCCTCACGACCGAATTGATTGAAAGCGTAAGCTATACTGCGAAAAAGAATCTGGATAATGAAAAAAACGTCAAAACTTATGCTTTTCCATGTTTATGCAGAATGATAAAACTCAGGCACGCATTGATAGCTTAAAGTCGGGTACTACGCTAATAACAGATGAAGAGAAAAGAAAAATTGATGCAGAATATGACAAGATGCGCAAAGAATGGCGAATAAGGCGCAAGATTGTAAGTGAGGGGAGTGCAAAGAGAGATGAATGTCCCGGTTGTCTTCTTAAAAGAACCCGATGCACAATCACTAAATCACAACCTATTCTTCTAGTTCCGAGAAATTTTCAATGCAATAACTGAAAACATGCCTGGAAAACCGAACGACTTTAAGGTAACCGGAAAATGGGAATATCAGTGTGATATGCGAGTGTTTTAAGGAGAGGAGTAAAGCAAACTTTTTTTCTGTTTGCTGATCAACTTTTTTGTGTGTTTAGGAAGAGCTTGGCATTGAAGATGATCCTATTCCATATGAGCAAGATCCTCTTCAATAATAACAAGTTACAGTTATGGACGAGTGAAAATATCGTTTTAAAGCAGTACCCTTCCATTATCTTCGTTTTTTCCTACTACCCGCAACCAAGTAATCTGTACATAGCATTCAGTCAGCACCATCCTTTAGCTACAAAAGGAAAAAGAAAAGCAGTATGTAAAGCGACATTCATCACACCGTGTGCACTTCTGGGGCTGTCTAATGTCTGTGCATATAATAGCGATATTTAGCGGCGACGACAAAACAAGAGATAAGCAAGGGCTGTCTATTATTATACAAACTAAACAAGGGATGTGCGAGTTGATATGGAACTTGGATTTAGAATAGCTGGTTATCTTATTGCTCAATATCTATCCACTGTGTGAACCCCTCCGTTTTGTTGAGGGCTTGACGGCTTGCTCCGTTGCTGCAGTTGTTGCTGTTGCTGTTGAGTGTAACCATCAGTATATGGTTCATGGGTTGTCACACCCCAGGAATTGTTACTGCCAATACTTCTTTCATCATCATACGGGCTGCTTCCAGAAGCACCTTGGTATTCCGGTGAATCTACTGACCCGAGGCTCCGCATAGCAAAGGGTGTATCACATTGTACGTGGATTAATGATGGATAGTACTGACGGTAAGCAAAATATGCAATACTGGCACCTAATAACAATAACATCAAGTAAATTCTTTCATAAGCACAGCTGCTAATACATCCCCACGGCAAATAACTTTACCAAGTAATGCGCCAATAAAAACGTCTTGCCAATGATGTCGATAATCTCGTGTACGTGATATTGCGACTAACAGGGCACCCAATCCCGGAAATGCAAACAAAAAGCACTTGTAGGTGTGCTATCAACAGCAAAGCAGCTATAAGTATTACTACGTTGCATCTCAGACTAGGTATCTAGTAGCATATAGGAACCTTACCCCACGTTCATCAAACATGTGCATTTTGCCGCCAATGTAGAATGCAAGATATCCGAGTCCAGCAAAAGAGACTGATTTCCAGTAAAGTGATTAGTTACCTACTATGTCATACAGTCCGCTCCCACGCTCTCTTTCCCCTTTATATGCTGATGATTACGGGAAAGTCAAACTCACATGAGGAATGACCACTTGGAAAACTCTTGTAACCATCCTTCATAACATATGAATCAATTGGGGTTGTACAAACGGTGTAATTCGACAAGCCCATGGGCGGATCGACGGCGTCTGAGCTAGGCTGGCATCGGGATATAAAATCGGGCCGAGGCCGTCCGCTGGTGATCTATTTAGTAGTACAGTGCACGACAATGATGAGCCTAAGCGAGATATTAAAAAGCATGTGTATGTATTGTCTGGGAGGAGGGGGCATCAATAAAGGAGAGTAGTCAAGTTTGTGATTTGAGAGATGCGAGGGCGCGTGACATCTAGTAACATGCCAAGCCCCATCTTTCTAACGATCCTCAGCTAGTTTACCTTGATAATATCAGTCAACATGATGGTCATGGATAACGCGAGACAAAGTCCTAAGAATCGGGGGAAAAGGGTGCGGATTTGGGGGAAGCGAAAGTAAAGGATCAGCGATTTCACTAATTCATCTGGGCTGAGCTTCTCGAAAAGAAAAGGAGAGTTTACATACCAAGTACGCCACTATGGAAATCATGGATGCCTCCTTGTAAACAAAACGCAACGAGACCAATGAACACGATTGGTCCAATGAGACAGATCAACTAAACAAACATAAAGAAAGCGAAGAGCGTAGAGGAAGAAGTAGGACATTGTTAGGCCAAAATAAGTAAGTTAGGGAAATACAAGAAAAAGGGCTGTTTCGTCGTTGTATTACATACCGCGAGGGTCCAAGCAGGAACCGATTCGTGGACAGTATAAGAATGCATGAGTGATTCGTCTCGCAGTGAGAATTCACGGTGGAATGGAGGAATGAGGTCAATTCCAAAGAACACAACGGTCATTATAACGACAAGAAGCCAGTCCTTGCCATAGGAATAAAACAGCCGTTGCGTCCGTCGGTCTTTCCACTTGATGCCAAACATGGTCTTCTTCTTTTTCCTATCGGGTGCGTGTTGCTGCTAACTTTGAATAAGAAACAAAGGCGGCGTGCGAGCTGCTGGGTGTGGTGCGCAGAGTGGTGAAGAAGGGAAAGAAGTCAGGTTTTCAAAACGGATCGAAAACAAACATCCTCTTTTATAAATATTCGTAAGCCTGCTCTCGCGTAAGGAAAAGTTGCCGAACTTAGTTGCTACTGTTTGCTTCCACAGGTGCGTTGTGCAATTACATTGACTCCGACCATGATAAAGTGTGGGGTGGATGGACCAACGACATGCGACAGACAGCAACGGATATGTGATTTCCAATCATTTTCTGCATTGCTTTATTTGGTTGCCAAGCGATATATTTACAGTTACTGTCTTTACCTTTGAGAGATGCTACTAATGGAACGTAGTATAATGCGTCTGTGAGAACACATCTATTAAAAAAAGTACCTACTTTAGAAATATATGAAGAAAAAAATTGGTGGAGCACTTCAAACTGGTGCAACATATAATATTAGGTGTATAATGTCACTTGTTTCAATGTGCGCATGCGAGGCAGTGGCATATTTACGGGCTGCATATGTACTAGCTCTATATTGCTGCTGTGCATCTGCTGTTGATGATCATAATGTCACTGGTGCTGGTGCTTTCCTGATGAATGTCCTTGCTATTGATCGCTTATTATTAAGTGAAACAGCGACAATCATCAATCATGTAATAAATGGAACGTCAGGTAACGATCCAAGTTGTAAATATTATTGACCTCGTCGCTGGTAATACCACATAAGGCGGCTGTATTGTTCGTTGTATCATTCAAGAACCGGAGCACACGCGCATGTCCCCTTATGTTGCACACGTACAGGGAACGCTTTTAGACGCATGGATAAAGGTTCGTCGCATGTTACATCATCTGCAGCTCCTGGTTTTGAGATATATTAAAACGACATGTCTTACACAGAGCTTTAAGGAATATATCCCTCTTTCTACTATCATACCAGTCTGTTTATTTTCATTGTTAAGAAAAGCTTTCTAGTCCAAATTCTTTCTGACGTATAATTGCGACGAAATAGTTATCTTTACACAAACGCACAAAGCAGTTCCCACCAGAACTTTTGGTGCATACACACTAAAAGGTCTGCCCCTTCGGAAAGAGAAGCATAGTAAGGAAATGAGGTCATGCACACTTGTATTGTCCGGTACCTCGAAATCAGTCCCCAGATATTAAATCCCACTTGCAAAACGATTTTCGAAGAATCACCCAGCTGCTGCCACTGACTCATCAATTATACTGAACTTAGCATGTGGGATTATAAGCTTCTCTTCACTAATTTCTACCCGATCCTCGCGAATCTCATTTTTCCTGTGTCCACGAGACGGCAGTTACATGATAGATTGTGTGCCACGCCCACTTCTTCATTGATTTATAGGCAACTAGTCTTTATACAAGACCAGGGAATGTTTGACTACTATCACATATTCACATAGCTTTCAATCGACAGTTGCCTTTTGGCTAAAGCTTTTCTTTAGAAAAAATGCTGTACGGTGTGTACAGAAGTAAACGTCGTAATTCTACTGTTAGTCATGTGTTTCTAAACAACGTATATATTGATTTATATCAACCTATGATATAAACTCAAGAAAGATTAAAGAGATCTTTACATAGTGTCTGAACTCCTGAATGTAATTAGAATAAAAAGCTTCCGTCCAGATGTAAAATATCAAGAACAAGAAAGAAGAATTCACAATAAAGGATCCATATAACCAATGAAGAGGCGTGACTTGACCGTCAGCTTTCATTTGACTAATTGCACAGCCAAGAGAATCGGTCCACCGTTTGTTTCTGCCGAACGAAGGACGTTGTTAATGCTGCTACCTCTGCCGCAATATTCTTTGGCACTCGCTACATGACGCAATATAAAGGACATTGCCCATCCACCACGCGTATAATAATATTATTGCATCGTTTACTCATACATTCTTTAATATCTCGTGCCACGCCAACTCTTACCAACAAAAGTAAGCTGACTAATAGTCATAACTTTATCATACCGTCATTGCCATAGGCGGTTCACTGATGAAATTAGCAATCTGCATTGTATATGTGTATATCTGTATAGCATGATGTGCCACATAAATTATTCATGGAGGTTACGCGACAGAGATAATGCGAGGATGATAACTAAAATGACAAAAGGGTCATTCTGCGCCTGTAAGCGCGAGGGAGAAGTAACGCAAGCTCAAACGCCAATGACTAGGTGGAATCCGTCTAAGAAAAACGAATGGTCAAGAGGAAAGCGGTACTTTTTGAAACCGGAGAATAGCGGGGAAAAAGGCATCATACTTGCAATACCAGCGCGTTATAAAACGTCGTATAAGCCTTTTCAAACCAAGCTTCGACAACGCGAATCCGCAGCAGTCGGTGAAGCTTGACTTGAAGTCAAGCGTGTCTCAATTGTTGCCGTTGATGGCCATTTGTGTCAAACGGATCTTGCATCACAGAAACGAAAATTACAGACGCAGCCTCGTTTCTTTCTTTCAAGAACAACAGCAGGGTCCGTGCGTAGAGAGCACGGTGTCAAAGAGTTGCCACCGCTTTTTATGCACTTGAAAGAGATCCTAAATCTCAAACAGTACATTCACAAACAAAGTACAAAAGTACATCACAAGGTCGATCAGTACGCGAGGGATCTTTCTTTGTGAATTGGGATGGCATTACCCAACGAAAGTTCAACTTTCCGTTATAATAAATAATCAAATATAGAAAGCTTCTTGTGCTGATTATTATCTTTTTGTCATTTTCTTATTGTATTTTAAAGAGAAACCTCTTTTCTAGGAAGTTCCAATAGAAAAAGAGGGGAAAAACTCCTGCTGTCTCTTTTTTCCAGGAAGACAACAAAACCTGATCGAAGACGCAGGTAGTGAATGGTCGCTACGCAATGAGAGACCTTCGCCATTCACTAGTGGCGCCCGTGCCGTGTGTGCCCACAACGTCAACTAAGCACAAAGATGCCTCAAGGTTGTTGTATTACGTTGATGCAGCCCTAGGGCATGCTTCCAACAACCTTGCTACCGTTGAAGCATCTTTCGGGTAAAAATATCCACCTCAACTCGGCTAATAGCTTTCCAAGTCAAGGATTCACACAACACTTTGCGCTTCATAAAGTTTGTGTAAATGGAACTGAAGAAGAAAAAAATGGGAGGGGTGGGGGTTTTTTGGTATTCTTATTCAGACAATTTTTTGCCGTCACGCTCGGGTCTTCAATGAAATCCATCATTTTGATTGGCTCTCGTTTGTAAGGCTCTGGTTGGCTCATTTTATGGACCGCTTATATCATATGACGCAACTTGGCCCAAAAACAAAGGGAAGGCGAAGGAGATGTGTAAGCGATAGACGTCGTGAAGAAGTCAAATACGCTACAGCAGCAGTGATCGACATGCTATGTATGTTTCACCATGCCGATGTACCCTCCGATACTGTCGCCGCTTGTTTTGGAAAGAAGTGTCAGTGCACGCACCCGGCCTCCGCGTCAAATACAGGTACGTTTCGAATGCCAACCTGTTCAATGAGTACGCAAGAAAAAAAAAAGATGCGACTGAACAACTCAATTAGAAATGACAAGGAAGAAAGACAGAATGCCAACGATGATTAAGAACGACGGATGAGTGCTCGTGTGCGATCTGGGAAGCAGTAAGTGCTAAACTGCCAAGGACTCGCATCATTTGCCCTGGCGGACCAGATATCTACAAGTGATAATGTGGATTCTGTTCGACCCATGGAGTATTCTGTAGAAAGTTCGCTCGACCCAATTCCATTCCACGTTTTCATAGGTTGCTGATTTGTTATGTATACGGTGGCGAAGGTGTTTTTTTTTTTTTGAGATTCACAAAAATTGGTGAATTTATGGGGCAGGTCTATTTGCACACCCCTCATGCACACCCCCAGTCACACCCAGATAGGATTTCCGTTACACACACCCCGCTGACATTTCTTTCGTGCACACCCCCTCACACCCTTTTGACTGAAAAGAATTGGCAGTATGCATAAAGAAAATTGATACAGGATTCGTCTATTAGTCTAAGTATAAGGTGTTGGCAAAAAGAATTAAAAAAGAGAAAGTGGCAGGGAAAGTAAGAAAGGTAGCGAAAAAGTAAGAGGATCAAGTGTCAAGTAGCTGATTAATTATTTCGGTTACAGGTGGTTAAGTCTTCGCCCTCAGAATCAGATGCGTGAATGGGATGCACTTCTTCGTCATTGGGAATCGTGAAATTGGGAAACGGTCGAATAGACCGTTCAAAAGAATCTTCAAAATGGGGATACCAAGGATCATCGCGAATGCTTTTGTGTGGTCCACGACCCTCAGGGAATATTTCAGGCCACTGGATAGCTGCGTCGTTTTTGGTCATAACGAGTATGAAGTGGTTTCCAATAAGCTGGAGGACGATCGGGTGGGTGCGCTTGGCGTGTACTGGGTCGGTTGTTAAATAGAAGAAAATGTGCGATTGTGCGCCATCTATAACAATTGGCGTTTCGAACGTATCAGCGGCAATTTGACTGCATTCAGGCGAGACGAACCATTCACTTGAATATGGATCGAGTACTTTTAGTAAACGACCCTTGTCATAGTATTGGTAAAGCGTATTGGCGTTGGAGAGGTACTGATCGAGCATCTTGGTCTTGACATCGATGTATCGCTCCTCTGTGTTATACAGCTCAACAGCTAAGGCCCGAAAGCCACAGTTACCGTCTGGCATGGGATTATGCACCAATTCAACAGCTGATGGAGGGATCCATTTGCAAACAAGGTTGAGGTTGGGTACAAAGCGAATTTTTGGAGGAGGAGGGATGGTAAGTGCCATGTTGTTTGCTTCATTTGTTGTTGTTGTTGTTGGCTCCATCTTTCCGTTCCTATAGATATTAATAATTTAAATAAAGAATTGGCTATACATCTTAATGCATAAAACTTTACCATATTGCTGCAGCATCACGACCAATGCCGGTGTTTGCTTTCTTTCGGCTTTGAGAGTCTTGATGCTCTAAAGCGATCAGCTCACGCTTGTTGCTGCTGCTTTGTGGTTTTTGGGTGCTTTTGGGGATTGATTTTGGCTGCTGAAGCTGCTCAACGTCGATGAACATATCATCATTGATAGATTGTAGGTGCGCGAGGAGAGTTGCACGTTGTTGATTATCTGGAAAGCGGTGTACAAGATTGTTGAGGCGTGTGAGCTCTCCTTCGATTTGCGATTCCAGGCTTGGGGCTGTAAATGAACCAGTCATCGCCAAAATGTTGCTATTGCTATTGCTTGTTGTGTTTGGTTCTCCTAATAACAACAAAAATCAGCTACTGTACGTTACAAATATAACAGCTTTTACATAACAGCCATGACTACCTTGAGATGCCGTTTTCTCAGGATAAAGGTGCCAGCGTCTGGGATTTAAGCTTAAGGGGATTTCACCCTGTGGTGGAAGCACATGGCAGCACGGAATATCATAATGATACTTGATTGCACATTGGCAGTGATCAGTCTTTAACGGATTATTGACTGTTAGCTCGTCACGGATGGCATAGAAAGCGAACTTGGAAATTTTACGTTCCAAAGCTGCCAAACGCTGCTTTTGCTGTGGTGGGATATGCGAGTTTCCGCCAAAACTTTCCTTGTCGATCTGGCGCTTCCAATTCAAGTTCTAATATAAGGAAGAAAGCATGTAAGAGCCGCGTCACTAACGGATCAATATAATTACTATAAGAGATAAACCTTCAATCGATAAAACTCGTCAATTTGCGTAAAGGCAGTTAGGAGATTGCCACTTGAGGACATGATTGCCTTTTTCATGTTGGCATGCGTCCCTTCGACTCTATTTGTGCTGTCATTTCCGAAATGCTTTACATAAGTGAGGCGATTGCCTACCCACTTGTCTTTTGAAGCAAGCTTTCTGTATACCGAAAAAACATGTTTAAGTCCAAGTATCATGTGGTCAAAAAATCCGTGCTTATTCAATTTTACACACCTTTGCAAATAGTCCATGACAACGTCGGGTCTTTTTACTTTTTGAGCAGCCTCCTCATACATCTTCATTGCCTTTTCTTCGAGCTTCTCGTTCGAAATCGTGGATCGCATATCGTTGAACTTGTCTTGATACTCACTAGCCATTAAAAAATTGATAGCTTTCTCGAGTTCCTCGTAATGGTCCTTGACATCAAAAAGCTTGCGTAGGTTGACCCTGAAGTTGCGTCGTATATGGATCTTGCATAGGATCTTCTTCGCCGTTGGAAAAACGCGGTCGAGAGCACCGGTCAAAGCAGTTTCGCTGTCTGTTACAAACACACCAGGGGACGAAACCTGATCAAGTGGCCAAACGACAGTTTGAAGCTTGCGAATCACCCAATCGTAGCTGTCATTGTTTTCCTCTGATACCCAGCAGCCAGCAATGCAGAAAGTCATCAATTGGGGATATCCAATATTGCCAGTTCCAACAATGTTGATAAATGGCAACCGGTGCTTGTTTGTCTTGTGAATGGCGTCCAAGGTAACAACTTCCGGGAATTGGCGAGCGAGTGCGATTGCCGATCTGTGCGCAAAGAAGAGAGACTGCAAAAAGCGTTTGTCGCCTTCTTGTTTTGCTTTCCATTGGACTTCGTACTCGTTTTCTTGAAGCTTTTTGATTAGCTGGAACATTGCATGATCTGGGTCGTTGTTGAAGATGCGCTGACGAAGATTGGTGATGTCCTTAGGATGAGCAATCTTGTTCTTGCTGGCAAGATAAGACAATACAGCTTTGTTGGTTGCATGCGCCTGTACCATCTTCATAACGACCTCCTCATCGTGATCGAGTTTATGGAGCATAGGGTACGACGAAAGCTCGTTTGCCAACTCATGGTTATGACCGCCATCATAGAAAGAGACTATGTGCCATTGGTTGCTGGTCTGGTTCCAAGGACGAAGGATCATTTCGAATTTGCAACCAAACCGCTGAGAGTCCCTTTGACGAGTGTCGATCTTTTTACCCTTGGATGATGCAATGGCCGTGCCCTCGTCATCTACAATAACCATTTGTCTTGTCGTGGTCTTCTGCTCTTCACATACGCCCTTGTTGACTGGCTCACCATAATGCTTGCAAGCAATCTGGAGCTTCCTCTTATTTCCCGTCTTATTACTTCAAATAGTACGCAACGAGACACCATTTTCTTTGCCCCATACATAGCAGGCAGTCTTTGTGGCATCGAATCCATCCCATGTAGTGCTAAGTTCTTCTGGAATTGAGGTCATTGTTTTTGACATGATGATAGGTAAAGAGGTGTTTCATATATATTTCTATCTAAGCATATACTTTATGCTGGATCATTTCTTTATTGCAAGTTCGCATAGCTTCAGGAATAAGCTGCATTACTGTAACTTTAATAAAGGATGTGCATGACCAAAATATTTTGCACAATTTTCAGTCAAAAGGGTGTGAGGGGGTGTGCACGAAAGAAATGTCAGCGGGGTGTGTGTAACGGAAATCCTACCTTGGTGTGACTGGGGGTGTGCATGAGGGAGTGTGCAAATAGACCTGCCCTATTTTGCCTCTCTCTTTTCCTACAATTTTACAACTTTGCCCTGCACCACATCTTGGGATCTTTTCTCTTTTTCCAAGATGAGCTGAGAAAGACCTGGTGAGTACCAGGAGTGGGAAGTATTGCAATCGACAGCGGTCTACGGGCCCCTCGATGTGATGCGTCGAAGTATCTACTCCATCTTGTGCAAGCGTCGTGCCCTGCACCACATCTTGGCATTTTTTTTCCAAGATGAGCTGAGAAAGACCTGGTGAATACTAGGAGTGGGAAGTATTGCAATCGACAGCGGTCTACGGGCCCCTCGATGTGATGCGTTGAGCGCACTTGATGGAGTGGACATTTATGAAGAAGATAAGTCTCTTTTATTTATTTTTCTTATCTTTTTTTGGTGTCTCTGCGACTTCTTCTAATTTGGCTGCTTTTGTCTTGTAGAAGCTAGTACATACAATCACTGCCGAGGACCGATCGTTTTACGACGATAATAAATTTTGATAAAAAACGAACAGGTATATTATATTTGGATATAGAACTATAACCTCATTGATGAATCATGTGTTATTTCAAGCAAAACCTTGTGGATTAATAAAACAACAATAGGGAAGATTGCAACGAGTTGTCCAGCTTAAAGGCGAGAATAGTGTCGAGACGTTACTCAATATTTTGGAATAGCTGCTTTGGTATCGCAAAAGGAATTCTGATAGATAGACCTTACTTTATCATAATTACGATTACGGTCATTATTATCCTTGTTATTATAATTATTACTGTCGATGCTGCGGTGGTTGTTGCGTATTTCAAGTATCCATTTACTAAATTGTAGGTGTGACTTTTTTTAATACATTGTCAGGACCATGGGATTTTTTTTGTATTGGTCGTATATATGGTTGGAATACTTAGTTACACGTCGTAAAAAGGTTTTATCTACTGTGTGTTTGACCTCCACTAATTTTGTCGTTAATCGATTCACCATCCGTAGACGCGTATTCATAAACCACTTTTTTTCTTATATATTTGTAACGAGCAATATCATTAGATACTCATCAATTACTAAAGACAGTAAAGTATCCATCTTTTCGACCTCAAGCCCGTTTCAAGGCGATGATGACATGGAATAACTTCACCAAGGACTTGGTGAGTAATTTCTAAGAAAATGAAGGTGTGTTTCATGAGTTGAACAACGGATGCTGCCTTGATCAAAATCTATTACCTGACTGAGTGCCTAATGGCTTAGAAATAAATTCGTCAAGAGTGAAAAGAAAACTGACAAGATCGACAAGGTTGAGCTGGTAGATATGGATATGGTACCAGATATGATATTAAATTTATATATTTAGAAACAAGTGTGGCAGTTTGTTGCTTGTCGTAGATGGGTGATGATAGTAGTGACTTGCTGGTATACAACCCTCTTTGTGAATGGTTTTGTACATGGTGGTGAAGGCGAGGTATGATGAATGTATCTGTCTTTTGCGAAAAAGCAATAATTCGTTACTCTTTTCTTCATTAAGCCCTTTACCGCACAACCGAAAAAGTTGACGCACCTACTTCATTCCACTCAAGGAAGCATCCCGTCATCCAACAGCTGTCTTTTCGCGTCAGGCAAGGCGCCGGTTGTCGGCACCACTGGTCTTACCAGCACATTAGGCTGTGATTTCACAGCAGCAGCGACTTGACAGGTGTCAAGGCGTTCCAAAGATTGTTGCGTCTGATTGATCAAACTACCTACCTTCTCACTACGCCAGCGAGGCCGTAAAACGACAGCTTGCTTGCCACCGCACTGGAGTACTCGTTGTCTATCTCCTCCTCAGACATGTACTCCAATTTCAGCATCTTTTTTACATCCGGAAATTCAGCTTCCAGATCCAAGGCGTGATCCCGAAATGCATGAAATCTTCTCTTCATTTTCTATTGGATGTCTTAAAGCTCAATCTTTACAAGATTTTTTTAACCTGTTTACCTGGTTACGACGATGATACCGCCGTCTACAAACGACTGTTGCTGCAGAAGTTTCAGCTGTCCTACGACTTTTATATCGCTCGTTATCAAAGTGCTTATACACCTTCCTCTTTAACTGGGCCTCTCCAATGGTGTGGTTTGCATCGGCCAGCACAAATGCGACAATATTGGCCGCAGCAGCCTTGTTGTGAGGGGATCTATAGTCATCCTCGTACCGAAAGCTATTGTTTTCGCCAGGCCCTGTTCTGGTCCCGAACCGCCCTCTATTACAAAAGATATCACTAACATATTATCTTTTATTCTATTCTTCTCTTTTACTTTCTGTCTTACAGAAATTGTGCGGACACGACCTACAGGCCTCTCCTGTGTACCAACAGCAGGAACAGCCGCTACCGGTACGTACTTGCTCACGACTTTCCACATGTCGAGCCACAGCACTATCGATATTCAGCAGCTGCTGTACCATCGCTTTGTTCTGCGCTTATTTATACGATCCTCAATGGATCGACGCGCAACTTACTCGTTCTCCTGCTCTACGGCAAGCCGGCATGCTTCAATACGCGCCTCTCGTGCGGCTTCGTGTTGACCTAAGGTATCTGACATCTGTATGATACTTTAATATGCTATACGTTATAGTTACATAATGCCACTATTAAATTTATGGTTTACTAGATCGGACGTTAGAGAAAAAGGATGTGTTAATGCAAGTATTCGGTAGTTTGGAGGGAATCTTTACGTATTAAGATGATCCGTGCATTTCTTTTACTCCCTACCTTCTTATCAATATCACTGCATCATCTTTTTCTATGTATTGCATCTTAAACTGGAGATAGTAAGGATCCAACTTTGACGACTTCCTATGATAAAATACTTCTCACTGCACAATGATCTTGCTTAAAAACAGACAATAAACATTTAATGCTAAAACAGTGGTGCAACCTCGCTCCACCAGGGGGGGGCCCTTTGCGACGAGTTTCCGTTGAATGACAGACGGAGCGAAGCGGAGGGACTCATTCATCCGAGCGAAGCGAGGAAGGACCGCTAGTATACAGTAGAAAACAGTTTGCGATCTAATCTCGTACGCAAGAAGTTGTTTGATCATCGATAATGTGTATGACTCTTTTTTTCTCGTTTTCGAGATATTACACTTTTTAAGATTGCAAACTTGGCAAACGGTTTTCGTCTTTTGAAATCTCTTTTGCGATACCATCATAGATGTATGAATACGCTTTAGCAAATTATAGTTATCACCATGAGGTTCTATAGTCGTTCTCGGGCTTTAAATTGTTCTCGGTACGGTTGAAGATGAGTTGGTAGATTCGATATTGGTGAAGAATAAGGAGGGTTACCAAGGAGTATACTTTGGCCTCAATGAGGTGTTTTGAAAACCGCATGCGCTGCGTAATACGAAAGAATACGTATAGATCTATTTCGATCATGGTGACTGATATGCTAGTTCCATAAAACGAGCTTCATTGCAATAATCTATGCACCCGTGGGCCATCAGTCTTATAATAGGACAATGTAAACAGAGAGCATTTCAGTGTAGGAACCGTTTTGCACGTATTCGTATGGCAGCACAATTCAAATATGGCACAAACGATGGAAATGTGAGGAAGGAGTGTTGTCAATCAAGAATCAATGGTGTCATACTTTATATGATATATCTGGATACCAAGCATCAGTGTTTTTTTTTTATTTATTTGAAGGTGAATGGGTGGCTATAAGGAGGGTGGAGCGTGTATTGCGTGAGAGAACATATGTAGAAAAAACACATAATTATGTATAGAGGATGGTTGCTGTGTTATAGATGGAGAAGGTGGTATATATACTATGTATAATATCATAAATGCGGTGTGCGTGTGTGGAGGTAATAAATTTACATTCTGCAGCTGCTAAATAGAACAGTTCGATTTATGCCGCTGATGCTGAAGCTTCTGCTTGTTGCTGTTGCTGTTGTCGCTGCTGCTGCTGCTGTTGCTGCTTGTTTTCTGCCTGGCGCTGTCGCTGATGATAGTGTTGGTGTTGGTATTGCTGCTCCCCTGACGACTGCCTTTGCTGCTGATCTCTCTTGTGTCGTGACACGGCGGCAGCGGCCATGGATGTAGTAGAAGGGACGGAAAGAGCGCCGGGCAGCAAGCCAAGCCGATTGACAATTTCGCGTTCAATCTGTGGATAAATTTCATCGCTGGTGTTTCCGCGTAAGGTCACTGCAATGCTGCTGTAGTGGTCAAGGATCGGAGCACACATGTCCCTGTACTGCTGCATACGCACACGGAACACTTCTGGATTGTCATCCGGTCGCTTAGATAACGGCTCGCCCGACACATCGTCAGTGCCAGGTACTCGAGGAGGGTTATACGACAAGTTGTAGACACGACCTGAAGGAATGTGTACCCACCGGTCTATTTTTTAACATTTTCCTTATCAGCATGGAACTTTTTTTAAATTCTTTCCGCAACCCCCTTCTTCTTTATTCCATAAAGCTAAACACACAGAGCAGTTCCCACGGAGCACCTTAGTGCATACACAAATTCACAGTCCCAAAAAAGAAGATAAGAGATTATTTACCCATAATGCGTTCCAGGATCACGTCTTCCGGCACCTCGAGATTGATCACCAGATTCAACGGCTGTGTAAGCTTTTGTAGTCGTGCATCCAGTGCCTTTGCTTGTAAAATCGTTCGTGGAAATCCGTCCAGCAGCCAGTTCTGATATCGCAAAAAACAAAGAGAAAACCATGAAACGGAAATTATAAGCTTTTCGTTCGCATAGTCTTTTTTTTGCTCTCCTTCATTCCCTCCTTCTCAAAAATCCAATTCTTTGCGTCTCTTTGTCTTTACGAAAATAATGAAAATGATCATCTTTGCATACCGGGTTACCCATCGTGGCCAGCTCCTCGTCTATCAATGACAGCATCACTTCATCCGGTACCAGCTTGCCCTTGGTCATATAATCACTTGCTTTCAATCCAGCTGGTGTATTTTGACTGATGTTTCTTCTTAGTAAATCGCCGCTTGACAGATGCGCGACGCCAAAATTTTTTTGTAAACGATTTGATTGAGTACCTTTTCCAGAACCCTATTTTCAGCATAAAAATATATAGTTTAGTGTTATATGTCTTTATATTTTCCATCTTTCAAGTAAGGAGACAAAACAGAGCACACGTACCGGACTGCCAAGAAGCAACAGTCGTAAAGGTTGCATTTCGTTGACAGGGCAGTCATGGAAGTGCAATTTAGTACATTGCTGTAAAGTTGTCGGTCTGCGCACAGCGCTTAATGCTTGTCGGCTCAGGTACATGTTGGAGCAAAGAACAAGAGTAGGCGAGAAAAAGAAAAAGAGAAGAACGAGCCGAGTTTGGAACGCCTAATTCTAATCTCTTTTTTTTGTGTGTGAAATAAAGTGACTTGTTATGGGCAAGAAAGAGATAAGATAAGCTTGATCGCCCAATCAGGTAAGTGGAGAGCTTGAAACTGGAGAGAAAAAAGTCCTAATTCCGGCATGAAATTAGCTAAACAAGAAGCCGGAACATATTTTACCGTGCGTGGGTGCGTAACCAACATCACCAAGTAGCACCATAGCACCGTAGTTAAAAAGAAAAGAGCATGGCTGGCATACAAAAAAATCTTACTTCTGCTAGAACGGAATTCTTTATTGATGAGATGTGCAGCAAACTTGAAGAAAAGGTTGACTATGTAAAGATTATCAACGTTTTGCCACGAAACAGTAGTTGCTTAGTTGCCACCACATGCCGTTTAGTTGCTATGCCAATCATATGCATCATGTGTCATTTGAGTTGGTAGTTTAGGATCTCCTGCACAATGATCCTTGTAACCAAGAAACAAAAGCAGCAGGTGTAACCGTCACACTGAAGATGGCCAAGGCGTCTTTATTGAGTCGTTACTAATATTATTACTGCATCCCATTTCTTAGCAACATTTGATATATCCTACAGGCATCCGAAACGGTTGTGCTCTTCGATAGATTTGTCATGAGGAGGACATAAGCTCAAGGCTCAAAATTTTATAATAAGCGAAAACGATAAAATAATAATAACGCTCTCAACGACAGCCATACCATTTATACTATGTAATCGATGGTGATAAGGGGTTTGGCTCGGGTCGGGGTGGAGAGGAGCAGGGAGTCAAAGCTTATTTTATGTAAAAATCTCAAACTTCTATTTGGGTAGAAAAAAAGAGTTGCTGCTATGTATATCAGTATCATACATAAGCTTAGATGCCACAGTGTGCACCGGTAAAGTAGTAGCACATGTACAGTATAATCTATTAAGGTGGTGGTACAGTAGCAGCGCCAGTAGATTAATCAAGTATTATGTATACGTGAAGTAAATCTTGACGAGCTCTTGTGGAGTGCTCTCTTACATGATAGCACTCTATTACTCCTAGTCTGCGTGTGGCAGCACAACGCAAACAGGCTTGACTGCTACCACCACTGTAAATAGAAAAAGATGTACTATGTAGAGCATATATGCCATACATACAAATGTCTCATCGAGAAGCACGACATATATTATATGCACTATTTAGCTTTCTCTCTTCCCGCTCCACTCCCTGTACAGTATATCAAATATATCAACAGTGATGATCACACACAGCCCGTAATATCATATGGTGATTGCATAGTAGAAGACGTCATTTATTTCTCTATTGTGGAATCGCCACATTGTTACCTCCATCATTCCCCCCGGATATAGCAACTATAAGACAATTGCATGGGGTAACGTCTTGCATTTTGTGTAACACCAAAAGCTGGTTGTAAACAGGAGTGAAAAAAGAAAAAGGAAATCGCACGAGATCAACACAATGAAGCCAGAGTGGCGGGTTGGTACGTACTGATTACGCTCATAACCCTCACATAAGATGTCTTTTGTCGGTTGATGCATCACTTCATAAGCGAACGAAAAAAAAGGCAGGGTATTTTTAAGCAATCAGCACCATGTAAGTATTTCATATAGGCTACTGTGAGATTGTGCATCAAATCTTGCAGCCTTCTGTTTATTGTGCGGATCTCATTTCCTCATTTTGTTTTTTGCCCTAGCGCACAAGAGAAAAATCGATACATACAGCATGCATAGGCAATGTGTATATATAGAATATCATACAACAAGAAAAGATGCGTGAAAAGGAGGAGCTAACAAGAGCTTGTTCACTGTAGTACTACCACATACTGTTTTGTTAGAAAGAATAAAAGGACCATGATTTTTTATTCCTTTGCTTCTTGTATTTCTCCTCACTCCTCGCTCCTTGTTCTAATATAAAGGCAGAGCCATTCTCGCAAATATTGTGTGCACGCCACGCACGCATACACAAACGCAACGCATCATTTTATTGCCACATATCTTGAACACATGGAAACAGACGATGGTCTGTTTTGTACTACGATATGCGATGCATAGACGAAAGGGAGACCAGATGCAGCATGCATATACTTTTACTTTCACTCTCATCCTGTTTCTAAAAAAGAAAACTTAAAACTGTGTTAAGACTCATATAATTCAGTTAAACTCTCTCTCTCTCTCTTTCTTTTCTTCGTTTCTTTTCCAATACACTATTATTCCTTTAACTTATAAGTAATATATACTATGGTGCAAGAAACCTCATCATCCAACAAACGACGGTCAGCCTTTTCACGCTTTCGAATAGCATTATCTTCAAGGAAACAATCACCTCATTCACAAACACAGCTTCAGCAACAGCCTCAGCATCAGCAGCATATACATCAGCATCAATCAAACGAAAAAAATCTTCAGAACCAGCAAAATCCTCCCGCACACTCAGGCACACTCGGAAGACGGATAACACGCATATTGTTTCAGAATAATCGAGCATCATCATCACCTAGTGCTGCACCAGAACCAACTGCTACTAGTTCTACCGGGGCTCTTCTCACCAGGGCCGCAAGTAGGATCCGGAGAAACACAAAAGGCACGAACAAAATCGATTACGACGACTATTTGACAGCTGTCACTCGCAGCAATAGCAGCGGTTGCATCCACAAAAATGGTAGCAGCAACTACTATCCACAAGATGATATCGAAGTCGATGTGAATGATTTTGAAAAAAACAGTGATAGGCGGCACCAGTATTATCTCCATAATTATCGCAACAAAAGGATAACCAGAGATCTAGTTCAGCATCGTCATCATCAGCAACAGCAAGAGCAGCAGCAGCAGGACCAAATTCAGGAGCAGCAATTACAACCACAAGGGATACTGCGGCGTCGAGCGAGAAGCAACAGCGGCAGTGCATTAACGGCTTTGGCGGAAAAAGTAGAAATTGATGCTTTCGCACAAGAAATTCGTACCACAGCAGCCGCAACACCAGCAGAACATGCACTCCTTCCATCTTCATCATCAGCGGCGGCTGAAACCCCTGGGCCCTCACTCAGAGAAGCTCTGTGGCATTCCTGCCCTGGCCTTGACCAGTTTACTCGAACTACGACATGCAGTATGGAGAAATATGAAGTGGGTGAAACAACAATAGCAGCAGCAGCGGCACAAGTATTGAATATGCTTTCGGACGATCCTCCTCGATATTATGACTCGACGACTTCCGTCACAACAGACGATGACGAAGGCATCATGACCCCCGTATCAGCAAATGCATGTAGCGCTGTGGTATTCTGGGATAATGGAGCTGTAACTACAACTACTACAGCCGTTAGTGCTGCTGTGCCTGCTGCTTCCGAAGCTGGTACTTCCGCTCTAAGAACTACCAATGCTATTATTCCTGAGGATCACGAGGACGAAAATAGCAACAAAATCGATATTACCGGTACTGACTTTGGCAAATGCAACATCAACAGCAACGTAATTTTTAGCAATAGCACAATCCTTAGTAATAGCAATACCAGTATCAGCAATAACAACAGCATGAGCAACATCAGCAGCACTACTACTACTAGTAGTAGTAGTAGCAGCAGTAGTAGCAGCAGTGATGGAGCAACTATCAATATCATCTCAAGAAGCAGTAGTAGCTCGAACAACAATGACGACAGCGACGATGACAACGGACATGACGACAATCATGACGACGACGATGTTGATGACTATGGTGACTATGGTGACGATGATAACGATAGCAAGTTGACTATCAGCTTCAACAGAGTGCAATTGTCAGAACAGGTGCGAATGGTGCTTGGCGAGGCGTTTCGTCAAGCAGACGAGGAGTTCGAAGAACGGCAGGAGTGATCCAAAAGAGTCGCAAACCCCCACCTCCTCTTCTCCTCCTTTCTTCCATTCCATCTATTCCATCCCTACAACCCTCCTCCAACCCCTTCACGTTTTACAATTGTAGAAAAAGAAGAAAAGTAACGAAAGAGTTAGATTTCAACAAGCGATCGCCGCCGCCACAAACACACCATCCACGAAAAAAGTATATGTTTCCTTTTGTAAAAGTATTCCCTTTCTTTCTTTATTTCTTTTTCTATATAAAAAACAGTACAACAGCATAGAGCTATACAGTGAAGGACAACTATGTACATACAATACTACATATCACTAAATAATTTTATTTTCCAAAAAACCATAGATGAAGGTTGTTATGGATTCGGTTGTGTTGCTGGTACTATTACTATTTACTACTGTTATTGTGTTGCTGTTGTTGTTGGGGTCCCACATAAGCAGGATGGGCAAGGTATTCTAGGTCCGTATCACTGCGTTTGAGACATGTCAAACACACCTTGATATTAGCATAGCCAACAACAGCTTCCAATCGTTTAGGTAGTGGTCGCACCGTCATGGCCCAGACGTAGCCTTCCTTGACCGCCTTTTTGTCGATGGCCTTGGTTCCCTTTGGTGGACGGCCACGGCGTGGTGTCAGGGCAGCTTTGGTACACGTGACAGCTGAATTGTTTTCTTCGCGATAGTTCAAATGTTTTGGGTGTTGACAGTATCCCATCCGGGCATTCGATGTGCTTCGTCTTTTCTTTGTAGACTGCTGCCGTTGTTTCGATACAGCATTTCCGGCCTTCTTCTCAGTGGAAGCATCAGTGATAGCAGCTGGTGACTGTTGATAGTGGTTAAGATGATGGTCTTCCGTGCTAGTAGATGAAGGCGGTGAAGGCTCGTCAGATGGCATGCATGAAAGTAAAGGATCGTCGCCGTTTGACGCAGCAGCTGTCAAAAGCATATCGATAAGCGTGCTACTGCTGTCATATTCCAAAAAAGTACCATGATCGACAACGTGCTGCTGCTGGTCAGCATTGTCGTTTTTAATGCTGTGCAACCCAGGAGTGTTGCTACAGTCCCACATCCAGGCATAGTAGGCCGAAGCAACATCATGACCCGGCAAAACCGTTTGTGGTGTTATTGTTCCCAGGGCCGTTCTTTGATATGACTGCTCCTGGTTTTGCTGTTGCTGTTGTTGGGGGTCAAACGATATCATTGGATCAAAGGCCGATGTCAACAACAATTCATTTTCTGGATTGCCTACTAGAATACTGTTGTCGTAGCAGTGATAATCGTAACGTTGGTGAGGAGGGAATGTCAACGACGGCGTTCGTCTGACGTTAGAGTAATGGAACATGATTACTTTTTTTTTAGAAAGAGTAAAGTGAATGTTTGGATGAGCTCATTTTTACCAATAACCACTATATTTATAACTTTCCTTTGCTATTCCCGTTTTACAAAGCTTTGTAGACCTCTTTTGTTATTTGTTTTTGTTTTGTTGCGTAGTATGCTGAAGAGTGAGCAATCAGTTGGTGGTGCCACTCCTGGATTTGCAAGGGGTAAAGAACCAAACATACTGATCACGGCCACACAATCACCTGGTATATATCCATGATGATTCACACACTCACACTCGCCCAATTGAGGTTCACCGATCTCTTTCTTGTTTTTTGCCTGTACATTTTGTCTTCAGTATATACTTGATTATATTTATTCATTGACATTGTTTTAAGTACTCTATGCTAATACAAACGGTTTATTTAGTGAAAATGAGATCAAATGTAAGCTTGTTGATCTGTTTTTTTAAGTAAAGAACGAAAGAACGATTAGTAAAAAGAGAAATCGAGAACATGCAATCATCACAGCAGAAAATGACAAAACTTACTTCTTGGGGTTCTTCAATGATGACTTCCGCATCATCCTTCTTTGTCTGAGCATCTTCCAGAGGCTTCTTCAAGACCTTGACCATCACAGCGGTCTGGGTCTTCATGACTGCGTCTAATACGTTCTCAGGATCGCTGGTGAAACGGTAGTACATGTGGATATCATCGGTGGGCAGCAAGTTGGCCTTCTTTCGAAGACGCTGGACACGATTGATGACTTCACGTGCGATACCTTCCTGCTCAAGTTCAGGGTAGCGTTTGGTATCCAAGAGAATCAGAACATCACGATCAGTGTTGGTTTCGTATTGGGCGTTTCCTTGATCATCAAAGAATCGGACAACCTAAACAACATTTACATATAAAACCAACCATCGATTACCATCAGTTCCACATTTTGACTTGCCAATCTGTCCTCCTTTTTAGTTTTCCATGCTGAAACTTACGTTCAAATCCTCATCAGTAACCTTAATGCCATCAACAAGCATCTCCTTGTTCTTGACGAATTCCTTGACTTGATCGCTTGTAAGTGATGGCAAAGCCTTCTTGATCTTTTGCAAGTCCTTCTTGAACTTGGGACCCAAGACCTTCCAGTCAGCCTCAGCCTTGTATTGAACACCAAACTTGTCTTCATCAGAAGTAACGAGGATCTCGCGAACGTTGAGTTCTTCCACAATGTAGCTCTCCAAAGCCTTGATATCGGCATGGTACTGAGGATCGTGGTGGATGACGACAAGCTCCTTCAATGGCGTCTTGAGAGAAATGTTCTTCTTTTCACGGACGGTACGGCCCAATTCAATAACAGCTTGCATTCTGCCGACGGCACGCTCAATCTCAGGATCAAAGTATTCTTCACGGACAGTAGGGAAGTCGAGGAAGTGGACAGAGCGGTCATCAGCAACGTTGGAGTCCTTGGGTATGAAGTTCTTGAGGGTTTGATACATGTTCTCGGCCAAGAAGGGTGTGAATGGTGCCATGGTGAGACACAAGGTCAACAGTACTTCAAAGAGAGTGTTCATGGCTCGGGTGGCATCTTCAACACCGTTTTCACCCTATATCACAGAATAGAATGATATCTATTAGCTTCCATAATTATCTAGAAATATGGATTACCTTTTCAAACATTTACCTTAAGTCTCTTACGGTTGAAACGGACGTACCAGTTGGTCAAAGTGTCGATCAACTGGAGCAAACGAGGTACGACAGTATACAATCTGTAAGCGCCCATTTCCTCGCGAACGAATTTGATCAAAGATTGACAGCTAGCAAGTACCCAGCGATCCATGACATTTTCGGATTTCTTCATATCATGTTGATAGACAAAGTCAACACCAAATTGCTTCTTCAAAACAGCAGTCTGCGTGATGAAGAATTTGAAAGCGTTGTACCAGGGCAAGAACACCTTGCTGACAATGTCCTTGACACCTTCTTCCTTGAATCGTAAGAATTCGGCACGCACAACAGGCGAGTTGATCAAGTACAGACGGAGAGCATCGGCACCATACTTATCAAGAACAATGCCTGGTTCAGGGTAGTTCTTGAGACGCTTACTCATCTTCTTACCATCACTATTAGAAAATGATACAATTAGAATTCACATGTTTCTTCTCCTTTCATACGTCACTAATTTCAAAGTTATGACATTGTTTGTGTATCTCTCTCACCTGGCAAGGACAAGACCGCTGACAATGACATTCTTGGCAGGAGGTTTGTTGAAAAGATGGGTCGAGAGCACCAAAAGAGTGTAGAACCAACCACGGGTCTGATCAATACCTTCAGAGATAAAGTCAGCAGGGAAAGCATTCTCAAACTTAGAGGCGTTTTCAAAGGGATAATGCTGCTGAGCATAAGGCATAGAACCGGATTCGAACCAGCAGTCGAAAACCTCCTCAATACGGCGAAGGACGCCACGGCCGGTTTTGGAAGGAATGGTGATGCTGTCGATGCTTTCACGATGAATATCAGTGATGGGCGAGATACCGCTAAGCTCTTCAAGTTCTTTGATCGAACCAACAGCAACGATTTCCTCAAAGTCCTCGCTCACCCAAAGAGGGATAGGAGTACCCCAGTAACGGTTACGCGAAATGTTCCAGTCACGAGCGTTGGCGATCCAGTTGGCGAAACGCTTCTCTTGGACAAAGCTTGGTACCCTGTATAAGCAATGGATAGCAACAACAGCAACACGAATCGCATATTAATAATTGTCACGTGCATGGTGCCAAGTGGGGGGGGGGAGGGAATGCAAGTTTTTTTGAGAAAATGGAAATCCTAAAAGCATACCAGCGCATCTTATCATTGCAAGCCAAAATTTGATCAATGACCGGCTTGACACGGACGAACCACGAGGGAATGGCACGGTAAATCAACGGCGTATCGGATCTCCAGCAGAAGGGATAACTATGCATGAATTGCGATTGCACAATCAAGCGACCACGTGCTTTCATGTTCTTTTGAATTTCCTTGTCGGCATCCTGTTTGGTTTTGCAAAATGATTGATTAGCAAACGAAGAGGAGAGTAAGCACCCTGTGACTTTCTCGCTTCCCACAGAGTCACATAAACAAATAAAAAGTCATTGGTTTTTACCTTGACATATTGACCAGCAAAATCGGTGACGATTTCAGTGAAGCTGCCCTTTTCATCGATGGGGCAAGGCAAAAAGCCATCAGGATCAATGACGCCATGTTCCAAACAAACACGGTAATCGTCCTCACCAAAGGCAGGAGCGTTCTGGACAATACCGGTACCAGAATCATCGGTGACGTAGGTATCGACCATGACCTTATAGCCCTTACCCTTGAACTCCTTGACAAAGTAATCGAACATGGGTTCGAATTCCCAGCCTTTCATGTTCTTACCGATATAACGATCCAAAATTGTAAACTTGGCCTTCTTGGGGTCCTTGTACAGAATGTTCAAGCACTTTTGAAGCAGAATGTATTGCTTGCCACTAAGCTCGTCCTTGATCTTAATATATTCGAAATCGGGATGGACGGTAACACCCAAACACGAAGGCAGGGTCCATGGGGTTGTGGTCCATGCAAGAAGCTGGGTCTCGGGGTCGCTAACAAGAGGGAAACCGACAACGACTAGATTTCGAACAATAAGCCATTATTTCTTTCATCCTCCATACTCATATCCCAATGCCTTCCCCATCCTCAGATTCCACTTTGGAGACTTACTGGCAGGATCGTTCACATCCTTGTAGTTCTGGGACGACTCAAAGTTAGACAAGGGCGTATGGCATGCAGTCGAGTAAGGCATGACCTACATCCATATACACACACATTTGTGTTTGTCAGCAACCATTCAGCAAGTGAAAAATACTTCCATAGAATCTCTTGTTTTGTGTCCCATTACCTTTTGTCCACGGTAGACTTGGCCCTTATCAAACAATTCCTTAAAGACCCACCAGACACTTTCCATGAAAGTGGGGTTCAAGGTCTTGTAATCGTTATCGAAATCGATCCAACGAGCCATACGCTCAACAGTCTTTCTCCATTCACTCGAATAACGCATGACAATTGCGCGACACTCGGCGTTGTACTTGTCAATACCCATTGCCATCACATCATCTTTGCCCTAATTTATGTATATATATATATATATCAATCAGGCTCTCTCTCTCTCTCTCCAAGTAACTAACGGTATTAGTAAAAACGAGTTTCTAACCTTAATACCGAGCTTCTTGTCAATTTCATACTCGACGGGAAGACCGTGAGTGTCCCAGCCAAAGCGACGCTCGACATGGTGACCAGTGTTATGAGCATAACGCGTGACAATATCCTTCAAAACAGAAAATAATAAATTCATGAGTTGACAGAATCCCCCTTGTGGAGCGAATTGACCATATGTAAGGAAGGAAAAAAGTCTACTTTACCTTGATAGTACCAGCCAACAAATGGCCATAATGAGGAAGACCAGTAGCGAAAGGAGGACCATCAAAAAAGGTGTAAGGCTTCTTGTCCTTGTTCAACTCTAACGAAGTGTTGAATGCATCGATTTCTCTCCAGAACTCGAGGATTTTCTCCTCTTCCTTTGGAAAGCTAATGAACAATTACAAGAATATTATTTAATTCTCTTATTTGGTCATCCCACCCCCGAATAAAAAGTTTTGACAGCTATAAGTGGAATATTTATCGTATCAATTTTTTTTCTTACTTGAACTGTCCAGATACTAAAAGAATCAGACATATACAGAAAAAAGACGCGTTTATTAATGAGATTCAAAGAAATTCAAAGGACCAAGTCTGTAGTGAAACGATGCATTACCGTCAGCAAGTGAAACGCTCATTACCAAGGGCAACTGATAATACAAGAAAGTTCACGGAAAACAGATCTGAAATATACTCCCGCCGCCAAAAACTTCTGGAAATGAGTCACAGTCCAGCTGACGGACGCCACGGAATCTGCTCCGCAGCCGGGCACTAGCTGTCATTTCGTTAGGACAACGATTATTCTGGATATATCCATCCTTCTAGCTACAGATTAGTCATACTATGCTAGAAGCTACCTACATGCTAGCTTCTAAAATGGATGTTAGATACAGTCATAGGGTAAAGTTATAATATGCTATAATGCATAATGGAGAAACTTGCTGGAAGGAAATTCTGATATGAGTAAGCAGTTATGGCACAGCAGCTGCCGACGACCTTGCCGCAGTTTGCTATGCAAATCGCTTAAGTGAATGTGCATACCTACTATACATTGTGAGTCATATCCTCTTCGAAGGCTCAATTCAAAACGTCGTGATGATAAGAAGAAGGAAAAAATTGTAATATGTGTTTATCATGCTGTACTACGTACAACACATGTCAGACAGGCTGTCACTCTATAGGGTACGTATGTGTTTATTGCACTGCCATCAATTACTAATGATCATCTTCGCCTGGCCCAGGGCAGTTTTCCGCCAGATCCTGAGCATTATCGTATTTAGCTCCACACCAAAAGCAGTATGAGTGCTTGTCTCGTAAATAATCAACAAGTCGAGTAAGCCGTTTGTCCAACTACAAACCAAGAGAGATATTAGCATAGGTCGCCATATTAGATACGTACCAAGATCCAAGTGCAATTTAATATAAAGAGAAGAGAAACTTACAGGTAATGATCTGAGCTCTTCCACTTCTTCTTTGGGATAAGGTAATTCTTCCTCTTCTTTTTCCTCTTCTTCATCTTCATCTTCTCCAGCTTGCTCAGTTAATGCGTAACCTTTCGCTTCTTGTTCGGTCAGATCGCCATCACCAGTATGCTGTTGTTGCTCTTCATCTTTGGGACAGAATATCCAGAGAATATTTGACTAGACAAAGATAAAATAGTAAAGATAAGTGAGAGGAAGTCTTCTCTCACGCTCGAGAAAATTAATAGTTAAATGAGGTTAAGTCTTTACCTCAATTCCCTATACAATAGAGTCAGATAGTAATACATGTAGCATTAGTAACTGTATTGCTTCGCTTCATTAGGAAGTTATCAAGACATTTCAAAGCAAACAAATGGTACGTTTTACTGTACATTTTCTATATCCAGTCGTTCACAAATGGCAGCTGCAGCAGTACTTCGCCGATGTAATTTGGACTCTTTTGCTTTGTTTGCCATCAATTCGCGATATTCATCCGGATCAATATGAGGTCGCTTAGCCGCTTCTCTTTCCTCCTCTTCTTCCAGCGCTCGTTTACGTGCTTCAGCCATACCAAGACCCTCTCGACCTGAATACGATAAGCAGTTGACGCGTTCCCTCATTTATCAGATACTGATTGATACACGTATAGCGGGAACATAGCTAATAAAAAGTATAAAATAATATATTACAATACCTTGCTTTAATTCAACTTCAAGAGGTTTTTCTAGACCTCCTTCGGACTTGCCTAATTTCATGCCCTTTCTGTGTATGTGTGCACAAGAATACGACGTAAGTTTTACGTGAGATTTCCCTTTATAAATACGCGCACAATGCTTCCTGGTAAAAAAGTAAGTGTAAGATTACTTGAAACCCATTTTCATGAGCAACTGCATGCCCTTGTTGTTCTTGTCTTCTTCAAGATTACGCTTCAAGCCTTCTTCACGCGCTTCGCGCTGCAATTGTTCGCGCGGCTTAATGTGCCCCTTTTGCTTCTGCACCTGTAGCGTTCGTTGGCGGCGCTGGCTGTATGTTCCTTCACTTCGTGTCTTGCTTTCATAATCAGCAGCCTCTTCGAGGAACTTGGTTGACATGTAATCGTCTTCTTCCGTTTCGCTCATGACATTGAGGGAGAGATCGTATTAAACTTATATAGAGAGGCAAAAGTAGTCAAGGAAGTGCGGGTTTTACTTTTTTTTCCTCGTGTGACTCTTCGGTTGCATAACAGAACTGAGTGCATAGGTTGGCTTATGTAATTTATTGCTGGTCGCTAGGTAAGTTGCTAAGTAGTAAAAACACTCAAGTACAATATACCACTACTACTGCTAAATCTACTGTTATTGATGTTGCTGGTCTTCATGGTGATTTGGAGCGTGACGACGTCGTGCACGTTCTGCAACCACACCAACACCGGGGAATGGAGACTCTTTCCAAATGACCTTGGCTGCCGAAGTATTCTCTCCTGCAGAAGCCTGCTGCTGTCCTTGTTGCGATGCCTCTTGTTGCTGTTGCTCTCCGCGCGAGTGGTGGATTTGCTGTTGCAGTTGTGGTCCTGATTGCAATCCAGCCGCACCCACCATATCATGCTTGAGCACACCAACTTCACCTGCGCGTGTAGCGTCGATGGATTGACGCGGTGCGTAGCGTCTCAACATGTCCAATTCTCCCATGAGCACATCGTAACGGTACTTGACGCGGATATCGGGTACATTGGTCCTCTGCATATCGTTTCCTTCCACGCCTTTCTTGTACCATTTTCTACCAATCCAATGCTTTTTCACACGACTTTCCCAGCCACTTTGAATAACAGAGTTACGTGCCAATTCACACATGTCGGTCGGCGACAACTTCCAAATCTTTTATATAGACAGCAATCATTGGCTTAGTATACGGCTTACATGTATGTGTATGTTCTCTTTCTCTTTTTTCTGCCCGCCTTCAGCAATATTGTGTATTTGCATAGACATACCTGTGCTGCAACGCTATACTCCTCAATGAGCGGTTCTTTCGTAAAATGAAACTGCAAGGGATCGTCGGTAGACAATGAAATGTTCAGACCGCGTTGGAAAAATTGAGGAAGTGGGTTACGCTCATACGTCAAGAACAAGGCATTGTTCGAAAGGGGTGACATGGCAATACCAATCTGTGCTAGGTAATACAAGTACTGCAATGCAGGTACTTTACGCAATAGAATACCATGACTGATACCAAAAGATGTTAAAAATGCCGCAGTAAGATGCTCTGTGTCACCTGCTTCACCACAGTGAGGACGAAGTACAAAGGTGCCTAATTTACCACACATAGCATTAGTAGTGGTAATATAGCCGATTAATGCGCTTGAGAAAAAGAAAATAAGTACCCCTTTTTCAATCTTTTACTTACTGAAGCCACGGGATTTGCGCCAGTTGTTCAAAGAAGAGACATTGGCGTACATGTAGTATAGATAGTAGCTATAAGGTGGGTTATGCTTGCTATCCCACTCACTTGGTGTCGGGAATTTTTTAAACATGCGTCTTTCTGGTTTGGATTCGTCATCGACCGAGTCAAAGCCAACGACACGTTGCAGGAAAATATGTAGTTCTGGATGGTTCGAAGGATTTTTGGTGACCTCAAACAAAGGCTCAAAAACGTCTGTGGTAATTTTTATGTATGAGTAAGTGCAACAGAGCCATCTAGGAAAATTTTGTTTTTTGATCTTTTGATCATCTCGTCATGCAACAGGTACTTACTGCGAACGATGTCATGGAAACTGTCGACAGAATTGGATGATTTGTAGATATTGTACAAGCGAGGTATTTGCACCAGCCAACGTACGTTAGGTGAAAATAATCCATTGTTTACGACCCACTTGGCTAACTTGTCCCATTCATCCTTTGATCTTAAAAAAGCAATAGGGGGTTTCCACGTTCACAGTGAGTACGTCATGTTGTAATAAAAGCATTTTTCTCTATCATACAAGTGAAATGCGTATGCCCCTTTTACCTTCCATAAATCGATACACGATACTCGACCATTTGATACTTGGAAGACTCTAAATCCGATACTACCTCTAAGGTGTGTTTAATAATATGCATATTAATAAGAGCCTGTTTCAATACATCTTGTACTCCGTATTAATACACTAGAATCAAACTTTACCCTTTGTGATTTCTGCAAGATATCTTCCTTGGATGTAATTATCGGTCTTCATAAAAATCTCACGCAATCTGCTTTCTCCAATTGGATTGTATTTCAGGTTAAACTTATCGAAACGATGAAAAGAGTCCTTGTGGGCCTATAAAAATAAAAAGAAGAGGAGAAGGATATGGTCATCAGATTCATTACCGAGATATTAAACGAGCTTGAAAGCATAGCTCAGTGAGATAGTAAGTTTACTTACGTGCATATCAAGAGTATCAATGCTAAGATCATATGCTGTCAAGTTCAGACTTTCGAATACGCCTTTAAGAGTCAAGTGCTGCCCATCACGATAGATAACCACATCCTACAAACAATCAATCAAACAATAAAAAGCAGATTAGCTCCCTTACACACACATGGATTCGATACTGACATCCAATAACCTATATGTAGGGTACGCAAACTTACATCGGGTGACTTCTTCATCTTTGATTTGATGAAACGCAACAAATGCTTTTGGTTCATGCAGCTGGAATGGTGAACGTGAGTATCAACTTTACGCACGTTGTAAAAATCTCTATGGGGTACCCTCTGCGAATGGAAAAGAATCAGCAACTGTGTATATCGCATAGGAAGCGTGTATGGTTCTTTGTTTTTTCTCGCCCATTGTTACCTTAGAGTCGGCAAGTTCTTGAAACTCGTTCAGCAAAGTGTACATTTGCCATTTTCCATCCAGGTACCGTAATCTTCGAAAAGCAAGACTCTTGGCTGGACCATCGCTATGTTTATAGGTAAAGTTATTCATACATCCACACAGATACGACACCACATTATAAACACAACCCACAGAGATCGAGATAAATTATTACCTGATTGTACCTAGGACCAAGTCCATGTCCTGGAAAAACTCCTTTCGGCTTGGGATATCATATAATGGCTTTTCATCGAATTGATCTATGGGGATGCGGAGACAATGAACAAACCCGATGATGACGATGGCGATGACGATGACCAAAAAAATCTTATGCAGAATGACATTTCATACTGCGCCTTACCTTTTTCGGTTTGGTACACTTGGTAAAAGCCTTCGGATCCCATGCCAAACGTAAACTGCATAAGCCCGACCATACCACGAAAACCACCACAGACATGATTAGCTTGAAGTCAAGAGAGCATATATTGCACCGCATGATGTTGATGAGTGTATAACATTGGGGGGGAGACGAAAGAGTTATAGCTCACCTCATGGTCGCCAGGAATTTCGCATTCTTCAAATGAAAAGTCGCTACCCACAGCGCCAATTGGATCGGCCTCACGCTTCTTTTCCTTTTCCTTTCGACGAGTAATTTCTTCAGGCGATGGCAATGGCCATGATGGCTGGGGTGGAGCTGGATAAATGTTCCAGTCATCCCTGTTCCTGGGATCGTCTTCTAAGCGCTGGCAGGAACGTCTCATGTACTTTTCCCGCAGGTCAAGACATGTCTGCAACGTTTCATAAAGCCCACGCAGCTCGGCAGTGACGGCCGCATCTATATAAAATGTTGTTTATTATATCAGTATTTCCCTTATCCATTAGGGTGCATTCCGTTCAACGTTTGTTACCTTGCGTATCATTTACAAAATCGTGCAGTTCCTCGACAGTGTCGCTGCTGGCAGGCACTGATCCGTTACTGTCGTCAGTCGTTGTAAATGTTGTTGTCGGTGTGCCAGTTGCTGCGGGAGGAATGACGGCAGGTCGTGGAACAGCAGGAGGTTGATCGTCAACAGGTGTGCTTGCATCGGAGTCAATGCCAGAAGGTCCACCGGTAGGAGGCAAGTTCTGACCAAAATATTTGCTGTCATGCTTTTACATATTCATTTTTTTAACACTTGTGTCAAAATTTCCACGGAAACATACTCACACACAAAAAGAGGGCAATCGCAGAAAGAGAGGGATTGAAACTTACGTTTTGGATCGACATGCGATGGTGGTATTCGAAAAACGGCGTCTTTTGATCAGCACCATAGTTGTTAGCTTCTTCAGGAAGAGGACTATTTGAAACCGAAGAAGTTTCAGAGCCTGGCACAGAATTCGCCATGAGTAAAATGGGGAAAAGTGAAAAAAGAAGTGAACGGAGGTACGGAAGGGAGAAATGAAAAAATACGCGTTTTGAGCGGCGGGAAACTGTTGGAAAGAATTGTTTCAATGTCGAACTTGTTATAGACTCTACAATCGCCGGCCCGATGCAGCGTTACACATGATTCGCACGCTATTAGAGAGTAGAACACTATCTACAATTTTACACCTTCCAGAAACCAGACAGTGTATATTCTACCATTACTAGACACTTATTTCTCTATTTGATGTCCCCAGCGAGGTACTACTCGGTTAAGGTGATGAAGAACCTAGATCGAATCATCGTCACCATAGCATCATGTGGCCAACACTAGCGCCGCCATGTGCGTTTATCTTCTTGGACGGGACTGCTCGATCGCCAAATGCAACGCCCGTGAGAAAACGCAGAAAGGTGGTATGCATATCCTGTATGAATAGGGGGTTTATAGGGCTTGTTGGCTGCTGTAGCAATAATTTAGAGCATGAATGTGTATGATGCATAAGCGATTTTCGCATAATGAGCGTTACTTCCAAAGTCATGCCGAATCAAAAGCTATATATCAGAAGATGAGCGGACATCAAGAGACATTGGCTCACAAAGCTGATTCAAAGGCGACGAATGACCGAAAAACATGTACAAGCAAAGTCAGGTACAAGTGTGTAATTACTTCTGAATTCTATATTTACTATAACACAGAGTATAAATTATTGAAGACAAACAATTCGTTGATCCTTGAATCGCCATCTTTTCCTGTTTCAGCTATTTTAAAAAGAAAGAAGTTTACTCAAATCTAGAGAAAAGGATGGCGGGCAAGGCACGAACAGCTTTGTAGGTTTTCGACAGTAGAAGGAATTTGGCGCACCAAATGAAAAAAGGGCTGAATGCTAGCAAGATTGCAGACAACGCTATTCGTAAAGAACGATATCATTGTGATTCCGAAGAATAATCAGAAATTCTAGCTATTGACGGTCCTACATATCTCAACATAAATCTAGAGATACACCAAGAGATGAAGGAGCGCCTGAAATGAGAGGGTAAGCTAGCATACCCTTGAGTCAAAGATTGCACACTTCTATTACGCAGCAAATCATATTTCATCGACGTTACAGTAATGATAGTCAAAGGTGACAGATGAAGCACGCCACACCATGTGTTCTACTATATATTAATAGAAATGAAGATCAAGGTGCAAGCCCTTGTGCTACTGCTCACAAGAGCAAAATAGCATAGTTGCGCATTCGTTGTCAAAGCCAGAGCACACAAGCAGCTATAGAAAGCGAGGAACAATATGCATCATATGCATTACTGAGTAGTGTCTTTATCGTAGCTTGACGTTAACACCTGATGGACGAAATGTTGACCTTCTATAATGGTTTTGGCATTCATGGATGAGCAATTAGCAAAGTTATTATATGCTGTTATACTATTTCAATGGCAAGAAGAAGGGTTCATCGCCATGAATGGTAGTATGATAGTAGCACTAGCAGTAGTAATTAATGTACAGTACGGCAGACAGCCCATGCTTTTTAATCTTTAAAATGTCGGACAGTATCACTAATGTTTGTCTGGATCCAAAGGCTGTATACACGCCGTATTTAAGTATGTGATTGACGTCTCTTCGTCATAATGATATTGAAACTGATATATCAGTATATTTCTTCGTTCTCCAACTACTTTTGTGCGTACAAGGGAAACCACACTCCGTTACTGTTATATCAGCAATGAATACATTACATAAGCGGGAGGACAAGAGTCCGGGATTGGGAGGGTATTAACACGACATGTGCCTGGTCATTTATCGGCAGTATGTAAATCATCATCATTAACAAGCTACAGTTACTATTTTTATATGGCAGCTACAAACCTCTTTTCCTTTAGATCAAATGCAATATGTATATTTTTACAGGACTTGGCAAAGACAAAAGCAAGAGCATATTCTGTATCACCGTGCTTAGTCATTTCCATGTAGTATAAGGCCGCTGCACGAGGCCGAGACAATCAGAGGGAAAATGACTGTTTATTGCTTATTGAATTTTATCGATTCTATTATTAATGGTTCTTGTCTATTTCTCAACGTGTCGAAGTGATTGTATACACGATCCTCTCATGTATTTAGTATTAAGTAGTAGCTAATCATTTAGGACATTTTGACATACCTTACGGACACCCTTGTCAGCGGCTCTGTCGACGAGCATCTCTGCTGATCTGAACTGGTTGTTGAGATCACGTACGGAATGGTTGTCGTTCTTGTAAAAATAAATGGGTCATGATCTGAGTACTGATTAGGAGAAGTGATCGCAGCGGCCATGACTGTAACAGCAAAGTTGGTGACACCACAAACACACTGGAACGTCACTTTTGCTGGCACACACATAAAGATGTCATTGAAAGAAAAACGAATGATGGTGATTATCACAGTAATTTTGGTAGACACTACAATAATGGCAAGGAAATGATCTTCCTTAAGCTTCCATATATTTTTAAAACACACCAAGTAGTATGCCATCAATAAATGTTACATGCATTGGGTAATAGGAAAAGCTTGCAATAAGGCGAGAATAAAGTGTGTGTATCCGAGAGTGATGATGAACAGGGTTCCACAATCGCCACAATATCGCCTGCATCCTCTTCCTCCTCTGTTTCATCATACATCAACAGTGCTATCCTATAAGCATTAGTATCCATTTTTTTGCTTGGCGTTTTTGTTCTAAACGCGACAACTTTATTCCGAAGAGAAACATGACATGCATCAAAAAGAGAAAAACGCCAAGGTAATACAAGGAAAATAAGCCCGTTATGGTAAAAATAGAGAAAAATTTATATAAATCGGGAGAAAAAAGGGTGATGTTACGCAAAAAGTATAAGGTAAGGAATAATATTTGTACTTGATCACAGACAACGCCAGCGAGCGAGAGAGAGAGAGACCGACTCTGGCCATTTTTCTTTCGTTTTTAGCAGCAAATTTCATCAATTTCAACTATATGAAAAACGGCAAATAGGATACAATTTCTCTCTGTCATCAGTACTCACGCTACATACTACATACAATTACAATTGAAAACACAAAAATAACTAATAATCACTTACAGCTAATATATGATCGGACAGTAAGATTAGTTCAACACAAAAGTTGACGGTTTTCGTTAGCATAAAGGATGTCGACATGCACACTACACAACAACGTTCAATAAAAAAAAATCATACCAACAGATGGCTTCAAGAGCACAGCAGCAGCAAATAGCGGCCAAACAATCTTTAACGCAACCACCACCGCGAAGACTATTTCAAATAAACGAATCAGATTCAATATAGTTCGTACAACTCAACGACAGCCCCAATGTGAGTATGAAAAAGAAGGAAGCTTACCGAAGCATCGAAGAGCTCTCTTCTATATATATTTTTACAAGTTATCCCAGAAGGTTTTTTTTTTAACAAGATGAGCGGAAGTGTCGCTGGTGTCAGTATATCGTGCACATGTATCATCTGTTCAAGGATGACTCTTCTTTGCTGAAATGTATTTTCCTCAAGTAAACCGCACTTTACTCCAACCAAAACGTATACATTACCTTGCTGAGTAGGGACATGTTCCTGAGTAGTGTTGGGAGTCATGGTCTGAGTGGTAGGGTAGGCCGAGGTGGAGACCATTTCGTGTTGCTCTTGTTGAGGCTGCTGTTGTTGGCTATGTACGTAAATCGCGACGACATTGTATTAGTGTCAGCAAATGTTAAAAAGGAGAGATATTTATGCCCAATGTCCTGTGGATATCCAACAACCCCAACAATTCATGATAGTTTGCCAAGTAGCCTTTCATCGTTACCTTGGGGACATTGTTTTGGGAGGTTAGGCGCAAAAGGTATAAAGAAAAGAGCAATGAAGGTTTTACTGTTAGCAAAGGACGAGCCCTTTTTATAGATGTTTAAAGATCCGTTTTTGGTATAGCCGATGGACAAGTGCGGGTAGCAGTTAAAAAAAAAAGAGTTATTAACGGTGTGTCTGTGTCCTGTGTTCAAAGTCAAGCCGCAAAGTAAGCGAGAGCGAAAAGATACTCAGCTGGAAAATGGTAAAGCCCTCGCTCTTCCTTCCATGTAGTTGTCTATCCCCTCCCCCTTTATGCATTTTATTGACGCAAGGATTAGAAAACCACCCGAACGAAACGAAAATAGTAGTACATCATAGCAGCCATATGCAACTTTTATTCTTTCAAAGCTGAAACCTGCTCAACTCGATCTACGAATTCATTTATGCGACTCATCATATCATCCACCACAGGTGATCGTCGTACTTGGAATACTTGAACTACCAAGGGAAGCCATCGAGAATGGACGATATCGATAATTTGGTCAATAGGCTGTTTCCATTCGTCAGACATGGGAATAAGCTCGGTGGTTGTCTCCATATTTTCCTCCTCTGCATCACTGTCGCTATCTTCATCGCTATCATTGCCGTTACGGCTTTTAGGAGGAGCTGTGGACGATCGAATGACAAGCGTCCGCTGAGTGCCCTGGAGAACAGTATCGATCACAATAGCCAAGATCCGCCAGCCAGCGAAAAATGCCGCCATGGGACTACCCACCGGTGAAGATGGATTTGGGCATGTCCATATATGGTCGTTCAAGAACTGCAAGTAGACAACCGCCTCGTTAAAACCTTTCACCGTCATGCCGAATCGTTCCGCCAAACCTTTGCCAAAGAATTGTGGAAAAAGCTTGAGGTGGTATGTCGATAAAACCGCATGGATCGATCCATACGTCCAATGATACCGTGGCACTGGTACCTTCTCCTCCTCCTCCTCCTCCTCCTCTTCTTCAGCGTCTCGGGTGGTATTATCAGGGTGCAGCAAATCTTCCATGTACGGTTCAATCATTCGGAGCGAGTCTTCGTCAACAGGTTTGAGTCCATGAGCGAGAGCAGCGAACGCCAGCGTAATTTGCTGCACATGGTCTTCACGCTTGCCAATAAAAGGTACACTTGATTTGATAGTGTGACACTTGGGACACTCCCATACACCTTTGTGATAGTAAACTTGTTTACAGCTGCCGTGGATATCATTGTCTTGACCGCGCGACCAGTCGTAGTCTGTACACCGGGCACATGCGCACTCGAAAAACTTGAACTTGTGGAGCTTAGCCTGGCGTAGAACGGTGGTGCCACAGACCAAGCCGCCTAATGACATGTCATCTTCGGGCAAGTATGAAAAGGATAAAACGGTACCAGGTTCCATGGCACGGACGGCGCGAAATACCATGACGTTTTCGGAGGGTTCGTACTGGAGAAACAGGTTGGGTGCACAAGCGTGTGCAAATTTGGATCCCCAAGCCATCAAGCAAATCATGGATCGCTGTTGCGCTGCTTCCTCTTCTGAAAGACCAAATCCACTGGTGTCGTACGGCTCACCCCATTTAGGAGCGTACATCTGGCGCCGTTCTTTTCTTCGCTTGTGTGTCTGTGCCTTTCTTTCGTGTGCAAATGAGACCGTATGTGCATTGCCGTATATCTTGAGAACAAATCTGGCCATATCATCGGCATCTAAGTCCTTAAATTCAGGTAGCGTCGAAACGGCCGTGTGTGATGCCTGCTTGATCAACTGGACCGTCGAATGCTGCTCGCTGAGTTCGGGATAGTAGAAGAAATCATATTTGGGTCGTTCTATTTCGCCAAGCGAGAGATAGGCGAGCATGGCTGCTGGTACACCTGGACAAAACCCTTCGTCCTGTACAATGTCCTCCAAGCTTTTCCATAACTTTTTCGTATAGTGTGGTGACAAGGACGATCGGCAGTTGGGTTGGAGTAAATAACAAAGTCGTGGATTCTCGACGAGTACAATGTCGCCTGGTGACAAGGGTCGTTTAGCGACCAGCGATCGACCTTCTAATTCACATTGTCGCAATTCCACCGTTTTACTGAAATCGTCTTTGTTAACTACGGTCGATAGATCGTATTGATCTACTTGTTGCAGCATATTTTTTTTTTTTTTGGTGTCAAGTTGTAGTAAAATAACAATTAGCTCTCTCTCAAATCTCCAACACCGACGAAACGACGACGGAGAATGAACAGCGACACTTACATTGTGTGCCAAGTACATACAAAGCTTTGGTTCATGGCTCTTCCCGATTCCCTTCAAAAAGTGCCTGGGGTCACTCCTGATGGTGACTCCAACCAACCCAAGGAAAATCCACCAACACATCCAAAACGAACGTATGCTCAAGCAGTTACCCAAAAACGTCCGGAAATCAGTCGAGGTCGTCTGATAACCCAGCTTAACGAATACGTCCCTGAAGATGTAAAAATGACACTTGGCAGCATGGCAGCCGACGGTCAACCAATCGCATCCCATTTACTTCGTCGAGGAACGGAAGAATACAGTGTTTTCTTTGATATGTCGACACGCTCAGTCAAAGAGGACGCGTTTTTCCGAGCAGCTCGAGAAACGTTTGAAAACTGGGATGAGGCCATAGGTCTCATCCACCATCGCGAAAAGAAACAAGTCCTGTATGAGATGACTTTTGCAGACGAAGACATCTGCAACCTGGCACTGGAAAAGGGCGTTACCGTCGGTGATGTTCACTTCCCGGCTGTAAGATCGCTCCCTCCGGAACACGATCTCACCAAAGTACAACTCGAAAAACTGCCTACAGGCGTCAAAATGTATGAGCTGGAGGTCTTGTTGCGCCAAACACTTACCCAATTCGGACACGTGTTGCAACTTGGATTATACCGCTCTGTAGAGGGTGGTTGGTTCCAGGGTAAAGGATACGCAGTGCTCATGAAATCTAAGAACACCACCCCAGAGTCGTACAAGCCCCTCACCCACAAGGTCGAATTCGGTCTCGTGCAAGGCCGAGAACGGTCTTTTTACGCTACTTGGCAATCCATGGGTGATTACTGCCGATACTGTCACTCCCAAGACCACACTCTGAAACAATGTCCAAGCCGCGTTCAACCAGAATGCTTCAACTGTGGAATGATCGGTCACTATGCGAGAGAATGCGATCATCCCCACAACGCACTCCCGCGCAAACAACCAAAGACGACGACTGGTTCAGCATCGCCAATAAAGTCGACGACAACCAGCAAAGGTCCAAAGAAGACCAAAACCCAACAATCGCATCCACCAGCTCAACATTTAAGTGATACACAATCTGATCATCGCTCTCATAATGTTCACTCGAAGTCAGCTTTGGACAAAACGACGATTACCATTCCAAACCCGAATTGTGAACAAGAGCGTGAAAACCAGGCTCAGCTACACTCGAAGGTCAACGAGGCCACACCAAAGCAACAACCCAAAGGGAACTCAAAACGTCGAAGTTCCCAGCCTAAACATGTACCCATGGTCACCGAAGAACCGCTCAGCGACAACACGGATACCTCAGACGAAGAATTCACACCCCCAACAGACGATGAATCATCATCTCAATCATCCTCCGATGAAACTGATAAGGATGAAACAGAAGACATGATACTCTGCTCGGACGAAGTGGATGCATTGACCCAGGATGCTACCCAACCGCTTCCGTCGGCAGCAGGAGATTCGGATTCCGCCTTCACACTTGAAGAGCACCGGAACACGCCGCCTATCAGCACACCATCGGGTGCCTCGGCCTCGAAGCACAATCCCCAGCAGCAGCAAAGTGAAGACTCAAGCGACGACAACAAATTCGACGCCACTGAGTCAACGTCCCCCGACAGCGGTCCACAGCACGCCAACGACTTGATCACCGGTCACTCGTCCGCGGAGACTATGGCCTCTGATTAGATCAACCCCTCCCTTTTATTTTTAAAAAAAAAAAAAAAAAGGAAAGCAAAGAAGTTCAGAAACAGAGAAAACACAAAAACAAACCAAAAAAAAAAAAAACAAAAACAAAAAAATGACACTCACTATTGGTTCGTTAAACGTTCGACATCTTGTCAAACATGACCCACACAACCCCAACAAAACAAAACACTTCATCCGTCATCTACGCCGCCAAGCCCTGCACCTGCTGGCACTTCAAGATACGGGCACTCATAACGATGAACACAACAAAACTTTACAACAACGGTTCTGTGCTCGCGACAGTTCATGGAGTAAACACTGTGCCATTATCAACTTTTCTCCCCTTGTCAACATCCAACATGTCTTTGCGTCGCAAAGCGGCCGGATATTGTTGGTGACGGTTACACACATCAATAATGAATTTCCACCGTTCAACATTATCAATTTTTACGCGCCTGCCGCCTACAGGGATCGGAAAGACTTTTATAGTCTCGAACTCCTTCCAATCCTGCAACAGCAAAATATGATTCCGCATGGTGATAGGTTGTTTATCCTTGGAGATTTCAACTATTCATATGCGCAGCGCGACTCATCATTCATGAAAGCAGCACCAAAAGAGTGGTGCGCACACTTGAATGAAAACTTTGTCAACCTGATGCTGCCGTCGGACGGATCCAATAACCTCACGACGACATTCTACAACGGACGAGGCACATCGTCAATTGATTATATATTTGCGTCATCATCACTCTCCCTGCTGTGTTCGGCACCCGATGTCCGCCATGTGAATAGCAACTGGACGGACCATGCATTGATAGTGACCAGCATGCGGGCCAGTAATATCCGGCAGGGCCAAGACATATGGAGAGCCAACCCACTTATTGTCAACTCGGTACAGTTTAAAGAAAAACTGAATTCAGCACTCTCATCGGCACATATAAGAATTGCCAACATAGCCTCGCCACAAGAGGCCTGGGATGAAGTCAAAAAGATTGCGAAAGAGGAATGCCGTCAATATGGACGTTATCTAGCCAAGAAAAAAGACCATCGCGAAAAACACCTACTTCGTCAACGTAATAAGATGATGCGCCATTTCAAGACAACAGGAAGTCGACCTCAGCGCCTTGTTGATATTACCGCCGAGCTCAACAAGATTCAAGAAGATCACGCTAGAATTTTAGCTATCAAAGCTAATGTCCGCTGGAGAGAGCGTAGCGAAATATCGGCCGGCTATCTAAAACGCACAGCACAACAACGAATGGCACAAAGGAACATCCTCCAGCTAGAACATCCAGTAACAGGCATCGTAGACTCTTCGATTGATCATATGCATCAAGCAGTCTGTTCATTTTATTCACAATTATACTCACCGGAACCGACTGATGCAGCAGCAATATCAGACCTGTTGGACCATTTACCGCCATCATGCGTGCTCTCACAAGACTCTTGCGACATCTTAACAGAAGACATGACTCTCGACGAGTTACTTGACGCAACCAAACGTGCACCGAAAGGAAGCAGTCCGGGACTAGACGGCCTGCCCTATAACATGTTGTCTACCATTTTCAAACACCCGTTATATGGCAGAATGGCTGTTGATATTTACAATTCAGCTTTACATCAGGCACTATTTCCAGCATCATGGTCAGACACATGTATTTGTCTCATTCCGAAGAAAGGGGAGCTCTCCCAACTACGAAACTGGCGTCCAATTGCATTGATCAACACGGACTCTAAAATATTTACCCGTATCATGAACTCACGAATAGTCCGTGTTAGTAATGCATTAATTAACAAGTATCAGACGGGTTTCGTGCACGGACGCTACATCGCAGACAATGGGCTTGCTGTACGACTTGCTATGGACCATGCCGCCAGCGTAAATGCCGATGACGTCGGTTTATCTTTGGATATGGAAAAAGCGTACGACCGCGTTCATCCAGAATATCTCGAATGTTGTCTTAGCAAATGGGGATTCCCAGCAAAGATCATCTCTTCTATCAAGACTCTTTTCTTCGGCAGCAATCTACGAATCAACATTAACGGGTCCTTGTCTCCAGCATTTAAACAACAACGTGGCGTTCGACAAGGAGACCCTCTCTCGCCTATTTTGTTCAATCTGGCCTTAGAGCCTTTCTTGGTCCGCATCCTCAACGATGAACAATTACACGGATATGATATATCGATGGCAGCAAGTAAAGCTCTTACCCCAGTCACACCGTCTCCAACTAAACTAAAGGTTCTAGCCTACGCCGATGACTGCTTTGTTTTCATTCATAATGAATCAGATTTGCAACAAGTCCGCCACCACTTAGACACCTACTCCAGAGCATCAAACGCCAAGGTCAATATGGACAAAACGCACGCCATATCGCTATCTGGCAAGTCGTCATCCACTTTGCGCTCGTGTTTGGAGGGAATGGGCATTAGATCATGGTTCGATCGACGAGCCCATCAAGCCTTGGTATATCTCGGATATCCTTTGTATCAATCGCCGCAGCAACGGGATGGCTTCCTGGACAAACTTCTAGGCAAGATCAAATCAGCCTGCAACATCCATGCGCATCGGTCACTCTCGATTCGCGGTCGAGCGACAATTCTGAATGTGCTGATTTTATCATCACTTTGGCACGTCTTACGAGTTTGCGCGGTCCCTCAAGCGTTCCAGAAGAAAGTTCGCAGCATTTGCCATGACTTCTTGACTAAAAAGATGTTTCCCAAGATTGCATTTCACCGACTGGCACCACCTCGCAAACAAGGGGGCCTTGCAATATTAGTCCCGGAAGCACAACAATCAGCACTCCAGCTCAGATGGATCCAACCTATGTTTAGTAATGACACCAAGCAGCGATCGTTCATACATTCGTGGATAATTAATACTCAGGCAACATGGACTCCAAACCAGGACCCACATATGTGTCTCCTATTTCCCCGACTTCGGACCGCTTCAATGAGTAAACCCGTCAGCTTCTCAAATCAGCTATGCAAGGCCTTAGACAATTTTACGGTTGACTATCAATCCCAACTCATACCGACCGCTACAGTTCTACAACTGCACGTCCTAGATGCCATGACGCCGACACAGCGCCCGCTCACCAAAACCTTAGACGTATGCTTACGACGCATAGCCAAACACAGGCTCCTAATGGATGATTTGTTCATCTTTGATTTAGCGAAGGGCTGTTTACGGAGACGGCTCGCCACGGAATTCTTGATTTACCCGCGCCTTTTGGGTCTACTGGTTCGCTTCTTGGACTTGGGTGAGTTGGGATTCCATCCAGCGGTGTTTCAGACTTTGATCCCGAGGCATCTTCTTCACAACTCTATTGATCCCGCTATCCGTGAACATAAGGCGGTCGATCTGGGAGCATGGTGCAAGGTCCAAGATAAACAATTGACCACGATCACAGCAAAAGAACTCAGACAAGCAATCATCGACAAGTCTATACACGTCGAAGCCCGGGAAAACACGATCTTAACACCTAGCCAATGGGATACCTTCTGGCGATTGAAGATATCGCCAACGGCAAGAAATGTTTGGTACCGAGCGCTTCACAATAAGATTTCATGCCGTAAAACTCTACATTCAATTATGCCCTCCGAATTCACATCCGCTGTATGCCCAATTTGTAACCAAGATGAAGATGATTTGTCTCATTTCCTGTACCAATGCCCTCGCAAATGGTCGATCTGGTGCTCCGTATGGCCCGACCTACTATTACAATCTGTTACAGAATCTGCTGTACACAATGCCATCTTTCACCTGTATTTTCCCCAAAATGCTCCCCGTCTCCCTTCAGATATAATTATCAGCTGTATATTAGAATGTCTTTGGAACGCCCACTGGCGCTTTGTTTTAAACAACTCTCCCTTCGTTCCCGATAACATTATAACGCAAATCCATTCCCTTTTGTTAACCCGCACTCAAGAAAATCTTCCTTCTATCGCCAACTAGTCAAACGCTCCTTAGCTTCTTCTCCTCACCTCTCATATTTAATATGCACGTGACTTGAAATAAAAACCGACGCAATAATTTGTTGCGCGCCTAAAAAAAAAAAAAAACAAAGCTTTGGTTCATCTTAAAAACAGTTATCGTGGATCCATAATTCAAAATCATGGCGCTGGGTCTTGGCCAATTGTTCTACGCTGTTCTTTTATTCATCAATGCAATTGCAGTATTAAGTGAAGAGCGATTTCTAGCTAGAAGTAAGTATAGCAGCAGTTTTTTGTGCCTTTTTATATATAATTACGACGCGTCTTTTACTTATGATTTTGAAACAAAACATTGATTCAGTCGGCTGGAGCGCTCAAGTCGAACCTGGGTTTGGAGTTGAGCAATCACAATCGGTTAAATATAAGATTATCAACTTGATTTCGGCAGTGCGAACGTTGATGAGAAGTACGTTATATATACATGTTATTTGGGGGGAAAGGAAGAAAACAAGGGACGAGAAAAGGGGGGGGGAGGGTAATAGCATCAAAAAGGTGTTTCTTAAACTGATCTTACTGCGAACGATACATAGTCCCACTGATAGCTATAAACGTAATTGTCATTGTATATGAACTTCTTCTTGGATAACGAACGAACCGACACATCATAAAACGACGTTTTGCATTACAACGCCGGATACAACTTCCAATACCCCAATTTATCTTCTCCGTCATTCAAATCACTCTGTATCTCCACTTAATCCTCTTCGTCCCAAAACAAAACTACAACTATTTCTTTTTTTTTAAACAAAGCGATGAGCATTACATATATAAATATTGTGTATAAAAATGAATATCATATATATATTAAAGAAAGGATGATTTATATCGATTCTGCACTGGTGACTTGTCCTAAACCAATTAGACACCAAAACGAGTAACTCTTGATCCTATCATCATCTAATCGCATGGATGAATTGGCCTTTCTGGATGAAACATCGTCTGCATCCACGTCCTCAATATCCTCTTCATCAATATCGCCTGACGAAACGTCCATACGGTCTTCGTCTGATTTGTAATTATAGGTTACCAGCAAGGGGAACTAGAGTTAAAAGACAACAGTAGCAACCATTAGTTTCTTTTTAAAAATGAAGGTGGATTATAATAGGCTGAAGAGATAAGAAATATACCGTGAATTCACCGGTTTTCTCAGGAATCACTTCTACAATGATACTGGTGTAATTGTTTCTCTTTTCATGGACACCATCCGCCCAAGAGGATGATAAACCCCCACCGCCGAATGCAGATCGTCCGCGCATATTGGACCCTGTAGGGTACATCTCGTCGTCATATTCGATCGTTTCATTATATGCACCCACAGTGAAATGAGGAGAAAGCAAGGTCACCTGAATCCGAGTTTTACATAGGTACAAAGAAAAGGGTTCGATAAGTCAAAGGGTCATGAGGGGCAGGGAAATCAAAGAGGAGGATGTCACTCACCTTGCCTCGGATCTGCGCTTCGTCCCCGTGCTGTTGCTGCTGCTGTTGTTGTTGCTCAGTAGCAGTAGCGGTAGTAGCACCCTCCTTTGACCCTGGTGTTTCTTGCATTTGAGGTGTTGCTAACGTGATGCTCATTTCTTCATAAAGTGGGTTTGTGAATTTTAAAACGAACTGTGTGGGGATGCCTTGCTGCAGAGGCCATGTTTTCCTGGGTAACTTGACGATGCTAATAGTGGGGATATAATTCCTATAGTAAAGAATGTCCATAAGAGAGAAAAGCAAGATAATTAATTGTCAACGTATTACTCGTATCGTCGTGTGTATATATTAATAGTGTGTTTGGGGGGGGGAAGAGAAAGGGAGACAAGAAACAAATAGTATATATAATATACCCAGAATTTAATACACTTACATGGCCACTAGCTTGATTTTAAATCGTGTTGCTTGAGCTTTCTGTTCCGGTTTGATCAAAATGTGCCTGCACGTTCGACATCGCTTTGATCGCTTTATGCAAAGATGAATACGTTGAGGGTGTATTTGGCTGTTCACCGTGTGTTGTTGTAAAAAATAAAAAAAGTTTAGACGGATATCGAAAGGATACTCTATGCGCACACATGTAGCCCATATGGATTCCTCCATCTTTTTACCTGAGTTGATAAGGTTGATCGTGCAGCTGACTAAACCGTTGTGATAAGGTCGAAACTGCTCTCACACACACAGAGCAATATACATTGAGAAAAGAAAGTGTTCATATCAAATACGTTTTCCCTCCTGCTCGATTCATGCACTCAATACACACCTTGATCCACACTCCGCAAAGACATGAGATGATCCACAAGCTTAGCATCGTCATCTGGGACATGGACACTAGGTTCATATGCACCAAGATCGTCGAGTTTTCCTTGCTGCGACTGAGCGTCGTGATGCAAATGACTGCCCATCATCTTACTGAATGCACCTGAGCTTGAAAATGACAGGAAACTCGTTGGTAATGTTGGTGGTACGTTCAAACGCAAATGCTTTTCCAAATGATCTTTCAAGTTATCGAATTCCTTGGCATCCGGCAAAGTTTCCTCGGTCTTTTGCAATTGCACTGTATGTGTGTGTGTGTGTGTGTATATATATAGAGCAACACTTGTTATTGATACGATCCTGATAGACTGATAATAACAGAACCCAATATACGTGCACGCAAAAACAGAATGAAAAAAAATAATGAACAACGACGTACATGCAAGACTGGTAGGTTTTTCAAACGTCATGTCAATCTCTTTTGAATTCCAACGGCAGACGTTGCATGACAGGAAATAGGGTCCAGCAGACGCAGGTGTGCTGGATGGCGTTGCTTCTTGTGCTGCAACTACTGACAGGGTATTTTGACATATGGGGCATTGGAAGCAATTGCGTGCACATCTATTTTGTTTTTTTTTTTTGGGGGGGGGAATTGAGCGAGCGAGATAAGGCATGGTGTCAGGTACTCTATACGCGAGTGAGCGGGAGCGCGCGCGCGCGCGCGCCCTGTGCGTTCCACCCTAACACCCTTTTGCGCGCGTATGTGTAGTACCCTTTCCAATCATCCCACAGACCCAGTGTTTTACCTGTTCTTTTCACTCTTCACACTCGCTGTCGGCACCTATCAGATTTTGAAATGTTCGAAAAGAAAGGTATGCGTAAGTGTGAGATATCCTGCCCCCTTGTTTACGTATAGACACACACGGAGCACACATACCTCGAATAGACAGTTGGGACAGTAATACGAGACAATCTCATCTTGGACACACGATGGACAACGGATTTGGTGACAATCTTCACAGAAATAAAGTCGTGATAGTGGGTATAGGTAATTAGAAGCTTGCGTTGAGAGTAAGTGTCGTCCAGTAGCGGATGCAACAATATTAATGGTGTTGTTGTTATTGCGATCTCCTAAAAGGTGTTGTTGCTGGTGAGACAGACTATTCGTACTGCTTGTAGGTGTAGTAGTAGTGGTGGTAATACTACTCTTGTCGTCCAAAGATTCCGTGTCCTTTTTCGTTGCAGTTGTTTCCGGTGACCGACGTAGATCCTGATGGGGTGCACTGTTGTTGGCACTTAGATCGGGGCAAGCGCAATAGTAATGTACAAATGGAGGTGGTTGTGTCGAGGTAGTTGTTGCCGTTGTCGCCATTTTCTTTTAAGTATACCAAGAAAGTGAGTAGATAGTTGGTAGTAGTAAATCACGCTTGCCCCACCCCGAGCCAAAACTTGCTGTGCCCTGAAATGCCCGTTTTCAGTTACCGACGACTATGAGCACCACCAAGATGACGAGCCGCTTCTTTATATTACAATACATAGTGTGGTGACTTTTACAAAGAGATGTGCTAGAAGCACGTGAAGAGAGCTTTCGAAACCATGGATCATTTCTTTGTTGTATTTCTTATTACGATTGGGCGTGTTTTCCTCAGTTTGTATAACGCGTTGGATAGGTCCTTTATTCTGTGAAGATAGTGCTCTTCTTGTCCGTCAATGTTATGTTTTTTATCCTCAATACCAGATTAAAATGCTACATCAGCTTTTAGCTTCTTTAATGTTTGGAAGTATTGTGACGCTAATTCTGAAAGTATAAAAAACAAGTAGCGAATTTAGTAGTAGTAGTTGCTGACTGAGTGTAGTAACTATACATGCTTCCGGCTGTGGTAATCCTTGTTAGGCCTTGGGTACTTTCACTCGTCTTGCTTATTTTATCCACACAAGCCGCATAGCAAAAGAGGTAGCAAGTTTCTAATAAACGGGTTTTTAACAGCGAACGCTGTGTCTTTTGTTCTTTTTGAAGTGTGTAACACTATTAGAAGTAAGGCATTAGAGATGGATTAGGGCTATCCTTTTCAGTAGTGGTTTTTTTTTTGGTTCCCATAGGGCCCTACAAACTGCTGGGTCTCTCAATAATTTAAATCGTCATCACTGTACCTTAATGGTACTTTTGCTGCTATATTGTAAAGAGAAAGTGGTATACACGTACAGCGAGTAATTCGTAGAAAAAGGCTGGACTGCACATTCAAGATATATCATGAGTCTTTTGCACGTACATACAATAAGAAACAATACGCATATGTTCTGCTACCTGATTCTGACCCTCCTTTGCTTCCTTGTCAAAAGCAAATACGGCTGTGGTCATGTACGTAGTTTGGTCACACGATTCCCGCGTAAATCGTTAGTATGACTACCCAACTCTTCGCCTCCCGTCCTCGGGAGAAAAAGTAGTGCACAAGATATATAGCAATGTCAGCCTTGTCTTGCCTTTCTGGTAGATTCTCATATAGCACTTGAACGTATACCAACCATCATAACTGAGGGCGTGAGGATATAGTACAATCTATTTTTGCTCAATATGTATGACAACAATGTCACTACTGGTTGTTCTCTCTTGTTCTTTGGTGTTCTGTCACCTCCCATTTCTCGGGAACCACAACAATGCTGTTAGATGTACGTGGGAAGAAGAAGGTCTGTTATTTATTATTGACATTATTGGTACTGCTGCGTTTTACCAGTACATAACAAACAACAGAGTATGTGTGTGTGTATATATATACGAATTGGATCAGCTACCGTCTTGCTTGACGCTATAAAGAAAGAAGTTTATTATGTACATTTGAAACCGAAACTTTTGTTTTTGCCAAGGAAGACTAACAGGCTTCTCTGAATGTTCTATATATATAGCTGGCTTGTATGTACAGAATACAACGGAATATAAAGAGAAGCACAGCATATCAGTAATAGTAGCAGCGGATGTTGGTTAGCAATCTACTGTACACCCAAATAAAGCTCTTTATTTGTCCATGGGCTGAGCACTGTTGTTGTTTATCCGTACCATCATCGTCGTCTGTGGGTAGGTTAAAACAGTAAAAATAGTATATTGTCATCGACAGTAGATAAACATCGGAAGACGGGAATTGTTCCTAAACTATACGATGGCGGCCGCGATAACATACAAATAAAATCGAATCGTGCGACATAAATACAATGAAAGTGAGAAGGACCCAGCACTCTACTTCCTCGCCCCACTCACCCCGGTGTGCCATCATGGTGGACCCCTTGGCGCCCCCGTTTTTCTATCAAAAAGTTACCAATACTGGATGACCTCCGGCTCAAGTGCACTCCTGGATGTTGTGTTGTGTAACTTACAGATGAGGATCTAATCCTGCGAACGCAAAAAAAAAAAAAAATTGTTCAATACTGATAGGAACATTTTAAGTTATGTATGCTAATATGTCCAAATTAGACAGTATATACTTTGCGATATCTATACAGTATGTATACATTGCTCTCTCATCTTGTAGCATTCGTTTGTACAATAAAAAGGAGCAACAAGAACAAAGACACGAATGGAATGCTTGCTGAAGACTAAATCACTATCATTGTCGTTTGTCCATACAAGAATGTAACAGTAAGTAGTAGGATTAGCTACAGGAGGCTATGCTATCTCAAGCAAGTGCTTTGATTTTTTTTTCCCAGCAGCAAAACAACCGATCCATAGCTCATTTTCATTGCTGCAAGAGGATTGCTACACCAAAGCATATGTACCATCCTCATGATACTAGTCCTTGTTTGTTATTATTGTTGCACAGATTGTTCTTTCTCTTGTCAGCATAAATATACAAGCGAGTGAGTGTGTGTGTGTGTGTGTGTGTGTGTGACAAACAACGAAAAAAAATGGATCGCCACTCACCTTTTTGCCATCTTCTGATCAGATAGTAGATATTATACGGTATAGTCTTCTTTGGCTAGGAAGAGAGATACACGTGCACGCCCTCATTATGTACCATAACCTTATTGCACCTGGCATTCACAACATTTTTTTTTAAATGTACACTACAGCAGCGAAGAAGCTGAGATTTTCGTGATTCACTCACATATTCATTGTATCATACCGTAGCGATCCCTTTTTAATAAAAGCAAAGCTAAATTATAGCACATAAAAACATACATCAAGGAACACTCGTGTGCTGCACAATCTGATCTGTGTGTGTGTGTGTGTGTGTGTGTGTCGAGTCACAAATCGTGAGATTACAAAAAGAGTATCCACTGACAAGCTAAAACATGTGTAATGTGCGTACTACACGCGTGTTTTATGTGTGAATATTTATTTTTATTTGGTTTGGTGATAGCGCTATTTAAGAAGGCTAGGTATGACAGCTATATACAAGTACAACACACATTTTGAGAGCAACAAGTCACCCACCATGCGTGCATATCACAAGTTGATTTCCCCATGACCTACGTGCCTAGCATTTATTTATTTATTTTTTGACAAGCACCCAGAGCATGAGTATGTACGGGATGGAGAAAGAAGCTACCAGTACACATCAGACATGATGCTATGATAGTGACGGTGGTAACGTCGTATGAGTCCAACACCAAAAGAAAGGAAAAAAAAACACCAAACAGAATGAACTAGCCGTACATACATCCAAGGGCAGCAACAGCATCCACATAGCACATATGGTATTACATTTACGGGGTAAACGTTCCTTTCTACACTTTGAGTATACATAACTCCTCGTTTTTCGACCCCTCCTTCATCACTTCTTGTTCACTTCATCCTTCTCCTCATGTCATTGGCCTGCATGCAGGGATCGTCTTTCTATTCTTTGCTCGCTCGCGTCCTCTCTCTCTCTCTCTCTCTCTCTCTCTCCATTATGTACTGTTATACTATATAGAAATTGCATCGTTCCTTTCTATGTGTGTATGTTGTGTCGTCAAGCTAACAAGCTGTCGGTGAAATCCACGGTTATGTACATACAAAAAGCAAAAAAAAAAAAAGAAGAAGCGTATCAGTGCATAGGATGCTCCTTGTTGCTTTTTGCTTTTGCTCCACGACGCTTTCATGTTATAACTAGTCAATCGTTAAGCTCTGAGAATTGGCTGCTGTGTCCGAGGGGGGGGGTTTCTTTGGATGACCTTTGGATCAAAAGTATTTAGTGCTAGGAAATGAATTTGTTGTAGCGTGGTGGTATCTATCTATCTATCATGCATCAAGTGTGTGTGTGTGTGTTATAAATATAGAAACGCATGCAGATGACGACAGCTGCCATACATTCGTTGTCGTCGGAATTGATATCAGTTATGTAGCAGTGTACTACCGCTTTGACAATCTTTTGCTTGGAACCATCCAAGGTGGAGTTCATGGAAAAATGCGGCTTTGAATAATACAAGGGCAGCAGTATGTTTATCGTTTATCCCAGATGGCCTAGGTGGAATGGTGCACATGGTAATCAAAGTACAACAATAGCTTATTACATGTACTAAGAGAGAGAAAGAGCAAAGTGTCAAATTCGAAAAGGGAGTAAAGCACACACAGGACATGCTTCTGGTTCCAATGTACATACATGCAGCACGTATACACATCATCGACACATCATCGTCCAATTTCCTTCCTTTGCAAAAGGGCAGCAGCAGCAGCAGCAGCAGCAGCAGCAGCAGCAAAAAGGAGTGCCAAAAAGCGAGCGAACGAACGGTGGGACAGACAGCAGAGAATCGTAAAAGACAAAAAGTGTGCGTGCTGTGCGTCGCTTCTACATATATGGCAAAGGCTGTCCAACAAGAAATGAAAAGATAGGAGGGGGGGGGAGAGAGAGAGTAAAGAATAAGACTTGGAGATCAGACAGTGACAAACATGACATTCGCTGCTCATTCGCTGTTATTGCCACTCTGCACGGTACTGTACGGTACTGTACTGTACTGTACCTATCCCCAAGAAAGGTGAGTTCCGATGTCGTCTTTCAAGGTGGCACAAAGTACAACTTCTTGATGGCAGTGGCTGTAAAGTAACAAACACTGTTCTCTTATATCAAGAGTGACTCTCTCTCTCTCTGATCTCAATGGCGCCAGCAACAAGCAGCAATAGAAACAGGCTCGTGTACACAATTACTTATTCATCGGCTCATGGAAAATACATGTACGAAGAAAAAGGTTGGATACTCGCTGTGCATGACGCATGCACATGTGCTTGCGAAAGATGAGGATGAAAGATGCTCACCATGGTGTGCTTCTTCTTGTGATTGCGCGCCGGGATGGGGATTCTCACGCTGTGGGTTGGCATTGTCTGGTCTCTCACTCCATAGCAGTACATACATACATACAGTCAGTCATTCATTCATTCATTCATTACAAAAGACAGGTACTGGAGACCCATAAAAAGTTCGGGAATCGAGGATCTGGAACCTCCAAAATCGCCCCGCTTCTCGCACACCATTCCCTATCATCAATCAATTCCTTTCTCCTTCCCACCCCCCCAAGCACGCAAATTGACAGTTTGATCCCATGACCACCTTTAACGCAAGGATCGTCAGTTGAGTTTCTGACCTGTCCGTCCTAGCTTTCTAAGAAACCAGCATCGGTTTCGTTTTTTTTTCTTAAAAGGGTCCCTCTTAGTGAGCGTTATTTTAGACGCATCTTGGCCCAGAAAGCTATTTTTTTTTCTTGGGGTGGGGCAAGTATAAGGGCCAAAGAAAGCCTGGTTGGAATGCACGTCAAAGCGAGCACTCAACAACTTTAATTCCAGGTTCCAGGACCAACCTCCCTCCCTCCCTCCCCCCTAAAAGGCTTCTCTCTCCCCCAACACACACCCTCCCCCCCCCCACACACAAACTAGTAGTACTCAAAGCATCGTTTCCGATTTGCTATCCTCCCCCTTTTCATAATTTCGGTGTTTTGGGTCAGATTTCCTAACCCGAATGGCCCCCCGGTGTTATTTTTGGGAATGCCACTTGTGTGTGAGTGTATAAATAAGCCTCGATCGCCACCACACTTTTGCACCATTCCCATTCTCTTCTACTTCTACCATGGCCATTGGTAGCACCAAAAAGTGCATCGTCCCTGGCATCAAGCTGGCACCGCCCATACAGCATGCTGTCATCATCGATGAGAAGCTGCTCGACCAAAAGACCTACTTTTCCATCCAAGTCATCCCACAGCAGACCGATATCCGCATTGTCAACGGCTCTCCCGTCGGCAAGCGCTCTGCACCCGCTGCACGCCAGCCTTACACCATTGCACGACGCTACGAAGACTTTAGTCACTTTGCCCAGCGTCTGCGCGAGGCATTCCCCACCACTACCCGCAGCCTTGCCAGCCGCGCTGGATCGCGGCTCTTGAGCAGCCCTCTCGAAAACACCACCAACAACGTGAGCTGTAGCAACAGTAGCAACAACAACAACAACAATAGCAACAGCAACAGCAATAGCATCGCCATCCCCAAGCTCAACAACGGGAAGCGACTGATGCTCAACAGCAAAAAGCGACGCTCAGAGCTCGATAAATTCATGCAGGCCCTGTTTCGTCTGCCTCCGTCCATCTCGCAATCCTTGGTTGTGTTGGAATTCTTTGGTCTGCAGAAAGCAGACACAGAGCAGCAGATCTTGCGACAGCAGCAGCAGCAAGACGACATCACCACCTCACGCTTGCTTCGCTCACAGTCATCCATGACGCAGCAGTACCACAAGCAGCAGCACTTTCAGCAGCAGCAGCAGCACTTTCAGAAGCACCAAGAAGACTATGCATCATCGCTTAGAAGATCGGCTTCTTATTCGGACTTGATCAACAATGCACCTACGCCGCTTGTCATGCCGTCGTCCTATTCCACCATCCATCCATTGGATTCGCCAAGCTTTGTGGAACCACAACACCAGACTTCCACATCCACAACAACAAACTCGTCTTCACCGCTTTGGCGACGCTTCCGCACGCGTGCACGGGCACTCTCAACCACCTCTCAGTACCCACCACCACCACCACCTCTTTCACCGCCTCAGCCCGAGCCCACCGTGTCGACCTCCAGCCTCACTTCCCTGTGCACGCAGGCTGCAAGCATGATCATGCCATGGGCAGGTCGCGCACAGCAGCAACCTCCTCCACCCTCAATGATGCATCCTCACCAATACCCGCATTGCCGACGCGGCTCGCCCATGATGTCACCCACATCAGTGATGATGCCCTTCCCAGCAGAACAGCCGCGTCCCTCCATGTCGACACCCACGGGTGGAAAGCCAGCAACAAGACGGTCGCAGCGCAAGAAATCATCGGCACCGAGTGCATACCCGCCACCGCCCTTGCCTCGCAGCAACAACAACAACAACAACCACACCCTGGTCACAAGCAGCAGCATCATCAGCAGCACCTCCACAAGCTCCAGCTGCTACAGCCGCGACAGCCAGAGCACATGTGCCACCAGCGTTGCTCCCAGCCCCACCACCTCGCCCACGCTGCGCTTGATCAAGATCAAGGTCATTTACGACGTCGACAACATCATTGTCATCCAAGTCCCGCGTTCAATCACCCTGACCGACTTGCGTGCGCGTATTGCTCAAAAGTTCAGCGATCCGTCCATCTCGCTGCCCAAGGATTTCGTCTTGCTGTTCAATGATACGCGCTCTTCGGCATCGTCCAGCACCAGTGCCGCTTCGTCGTTCTCTGTCGACAGCACCAGTGGCACCGCAACCTTGATTGCCAAGGAACAGGACTTGGCGAACGCCATGGGCTCAGCTTGGGTTCGTCATGAAAAGGTAACACTTCGCTGTGTTGCCTAAGTTATTTTCTTCTTCTCTATATCCACACACTCTTGTGGTTCGCCCCCCCCCATACCTTTCATTTCTACCTTTTACTTTCTCTCCAGAAAAGCATACCTCGCCCTGTCAAATGCATACCCCAACCCTCTCATTTTTCCACACACCCACAACCCAAAAATGTACATAGTCTTTTCTCTTTTCTCGATATATTCTGTCATCCAAAACCCCCACACTCACTCCTTTCTCTCTACAAACCCCAATTATGTCCCACACCTAAAAAAGCACATTTATTCTGCAAACCATATACTACCAACGAAGCCAATGTTTCCCGGAACAAAAAAAAAAAAGACCTCGCTCCTTATTGTCTTTCTAGCCGTGCTTCCACTGTTTATATTCATTCATTCCTACTTTGTATGTATTGTATAAAATTTACTCTTTTATCTCGTTTTCATATATCCAAACTGTCTCTTTTTCCCTTTCGTAAATAAATCATTACCACGCAACCATCATCATATTCCACCCATCTAAACATATTCTGTCAAACTGAAATGTGTGTACATACGCTAGAAAAAGGGAAAAAATGGGGCCAAGGAATGGCGGCTGGGCTCTAATAATAAAACAATGAAATTGAGAGCCTGTTTCCTAGCAATGCATTGACCACCCATCCGATGTGCAAAGACCACTTTCGGGATAGGACTGACTAGGGGAAAATCAAGTAGAATCAAGTGTGTAGAGATTGGCCAACAAGATCGTGGGTGGTCAGCCCTACAACCATCACACCCATTCTGCTCTCCGATGATTTGCGTGCAGCAGCCTTTCGTCCGTCGTGCCATTGGGAAATCAAACCATTTATCCCTCTACTTTAGAACCATACGAGCGGAATTTGATCCTTGTTTAACCATTCTAGTTGCTCCTTATTGTCTCTCTCTTCTTGCTGTAATGTTGAGAATGAAGCACTGTTACTCTAATATACATACGACTACTACACATAACTCTCTCTCTCTCTCTCTCTCTCTCTCTCTCTCTCTCTCTCTTCTTCTCTCTCTTCCTTGTAGGGAAATGCACAGACAGTTTCTCAAACTGACATAAATCATCGATCCACTCCAGGATAGTTGTTAGTAAACTTATTAAATAGCAGCAACAACTTTCAATCGTGATCCACCATCGTTGGCACAGACCCCACAGACACATCAACAAGCAGCATAATTATCATGTGGAGAAAAAAAGCTCCTCTTTAAACAACTTTAGTCCTCCCCTTTAGCCTGTGCAACCCCCCCCACCCACTTTCCTCCTGTTTCTTCTTTTTTTTTTGTTTGCCAATGACAGGTACATCATTATGCAGGCGGACTGACGCATTGATACATATTTGCGCCTGTGCTATACATGTATCATGATCGATTCTAGAACAACATTTTAGCGAGGATGACGAAATGTACGGCAAAGATCTAATATACACTTCTCCCTCCGCCCGTATATTACCTCCTTCTTTCTTTTGCTAATAAGTCGGTTTGTGTGTAACCTTTTTCTTAAGCAAGTTGTTGGATATGATGACTATGACGTAAAGATGCTGCTTCATGTAATCTTGTAAGATGTAAACAATAACACGACTGAGTTGTACGGATGCAATGCACGCTTATGATATAATTGATACAATTCAAGTAGAACATGGGCTTTACTCACAATGTGCATCCCCCTACACACCTTTTGCTGTCTTCACAAGAAACGGTGTTATTCTACTACATATGCAGAGATACACTTTCATTCCCGACCCAAGATGACGTTACCAGGATTGCAATATGTGAACATCTAAGAGTACACGTTGTCCTGGTACCCATGTAGTAAAAGACACGACAGGAGCAACACATAGAACGTTTTCAATAATTGGTTTTGGCTACGCACGGCATCAGGGACTTTGACAGCCGCGATCGTATATCACTAACAACCGATCTGTCAGCCATGAAAGTTTGACTCGGAATTTTTACAGCACTATTTGTGTGTCTTACAACTCTTTATACTAAATGATGCTCTTCCAATACACCTTTTGTATTGGCACATGTTTCTAGAGTAAATTATAAAAAGTTTCTGATGGATTTCGATGTATTTAATGTTTTCTTTACATAATGCGTAAAGAAAAAGATAATATGTAGCTGTCTTCTCACCAACGTTTTCCGTGACTGCAAAGAAAGTCGAGCTTGATAAATGATAATTCTTTTATTCAATGATAATTATAGCATAAGGTATATAAAGCTTTTATTATCTCCAGTTTGTCAAGATAAAAAGTCGCGGGCAATTTTTTTAAGATCCATTGTAAAAAGCTGTACTGGATTCCAGTAGTGCATAGTAGTGCTGCTTCAGTAACCAGCCAGTAACATACAAAGCTTTATCGGCTAAAGCTTATAGTAACAAGATGATCCGGAGGCGGAAGAAGGTTGCTGATAATGGGCCTAATAGCTCCCAGTAAACCGATTGATTCCAGTCAGCTTACCCGGCTATCATGAATATATATTATCCGTTTCCATTACCATGAATGATGTATTCTAGCACATAGCAGCAAAAGTATTGATCCTTGTTTAGCAATTGATAAGTGTTGCTATACTCCTCCCCTCTTCAAGGTGTTCTTTTGACAGCAGAGCCACATATTCTATACGTACCCTATAGTTTTCGATGTGATTCGTTTCCTTTTATTCGAGATTTTCATTACAGCAATAGACGATGTTTGAACGTCTAGACGCTGCTTCTTTATTTGATTTATTTACACACACGGATTGGGAAACTCTCCTGCCTTATTCAGGCCCCTCGCCGCCTTACCTCCAAAGGTTGCTTATTAGTGCTTTTCTTTGTAATTACGCTCTGACTTGGTGATTCACTACTTATTACTACAACGCCAGCACAGTACTATTGAATCATGACCCACGCGTGCAGGCTTGTCTTTTTCACGGGGCACCGAGTACATACAATGTATGTCGAGGTGAGAACCCGATATTGATAATAGAGTTCGACCTGCTACATCATATCTGGTGTAATATGATGGATACGCTAATATATACCCGGCTCTCGCTGCTAAGCGCCGCCGTGGACCTCTTAATGCATAAGAAATCCTGAATGACATTGAATAAGTCATTATATTCTGATAGAATATATTACACCATTGCTTGCAATTGGCTATGCTATTTCGTAAACGTATGAATGTTTCTCTTTTCTTTTAATCATGGTTGTCCCGAATGTTGGTTGTGGACGATGCATATAACGATCTATACGGATAGGGATGTGTTACGCGTGCCATGTCTTAATGTGAAACATAAAAACTGCAAAAGTTAGATCAATGTTTCGCGAGCGCATCAAAAAAGTTGTTTGTTAAGAGAAAATCGTGAATTCACGGAATGACTTGCTGTGTTCGTGAGAGTTTAGAAAAAAAAATTAGTATTTGATAATTTTCCATCGAACAGATAAGGGAAAAGGTTGACAAAAAGATAACCAAAACTCGTTTACCGGCTTCCACGGTTTCTCACGATATAGCCAATGGTATACAGCTATACACGAAAAATCTAGACTTTTGTTTTGGGCCAATGAGTAATAATGCCTTTAGCACGCTATCGCCATTGCATGATACATACTACAGAGTCTCCATAATATCATACAATGGGGTTTGTTTTCTTCATCGCACAGATAAGAATGATTTAAATACTTGCTGTTTATATTAATCACTACAAAATCATGTATGGACAGTACGTATACTGTACTTGATTTCTCAGTAGAATACCAGCTCATACAACTAAATATAACTTATATGTGCCCTTCATCGATGATAGCTGTATTTGCATGGACGCGAGAAAATGTTCATTTCCTGTAAGGGACTGTTACACTGTGCACTATATGATCAAGGTTTACGCACCCAACACATTAAAGTTTTGTACGATCTCGTGACACTCAGATCACAACATCCGTCGTCTGTTGCTGACAACAACGAAACTTTTTTTTCCCTTTTGGGTCCTTTTCGAGAGCATAATTCAGATTCTGTTACCTCTATAAATATGACTACTGAGAGAACAATTTGTGAAATCATACATAACAACAGCATAGGGAATAATTCTTTTCTCTTTTTCAATTGTAACACAACAAGGGTTACTGATCATGGAATTTATCAACCACACTGTCACTACTTCCACAAGTATTCATAATAAACTACTCACTTGGATCACAAAAGAAATTCTTCCCATGGTCAAGTTCGAATTTATCGAACGTCTCTTCATGGATGAAATCCGATCAACGGATATCATCTAGTGCTGCTGCTGCTGCTACCGCTGCCGGTCTTTCCATTGCGATTTGCTGCTATCTTGCTATTGTCAGGCGCTACCGATACAAGTACATCAATGCGTTGCGTCGCAAATACCCAGATCCGAACATTGCCGTACAGGACTCCAAAATTGCCGCTGAGATTTTCAATACGACATTGAGAAAGGAATTCCCAGGTACGTTCACCTGTTTTACAACTCTATATTGAACGATCATGACAAACAACAGTCATAAACATGTATACTGGCTTTACATCAAACAAGTTTTCAATTGGCGTTGCTTCGGTGTGTTACCATTCCTTCCATTAGCAAGCTTCTTATTGCCACCGGTGAGGTGCAACATCGTCCTCAAAAGCGGGAAGAAGATTCGTATCTGATTTTGGGTAATTTCGATTATTTTTCCGGATAAAACCGAATCTCGATGTAATCCGTTCAAGTTCCTCAAAAATTGTTTGATTCGATTCTCTACAGCATGAAATGTTGGATGTATACCCCCACGACCAATCTTTACGTCAGGAAAATCCGGATGTGACAGCAGAGGAAATCGACGCTCAAGAATCTAGACGTGACCATGCCATTGCTCGCTTAAACGAGATTCACAGTTGCTATCGTATTCAACATGGCGATTTTTTTTTCCAGTTGGTCCTCTTCGTCAACGAACCAATTTACTGGATTAATAAGTATGGATACAGAAGATTTAATCAATTAGAGATGAACGTAAGTTGCTGTTATCCAGTCGTTACGAAATTTTATAAAGATTTAAATCTTAAAAAAGCGATTGTTATGTCTTTTTCTTATTCTTTTGGTGTGCTTGATATATAGGCTATCTACAAGATGTGGGCTGACATTGCAGACGGTATGAAGTTGGAAAACTACCTTAATTCAGCAGAACAAATGGTAGAATTCACAAAGGTATGTGACATAGAACGAAGTCTTTGCTACAGCAATTATTATGCTTATCAACATCCACCTGCCTCGCTTCGCTCGGCTGAATGAGCCCCTTCGCTGCGCTCCGGGTCATTCAACGGATTGGATGTTTCCTGGGGGTTCCCCCCAGACCCCCAAGGTGGGGGGTTCCCCCACACCCCCCCCCTTCTAAACCCGAAACTGCTCGCTTCGCGAGCTTATTGATTGCTATGTCTACATATAACCCTAAACGTTATCATTATTGCTATGACACGAAACCCTACTACAGATTGGTTTGCCAAATTCAAAAGGGACATAGAGAGTTTTGACCGCTCTTTTGCTGCTATCGACAGCTCTTACAGTAATTTGCAAGTTCATCAATACACTTGCTTTCATTAGTTATTGTAGTAGATTACTGCTGCTTGTCGTAATTAGCTGAAAGACGACAGCAGGACTGAGTTGACACTCGCGTAGTTCTATATCATATTTTTCGCATCAGATCTACTTACCAAAAAAAACAGTGAAAAGGTACGAATATTCTATTGTACGTAAAATGGTGATCAGTTAAAATAGGATAATTATAGCAAAAAAAAGAAAAAGAGCAAAAATAAGAGTTAAGATGATGGAGGTAGAGAGGCGGTGGTTGTAGGAGAAGCAGGTGGTGAATTTACGATTTGTTGAGGAACAGCGGCCGGCGGAGACAAAAGAATTTCATGGTAGACGATATTAGTAGTAAGTGGTGGGGATGTGGCGGCTGTTGACAGATCGACTGCAACCCTAAGGTTTTGAGGATTTGTTGCTCTGGATAATGCAACATATAGTTGTCCATGAGCAAAAACAGGTTCGTTGAGAAGGATGCCGACATCAGATAACGTCTGTCCCTGTGACTTATGTATAGTCATTGCAAAGGCGGCGCGAACAGGGAATTGCCGGCGGCAAAGGACGAAGGGATATTCACCCTCAGTAGTGCACATGTTGATACAGGGAAGGAAAAACTCTTCACCCGTGTAACCTTGGTCGATCCGTCTTACAGAGATGCTGTTGTCGTAAAGGCCTGATACAAAGAGTTTTGTTCCGTTGCAAAGACCGGCATCAGGATCCATATTGCGTAAAAGCACCAATGGCATACCGACCTTGAGACATAGCTCATGGTTAGGAATACCACCGGTAGTTATACTCCGTAGAAATTCAACAGGATAGCTGGCTGCAGCTGCGTCAGGATCATCAGCATCAAGTATACGATCATTGGAAGCATATGTTCTGCCTATGCCGGGGAAGATGTCATATGCTGCATTATTGATGGCATCGACGTCAGCATTTTTGGCAGCCAAGATTGCGCGACCATGATAATGCTCTGGCTGTGGCTCAGTAGAGCGAATTGATGGATAGATGGCATCAATCAATCCCATGGTATCGCTTGTATCGATCTGCCATTCTTGCGGAATCTCCACGCTTTCTTGATACGGGGCACGTCCATCACCAATAGCCAAAAGAGTGTCAGCAAAAGCAGCAGCATTAGGGCCTGCATTCCTCACGCGCATGTTTTCAGTCAAATGGAGGACTTGAACATGTCGCCAAAAAGAGGCAGATTGGATGGACTCGGCAACGATTTGAGATCGATTCCCTTTTTTTACCACCGGAAGCATCTGACGAAAGTCCCCTCCAAAAACAACAACCTTGCCTCCAAAAGGTAGTTCACGCAACAGCGGATCCAGAGCACCCATAATGTCCCGAAGAGCACGGTCAACAGCATCAAAATTATATTTGCTGCACATGACAGCTTCGTCCCAGATGATAACTGACGCACTTGCGATAAGGTGTGCGTGAGGACCGCCAAGGCGAAGATTGCACGAAGTATAAGCATCCGCGTTCAACGGAATCTTGAAACGACCATGTGCTGTTCGGCCACCCGGGAGCAAGATAGCTGCAATGCCAGAGGAAGCGACAGGAAGTGCGATTTGATCACGGGACCGAACATGGCTCAATATAGCCTTAAACAGTTGAGATTTACCCGTACCACCTGGACCATTCACAAAGAAAAGGCGCGATGAGTGGTGATGAGTGGCTGCAGTAATAGAGTCGGTGATAGTGTCAAAAGCGTGGCGTTGTCCGTCGTTTAACGTAGGTAGCAATGTATTTAAGAGTTGCTGTTGACTCTCTACGTCATATTCACGTCGTTCGACAATCTCCAAAGCTTCTAGGCGGGGTAGGGCATCGAGTTCTGTGACAAATTGTTGCGGCAGAGACGGGAATTCTGACAGATGATGGCCAGTGGTTTGCAGACGCGTTTCGATGTCACCAAGGGTGCGCTGATACATTTGATTGATCTGATCATTGCTGAGCTCGTCTTGGCCAGCAGGAAGGCTTGCCCGTAAGGCGAAAAAGTAATCATCTGCCATTCTCTCTCGATACTTGGTCCAAAGAGAGAGCGGATCTGCTGGGGAGCAATTGATCAATATATACACAAAAAGTGCTCTAATCGCTGATGCTGATGGTGAGTATAGGCACGCCTCTTCCATGCATCGGTCCCATTCTTGGTCAGATTCAAGAAGACCATGTGCGAGAGCAGCTTCTTGGAATGTTTCGTAAACAGTGCCATTGATCGTTCGCAATGACTCAAAGCTTGTAGGGCCACGAACGGCAAGAAGAAGGAGGCGAAGACAGTAGAGGGGCATGTTGGACAGAGAGGCATTATAGATGCGTGTCACAACATTGGCAATTGGCGGGTTCGTACGTTGTCTCCATTGGCGTGCTCGAGCATCCCATGTGTAATGAGCAGGGATATCATGGTACCGATATTGGCGTGCTCCGTTTTCTGTTTCATCACCGTCGCAAAGCTGAAAAAACGCATTTAGCTTGGTGTGAGTTGATGCTTCCCGGATGTTCTCCAGCTCATTTTGTGTTACGTCTTCACGAAAACGAACGACTTCCTCTCCAGGCAAGTGCAAATCTAGGCGCATAACAGTCGGACGGTGCATATGGACTGAAAACTGTAGAGTTCTCCATGCTGCCTCGCAAGGGCCGATATACCGAGCGTTCTGGTATTGAACCACCTCATCAATTGCTTCTTGCTCTACATCAGCAGGGGCAGGTGCGGCAGTGGTATTAGCTGTTGGTGGTGGTGGGTTGCTGATTGCTGTGGTGGTGGTGGTGGTGGTTGTAGCAGGAGCATTGTTTGCAGGCGCAGCAGAACGCATTGCTTGCAGTTGTGCTCTATCTGATCCCTTGGTGATATATTTACACAGATATTTGATCGCACGCGAGGATGTGCATATTTCCACATTGATATGTGCGTCGTATTTGTGGCTCAGATACGGGTTGTATGGAACAACATGGCTGTTGTTGGCTGTGAAGCCACTGCGTGCGAAGCGATGGCTTGCACCATTACGACGCCGTCTATATATAGGATATCCGTCACCATTGACCCTGGTCTCGTTGGAAAATGGCTTTGGATATCGTTGTTGGCACTGACCGTTCAACATACACACTGCATCAGGTTTGTCACGACTACAGGGGCCATGGATCATGCAACTTGTCACTGTACGATATAATTGAGGCTGGGTCACAGGATCAGGCAGCTCCGCACATACAAATCGATCATAATCATTGGGTGTGTGTGGGCGCTCGCTTTCATCCAGGATCAAAAGAATGTGAACGTGTGGCAACCCTCGTTTTTGGAATTCAACAGTCGCCATGTACCCAGCAACACGGCCGAAAATGCTCGAGTCGTTAATGTGATGAAGCAGCTCATCGAGTTTCATTTTAAAGACACGGGTGCACAAATCAGGTCGATCATAAGCGTGCTGGCCAGGCTCCAGCTCGGAAGTAATCTCGGGCCATTTGGGGTTGCATGTGAAGGTGATGAAGAGAGTTGGATTACCCCGTTGACGAATGATAGCAAGGCCGTCTTGAAGCATCTGCTTCATATAGCGTGGACCACCTGTAAAGGATGACGGCAAAATAATCGACCTTCCGATTTGACGTGCGTTTACATTGTCGACAACACCGCTGTACACCTCAGCACGAATCTCGCGTTGGTGCGTCAGGATATACTGTAGGCGTGATGTCTCAATGCGTGCATAATTGTCGACTATGAGCTGCTGGAATAGTCGACCGAAATGATGGTTGTAGGTCTGATGCTCTCCGTCCCGAACCATTAGCATATATGCACAATAATCCAAAAGGGTAACTGAAACGTTGTTGCCGTCATGAGAGTCGCACCGCAATCCAAGGTACCATCCGTTATCGCCGTGTGGGAACATGAGGACGTAATGGAGGGGCATATATGATGCGTGTAGAGAGCTAATTTGCTGCAGGCCGCGCTCACGATCATGGATAACGATATCATGAGGTTGTGCCGTGCCATCTACGCTGTCTTCGACAACCATAGCTGCAACCTCCGGGTGAGCCTGCACATCATATCGTCGACCCATTTCACGCGCAGCGCGGATAACCACCTGGATAGTGCCTACGGGTTGATTACGGTATGCATCTGCTGCAGCAATGAGTGTACGTGCGAACGCGTTATGGCGCTGCATAACTGCCTGAATCGTGTTGATGATATCATTGTTTAATCCCGTGAACATTGTGCTGCGTCGAGTTGTTTGCTCTTGGGTATCGCAAAAGTAAATTTGAGCGAAATTAGCGCGTGTTGGATTGTCGGCTCTAAGTGGCCCGAGACAGTGATACATGGTGCCATTGATCCGAAAAGTTGAAACACCATTTCGTCCACTCGCCAAGTTGGGATCGTAATTGGCGCGAAGGGATGCGAAAGCAAACATGCTGTTATAGGCTCGGATATTGGTGTGGAAATTGGTGGCAATAGGGTCGGATGGATCGTGATTAGTGATAAGTGATAACAGCTCTTGTGGTGGTGCGCGAGGGAGGGGTAAGCGTATCTTGCCAGAAGTACAGCAAATACCAAAGCGAGGGTTGGATACAGACGATGCAAGATGCAACTAAGCGCTCATCAATCCACATTTTAGCGTGACAAAAAGAGCATTCGACATTCATAGACTCGAAGATATGACGACGATAGTAGTTGTTGTTAGGCGTGAAGCAAATATTGGAGCCAAATACATTTTGAGGTACAAAAGGCACCCTGCATGCAATCTGGTATTGGGCACCATGTTCAGAGGTGACATTGCGTGAATTGAACGGGCAATTAGCGTGCGAAGAACGTCTATGGTCCGGCGATCCGCAGCTGGCACATCGGCGTGCAGGAACAGGAGGAACTTCAAAAGCTGTTGGAAGATTTACCACGCCGTCATCAGCATTGTCAGGCTCAAGTATATCATCTGACATTATCTCCTCTGCAGTTGAAGTGACAGTTAAAATGTCGTCATCAAACGTTTCCAAAGTTTCTAAATATGTCTAGTATTAATAGTAGATCTAAAAAACACGGACAGGTATAATAATAAGTATACCTTCCACCATGTTATCAAGACTATCTGGACATTCAGAATCAGAAGGGTTATTATGGGTAGTAGAGCCACAGCCAGAACAGCGGATAGGGTCAATATTCTAAACGAAAAGTGTTTGGCAACCACACAAAAGGTATAGCTCATAAGTACACAAAAAGCAGCTGAAGCTAAAGCAATTATACATCATTTTCAAAAGACAGTACGTTATTATCATCATCTTCCTCAATTCTGCGTCGAACATTACGCTCATTCAGCGGACAACCGTGGAAACTTCTTCGAGAATGGGTGGTAGACCCACAAATGCAAGTTCGAATGGGCATTTCCGTCTGGTTTTACAGAAGTGAATTAGTACTTATACGACGAACGTTTTCGCGATCTGCAGGTGAAGCCAATTATGCCCGAGATTTTTGCTCGTCTTGGTAAATGGCGGGTAACACAACGCAACACACCTCTTCCTGATGATCTCCTTGAGAACTCATAGCTTAGCAAAATAATTGTAAATTGACAACAAATTTTTAAGTTTGAACGTGACAGTAACGCGACAAAGAGAGCGGACCCTTCAAAAGTTATGCTTAAAATGGCAACGATTTCCCAATTGGGTTGATTATCTTTTAGATTATCTAAGTACCAACTTATTTTTAATAGAAGATGCGTGTTGCTCAACTTTTCAAATGATATTATACAGTCATACTCTGAAAAATTCGCAAAGTACTCTCCAGCCTGCCAAAAGAACTCTGACAGCCACACTGATAAAACGCTACCATGCATTACCCAAAGTGGGTTCGAGAGATGTTCACACATGCATGATAACGCCAATTGATTGCGCGGCATTGGGTCTGTCACGACCATCATGGTGGCTCAAGCTGGCGTACGACACATGCTGGTACTTGCATGGGTACTATGTCCGTTTCCTCAAGTTTCCTCGCAAAGAATCATATCTAGGAACGGCACTTTTACCTACAGACCACAATGTCTTTATGCCGCAATACCCGCAAGCAGAGCATCCTGACTTCCCAGATGGCTATACCTTTGCTACTCTTGGACCCTCGAAAATTAGATCATCGCCATGCCCAATGCCAGACATGCGTGTTGGCACATGTCCAGTAGCCCACGCTCATGAAAAGGAATAGATCCTTATCTGCTTTAACTATTCTTATCACCCCATGCACATATCCCTTATTTAATCTATTCAATTACTTTCACTTATGTTTGTAAAACCGAAACACGACATAACAATCTATACTTTAAACGATGTTACATATTTAAATCATGCATAATCATTGATGGAATTTTCAAATGAAAAGTGGCGGCGGCTTGATTTAGCGGACAAAAAGAGGAAGACTGACAGTCACAGCCGAATTCCTTAAAAGACAATTCTCAGACACTTCTTGTTCAGTCTCTTTTTGTTGCTCCCCTTTGGTAAAGTATATGCATCCAATAAATATATATATCCATCCATACGCCTTGCATCCATCCATTGATGATCCCATCCATCCATGGACCCATCCATCGATCTGCGATACTCGGAAGCACGACATATCAATTTACGACTGTATACTGATGATATTCGCTATAGGTTCTTTAAAAGTCCTCGAACAGCAAATTATTCAGCATGTCGAAGCGAGAAGCCAAGGAACAATACTTTGAAAAGGTAAAAGAGTCGCTCGGAATGTGTTAACTGAAGGAATCGTTTACAGCAATACCTAATACCTTTTTTTTTTGTTGGAATCTATAGCTCAAGAACTACATTGACAGCTACTCGACGGCTTTCGTCGTCAACGTTGACAATGTCGGTTCCAACCAGATGCACCAGATCCGTCACTCCCTCCGTGGCGAAGCTGTTGTGCTTATGGGTAAGAACACCATGGTCCGTCGTGCCTTCAAGACCTTTGTTGCCGACCGCCCCGAGCTTGAGCGTTTGATGCCCCACGTCAAGGGTAACATTGGTTTCGTCTTCACCAACGGCGACCTCAAGGAAATCCGTAACAAGATTACCGAGAACCGCGTTGCTGCTCCTGCCCGTGCTAACGCCATTGCTCCCGGTGACGTCTACGTCCCTGCTGGTAACACTGGTATGGAACCCGGTAAGACCTCCTTCTTCCAGGCTTTGGGTATCCCCACCAAGATTTCGCGTGGTACCATTGAAATCGTCAGCGACGTCCAGGTCGTCACTGGTGGTGAGCGTGTCGGTCCCTCCGAAGCCATGTTGCTTAACATGTTGAACATCTCGCCCTTCACCTACGGTTTGAGCGTCACCCAGGTCTTTGACAACGGTACCTGCTTCTCGCCTGAGGTCTTGGATGTTGAGGAATCTTCCCTTGTCGCCAACCTCTTGTCCGGTATCCGCGAAATCGCTTCCATCTCTTTGGCTGTCGGCTACCCCACCATTGCCGCCGTCCCTCACTCCATCATCAACGGTTACAAGAACTTGTTGGCCGTCTCCGTTGCCACCGACTACACCTTCGAGGGCTCTGAGAAGATCAAGGAATTCTTGGAGAACCCCGATGCTTTCGTCGTCGCCGCTGCCCCCGCTGCTGCTGCTGGTGATGCCGGTGCCGCCAAGGAAGAGGCTAAGGAAGAAGAGGCTGAGGAATCTGATGAAGACATGGGCTTCGGTCTTTTCGACTAAACGCTTTCTTCATGATTCATTTGTTTTCATGCATCCAACCTAATAAAAAACCAAGCTGTCTGGTTTTGTGTAAAAGAAAAAGCTGCTCCGTCGTGTGGGATCGTTTGTGTGTTTTTTTGGTATTGCGCGTGTTTAGCTTTTATGAGGATGGACGGTGTTGCTGCTGGTACTGGATGGTTTGAAGTTTCTTGTTTGTTAAGACATGATGGTACGAATTTTTAAACGAGGCCGTGCACAGTGCTTCGTTATTTGAGGACGCTGCTGGACTTCGCCTAGCCGTACGTTTTCAGTGTATTTGAGAAAATAGTGTACAGCAATATGGGTTATATATCAATCTCAGTAATTATGAGTTCCACTACAACACTTGTTGAACTATGATTATTTTACAAAGCGACGTTCAACGCGATTTCGACGGCTTGACGAAGATCGTATCATATTCTCCCGGAAAAGCAGCTGCGGTTACTCTTAGTATCAGCGCCTGTGCATACTTCCTGTCGACGTCTTTGAAGACGAAGGGGAAACATGATGATAAAAATGCGGTGTCAATATCATTGTTTCTTGTCTGTGTAGTTCTGCTACCAATCCTTCTCTAGGTCCTGGCGGTGGATCCCGAAATGTCCCAATAAGAAATAATCCAGCAGCTCTTCTTGCTCTCGAGCATGGCACATAAAGCAAATAGCGATTGAGCGCACGTCTGGGTAGTATGATCACTACGGTATCGTACGTCTGACCTAGTGATTTGTGGATGGTTATTGCCTGCGCTGGCACCACTGGAAATTGACGACGCAAGACACCCATAGTTGAATCGGTCCTAGGCTTGATGAGTTTTAACTCCATCTCCAAAGGCGTCCAACCTACGATGTCGCGCTGCTCCATCAAGTGTCGATGCTTTTCTCGCTGTTTTCTCCCTGTTTGCTGGTCATCAAATTCAATCCAAATTCGAAGTGGTCTTCGGTCCCGTCGGTCCCTGTGGGTAGCAAAGTCGAAACAGCGTAAATACCCAGTGGCACCATTCACCAAACCATCGCTGGTGTCATAATTGCATGTCATCATGTATCTTGCGTCAATGCGTAAGAAGATATCCGTTGGTAGACCCATTGTTTCGTTGTAAGCTGAATTTCTGACCCTGTCCAACATTTGCTGATTGGCACGAGCATTTCCATCGCCAGTAGGTATATCAATGGCTGCTGATGTTGCCGAGGGTGTTGTCATCAGCTGTAAAATTTCATCGTTTTTGCTGTTCACTTCGGCATTGCTGTGGTAAAGGTAAAACGGCCTTAACTCCTCTGCCTCGGCTGGGACTGATTCGAATGTTCTTGATTCCAAAAGTTCACGATCAGCAGCCGTCATTGTATTCTGCGCCATGTTATTCAAAGCGTTCGCTAGGGCACCATCCTCACGCTGACGCATGATAATTGTCAACCGAAAGACTTGAAACAGGTGCCATAATGGCTGATTGAACATCGTGAGATATGGATTTTCAAGATTTGTACTGTATACTGCTTGTGCCCTGACAGGAGGTAACTGGTTGAAATCGCCGACAGCGATCACTGAGCGTCCACCAAACGGCCGTTGATTGCCGAATATGTGCTGCAACCGTTGATCAACATAACGAAATTGGCGCTCAGAGACCATTGAAATCTTGTCGATTATGATGACCTTTAGTTCGGCAAGCTGTGTACTCATCGTGTTCGCTACATCAGCAGAAAGCTCGACAAAATTATAACCACGCTGATTGACTGGTAAGTGAAAAGCTGAGTGAACTGTTTGGCCATGAATATTGTATGCCGCCATGCCAGTAGGAGCACATAGTAATACAGAGGGCTTCTCTCGATCTCGATGCTGCACCTCTTCGTCTCAACATTTGGTATAACGCCGACACAGCACGACTTTTTCCAGTGCCAGCTCCACCGGTCAGGAAATAATGGAACGGTTCATCGCTCGCTTGGATACGATGTTTGACATGATAAATAAAATCGCGCTGTTGGACATTCATGCCAGCCATTAGCTCCTCGTATTCGTCATTGTTAAGACGATCGGGGTGTATAAATGTTTCTTGATATAATGCACGTCCGTACGCACCAGCTTCGGTCATCACATCCACATGATTGTTTGTCTCGTCATCGTCAAACTCATACTCGTCCAGTGGATTGGCTAACGACCTTTGATGGTCCTCTTCTTCTTCGTTGTCGGCGTGTTGTTCTTCTGCATTGTCCAATGCTGCCATTAGTGCGGCATCATCAAGCGTTGTGAATTCACGTCGGTTTGACAAAATGCTGTCTTGGTGTTGCCGAAATTGCTGCTCATTTAGTCAACAAATAGAATGTCGAATCTTCATCACGCCATGGATGATAGAGCATTATCAATTCCCGGAAGTAGTTCTGCGAATCTTGATGCAACTTGTAGCCACGGAATCGGATTACTTTGGGTGACTTGCGGCGCTTTATAAATCCATCGCTGTTCTGTAAGCGGATCCAATTACCAGTGGTGCCATCTTGGTCAGCATCCAAAGTACCAATGGACCTCTGCGTAGTAGTGCTACTGCTATCATCATCGCTGCTGTCGCTCTCTTCAAGACTGTTACCGCTGATGCTGCTGTTACCGCTGATGCTGCTGTTACCAATGATGCTGCTGTTATCATTACTGCTGCTGCTACTACTACTGATGCTGCTGCTGTTGTTGTTTCTGCCGCTATCAATGGCGTCGCGTCTGTCACCGTCGGAGCTATCTTCCTCTTCTTGTGCCCCTCTCCTAGCAATTCTGCTGTAATTGTACCATGCAGCGAAACTTGCTAAAGTAACATTCTCCATGATCAAAGGTCTGTTGGTGTAGTGATAATCGACAGATGTACGGTCTTCGATTCGGCGTAATTCGTTCGCAGGTTTGAGGATACGTCTTCTTTGTTCCGGCGGGGACGTGGGAATGAAGACTACTGCGGACGACGCTACAGGCATTGGCAGGCGCAGGATGTTGTATGCAGCCTCTTGGGCTGATATTTCACTGGTATTGTAGTGAGCGTTCGTAAGACCACGGAGCATTCCCGCTATCGATGTGTTATTCCGCTGTTGCTCCTGATATACTTGTTCGATCGTTTCACTCAATCCTCGGTCTTCTTTGTTGATATAGTCGACAATGTATGTACAGCACGCATATGCATCTAGTACATACTGGATATCCATGTTTGCTGCATGGAGCCGAAAGATTTTTTCGCTGAACGCATTAACAAACATATCGCGCGGTCTTCTTTGCAAGAAAATTTTCTCTTTCTGAAGCGAAACTCGTATGCAAAGGAGGTACTCATCAAGCGAAATGTCATTAGCTTCAAGAAATGCACCAAACGTGATGTGTGGGGCTGTATTGGCGTTGAATGATTCGACGTAAGTGCGTAGCTCGGCATATTTCTATTGTGAATAATTTTAGTTTTTCATTATGCATGATCAGAGAACGCGAATAATCTTCAGCAACAGATGAGCACAAAAAAAAATTACTAGTTTATATCGCCTTAAATCTTCTGGTGAGAGTTTGTCAGAACTGGGCGGCCGCAATATACGCGTTTCATCCATTGGCATGAATGGGATACCAAATCTGCACTTGATATGGGGTCTGTCCCGCTTCTTGCACGTTCTTGTGTGCGTATGATTTTGTCTGGGCAATATAGAAAGCATTTCCGTATCATCCTCCTCGTACGCTGTATTGCAGGATATGATGCTGTCAATAAATGTTATGACTTCTGCATCGCTATCAGCATCAAACAGTGGGGCATCCGACAGCCATAGCGGCATGTGAGCATGGGGTGAGCCGCGCTGTTGAAATTCTATCCGATGGTATCGATGCAACACTGTCCGGTTGCCGAATGGACCATCTGTCGACTTTCATGTTTTCATCAACTCTCGCAAACGCATATCAAAGTACCGAGCGCAAGTGACCGCATCTGCCTGGATAAGGCGCCGTCTTTCTTCTGCATCCATGTTCTGCACCTCTTCAGTGGTAAGCTGTCTCCCGTCTACAACAGATGCCAATATTTGAAGCAATGCTGTCCATTGTGTTTCTGCGGCTGAGACAGTGACAAACAACGTGGGGAGCCCATGTTGGCGGATCATCGAAAGCAGCTTCATTTTTTCTTGACGCCAGTACTCCCCTGATGACCGGATACCGTAGAATACTTTGTATGCAGCATCGCGTGTAACCATGGAATTGACCAGATTTTCATTTAAAGCATCGGAGACTGTAAACAACCGATCGCCATTAGGACCGGACATGGTACGCTTTCGCAGGCAAATCTGTATGTTGCTTGAGAGCTGTGTGAGCTGGCGCTTTCGATCCATGAACAGCAAATAGTCTGATCTGGATGCGGCGGTTCGATTATAGCTACGAGCTAAGGATTTCGTTATATCGACATATGTCAGTGGGCATCCTGCACCGTTACTTGGTCGGAGGCGTCTTCCGACAAATATTTGCGGGAAGGCTAGAAATTCGCTATCAGTGTCCAATAGCAACGGCAAGGGTGTTCGCCCTTCTCCTGTGGTGGTGTCATTTCGGATTTCAGTCTCAGTAATTGCTTCAGTGGCTCCTTCTGGCGGTGCCTCCGGCTCTTGTTCTTGTTCTTCCTCTCCACTCCCATCTTCTGAATTCGCAGCGTTTGTGTTTATAGAATTGTTCTCCACCCATTCTTCTGCCACCTGAATGCCGAGCTCTTGGTAAAGAGTAGTCTCCATCAACTCACGAAGAGCTTCGTAGACGAGTTGTGGGCGAACGTTACCATCAGCGTAATTGCGCCTGTATTGTAGACGTCTAGCCAGCTGTACGTGTACGTTCTCCACGTGACTTATATTTGCATCTTGTATTGGTCGAGGTAATGAGGTCACTGTTGTTTGTACAGATACAGGGATGTTTACAATAGCACCTTTTGATCGATATTGCCCGTGGATACCCATGACCGGCCAAATTGTCTGGAAAACATGGCGCGGTGCGACGAGCCTCTCTTCCAACCTTGTTAACTGCGACAAGGAATCAGGTACGTTGGGTAGACGTAGGCCGTTCGCAAGACATAGCTTTGGTCGTGTCTTTTTCTTTGAGATATGCGACTTGCAGGTTGCACAAAAGAGCGAGGATGCAGCGTCCTGATTCACCGCAAACACATCGCGGATTATGTCTTCCGGAACACAAGCCGCGACCATAGCTTCTCTTGTTAAGGTAGCCATCGACGTTCGAAAAAATAACCCTCTGCAACACTCGCAAATTTTGTCGGGGCCATCAGCGATTCGGTTACGGTAGGTGGCACTTACAGATTGCCAAGAGAGCCTTGACTGCTGACGTCTGGTTCTTGTGCGAGCCTGATATATGACGTAGTGACATGAATGTATGAAGCACAGCGAGTTATGGATTGGATATGATACATACCTGCTCTATGGTGCGATACTCGACATCCTCCCTTGCTTCCTGTCGTGCCTCACGATCACGTTCCTGAATATATAACGGTAAGGGTCATTTAAACGTCAATGATGGTACGGCTGATATGGTATTCAACAATGGGTTGGATATAGGAATGGTAGGGACATACCCGTTCAGCGTCACGATACTCGGTATTCTCTCTTGCTTGCTGTCGTGCCTCACGATCACGTTCCTGGATTGTACTATAGTAAGAAACTCAAGTTATTTTGCAGGAATACAAAGTGGTGCATACCCGTTCGACATCCCGGCGATTTTCATCTTCTCGTGCACGAAGATGACGATCGCGATCTGCTGCTCGTCTTTCCTCCACTTCGGCTTGGGTTCTAGCAGCTCTTCCACGGCGCTGGCGCTCAGCAGCAGATGCACGGTTCTGTGCGGCAGTATTTCGAGGACGAGCCATTTATAGCGGTTTGTTTTGTTTTCTTGGTAATACGATAAACGTGTATTTCAATATGGATGCACACAACTATGCAAACTAATTGACACGCAAGTTCATTGTTTTGTCAATGCAATACACGTCACTAATCCAGCTTGACCTATTGCAGTGTTTCATTGCTGCGCATTAATAAAAATTCGGATACCGCATACAAGTAGAAAAAACACTGTCAAACTTTTGACAGGACGCGAACTTTACGCCTCACTTTGTTCAAAACAGTTGAATCAGTCAACTCTTTAAAGCCATTGCAACTCTTCCTGTTACAATCAACCTTTTTAAATTCAAATCAGGGCGACGGTAGCATATATCTTCTAGAAAAACATGTGTCGAATAACCTGTAGTTCTCTCTCCTGCAGCACTCTTTGCATCGTTCCTTTCGTTTTTTTCGCTACATCCCCATTGCAATAATGAGTACCAGAATCGCTGTTGATAAATTTTATTTTCATCTTGAAGTCCACTCTACTTTAACTAGAATCCATCACAAGTACAACAATTTATAAAGCTATGATGACTTTATCTCTGGTAGTAAAATACAACCATACACCATAGTGTTGTCATGGCAACGAAAAGCGTGACAGACGGCAGACAAACGGCCCAAGTGATTTCAGAAGGCGATTTCATACTCCGTATAGAACGCCTAAAAAAAGGGCAGCGCCTTCATCCTATTCATACAACAGCAATAGCCACGCGATAACAACACCAACAAGAAAAAAGTCCCATCATCATGATCTATGATTTGGATTGCACCAGCGGAAGGAAGTGATCATGTCAAATCTGGTTTTGGAAGGCGTGTGATTTGATATCTTTTTCATTTTGAAAAGATTATATAAGCGCATTTTTACGTACAATAATGTGATGCTGCCATCTACTAATCCATATACATTTAAACCTTGTGTGACGCATCAAACGCTTTGCCCCGGTGCATATTTTGGTATGTTCATTGGACTCGTGACTGTGCCTTTGCATCAGAGAGGAAATCTGGGTCAGGATAGTAACAACACAGTGTCATTAATAGGCAGAGCTGCAAATCTTTAACGCATGTAGGATGACATTGTTCGCGCGCTGCTTGATTGAATCAAACTTTGGCGAGAATAGATTGCCTGAATATCCTGATATGGACACTAATGCTCTTGTAGGTGTCATCACACCACCTTTACATAACCCGTAATGGGTTTTGTCAAGCGTGAAGACGATTTGATCTGATATTATTACCTTTGTATACAGGTGTATATTGAGAAATTTAAGTTATAACCTAGATTACGTTACTTTGTATATATTACGTAGAGTGAAAATATATGATAGTGATAACGTTACCATGAGCACTTTTTTTATTTTTTGCGAGAGCACATAGCAGAAAAAGTAAGCGAATAATCGACCAAGTTTGGGACAATATGCGTTAAAATGCTTTTTCCTGAGGAGAATCGACAGTGTGTGTGTGCGGGAAGTACGCTTGGATAATATAATTGACAGAAACTGTTAGATTACAGATGAACATCCCAACGACAATTCTTAATAATATCTCCTCAGGTAGTGGTGAACAAGAAGAGCAACTTACAAATCTATGAAGGCTTAGGTAGTAGCTATGTTATACGACCAAGCCGATACAGAACACTACTGAACATCAACTTTTTTTTAACTTATGTAAGCTGATGCAGTCGCAAGGTATATCATTGAAAGTTGAACTACATAATGTGCACACAAGAAAGAAGAAAGTGTGTCAGCCGTATCAGCGGGTCTTTTCTCCTAAATCATGTAAGCATGTCAGGGGGCTGTGCAGTATGCCAACTGCGTTTTCGTACGATATTTGAATATAAAACTGTACGGAAGCGATTCGTCTCGGCGGTAGAAAAATTGAAAATAGCCATGCTTATTAAAGCATACTAGTATACCTTGTATATAGTAGATCGCTATATTGCACCTAGTAGTTACTTCATCATTACAAGAGAAAATGTACTTAGAAGCAGCACATTTATAGCTGCTCGTGCCCAATGTATATATTAGGCAACAAGTACATTGCTGATACATATCACAGCCTTTTGGTATGTGTCTTCCAAAGGAGATTATGATTAATCGATGATGGAGCCGGAGTAGCAAAGAAGTAAGAAGGATATTAATAGAAGGAAAAATCAAAGAACGAGTTCATGCTTACTGCACGCTTTCCGAATTCAAAAGGTTGGCATGTCCGTCGGAGAAAATGCACGCCGCTCCCGAGAGTTGAAGTGTAAGTTTAACACATAAGCTTAAACGTTTTAGCCCGTTTTTTCCATACAGTCAGTAGTAACCGGGCTTTTCTCTTCTTTTCGCTCTTAGTTTCTTTTTCCCTCCACTTTTGATACTTTAAATCGTGTGCTGCTGGCCCTTGCACTCGTCGTGAGAGCCAACAGCCAAAAGAGAAAAGTCTTAACACCAACTCGTCCTCACCAGTCATTGCAAGCTTCGCTCTCGCTCAACCGCCACAACTTTCGACTCGGCTCAGCTTCCCGCCCTCCTTATTCCCGTCATTGCCATGGAAACGAGCCACTGTCAACCCACGTTGCTTACACTTCACGATGCGGTTACCGATTCGCCCGTATACCGAGCTAATGTCCTTCACTTCGACGAACAGTTAGATCTATTGGAGAAATGGCTCGACCAACTATCCAGGCACCTGAAACAGTATACAGACAAACTTGCCAGTAATGAGCTCTTTCTTTATTTTACATACCACACAACTGAGAGACAACAAAAGCTCTATTGGTTTATTACGAAAGAAAGCAATCATATGAGGAAAGGAGTGGCTTACACAGTATCAACTCTTTTCGGTAGAATTCAATATGGAGACGAACAATGTGTGTAAGAAGGCAATACCTGTAGGCATTGATAGCGTTTTGATCGGTAAGTAAGGGGTAAGAAGCATCAGTGAAGCAATTTTTTTTCTCTAAATGCATGTTGCTTGTTGCCACTGGGCTGTTGCTGTATGTAGATCCCAACTTTACAGGTGCTGTCATTCGCAGCTTCTCAGATGCACTGCAGACAAGCTTGGCGTTCAAAACCAAATTGGTAAGCTTAGGTGGTGGTGGTGGTGAGGATGGTGATGGTTTGTATCTTCTACGTCCTGTTTCTCACACACACGATGCTGTACTTTTTATCTCCGGATTAAACAAATGTCTAATAGGTGTCTGATCTCGAAGACAACTTTATCCAGCCATTGACACAATTTGTAAAGACTAACTTGAAAGAGTTCAGAGTAAGTAACTGCGCGGGTTAAACGACAGAGAAGACCTTTTGCCTTTGGGGAACTGGATGAGCCGGATGAATTGAACTATTTGGGAAAACCGTCTTTAGGAATTCCGAAAACAGCATGAGAAAGCATTAGAACGGTACGAGGCGCAGCTGTACAAGTACACATCCCAGAGCAAGACAAAAGAACCGTCAGCTGTTCGGGAAGAGGCATTTAGATTACACGAAGCACGCAAGGCATACACTCGCATGTCTGGCCAACACGTTGTGCGAATGCTTCAGTTTCGATCCATGCTGGAACATTGTCTGGTCGAAAGCTTTTCCTCTGCCATGATGGCTCATTTTCAGGATGTGGATGCAGAGAAGCAAGTCTGGTCGAAACTAGATGCAGGATTGAATGCATGGAAACAGTGGTTGATTGATGTAAGTTTACTAACAGAATGTACTTGTCGAGATAAGGAATAAGATGGGCTGATGAAGTGGTGGATGATGATTGATTGACGTGGACGGTTGCTGTCGTTGTGTAGGACCGCAAAACATGCGACTATCAGTTGCACAGACTGCAAGTGGCTCGGAAGCAACTCCAGTCTGAACATGTTCAGCAAACCCAGCCACTCCGCGATTTGGATCGCTACGGCTCTGTAACATTACCATCGAGCATCGGCACAGCCATGGCAAGCCGACACTCTCTAGACTTTTCGAACATCGTGCCAAATGACGAGGCGACGGCAACAAGTGCTCACAAGTGGGGCTACTTATTTACCCGCGTATCTCGAATGTCGTGGGCACGGAAATGGTTCTTCTTGTACGACGGTTACTTTGGCACTTGCCAAGTCAACACCAACCCGAAAATGAAGGGCGCCATTACGGTGGGTGAACGTGTTTCAGTTCTCTTGTGCGACATCAAGCCCATGGCCGATCAAGACCGACGATTTTGCTTTGAAGTTGTTTGTGTGCAGCAGTAAGTCTTTGTTTGTTGGTTCTATTTGTTTGTGATTATTTACAAGAGATATGTGTACTGTGTAGGGGCCCGTTCATTTTGCAGGCTGAAACAGAGCAAGAAATGCGCGATTGGATTGCTTCGTTTGCAAAAGCGAAAAGATTCATGTTGGAAAATGAGCAGCTGCATCTACACACAAATCCTCCTGCCAATGCTTCTTCAACCACCACCATCACCACTACTGCTGTTGCTACCACGAGCGATCACGAGGGCCACTCGAGCAGCGAGTCAGACTCACCACGTCGATCACGCAACTCCATGCCTGTGCTACGAAACGCAACAGATTCAGCCTTGTCACTTCCTGCCACTGCACCATCATCTCGTACTACTACTGCTACACCCTCTGCTGTCATGCTCTCAACTTCCGCCGATAATCAAGATCAAGTTTCCCTCACCACGTCCACCACATTAACCCCTCTGCTCGTCCATGAGGCTGTCAAGGCACAGCAACCACCTTCAAATGCCTCATCATCTCCTCCGACTTCTCCGGCTACTCCATCGCAATCGTTTGCAGCTGCCATGACATCATCCGTGTCGCAGCAACAAGCACAGCAACACCAGCAACAACAACAACAGCAGCAGCAGCAGTCTAATGGTGGTGCTGGTACATGGGGTATTCCATGGGGTCTTGTTCCTAATATGTTCTCTGGATCGTCTGGAGCTGCGGATGATGAAATGCCAACGACACCCATGTCGCCCACAGCTGCGTCAAGTCTCTTGAACTCTGGCGTAGATAGCGATGGCCACCCCATCATCTGGCCCTTGCGACCTGCCGACGACGCCACCACCACCAAGGTAGCTTTGACAGGCTACAGTCCAGAACTGGAATCACGCAACCGCGAGCTTCGTGTCTTGTTTGGCGGTGTCTCTTCAAAAGAGGTTGTTTTGGATGCATTTATTGGTGCACTTAAAAAGAAACCGGTGGATGAGGAACAGGGTGACAGCAGTAATGACGACGTAGCATCACCAGTGACGCCAACTGGCTTTGTGGATCCGTTAGAACAAGAGCTGAGTGCACAATTGTCGGGTAGCGTTCAGCGTCCACAGTCTGCATTTGGTTATTCATACACCGGCCGTGCATTTATTACACAAGAGACATTCTGGTATTACAGCTGCGTATTGATGTCATGCGTCAACACTGTGGCTATACCGCTCAAGGGTATTAAAACAGTACGCTTGATCCGCGACAATAGTGTCGCCGATGGCGTGGCAAAGAATGGCAAGGCAAACAACCTAGCATTGGCCATTGATCTGGCAGAAGGTGACGAACCTTTGGTCCTCATGACGTTGTTGGATGATGTTGAAGTCGTCGCAGAGCGACTTCGTTTCGCTGTTGAAAATGCCAAGAGCTCAGAGGTAATCTTACATAGCATAACGCGTATAAGCATATTCCCGTAACAACTTATTGTACGATACGCTAAATGTCTCTTATACTTCATGCATTGTCTTAGCCGATGCTACTGCAAACGTTGTACGATGTTCTTCACAGCATGTCCGCATCTCTGAATAAGAGTCAAACAACGCAAGTAATCCAGCAAAAGAAAGCCGAACCCACTGTTAGCCAATCCATGCCCGACATGACAACAGCTGAAATATACCAACCCGAGCCTCCAATCGCATCACCCGTACCTGAATCCAAGAGGAAGCGCAAGGCACGCAAGAGCTCAGGTGCCAACAAACCCGTTCCGAAATCAGGCGCGCTGGCCGCAGCCATGATGGCCGCCACGGTAGCTGGTGGTAGCGGATTCTTTGATGCGAGCAAGATGGTCAATATCGAGGATGCTGCTCAGAAACGAAGTAGCATCGGCAACAGAAAAATGACAGCTGAGTCGAGTGAATCATTATCGAGCAATGCTGCAGCTCATCAGTCAACATCGACTATTGTTGCTACTCCGCCTGCAATTGATCAAATAAGACAAGAAAAGGGATCCGGTGATGATTCATCATCGTCAGCACAAGCGAAAACAACAGAAGAAGAAATCCCATCCCATATCCAAGTACCCACAGAACCATGTGTCTGTGATTGTGGTGATCATCTTGACAAAGTGGAATCGGAGATCCAGTTACCAATTTCTGCCAAGCGATTGTACGATCTGCTTTTTGATTCTCAAGATATTTCAATTTGGGAAGCCAAAAACAATGCGGGTGGAGGAACGAATCTGCGTGTTGGTGTTTGGGATACTGTTGATGGCAAGTCGCAGCGGGTAATGAAGTATATTCTACCTGTCAGTAACCCCATGGGTAAGTAAAAAAAAGATCACTCCAGATTTAAAAGCAAGGCTTTAATCGAAAATCCTCGATCATTCAACCAAATCTTTCTGATACGCATAGTGAAAGTCAAGGAAGCAGAAGTCGTAGAAACACAAGTTATACTGAAAAAAGAAGACTACATGTAAGGATGGATATTTTTCTTTTATAGCAAAAGATATTTACTAATAACTCTTGTATTTGTTAGTCGCTATGTCGTACAAATCTCGACCAAGACTGCACAACTGCCCTATGCAGATGCATTTATACCCTCTGTAAAATACTGTATTAGCTGGGTCAGCAAAACACAGTGTAAATTGACATGTAGCATGGGTGTCAAGTTTGTCAAGAGTGTGCTAGTCAAAGGTGAGTAGAAGTGCAGTGAAATTATTAGGAAAGTGTATTTTGGGCTTTCTGGTGTCATTACTGACTACAACAATGTATACAACATTGTAAACATAGGCATGATCAGCAAAGCGGCACTCAAGGGAATGGGTGAAAGTATCGTATCATTTGTTCCAATCTTGGAAGAGAAAGTAGCCGAGTTGAACGGAAGCAAGTCTGTCGATCAATCGTTGTTACGAAACGCAACTCTATCAAGGCAATCCCGAGTATCCTCGAAAGCATCGCCCCGCAAATCTACAACAGACACAACTGTATCAACCACTTCATCCTCAATCTCCGCCGCATCATCTTCTTCGTCCTCCTTTGATTATATGGGCTGGATCGACACTGTATCAGAAACCGTATCATCCATACCATTCACTATACGTGCAAGTCTAATGGGTCTACTTGTATTATGGATAATGTGGTCTTGGTTATTCCGTTCATCATCATCCACAAAGCATGAAGACCCATTCCCAGCATTATTACCGCCTCCTCCAGGTCGAGCTGTTTATCTCCGTGATCTTGAAGATGGACTATTGAAGACTGAATTGCAGCCCTCATATATTGATTCAGAAAGGTAAAATCAACGTAGGAAAAATGTTTATGGTATTGCAACACTTGCTCACTCATGTACTATTGATTACATGTGTTTTAGCTTTCAACTATTTTTGGCAACGCGACCGCTAAATGGAACCACAAACCACCAGTGGTATAATGCAAAGCATCGCCGAATGGCGATAGAGTTATTATTTAGTCGCGAGCGTGTAGGCATGCTACGACACGATATGCTGGTCATATTCCAAATGTTAAACCAAGTCGATGCCCAACTCTTGGAGAACGAATACATTAACTGGCTTTTGGATACGCGGTTACTGTGTCGCAGCAGTAATGAACCCTGTGAACATGTGAATGTACAGCTCAAATCCTTCTTTGGTTAGAGAAAAAGACGACTAATAAAAGTTTTTTTTTTTGTTTTCCTTCTTTCACTCGTACCAAAATATGCAATTATGTATATGCAAACTGACAGAGATAAGTTGATATATATAATAATATACATTTTTATAATCTCATGCTTGACTCTGTTAGGCGTAGAGCAAGAAGACCGTCTTCTCTCTCTTACTTACTTGTCCTGGTGAAACACAGACTTTATAACAGCTAGGAATCATGTTTGTTTATACTTTTTCACACCATTGGCGTGACGACAACAGTACATGATTGATCGTCTTAATGGTTATTTGAAAGACAAAGTTTGTGGATGAGGATTGTGGGGCTTGGAAGTGCGTGGACATGTGTTTGCACTGTTGGTTGCTATTCAACCTAATGAAGCATTCAATGAAGTATCCGTTAATCGTCTTTAACCCAAATTAAACGACGACCAAACCAACATGTTTCTAGGCAAGAAGAATCCTCAGGTTGCTACTGCTGGACACTGAAGTGTTCGCTTAAGTTCTGACTTTAATCCAGACAAGGTTCCGTTGTTGTCAGGCACTGTTTGAATAACCCCAAACAATGCTCATGTTTAAGCGCAACGGTTGTTGGAAACGGTTTAAACATTTAAACAGGTTCTCCCCTCCCTCACGGTTCTTAAAGATCATATGAAAAATGTCATGCAACAGCAATTAGGAGTCGTGTTCGTAATCTTGACAAAAAGACAAGTTGTTTCTTATTTTGAACAATAGCATGGCCCGTGCATTCGGAGCATCATGTTAGTTGCCCCAAGTATTAAATATGAAACAGAGCGACATGAAATTTAAATGAGTACAGTACATGTCACAATAAGAAAAGCAACGGTCGATCTTATGACATTCTACTTATTGTTTATATCATTTTTGTTTTTGTTTATAGGAAAACGACGTCAATTGATGAGAAGCGAGTGAATGTCAATGAAAGATATAATATGTGATACGAAGACTGCGTCGTAAGACCAACACTCCAACTCAAGGTCAAACTATTAGAGGACTGGCAGCACACTTTACTTCGTTCATTGGACCCCGTGATTTTTTAAAGCAGACATTGTATGTACTGTAATTACAAAAAAGTGAGGTTGACTTTGCACGCAGCTTTTTGCTAGCAAACGAATGAATATTAGTATAGTATAGCTCCATCCGACTCAAGCGATTAGTGTCATCCTTGTGCAGGGGCTTGCTAATCTTCTCTGTGAATAGAAAATTGCTGGAAGGGTACCTCCATTACCCTACACCTTTCCTCTAATACCCAAATTTCAGAAGACCCACCTGCAGCAGAGAAACATGTGAAAAAGGGATCGCGGGGACGGCGCGGTGAAGTCACGGACAATGCGACGCGTGTATTTCCTTTACAAAATAAACCATCATGCGGAATAGATAATAAGCAATGAGACTACTTTATCATAGCTTTAGATATGCGGCTGTTTGCTTTCACACTTAGCACTATTTATATGATGCGTAAGAAGTGATCATAAGTAAAAATGTTTATTAGAAGTATATTCTGTGTAAAATAACAGCTTCCATACTACTTTTTAGAATTAATGGACGGGAAAGCTGCGAAATAAAGATTATTAACAGAAGCTAACTTCATAGCTTTGCTCTTGGCAGTTAAAAGTGCTCGTCTGGTCATCATAAGCAAACTATAACAAAAGTGCAACGTTAGTAAGTATGCTACTCTAAGGGAGGATTTAGAAAACCACTTACAGAGTAAGCATCTGGACAAGCTTCCTTGACACTTTTGGACTGCTTATCAGGTCGGCACACTTCTGGGTCATCGTGGTCGCCCTTGCAGCATGTCTCATCGGTATCGTGTTTTGAGCAAGAGCTCTGACAACCAGTGACCTTTCCATTCTTATCGACGATAGCGTATTCTTCGGGACATTTGGGCACATCGCACGAAGGCGAGCCACACTTGTACTTGCCGCTACTGTCACCGCTGCCACCACCACCACCGGGTGTAATTGTCATTGGCAAATTGTATCCGTCTACCAGACTGATATCATAGTAATCATGGTCACCCGAGCCCTTAAAAAAGAATTCGGCCAAGGAAGCTGGATTGCCTGTACCGGGAGTACCACATTTGCCCGAGCTTTCGCCTTCACAGCCGTGGCGACCCCAAATGCGACCGCCCCACTTGTCACTCTTGGAAATGGTTTGGCTTGATCCGGGAGACAGGTCGAAACTTTGTTCGGGGCCAGATTGCGACTTGCCGTTGGTAAGAACGCCTACACCAATGGAATCCTTGCATTTGTTCTTGATAGTGATGGATTTTTGGCTACTACCACTGCTACTATCGGCAGCAAAGCCAAAACCGTGTGCAGAACCAATAAAGAATGCAGCAGCAAATGCAAGTACGGTAGTACGCATCTTTCTGTTTGTTTTTTTTAGAGATGGATGGAAAAGGTGAAAAGCAACAAACCCTTCGTTTACTAGCATCGTCATTACTTATATATGGTAGCATGGGTTACAAGAGCACAGCTCGAAGTTTGTTAGCATTATAACCCTTGGCTCAGAGCATATAGCAATAAGTAAGTGGGGTAATCATATGGAAAAAGTGAGGGGAATGGCATGGGTGATGAAAAAATAATAGGGCTTTTTATTTGCTTATCATTGCTGTCGACTAGGGCCAGCAGTAATGATATGTAGTATGTACCCCCCACCCCTTTCGTGGTTGTCGACAGGGTTAAATAGAAAAGTTCTTCCGCCAATCTAATGAGCGATAATGGTTATTAAACGAATTGGGCAAGGGTCCGTCAATCTCCTCGTCTTTCCCCGCCATATAAAGGAACATCAGATTGATAGCAGCATATATTGGATGGGTAGATGAGCCAAAAAGCAAGGGATATCAATCGGGGGAAAATTACACCATGCCAAAAAGAAAAGAAACAGAGAAATGCTATTATTATTAATCGGATAGATGGGATGTCATAAAGTAATTATATGCAATGTAAAACTAATACAAAAAAATGCCAAAAAAAATGCTGCGGTAAAATATAAATGGTTTCCAAAACGTTATGACGAATTTCGCGAAAAGAGTGCCAGAAGCCTATCCTGATCGTCACTCCAATGGGCCGAGCATAGATTGTATCGTACAGGTATGCAGCTGCCATCGTGCTGTTGCACAATACGATACCGTATTACCGGGTTGTCAAAGTAGGATTCACCACAGTAAAAGCATGCTTTCGATTGGCCGAGATAATTTTGCAAATGGTCAGGCAAATCCCGTTGCGGCTCCTGTTGCTGCTTCTGGTGATTATGCAACGCTGTAGCTTGGTTTTTTGTTGTTGCTAACGGTGGCGTTACTACTACTGTTGCCTTTTTCTTTTGTTTTTTATGTTTCCCACGCGGTAGTGCTGCTGCTGCTGCTGGTGCGAGCTGCCGAGCACAAATTTCCGCCAAACTCGGTGGATTGTGAGCCAAGGAATGAGTGAATTCCTCCACCTTTTCTTGTAGTTGAGGACATCCTTCGGTCTTGATGGTAGCAATAGACAGTCGTAACAGCTCAGCTGGCACAGCATCGATACGTGAATACGACAAGTCTAGATATGACAGATGCTTCAACATCGACAAGCTGAGTGGGACGTCGCTAAACATGTTGTACGACAAGTCGAGATAAGTAAGTTTTTTCAAACTCGGAATGACATTAGGGATCTCGGCAAGTCGATTGTGGGCGAGATTGAGTTGACGTAGGTGCTTCAGTTGGCGAATGGACGAAGGAAGTGTTTCCAGTCGATTGTGTGAAAGATCGAGTAGTGTAAGACGAGTTAACGATGTGAGCTGCGGTGGGATGACATATAGGCCTACGGCGCGTCTAATAAATAGAAAAGGGGGACGGGTGTGTGTGTGTGGAATACATGGCAAACACAAGTTTTAGTAAGCTCTTTTTTTTTGTGCGTGCAAGAAGGAGAGGCGAGGGACTCCTGTTCAAACAACATCCCCCACGCACACAACTACATTGCCGCTGATAGATATCCATCACACTAACTCATTTCTCTGTCCCCTTCCCATCTAACGCAGTCATCCAAACAGTCTCTCTAGCTATCCATGTATTGAAAAAGAGAAATATTAGGAAATCTCACAAATCCAGCCTTGAAATAGACGACAGCACGTTGATAGCTCGGTTGAACGTCATTGTATGCATCCGAGTGATCGATTGCTGAGACTTTTCCGTCATTTTCGAGTACGATCTATCGGTATGGCTTGTTGATGATCGAGGCGCTGCATCAGCGGACTCGTAGTATGTATTATCGACGTAGGAGAGATCATTGGCCAAGGTGGTTGGTGAGAAGAGGTGATGGATAGGTTCGTGAGGAGGGATTTGAAGGTTGTGCAAAGCACTTTGGGGAGATGTAGACATGCTTGTACGAGAGCGAGAGAGAGAAGAGAGAGAGAGAAGAGAGAGAGAGAGACGGAGGAGAGAATGGAAAGAGATGGTAGTAGTGGTATTAGTAGTAGTAGTAATAAGCCAATTGATCACAATTATAAAAAAAAAGACCCGGGAAAAGGGAAAGAGAAAGAGAAAGTTAATGGATAGGTGATAGATTAGGGATGGTGTTGATAGAATCGAAAGAAACATCAGAAGGGATATATAACAAATGCGTCCAAAAGACATTCAAGAATGGACCGAAGAAAAACAACATTCGGACCACTTTGTATCATCACCGCTTTTAGCAATCACCTTGATGTCTTGACGCCGGGCGAATTCGATCACTGTTCGAACCAATGCTAGTTCAATTTTCGACTCGACACCTGTCAAATTTCGTATCCTGCCTTCGTGCTCCTCCTGCTGGTATTCCAGTGCCACAGCTCCCACCAACTCATTTTTCTTTTTGTGTTCCTCCTTATTCTTATTGTCTTGGCCTTGATCTTGTTCCTGTTCTTCTACTGCTGCTGTTTTCATCATCACCCACGCATTATTCTTTGCATGACTCTGCTTTATTTCCTGTAACCGCTCGGCCATCCACGCACTATGTTTTGCGACTTGGCGCTGCCACTCGTTGCGTATCCACATATACCACCCCACACCGACACCTGCGCTCCAAAGCGCCAGTTCCAACATGAGTAAGGCGCGCCCACTGTCGTTTGCCAAGTGTAAGCTCAGCAGACCCACGAGTCCTGCTTGCCAAGTCCGGCGTGCACCTCGTCGTCGTAGCAAGGCGTCTAAAATGTGTCGATTCCGATGTTGCTGTGCTGTTTCCCAGTATAATTGTCGTACTGCATCCTCATCCCCGCAATCGTATTCTCGAATTTGCTGCTTCATTTAATGTTGCTTCTTCTTCTGTTATTGTATAATAATTTCTCCGACTGAGAGTAACAAAAAAGAGGTTGGTTGCGGCCTTGAAAAAAGCAAGCAGGAATATAAAGAGTGATTTTTGTGTGACTCCTGTGGAAACTTGTATTGTTGAAACATGCACCGATCGTTCCGATTTCTCGCTCGACGATCGATTCATACACAACGTACACCTCTCGATTATGACGTTATTATCATTGGAGGCGGACATGCTGGTACAGAGGCATGTACAGCTGCAGCAAGAGTGGGTGCACGGACACTCTTGATCACACAAAATACAGACACAATCGGTATGCCCGGTTTCCCTATAAATCTGAATTGACGAGCACAATAATAAAAGCTTACTAACTTGCATTTGGAACTACAGGTGAAATGTCCTGTAACCCCTCGTTCGGTGGTGTTGGCAAAGGTGTATTAGTTCGAGAAATTGATGCGTTGGACGGTGTATGCGGTCGCATATCTGGTTAGTTTTAATGTATTGCTTTGTGCCTGTTATTCAACAAGCTGATAACTAAGCATTTATCAATAGATCTTTCCGGTATCCAGTTCAAGGTGCTCAATCGATCCAAGGGTCCTGCTGTATATGTATGTACAGACTTTCACACTAATTATGCTGTTTGTGTGTGTGTGTGTGTGTGATATCCATGACAACTGCAAAATCGGAACAACAGCAACAATCAAACATGATGCACTAACCTTACTGCCGTCCTGTTTTGCCTACCACAATAGGGACCAAGAGCACAAATTGACCGAAAACTCTACAAACGTCATCTACAAGAGTACTTGAAGAACTATCCAAATCTGACAATTCAAGCAGGAAGCGTTGCCGATCTTATCTTGAGCAAAGGAGAGTCTGAAAACGAGCATCATGCGATCAAGGGAAAGGGAGCCATGTCTTCAGTCCAGGGTATCCGTTTGGGTAAGAAATAAAAGATTGGATACACATACATAAATAGATTGGATATTTCCAGTCCATTAATTAATGACAGCAACAACAACGCTACGTGGGATAAACAAATAATATGAATTTAACCATCATTTGTAGAAAACGGACAAACAATACGGGCGCCAAACGTTGTCATCACAACTGGCACATTTCTTGGTGGAGAAATCCATCTAGGTTTAAAGGTTTGGCCTGCGGGTCGAATCGGTGAAGATCCGTCTAACGGATTATCAAGATCGTTACGAGAGGCTGGATTCAGATTAGGACGATTAAAGACAGGTAAGAAACAAATTGGAGTGGAATAGGCTATTTTGTCTGTATTGTTCTGATGTTGATCGTGATTATACATCGACGATGATAATGACTAGGTACACCTCCTCGGTTGGATGGTCGAACGATCAAGTATAAAGGGTTGGAGATTCAACGAGGAGATGATCCACCCTCGCCATTTTCATTTCTTCATAAGACCGTACCCTACGCAGTAAGTGAACTCCTCCTCCCCCACTTTATAATGTATGTATCGTTTCATCAAAAGCTAAAAAAAAGCTAAATTTGATTAGGACCAACAAATTTTATGTCATCAAACACGCACGAATCCTCAAGTACATCAGTATGTTGAGCAAAACTTTGATCAAAGCATTCATATCCGAGAAACTGTAAATGGCCCACGGTAAATGTTCATTTATGACATAGACAACAATAAGAGGAGGAATATAAGGAGAACAAAACACTAAAAAAATACGCATGCAAATGGAAACAAAAATTATTAGATACTGTCCATCATTGGAAAGCAAAATCAGACGTTTTAGAGATAAGGAAGGACATACGATATGGTTAGAACCTGAGGGTCTCGACACACATGTCGTCTACCCCAATGGAATCTCAAACACAATGCCTGAAGATATTCAACTCAAGTTTTTGCGCATGATCAAAGGTTTAGAGGATGTTGAGATGACTATGCCAGGTTAGTAATAAACCACTCCAAGGTGCTATTTTCTTACGATATTTTTCAATGAGAGAGGTGTGGGTCATTAATAAGTCACGGAGAACTGAACTTTGATATGTTAATCTAGCCTATGGTGTTGAATATGACCACATTGACCCTCGCGAGTTACGATCGACACTCGAAACAAAACGGATTAGCGGTCTTTTCTTAGCAGGTCAAATCAATGGCACAACAGGCTACGAAGAAGCTGCTGCGCAGGGTATCATTGCAGGCATCAATGCTGGTTTGAGTGCGCTGGGTCGAGAGCCGTTCATTCTGGATCGATCCGACGCTTACATTGGCGTGTTGATCGATGATCTGGTTACCAAGGGCGTCGAAGAACCCTATCGTGTGTTCACATCGCGTTCCGAGTATCGACTGTTGCTGCGATCAGATAATGCTGATTTACGTTTGACGCAAAAGGGTTATAAAGCCGGCGTTGTTCACGACAGCCGATGGCAGCAACATGAGCAGAGTGCGAATGCTTTTAATAATGCGTTCTTAGCGTTGGAAGAGATGCGTATGTCAGTTACGGCTTGGAGCAAACAGGGCATATTAACTCCATCGCAGAAGTTGAGCGAAAGTGGCATTTTGAAGAGGTGAAAAAATCAGCATCGAGCTAAACTGCGTGTATGAATTTAAAGTTTGATGAAAAAAATCCTAATACAATTTCCTTTCTGTTAGTGGCATGGATATCATAACGCGACCTGATGTGTCTTTAGATAAGCTGTTCAGCGTTATTCCAGCTTTGCAGTATGTTGACGGATCGTTGCGAGAACGTCTATTGATTGAGGGTAAGTAAATAGCTAGTTTGATAAGAAATGAAAGTGTATACTCAAGGAGTCTGTGTATGATGTATATGTTAGGTCGGTACAAGCCATACTTGAAACATCAAGCAGCAGAAGTGGCTGCCTTGAAGCGTGATGAAAATTTGAAACTGGATGTTAACCTTGATTATCATGCGTACGTTTACTACAGTACTTTTGCGGAGCAACGATTTATTGCCCTATCAGTAACTAACTACATTATTGTTCTAGGATGACCTCACTCTCACATGAAGTACGCCAAAAACTCGCAACAGCACGGCCTGAAACTTTGGTAAGTATTCTTTCTATTCGTTTAACGTATAAAACCAAAGGCTGGCTTTCTGAGTAAATCGTATGATAGGGAGCTGCTGGCCGGATAGAAGGCATCACACCAGCTGCCATGGTATTACTTATGCGTCATACACGCCATTTTGGACGCACATCGGATATCCCACCTACTGCTACACAAGAAAAGAAAGTAAAAATTATAAGCGAAGCTGTATAAACTGTCATATCACTTTTAAAAACTGTAACAATGATAATAAACGCTGTATTATTTTTTCGAAAATGTTTATAAAAATTGCGAATCTTTCCGACGTTAGCCAGGTTTCTCATATAAACCGCACAGCCTAACATGCTTCAAAATCCAGCTCTTAATCAAGACACCAACGATTCAGCGGGTAACAATGATGCAATGTCACTATTGAGCACGTTTATGCTCCAAGGCTGGGTAATGTCTAAACAAATCGTCTATATTTTTCATGTCGCCTTTTTATGTATAAAACTAAATTGTACATTATGTGCTTTTGAAATAAACCCTTTTTCAGGTCATGACAGACCAAGCCTGCAAGGTACCTGGTTGCCCAGTACCCATCATGCGATCCAAGGACGGATCAATCCGTTTCTGTGTAAAGCATGACAAGTTGCCAACAACTTCTTCCAGTGGATCGGCTATCAAGTCATCAAGTGCTACATCGGCAACAGCAGGAGCAGCTGTAACACCAGCACAAGTACAACAACAGCAACCAGCAGCAGCAGCAGCAGCAGCAGCAACAACAACTCAAACAGACGTAGCACAGTCACCGTCAATTGAAGACGACGTATACGCAGAACGTGAACGTCGTCGAGAACAGTCATCTAAAGCGTCACAATTAATTGGTCAACGACTGCTTCAGCGCTGGACATTGCTCAACGAAACTTGTCCTAGCCCTGGCTGCTACGCTGTAAGTAGTTTAAAAACCCACGCTCAGTTTTTTCTTAACAGGATTAGGGTAAATCATGAAAGCTTGACCAAAAATAAACGCATATACACATATTCTCTCTTCCTTTTTAGATCCCATTGATGCGCGATCCATCGAAACATATGGTTTGTGTGATCTGTAACCGATCGTTTAATGAAGATTTGGAACAAGAGAGTCAGCGGTTGGATAATACCAAGGAAACAGAGGATGAGCCGACTGAGTATAAAGACGAACCAACAGACGATGATGATAGACCGGAGGTAACGTATAGTAATAATGGTATTATTCAGTTTGTAAGCCTTATATTTTTATGTGCGGCTTTTCATATATGTTTTCCTTTCTGTTCTGCTAAAGAGTGGAAGACGCTTAAAGAAACGAAAGGTCATATCTACCTTTTTTTCTTCGTTGTCTTTGGAAATTAATAAATGTTAAAGGCTACTTTGCTAACTTCTAGTTCAATTAAATCTGCTTACTCAATAATTTAGACGGATATTGAGTCGTTCGAAGCACCACCAGCCGCACCTGAACGACGACGATCACAACAACAACAACAGCAGCAGCAGCAGCAAGAACAACATGAAGCGCCATCAGAATTCTTATCGTTCTCTCCTATTGCAGACAAGATGCGCACGTTGTTGCGTCGCGTGGAACGTAGTTCAGACCCCGTAGAACTGAAGCAGCTATTTGAAGCCATTGAGGCTGGTGCGGGTGCTATCAAGGCATGTTCGGAAGCTTCAGAAGCCGTTCATAAAGCGTCAAGGAAGTTCGAATTTAAATAAACTAAACTTTAATAATACCAATATTTGTGTAAATATCTTGTGGAATAAAAAAGGACCGCTTAGCAATTCATTTTCTATTTTTTTTTGGCGTGTGCGCATGTAACAAGACAGTACTACAACAAGCTTTCAGCATGCATGCATATTTGGGTAAACACGGGCCATTTTCCGTTATATATGTCGGTACTTCTTCATATATCTCTTTCTCAAAAAAACTTCCACGTGACGTTTTACCTTACCAACTTTTTGAGTGGGTTAGAAAACGCGCTTTTTTTTTTCTGTTTGGTGGCAGCAGTTTCATGTTTAATTTGTAAAGCAGAAAGCGCACATTACTGCCGGTAGTTACTATTAATAATACATGTTTTTTTTTGGCGCGGTGGCAATAATAATAATAATAATAATAGTTATTTAGCGCGGCGGTTCACAAGTAAGAGAGTGTTCACATAGAACAGGCTGTTCCAGATCGCACCTAGTAGTAAACGTGCAGCGTGTCCAAAATTGGGAAGCAACAGCAATGGAGTTGTAAGAGCACAGACACGAGTAAACACGAAACGTGGGCACATGCGACTTTCCCTCCCCTTCCGTCTCTCACCCCCGAACAGGCCCTGTACGTATTTGTCAGTCTCTTAGCAGCATATACTGTAAGTCGCCATGACAGCATGATTGGGAACATTTGTTGCCAGGGAACGGTTTTCAGATATGCGTGGTTGTCCAGGACAAAGGTGAGAGGGGAACGAAATATTTAAAAAAAAGCTTAATTTCGTTGACAGCCCTCTGTCAAAAAGGCAAAAGGTGCTATCGTGCATCAAGCGCAAGTAGTGCAGTACATAGTATATATGACATATAGTCTGGTATTATAAAGCAAGTATCTCATATTAGAGCAAGGGACGCATATACACAAACGTCAATTTTCGGGTAGACAGCAACTCGCATCCAAAAAAAGTACCACCACTGCTGTTCCCCCATCCATTAACCCTTACAACTCCTCCACTTTTTACCCTTCCCTCATCACAAAGCGCGCAATCTTCTTTCTCTTTTCTTCTTCTTCTCTTTTCCTATTCACAACTTGTGTGTAAGGCATTGGTGAGATTACTTTCTCTCCTTTCGCCTTTTGTTTTTCTATTTCTCGACATTCTTTTAAGTCCATTCAGAAACACACACATCATCAACTCACTACTACTGGTTACAATCCTCTCACTTCCTCTCCCCAGCTCGCATTTCTCCCTTCTTTTTTTCTTCTTCCCTTTTTTCTGCAAGTGCCGCTTTTTTTTACCACCACCTTAATCCGGTTACACATTACCGAAACTTTGTCCCCTAATACGCTGACCATCGCTACGTTCCCTTTTCGAAATCGCTCAAGGAAGAAAAGCACCCAGAGACACGCACACAGTTTTGTCTATCGAAAACACCAACTATTGCCCTCTCCTTTTTGTTAACAGACAAATTTGCCTCTATTTGTGCCGCTTGGACTATTTGTAAAGGGCATCAAACTACCTCTCTCCTCTTTCCCCTTATTTTCTGGTTTCTTCCCAACCTTGATAACCGGGTTCCGATATACATACATACATACTTTCTCCCTCTCTCGGTCACAAGGAGAAAGGAACAAAGCAAGAATATACAGATATACACATATTATATAATACAGAATGCAAAGGAATGCATTTATGACCGACTATCCGACTACTGCAGCCGCAGGAGCAGTAAGACAGCAGCAACAACATAATAATAGCCGACAACAACTGGACATCCAACAACCGAAAGCCAGGAACCAGCCTCAGGGACAGGTAAGCAAAAAGTGCATAGAGATGTTGTAATTAAGAACACATATGTAACTGATATATGACACATCCATATCCATATACATGTATTATAGCTGGCTGCGCTTATGAGAGGTCGAGGAGGCGATTGTGACACCGATCTTTACCTCGATCCGTCGCGTGAACTAGAACAACGCTCGAACAGCGCTCCACCCGATCAACATTTGCTTTATTATCCATTGTCGGACAAGATCCTCAATAGACATCATCATCACGGGGACACGTCATCGTCGGCAGCAACGACACCACTTGGAGATCCTTCTATGCGAATGAACAATTCCAGCAGCCATCGTCCTTGGGATAATAATAATAACCACCAACATCACAACAGTAGCGGAAATACTTACATGCCTTCACCGTTGTTCGACTCTGCACGTCAAGCATGGTCATCTACGCCCAATCAGATGACACCATCTGAAGCATCAAAGTCATTTGCTGTCGCAGGAGCAGGTGAAGGTAAAGTCGAAAGGAAGAAAAGGGTTGGAAGAAAAATTTAAGAGGGCGCGTGCTCCTTTTGTGTGTGATGTTTTGTATGGTCACTGACAAAACATCACTCTAGGCGACGAGTACTTTGGTGCTTTTACCGATCCAGAAAGCGCGTTGTCAGGCAACAGTCGTGGAGGGGCAGGATTAAATAATAACAATCTTGGGAGAATGTGGAGTCAATCAGGCCTGGTATCCCCGAGTCTACAGTGTCCGTTGGAAAGCGGTAGCTCGATCGACTCCTCGGTTCCAGGGGTAAGTTCTTCTGTTTACATGACCTATTACGAAGGATGTGCGTGTTGACCCAAACGTAATTAGAACCGATCCGCTTCACCTTTTGCGCCCCTTCCGCAACAGCATAAGCAACAGCAGCAGCAACAGGATCCCTTGATGATGCGTTTTAACAATAGCGAACTCGACCAACAACAGCAACAACAACAGTTTCGTATGCCCATGATGCAATCCTCATCCGCTACAACCCGATCGCCTTTGCATCAACAACAGCAACAACAGCAACAACAACAACACGATCCTTACAAGAATCATTATCACCATCAACAATATAGCTCTATGGCACAGGCCGAGCAGCAGCAACAGCATTTCGGATATGTCAACGACGGATCGTCAATGAAGGGCAGCACTCCGTTTAATGAGGAACCATTTCCGCATTTTCAAGTAACGCAGCCAATGTCGCCTCCTGCACCGTACAATTTTACTACGTCTCCGCCCCCTCGTGCAAATTCAACACCGCCGACGAGCCACATGGCAACACAGCGTAACCGTCAAGCAATGGGCATGGACCCACACGAGTATAACAACTTGGTCCTCGGTATGGGTGGTCTTGGTCTAAATGATAAGGTAGGAAAAAAATATGCGTAGGAAACGATTAGATAATGTACTAAATTCTCACTATCTTTACAGTCACTCAAGGGAACTGCCGACGATGTCAAAGGAAGCCGTGTCTCCGTCCAACAGCAGCAACGCTATCTGCAATGGATGAACCGACAAGGTGTCGGCATGAAACCACCTCATCAGAGCCTTGACGCTGTGCTTAGTGAATCCGCCGGCCCCACCTCGTGGAGCAGTAACAATGCCACGCCTACCAGCATGATGTCACCTGTCAACAGTCCGTTCGATATGGAGCCCAGAAGTGCAACCGTGTCTCCCCCGCTTTATGGTGGACTTGGTGGAACCGGCGGCTTCGGCTTCGATGACAGGGCTAGCGATGATATGTCTTCCTTTATGGAAGCAGCAACGACCCAACCAGCAGGTAGTAGTAGTGGTCGACGACAACACCACCATCACCGCACAGTCGATGGTGGTCGACAACAACTCAACAAGTTCCCTTCAACACCTTCGCTGTCCGGACTAGCGAGCATGCCCATTAGCCCCGAATCAGCACACGATCCACAATGGTCAATGCATGAGTTTGTCGCTGCTGCTGCCGCTGCTTCTGCTTCTTCTGCAACTAATACTCCAGGTGGAAATAATCAACAACAACAACCTCTGGGTCGCAACGGTATGCCCATGCTTGATTTAAATAATTTGAACGATGAACAAGCAGCAGCAGCAATAGCAGCTGGATATGGAACAACGCATATGAACGACCGGTTGATCCGACAGCTCCAAACACGCCAACGTCAAATTATGCTTCAGCAAGAACAAATTTTGTTCCTCCGCAACCAGATGCTACGACAACAGCAATCGCACGAAATGCTACGCAACATGCCTTACTATGCGAATAATCCTGCTGCTGCGGCCGCCGGTAATGTACCTCCTACCACTGCTGCACCGCCACCACCCCCTCCTCCACCAGGTGTGATCCCACCACCCGTTCAAGGCGGTGGCAGCGGTGGCACCACATCCCACGTACCACCAGCGCTTCGTACACGAGCAGGCATTCCTGTGCACGAACCATTGGTGAATCCCACTGCAGCTGCTGCTGCTGCCGCCGCTCTTGCTTCACCTGACGCCGCACATATCATCCGTAGTCCGTTACTCGAGGAATTCCGCAGCAACAAGAACAAGAAATACGAGCTCAAGGATATTGTCGACCACGTTGTAGAATTCAGCGGCGATCAACACGGCTCCCGATTTATTCAGCAAAAGCTGGAGACAGCCAACAGCGATGATAAGCAGCTAGTTTTCGATGAAATCTTACCCAATTGCTTGCAGCTGATGACCGACGTGTTTGGCAATTACGTGATCCAGAAGTTGTTTGAGCACGGAAGCCAGGCACAAAAGACGGTTCTTGCCAAGCAGATGGAGGGTCATATCTTATCCTTGTCGCTGCAAATGTATGGTTGTCGAGTGGTTCAAAAGGTTTGTCATACTATAATTCAGACGCGTCACAAGTATATGTATACGGTTGGGATTCGTCGTACTAAAAAACAATTATGTTAATCTTCTAGGCATTGGAACATGTTTTGACAGATCAACAGGCAACCATGATTCGTGAATTGGACGGCAGTGTCTTGAAATGTGTCAAAGACCAGAACGGTAACCATGTCGTTCAAAAGGCAATTGAACGTGTGCCATCCCAGCACATTCAGTTTATTATCGATACCTTCCATGGTCAAGTATATCATCTCGCAACTCATCCATACGGTTGTCGTGTGATCCAACGCATGTTTGAACATTGCCCTGAAGAGCAAACGGTAAGCTATAGTGATTTTTTTTTTCGCCTGTTGAGTTGGATCTATCGATGTATGAGAACTAAAACGACTCTGTTTATGAATATGTACAGGAACGATTATTGGAAGAACTGCATCGATGCACAAGCCAACTGGTACAAGATCAATATGGCAACTATGTTGTACAGCATATACTGGAGCATGGCAAGGACGAAGACAAGCAACTGATCATTGGCAAAATCCGTGGCCACGTGCTCCAATTGAGCAAACACAAGTTTGCGAGCAACGTTGTTGAAAAATGCGTTGCTTATGGCAATGTCGACGACCGACGTGCTTTGATCGAAGAAGTCCTGCAGACACGCCCCGATGGATCGTATCCTTTGTTGACTCTGATGAAGGACCAATATGCTAACTACGTTCTCCAAAAGATGCTGGATGTTGTTGATGATGGAGAGCAGCGGGACTTGCTCGTCAGTAAAATCAGAATGTATCTGCACTCGGTGAGAAAATACACATATGGAAAGCATTTAACGCAGAGTAAGTACCCTTTCTATCATAGCTACTGCCGCAGGCTCTCTTTGTTGGAATTCTTGATGTACTTATTGATGTTCACTGTTCTTTTTTTTACAAAAACAGAGGTGGAAAAACTGTTGCCTCTCAGTAATGATCCAGCAGCGGCAACGATTCAACAGCAGGAAGGCCAAGCGACATCGCCATCACCAGTACCTTCGTCAGTAGAGCCTGGATCTCCACTAGTGTCTGCTGTGGACGATAACGGCGACAGGTAGCTTATCATTTACCTATACACGTACCTACTACCTACCAAAAACACACACCACACAGAGAAAAACTCTATTATTACTATTATATTTTATCCCCCACCAACTTTTTTGTTTATAAGTCCTCTATTATTCTTTCACCTCTTTTTTCATAGTGTCCTCTCTCGTTTTATACCAGTTGTTTAGAAACGAGTGGGTCTGATTATACTATTTTTCTTCAATGTGTACATGAGCTTACGCTTGTATTAGTTCTTTTTTCCCTCACCACCCCCCCCCACCTTCTTATTAGAGAGCTTTTTTATCTTTATCTTTTCTTATTTATTTATTTCTTCTTTCGTTTTGAAAAAAAAACCCCTTTCGCGTGCTATAAATTTCCCTTTCTTTCACATATCAATGTACATGCAAACAAACAATAACTACAACAACACTTAAAAACCTTCTTTATAACTTTTAATATTGTACATCGAGCTAACATTATCATTATAGTGCATTCAGTTTTTTGAAACCAAAAAGGCCCGTTTTGTAATGAGGAAGTTGATGCATAAATATATGGCCATATAGTGGAATGCATATCAAAGGACAAAAATTCAAATCAGGCCTAGGTTAGTGTTTGACTCCCAGCTAAGACCGTCCCAAAGCAACCAAATCTTTGACGAAAAAAGGGAACCCGTCCACAAGAATGAAATGAATACGAGCAAACATGCAAAGCATCAAGACATGGGAGAATTACTTTTTGGCGATTCAAGTCGAGGTGCACCATACTGCATAATATACCGTTTTAGCCAACTCTAGTTAACTTTTCCTGTCTTAACAAGGCAATATGCTAATCATGCTTGAGATAACTCCACATCGAAAACACGCTTTTCTGAACTACAGCTAGCAATGATCAAGCTAGTTTGTGGCTTTTCAGAGAAGGCTTGTATTGTATATCATACTAGCGGTCCTTCCTCGCTTCGCTCGGATGAATGAGCCCCTCCGCTTCGCTCCGTGTCATTCAACGGAAACGCGTCGCAAGGGGGTTCCCCCCTTGACCCCCAAGTGGGGGGCAAGCCCCCCAAACCCCCCTGTCAAGCGAGGTTGGATCAATGTTTTGGTATTAGATGCTTATTGTCTGTTTTCAAAAACAAAAGCAAGATCATTGTGCTGTGCGAAGTAGTCTATCATAGAAAGTCGTCAAAGTTGGATACTTAACTATCTCCAGTTTAGAATGCAATGCGAAAAGAAGTGTTGACAAAGATGATGTAGTGATATTGATAAAAAGAGAATAGGCGAGAAAAAAAGAGAATGGGCGATGTAAAAATAGAGTAGGTGACAAAAAGAATTATAGAAGAACTTCGTGAAAAACAACATTTCTTGTGCTTTGGCCTTGCTGACCCGCGATACGTGAGTTCTCAGGATCTAACATGATTCTGATGGATGAAGGGGTGCGGACGCGCGACATGGCTACATACAGTAGACCATGCGTGAAACGGAGGTTCAGGCAAGTAGAGGCCGACAGTGTTGAAAGTTTGACCCTGTGCCTTATTGATGGTCATAGCGAATGCCAGGCGAACAGGGAATTGGGTGCGTTTGAAGAGAATGGGCGAGCGTGTTTGCGATGGTGTGAGTGTTATGCGAGGGATTAAGACAATGTTGCCAGCATGAGGTCCAGTGGCTATTTCAGCTTCAAGTACATGTCTTTGAAAAGAGCGTACAATCAGCCGTGTCCCGTTGCAGAGACCACTTTGGGTGTGCAAGTTTTTCAAAAGCATGACTGGGCAACCGACTTTGAGTTTTAGCAAATGCGGAGGGAGGTCGGATGGATTCATGGAATTGAGCAGCTCTGGTGGGTATGTGATTTGATCCTCTGGATCATCCACAGTATCTGCGATCGGGAATTCGTGGATAGTGCCTGGGAAATGGTCGAGTATCAGATCGTTGATTGCTGAAACGTCGACATTTTTTGGAGTTAGAATGGAGCGACTGATGAGGTAATCGTGATCCACGTGTGGTGCGTCAAGGCTGCCGTAAATGGCTTCGATGAGCGATTTAAGCACTGCTGTACGATCTGCGAGCGCGACGCATTTGGTATCACTGGAAGGACCTATTACCATATACTTTACTGTGAGTACTACCGCTTAATAGTAAAAAACATGCAAAGTAGAAGAGAGGATACAATGTTGAGTACCTGGCAAATGTCAACACCAAGGACCATAATTTTTCCACCAAATGGAACATCGGCAAGCGCGGGATCGTCATGTCTCATGAGATTTGGATACGCTTGTACGTATACGTTGATACTTGTGTTGATACTTGTGTCCAGCGTGTTTAAAGCGATGACACTTCTCATATGATGAAGGACGTGAAGTGCGCTTCATCTCGTGTTAATGAAGGTTATCCCCTTGAGTCTTTCCTCGATGCGATACCCGTCTACTCACATAGTCATACATTCATGTAGAACAAATTTCCTGATCTGGAGGAGCCACACATTTCGGCGCGTCATAAACGTGAGAGAGCAATCTGATTGGATAGATTGAACTGACTCAAATGCCGTGTTCATTACTACTATATAACCGTGCGGCCGCAGCAATCATGGGGCTCTTCTTCCTCTTCGTCAACTTTTCTAAACCAAAGCTATTCAATGTGAGTGTCATTGGAATGGATTAGAGGATCGGAGAGTGTATGTTTATGGTGGTGAGTGAGAAGAGTGTATGCAACCGGTTGTGGGTATACAGCGATTTCTTAAGATCCGTTTATCTCACTTTCTTTCTTTTTTGACACAGACTTTCTTTCGTCTTAACCTGGTCCTTCTCCACTCAAAGCACAAATGCAAGAGTAAGTACAATATGGAAAGTTTGAAGTGTACTTTGAGGTTTTGCATGTGGATGTGATATACGAAAGAAGATATGAATTTCGACGTGTCTAAAGTTGTGTGTGTACAGCATACAGTCGCTAATGTTATCCTCCTTTCTTCTCTGCTACTACTATAGGATTCTGACTTTTTGAAATGGTTGGTTCGGGTTTGTTGTTTGCATCCCACCCTTAAACATAAGCAACAACTGTAAGTACGGTAGGGAATGAAATGTGAGGATGAGTTGGAGAGAAGTCGAGTGTCTGTTGGAGGTGCTGATGCCATGACGTGTCAGGAATAGTTGCATATTAAGAACAGCCTGCTCATGATCTTTCTTCTTTTCATTCTACTTCAGGTTTCGCTTTATGCTGGTTGGGTTGATTGTGTCCTGCGGACAAATAACAGATAGTAAGTATAAGCAAAAGGGGACTTGAACATTGGTATGATAGGTGAGTAGGATGACATGGGTGTTGGGGATGACGCGTCAAAGGTGTGCAGTGTGTACAGCAGCGTGACGGAAAAGGGCTCCTGACCATGACGTATGCAATATGGCAGTCTCTCAAAAAAGTTTTCTTTCTCTCCTCCCCTTTCTTCTCTTATTCTTTTTTCAGAATTGGTCATCCCCTTCTTGCTTTTCCTCTCTCTAACTCAAGGCTCTCTTCCTCCAAGCCAAGGATGTCATAATAGTAAGTATCGTTGTGCTTGTGTTTGTCTTTGCGTGTTTGAAGAACCAGGAAGATGTCTGCCGTGACATGTCAAAAAGTGTATGCAGCTGCTCATAGATGTTTTCTTTTTTCTAATAGAGGATGGCTCTGCGGTGATCTGTTTGGACTTGGATTGGCTTAGACCCCATCTCTCTCTGTCTATAACTTTGCTGTGAAACGACAAAACAAATGTAAGTCAGCTTGGGATGGAGGAGGATGGTAATGCCGTGTCAAAAATAAAGATAGCACAGTGGGTGCAGCCCTTTAATGATCTTTTTTTTATCCAGCTAGAAGAAGTGTTTCTGTTCTGGCTGCGATTCTCTGCTCTACACTGGCTGGGTGTTCGGTTCTCCTGTGTCTCATCGTAGAAGTATAGGTAAGTATAGCACGATAGAATCTTGTGATAGTGAATTGACAGTTTCCCATTAACTATTCGTCTCTTATGTTTCTTGGAATGGCGATAGTGCACAGATACCTCCATGCTGGTCAAGATTGATGCTCTACTGCCATCCCGCTCCTGGAAGCCGACCTGTCAAGTAGTCCGTAGGCTGCGGTCAAGATCTATCCATCCATCTGGACGGTGGCGTGTGCTTTTTGCTTTGAATGGACCTGAGGAAGTCGTTAAAAGCCTCATATTCTTATTGCTTATTTGTATAAATTATCCCCCTTCCCCTCCTCCCCTTGCTCTGACCCAGGAAGTCATTAAAAGCGTCTATTGCGTTTCTAATATAGTTTATCCCCTTCTCCTCCCCCTTTGCTTTTTTCTCGCAGTTCCTAGTAGCCTCTGTCTCGACCCATCTTCGGATGTTGCATCGTTTCACGCGAACGGCTGTTTTTTTACTCAGGCAGCCTCCGGGCGTAAGTCCTGCTTATTTCAAATTTCCCCGAGCCCACGGGTAAAAAGTGCGGCCGAGGTCCCCCATGAATTTGGGGAATGCTTTGCGTAAGTATTTACTTTCTCTTTTTCTGTCTGTGAATTTACATGGATGAGAGTTTCCTTTTTTGGATTTTTCAGCTAACTTTTAAAGATTTTAATAATAATTTTAATAATAAAGAAGAAGATGTTAGTGAGGATATGTCAAAAAATTAAACTTTCTTGTGTACATGCCTTTGTGTTGTTAGTACAACAACAATACTCTTGTGGTCAGAACTCCGTGCGATCAAGGAACAGATCTATTTGACAGCATATCCTTATGCACTTGTATGATACAAGAAGAAGAAACCTGTCTCGTCTTTATATATGTAAATAATACGACATACAAGTTGATATGCTTTACTAGACTACTGGAATAAAATATTTTCACGCATCTTTACGCGGTTCAATAAAGTTAGTTACCGACGATCTCAAAGAAGTTCATGCTGATATCGCGTCTATTTGTGCCTCTTTTTTTTTACATATGATATATAAGAAATTCTACTGACGGTTTTTTCTTTCGCCTGGGTGGAGCCGTTGCCATTTTAGAACGTTGCCAAGTGCCATCCACACATTCCCCCTTGTTTTTACTTGTACGTTGTAATATACTATCCAAACGAAAATAGCTTCAAATCGTATAAGCTTTAATATTACAGTATAGTGTATATACCATAGTAGATGACGTTGGCGGCCCCAATGATAACAATTGTTTTGTCATGCTGACCTCTTTATTGTTTGCAACTAACTACATAAGTTTTTGACATGTGTTTCTTTGAGTATAAAAAGGCACCATGATCCGGCCAATCTTGAAACCTCTTCTTCTTCCTTCACTCAATTCCTCTCAAGTATCCCCTCACACAAACACAATTTCAAAGCGAACACATACTTCAAGGCATACATAATCATACCTCAAGGCACAGAACAGCAGAACCGATCATAATGGCTCTCAATATGACAGATCTGGTTCTTCGTCCTGGCAAGGGGCAAACCGGCAAGCCAATCAAAATCTGCAGCAACAACTTTGGTACTGGTAACGTCCACATAATTACTTTCCTTGCTCTAGAATGTGGCATTCCGTAGCATTTCCACTTACATCACATCATGGTCATCCTTATACATTTAACGGCCACCCTGCTTACTTATATGCCCATATTGCGTCGAATCAGTGATATATGTTTGAATTCAACGTTTATTTTATATGTTATATATGTTTGTTAAGTGTGTATGTATGTACATTTCATCTAAATGAAGGGGGAAAATGCAAAATGATATCTCTTGGAAGATAAAGAAATACTTTATGAAGGAAGCTATGCAATATTAAGCGAAAATACAATTGCGATCATTGCAGCGACCATACACAACAGCGATGATATTATCTTTTGTCTTGGAGCAGCTGAAGAGTCAGTATTACCACCGCTTGTCGATGACGGCTGCTGCTGAGAGTCTGGAACCATCTTCTTATTCATGATGTCTACGAAGAGTAAGACACACGTCAGAAAGTAGCTCATCGTACATTTGCACACATATCATAGCAGAAAAAGACAGATAAGTGGGTGGGTCACTTTACCTGCAATGGAACATGGCTTGGATGAGCGTTGACAGGGTGGCGTGTCAGAAGCTTCCGATGAATTGAAAAAAATAGTAAAATTTGCCAATTGAAGGGTAGCATCCTGAGTTGGAGGTGCACCACTATAATTGGGATTGCCATCGGTCCAATGATTAACAATGACACGACCCGGGGCGTCAGGAATATTTTGGTTGAATTGGTTTGCTTCCTGACCGTCCAAAAAGTATGTAACAGCTTCAGGAGTCCAGTCAAACCGATATTCATGGAAAGCCTATGTATACACTGAATTAGATCCTCCTCTTGCTTTGATTCAACAATTTTTCTGGCTTTTATGCTGAAAGATCAGATCAATAACAATACCGAAGTTGGGTCAAAAAGTAGCACATGCTTATCGTTGGTCACGTTGGATGCGGATCCGTCTGGATTGTAGACTTGTGGCTGTACGGAAAAGTACGTTTTCCATGGGTTTTGAATCCTACTTAGTGATTCCATATCAATTTCGCAAGTGTTGTTTCTGAAGAAGAAGAAGGCTGCCACGGTGCCCGGCTCGGACGAGGTCTTCATATTCGCTCTGAAGGTGCCATACAAGATATCTTGTCTAAATGTTATCGTGGATTAAAGCAGTGTTAAAAATTTGAGTAAATCATCCATGGTCTCAATAACATGATTCTCATTGTTTCTTTCCTTACCTTTTTGTACCGAATGATGCGGATGTGTAATTGCCGCTATCTTGTTTTCGCACTGTCAGATGAACGCCTCCATCGTCTTCGTTAACTTGAACGTTGGCAGGATCAAAGATACGGTCAATGGTGTTGTCGTATTTGGCAGGCACAGTGTAGTCCATGACCACATAATTTGTGTCGCGTTGCAGATCGGCACGGTAATTTGCATAATTGGCGTACCATATTTCACTCCACACGCGATCATATTCATCCTGGAAGCCACAGTCGCACACAACGGGATCTTGTGCAACAGCCATGCTGTGCTGCTGCATAACAACCAAGGGCACAATGGCTAGTGACAGTATCCATGGCAGACTGTTTGTTGTTGTTAACATAGCAACCATCTCTTTTTTCTGTTTGTGTGCTACTGGTTATCGGGATAAATAGAATAAGAAAAGAAAAGGCGAAGGAAAGACGATGGTGAGCTTGGTGAAGGATTGATCGACCTAACAAACAAAAAACGATGGCGGAGGTGTATGTCTCGGTTCCGGAATATTTTTATCTGTCAATGGCCTCTTCTATCTGTTGCCATCACTACCCAGTGCTTGCATATGGTGGTTGTAGCATTTATTCACCTCGTTGGCAGTGTGTATAACAAATTATACTCGTCCCGGATAGTCCCCCCAAGATTGCCTTACACACCCCCCAAGTCTCTGGAGATCCTGTTTTGCATGACGACCCCAGTCCTCCTTTACTCTATTGCCTTTTATTATGCATCCCGTGCCTATGGTCTTGTGCGCGCGTTTCTCTCTCTCTCTCTCTCTCTCTGTATTAGTAGAGGATGGAGCCTGGTATGTCATGGTGGACGCGTAAAGCTGACGAATGCTGGGGGGACGGACAGGGTCAATTGATTAATTGATTGGTCCGTGAGCTTTGAAACGCTGCAACTTGTGTTTGTGAGCCGCGTCAGCAGTCGTAATCGCGCTCCCGAAAACATGGATCTCCGCAAACAGCCGAATAAATTATATAAAAAGTCCTGGAGAGTTGTTGCACTTTGTGAAACCCTTCACACTTGTAAAGCCAAAACAATTCGAGAAAATGTGCATGCGAACCACCTGCAATAACTGCAACAAGTACACCTGGAAGGGTAAGTCCTCTTGAATTGCTGGATCAGAGCAAGTAGAAAACGCAGTGTTTATTCTGCTGACGACTGACGGTCTCTACCTGTTTGACTAGGCTGCGGTCAACATATCCAGCAAGCCTTGGCTGGCTTGAAGGACGACGAGATTTGCAAGTGCGAGAACCCTGACAAGAAATGAGGAGAAAGCGCCAACATTCTTTTATACATGCTCCTTCTCCTTATTGCTTACTACTCCTTACGTGCCGTCTTCTCTGCATCATCCCAGACAAATGCAACTATTGCCACCAATCAATAGCCCCACAGCCACCAACCACAACCAATGACCCTCTACTGCCTTTTACCTAAAAAAAACAAATAAAGTTGCTCATGGCTCTACCGTTATTCTTTCTGCTTAAACACCTGCTACTGACTTTTATTAAAACTTTTCAGAATGATGATTCTATACACTATATACGTCTGGTGGAATCTAATTTTCTTTATGCTCCGAGGTTCAAAAGCATGTTGGCACCGTTCTTGTTGCCGGGCAAGTAGGTAACGTTTTGTGAAGCAGACAAGGTTCCGGCAATCTCCTTGGAGGCTTCAATGCGACGGAACTCGACCAAACCTTCACCGGCCTTCTCCAAGGATCTGCTGATCAATTCAGCAGCAACAGAGTCACCTTCGGCGCGAATGACAGCTGCCTGTTGTTCCTGTTCGGCACGTTCGACCACAAATCTGGCGCGTTCAGCTTCTTGCTGAGCAATCTGCTTTTGTTCGACGGCGTTGGTGAACTCACGGCCGAAGGTCATGTGGGTCTATACGAGAAGCAAAAAAAGAATAAATGCAAGAGGAGTGGGATACAATGCGTGTATGTGGAAACAAGAACAGTTAGTGCCCGAGTGTACCATATGTCCATGTAGATAGACAGATTCATCCCCAATGTAAACAGTGACTTACAATAGACACATCCTCCAAGGCAATGTTGAAATCATGGGCACGCTTGTACAGCTCCTCACGGATCTTGGCAGACACAACCTCACGCTGGGTAATCAATTCACTGGCGTCAAACTGAGCCACAATGGACTTCAATACTTCGTTACCAATGGATGGCAAGACTCTCTCATCATAATCGAGACCCAAGTTCTGATAGATGGCAGGCAAATTCTTGATTTCAGGACGATGCAACACACGAAGCGTCAAAGTAATCATCTGCATATCTTTTTATCTATCAATGTTAGCGATATCATTGTTTATACATATTTAAGTCAAACCAGGCAAGGAATGAGTGCTGATTTCTTTTCCTTTTTACCTTTAGAACCAGTAGTGGTCGAAATGTTGCGAGGCTTGGTACGCACATCAAACAGAACAGCACGCTGCAACCAAGGAACCAAGAAATGAGTGCCTTCACCGCTCGATTGGGACTTTACACCCTGAAGACGATCGAAAATGACAGCGCGGTGACCACCTTGAACTACATGAAAAAAAAAAGGGAAAAACCGATCAATCAAACATGCACAGTTAAAATGGGGAGCCCCCGATCGAATGTGCTCTCGTCTTCTGGTTGTTAGAATAGTTACCGTCGTACATGGCGGCTTGAGCACCACCCACTGCCAAACCGACAGGTATGGCATACTTTGCGATCCTATTGAGCACTGCGGCCATTTTATTGTTTTTTGTGTGTGAGAAAACTGAAACACTTTGAAGTTTTAGTGCTGGTATAAATTCAAAGCACGTATAAGCCAGCAGCCTCCGCTGCCACCACCACCACCGCCGCTATCGTATGCTGATATGTTGTCAGTGGCCAAAGTCTGTAAGCATGACTTCCAACCAGTAATAGGCAAGATTGAAACTACTTGTCACAGATTAATGATAGAATTAAGGGTGTCAAATATGGGGCACTGTATATAAAAAAGAAAAGCCATATCATCAAGTATGATGCTATCAACAATCCAAGTATCCCTCCTCTAACAGTCCGAAAAGTTGGATGTATGATACTTGGATGGTTTGTAAGAATGTCTGACTGCATGATAGTAGTAAGCTACTGAATGATGGTAGTAACATACATTTACTTTCTGTGTAAGATGTGCTCCTGGCTACGTCTGCCTACTACATAGACTATAATTTGCCTGCTGGAACAGGCAACACAGGGTTTTAAAGTCAATGCATACCCGCTCTCACTTGGCATTTATCGATAAGCAAGGGAAAAGAGGTAACGATTAAGTAAGGATGGATATATCCTTGAGTAAGTGCGTTCTTCTGCTAATTATGCAAGCGTGCACTTCAATTATTATGAAGGGATCGGGACTTACGATTAAATTTCGCACTTTCTCTCTGTCAAATAAAAATGCCTCTTCTGACAATACAATACTTTTGCAATGTCAAGTCTGTACGTGCCTAAACGACGAAGCAGGCGTATTCAGGATAGAGAAGAGACTACACAGCAACAAGAGGAAGAAGAACAGCAACAGCACCTGAATGGATCTTATGAATCACCCAATCCCCAGCCATTACAAAACCTTATCCTCAACAAACGACGACGGACAGGCAACCGTGAACGTGATCACGATTTGGAAGCAGTGCGTCTATACAATTCCTCACCTTCTCTTACTACTACTCATAAAGCAATTAATTTCTTAAAATCCGGCGTAATAAAATACTCAATGCGGTCTCACTCTTCCTCTTGTAGCAATTTGCAGCACTAAACGAAGAGCCGTCTTACGATGATCTTGCGTTTGACAAGGTTGAAGAAGAACCAGACAAAAAACAAGAACCGCCGAACCTCGATTATCTCGACGAACAAGCGATCTTGGAAAACGAAAACGATTCGGAAAGTGACAATGAAAAGCTGTCGTTGGAAGATACTGCCAAACAAGCACGCGAGTTTCTGGTGGAAGACTTGTCAAATAAGTTCTTTAAGGTGATGATATCATTTGCTGCAGCAGCCCCCCCTTTTTTTGTATAAAATAAATTTGTTACCAAAACACGCGTACGCGTATCCACGCGCCAAAATATCTCACACGTATGCACACATATTAAAAAAAAAGTTACGTACTATAGGTTATTGCGAGCACCGAAGATACGCGCAAAAATGATTCTCGTTATCAATTTTTCAAAAAGAGATGCACAGTAAGTTGTAGTTCTTTAGCGTGTAATGAAAGAAAAAGGTCTTTCTTTTTATTAAGCGAATATTCATAGCTACCGGATCCTTTGTTGATAGAAGATGGGCTGTCTGGTGCTAATCATGAAAAAGAAAACTATATATCTGATCTGTCCTCGAGTAAGGCAAAAAAAAAGATGAGGAAGCAAGAGATTATCGTCGTTCTTAATAACGCCTGATTTTAATCGTGTTTGTCATTTCTAGCGTATGACGGTCGAAAGTTTTTGCTCAGCTCAGGTGCATTGCTATATTGGAGTAGGACAGATTGGTCATTGCCTCACTCAATGTATCAATGGCTTTTCCAGATAGGTATGTTGGACGAAATGCCTCAGGCTTATTAACAAACGTTGATTTAACATATATATCATATTAGTTGCATTTGAATCCGACAAGTTTGTCTCAAGACACGCATACACTACACTCGAAACATTGTGGACAAATCTGGTCAGTGAGAGCATTAATGCAAGAATCAAACGAAGCAGAGGAGAACAAAGAAGGACAAAAGTCGTATGAATTTTTTACCATATTTATAATTGAAATCGCTGTGTAGGGTTCTGAATGTGCACCATATAGAGAAAATGTAAACGGAAAACGGAATCTCAACAAGTATATAGACGTATCATCGTTTAGACACGTCTTGACGAGCTATGGTGCAGTCAAGTCAGAGCTAGAAGATTCCAATACTGAGAATGAAGTAATTCAAATGTCTCAAGATTGGTCGGATAACGTGGCTGGTGAACAACACATACCATTGGAACAGTTCTCGTCTGTTCTTCGTCTTTTCGGGTTCTCCATTCGATCATGGTAATGACAAACAACTCCTCTAGTTGTTTTGAGTTTTCACGATGAAAAAAAGAAGTAATGTCGTCTGACGAGCACTCACATATTCTCCCTTGACTCCAATTGGCAGGTCACAAGCGTACACGAAGGACGATGTCAAATACGTTGTGCGGTTATTATTGCAGATTCTGCTGGATCGAGTGGGTGACTTTCTGGCGCGCGAAGTTGAAAATTGCATCGAGTCCGCATTATCAGCGTTGGATGAAGAAACATGGAGATCTGAGGTATGTCTCTAAATAAACATACATGCAAATATACGTAGACATGGTGGTTTTTATAACTCGTACTTTTCCTCTTTTTTGGGGTGCAGTTACGAGATCTGGCAGCAAGTCTAGTCAACCGGTTCCCACATGTTCAATTGCAGACACAAATCACCAAAGCTATGAAACCGACCTATGAACGATGCATCTATCTGAAGCGTATGGTTGCCCTTGCTTCATTGAACCTGACTTTAGAAACTGCTTTATCCAAAATCAAGGTGAACGAAGAACAGCAGCGACCACGACAACTTCCACAACCTGCATTGTCCCAACCACTCCAGCCTCTGCAATTGGAACAGGAACAAGAGCAGCAGCAGCAGCAGCAGCAAACGACGCCATCCAATATGATTAGAGCACCTGGGAACACACCTTCATCATCATCCAACTACACCACGCCGACCACTTCACCATCAAGTCGGATCAGTGAACCAGAAGACAGATTGGAAGAAAATCATTTTCCTAATAGCAATGGTATCGCCACCATGAATAGCAACAGTAGCACCGATGTAGAGATGACCGATAGCTTTGCTATGTCGAGACAATCCTCTTTCCTATCAGACACCATGTCAGCTGACGAAGAATATAGATCTGCCGCTAGCCACTTGGACACGGCCTCGTCCAAGGGACACTTGAGCAGCAACAACAGCAGCAGCAACAACAACAACACAGACATGGCCGAGCCACCAACACCAATAGTCGAAGAATCAACTACTGCTCCTACTTCTGCTACCATAAGTCCTCCATCCCCATCTCCTACGCCCGGCCCTAACATCTATGCACAAACTCCTTTGGATAAAGACGTTCTGGCACAGCTCTTGGGGATTATCCAAAACAAACACAGCATATTTAAAAGTCGCGAAGCTCATCCTGATTACGATAATGTATTGAATCAGACGTTATTGCTAGCTGAAGCTATCAGTGCCGATGAGACTGAAATGATCAAGGAGAAGGTTAGTTTTTGACAAAAAGAAAGAGAGAAAGGAGACCGTGGTTTGGACCTCTATTTTTTTTGCTATTTGGTTGAAGATGCTTTACAATTATAACTTGTATTGTTAATTGTTACATATTACAGGGTATTGTATGTGAGATCATCTCAGAGCTACAGCAATTCAATCGAAGAATAGGTAAGCATATTTTAATAGTTGCGCTGGATGGTTGGTTCTAGAATCATTTAAAAGAATACCGTACAAGATGAAATAGGCCAGATCACTAACATAAATGCTATCATTGATAGGCGGTGGTCTTGGATCCTATGCACGGAGCAAGGTATGAAAAAAATGACCACTATGCTTTTATTAAAGATGGAAAGACCTTTTTTGTTACTGACTGTTGGACTGGTTGATTTCTTTTGACTATTTAGGCCAATGAAGGTGTTCAGCGATTATGGACGCGACTAGCGTATATGAAGGGCAGGGACGAAACGATGGGATACGAAGATCACGTTGCATAATATTACCAATAGTTAAAGTAAAATGTATATATCAATCGAACTTACGATGCGAAGAATGGTTAATGGACCCGTCATTCCACGATATAAACCGGGTCGGGATTGTTTCCGCTTCGCTGCGGCATCTCTCTACAAAAATAGCCATAACCGTCATCGGATAATCTATTACAGACTACTCGTTAAAGTGCTTATCTACGGTGCGAGTACTTGTTGAGGGTATGATACAGAACTAGTTGCAACAGAGGCGAAAACCAGGATCCATTCCATTGGCGCTTTGTTTCAGTTCTCAATAGGCAATGACGACAACGAGTGTTGTTTCCGATTTGCTTTTGCTAGGATACCATGTAAACAGGTAGAAATGTAACCTCACATGTCGCGTGTTTCACATTGTCTCTTATGACTCACGCGTGTAATAGCTAAGTATTGAGGATCGTTTCAGGACATGTCACTGGTAGCTTGTATACAAACAAGCGCTTATAACAGTTAACATACATACGGTCTTGCTGTTTTCCGTATTTCTTGTTGCTTTGCGTAACCTTTACTCAAAAGTGTGTGCGTGATCACCTGTCGGATACTAAAAACGAGTAGGCCCCTCAATGCAGCCCAAGTTCGGTACGTATCTCTTTCCTTTCTTTTACGAAAATACAATGGTGAGCTTTCGCATTCTCAAATTTTAACGCAATCATTTTGGGTTATACCTTTGTTTTTTGTTGACAAAGAAACTAAGACAGCTCGTATATTAACTTTACGTAGAGCGAAGTAAAAGAATATCTCTATAAAATCCTGGTCGTCGGTGACCTGGGAACCGGTAAAACGAGTATTATCAGACGTTACGTGCATAACATTTTCTCGAGCAATTACAAGTCTACGGTACAATTCACTTTCACTTTTCCCCCTCTTTTTTTTAACTTTTATCGTAACTCTTTGCTATGGCTATTTGGGGTCTTCTACTTCTTTTTCTTACTAAAAGTAAAAGAAAACCAGGGCTGACCTAAACCTTCTTTTTTTGTTCTGTAACGGGTATAGATCGGAGTTGACTTTGCACTCAAGGTGATCCAGTGGTCGCCCGAAATCATTGTACGGTTGCAATTATGGGATATTGCGGGACAGGAGCGATTCGGAAACATGACGCGTGTGTATTACAAGGAAGCATTGGGTGCATTTGTCGTGTGCGACGTAACCCGACAGTCGACATTTGAAGGCGTCACGAAATGGAAGGATGATATTGATGCCAAAGTCAGTTTGCCCAGTGCATGGGGTGGTGGCAAAATCCCTGTCGTTTTGTTAGCGAATAAGGTAAGTTGACCAAGATTTTCCATGTTTGAATATGTTTGAAGATAAGAAGTATTACTTATTCCATTTTGCTATGGTATTGTTGTTGATGATGATATACGTGTGTATAGAGTGATCTTGTGAATGAAGGACATGGACAGCATGTAAACCCAATGGAGATGGATGAGTTGTGTGATAATCAAGGCTTTATCAAATGGTAAGCTCTCATTTGGTGTAGATGGCAAGCTTCTTTATACTTGTTGTATGTATACATTTAATAACTATTAATGAATGATTTAGGTTTGAGACGTCAGCAAAGGACAATACCAACATTGATGATGCAGCTCGCTTCCTTATCCAATCCATCCTCAAGATTGAGGAAGAACATGGATCTCCTGATCTGGATGATGAAGATAGCGAGAGAATACGTATTGAGGATAACAAGAGCAGCGGTGGTGGTGGATGCTGCTAGGTATATGGCTACACATATACACGCAAGCTATTGTTATATATTAGGTTGTCTTTTTTTTGTGTTAATTATGGGACACTGGCCATTAACAAAACGGTAGAATGCGCGGGACAAAGTAGCACCTATCATATCTTATTCCCCTTTCTCTCTCTCTTTCTTTCTTTCTTCCACTTACAACACAACACATTATCACATCCATTCCCCACCGCACGAGCACTCCAATCCACCTCTTATCCCCAAAAACTGAGAAGTTTCTTGGATATGTAAGCATTTTGCTTGTTGAGCGTTAAAATATGCTGTTGCTGCTGTTGGTTTGTATGTAATTAGTGTAAATTCTGACCATTTTATGGTGTGTGCTGAAAAATATCAAAACATGGCCCATGCTTGTACGTATTCTTACCTTATTTACATTATAATGATAACGATGGTACTGCCGGAGAACTGCTGTGTGGCCACATCAGATGCATGCATACACATGTGTGTGGGATGCTAATAAACTTTGCATAGTGGTCATCTCTTTAGAGGCAGTAGAGGATGTGTTTGCCGGTTAATCGGCTACGTTCCATTGTTATGTAACTGTGCTTAAATGTGGCTCCAATTATGGAAATAGTATGCTTGTCCATTCGCAACAGAGGCTCTAAGAAGGAGCAAAACCCGCCATACTGTACGACTTTATAAGCACTTCTGTCCATATCATAGTACAGATTGTCAGTCAACGCTCATGGCTGAGCTCTGATATGTGGCATTTGTTTCAATAGTTTCTATCAGAGCCTTTTTGGCGCGTTGAGTGTTTCTGTCTCCTTTGCTGAGGATAGGTTATCGAACCTCCTTACTAATCCATGATTAAACTTAGTATGCAGTAGCAATAGTACTAATTATCATCTTTTGCTTCATTATAATAGTATTATCTCTGAGCATGACATTCTGCTTATCTTATAAACAATTTTTATTTCACAACTACTCCACGCCACCACCAACAATTCCCCTGCGATTGTCATAGTGGGCCCAAAGCCATCAGTTCGTATCCGAATTAATTTTTTAGTAGTTGTGCTGAGCTCTGACCATGCCAGTGATTTCCCTTTTCTCTTCCTTTGCGCGCGTCGATTCCCTTCCATGTCGTATTCATTTAGCAGAGACCGTACCGCAGAGCTCAGAGTAAACAATGTTTCCTCTCCATTTCTCCTCTACTACTTTTAACCTTGCCTCTATGTCCCTTATGCTGCTGACCACTTGCATTAATCGTTCTTTGTATAGGGTAACAGCGACGCAAACAGCAGAGGCAGTGGCGGTGGTAATGGGGTTGGACGAAGAAATAGGTAAGTAAAAAGAAGGTGAGACCATCATTCCAGCAAGATATAAGTTACACTAAACTGTGCGATTATGCAGTGAAGAATTTGGGCCTCGTCGGACGCCTACAGGATACCGTTCAGCAGCTCAGCAACAGCAGCAGCAACAGCCACCACCACCTTCACGGTCATACCGAGCACAAAACAACACTCCTTTTGACAATGAAGACGATTATAATGACTTCGCAAGAAACGACACTTACAATCGCAATCACGAGGCCATTGAAATGCAAGCTACAGAACGTGCACGATCTCCACCTAATTTGCAAACTATGGAGGGATTTTTTCAAGAAGTACAAAACATGCTCTTGTTACAAACGATATGTGCCTTAGAAAAAAAAGGGAGGAAATTTAATATCATCTGTGTCTTCCCCAATTATATAGGTAGACAGCCTAAAGAATGATATTTCTAGCGTCAGTGACAATGTGGATAGGATAGAGCGGTTACATACGACAGCACTGGTCAGCTTTAACGAGCAACAATCACGGCAAATATCCAGAGACTTGGCACAGATTAAGCGACAGACACAAAAACAGAATTTTGATTTGAAGGATAGGATCAAAGGTATATACATACATTCATTTATACGCAGGAAAACGCTGTAGGAAATCAAATATTAGGGAAGCGAGCTGATGATGATTTTCGTAACATTAGCTTTGGAAGCTTCCAACGCACAATTAGGAAATGACTCGGACGCACAGATTCGACGCTCGCAGGTAACGTCAATTATTGGCAGATTAAGGGGGAGAGAGAGATTTGTTAAAACAAACCATGCTACTTTAGAGTGCTGCTCTACGGAAACGATTTTTGGAGACGATACAAAGATACCAAGACGTGGAACGCACTTATGAGCAAAAATATCGTCAACGGGTTGAACGACAAATCCGAATCGGTAAATCATCATGTTTTGTTATCTTGACGACATATTTCTATTTACCTAAATTTACTTACATATCTTGTTTATATGCACATCCGCCAATAATAATAAAAAAAAGTTAAACCGGACGCAACGCAGGAAGAAGTGGACAGATTCATCGATTCAGATGACTCGCCACAAGTGTTTGCACAATCGGTAAATTCTACCTCCATCAAAGCCATACTATTCACCACAACAGGCGGTTGCTGACACTGATATCGATGCCCTGAATTAAACTGAAATATGAACACAGCAACACACATTAACGAAAATATATATATCTCGCATGTAGCTAATGCATGCTACTCGCACAAATCAAGCCCGTGCGGTCCTATCCGAAGTACAGACGCGACATGATGATATCAAGCATATTGAAAAGACAATTGTGGTATGTTATCAACTCTTACATTGCTTCCAACGATAGATAGGAGAACTTCATGTTAACTTGTTATGTTTACCCTGTATTTAGGAACTTCATCAACTCTTTATAGACATGCAAATGCTTGTAGAGCAACAAGGTGAAACGCTTACAGCCGCCGAACAAAATGCGGATCAAACTGTCGGTCATCTGCAACAAGGCAATAGCATGATTGCCAAAGCCATCCTTAGCGCTAAAGCAACTCGGCATGTATGTCGGCCGTTTCCTTTTTTCTAAACTTATGTTCATGAAAGAAACAACTAATTTTTCATACATACGATTTCATTGAATAGAAAAAATGGTGCTGCCTATTTCTCGTCATTGCTCTTTGCGTCATGATCGCTATTCTAGTTTGGTGGTTTGGATTTGGTCATCCGGTAATGTAGCTTCTACTGCTCCGTCATACGGAAGGCTGTGAGAAAAAATCGGAACCGATTACTTTTTTTACTTACCAACGGTATCTTCTCTAATTATCGTGATAGGGCGTTGGAGATAACAGCAACAATGCATAATCGAGTAGTAATGATCTATCATAATTAATAATAACAGTAATAATAAAGATACTTTCTATCGTTATATACTTTCGTAATAGATATGCTCACAAATTAATACAAATAATCAAGAAGAAACAAGCTTGTTTGGCTTTTCTCGCTGTTGAATAATGCTCTCAATGAAAATAATTAGTTGTTCAACTTTCGCGTGATGATTCGAATGACAGACAACGGATGATACACACCCGCATCGATTATATATGTGGCTTTTTTCAAGAAAAAGCTCCGGACGATTCTCAAATTCAACAACCATATAGCTTTCTTTTAGCGTTGGCGAATGTACGTACATGTTAACAATGGTAATGTACTATGCTACTTATTTTATCTGAGTCGCAAACATATGCTATGGCGTACATGTAATGATCCTCTCACGCAACAACCTATATAATACAATTTATACTACATCCCGAAAATTCTGAATGATTTTTAAAAGAGCTATATAGTAAGCCGGTAGAATTTGCTCATTAGTGAGCTATTACCATATGTAAATAGAGTATGCTTTCTTCCTCACTTAATGGATATGCTATGCGTAATATGCAAAATTTCCGTTTCAACCAAGTTGTTGAAAACTCTCGGAGGTTTTTCTAACAATAATCATTTCATATTCAAAAAATGGCATTCTGTCTTTTTCCAATGCTCTGTCAAATGCTGATAGCGCTCAAACAATCTAACGCGTTGTGCATTGAATAACAGGTAGTATACAACACAACCTATGCTTTTACAGTCGACCCCCGTTAACGTCAACCCTCAGGGTACCAGCAAAAGTGTTGACCATATCGAGGGTTGACGACCACCGGGGGTAGAGAATAGGCAAAATCTCTAACTGCTAAATTTGAAAGGGTACCAGCGAATCGGTTGACGTTATCGGGGGTTGACGTTATCGGGGTTGACGTTAACGGGGGTATACTGTAATTTAGTCTGACAAGTGGATATGCTTTGGTCGGACGTTTCCAAAATTGGCAATAGTAAGAGTAAACTATGCAGTGGGCCGTACGAGCGAAAGAAAAAAAAATTATTCGCCTGCAGCGCGCTTCGCAAGGCGTTCTATACCTGATACTCCGTTGTGTGTTATTAAACTCAGTATTATTGTCTTTATTATCAACCTCCACCTGCCTCGCTTCGCTCAGCTGAATGAGCCCCTGCACTGTGCTCCGAGTCATTCAACGATTTGGATGTTTCCAGGGGGTTCCCCATTACGTTTCAAGCGTTGGAGACTGGATCAGTGTTTTCTAATACAATGATGAATCAGAGTTTTGTTTTCTTATCCAGCACAAAGTATCCACAGCCGATATTTAATATTAAAGCTGTATCAATAGAAATATTTCTAAATTCTCTATTGTAAATGTTATTGCAAATACAAAGAAGGGGAATGGTGCGATGTTGGAGTTGTTATTCAAGTAAAAGCAGTTCGGAAAAGCTCGTAAAAACGCAATCTATTTTACAGCGACGATCTCGATATACAGTGGTGGTCCCCCGCTTCTTTTTGCACCCCTACCTTTCGCAAATGCTGCGATTTCTGCGAAAATCAGTCCAGTCCTGTCACTAAAAACTTCATTTTTCCGCAATATGCAACTTGCAAACCTGCTTTTGGTCCATTGCATCGTATCGAGCTATTTTTCATGCTTAGAATTCGCAACGTCAAAGTCAGTTGATGGATGTTGCATGTAACCAGGGTCCTTTGTGTGTAAGCATAGAAGTAAACTATGTACTGTAAATATTATGATTTGTAAACACATAATATTTGATATCCTATATGTATGCACAACGTAAAGATCACATAGTAGGTGTTATTATTCCCTTTTTATGAGAAGTAACGTATATACGTACAGCATACACTCCTTTGGCTCGGCGCCGGGCTGTTCTGCTAGCTGAGTGAACACAAGCAAAGGGATCTAAACGTCTTCTTTTCAAGACTCGTGAGAATGTGGAGTGGACGAGGACAGGGGTGTTTGAATAAGTAGTCATGAAACAGTTAACCAGCTCCTTCAAACTACTGGCTCTTCCGCTCAAATGTTCCTCCCAAATTCTATCTTCTTGCTCTGCTGTTAGCTTGTTGAATGTTTTAGCCATTAAGTGTAAAAGAAATAGACAGATACTCGAAAATACAAAAGGCAAAGGATTTTTTTTTCATTGAAACATCTGGACTTTTATATTCACATTTCTTTACTAAAACATGCATTTGTGCTTATCTGTGAACAGTCCAGTAGTATATAGCACCTAGCTTGAGCTACAATCTAATTGTTGAATATTCCAATGATAATAAGATACAGTTGACCCCCGCTTTTTGCACCTCCGCTTTTTGCAGATCCTCAGTTTTTGCAGCTTTTTTTGGAGGAATCCCGCTCATCACTTAGTAAAATTGCAGTTTCCTCACTTTTTGCATTTTGCAGCCCAAAACTAGGACCTGCAATTTCCCGCTAGTGGTTTTCATTCTCCCCCGAGAGCGGCGACACTGAGAATCGAACCACTGATACTTCCTAGTTTTCTATATAAAGCTTTATATTTATTACATAAAGGTTTTATCACTGAAAATAATTGGTGATTCTGGATTGTTTGTTCTGGCTTTTCTTGCGGAAATCATCCCGGACTTTTCTGAGCTCATTCCGGATGTTTTGATGTTCCAGGGCATCTAAAATAGCAATTGTTTTTTCTAGTATTCTTGTTTTTTCTTGTAAACTATATACTGGTGTAACAGGTTCAGATCAAACAACAGTCATGCTAGTATCTTCATTGCCGTTGTCAACAACATCATCAGCTACTTTTTCATTAAGAACAGATCTAACAATTTCTTCATTGGAAAGCAGTGGATGAACAGCTGCAATTTCCTCAGGTGGATCTGCATCAAAAGTGAAATTTGCAAGGTTGTTGGCACCATAAATAAGACTGAGATGATCATCAATCTGGCCAAGTGCAACTTCGTCTGCATTGTCTGACCCACTATCAGTGCTGCTAGTCATGACTACATCTATTACCCTCGTTTTTATGTAGCAGTTTACAATTGTCAGCACTGGAACACTTTGCCATGCCTCATGACACCATTGTATTGCTGTCAAAACATCATTACGAAACGTATTTCCGTCATTAACAGGCAGGCCTTTTTCCAAGCGCTCCTGAATTCTGCTATATGCATGCTCATATTGCAAATTCCTAATACAAGTATACAACAGAGAAAATGGTTACTTTCAAATTTCCACATACATATAAAATAAGCCTATCGAATAATTATAACAACAACGTACTTGAAATGCACCTTGAAGCTGCGGATAATACCAGCATCTAAAGGCTGCATAAGCGATGTTGTATTTGGCGGCAAATATACGAGCTCGACATTCTTTGGCTCGTAATCACAAAAATGTCCCGAAAAGTTGTCTAAGAGCAATGCAATTTTTCTTTGCTGATACACCATCGATTTATCCAACATAGTAAGGTACTTCTTGAAGATATCGCGCGTCATCCAAGCATTGGCATTTGCACGGTACTTCGAGATGTCAACCTTTCTCTGCTGTGCCTGTTGTTATATAGAAAGTATAATAAGCAGTTGATCATCATCTTTTACTTTATCATATAGCATACTTTGCTGAAACAGGTTGGGCGCTGTGCCCAAAATCAGATCCATCAGCATTCGTCGTCAATACAAATGTCAACCGCGACTTGTCCTGCTTGACCCCTTTAAAAGGTCCAGGTGCAATTGTAGACACAGGAGCACTGGAGTAGAAGACAGCTGTCTCGTCCATGTTTTAAATGTCCTTTAACGCATATTTTTCTAGCATTCGTTGGATTTCAGGCAACTTGACTTCTGCGAGTGTGACATCAGCAGAGCTAGCTTCACCACTTATTTTTTGGACCTTGAGGTTATATCGTTTTTGGAAGCGGTTTTGCCAGCCATTGGAGAATGTCAAGTCCTCAGTTGAGATTTGCAGCTTAATTGCAAAGTTTTCACCAGCTTTCTTAATAATATCCCTTCCAATTAATTGGGATCTTCTCATGGAATCTTTGTTCTATCCATGTATATAAAGCGTATTCTAGTTCCTATTGTATTATTTTGCTTTCTTATTAGTAAAGTGAATAGCAAGCAGTACTCAATAAGCTTAAACATACAGGAAACTTTGCTCGAGCTTTTTGTCTTTTATTTCTCTCGATGCCGTTTTCTTCTTCATGTTTTCTCTTAGCAATCATTCGTGAAATTGTTGTTGTATTCGGAACACTCTCAAGGTTGTATGTTGTTTTTATCCAGTCGAGTAAATCCTTGTATGTAAACTTGCGCAGCGCTTTCTCTTTAGCGACGTAGTACTGATACGCTGCTTCACTTATTTCGTCAGTAAGCTTTTCATATTTTCTTTTCGTCATGATGTGTAGTTTGAGTAGTGTGTATAAGACAATTGCAAAAATTTAAGTCTTTTTATATAGATATTGCAATGTGAAAGTAACCTCAACAAAGTACCGATATTCTTTAATTGGTTCACATAATTGACACTTAGTAAGCTAAGCTATACTCAGCCTGTGTAACACTCTTATACCCATCCTCACTTTTTGCAGTTTTTTTCATGAAAAACCGCTACTGCAAAAAGCAGGGGCCAACTGTAAATCTTCTTCTTTGACAATATCTTTATTACAATTAATCTATTATTATCATCTTGTTCTAAACATATTTTTTATTAAGTCTTATATTTATATCATTAAGGTTCATTTGAACCTTTCCTTTTTTATTTTCTTCTTTATTTCTATTAATTAAGAATTGAAAATACTTTTGATAAAACATAAAAGGCATTATTTAATGTGACCTTAGTAGGTCTTTTTTTATTTTTTATAATATAAACAAGGTGAATTTAATACTTTGTTTTGTAGTTTTCTCTCTTTCATATAATGATCTACACATAAAGCACCTATTGCAAGTTTCTTGCAAGGTTCGTTTTGCAATATGAAATAGTAGAAGACTTTCAACAGATTTGAATTTTTCAAGGAAGAGGGAGATGCCCTCATTTAATAGACCAGATCATTTGTACAAATTTGCAATTAGGAGTAGGTTCTCAGTCATTGCGAGGGTGTTTGCAAAGATGATGTTGACGATGGAAACGACGACAAAGAAGAAGATAAAGTGTTGAAATCGTACGAGACCGAAACCTTTTCGCTAAGGTGTCTGCTACGAACTGAAATCAAATATAATGATTTTCTATAAGATATAAAAGATGAAGAGCAACGCGTCAGTCAGTGCATTTTGGAGCTTAGCAAGACAAGTGCTATATTATTGACTGATACTATTGTTACTGGGCGCACTGCTCGACTATGCAGAATCAATAATCAGCAGCAAAATCTCAATCTGTGTAAATTGGCACCAGACTTTCAATTTCTACTAGATACAGCCACCGTCATAACTATTGCTCCTATCCCTGAGGATCAAGACAAGATCGACACAGAAAGAATCTATAAAAGGGAGCATTTTTCAAAGCTTTTACTGGGTAACCTCATAGCTATATGCTTTGTGTGTGCTGGTGATATTTTCTGCTTTATATTCCTAAGCTTTTGGTTTATAAATTTATTTAAAAACAATATGTCAGGAAAATTATTTCCATTTATTATAACCTATATTTTTAATAGGACTGTCTACAGATTAATCTATTTTTCTATTATATAATATAAAAACCTTTGAATGCATATCTGTATAGAAAAGATGTGTATACATAGTGAACCAAATAACACTGCCAAAAATTGGTAGTATCATTATAATGATACCTTATTATTGATACCCTAATGATATCATGTTGAGTTTTGGAGTACGAACAAGGAATCAATTTTTTGATACCTGAGGTATACATCAGGGTATCAAAATGTTGAGTTGTCGAATATCAACATTTTGATTTTTGACAACTCAACATTTTGACTTTTAAGATATCAACATTATGATTTTCTCAATATCAATATTTTGACTTTTTAGATATCGACTTTTGATTCTTAGGTTATCAACATTTGATTTTTCAGATATCATAATGGTATCAACTACTATAGCTTCCAATAGAATCGCAAGTATTCAACAGGCGTTTCTGGCCATATCCAATTAGATTGCTGTTATAAAGCTGATAAATCTCATATACTCATAATATCCAATAGAAAGAAAGGTATAGAAATCTTTGATTGGGAAACGGTGGTTTATTTCGTATATATGATATTATAATACAGCACTATACTACATACTACATACTATATGGTAACTATATGATTCCATGACTACTTCTCATGTTTTACTTACCACCATATTAATATTACAACTTGAGATAGAAATATAATGATAATCAGTTATATATAGTGGAAATAGCAGAGCATAAAATGAAAGGCCATCTTACAGTTTGTGGTCGTTAGTGATAACAGATCTTTATGATTATCGAAGCATAAGTAATTAAGTGACAGTCAGAAATTAGCGTATTATGGTATGATATGGGGGACGTTTTTATAGGAATACACAATGATCCTATGTAGGGTGGTGATGATGGAGTTGTGGACAGCAGGAACTTGCCTAAATGACTTTTTTTTTAGATTGATATATTTTCCCTGACTGCATGAATTGGTTATTCTGTCTCTTCTTCTTTTCATACTTCCACGTCGTATTTTATCACCTACCATGAATCTTCTTTTTCTATGGTAAGCATCTATGTAACATGGTCATTTTCTATTTTTCACATACTTTCAACTTGGTACCGATGATGTTCTTTCAATCACTAGCTGCATTCTTTATAAATCTTCAGGACATCATCACTGAGTAACAATGAAACGGTGTAAGCTCTCTCTCCTCTTTCTACAGTCTTTTCTGATGGTTGAGAGGTTCAGATACTAATAGTCCCTTATATTTTATTTGCCTACGCTTTCAACTATCTGAAGCTGTTAGCATTTATATCTTCTTATTCAGAGTCTTTGTTCGAACCTAACTGTTGCCACACAAGTAGCGCTATCTGTAAGTATACTTTCTTTCTATCTTCGTTTCTACTTTTTTTCTCTTTATGTATCTCGCCTCTTAGACATTGCTGCTGAGTTCTCCTCTTACGATTTGGCCCTCTTATTTTTGCTAATCGCCTTGCTGTAGATTAGCAATTCTTTGTTGTCATGCCAATGCCGCCCCAGCACACCAACCAATATAGCACTTCCCTTTAGAATAGAAATTTTTGCTTAGTTTCATCTCTATAGCATGTTTTTATTTGTAATAATCGTCAATCAATTTTTAATAATAAAACCGGTTTCGATCAACCATAACACGTAATTTCACGATCCAAAAAATAATTATACAACCAATTGCCTTGCTGCTTTGATCAGTATGCATGTAAAGAAGTACTTTAAAATATGCGGTGCAGAACTCTGTTGCGAATTTGACTGCACCTAGTACCCAATCCATATGTAATGTGTATAGAACCCAACCACTACTGCATACATGATATCAAAAACCCCCATTTCCACGTACATGCATGAGCAAATTATCAAGTGGTGAAAAACAGCTTGATAATAACAATCGAAGCTGTTTCTGCATAATTATCAAGCTGTTCACAAACAACGTGATAACTACATAGCAAGCTATTATCAAGCTATTATCAAGCTGTTTTTAACCACTTGATAATAGCCTACACACCCAGTGTTTGAGTTTGCACGTAGGTCTCACCAGCTTTATGAATTTTGTATAGCACAACAACAAGGAATATAACATTCCAGAATCGACAGTCCATGCGATCATGAACAATACAGAAAGTTTTGAAGATAGATTAAACATGGTGTCACTGTCAATTTTACAGAATTAGCCATCAACACTCTCATGAAAAATATGACGCAGTACGTATGTTTGTATACTTACATCCGCTTTACGAGAATGCCCATCTGATTTACTAACGGGTTTTTTTTTAATTAGATTGACGCTTTCTTTAATCGTTGACCAAGCACATAAATCAAACGCACAGTACTACAAGAAAATATTTGAACCAGAAGACTGGAACAAACTTACGAAGGAGAAAATAGAAATCGAAGAACTGAGCGACGATTTTGAAAATGTTGTGAACGAAGTCATCCAGGTTAGTAGAACGAGGAGAAAGAATCAAATTGTTTGCATTTTATAAATGCCTACTTTGTGAGGTTCTAACAAAAGCGAAATATGTAGTGTAAAGGGAATCCACCAAGCATTAAGACAGCTATCACACCATAAGAACATGCTATTGCAAATGGATATCGACAATGAATTTTACAAGGCATTGATATTTTGGATTATTTGTAAGCACTTCTTTACCGTGTTGACATTATACATCCTCACCATTTGTTGTTACTGATAAGCTCTACATAGGATATGATACCTGGATTCTGGTGGTCATAAGTCTGACACTTATAGTGAGATGGATATGATAATTATTTGTTACAATATTCTATGTACAGCATTCAGGAATACTACCTATGAATTCTCACTGTAAGTATGATAGATGGGCATATACCTATATATATTTATTTGTGTGTAAGTGTAGTATACTTTTGCTAACCTCTGAATTATAAATAGTAGGGAGCTCGCATCAGCCAAAACCAAAAAAGTAAAATTACACAATGAATGGTTGTATGGTCCTGGTGGCAGTTTCACCACTACCTATAATGTTATAGGACAAAAGATCGATGCGATTGTTACCACTGGAGACACTGAAATCGCATGCTGTGTATGGAAGGCACCTGGTATTACGACTTCTGTAGCCCATGAACAACAAACCAAAAACATGAGAAGCAATGCCTATCTTTGCCGTAACTTGAACTCCCTGCCATTTGCCAAGGACTGCTCCCCACACGTGCTCTACATGGATTGGATTAGTAGGTTCACAATACTCTAAATTTTATACATTTCCATTTGGGACTTACAGGGTTCATAGGGTTTATTGGCAATATGCTATCTATATGTAAGCATGGCAAGATATGTCGTTCAGGAAGTGGGCAATATGTATATACCACGGTCACTGTGTGGTTTCGCCGACTTCTATGATACACTGAAGCTTATATACACTTTCAAGGTATATTCGACCAATCAATTAGACATATATTTACGAAATGCATATTGCTAACAGAGTTAAAATGATAATGTGTGGTTGAATAGCGTCACTTATATAACTTGCAAGCCTATGTGCCTCCAGTGTTAGCACGGAAGGAATGCCAAGAAGAACATGAAAAGTATGATCACAAAGTGCCAGAATCTGAATTCGATACAGCAGATCCTGAGATCTTCTATACTCCTAAAACATCCCGAGCGTATGCAGCAACCCCAGCTGAGTGAACTTGGATCCTTATTATTTATAATTCACTGTTAATATTAATGAATTAAAAGTTCTAACAAATCAAGATTTGTTGAACATTTAATTATTAATAATTAACTCCCTTTATATTCCTAAGCTTTTGGTTTATAAATTGTTTTATAAACAATATGCCAGGAAAATTATTTCCATTTATTATAACCTATATTATTAATAGGACTAGGGATCCGTATCAGAACCGTAGAACCGGAACCGAACCGAACCGAAACCGAGAAAATACGGTTCGGTTCCTGTCAAGAACCGAACCGGAACCGAACCGGTTCTGTATAAGTAGAACCGAAGAACCGAGAGGCAGAAGATTGCAATCAGCGATTTTGGTAATTAGTATAAAGTAGGCTATAATGGAAGTTACGAACAATGTTATTCCGAAAAGACCACGAAGTAGTGTATTTGCAAGCCATACTTTATTGAAAAACTTAACAAAACCTGCAAAAGCAGAAGGGAGTAAAAAATAGTAAAGAAGATAAGAGAAAAAAATAAAAAAAACACTTCTTCTGACGGCAGCTTGCTTTCTCCGCCCATGACGCACATCATTACTTGTTCCTCTACTTTGCTACCCACAAAGCATTTTTCTCCATGACGTACTACTTAACTAGATTTATCATGGCTTCTCGATCAGTTTTATCAAGTTTGTGCATTCCGTTTGAGATTGCGCATTCTGGGGCTCATAACAGAATTATCTTACCCATTCACCCTTTGCCTTTTATGAGACACTATACACTATACACACATAGAGACACAGCAGCTGTACTGCCGGTTGTGGTTCAATTCCTCCAATGTTACGATAACATATTGTACTAGTAATACTAAGTCGCTCTAAGTAAGTACTATAAGCTCCACTTTTTTTTGTAAAAACTGTGCTTCAATCTTTTAACCATGCAATGACCCACATCGTATGAGAATGTTTACATTCTGTTTCTCTTATTCATTTTGAGATCGCTGTTCAATGTACAATAATAAATTATTCTTTTTTACTGCAGTATTCAAGTATACCGCGACATTTGAACACACACATCAGCTTTCATTTAAAGATACCGAATCTTGCCTTTTTTATATACATGATGGGTTCGGTTCTTCGGTTCGATTCTTCGGTTCTACGGTTCTCGTCGGTTCTAGTCGGTTCGGTTCTTGCTTTAGACGGTTCGGTTCGGTTCCCTTTAAGAACCGAACCGAACCGAACCGTGCGGATCCCTAAATAGGACTGTCTACAGACTTTTCTATTATATAATATAAAAACCTTTGAATGCATACAGTGGACCCTCTTTAATGTCAACCCCTTTAATGTCAACCCCCGATATGGTCAGCCTTTTTCTGAGAACCTCACATTTTAGCAGAGATAAATTTCAACTTTTACATAAGATCAATGTCAATACCTTGGCCAGGGTTGACTTCTTATTAAGGTCAAACATATCCAATCAAAAGTGGTTATTTCATTGTTGGTTGAAAATACATTGTTAGGAACGACTCTGTTGCATACATACATTGTGTCGGGGTGTATGTGCTGGTTTAATATTTTTATTATACAGTTAAACTTTGTGCTACCCCCTTTAACGTCAACCCCCGTTAGCGTCAACACTTTCAGGTGTACTTGAGGGTTGACATTAAAGGGGGTCAACTGTACTATATCTGTATAGATGTGTATATATAGTGAACCAAATAATATACTGGTCCACACATTTGAATCTTGTATTTTATCTTCACAAACTTACTTATTTTATCTTCTTCTATATTTATATCAAAAGGGGATAAGGTTTCATTTAAGCATTGTTTATATGTATATAGTATATAAGATATTAGAGAGTTAAAAGACATATTATATTTCCTGATTCTGGAATGAAGTAGGAAGGTTGCATAAGCTTTTATGATATTATATTTTATTTAAGTATAAAATTCAATTTTTTTTATTATATATAGATAATAAACTATAAGTATTTTATAGACTCAACTGAGTAATATCTTTAACAACCAGTTGCTGAAATTCCTTTTGTACAATGGAGTTTCAAAAGCTACCTCAAATATCATACCAAAGGCCAGATTCAAAAATCAAAAAAGGCTACTCTCCTAGATAGTTTCTAGTAACAACTGTCAAGTATAAAATATAAAAGAATCCTTACCTACAATATAAAAGAGAGTTATCCTAAGATAATTTATAGATTTTTAAAATACATAAAAAACATTCTAAAATTGAATTTCAAATATATAATAGAATATATACTCCAAATGATATTCAAAATACTAGAAATAATATCATTCTGCAAAACTATAAGGATAGTATTTATTATAAATGAAATAATGATAGATAATTTAATAATCGAAATAGATAATATAAATGATATTTATTTAATTTATAGCAGCAAAATTCTAATACTTAAAATCAATAAAAACTAGCAGTCCTTCCTCGCTTCGCTCGGATGAATGAGCCCCTCCGCTTCGCTCCGTGTCATTCAATGGAAACGCGTCGCAAGGGGGTTCCCCCCTTGACCCCCAAGTAGGGGGCAAGCTCCCCAAACCCCCCTGTCAAGCGAGGTTGGATCAATGTTTTGGTATTAGATGCTTATTGTCTGTTTTAAAAAACAAAAGCAAGATCATTGTGCAGTGCGAAGTAGTCTATTATAGAAAGTCGTCAAAGTTGGATACTTAACTATCTCCAGTTTAGAATGCAATGCGAAAAGAAGTGTTGACAAAGATCATGTAGTGATATTGATAAAAAGAGAATAGGCGACAAAAAGAATTAGAGAAGAACTTCATGGAAAACAACATCTCGGATGTTTTGGCCTTGCTGACCCACGATACTCGAGTTCTCGGGATCTAACATGATTCTGATGGATGAAGGGGTGTGGACGCGTGACATGGCTACATAAAGTAGACCATGCGTGAACGGAGGTTCAGGCAAGTAGAGGCCGATAGTGTTGAAAGTTTGACCCTGTGCCTTATTGATGGTCATAGCGAATGCCAGGCGAACAGGGAATTGGGTGCGTTTGAAGAGAATGGGCGAGCGTGTTTGCGATGGTGTGAGTGTTATGTGAGGGATCAGGACAATGTTGAGTACCTGGCAAAAGTCAACACCAAGGACCATAATTTTTCCATCAAATGGAACATCAGCAAGCGCGGGATCGCCATGTCCCATGAGATTTTGGATACTCTTGTATACGTTGATACTTGTATTGATACTTGTATCCAGCGTGTTTAAAGCGATGACACTTCTCAGATGATGAAGGATTTTGAAGTGAGCTTCATATCGTGTTTATAACGCTTATCCGCTTGAGTCTTTTCTCGATGCGATACCCGTCTATTCACATAGTCATACATTCATGTAGAATAAACTTTCTTATCTGGAGGAGCCACACACCTCGGCGCGTCATAAACGTGAGAGAGCAATCTGATTGGATAGATTGAATTGGCTCAAATGCCGTGTTCATTACTCTATATAACCGCGCGGCCGCAGCAATCATGCCACTCCTCTTCCTCCTCGTCAACGTTTGTAAGCCAAAGCTATTCAATGTGAGTATCATTGGAACGGATTAGAGGATCGAAGAGTGTATGTTTATGGTGGTGAGTGAGCAGAGCGTATGCAACCCGTTGCGAGTATCTTAAGATCCGTTTATCTCACTTTCTTTCTTTTTTGACACAGACCTTCTTCTCGTCTTAACCTGGTCCATCTCCCGCTCACATTGGCTCTCAAAGCACAGATGCAAGAGTAAGTACAATATGGAAAGTGTGAAGTGTACTTTGAGGTTTTGCATGTGGATGTGATATACGAAAGAAGATATGAATTTCGACGTGTCTAAAGAAGTGTGTGTACAGCATACAGTCGCTAATGTTATCCTCCTTTCTTCTCTGCTACTACTATAGGATTCTGACTTTTTGAAATGGTTGGTTCGGTTTGTTGTTTGCATCCCACCCTTAAACATAAGCAACAACTGTAAGTACGGTAGGGAATGAAATGTGAGGATGAGTTGGAGAGAAGTCGAGTGTCTGTTGGAGGTGCTGATGCCATGACGTGTCAAAAGTAGCTGCATATTAAGAACAGCCTGCTCATAATCTTTCTTCTTTTCATTCTACTTCAGGTTTCACTTTATGCTGGTTGGGTTAATTGCGTCCTGCGGACAAATAACAGATAGTAAGTATAAGCAAAAGGGGACTTGAACATTGGTATGATAGGTGAGTAGGATGGCATGGGTGTTGGGGATGACGCGTCAAAGGTGTGCAGTGTGTACAGCAGCGTGACGGAAAAGGGCTCCTGACCATGACGTATGCAATATGGCAGTCTCTCAAAAAAGTTTTCTTTCTCTCCTCCCCTTTCTTCTCTTATTCTTTTTTCAGAATTGGTCATCCCCTTCTTGCTTTTCCTCTCTCTAAATCAAGGCTCTCTTCCTCCAAGCCAAGGATGTCATAATAGTAAGTATCGCTGTGCTTGTGTTTGTCTTTGCGTCTTTGAAGAACCATGAAGATGTCTGCCGTGACATGTCAAAAAGTGTATGCAGCTGCTCATAGATGTTTTCTTTTTTCTAATAGAGGATGGCTCTGCGGTGATCTGTTTGAACTTGGATTGGCTTAGACCCCATCTCTCTCTGTCTATAACTTTGCTGTAAAACGACAAACAAATGTAAGTATAGGTGGATTCAGCTTGGGATGGAGGAAGATGGTAATGCCGTGTTAAAAAATAAAGATAGCACAGTGGGTGCAGCCCTCTAATAATCTTTTTTTTTATCCAGCTAGAAGAAGTGTTTCTGTTCTGGCTGCGATTCTCTGCTCTACACTGGCTGGGTGTTCGGTTCTCCTGTGTCTCATCGTAGAAGTATAGGTAAGTATAGCACGATAGAATCTTGTGATGGTGGTTTGACAGTTTCCCATTAACTGTTCATTTCTTTCGTTTCTCGGAATGGCGATAGTGCACAGACACCTCCATGCTAGTCAAGATTGATGCTCCACTGTCATCCCGCTCCTAGAAGCCAACCTGTCA